GCGCAAGTCAAGCCGGACCAGCACATCGAGCCTCCACTGACCGAAGCGCTTCTGGGCGAAGCGATCTGGCGTGTTTCCGGGCCGGACGAGGATATTGTCAAGCAGATGAACCAGCAGACCCAGCTTGCTGCTGTAGAGATTGCTTTTCGCGAGAGGTTCTATCGCGTTTTGGTACGAAGGTTCCCTGGACCGCTGCAACCTTTGACTAACTGTTGCATCGCTACACAGGCGTCCACCTCAATCGACGACCCTGCTTTCATTCAGATCTGGAATCTCCTCGATATCGTCTCCATTTTCTCCGACAACGGTCAGTACAGCTGCCCGATCGATGCGCCGTCTCTAACTTCTTCCAGAACAATGCGAACCAGGTCTGATCTTCTGGCTCATTGAGGAACTTCTCGACAGTCAGACCATTGACGGCTGTCGCAAGGTGTTTGACTATCTGGAATCGCGACGAGAACGAAACACAGCGGTGCGTGAAGGACTTCGCCTTGATTATGGTCCTCTAACTAACTTGCGGAAAGAAACATTTCAAACAGAAGAGTTTGATTATTCTCAGATCTTGCAACGAGCTCCTACGCAGGCTGTCCCGTGCAGAAGATACAGTATTCTGTGGACGAGTGTTCATCTTCCTCTTTCAGAGCTTCCCGCTAGGAGATAAAAGCTCCGTCAACCTTCGGGGCGAGTTCCACACCGAAAATGTGACCAATTTCGACGAAATTACCAAAGAGGCCGCTCCGGAGGCAACCGAAGAAGACACAGCTATGATTGAGGCCAAGGAAGGTTCTGCAGAGGGCCAAGCAGAAGAAGCGGCATCCGAAGAGCAACCACAAATCCCAAAGGTTGTTGTCTCTACGAGCAAGGACAAGAAATCCGAGACTGTTGATCTGAACGCTCTGTATCCGGTGTTCTGGAGTCTGCAGTCTTATTTTTCAGCCCCGACCAAAATGTTCGATCCCGAACGTTTCACATCCTTCAAAGCCGGGCTCGAAGCCACACTATCTGCTTTCAAGAATATCAAACCCGATCTTGAACAGGGTACGGCACGCGTCTCTGAAGAGGCTCGGAAATCCAACAAGCGGAAGCGTTCGACCGATGATGCTGAGATTGCGAGCAGCTTCAACCCGAAATATCTGACGAGTCGAGATCTATTTGACCTCGAAATAAGCGACACTGCATTCAGAAGACATGTTCTTGTCCAGGCCCTCATCCTTATCGACTTCATGCTTTCTCTTACCCCCAAATCAAAAGCCCAGCTTTCGGATCTGCCGAACAAGTCAGTCCTCTACGGTTTTATCCTGAATGAGGACGATGCCAAATGGGCAATGCGGATGAGGAAGCGAATCGAGGAGTATTTGCAGGATGGGGCGGGTGGCAAGTTCTACTATCGTATGGTGGACACCGTGCTGTCCAGGGACAAGAACTGGGTGCGCTGGAAGGCTGAGGGCTGTCCACTGATCGAACGGCCGGCCGTCTCGGTGACAGACTACCTTGGTTCTCGCGAGCATGCCCTCAAGGCCTACGCTAACAAGCGTCTTCGTCCCTCGCCCATGGGAGCTCTTGATCTCAAGTTTCTTTCCGATAGCGAATCGTTGGCCAACCTGGAGCGGCTCAAGGAATCGGACCGATACTCCGTTCCCGCGGCGGACTCGTTCATGATGAGCATTATGGATGACGAAATGGACATTGACATGGCGCAAACCAAAGAGGAGAAAGACAGTGCGGAACAGGCCAAGGCAAGCAAGGCCTGGCGAATCCTTCGTCTCTCTGCGAAGGCCAAACTCGCTGCCTTCGAGAAGGTTGATGACGGCAAAAACCTAAAGATTTTGTTTGAGAGCCCTCCGGCACCCGATACCACGGCCCAGCCTGGTGACGACATCGCGAATGATTCGGAAGCCACTCCCCAAGCGATTGAGAGCACTGTGCAAGGCTCATCCCAACCTTCTCAAGATCAAGATCTTGCTCAGGGCACCGAAACACCAGAGGAATTGGTCGATGACAAAAATGTCATCGGTGATGCGAAACAAGAACCAAGCGTCCCCAAGGCTGAGGACACGAACGAGGACACCCCTATCGCTCCTGGCGCCTCGGATGATGGCCCCCAGGAGAGCCTTGCAACCTGAACGAACGAACTGCGGTCTTGCTGCCATTGCGGCATATTCATACTATTGGCCCGTTTTGTTCCGGAATCCCGAAAATATTCCCCAATGGACTTCAATGCCTGTGGTCCGAGCTGCAACTTCGCCGGAATGCCGAAACATCTTCATGCATCGATATCACGGCGCTACAGAGTACCACCAAGCACTGACTGCCGTTTTGAGACAAATGCGTCAATTCTGAGGATCTCGTCTAAAACGAGTCTTCTAGCTAGATAGTGTTGATCGGTCTCCGATCACCAACGGATGTCTCGCCATGAACGCATCCATTCACCTGGATCCTGAATCCGTTCGGGGGAAAACGTACCGACTCCTTCGCACCCCTCGGGCTGCCGCCAGAACAAGTAGGAGGAGCATTCGATGGGCCCGGAGAAATGGTATCGATGGGACTAGTGCGGCCCCTACGATGTTGAATTAGCTACCGACGTGGAGCTCAAGATTTATTAGCTGATCGGCAACTCTAATGCATACCTCATACAGCTCAACGGAGGGTTCCTGCATGTGGGCAGAGCGGCGTAGATGCTACCGTAGGGTAGGATTTATTATTATTTGTTATTTTATCCTCCGAGGCAGAATCCCGCCGAAGATTCTGGACGGGGATTACAGTGGCATGGCTGGGGCGCCCGACCCGTCGCAGCCATGTTTCAGTCTCCAACACGACTAGAGCCCGATTCAGCGGCCGCGAGCGAGAGAGGATCGAACTATCCTCACCTGTGCCACGTCTCTGGAAGAAACTATTGGGGGAGAATTAAACAAGCGAACTTGCAATAGTCTTTTGGCCCCAATGTAAGCAACCCCTGTGCCCTACTTTGACTACACTATGTCGACGCTGCTGCGGGTTCGTCAATAGTGCGCAGTAGTCAGGTTTGAAGGTTCCAGAGAAAAAAAAAAAAAAATAAAAATAAAAATCAAAAAATAAAATAATAAAAAAAACGCACTGATCGCATGGAGTACAGCTCCCGATTGTAGCGGCGGCGGCCAACGGGGAGATATGGGTCGGTGGAACCCCTAGCCAGCCGACGCTATACAAGAGATGGAAGGAGACAGCCATAGTCAACCTCTCTTGTAACCGTGGAATAAATGATAATGGCGCCGCTGTCTGGCCTGTCAACCCGCGTCTGCGATCGGGTTGAACCGCCACAGACGCTGGTCGTCTCAGAAAACAAGATGATGGGCACGATCTGCAGGGCATTTTTGACTATCTCTCGGCCCATTTTGCCGATTTCTCATGCAAAGCACACTAGCCAAGGGGACAAGGTGCTTTCTCAAGCCAAGAGATCGGCTTGCGTCAGCCCCGATGTGCACTACATCCGGAGTCCGTTGCGATCAGATTCGCCTATGACGACGTCTGCATATGGACAAAAAGAAGAAAAAACCGCGAGATTCGAAGGGGCGACTCCGAAATTAAAGTTGCAAGGCGCCTGTCTTTCTGTTCCTGTCTCAGGTTTTGTGTAATGGGTGAGATCGACCTTGTTTGAACCCCGCAAGACTGCCTAGAAAAGGAATAATGAATAATAATAATAATGAACGAATTCAAGAATAGTACATAGTAATGGACCCAGCGAATCCTTCCCATTAGAGCTAAAGGTGTGCGCTGAAGCTGATCTTCCGAGTATCTGTTAGTTTCGGCCGGGACTATCTATTGTGAGCATAACGCTTCCGAGTTTCCTGCGAGGGACCCAGTTGTTTTGTAGCAGAGCAAGTCTCCAGTTTGATGCCCCACGCTGGTGTATCTTCTAGTTAGCAAGCTGGTCGGACATCGGGTATTGAATCCCATCTCCGCTGTTGCCTGGGTTAGTTAGGGGTTGGTGTTGCCCGAATCCTACGCTATGTAGACGATATTTGATTTTTGGCGTAGGTGGCAGCCCTTACTACATCTTTTGAACAATCGAAGACGATATGCGATGGGATAATGCGAACAAGAAGTGGGACTCCGAGCAGTCATAGATGCCTCTGGACTCAACTGTGCTCAAAAATTTAGCCCCAGTCTTGTCCTTCCCGCACGAATGGTAGAACATTCCATCACGGCCAAACGTCGTGACCCACTCTGATTCCCACCCTCACCTCGCCAGAATCTCTTCAAATTTCTGACTCGTCGTGTCTTCGGTTCGAGGTCTGCAATTGAAAAGACGAAGTCTTGTTGCCCGTCGCCTGCGACAGTCCTTTGCACTGGAGCCTTCATTTCAGCAGGACGCCTCCTGTGACTCGGGATGTTTCATAGTTCCTCAGTGTGGAGATTCCAGGGGAGCTTCAACCCCTCTGGTGGGGTTCACCTTGAGACAGGCCACTGATCCATGGACAGGACCATCCGGGCCCCAAAAGTCCTTGTCGACGCCGTGGTTGGCGTTGACGTCGGGTCAAAGCAATCTCTGATACCCTGGTTTACGCGCATGGTCCGCCTGGTGGTCTTTCCTGAAACGGGCGCAGGCGCTCTTCTGACTACAGTTGTAGTTAGGTCCCGCACTATGTGAAAGGTCTACTGCAGGAGGCTCTACCGAGTTGACGGTCCATTCCGACCACATTGCTCATGTTTTGTTGGAGGATATGGTCTGGCAAAATGACGCAGTCGGTGGGACGATTGTGCCCCGTCTCAGAGTTAATGGCCTATGATCACATCCCATCCTTGCCCATGAGTGGACAACACTGACCATGGATGATCGCGGGGCTTGACTATTGTCTGGTCATCCACATCGGCTAAGCCGCCAGCCTCCACGCATGACTGTTGGCTCGCATCATTCCGAAGGCATCCACCTGGTCAATGGACCTGTGGCGGGCAGGCCGCTGAGTGGCTGCAAGTCTTCTTTTCTTCCTTGATCGATGGGCCCGAGGGCCTGGCGGCTTAGCTTAACGCTGATGGAGCCCAAAAAGGGCCACTAGGCACAGCCGGCAGGCCTTCCACATGGATGAGTCCCGGCCGGTGAGCAAGGGTCTGGCGGCCTCTGCCTGCAACGGTTGGCTGGTGGCCCATGCAGGAATCGGAAATCGGGGCCTCGAGGACTCCTGCTGATGCACCACACAGATCAGGGCGCTGGGTCCCACGTCGGAGATTTTCTTGTCCTGAACAACGGGTAGTGGACGCCTCATGGCGTCGACCGCAGTATACCCTGTCTACCGGGAGTCGGCTGCGTAAAATACGGTTTGTGCACAGCTGGAGGGAAAGCAAGCTATCATGTTTAGACCGGATATACCGGGGGCTGGGCTCAGCTGCCTCATCCACTTCGCCACAGATCCAACCCCAAGGTGGGTGCGTCTTTTTTGGAGTCCTGGTCGTGGAGATTCGGGTCTGCGCTCTTTGAACCGGCTGTGGCACATACACTCTACCTTTTGATGCCCGACGCCCAACTACTAAATCCTACTATTGTACATGACGATCAAAGCGTATGTGGACACTTGATCGGAGACTACATCTGACAATCGTTGGGGGAGGATCTGATAGTCTCACCCACACTCTTGCCCGGGGCTCTGATTCTAGACTACTCCGTATCGAGCGCCCTGCCTCCTTCTTGTAGATCGGGTCCCGCTGGTCTTTAGCGTGCACGATGTCTTTTGATCTCGGTTTTAGTCTTGTTCTTCCCCCTCTTATTCTGGGGCCCACTTCTCAACACAGTCCGTAGAGTTGGGAGCATGAGCCGTTAGCCGTCCACCGCTGGTTTCCATTCCTTGTTTTTTTTGACTTTCGCCCATGCATCCGTGACCGTTACGACCGTTGATAAGATCGTCTGAAGCAAACCCTAGAGAGGGCACATCGTCATTAACACCATCACTACTATCAACAACATCATCATAAAGTGAGGGTTCACTATCCAACACAGGAATTACGTGGTATCCTGTATACTGGCGATTCCTGGGTGGCTAATACACTGGTGGACCCTGGGGGTTATTGCGGGCGTCCGTTTAATATCCCAGACCGACGACTATTTCCACAACCTCCGCCCTGTGCCTCGCTTGATCCAGAGTTAGGTATTATTGCTTGGTGCGAGAGCCTCGATCTTCTCTCGCGCACTCTGGATCTCGGATCATCCGGTCCAGTCCAGTCCTAGCACCACTTTATCTGGTTGCGGTGGATGCTTCTTTCAGCGAGCGACTGCCGACCTGCGTAAAGATCATCAGCAGCGCCGACGAGCAACGAAACAACATCAGCTCTAGGGACGCTGGCCAGACCTTTTCCCGTTTCTTCTGCCGTTGGACTCTTCTGGCGACGCGGGTGGTTTTTCCTGACACACTCTGTTTGGCGCCCAGGGTAAACAGGCCTGCGTCTTATTCGGCCCTCGACCTTTCTCCTTTCAACTTTGTTTCATTCTTGCAGAGAACGCCCTGCTTTTTCTGGTCAAACGCCCCAGTGCCTTAGATCAGACCCACCTGCGTCTCATTTCGGAGAAGGACTTTAGTACTCCTTTGCTCTCTTCTTCTGTCCTCGTCGTTTGACGCGTTGCGTCTGGGCGATCGACATCTCCTTCCTACTACTCGTTGTTGTCAATATTTACCCTCTCCTGGCGAGAGACGGGCAAATCAACACTACGATGTCAGTCGGAGGCCCTTGTCTATGGGTTCCTTCTCTATCCTCGCCGATCACCTCAAACCATCTATCTGCGGTCACATCGCATCTTCCTACGGCTTCTCGGGACAGTGACAACCCGGGAAGCAAGACGTTCTCTCCGCGGTATCCTCAGTCCAGGAAGGAAGAGACTAGGATTCCTACCGCCGAGATGCAGCCCGCTGGTTCAGGCTTTAGGGCTGAGAATGCCTTGAGCGTGGCCGACATTACGATTCCCCGTGAGGCAGAGATTCCTTCACAGTACCAGAGATTCAAAGAGGGACGAGTGAAACTAGAAATGCCCCGTGTCAACGAGCAGCGCTTGGCGATTCCTCAGCAGCTGGCAGGTACCAGTGGTTTGGACGGGACGATGGACGGGCTGGAAGACTTGAAAGAAGAGGAAGAAGATGAAGATGATAATGAATCTACCATCAGCCCTTCTGATGAACGGGGCGGCGATGGAGTACACAAACCCTCAGCTTTGGATAAAAAGAAGATGAAGCGGTTCCGGTAGGCAATTCAACCTCCTTGGTCGAAACTCAAGCGCTGATCCAAAAGAACAGCTTAACCCATAACCAGACTCGTTTCCTGATGAGCGAGTTTACTCGGCAAGCGCATCCAGACGCTGCTCATCGAGACCGTCTGTCGCGAGAGATTCCCGGCTTGACGCCGCGTCAGGTCCAAGTCTGGTTTCAAAACAGGTAACTACTTTCCTCATTACTCTGCCTCATGTCTCTTTCTAACGAGAACCTTCCCGAAAGACGAGCGAAACTGAAGCGCCTTACTACCAATGATCGCGAAAGAATGCTCAAATCTCGAGCTCTACCTGACGACTTCGACACCACAAAAGTCCTTCGCACGCCTTTCGAGGGTAATTCAGCTGGCGGCACGCCAGTTGCGTCCCCACAGACATACGGTGTACCGAACCCAGACTTTGGTGGTTTGCGGACATTGCGCACCGACTGTGTACCACGGCCGAATGAAGACGAATACCTTATTTCACCACTCAGCTCTGCCTCGACGGCAGGCACATACATGTCTTCTCGAACGGACCTGTCGCAGTCCAGCATGATTTTCAGCCGACCATCTGCGTCAGCGTCCATGTCTGAATTGCATCGGACGATCCGTACCGACTACCCAGCCGCGAGGTCCAGCAGTCTATCAGACGCCGCCGCTCATCCCTCGCCTTTTCATTCCAGTTATCAACTACACAACCGCTTCTCTGCTGCAGGAGCTCAAGCTCCCGGCCACCCAGCCATACCCTATGCCCGACGGCCGATGGACTACGGCATGCCGAGACACCCAGGGGGCATGCCCTCAGCATACGATCAGCCCTCATTTGAAGGTTCGGTATCACCAACAGACTCGCAGGGTGCACAAGCGCCATACGACATGAACAATCTCGGTTAGTCCCTTCTCCTTGTTCGAGACTTCAGCCCCTAACTAACATGACTGATAAATCAGGTTCGCAGCCTCAAGGCTACCAGGCACACCTGGGCATGAACCCGCAAGTAGCGCCGACAGCAAGACAGCTGTCCACATTTCCCGTCTCTGCGGCCCCCGACTATGGGCATTTCTCCTATGATCCCTCCTCTTCCTCGTCCGCCGCGGGCCCGATGGCCGGCATTTCTTACACTCAAAGCAACACCTCGAGCCTGAGTCTGCCCGGGTCATTCGCCTCATCCGAATCCGTCCCTGCCACACACGATCAGTTGCAAACCATTGATTCCTTGAGAAGCAAGTTTACCAACCCGTCGTCCTTCAACTACACCAACTATCTCCAGCAATGATCTACAATCCCCGTGACAGCATCCGGGACGGGTATACCAAGCATCGTATTTAATCGTAATTGTTTCTTCAGCGTGGCGGCCTTCTTCGCTTTTTCCGTGTGTTATTTATCATTTACCTCTTTTAACTCTCGTTGTCCACTGTCATTCAAATACCATGTTCATGGCGGTTTTTCTCGGTGTTCGGGTCATATCACACCTATACCATTGCATTATTCATCTTTCTCTCCAATTCCACGATAAACAACATGCCACGTCCGCAAAGGCGAATCAGCGCCCGTCCAAAGGTCATGGTTGCGGTGGGTCACGTGATTGACCCCGAACCACCAATCAGCGTGCAGGTATTAGTGATCTCAGTGACGCAGACGGTCATGCCCTGGGGAATATAAATACAACTGGTGGTTCTGTTCTTCTTCTTTTCTCAATCATTCCACCATTCCACCCTCGAAATCCCCTAATCCACTCCCAAACAAGCAAATCAATCAATCAGCCAAAATGGTCCACCCATCGTCCACCTGCTGCAAGACCTCCCAGGACGGGAGCTGCGTCTGCGCCGCCCAGGCCAAGTGCTCGTGTGGCAAAGAGAATGCCCTCCACTGCACCTGCAACAAGTCCTCTACTGAGAACGATGTGGCTGGTCCTCGGTGCTCGTGCCGTATGTTTTTCTGCTGTCATCCAAGCGACCATGTGACTAACAGTCCATCTAGGAGCTCGTCCCGCTGGCCAGTGCACCTGTGAGCGGTCCGCCAGCGAGAATAAGCCCGTGCACGGCGAGACTTGTGCCTGTGGCAGCCGGCCCTCTGGTAAGTGTTCAATCAACCAGACAGATTGCGTGGTTGTTTCTGACTTTTGTTGGTAGCATCTTGCACATGCGAGAAAGCGAGCGCGATCGAGTCGGCGCTTGAGCAGGACTTCACCACCCGCGCATAGGTGGTTTGAGCAATTTTGGAGTTGAACGTGATGCTTCATTTGTTTTCTATTCTGTTTTGTTATCTTGTTCATTGGGAGGATGGCGTCAAGGATGATGGTTGCATTTTTTTTTACCAATTGATCAGGAAATATTGCCTGGACACGGACTGAATATTTGATATGAGAATTGATATCCCATTGCAGTTGCCTAAATCATATGTTACTATCTTGTTCGTTGGACTATAGGTGTAAATCTGGAGACACAGATCTTAGCCCTTCCTCCCGAATGGATATGGACATACACCCGATTATAAGGACTCAATTTTAAGCTTTCCACCAGGATGTCGCATGAGTTAAAACTCAGATTATATCACAACGCTAAGTGACGGTGAATCAGGCACCGAAAACCGCTTGCTTTGATACCATGTCAGCGCTCAATTTGTCAAGATCTTTAAGAATCAGACAATCGTCTTTCAAGATGAGACAGACATTGAAGCATATGGAGTATTGCAAGAAGAAATCATGAATTAACTGGATACTAGTAAATCGACGCGTGTTTTGGCAGGCCTTTCACGAGAACAAACGCCACCTATTTTCTGAAGATTAGACCAAAACCAACCCCCATTGAAAAGTAACACATGAGACATTAAAAATTTACAAACTTTACACGGAATCACTTTTCTGGCTAGCACATGGAAGATGTCAGGCATATGCTGCTTCTTAGCAGACAGTGATGAATAGACCCAGACTGGAGGCAGGTTAGCTAATGCTCAATAAACAGACATGGAGACCAATGAACTTACGGAGGGGGGTTGAAGTCTTCGAAGAAATTGAGATTAGTGCTGCCGGCATTCTTCATCTCGAAGGCAACAGTCTGGCCAGCGGGGCACGAGAAGGTCGAAACCACAAATGTGTTACCAGGTGAGATAGTGATATCACCTAAGTCCTGGGAGACAGAGGGTGCATTATTAAAGGTAGTCGAACTAGAAGCAGCCCCAGAAAGCCTAGCAACATCGATCTTTCCGTCCCCGCTGAAGCTGAAGGACGAAGTTTGGAGGTCGGCCTCCTGAGGGAACGAGAAGATTAGGGTGCAAGTTTTGCCGGAATCAGACGGGGGGATGTCGAAGTTGAAGATGCTTGAAATGGTTGAGGTCACCGTGCCGTTAAATTGAGTGCCAGCGGCGGTTCCGGGAGACGCTGAATTGATAGGGATGATCAGATGTGGGAACTCAAAGTTGCCTGAGGACAGGGTGGTGGGACAGCTACTGCTCGCCGATGCGGCGACTGTCGTAGTGGCGGCTGTCGTAGTGGCGGCTGCCGTAGTGGTGGCTGCCGTAGTGGTGGCTGCCGTAGTGGCGGCTGTCGTAGTGGCGGCTGCCGTAGTGGTGGCGGTCTTAGTGGCGGCTGTCCTAGTGACGGCTTTCATAGAGGGAGTGCCGAAGCATGCGTTGGCTGTTAACTGTATATTTGTGCACTGGCCGAGAGGGATGGGTTCCGCGGTATGGATGTTCTCACCACCGTTCTGGCCGGTCTCGCAGACAATGAAGGTAGGGTTTCCGTTGAACTCCAGCAAGCCAGAAGAGCTAATAGAGAAACCTGGGGTAGGAGTAGCACCCACATCACATTGAAACTGAGTAGTCGGTGCTATCGCATTTGTTAGCTTCCAGGGTTTCTTTCAATGCCTATATAGTGTGTCACTCACGGGTTAGAATACAGCCACGGCCACTGCCATCGGTGATAGAGCCATCTGCGCTAATACAAAACTGCGCAGTAGGCAGACTGTTATCACCGACACGGTTTTGTCCATCACTAAGCTGGCCGACAGGACCGGCGGGGCTGTTAAGTTGAAAGCAGCAAATGCTGCTGCTGTTGTCGCGGGCGAAGAGGGCATGAGTGCCAAGAGCAAAAGCCGCGAGGATGATGAAGCCCTTCATATTCATAATTGAGCACGAAGAGGACCTAATAGTGACTTGAAGAAACCACTTTGAGATGATTGTGAATGACTTGAATCCGGGGGTTTGGAAATGGTATGGCAGGAAGCAGCGAGAGCATACTTATACCGAGGAGATATTATCTTGCTTCGAATAGCAAACGCCTGTGAGCCTAGACTAATCGGACATTGGTGCAAGAGATATAGTAGACGTCATCCTAAACTGAGGTCCGAGTCTTTTTTAGATCTTTAGGACCTGTAAGCGAGACCGTATGAGCCGAACCTCATCGTGGGCCAGATCCTGCTCCTCAAGCATTTCCTGAAATGGGACAATAGTACACAGGGTTTGGGTGGCGCGAACGTTGTTTACCACGGCTCGCAGCCTGGCTGCGCCCTCCCAGGACGAGTCGGCAGTGACCGCATCACGGATTGAATGGATAATGGAGGGACTACCATGGTTTATGCGTGGTTCGTCTTACATAGATAGTTTATATTTAATTAACTACGAATCCTGCAAGTGGTCGAGGCACCCAGAGTAGCTAACCGTAAACGTCGAAGGTTTCCCTTTTTGTGGTCCCATAGTTCATAGCAAGAATAACTCATATCGATGATTGGGTGGCTGAGATCGCAGGGATAAAATGCAAACTTCTCGCAGGGTGGACAGGATCATCAAACTAAGTCCTTGCTACCTTTAAGCGATGGGATTTGATCTAGATGTCACACGCATTAGGAAGAGTGTCATTCACAAATTGGGCTCTGCGAGGGGCGCCTCTTGCGCGTTATGCTCTCAGTGGCCAGTGGAATAACTCGCAACTTATTAGAATTAAAAAGCAACATAATTGGGTCGGATCTTTTGAAGCCGGGACTCTATGACCAGTTGTAAGTCGTTAGCTGAGCCGGTTAGGAAATCCGGCCAACTACATTCATTCTATTTTTGTGCCCTCGGTACGAACCACAATTGCACGAAATCTGGGTACGAACTACGAACCATTATCGTCACTCGTGATCGCGATATATTTTGCCAAAAATAGAAGAGAGTTTGCAATATCGTCAACAATATAACGAAAAACATGAACAACTCACTAGGTAACATGTCTATTCAGACTTGTAATGGACCTGTTAGACTGTATGTTGTCTTGGCCCATATGATTGATATCTTGCTCCACAATTGTAGGCTCTTAAAGCCCAAGAAAAGTCGTAACATTGGTGACGACAACACTACCGCACCGAGTTGGGATCGACTCTTAGATCATGGGGTGAGTTGCTCACTGCGCCGCCCTGAGCCGTTCACCCCTCTGCTCACGACTGACCGGCCTTTCCACTGTTCCTAGGAGTTCAAACCAAGGATATGGTGTATTGCCACCTCGCAATAATAGCTCACTCCGAACTTCCCGGTTGTTGAAATCGCCCGAAAAACTAAAAAAATCTTCTCACTACGTTCTATCCTCACCATGCAAGAACGGGCTTCGAAGGCAAGCTCCTTCTCAGCAACATTTTGTAAACAAATGACAGAAAATCTCTTTCTTGCCCTTGTTCTCTGTATTCGATACCCGGCAATATTCGACAGTGGCACCTTTAGACTCAGATATCATTCGGAGGCGAAAGTCTCCCTTTTGGGGTAAAAGTCGTCCATCAACGTTGATTCCTAAATCTATAATGTTTCTCTCAGTTCCCCAGTTCTCTGAGGTACATGTTAGACGAAGTGCTAGTCCACTAACAGGGATCTCGTGGGTATTAATAATGAATAGTTGGGTGCTAACTAACTAGCTTTAACGTCACCATGTCACTATTAAGTAGACACTGTATACAGCGCATCAACGTTTTTCCCGCACCGCCAGGATCGACGAAGAACTGTTAGAAGTTTAACTAATTTCGGGAGACGAACTTGGCTTGCTTGGCTTTTCTTTCTCCTGTTTAACTACTGGCATTATTCTTTTGGTTCTGTGTGGCGATCATCCCCTGCGAATGCGCCCGGCCCACCCAGTGTGCTGCTGACGTGCCGCCAGGATCCTGTGCTCTCTCTCTCTTCTCCCCTGTTTCTCTCCCACCCGAAGCGCTGCAATCTGAACCTCCTTCCTCCACCTCCGCTCTTCCCGTCGAAGACCCCCACTACCACTATACAACCCCTGGATGGCCAATGCTTCATAGCCCCAGACTCAGGGACATGGTTGCGTGACGTCCTTCCGATCGCAAAACCCCTGAGGTGATCTGCGCCGGCAGCGCGACAGCTCTCGTCTAAACTTCCCCCCCCCACCCCGAATCAACCGTCCTGACAACACCGCGCCATCATGTCGTCGATGCGAGGCCTGGTCCAGTTCATCGCCGACCTGCGGAATGCACGCGCCCGTGAACTCGAGGAAAAACGGGTGAACAAGGAGCTGGCCAACATCCGCCAGAAGTTCAAGTCAGGCCACCTTAACGGCTACCAGAAAAAGAAATACGTCTGCAAGCTGTTATATGTCTACATCCAGGGGTACGATGTCGATTTCGGACACCTCGAGGCCGTCAATCTCATCTCATCCACGAAATACTCCGAGAAACAGATCGGCTACCTGGCCGTCACTCTCTTCTTACATGAGGAGCACGAGTTGCTGCACCTGGTTGTCAACAGTATTCGGAAGGATCTTCTCGACCACCATGAGCTTAACAATTGTCTGGCACTACATGCGGTCGCCAATGTTGGCGGCAAGGAGCTCGGGGAGGCGCTAGGGGCCGAGGTACACCGGCTTTTGATTTCACCGTGAGTTTTTATCGCCGTAGTGCTGGATAACAGGCTGATCACCCTCTCCTAGAACCTCGAAAGCCTTTGTCAAGAAGAAGGCCGCTTTGACGCTGCTGCGATTGTATCGCAAGTACCCCGGCATCGTGCGGAACGAATGGGCCGAGCGCATCATCTCGATCATGGATGATCCGGACATGGGTGTCACGCTGTCCGTGACATCCTTGGTCATGGCCCTCGCCCAAGATCTGCCGGAGGAATACAAGGGATGCTATGTCAAGGCTGCTCAGCGACTGAAGCGGATTGTGGTGGACAATGACATTGCGCCAGATTACCTCTATTATCGGGTACCTTGTCCATGGATACAGGTCAAGTTACTTCGCCTGTTGCAGTACTATCCACCATCGCGTATGTTTACAACCTCCATCTTACTCCTTCAGAGTCTAACCCCACTCTAGAGGACAGCCACGTCCGGGAGATCATTCGAGAATCTCTCCAGCAAGTCATGCAATCCGCAATGGAAACCCCTAAGAACGTGCAGCAGAATAACGCCCAGAATGCGGTCCTCTTTGAAGCCATCAATCTCCTTATTCACCTTGACTCCGAACACAACCTCATGATGCAAATTTCTACCCGCCTGGGCAAATACATCCAGTCCCGCGAAACCAACGTGCGATACCTCGGACTGGACGCAATGACACATTTTGCTGCTCGCGCTGAAACACTCGACCCTATCAAAAAGCACCAGAACATCATCCTCGGCTCACTACGAGACCGAGATATCAGCGTCCGGCGGAAGGGACTGGATCTGCTGTACAGTATGTGTGACACCACTAATGCTGGCCCGATCGTCAACGAGCTTCTTCGGTATCTTCAAACGGCCGACTATGCTATTCGTGAAGAGATGGTGCTGAAGATTGCCATCCTCACGGAGAAATATGCCACCGACGCGCAGTGGTATATTGACATGACCCTGAAACTTTTGTCGCTGGCTGGAGAGCACGTAAACGAGGAGGTGTGGCAGCGAGTGATCCAGATCGTCACCAACAATGAGGAGTTGCAGGCATATGCCGCACACAACCTGTTGGGTTACTTAAAGACCGATTGCCACGAGAGCTTGGTGAAGATTGGCTGTTACGTTCTTGGCGAATTTGGTCACCTCGTTGCCGACAGCGCAGGATCGAGCCCGATAGAGCAGTTCATGGCACTACAGGCGAAGATGTTCTCCAGTTCGGACAACACCCGGGCCATGATCCTGTCGTCGTTTGTCAAGTTTGTCAACCTGTTCCCCGAAATCAAGCCTCAGCTCCTGCAGATTTTCCGTCTGTATAGTCATTCTCCCGATACCGAATTGCAACAGCGGGCGTTTGAGTATTTGTCGCTGGCGACACTTCCCACGGACGACTTGTTGCGGACTGTGTGCGACGAGATGCCGCCCTTTTCCGAGCGCACTTCTATCCTTCTCTCGCGGCTGCACCAGAAGACAGCCGGGACGAGTGAGAGGAAGACGTGGGTGGTTGGTGGCAAAGCTGCCAATGCCGATAAGCAGGAAGTTCTCATGGCGCAGAATACCGGTCTTAAGCGCACCTTCACGACAATTGTCAACGGTACGCGAACGGGTGCTAACGGCGCCACTTCTCCGGGAGGGGCTTCGGGAGACCTGGCTGGCTTGGATCTCAGCAGCGCGCCGGCGGCCCCGCCCCCAAACCTGGCCAGTGCTGCACATCTCACGCCGGACTGGGACATTGGATTCAATCGGTTGTATTTCGCCAACGAGGGTGTTCTTTTCGAAGACGCGCAGATCCAAGTTGGCACGCGGTCCGAATACCGTGGCCCCATGGGTGTCCTAAAGCTCTATATCACCAACAAGTCGACGTATGGCATTGGGTCTCTAACCACCACGGTCGACAACCCAGCTTCACCCAACCTGAAAATCGACACTAAGAGCCTCCCGGAACCGAGCGTCGCTGCCTCTGGCCAGACACAACAGACACTATTCTCCACGGCTCACGGAGCTTTCGCGGATGCCCCGACTATCCGCATTTCCTATCTGGCCGGTGCTCTCCAAGCATACACGCTCCAGCTTCCGATTCTGATGCACCGATTCATGGAGCCCTCCGCATTGTCAGCGGAAGACTTTTTCAAGCGCTGGCGCCAAATTGGCGGTGGGCCGCTTGAGGCACAGAGCACTTTTGGTCTGACTGGAAAGAACAAGCGCATCAACGAGACCTTTACTCGACGGGTCGTAGAGGGATTCGCATGGAAGATTTTGGACAATGTGGACCCGAACCAGACCAATATCGTCGGGTGCGCGGTGTTCCAGACCGAGGAAGCGAAGACGGGCTGCCTTTTGCGGCTGGAGCCCAACTACGAGAAGTCGGTATGTTTAGCCTTCTTTTCCTTTCTTTTGTCGTGTTATACTAACTCACTCTGATAGATGTATCGGGTTACGATTCGTGCGACGCAAGAGGACGTCCCACGGGCACTGGCGAGACAGATGGAACTGAAGCTGACACAGGGCTTTTCAGAGGGCGTCTCGGATTGAATGAGGTGTTGGCAGCACTGTATGTATATCCTGACTACCTCGGTAGTTGACGAGTTTCGAAGAAATACCAGCAGTCGTTAGTTCACTTCTCGTATATGCTTTCTTATGACTAGTAATACATCAATTGATGTACAAAATATATATATACAATGATACAATGACCCTTTCTGTGTTTTCAACATGCAAGTCATAACATCATAACCTTTTCGTATCTACACTACTTTCGCCTGCGCCTTGGGCGGCCGATCCCCGAAGATAGTCGTCCCCACGCGAACCTGATCACTGCCCAGGACAATGGCACCCTCAAAGTCCGAACTCATACCCATACTCAACTCCAACGTCCCCTCCTCCCCCTCCATCCCCAACTCCTTGACAACGCGATCCCTCGTCTCCCGCAAACAGACAAAATCCTCATTCTCATTGTCGGGCGTCGTAGCCTTCGAGCGCGCAATCGCGCCGATAGTCATAACACCCTGCAATTTGAGCCGCGGGCACTTCTCCCTAATAAACCGACACAGCTCAGCTGCCTCGGCGGGCTCAACGCCCGCTTTGTTTTCCTCGCCGGAGGTGTTCACTTGCACGTAGATGCGCAGTTTCTGGTTTTCCGCTGCCTCATCACCGGCCTGAGTCTTCCGCTCTCCCCACCCCTTATCCAACAGCGTGGCCTTCTTCTGCGTGTCGACAGATTCAACAGCCCACAGACCGCGCACGTCGCGCGCCAAGGTGACGCATTTGTTCGATTGCAGGCCGCCGATGAAGTGCCACCGGATGCTGGGTGGTAGGAGACGGGACTTTTCGAGCAGTTCTTGGAGGTAGTTCTCGCCGAAGTGCAGCTGGTTTGCGGGGGGTTGGTGCAGTGCTAGGATATCGGAGGCGGGTTTGAGCTTGGAGACGGCGACGAGCCGGACGGCCTTGCTTGGGTTTGCGGTTGTGATGAGGGCTTTCACGGTGGAGAGATTGCCGAGCAGGGCGGAGGCGCGGGCGGGAGTGGCGGCCATGTCGGGTTGGGACTGTTCGGTGGACATTGTGTGGCGTGGTGGTTGGAAGAGCATCAAATACAATATCAATGGGGCCGTCAAACTAACTCCAAATAGAGTAATTGATGCCCCAGGCACCAACAAGAATTCAAGGTCACCTGACTTGGCCGAGGCTTGCCGAACATGTTCGTTCCGTTTGCATCTTTCAATCTCCAAACTCTAGATCTGGGCCATGCGAACTCAGGAATGCCGGCACTGCCTCCCCGAAAATGCTACAGTATGCTTTTTAGTTCTTTTTCAGATCATGTGGTTTGTCAGGCGGCTACTCTGACAGCCGGTGAACCAATAACCGTTGGCGATCTCGGAAAAGAAAGCCGCCCGGGCTGCGGCGGATCGCCTAGTCCGTCGCACGCACCCGCTTCAAGGCTAATCTGATCTGGCTTTGGATTTCAAACCCGATCTATTCTTAAATGCGTGTTACGTACCCATTGTGCAGTTGCATTGTCTCCTGGCGCTTTCTGAGGAGTTCTTTTGTCGGATCGGATGGATCTACGCAGGTAGGGCTCAATCGGGCAGGGGAAAAGTACTGTGCAGGAACAAGCGTCGGACTGGTCAATGCAGGTACCATTGATCGTTTAGCTCTTCCTCTCGCGGTAGGCCAGACACGAAAATGTAACCGGTCCAAGATTTCCTTTGCCTTGGCGACACCTCCATTGATCGCATTGAGCGGTCTTTGACGTCAAGAGCTCCACCGTTCAATGGGTCAGCCCGCTATTCACTCAGTCTTACATATTAGGCTGACACTGCCAAGTTGCACCATTATAAGCGCTCAGGCTGTTTCTTCCTCTGTAATATACCCTACACCTTCTCTTCCTTCCTTGACCTTCTTCTTCTTCTCCGCATTCAATCCTCTCTCCTCTTCTCCTCTCAGCTGGACTGAGGCTGTCTAGCTCCCCTCGCTGCTACCTTGACCTCGTACCCAGCTGGCCTCCTACCCACCAGACCGAATCATCCCCAAAAAGCAAAGCTTGCAGCAGCTTCAGCTTCACCCAATTTGGCCCTCCCAGTCGATCTGGTCGAGAAACGTCCAACTTTTTCTCTCTTTTCTCCCATATCCGCGGCATCCGGTACCCTGCCGGCGATTCCGCCAACTCCCCCACCAAGAAAAGAACCCCACGGAAGCTATCCGTGATTCCTGAGGACCCAGTTGAGATCAAAGATCCAAGACCAAATAAAAAATGTGTCACCAATACTTCACCCTGTACGAGTGGTGCCAGTGCGAGGAAGACGCCGGCAACAACGTTTGCGCCGCCCACCGTCGGAACAGCTGTCCCGGCGTGAGTGTCGAGACGGTACACATGCACTGCTTCTGCGAGACGCACGCCACGCGTGGGTTCAAGTCGGAGAAGAAGAACCGCAAGCAAGAGGACAAGCTCCAGCGCCGGTCTCAGGACAGTCTGGATGAGAAATCGTCGCTCGGTCGTCGCTTATTCCAGTGGTATCAATGGCGGGGTCTGCGGACGCGCTGGTGATGCGATACGCACGTCACTGTATTTTAGAGCTTTGGTGTTTCGGATTCTGGCGTTGGACTCAAGATGGACGGATTTGATTCTTTCATGTCTTTATTTTCTGCGATGGATACATATTATTGTGAGAGTGAACCAGACGTGTATACTCCCCTTCCAAATGCCTCCCTCTGCTATAGAGCCACCACGCAGATCTACCCTAAATGGAGAATCTACATATTTTCCCTTTTCAATTTAATGGGTATTTTCGACGTTGAAACTAGAACCACTATAGATCAATAATGTCTTAGTGTGTAGTGTCGATCTGTTTGTTTGGATGATCGACTCGCCCCTTGCCCCATTCTTCAACCTTTCCATCGTTCTTCTTTGTTTCTCTCCTTCCACACGATTATTATTCACCTCTTTGTACGACGCCTTCTATTGTCTACATGCTCCCTCTCCACCATCACTATGGACCCCAAACCACCTTCGTCCCAGGATGATCCGCCTCCCCCATCCACTGCGACCAACCTGGATCAATCCCATTATGTGCTGTCCGATTCTTTGAACCGCCTGACTCTGGCTAATGCCGCCGCCACCCCTCTACCTGCGTCGCCGTCCCTGTTATCTCCTCGCGATGGCCCGTCGGTGCGTCTGCCCACTGCGGGTAGTCACCACCACCAGATCCCCCGACGAACCCCCAGCTCCAGCTCCCTGCGTGACGAACGGCGCAAGTCCATCCCCGCGCTGCAGAAGCGCGCGTCCGCCGCGTCGCTGCGATCCGCTCAGAACAACGATCCTACCACCCCCCTAGCCTCGCCGCACCGCTCGTCTGCCAACTTTGCGGGGTCCCCGACCTACGCCGCGTCGCCCGCCATGTTTCCCCAGAGACTCGCGCCGGAGCACACAGGCCCAACCGCCGCGTCGATCGCTGCCGAACACTTTCAGAGAGAGGTCGATTTGCACCAGGCCGTAGATCTGCGGTCCAAGACTGTTGTTGTGGTCCATGACGCCTGCTACGGCCACCGCTTTTCGCGCCCACGCGCGAAGCGAGCTGAATTGGCATCTATCGTAGAGAGACCAGAGCGCATGCGCGCTTGTGTTCTAGGTGTATCTGCTGCCTATGTTCGTCTTGGTGGCCGACATGCTGGTGAGAGGTTCGCGCCTCACCCAGATCTAGACCTACATGCCTTGCCTACGCCGTTCCAGATTCGCAAAACAGCCAGATTTTTGACCCTCTCTGACCCGGCCGTGACGAATGTCCATGGAACGCAATGGATGTCAGATCTGAAAAGCATGTGCGATGTGGCTGAATCGCGCCTTGCGCTGACCGGCAAGGAACTCGTTCGCCCAGATACACAGGGTAACGACGGCTTGGAGCTCAGCAGTCGCCCTACGCTCCACTCGGGAGATCTCTATCTATGCTCGGAGTCCTTGAATGCTTTGCAAGGCGCCCTGGGTGGTGTTTGCGACGGCGTGGATGCTGTTCTTGGACCTGGGCCGACCTCCCGTGCCTTCGTGTGCATCCGTCCTCCGGGACACCACTGCTCTGCCGACTTCCCCTCGGGCTTTTGCTGGATCAACAATGTCCATGTGGGAATCTCATATGGGGCGATGTACCACGGTTTGACCCATGCTGCCATCTTGGATTTCGACCTTCACCACGGAGACGGCTCACAGGAAATTACATGGGCTCACAATTACAAGGCTTCAATGGCCCCTCGCAATGTAGCCCCTTTCAAAAAGACGGCTATTGGATACTACAGTCTTCACGATATCAACTCTTACCCTTGTGAGGGTGGCGAACCGGACAAGGTGCGCAACGCGAGCGTCTGCATCGACGGAGCGCATGGTCAATCCATCTGGAACGTGCATCTCGAAACCTGGGAAACAGAGGCAGAGTTCTGGAACTTGTACCGGACCAAATACGTGACTTTGATCAACAAGGCGCGAGCGTTTCTTCGAACCCACACCAAACGACTCGCGGAAACCCCTGGCGGTCCTCCGCCCAAGGCTGCCATCTTCATCTCGGCTGGGTTTGATGCAAGCGAGTGGGAAAGCACTGGAATGCAGCGCCACAAGGTCAATGTTCCAACCGAATTCTACGCCAGGTTCACAGCCGACGTGGTCCGCATGTCGCAGGAAGAAGGACTCGGCGTTGATGGGAGTGTCATCAGTGTTCTGGAAGGCGGCTACAGTGATCGGGCTCTGACCAGCGGAGTGCTCAGTCATTTGGCTGGTTTGGGGGATACAACCACACAAGAATCAACGGACAACCGCCTGGCATCTGAAATGACCGGCAGGTTGGGTATTTCCACCACACCTCCAAAGGACACCCTGAAACAGATTTCTGGCGAGTATGACAGTGAATGGTGGTCCCCAGCGTTTCTATCCGAATTGGAGACTCTCATGTCTCCGCAACCCAAGGAGAAGTCCGCCCCTACATACTTTGCGCCGACCCGTTCATTTTCTGCAAAAGTAGTTACTCCCAGCCGGGATCGCAGGTCCACTGGCTCCGGCTCCCATCCAGGCTCAGACCCAAGTCTTCCACCTCTGCCGGAAGTCGGCTGGGCGACGGCAACGCATGAGTTGTCCAAGGCTCTCATCCCAGAACACCGACAGACGATGAGCTATCGTCCGGAGGAGCTCAATGCAGAAGCATCTCGCCAACGGCGGGACCGCCAGGTAGCTTTGGATGGCGGCGTCAACAAGTTCGCTCCGACTCCTGAAGCCCCTCCTCTGCCTTTGGAGGATAAGCGGCATCTTCGTGTGCGTAAAGCCAAATCGCCAACCCCTTACTCGCCTCGACCGGCCACTCCGAGACAGCAAGCCATGAGGAAGAACCGGCGAACCACCATCGATGGTAACGACTTTCCTGATGCGTCGGGAGAGACGTCTCCTTCCGTGGATGCCACTCGCAGGAAGAGCACGACCGCAACCGCTGTTGACATGGGCGAATTACAAAGCACGGCTTCCACCGGGAAACCCGCTACTTCAGCCAGCCCTCGCAAGACCAGCGGCGGTTCTCGTCCAGGAACTCCGAGACGCTCTGCCAGCCCCCGAAAAGCCCCTCCAGTGCCTAAGGTGCCCGCTGTTTTCCGTCCTTCCAAGCTTGCTGATGAGGATACTCCGGATGATATCGATAGCCTTTCTGCAAGTGTGCGCAAGATCAAACTGGTGATGCCCTCGCCGGAGGAACAGGCTGCGCGCGAGAAGAGAGCAGCAGAGGATTACAAATCCACATCCAGGGCGTCGTCATCATCCAAGACTCCCAAATCTCCGCGGTCTCCGCGCAAGTCCAGTGGTGGCACAAAAGCTCCCCGCAGCAAGCCTGTTGTCGGGCCGTCTTCACTTACTCCCAGCAGCTCGCCGCCTCCTCTTCCTACCCCCACCGTGGAGATCCCATTGGATAGTCTAGTGAAGCAGGAGACGAAGTCTGTTTCCTCATCTGGCACACATTTTGCTTCTTCCCCCGTGCTTCCAATGGCTGGCCTGTCAGACATCTCTGCACCTGCACCTACGGGTCCATCGCAGTGGACTGCTCCACAGCTATCAACCGCGTTCGCCACCAACACCTCTCCCCCTCTTACCCCGGACACCATCCAAAATTCGGCTCCTGCTCAGCAGCAGCATTCCAAACGCATATTCTCACCTACAATGTCTACAACTCAGACGAAGCAAGGCCTACCCGTGTTCACATCCAGCAGCCCCATCCCCTTCGCCGCGCCGGTCAATCCTGACCAAGAGCAGGCGCAACAGGAGCAGGCGCAACAGGAGCAGGCGCAACAAAACACCACGATGTCTGCACAGCAGGCTTCCGCAAAATCCAACTACAGTGACAGCTACCCCTACCATTCCTAATTCTCTGGGCTTGTTATGTTGCTTGCTTTGGCGTCAAGGATGACAGGCTTTACGGCCATACCATAGTGCCTTGGTTTGTCGGTTGTGTTCATATCTATTTCTTCTTCATATACCCCTTATGTACGGAGTTACCTGTTTGACGGTAAAACAGAATCCTACTGTTTGTATTATTGTTCTAGAACTTGTCTTGTAGAAACGGTCATAGTTCGGGTCTGCCTTATCTCGATTATTAGATAAGCACCTGGAATCTTCTCCGCATTAGTCAAGATGTTGCCAGCGTCTTCCAGCACAACACAACGTTGACAACCTATACCTTTCGCTCTCTTTCCCTTGCCACTCTTTTAAGTCGTCGCCAGCATGTCCTTTAACACACCCAAAGGGCAGCGCCTGCCCTCATCCTCTCCACAACAAGAATCCTACACCCAAATGGCAGACACCGACCTCGAATCCATTGGCCGCCACTGCCAATTCGAATACTGCGGCCAGCTGGATTTCCTCCCCTTCCGCTGCGAATCCTGCCACAGTACCTTCTGTCTCGATCACCGCAGCGAGATTGCACATAAATGTCCGCGCGAGGGCGAATGGGCCCGACGTCGCAACGGAATCGCCAATAACAACAATAAAGAAAACCGCACCGCGACAGAGCGCCCGAATATCTACAACTCAGACCAGTGCGCGCACGTGTCTTGCAAAACGCTCGTTAATACCTTTAAAGACCCCGGCGTACGCTGTCCGGACTGTAATCGGCAGTACTGCCTTAAGCACCGACTCCGCGAAGAGCACGACTGCGCAAAGGTGACGCCACTCGGAGCGAGGCAGGGCGGGAGTGGCGCCAACGCAAACGAAACGCTCAAGTCCATGTTCGCCAAGGTGCGCACATGGGGTCGTGAGAAACAACAATCCGCGGCGTCAACTAACATCAACAACATCCTCCCCAAACCGAAACCAAAACCCAATTCACCCGCTGCGCGCGCGGCGGAGGTGAATCAAATGAAACGCTCCGCCAAGGGCGACGCCGGCGTTCCTGCTGATAAGCGGGTGTATTTGCATACTGTCGGGACGGCGGATACGCAAGCGTCAGAACCCCCGGCGGGAGATTTCTATTTTGATAGTCGATGGAAGGTCGGGCGCGTGCTAGATGATGTGGCGCGCAGACTCAAGGTAGAGAATTTGAATAATCGCGCTGCAGGGGAGGAGGCTCGGTTGAGGGTTTTCCATGTTGAGTCCGGTGAGTTCCTGGAGTTCTCGGACGCGCTTGGTGGTGGCAAGGTTAAGTCGGGAGATACCATTGTGCTGCTAAGAGGGGCGGGGACGGTTCTTGGGAAGTCATAATTATATTGCATATCTTCTTTGCATATTTGCGTATGTACTTGGATATACTTGATTTGATACCAGAGCATGGTTTAGGAATTTGATTTGCACATATTGGCATGGATGCCATGGTCGGTTCTGTCTATCCCCAAAGACAATTATATCCTCCAAGAATGATTGATATCATACAAGTCATAGCACAGCTCATTCAAACACTCATCTTCATCTTGATCGTCTTGTGCGGCTTATATCCAATAACTTCGAATTCGTCCTCCTTCCAGCCGTCGACGACAGCGCTGCCACGATCATCACGCTTAATCCGCAGCTCGGGGAACTCAGTCGGCTCACGGGTAAGCTGCTCGTTCAGAGCATCAATGTGATCAAGATACACATGGGCATCACCCATGGTATGAATCAAGGTCCCCGGATGCAGATCCGCCGCGTGGGCAATGATATGCGTAAGCAGCGCGTAAGAAGCAATGTTAAATGGCACACCGAGTCCCATATCGCACGAGCGCTGATAAAGAAGACACGAAAGCGTCCCCTTCTCATTTGGTCGACCCGTCTTCTCGTCAAGCTTCATCCCCGGAGGGAAGGAGACATAGAAATGCGCGAACATATGGCACGGCGGAAGGGCCATCTTCTTGAGATCCGCAGGGTTCCAAGCACTCATGATAATGCGCCGATCAAACGGCGAATTCATAACCTTGTGCACCACATCCTTGAGCTGATCAACGCCCTGACCTTCGTAATCGGTTTTCGCGTCGACGTATTCCGCCCCAAAGTGTCGCCACTGGAAGCCGTACACGGGGCCCAGATCGCCTTCTTCGCGGTGTCCGAGTCCGACCTTATCGAGGAATTCGCGGCTGCCGTTCCCGTCCCAGATCTTGATCCCTGCTTCGGAGAGAGGAATCGATGAGGTGTTTGCTGAGATGAACCAGAGGAGCTCGGCGAGCACGGCGCGTAGGAAGACGCGTTTTGTGGTTAGGAGGGGCAGCACTGGGATTGGAGATCCGCCATCTGGGTTTGGCTTTGAGAGGGAAAAGCGTAGTTGCGGTGGTGCGAACAGACTGCGCGTTCCTGTCCCCGTGCGATCCGGACGGTGCTCGCCTTGCGAGAGGATTGTGCGGATGAGATTGAGATATTGGTGTTCCTCGTGGGAAGGATCGTGCGCCTTTGAGGGTGTTTGCGCTGGCGCGGCTGCGCTTGTGTTGAGGTGTTCCTGAGTCATGGTGGGTGGTGGGTTAGGGGAGGAGGGGCAGTTGTTCTGGAGTACGGGAAAGAAAGACGCGAAGCTAAATCAAATCGACGCGCGCGGTCACGTGAATGGTCAATTCCTAATCATCTATTCAAGTGTTTAACTATAGTTCTTCATAAGTTTGACTAACTACATTTTCTAAATAAACGGCAATATTACTGAGCTCGGGCACTCCTCGCTGCAGTGGACGAAGTTCTCACCCCGAAATGACGAAGACCGTAAAATCATCGCGGTCTTCACATGACATAGACAACACTCCCTTAGGTAGTCTAATCAAATGTGATGGCTTTTGGAATGTATAGTTCCTGTGTATATATGGGGAAATAAGATTCGGAGGTTTATTGACCAGTTTACGAAAGGCAAAGCAAGTTGAGAACAATGAGCTACGCTATTACTCTCGTGTGCCTGTTAGTCAACACGAGTATGAACTCATACTATTTGCGTTTTTCAAATCGTGATCGTTTCTGATAAACGAGATAAATGAAATCACCTTCAATCAGCTCAATTCCGCTGAATATGTACATGCTCATTAGGATATAACTCCAAAACCATGACCGCATTTTCCTTTTGCGTTGAATTGCTGCAACTGTAACTCCATCCGCATATTTATGCGGTTTGCCTGGCCTAATTTGCCAGTAGATCTAGCCCAACGCCCCGAAGGGCACCCACAGCCCATTCGGGATACTTGGACTTGTCACCACCATACTGATTGGAGAAAAACTGGCGCACAAAGTCCGGATATCGGTCCTCTCGGATGGCTTGGTGTACAGAAGTCATCAAAGACAATAGAAAATGGACATTATGGATTGTAAGACTGCAGGGAAATCAGCAATTGATACCAATCAGAACACGAAACGCTGATACTTACAGATGAGCGCCAACCGTTTCCTTTGCAGCCACGTGGTACATGTATGCACGCGTGATTCCAAGGCCACCCTGCTCAGTTGGGCGACAGCAAGCACAGGTGCAATCTTCATCAATAGGACCAAAATCTTGGGCGAATTTCTTATGGCGGATATTCAATGTACCGGACGAAACAATGGCTTGACCAAAACGCTGTCGCGAGTTGAGTAATTTTCCCGAAGACAAGATAGAGAGGACCTTACTGCGGTTCGTGTTGGCCACACGCAGTCGAACATATCTGCTCCCAAAGCCACGGCCACAATTATATCCTCGGGGTACCCCTAGCACACTGTCAGTCAAGGCAATTGAGATGAAGAAGACGAAGAACTTACGACACCCATTACATAGCGGGGCTTATCCTCCGGAAGCAGTCCTGTACATGTGTCCACGCTTTCATTGAGTTAGCTGCATGCCTTCGAGATGGAGGTATATCCACATACACCTTGCAGAACTCCTCCTTCGCCTCGCCGCCCGAGAGACCACCAATAGCAATACCGGGGGTATCTCGTGCAACCATTTCAGCACAGCACTGTTTTCGAAGCTCAAGATCCAGACCACCTTGAATAATGCAAAAAAGGTTCTGTCGTTCCGGATATTTGTGCGCCTCGATACATCGGTCCAACCACCGCACAGATCGCTCCATAGCTTCCTTGATGCGAGCATGGTCAGGGGACGTAGTGGCAATCACGTCGTCAAGCTGCATAATAATATCAGAGCCGATGGAATTTTGAAGAGAGATCGAATGCTCCGGAGTAAGAAGCCTGCAATATGGTTACAAAATAAAGAATCCAATAGACGGGAAATGAGGGACACATACATTGGCGAGCCGTCATGCGGACTTAGAAACCGCACTCCTTCTTCTGTGACCGTAGCCAGCTTGAGAAGAGAGACCATCTGAAACCTAAGTCACAGGCCCGATTAGTTCTTATTTCACGTTTTACCTCAGGATTGTCGAAGATATCTCACCCTCCGCTGTCGGTCAAGAGATTCCGGTCCCAGCCCTGCAGCTTATGCGCCCCACCAACTGCATCCAAAACCTCCTGGCCAGGCTTCAAGCCGAGATGATATGTGTTATTCAAACAGAGCATACATCCCGTTTGCCGGAGCTGCTCATATGTCAGGCCCTTGAGGGATGCCTGTGTTGCGACGGGCATAAAGATCGGCAGCGAGACGGAGCCATGCGGGAGGTGGAGAGTGCTGGCGCGGGCTTTGGTTGTCTAATTCGTGTCATGCGACAAATATCAGGTCAGAAACGCATGTCTCGTTCAGTGTGGGGTATGAGAAGTCGTACAGAACATTTCGCATGTCGCTCAAAGGTCAATGCGGAAGGCATGGATTTGCGCGTGGACTCGGTGGCTGTAGTCATGGCGGCGATAGGGACGGACAATGCGCCGTCTGGTTTCCTAGAATTGAATCTCGTGAGGAACCGCTGGCATTGCATAGAGAACGAGAGCATGGCAGGAGCGCGCAATTCGAGTGCAATATTTATCTGATAAGCTGTTTGCCTGGTTTGCATCCGCTTGTCCCGAAGAAGAAATCCAAACTATACGACACCTCGAATTGCTTCAACTTTCTTCCCAGGAAGTCCTTCAGAGGCAATTAAAGGAACTTACATTGTACCGTAGTATTTATACCTTATTATAATTGCGCGTAGTGATCCAAAACATCTCTTCCTAACGAATCGGTCGCAGAACAGCCTCACTCCCGGGCCTGATTAGATATGGCTAAAACTTCACATAAATATCTTTGCCGTTGTCGGCATCTACAAACTCTCTGTCCAACCAGTTTATTAGTCTATTGATTTTGAGCCGTAGACATGGCTTGTGGACTTTCTATAGGGCGATTCGAATCTGGTAACGAGCCTGTCACTTGTATAAAACCCTGTCCCGAATTTATTCTGTCGGTTGTTCTGCTCTGGGACAGTATCGTAATGGTTCCCTCGCGGCATTACCGGCGTAATGGGACCGATGTAGTCCAAAGCGAAAAGGTCCATCGGTTGGAGGATAAACACTGAGAGCGGAATCTGTTTCGGCTCGGGGACTCATCACTTGGCACTTTTGCAACCGATATTGCCATCGCGCAATGCGAACGTTTGCAGATGACGTCTCCCCCAGCACAGACTTCACTGCCATATGGTCCGTATATTAGATAATGGGGTGAGTGGATCCCAGGACGAGCCAACGCACTTCCTCGATCGAGCGTACCACCGCCAGAACTTCCTTCTGGTTGTATGTGATGTCGGTCGGACTCAGGGGAAGTCGTAGAGCGCCACAGCAGAGACCTGATCATGGAGATCATGGAGATCATGAAGGAGAGGAAACGAATGGAGTGAGTTATATTTAGAGCTGGTCCGCATGTTGGGACACCAAAAATGCCCTAAGGTCGAAATTACCCGTTAGTTTTTGTCCGAAGGTAAATATTTATGAACGCAAGACAAATAGCCTTACTGGTCCGTGAGGCCCTTTGGTGACCCGTCGCAAGGGCAGCGACCAGCCCTGTAGCCTCCTGCACAAATATGTTCGAAGTGCGCTTCTTGCAGCGATTCATATCTTCTCCAAGGATGATAAGCATTTGAAATGTCACTGTGAGTTAGGGCGGCATTGATACATACGACGGACTGCCAGTGCTGCGTTACAGGGCAGAGTGTGTACTGCCAATCGCCAATCAGGCTCAAGCTTCTCCTTCGCGTTGTCGCTCTTGTTTGACCTTCCATATTTATTGACCAGAGAAGCCTCAGAGCCGGCAATCTATCAAACAGTATAACCATCAGTAAACAGCTCTCCATCCACGCCCCGCAAGCCCAAGTTTAGATCCACCCCGCGAGACGACCCATGAGGAAATTGGAAAGACGTTACTCACCTTGCACTGCCCAGAGCTGACTCTCTATAGTATGGAGTTCATTGTCGTCTTCTTTCCGAGCAAGTCGAAAAGTGTCCGTTCTCCATATGTATTTGAGATTCCACACGGCACAGCAGTTCTGGAGAGGCCATCTCACTTCTCTCTGCTGGGAGTATAGATATAAATATAAAGAGGGAGGGAGGGGAAAATATTAAGGAGAGATGGAGAGGAGAAGAGGAGGAGAGAAGGAGAGGAGGAGAGAAGGAGAGGAGGAGAGAAGGAGCGGAGGAGGCAGACTTTATATGGAGGCAGGAAGGCTGACAGTGTTTGCTACGACTTCCCATTTTGGAAAGGTTCCAAATCCTCTTTGTTAGGGATATTCCCACGGAAAGGTAGCTTGCGCAGCCGTATGGTCCTGAAAGGATTAGGGTCCAGGGATTTTCTACTTGTATACTTCCAGAATAGTCGGCCTTGTTAGTTGAACTTGTATTCAAAGAGGAAATATTACTGCCATGGACTAAATGGCTAATATCATATCTCTCCTCCCACCTGTACTCCCACAATTCCCATTCTTCCTCTTTTATTCTCGCTTGGCTTTAGCACTAGTACGGCTTCAGCTTCATGCTAGTGTGCCCGTTGATCTGACATTGTCTATACAAATTTCATCACTAGAATGATAAGTCAAGTCATACCCTCTCCAAGGGAAGTTGTTAATTCAAATAAACAACACATAGATACATCGTCAAGCAGCATCAACATAGCCTCCTCATTATCCGAGACAGACAGAGAGAATCATATCAATATTTCCATCGGGAAAAAAAAGGCGCAAACCATCAAAAAAAAAAACAAATCAAAACTCCCATAAATCAATCCCTTCAGTGAGAAAATCAAATACTCCAACCCCAAATAGAAATGAAACTAACTTCTCCAAAACATAGCCTTCCCCACCTGCCTCCCAACTGTCCACCTGGCCTCGGCAAAGCGATCTTTCATAGTAGACTCGCCACCATAATTCGGTGCGCGGGAAGAGGTAACGCCCGAATCCGAAGACACGCCCAAACTACTCCCGCCATACGAGCTGGGCGCGAAGTTGGTCATATTCCCCGCATCGAACTTGGTCTTTCCCTCGACGATCTTGTGGACGAGATTCAGAACAGCGTAGATGGTTGATCCCGTGGCGCGAATAGCGGCGAGAATGGCTACGGACCAGAGGATAATCGCCAAGTAGATGTTCGTGCCGCCCGCGTCGATGCCGTAGACCTCTGAGACCGCCATTCCCAGAATGACGTTTGCGACCATCCACACGGAGACCATGTATGTGCGCACGGCGCGGTAGTAGTCTTCTTGCAATTGGGAGTCGGACACGACGGGTTTGGGGACCTCGAGGCGGTCGCGGAGGTTGCGGAGGGCAGCGTCGTAGCCACTGTCGATGTCAAGTTGTTCAGAGGGCATTTCAACGACGACTGTTGAGCCGTTGATCACGTTTGCAGCACCCAGATCGGTGTTCAGAACGTTGTCGCCCTTTGTACCCCATGTCACGTCGTGGGTGTTGCAGAAGGCGTACACTTGCAGTGTGCAGATGTAGCTGGGGAGAAGCAGGAAATACTGGGCCGAGGAAGTGAACATGTGCCATGGGTCCAGGTATAGGAATGAAGTGTAGAAGTACAGCCCGACTGTGGATAACATGGACAAGACGATGTTCATCATCAAGGTGTCGCTGATCTTAAACGAAGAGTCGTGGTCAAGACCGGCGCGGGCCATCAGCTCCTTCACCACAAGGTAAAGCGCGCAGAAGATTGTATAAAGCATGATGATACTGTACACAATCATACCAGAGAGATAAAGCTTTTTGGCACTGAAAGCATGTCAGTATGGCGGAAGTTAGGGGGGGGGGGAGATCGAGACATACCCTTGCGGACGATTACCCATCGAGATAATGAACTGCAAACACATAACCAAGACACAGGCATAGCGCAGGACCGTGAAGACATAGAGGCCGATATTATGACCGAAGGGATCAAGCTGTTTATTCGTTAAAGAACCAGCAATGAAGTAAAAAGCAAGATAAAAGTTTGCCTGAGAGGAGAAATTAGCCCAAGACCATATATTTAAGAAGGGAAACAACCCACCAATCCAAAATAAGTGAAGAGAAGATTCAAAAACTGATACACGAATTCAACATGAAGCAAGATCTTCCGCGCAATGGTATGATCGGTGCTCCAGATCTGCTTCGCATTGACAATCGAATACACAGCCGCAAAGAAAGCACCGTTAAGCCATCGTCGTCGCTGCGAGATGAACTCGGGGATAGTGTCTGGAACATCCGTCTCTCCAACAGCGCTCTTGACAAATTTCAAGACCCATCTCTCCTCGCGCTTAGCCACGAGTTCCCAGCAGAGGATACGGTCCTCAGCCAGGTACATGTTGGCCGTGAAAACATCGGCGTCTTGACCATGTAGCGTCTCACCCTTGAAGTACTGGTTCAACGGGCCATGACCATCGGCATCATTCTGCAGAGCGAAGAAGCGGTAGGCACTCAGCGCACCAGGCAACACAGTGATGTAACCAAATACCGACTCAAGTGGCTTATCGAGAATATTGGACATCTTGTACTCAAAGTTCTGACTGGCGACCAGTGGATTGAGCAGACCCAACATATTCTTGCCCTTGCCCGCCTTGATCTCACCGGCTGCACCGGCGACGTTGGAGTCCTGGTCAAAGGCTTTCCACAAATGGTACAAAGCTGTTGGCTCAGGCCTTGTTCCCACATCGAGCAGAATACAGATATTGGGTTGCAGAGCACGGCCAAAGGCGTTGAAGAACCATCGGTGGGAGTTAAGTTTCTTCTGGTTGTGTTCCTTCAGGCACAAGATGACTTGGCAGGGCATGATTCCCTTCTCGGCACCCTTGAATTTGAGATCCGAGTCGAGCGATACCTGGGTGGTGTATTCGTAGACGTGGGCCGTGACCGGCTTTTGGTTGACAATATTCTTGGCAATGCCTTCTTGGTACACGCCTAGCGCAGCCAATGCGTTCAGTGTGCGCGGGTGAACCTTCTTGCGGCCGTCAGCCACGATGCAGACAACAATCTTCTTCCAACCATCCCGGCCCCAGGTGCGGGACTTGGTGCGCGAGCAGAAGTGGGAGATGTTGCGCATAATGCCGTGCATGGTGCGGGTAAAGCCAATCTCGTCTTCGTTGTACATGGTCACACAGATGAACAGTTCAGTCTCTCGCATGGTGCTGCCGATTTGCTGGCGAAGCTTGTACCCCCTGTTGGTGAAATCGTCAGGGTCCGACGTCACGGCGGTATACCGCATGTGAGTGAACTCTCGGTCATCACGGCGCGGGAGAAAGCTGTGTAGGATGGTGGGGATCTTGCACTCCAAAATGAGTTCGCCGTTGATCAATTGTACTTCTTTCTGGGACATGTGGGCGTCCCGGACTCCACGTCGCCCTTGCTTCTCCGGGGCAGGACCATAATGAAGATTGGGGTCAATCATGTCGGCGTCCTCGCCACCGTCGAGGTCAATCTTTTGCATCGCATCCTTCTCATCACCCATGACTGTCGACTCACTCATGAATGACCGGACACTGCTACGCGAGTTGTGGTTGATCGTCCGGCCGCCAGCACCGAATGGGTCCTCCGGACTAGCCACATCGCCAATATCAATGCTGGCATCCGCACCAGGGCCGGTGTTTGCTCTAGAAAATAAAGGTGCGGGAGGCAAAGGACGCCGTGGACTGCCCCCATACCGGGAACTAGGCGTCCCCGGACGCGGACTGCCATTCAAGTCCGCGCGCTCATAGCCGACACTCGACACGGACGGTGGTCGAACATGCCCGGGACTCCACGGACGTGTAGGCGAGCCCGTTCGTGGAGGAATTGCCGGGTAAACAGAAGGATCTGCTAGAGTGGTTGACAGAGGCGGGAGATTGGGAGGATTTCCCAAGCTCGACCCTGGTCGAGATGGTGAAGTTGCACTTGGCAGCTGATAGTACCGGTCTGCATAATCCGGAGGCTGTCCAACCCTATAGTCTCGCGTTCGGATGTTAGATCGTGGTCGTGTTGGAGAGTACTCAGAATAGTGAGGAGGGTAGTCCATCTTGGACAGGGAAACAGTCAACGGGACTGAGGATGGTGGTGGTGTGGTGCAAAATAGAAAGAAAACGCGGGAGACAAGTATTTAGAAACACATTGTTATGGTGGAAGCCACCCCACTCCCCATGAGCGCTGCCCATCATCCAATGACAAGACCCACCCCTTGACAGTACCGAAAAATGATACTGTATCAAGGGGATTGCTTGTGCAGGTTGTATGTGGCCGCCGTAGCAGGGGAAACAAGAGGAATGTGTGCTAGGGAATAAGGTTGCATTGACGGGGCACCACCACCAACGTGGACAGGGTTTGGATGCACTTACTCGGAGTATTGGGAGGCATAGTGAGACGGTGATGCCCCAGGGGAGCCACCGGTTATATCCTTGTCGTGGTCATCACCACCACTGGGTAGCAAGCGCATTGTTGCACCGCCATGTTGACGCGAAGCGGCAGTCGGGGACTCGGGCTCGGAGGAGAGAAAAGAAGATGTCTCGCGGTCGAGATAGGCGGGAGGCTCCTCACCGTAATTGGAGGCGGCGGAGCGACGGTTCATGGTTGAACGGAGAATTCGTCACAGTCTCAATGCTTCATAGTCCTCGGGCGAATGAAACAAGCCGAGGGAGGGCCGGCTGTCAAATCTGACAGGCTAGTTTGGAGTGAAGAATGGAGGGAGAATGGGAAGAAAGTCAAGAATGTTGGATGTTGACAGTCGAATGAGATCAACAGAAATGTACTGAAGAGGGAGAGAGAGAGGGAGAGAAGGCAGAGCCAACATCCCTGCATCCGCAGTGTCGCGTCAACATCCCGAGGTTACCAGGGCAACGGGTGACCCACCCAAGTACTTAGAAGCGACAGACTGACATCCACCAAATTAATTCTGTATTCATGACTGCACGCGCAGAGGGATTAATCAATATACGCAGAAGCAATAACAAAAATCAACTCCCCAACTCCCGCATACATAATAATACGTATCATCGTCAATCAATCAATCTGTGACGACAAAACATCGCGCGACGATCATCCGCGATGCTAGTCCGATGAGCCCCACTCAAACTACACACGACGACTACGTCACTTACTTTGCAGGCTGAGGTAGCCAAGGCGAACAGCACCGACGACAGTGCATTTTACGACATTCATGCGGTGCCGTCATTAAGCAGTGGCTGCCTCTCGCGGTCGGTACTCTCCGGCGCGGCAATGCGACGGAAGAGGCTGTCACGGCCGTAGTACTTGGTGCTCGCGACATAAGTCGAGGTAACCAGGAAGACGCCGAAGATGACAAAGGCAAAGATCCACTGCAGGGCGATGATCTTGACGCCGAACTGCTTGACGGCGAGTGCTGCAACATAGTCAGCTTAAGTCCGATGCTGTATATATTGGGTTTCGAGGGGGCGGAGAAAAACATACACAGAGCCAGCAAGCTCAAACAATCACCCAGGATATAGTCCTGTCGCCGAACAATATGTCCCAACCCAATAAACAGGATCACCCAGATGAAGATATTAGCAACAATCCTGGCAGGCAGACTATTGCTATGCACGGCAACCGCACCATTCCAGAACACCGCGAAGAGTGTCCAGGCATAGGGCCCCGCGACGGCGGGGAGGTGCACGAAGGCTGGCAGAGCTGGGTGGCGCCAGTAGGTGATACTCTGGTGGATGAAGTGGGCGATGACGATAATCTCAGCGCCCCAGAAGTGGTTGCGGGTCCAGAGCAGGATCCAGGCGAAGACGAAGAGGTTGTTGAGAATGAAGTGGCCGGCGACATTGGCGGCGGCGCTTACGAGGGCGGCATCTTTGGAGAAGAGGTGCCAGACATAGCTCACTTGGGAGAGAACCAATAAAATCCTGGAAATGGTCATGAATATGAGAATGTGGCTAGTCGGATGGATGGATGGACTTACCAGTAGATGCCAGTCACGATGGTGCTCTGGCTGAACGGGGTGATGTGCTTCCTGGCCTGCTTCCAGATGTTATGGCTGTGGTGAACGTCGTCAGGCGAGTGGATGGAGTAGTAGATGCCAACTACCACGACGAGGGCCCAGGAGAGAATGGCGAGCACCCGGTAGGTGTTCAGGGCGTTGGAGCTGTGAGTCTCCCGACGGGCAAAAGGGTTCAAGTTGGCCATTTTTAATTTCCTTTTTTCGAAGGAATCAGATGCGAGAGAACAAGACAGAGAAGAAGAGGGGAAGGCAACGCCCTCTTTATAAAGGCAGTCGGATGACCTGCCAGAATGACATCAGCGCTTAGTTATCAGATCACGAACGAACGAACTACAAACCGGTTCCTACATAGGATACTATTTCCGTATCTACATTTCCATATCTACTCGTTACCTATTCCGCTCCCAGTCATGGATACATTCTATCCCCTTGGAAGGAGTATATTCTAGCAGGTCCCAAAGTCAGTCACCAGAAAGGCGGGGGAGACTGCAGAATGAGGGCTTACAACCACCACCACTTAAATCGCGTCGATCGGCGGGTGCACGGTCAACCCAGTTAACTTAAGACATTCTCTTGGCGCGGGGGAAATCCAAAGTACAAGTACGCGTAGCGACAAATGGTATGAAGATGGATGCTGGCTCAGACCTACGACCTAGCGATGACTAGGGCAAGATAGATCCGGGTCTAACTTGCGACCTAGAAGCAAAAAAACCAACACGGCTGGGAAACAAGGATGCATCCCCATGCCGGCGGGGGGCGGGCTAGGCGCCAGTGCTGCACCAATGGTTTCAACTCAGGCCTGTCAGACAGGTGAGAAACGGACCGCCGGATAGGAGTTGCCGTAGTTACTTACTGTAGCAGGAGCATGATTATGAGTTATGTGAGTCCGAATGAATAATACATAATGACGGGGCCATTCACCCATCTACAAGCATCTGCCGCGCCTCGCGCACGGCATCCACCACCCGCGCATGAACCGACGCCGGCGCCACGACCATACCGTAGCAGTCTGCCAGCGTGCGGCCCAAGCCACAGTCCACAGGACGGCCCTCTAGGTCCGTAACGGTACACCCCAGCTCCTCGACGATGAGCATCCCGCCGGCGTGGTCCCAGATCTTGGATCGATAGCTAGCGTTGCGCGGCACTTTGATAAACGCATTGCACCCGCCCTGCACGGCGATAGACACGTACCGCATCTGCGCGGACCACAGATCCACATTGTTGGGCCAGGTAGCCCCGAGGTGTGCTGCGGCGCGGGCGTGCACGTCAAGGTTTGGCGATGTCGATGCCTGGGTATCAACGAATTGCAGGTCCTTAGTCTCTGTGATCTGAGGGATCTGGGCGAGGGGCTGTGCCGGGAGAAGAGCACCGCGACCCATCGGGCGGATGAACGCGCCCTGGCCTGCGACGGCGTGTAGAAGCAGTCCGTAGCCATCTCGGTCGATAACATCCTCTGCCACGCGGTCCACTCCCGGTAGGAGATTCGGACACCCCAGCACGCCGATCTTTTGACATCCATCCACCACAAGACTCAAGCACACAGCGTACTGCTGGCCTGTCATAAAAGTGGCTGTGCCGTCCACGGGATCTAAAGTCCAGACGCGCCCACGGCGTCCACAATTCCCTTTCGCGCCGAGATCAATCAGATCCAGGAGCTCATCACGGGTTTCCGGCATGTAGAGAAGAGCCTCGCTGTCCTCGTCATCGAGATGGGTCGTCGTAGCCAGATCCCAGACCCGTTCAAGGAGGGCCGGGTCTGCGCGCAGGGCAGTGGCATCTTCTTCGCCCACGATATCGTCGTCGGGAAATGTGTGGTGAATCGCGGCGATGATGGAGGCTTGCGCGGCGAAGTCGGCTATTGTCACCGGTGTGTCGTCGCTCTTGTCGAGGAAGCCTTTGTCAACGGCGGAGAGGAGGCGTTTCGTGAGTAGTGCGGCGCGCTGGACTGCGAGGCTGGCAAGCTCGAGCTCTTGCGTGTAGGTGGGGGAGGTGCTCATTTTGGTGAAATTGATTGGAGGATTGAGAGCCCAGGGTGGTTGAATTGGACCCCAAGTTCAATCCTGTTGGAATGTGGTGAGTACGGGATTCTCAGAGTGCACCTGGCGAGAACCCACCCGCCCCACCACTATGTCATCGCAGGCGAAATCAAGGTATAGACGTCTGGGTTTGAGAATATTGAAGAAAAACTAATAGGGTAGAACTGCGATGACAACTTACATAGAACTTTAGGTGGGTGAGCTTAACATAGTGGGTGAGAGGGATATATATCTTAGCCACCATGAACCGATATACAGTAGAACTACCCCACGAGAGCCATCTTCCAACTGTGAAAGTTCGGAATTTAGCAAGCCCGAATAACTAACTGGAGGATGCGGGCATGATCCGAATAAACATAATAAACAACTTCATTCATGCTGGTTTGAATGCCCCTCCTGTGAGGAAACCAACTACGTATCAATCAACAAGTACGCCCGATCCGAAAAACATGCCCATGCCATGACCGAACCAAGAAAGAAAAAGAAACCCAAGATGACATTAAAACGGCGCAAATGCCAGCTCATAGGCAAAGGCAAGGCTCATCTTCGCATGCTGCAGCATGTGGTCGAAGCTCAGGTACTTGATCTTATCTTCGGTCGAGTGGATCTTCTTGTCGGAGTGCTCGAATTGAGACTCAATGACGAAGGCGGAGGGGTAGCCAAATCGGCTGGCGGAGGCGTGGTCGGAGCATGCATAGCCGCACTTGGTTTCGACAAAGGGGATGTCGCAGTACTGGAATGAAATCAGTATGAAACAAAACCTTGGAGGAGCAGGGTGGTGGAAACTTACAGTGGTGATCACTTCCTTGATGAACGAGGTGAGTCCCGGGTCGACGTAGTCGACAATGACTCCTACAGACTCTTCGAGACCGGCATCCAGAGTTCCCTGGACATAGCCGGTCATATCCTGCTGAAGCATGGCGCGGATCTCGCGCATGTCCTTCTTGTACTGCGAATAGACAGCTTGAGAGCCCAGCAAGCCGCCCTCCTCCGCAGAGTACCAGTGGAACTCGAGTGTGTTCGGCGCCTGGCCGTGCGAAATCGTCTCGGACTGCAGCAGAGTCCGGAGGGATTCGAGGATGGTGACCGTCCCACTGCCATCGTCATCCGCGCCTGGCGCAGCCAGGATCGACGGAAGGAACAGGTTGATGCTGTCCTGGTGCGCACTCAGCACCACGGTATTGTTGGTTTGGCCGGGGATGCGCGCGATGATGCTGAACTGGCCCCATGGGTGATGGAACTTGGTGACGGTCGCGCCATGCTCGGTGGCGCCCGACTCGGTGAGCACCGATGTGACTTGGTCATACAGCCATGTTGCGGACTCGATGCCCGTCTCGGATTTGTAATATCGCGTGTGGAAGGAGGTGAAGTGTTCGAGATTCTTGTACATGTGATCCGTGGACAGTTGCTTCAGCAGGGGCTCGACATCCGGTTGGTGCTGCATCTCAATGGGGTATCGGACAACATGTTTCGTGTGCAGGGTACCGTAGGCCCCGGATTGGAACTCCTCCGTGACATCCATGAACGTGACGCCATCCTATGTCGCCAGGTCAATCAGTGAGGGGCACACGACGGGCCAAAGACAACAACATACCAGTTTCAGCTCCCATTTCTCTTCCTCGGTCACCCATCGCGTTTGATAGGGCGTCAACTCGATGAGGTATTTCGTGAGCTGCTGGTTCTGTACGATCGAGGGTGTCAAGCGCGCGAGTGGTTCTTGCTGCCGGAGGCCCGTGGCCAGCACCGCCGTGGATGTTGCGCTCAGCGCAAAAGGGATCGCGAATTTCATTGCGGCGACCGGACGGGAATCGTATTGGAAAGGAGAGGACTTGCCTCAACCAGGGGAAAATGGGGTTGTTATGGATTTGCGTCCCGGCGGCAGCGGGTAGAAGAGGAGGGCTAGCCGGGCCTGGGTCACGGGGTCTGGCTGGATCTTTCCTGGTTTTGGCCCCGAGAGTGAGACAGTTGGCGGTGATCGGGAGACTCCTCCGTAGACTATTGATTATTTTGATTAACCCCGATTCACCGCTCCTCGCAGTTCGCAAATCAGTTCCTTCCCTCGGGACTCTCGTCAGGCATGAGCGTTCCCTCCCTCACTGCTTCCATGTCGTCAGTCCGGGGGAATGATGGAATGGCCAGTGGAGCGGCTCCACTGTTCGTCGTGACCCAGCCGTGCAATCGCGCCATCCCCGGCCTTATCGCAACCAATCGCAGCCAACCGCAGCTCTGGTCAGGGCTCGGGCCCCACGTGACTCAATCTGACTCAGGGCACGTGACTGGCTCGCGTTCCACCAATCGTTCCGCACATGTGACTCAGGGCAATGGGATCGATGGTCTTATCTCGAGTCCCTCTTCTCTTCCTCTTCTTGTCCTCCTACTCCCTTCTCCTTCGCTTCTGCTTCTATTCGTAGTCTATTCTTTTTTCTCTCATACTTCTAACGAGACGCGGTCGTCTCATCTCGGACAGACAATCCACCCACCATGGCGATCCATCCCGGTGTGCCTTCCTCTTCCCCGCGCCTCGCGCCGCACCAGGCCCGTGCCATCTCTGCCTGGACGGAGCAAGCAGCGGCTTCTCTCCAGGGGTTGACCCTCTCCGAGTCTGCTCCTACCACCGATGGGCCTGCGCCGAACGCCACCCCGACGCGTTCCTCTCTGCGCGGTGCGTCCATCGGCCTGTCAATTCCCCTGGACGATCAGCCCCAGGCCACCGGGTCCCCGCAACGGGTCAAGGTGGTGCCAGCCAGCGGGACTCCTCCCGCTCCGAGTGTCAGTTTCCGTCGTCGCGAGCCTCTGCGCCGAGATAGCCTGAAGCGACGCGAGGCCATGTTAAAGGGCAAGGACGGGAGCCGGCGCCGACAGCGTTGGGAGAATGGTAGGTTCTGTCGGGCAGAACAGTCGAGGATGTCCCGATTGGAATTCGGTCTGGATGGGCGATAGGCTGACATGAGATCAAAGACCGTCTGCTGCACAACCCTTGGGCCGAGCCGCCGTCTCCGAAGGACTGGGATATCCAGCCCACATACCCCCGGCACGACCCGATGCCCTACTACCTTGCGCCGCTTTGGGATGTTCACTACGCCTATGTGGCAGACCACAATCTGGCCCAGAGGTCTGCTAAGGCCACGGACAAGGACAAACATCGCATTCCGAAAGAGCTCCGGTTGAAGCTGAAACACGCTCGTGCCGCGCGCGGCATGCTCCAGGACTTGGAAGAGGATATCCGGCTCTTCATCAGGAAATGGAATGAGAAGCAGAACCTGCTCCAGAATGAGGGCTTGCAGGATGCTCCCGAGTCGTCAGGGACGGAGAACGACTCGGAGGATGAGATTATCTTCGTCGGCCGTAATGGGCAGATGCACGACTCGCCTGAGCGAAAACAGAAGCTACGACAGCTGCGCGAGGAGATGAGCTCGCACCATGAGCGGGATGGTGAGAAGATGGTGTTTGAGAGTCTGGTCGATGATCGCGCGGCCGGATTTGGGTCAGTATCTCTCCTTATTTTCCTGCTCCACACAGCACGCTCACTTGTTCGGGTAGACGGTGGCTGGTCCACAGCATTGCCTCGTACTATGGCCTGCACACCTGGTCGGTCACCGTGGGCGATCCCGCCCGGCGCGAGGCGTACGTGGGTTTTCGTCCGCCCAGCCCCGGTAGCCGCGTAGGACCGGTGTGTCGTTCCGAGACCGTGATTCAGCCGGGACAGGAGCTGCCGCGGCCCCTTTACGCGCAGGTGTGATGGTTGCACCGGCCCATTCCGCTGGGCAATGTAATGATGCGATGACCATCTCGACTACTTCACTTAGACACATATACATGATTGGATGATTTCCAAGGGATAGCTACATTCTAGAAGACGATCCATGTCGTCATGTCCCACTCGCGTTTTATCAGATGTCATGATCAGCCATCTCCACACCAGGTTCGTGGCGCCCCCCATCCAGGGCCGGTGAACACACCGACAGTCCTGGCACCCATTTGATCGACCGGTCTCTAGTCACGGGAAGGATCAAGAGAGTAGGAATATCCCGTAGTCCCGCATGCAGTACCTGATAATCAGGCATCTTGTAAACTCATCTTGATCTCTATGGACATGGGGACCTACATGTGCACTCTCTGGAACCAACTTGATCTCGGTCCGGTCCGTCTCCACAGTCCCCGTAGAGGAGGGGTTCCCAGTGTCGAGGATACATACATCAGATAATTGCGCGCGGACCGCATGGCAGTGCACCACCATGACATAATCCAGCTCGTGTCTAGACCGGCATCGCTCTCACTGGTCCAGCTGTGCGCAAAGGAGGGGAGGCTGCGGGCAAATCACAGCGCGCACAGTTCTGGTCGCATGGTCGAAGCGCCGGTCAGCCTGTACAACAACCCGTTCGACTGACAACCTGGCGGGCATTCCTCGCCTCATTCTTGCCCTTCTCGCTCTCTTTTTTCTACGCTTCGATCGACTCTCGCCTCGTTTGATGATTGATCCCGTCATTGGATTTCCGTCACTTCTGATTCTTATGCTATCTAATTGTCTGTCTTCTTGTTGATTGTTTATCCCCAATCATTATCGTACGGTTCAGCCTTCCATTCACCGGGACCCATCTGGAACGTGGGTACGACTCTCCATTCATGCCAGAGACCTTACTCCGTGGATTACTTCGATTCCACTGCGTCATGGGAATCTGACTCCCTTGTCTCGCCCGGACTAATTATTTGGTCTCTCGTTATTGACCCATTCATTCATCGCCTCACCTTTTGGATTTGATTATTGACCTTCTTCACCCCCGCTATCATATCTTCTGATCACATCTGCGATGGGATCCTATAAATCATGTCAAGACCGCGCCGTCAGCGCAGGCAGCTCCAGTTCCACCAATAGCGATGCCTCGTATCCATCGCGAAGCACGGCCTTGACGGCTGACAGTGACCGGCAGCCCGTCAGCTCGAAAGACGAAACGGGCTGGAACGGTATGGAAGTTCCCCGAGACTCCGTCTCGACCTACGCCTCCACCACTGCATCCGCTGCCGCCGAGAAGCTCGCGTTAGAAGAACAACCACGCTATGAAGTCTACGACCGGAGGCTGCAGGAGACCTTCCCGACAGATGCACGTGCATCCAGTCCGGCCTCGTTTGCGGCATTGTTCCCTTCGTCGCGCCGTCTACTAATCCGCCACGACGACGCGACTATCGACGGCAACATGAATCTCCGTGTAGATACCGTGGCTCCTTGCCGCGGCGGATACAACCAAGATGTCATCCTTTTCCACCTTCGCATGCACGATCTCTTCACCCGCAAGTTCTCTTTTCGACGCTACTGCCGCGACTCCGGCCGTGAAGTGTGCCATTCCACCCGCAAAGAGACCTCCACGCCAAACAACGACCGCAACCCCTACTCACGCCGCCGCTCCTGGAGCAGCATGCTTGCCAGCATCCGGCCCGGCTCGAGCGGGCAGGACTCCTCTGCCGCCAGCCTGAAGTATCGGGAGTCCTCCGGATTCGGCGCCGTACAGCAGCACGACGAATCCCTTGATGAACTCGATAGCACGGAGAAATCATTTGGCGATGCCATCTTCATGGAGTTCTCCAACTATGCTCACGTCGAGCTCAAGCGCCGCGGGGCGGGCCCTGCGAAGCGCTACGAGTACGAGTACTGGTCCACCAAGTACCAGTGGCGGCGCGAGTTCCGCAAAGAAGGAGACCTGCGCGAGGTATCGTACCATCTCGTCGACACGCGCACCTCTATGACTATCGCCCACATGGTCCCTGAGATCCTGACGCCCCTGGAAGCTGACGAGGAGGAGAGCAAAGGCGGGTGGGTGCCGCCGTCATCACTGTGGATCAGTGAGCCGAGTGTGTATGAACGGATGCCCGACATTGCCGAGTAAGTGTGGATCCATCATTTATCTTCCAAGGTTGTCTTGTTTTGTTCTCATGCCATGTATTATCTGATGTTCCGCTATCTATCCCTTCGCATCTACTCGAGACAGAAACCAGGATTTGCTAACACCCTCTAGCGTGATTGTGGCTACCGGTCTGATCGCCCTGGTAGACGACTGCATCCGTCGCCGGTGGCATCACGGGCGCCGGCTCCCCGCTCGATCCGCTTTTGCACGGAGGATAGAACGCATGGGCCCTCGTCGGTTGATCGGCGAGGTGCTTCAGCGCCGAGGATCGGCTTAAGCGATCCGCCTCTATTATTCACTATTTTAGACTACGGCGCTGGCGGCGGCTTGGCTCAATGCCACTAGACGATGGTGAACCATACTTCTATTCTCTCTCGCTTCCTTTTTTAGAAGCCTGGTCTGGTCCAGACCCCTGCATAGCGTGTGCACGGGCTGCAATAATGGTTTCTTCAACGACGTAAACGATTCGACGACAGTGTTTCCTTTTTTCAGTTTTATTTTGCTTTGCTATTCAATTCTTGGAACCAAATGAAGCCGGTCTTTTTTCCAGCTTTACAGTTTTTTAGTATTCTTGACGACGAGATTCTTTTCAGGTCGAGACTACTGCAAATCACTCTATTTTACTTCACTTCTTACACTCATATTTTCGGGACGGATGACAATTTCGGGGATTTGCAGAGTAGGAAGGGAAGGTACGCGGGCGTGTGATCAGATCGATCGATGCATTAGTTACTGGCTGAGATGTATTCGATGTGGATAGGCGGATGAGAAGGTACTTGCTTGTTTGGGTGCGTAATTAGGACGTGCAGTGTACATGGATATCCTCGTCCTCGAGCTGCGTTGCTATGCTGGCGGTGCATGTTGTATTTAGTTAGCTGGAAATATAACTGACCGCCGAACTACTCACTATAATGACCACAACAAACCCGCGTTCTGTAGCTTGTAATTTTGTTTTTTTCTTGTCTATTCTTATCCTATACACCGACTAATTCGTATTTTGAGCTGCTGTGCGAGGCTATGCATACCTAGCCTGCCTCACCAGGGCAGGGGGAGGGTAAATGATTGGCCCTGGATGGATCTTAGGCCCAAGAGAGACCCGTGGTTCATATCCTTGTTTGCCTTGCTGCCTTACAGAAACCACCAGCAACCAGTTTAAGCTTGTCCCGATGCGGGGCCTGATTTGCCCTGTTTAATGCACTGGCCAAAGCCCAAAACACCCGATGCCCCGGGGCTGTCTGTCTTGCGTGCATATGCTATGATATGCTGTTGTTGCCACGAGACAGATGTACGCCGCATTGTTTTGATGCGAACCCAAGATGACTGTCCATAATGATGATGCTCTGCAGGTATGAATGCCCAACTGGCTATGCCAAAGGAAAGCGGCGAATCACATAACCCTCTGGCAACTGACTGTTTCTTCTAGTATCGCTGCAGGGACCTTTATTCCGAGCCACGGGGGGAAGGGTCGCTAGCCGAGGGAGGATTTTCGACGATTTTCGCTCGGGCGTATCTTTGACTTCTGTCAACCATTCTTGTCCTGTTATTTTTAATTCCGTCCCCCAATCACACCACCCCCTGCCCTAAGCTAACTACCCAGCTAACTAACTAACTACCTGACACACATACATACACACCAGCTGATACAAGCCTCAGCCAGGAAGCGAATGTGACGATGGTTTTCCTCTGGAGATTGATTGATGAGCTGGCAATGCCGGGCTGCCCCTCTCCTCCTCCTTCCCCCCGGAGGTTTCGTCTGCCCAACATGAGAGAACTTCAGGCATAACTAATAATTCGAAATCTCTGTTTGTTGGGCATACAAGCCTGTGACAATCGGATTTGTTCCAGAAGTTGAGTCGGCGGCTGTTCCGCGCTGTCGGTGCACTGACACCCTGTTGCTGCTCATCAAGAGACGACGTGGGGTGCTCTGAGTTGTTCTTTTTCTCCCCATCCAATCCTACGCATCCATTTATTTCCCCCAGTTCAGTTCGAACTCCATCACCGGACTGAAAGATAGAAATGGGTCTACTCTTCCCATTCAGTTCCCCTCATATGGGTTGGGTATTCTCTGTCCGGCTATACTGTCTAGCGCTTCTCCTGCCAGGGTTTTTCACAAGGTTGACTGGACTATTTGGTCGGCGTGCGCCGGGCCGTTCCAGCTTGCAGCCTCCTAATTAATGATCCGCATATCGCATTCCCACTGACTAGTGGGGAATCTGGCTGATGCTGTGTGTCGATTGTTGCCCCCCCTCCCTCCCCCCATGTACATGCATAAGCCCGTTCAAGGTTTGACTGTTAGGCTCCATGTTTGTCACGCCAGGGGAAAAATTACATTTCATCATGCTACGCCGTTTTTTATTTGTTTTTTTTTCTCGCTTTTTATATATGCCTCCCTCATCCCACCCTCTCCCCCTCTTCGCTTTCATGACCAAAGAACAGCTTCCTTCAAACATTTCGTTATCTCCAATTTCTATTGACGACCTATATCGAGTGATCGTCTCTCCCCGCCTCAGTTCTTTTGTGTGCGGGCTTCTTCCTTGCTGGTCCTTCCTCCACACATCTATATTCTTTCTCAATTTCCATCATCGGATCAACTATACTCTCCCGAGAGCACCATAATACCTCCTCCATCTCTAATTGAAGCTTGACATCTCCGACAATGTCACTGCCTACCGGTTCCCAAGGCACCTCCGCTGGGACGCGGGCCAGCTGGCAGGATCAGCTCCAAGGTAAGCCATTGGACACCACCCAACCCACGGACTCACGGGCAACGACCAAAGCAATTGACGGACTGACACCGTGATTAAAAGACCATTGTCGGCGCACCAAACTTCCGCCCCCTGTCTTCAACATTGTGTCCGATCGGCGAGGTACCTACCCGATTCCATTTTTTGCCCTGCCCACCGTCTTTTCCCTTTCAGATCGTTTTCAATTTTTTTTTCTTTCCTGTGTTTCGACACCTTGCCTTACCGCTGCGTGTCTCGGCATTGCAGGGTGTGGAGACAAGAGGGAAAAAACAAGAACTGCCCGTACACCGACTTTTTTTAGTCCGAGCTTTTGACAGCGGGATGCTGATTGCCCTTGCGTCGGAAATGCAGGAGGTCGCACCGCCTGGTCTAGTACCGTCTCGATTCAGGGCTATCAGAATATCGCTGCCCGTTACTGGTATGACGGCCAGTACATCAACAATGCCAAAGAAGACGCCGCTGAGGTCGCCCTGAAGGTTCTCAACGAGCAGCCCGGCTCCTCCACCCACTATGCCGGCCAGCTCTTCCCGCAACAGTCCCAGTCGACTACTCCAGGGTACGGCCGGGGAGCTGGCGGGTTCTGATCTGTTCTTTCGTGTTTTCTGCATGGGCGGCCTTCTCTACTTGTGTGTTTTTATTTTATTGTCTTTTGTTCTGTCGGGAGTTCCTTGCTTCTCCTGTGCTGCTGCTGCATTGAATTGACCTTTCATCTCATCTCGAGGAGACTCACACAGCATGTGCACGCACACACAAACCTCGCTGTTGTCTTTGTTCTGTGGGCAAGGAAAAACGAAACCAACAGCACACACACTCGCCCTCCGATCCCGCCGCGCCGATGTCGTTCCTCTTCGAGTCCAGCAGACCGTTACTATACAATGATCTCCAATTGCTGGCAACCCCAGGCAACCGAACCAGGCTGCACAGCTGACCGTTCCGCAAGGGAGCGGGATTTGTCATGCCGGTTCTGCAGCTAAGCCTCCGATTCGAAGAGCAACCTGGACGGGACGGAACGGCTATCAGGAACAGAATAATGGACGCACGACCCCTTCGGTGCCTATGCGGCTGGCGACACGAATGGCCGTCACGATCCCTCCGCTGGTCTTCCATCTGTGAGACTTGACGACACTCAATCGTGATACATACCGCAAACCTTGACGGCCCAGGAACCGCACCTTTTCTCAATTCTCCAAGGCACACTGTCCAGCGTGTCGAATGATTGTGGTTCCTTACACCAGATATTACTTTAACGACAGATGATTCTATTATTCGGGTTTGAAGCTATTGATGATTATGTTTTGTTGGCTATATATACTGTGGATTCTTTTCAATTTCTTTTCAATTCTGCTAAAGGAGGGACGGGAGGCTTGGGCCGTTCAAGCTGATAGGAGGGGGTTTTGTTTCACTGGAGATCCCAGGACGCAGCACACGTTTACCATGGTTTCAGAAAATAATGTTTTCGCCACCGGAGAGTACCTACCTTTTGGAAAACACCCTTGTGACTTGCGGAAACTGTGCTGCCGTTGCGGCTGCAGTTACCCCTGAAATCCGATGCGTGCGTGTGACTGTGTCGCCTCAGACGGAAAGTCACTTGATCGCGCAGGCAGACATACCAGGGCTTAACGGGAGGAGGCGGCGTTGTGTATGAGAGAGAAGAAAAAACGAAGCTACAGGAGCGGAAAATTGGACAGACAAAGATTTGATGTGTTTATTGCAAGCTGGTTGGGATATCCTACTGCGGTATCTGCGCTGGAGTAATCGATACGGGAGTTCGCTTTGGACTGGGTTTGGAATGGTTCCCGGTTAGGCTTTGGGTAGTTATTGGAATCGGAATCGGATCATATTGGACTGGTTTGAATTGGGGCTTCTAGGAATCTATTGAATTTGGCGTCGACGTTCCTACCGCTGGACATGGCTGCTGGTGAGATTTTGGGGGTTGTTAAATTGGTTGTTTATTTTTCTGTTTACAAAACTTGCTTACCACACTATCCTATTCCGTGCTTCACGGTACGTATACCTTGTTTAACGATCTGCAGCTTAATGACTTCGAAGGCTATGCGGAGGGAATCTTTCCTTCACGCGAGACGGACGGATCAACGCCAGACAATTTATCTTAGTCTTCGCTTTGAGAAAAAAAGGGTAGACCTGAAGAGCTACCTCGCGTTCTTTCCTTAAAAAGAGGGCGTGTCATAGCTACAACTTTTTTCGCCCAGACGTTCCACTGCGATATACCGGCGAAAAAGAAAGACATTTTCGAAAAGGTACCAGCTTTTCTTATAGCATTCTCAATATAGTTCCTCGCTCTATTACATCACTTCAATTAATATCCGAGCGATCAATTGCTTCTCTTCAACTTTTCTCGTACTAGTCAAGGTTTCTGATCAATACATCATCCTGACCTTTTATTCTTGCCACATCTCACGGACTTACACGATTCTCTGTGGATTTTATTCTACTAGGATCGTTTCCTTTCGCTCTCCCCCGATAGGTATATAATAAAGCCAGTATTCCTAAGCTAGTAGCGGGCATATAGTGCGAAAGTCTAGAAGCATATCGAATGAGCTGACGCACCGAACATACTACGATATTAATGTTGAGACCGTGCAGTTGTACATAGGGAAGGCTTCCATGTAAGGTAGGAGAGTGCATGGAGGCGAACAAGGGACTTTTCAGTGTCTATGGACTCTTGAGGTCGCTTTTAGTTCAGATTTGAACTCTAAATCTTTTGATGATGCGTGGAATCTAGATAAGATTATAGCCCTTCGATTCTTTTTATTGTATATGTTTTTGTTTTTTTTTAGGGAACAAAAGAAATACTATCTGCCGATACATATGATCAATACATTCAGTTTTTCCCAAGAGCGAAGATTGTCCTTATTCATCTTGATCACCAGAATCAATAAGCAACTTTTCTCGCTACTTGGGATCTCGGACCAATATATAGATTATTTCACGCCGCTAGTAAAATCCAATTGGACTATGATAAAAATCGATGTTCTTCTGTCTATATATCACGCCTGTATTTATAGCAGAAAAGCGGGAAAACTCTGCTTGATGTGATCTGTCTACTTCGCGGCACAGTCTCCGTACGGGGAGGATTAGATGAGTCAGCGTCAGAATGCGACAGTTGGATAAATTACTCGGCCGTGAATAACTACTATGACAGAAAAAGGCCGTCGGGCCGGGGGCTAGACAATATTCGCCTCTTCTTCGATATAGGAAATTTATAAGCTGCAAAAGTAGACACTCTTCAGATGAGTCGAGATGAAGTCTATGACGCCGAGTGGGGCTACAATGGTTAACGCGGCGGCACTGGCCAATCATGCAATGATCGGCGACTTGATTACGTGAGCTGCTAGGTCTAAGTTGTTTTCCTTTTAAGGATAACTGCAACCCTGTCTCTCTTTCGTGTTCATATCATTGTTCATGACGTCTCTCCCGACCCTTTAATCCATATGAGTACAGGAACAGATGAAGACCCTTGTTTTGTGTTCATTGAGCACAAAGGTCGTCGTGGCAGTGTAGCCAGAACAGAACAATATTCTGTTCGTAAACACATTGCCAACCAAACTTTGAAGAAAAACCACCATTCAAATGACAATGTACACCAAAGGCAACTTGTTCGTCGGCCGTCGAGAGAAGTGCAACGGAAGAATGACTTCGATGAGACTAAGCGCAACACGCCATTATATGAAAGCATATTGAGTCGATATGGCGAATCGTCATTGCCAGTTCGAAATAGTCGTGATTTGCAGCTCATAGACCATCTTGCTTTGCGGATATGGCCAGGCTTCCGACAGAGTCTTCGCGGATCTGCAAATCCATTTCCTGCATTCTGGCTGCCCCGCTGTGTCGATAATACGGCTTTGTTCAACGCACTTCTCTTTGCTGCTTCATGTCATTTATCCTCTCGCAAGATCATGGCGGGAGAGTATTTGCGTGATAGTAGGGAATTGTTGGTCTTACAAACTGATGCTATCACGGCATTAAGACAGCAAGTGCAAAGTTGCAGCTTAAGCCAGTGCAATGGCTGCCTTGACAACTTCTTAATGATATGCATATGCCTTGCAACAAATTTACAAACAGGTGATTTGATAGCCACCAAAGACTCGACTCCCTTTTTTCCTGTACTTACGAGTGCTCGTTGGCTGGACACTTATGGGGCTCTTATCACCGACAATGTTCATTGGGATGCTATTCTCCAGCTTCTCAATAAATGTGGAGGTGTAAAGCAGGTGAAATCATTCGGTTTGCCCTGGGTTATTACCTGGTGAGCGCACACGCCATCCCTTACTTTACTATCAAGAGCCCAAAAGTTTCCCAAATATCTAACCCCTAGTAGTGCCGCATTGATTATGGTTTCGACAACACTTTCACCGCCGCTATATCCTATGCTCGATGTTGAGGGCAATCCGTCTATGATGAAGACTTTTGCAGAATTTGATGCCGATAACGTTTCTCGGGCTCCTTACCCTCTTTTTGGCCATGGTTTTAGTATCCTCAGGTCACTTGGCATACCAGATGAAATTGTGGACACCTTCGTTTCCTTAGGAGATTTTTCCGCGACTCTTGATGCCTATTGTACCGGCAGGATCCCCAGGCTGGAGATTGATGATCTCTTAGACAGCCGAGAGGTTGTCATGCATAAGCTTCTGTCCTTACCGTCTTCGGTAGACCTAACGCCAACGGTTCAGTCAGCTGATTTCACCTCATCTACTTATACTTTTATTGATTCCGATACTTGTCTTCCTCTATACGAAGCTTGTCGGTGGGCTGCGCAGCTCTATGGCATTATGGTTGTGTTCCCAATACCGCGATCAAGATGGGCGAGAGAATACGCAGTCAGTCGGATCCAACATCATTTGTCCTCCTTTCGGCCCGGAAAAGAAACTCGTCAATTCTGGAAACTCGAGATGTGGTGCGTTGCCGTCGGGGGAAGCTCTTCCTATTCCAAGGACCAGCGTCAATGGTTTGGAGAGAGAGCGTGTCTGCTAGCCCATTATCTGGATGTCCAGCTATGGCAAGAAATTGAAGCAATGCTGGGTGAATTTGCTTGGGTCTCGAATATTTGCAAACCAGCCGCGCTGGAATTTTGGTTTAGCAGAGACTCATCCTGTGCCGGTACTTTTTGAAACATAGCGACCACTGTGTACCTGAGATTCTCATGCGACGTCTTTCTTCTATCTGGCGGAGTGGTTCAAAATGAACAATAATTATGCTACTGAAGGTCCATTTGACTCAAAGAGTTAATCATGTCTAAGAAGTCTGTAACTAAATGACTGGACATAGCCAGAAACATATTAAAGAAAGATATGAATGATCAAAAGTCTCCAAGATGTCTTACGGACAAGCCAGTCATTCTGTTTGTCAACAATTAGCAGCACGGCTAACCACAATCCATCCATCTTCCTTCGTTCAGCTAAAGACCTGTTCATGACTAGTTTTCGGTCAGCTTTGAGAGAAATAATGATAAACCTCATTTCTGAATCTTATTTGTTGGCTTCAATTCTCATTCTTTGAATTCTCATTCTTTCAACAACATTTTTTATTATCCAGCAATACGAAACATGTAAGGTATAGTTCATATAAGGTGTATGGAGGAGTGCTGGCTTGCCCATCGATCGCCTGAAAATGAATCTACTTGCCTGCAACAATACCACAGTACGTAATAATCTGAACTCCCTCTGTCTGCATCTTCTATTCGCTTGTTTGGCTGTAGTCGATGCTAGTGACCTTTAGCGCTCTTCCTTCTTCTTTGACGGCTGGGATGTTACTGGTGGGTCGACTTCGAAAACAATTCTCGTCTCACTAATAGCAGGGTCTTCCACACTAACCACGTCCATGTAGCCTCGGTCGTCTCATCTTGTGCGACTCTTTGATCCTGCTTAAGTCTCTTCCCTTTGAGCAACTGCGAGAGCAGAATTTCCATGCTTGAATAGTGAATTGCCGATGTAGTGGGTTTTATATTGAAGAAAATATGAGTAATTGAGCGAAGCGAAAATTCGAGACATAGCCCTAACACAATCTTTGTTTTCAAGCCTTTGAGTCCCAAGAAAATCAAGTAGCTAACAATTTGATCAGTGAAGCATCAACAAAGTGTAACTTCCAGAAATGATTCCCTGATAGGATCATCTGTGGTAACATGTTGCAGTGCCATAGAGGGTCGGACTCTCTCAATTAAGCCTACGAATTGATCTTTGGTTCGCTCACATCCCATGAACAGTACACCCATGAGTAAATCAAATTCAGATAGAGCCAACGGTGACTGTACATCCGGAACAATTGCTTCGCAAATGATCAACTTACTCTTTCCTCTGACCATTGCTTGGGCAATCCTATTCAGTATAGTGATGCAGTCCGAATCTCCAAAGTCATGTAGAATATGCCGGAGAAAATAGATATGAGCTCCTTCACAACACATATTAGACCATGGCCTCAAGGCTGAGAAGAAGAACTGACCTTTAACAGGCTGGGGATTGAAAAAGTCATGTCTTTGATAATAAAGTCCTGGTAGTTCTTCATCATAGTGGAGATCTTGGACTATGAATCGCACATTGGCCGTTTGCAACCGTTGATTGATCCTGTCGACAACTTGGCCTCGTCCGCCACCAACGTCAACCATGACTGGAGGCTCCTCCGAGTTTCCAATATGTTGCAAACTATCGTGGAAAGGATAACGGAAGGCGATATCTCTCACTGCAACTCCGGTAAGGGCTTCCATGGCCCGATGAAACTCCGTTCCAAGCTGAGGGTTAAGCTTGAAGAGGTAATCATAATATGATGAATGAAAAGCTCTTCTGAATGGAATAGCTTTCGAAGACTCAAGATCGTGGTAATTGTAATGCTTCCATGTTTCAGTGGCATATGAAGCCGCTCTGAATCCCAGAGTGACACTACCAAATGGTCAGAGATGGAAGGTCAGGAAAAAAAGGCTCCTCTTGTCTTACTTGTTTACCAATAAATCCCTAACGTTCCTATCTTTCATCAACATAGATAGATTCGTATGGCTGAAACTATCGTGGCCCGCCTCGGTCAGGATATGCGCCCCGGTTAGAACACGAAGGACCCTTCCTGTAATACACAGTCAAAATTTCCATGTCTCACGTGGGCGAGGCCAAGTGCTTACTGAGGAACTCTTGATCGACCCCTAGCTCCTTGCTCAATTTTTCCAGCTGAATCTCCCCATTTGTTGGGATTTTGTTTGCAACATCAAGATCGAGCATCACACTCATGCATGTTGTAATAGTGTACTAGGCATCACATCAATTTAGCACTATAAAAGCTGCTATTCCAAATTAACCCACCGATGTTGAAAGGCTCATTAGAGTCCAAAGTGGATTTCCAAGCAATACTTGCATTTGTCCACAGCCATCGATAATCCGATGTTTAATTTCTGTCAAGTTGCCTGGTACTGCTGTCGATTGGAGTGCAGATTCTCCTTCACAAAAGCTGCGCTCGTAGACATCAAGGGAGTCTCGCAGCTTTGTGGCAAGCTTTCTAAAAGCTTTTTCATCAAACTCTCCCATAATGAGAACAAAACAATAATAATAGAGATCGAGTCAAAAGGCCTCACGATAGATAGAAAATTTTGGGAAATTTTGACGCCTGGTGGTAGGACTTGGATGTGACCTAGGACATACAACATTTATATAATATATCGTAGAAGGCTATCACTATTGGTTTTAGTGGACAAAACAAGGTTTCTGGCAAAAGTTTCTCGAGTCAGTTGCATACTCTGCCTCTACTTCTATTCGTATCCGAAAAGAGAAATTTCCAGGCCAAGTGATTAGATATCCAATTAAACTATGTCTGTGACGTCTTAAGTTGAATACCAGTGGCCAGGATCAGCGATTAGTCACTGGCACGACACACCGCTGTTTGCTCCAACTGTGAGATATTGAATTGTGTAATAGGAGGGAGCATGGTCATTGTCCTAATTAGGTTATAACCAGAAAGGTCGATGAAGAATCAAGATAAGGTTCGGCATTAGCCACATTCGTATTGACCGAGAGTGAAAAGTCAGCATTACGTGAGTGAGAAAAGCTGAGACGATGGTGCGTATCATGTCGTCATGATTACGTTATGAAATATTCCTACTGTGAAATAGTTTAAGGTTGAACTAAAGTTATGGGTTCCGTGTGGAACTAATGTGACATCTTCTACGCGATTAACAGAAGTGTGGGATTTCCATTTCCTCAATTCGCAGTTCGCAATTCCAAATGCCGGTGAATTTTTTTTCGCCTTTCCCTGCACCACGGTGGGTGAATGCTTCGAGGCGGTGTCAATGAAACTCCTTGTCGATGACGTCCTGAGAGTACTTGGAAGTACTTGAAAAGTTTCATATTGCTGTTACTGTAGCAGAGTGAGCAATCCGGTGGTAGATTGTAAAGAGCAGGTATACAAATTCAAACCTTTTTCCATTCCATAGCAGGATAGGATGCTGACTCGTAATTAACTTTAACGTTTGCCAGAAGCAGCCGTTTGCTGAGTACAGATAACAGAGAGTCATTACCCGCAACATGAAAAGACGCCGTCCGCTTTCATCGCATCAATGATTCTCATGTTGTACAACATCAAATGCCAAGCAATTATTTAATTTCCGAGAATCACACTATGTACACCCAGTTCAATTAAAGCTGTGATACGTCGATCATCAAGCAAGGTAGGGGTTTCAAACCTTGTACTGCAGGTTATAGGCCCCGAGCTTCCTGAAGGCAACCTCGCTTCAATGGCCAATGGATGCAAATGTACGATATTTTATTTCCTCGGTGTCACCCAAAGCGAGGTATCAATAGTCAAATATGAATTTCAGTACGCCTGTCAAGACACAACCTAATAAATAAACCTCTTACCCTCCTAATCACCACCTTGACGCTTAGTTCCTCTATCAATAAATCTGCAAGTAGGACAGTAGGACACATCCTGCTGTTTTTACAAATAATAGTGTGGCAATCCTCCAGTGTACCGTGCATATCTTTTTTTCTCTTCGTCATCTTTGTAATACACACACATACAATCTGGTCCGGTGCCCCAAAAGAGACATTCAGACCAATTGCAAGCAAGGCCGCGTCTGTTCTTGAAAGTCGGTTGGATGATAATCAGACTAGATAGAAAGAACTAGGGATTTACGGTCGCGATGGAGTAACCCAAATCCTGATGACGGCCCGATCTGATAAGCACAGCAATTCTTGCCGACAAAACCGAGTTGGCAGAAGCCGCTCCTGCCTTTCTTCCTGAATCTTCTTAATGACTTCGTGCTCCTCACTGGAAAAAATGGCATCCATCAATCCTGCTGGCTCGGACTTAACTGTGATTTAACTCCGCAGGCTGTTTTCAGGCTGTTCCCGTTGACATGTCGGCAATCGGGGCTTATGAATACCGTCGTGTTGGTCAGGGAGAAAGCCAAGTTAATATCGGACTTTATGCTAGTATGTTGGCGGAGTTAAGATGTCAAAGACCTAAACAGCATCAGACATCATCTTAATTACTCAATGATACAAGGCACTTTTCAAATTCTGGTTGCAAAAATGATAACAGAATAATTGGTTTAAAATATATTTCAGAATATCTACAGAAGCCATTTATCAACCAAGCCCACCCAGATCAGCTAAACATGTCCAACACTTCTCTCCAGTATCAACTTCTCGAAAAGGGCGGCCAGTTCTCTCTGGTGTCGGTCCCGGCTTCAGCACCTGGTCCCAATGAGATCTCCATCCGTACCAAAGCCGTAGGCTTGAACGGCCTGGATTGGAAAAACCGTGCCTTCGGAACTATGATCCAGGCATGGCCCGCTGTGCTGGGTATTGATGCCGCTGGTATTGTCGAAGCTGTTGGAGATGCCGTCCAAGGTTTCCAAGTAGGAGACGAGGTCTTTAGCCTGGCCGGCATGGAAGCGAAAGCCGGAGCTTTTCAAGAGATCTATACGGTCCCCGCACACTTTGTGACCATGAAGCCCGCTGCATTGACATTTGAGGAAGCAGCATCGCTACCGTAAGTCCAATCATTCTTTTTTGTCTTTCTTCTATGGCTGTTAAAGTCAACACGGCCCACTAACCTGATCGCGCCCGGTAGAATCGTTACCATGACTGCCGCCGCTGCAGTGACGGTGGGCTTGCATCTGCCACTGCCACATCTCGACCCAGATAGTGTCAGCAAGTACAAACTGGAATCTATTCTTGTGCTGGGAGGTAGCTCCGGCATTGGTGCAGCCGCTATCCAATATCTGCGCCTGGCGCTGCCTGGAGCCACTATTCTGACAACAAGCTCTAAGCAACACCATAAGCGTTTACTCTTTCTAGGCGCAACGCAGTGCTTTGAGAGATCTGCGCAGGAGGATACAGCTGCGATGACGGCCGCGACACCTGGTAGTGCAGGCGTTGACGCCATCCTCGATGTTGTTGGAGCTGCGGCTCATCAGCCGGCTGTTTTTACGGCTCTGAACCCGGGTGGTTCTCAATTGTATTCTCAGGTTGTCACGGGCCAAAACGTTAATGTTCCACATGGGGTGAATGGTACTGCAGTTTTTGGCCGCCAGATATTCGGTACCAACGGGGGACAAGCTGTGCTGCAGGGACTGGTTCGCTTATTTGAAAGTGGTCAGTTCAAGCTGCCGACTAATGTCGAAGTGGTGGGAAAGGGATTCGAGGCCATACAGCCTAGTCTAGAGAGGTTGATGAAGGACGGAGTCAGTGGTAACAAGTTTGTAGTTAGTGTGTAGGGAATAGAGTCAGTCGATGTGGCAGATGGATAGGTGATAATTTAACTCAATGAGGAAAGCATATCTGTTCCTTTGAATATTTCTATCTCAGTCAAAATGCATGCATAGTTTGACGACCGTATAGATATGATCATATCCGCCGCTATAATCGGCTTACTACTCCTCTCAACAAACAACTAGAGTGGGTCAGCCTGCAGACAACCTGGGAACTCCTGTCTTCGGCAAAATACTCGACTGTTTTGACAATATTTGAACTAGTTGACTAGTTGATGTAGCCTGCTAGGTGATTATCGCTGCCAAACTGCTCAGTCAAAGTGAGGCGATGAACAACATAATAATTTGCATTAAGCTTGCGCGTTGCGGTGGGGGCCAAAAGCTTGAAACCAAACCTTGGCGCGCCCGACTCTGATTCTTCTTCCCCTCTACCCCTTACGCTCAGTTTTCTGGACAATCAACAACTACCGAACCCTGCACAATGATCGAAAGCCAGATTGAAATTGCTGCACCGCCCGCGAAAGTGCGGGAAGTTGTACGTACCGTACTAGCACCGTTAGGAGAATGATAGAAACTCATTGTTCCGCAACCCCCAGTTTCTTAATTTTTCAGCGTACCCAGAATGGCACACCAAGTGGCTGAAGGAGATCAAGCCCGAAGATGGCTCCAAAACGGGACTCTCACTTGTTCCGGGAGATAAAGTTCATGTTAATATCGAAGGCATGAAGTTCACTGCCGAAATTACGGTAGGCGTGCATGGGCAAAGATCCTTGCAATCAAAAAACGAAATGCTGAGATCTGAGAAAGGACAACTCCGAAAACCTATTCCAATGGCAAGGCCCTCCAGTCTTTACTATTGCCGGTCTGCATTCTTTTTACATGGAACCGACCAACGATGGATCATCTACTATTTTCAAGTTAACGGAGGACCCCAAGGGATTAATGTCATGGCTCTTCAGCCCTTATGCTCTAGGAAGATTCCTGGCTGCTGATTTTGCGGGCTTTAATAAAGACCTCAAGGCTCGAGTTGAGGCTTAATCTGGCGTTGCTTCCAATTGCTAGGGGACGAGATTCAAGGTCGTTGTTATTGGCACAATTGTTATTTTTCTTGTCATTTTGTTCTTTTTTGCTTTCGTTTAGCACCTCCACCTCTGATGCTTCTACATATACCCCCTGAAGGCAAATTTAGTGCTTCTTATGGTAGTTCAATCTGTATTGCTCTCAGATTCTTCGTTGCTAAGCTATGAATACCAAGCCATAAATGCGTCGCAATTATGTGGAGATTAAGCATCATCTCCGCAGGATATCATTCGCTAATAGCTCAAATACTTGACTGCCCTTAGTGTCCCGAGGTTATTTCCCTATTGGTCCAAATGCTCCCCGCACTCTGGGGCCAATCCCCCAAACCCCAAGGAAATTCCGAGACGTCGGAGATATTTCTTGCAGGTCACTGCTCGACCTCCATTTTATTTATTCCCATTAAATTATCTCAATGGATCAGCCCGCTTTCCGAATACGAAAACGCACTCCACAAGCATGCAGACGCTGTCGCCGTCGGAAACAACGATGCATCGGGTTTCCAACCTGTGCAAACTGCGGGGCTGCGAACTTGCCATGCGCAAGATCAGAGACTGAGCGACCCGAGAGCGCACCGGAGAGATACCACGGCATGTCAAAGGATGCACTGTTCAGCAGAATTGAGACTCTAGAGGCTCAGCTCAGTGCTATGTCAGAGGACGGTTCAGCTCCATGTACAGCTGAAAACAGCCCGAGGTACTACTCTAGAGAAAATGGCCAGTTTTCCGATGTGGTGGACTGCATGACATTGGGTCATGTCGTGGGCAATGAGCCAGCCCATCTCGGCCCCTCATCAGGAAAGATGATCGCAACGAGCTTGGACCTGATGATGAAAGACGCTGTTTGGATGAATGCTCTGTCAGATGCGAGTAGTCGGGAACAGTGGCATGGGCGCAGGTCCAATGCTTCCCAGCAGAACCGGATCGCTCCTCCAACAGATATTGCAGGAGTGAAATTCATCCAGGCCTATTTCGGAAACTTGCATCAACTACTCCCGTTTCTAGACCGGGTCGAGATATTCCAGCTACATATGAAGAGAAATCAACTGCTTGCGCCTAATTCGACAAAAAGATGGGAAGCTTTCAAGCTCTTCATCGTATATGCCATTGGATCAGCGATGCAAAAGACCCCGGACAGATACAATTCTGCCGCTCCAGAGGACCTCTTCCAAATTGCCCTTAATTTCAAAGATCCTGTCATGCAATCTCGTTCCATTCGAAATATCGAGGGAATGATGTTGCTTGTCATTTACAATTTGCGTTCGACATCCAGCTCCACAATATGGTATCTGATCGGCCTTGCAATGAGAACTGCAATCGATCTAGGGTTGCACAGAGAGATCAATTATTTCAGCCTCAAATACTGCGAGGCTCAAGCAAGGCGCAGAATGTTTTGGAGTGTTTATATACTGGATCGTCATATTGCATGGTCTCTCGGCCGGCCCGTCAATATTGCAGATCATGACATCGATGTCGCCCTTCCGGTTAATTTTGAAAAACCTTTTCAAGCTGCTGCCGCTGACCAGCTGACAAGTTCTGAGGAGGAAAGCCTCACAAAGAGCCTCGGCACCTTTGTTCCTTCTATCAAATTGGCCCGGTTAAGATCGCAAATTCATAACGAGATCTACCGTGTCGACAAGAATATTTCTCTATTGCTCCCTATGGTTCCATCGTTCCTGTCCTCTCTAGAAGACTACGAAAGATCGTTACCTTCTAGTCTCTCGCAGGCTGACAATGAGTGGATTCATATGCACTGGAATAATGGTATTCGGATTATTCTCCAACCGTTCCTGAAGGAACTTCCTCCAGACCATGATTTGGTTCGCGTTTGTATGAGAGCTTCGGGACAGATGTGTCAACTTTTCAAGAAATTGCGTCAGAAAGACTACCTTGGTTGGGGCTATATCCTTGTCAACTTCATGTTCATGGCCGGGCTTACAATGTGGTGGGTATGAATTCCAATGTAGACGAAGAGCATGGCTAATCCTGGTTATCAGTTATTGTCTTTTGCGATGTCCTCGACTCTGGTCAATCACAATAGCAAACGATCTACGTGCCTGTTCTTCCATCCTTTATGATGTTGCAGACCGCAGCCAGTGCGTGAAGAAGTATCGGGACCTCTGGGAGGCTATCATCACAAACGTTATGGAAACCCTCGGCAAGGTGTCAGGTCAGTCTGGTTTGGCAATCGATGGCGATCATCAAAGAATCGGCTGGGTTGATGATATTGCTATCGAAAACCCAAGAACTCCAGCTGATCTATATGACTCGGCAATTCTCTCTCATTCTTGCCATGAAGGGCGGTCTCCTGACTATACATTCTCAGATTATATCTCGCATGATATCAACCTAGTTGATGATACTCAACTCGACCCGGAGGAAATTCTTCGCGATATTGAAGACTGCTCGACAGAGCTCGAGGGAACCGTGCGGAACCAGTCACAGCTGAATGGCAGGGAATACTTGGCGGAAGTCGAGAATATACTCTCAGAAGACTTTTGGGCGGGAGATATATTTGGCTCGCAGATGTTATCAGAGCTTGTGCCAAAAGGCTCGGGTGGAAGCTTCACTTTCGATACACCTCCCTCCCAGGCCTTTGCAAATTATCAGAGCTAGAGTGGACATCTGGACTAGAGCAAGATTTGAAAATCATGGCGAAGTAGAAAGTGTGCTACCCTGTTGTGTCTGTTTTTTCCCGGAAATTTGGGAATTGCCGCAGATATACGTTGTGCACCAAAATGATCTTACTCTATTTGAACCACATCATATCCCAATTGCCCGCTTAACAATCAAGAATATCAATATAACAATCAGACCCCTATATACTCTTCTATATAGTTAGGATTTGAGAACCATGCCCAATGAATGTGGCGCCGACTCCACGAAGCCATTCTTATAGTACAATCTCCGCCCGGGTTCATCTGCCATCAGGGAGATATAAGGCTTGCCGTCTGGGGGTGCCTCCTGGTGGATTTGCTGTAGCAGGGCCTTCAAAACCGAATCTCCGAGGCCCTTCCTCTGGTGGTCAGGATGGACAGCCATGTCGGCGATGTGGAAATACCAGCCACCGTCTCCAATGATCCTACCCATGGCGACCAGTTGTGTTTCTTCATTTTCCACGTCGAAGGTGATATAGCAGCCGAACCAGCTTCCTGAGGGAATCGCAGCCGCCTGGGACGGTGTCTTGGGAGAAAGCCCCGCCACGGACCGAAGGTGAAGATATTGTGGGATCGAAGGGTAGCCGGTGCGAAGAGTGTATCCAGTGGGAAGATCTGAGGCGGTCTTGGGGTTCATTTTGAATGGGAAGAAAGGAGAAGTCGCGAACCGTGAAGTCGACTAAGCGAACTTACCAGATCATCAGCACTACAGTTACGTTTCTGCCTGGGTTACAGGGCGGTGACCTGTAATAAGGTTAGCGCATTTCGTATTTATTTTCCAGAAATCAAGTCGCAAGAGTTTGTGGTAAAACTGAATTCGAAGCTATCGTATATGGGTGCATTATTGGAGTTAAACTGTGCAATAAATGGACAGATACATATCGGTACTAGAGAATGTCTATCCGAATAGTAGGGATCAGGCCGAAGAATCGGGTTTAGGGCCCGAAAAATAGGCTTTAACCTGGCCGAGCCCGAAGCCCTAGCGCGATCATATGGAAGGTCGCAAGTGGCTAAAATCGAGCACGTACAAATCCTTACGGTAAGGTACGGTATTCCACGATACTGTATGTGATTTAGACGTATGAAATTGATTCTCTTCTTTGCGTAGAGTCTACTTTATCTCTTCCTGCATTAGATCGTTTGGCCACCGAGGAGAATCGTGGCCATTTCCTCGAGTTCCAATGTTGTAGCCAAGGCGTATATCACTCTTCCCGAAATCGATCACTGGCTTGACTATCCTGACGTTGGCCTTCAACGCCTGGCTTTCCCGTGTTTCGAAGAATGCAGGATTAAACAAAATATCCCCTCTTTCCTTCTGAAGTGAGCTCAGAACTCGAGACGCAGTGAACTGTGGGTTGCTGTACGAGCTAGAGATCATACGCGAGGAATCGTCAGAATCAATAGCCATCGGCGCAACAAAAGCACTTACCGAAATTTCATCCTGCCATGTTGAGCCCACAGGGTGTGCCATACATTTTCTGGGTACTCGCCAACATCGTTCACGAGCCACTGGTTGTAGTAGTTCAGTGCCGCCTCAGCGATATAACTACCCCCGGTCTCCCCCCTCCTCATCAAGGCGATTAGAACGGCACAAACGCCGGAGATACCCGTCATATAATCACTGTTTGGAAAAATTGCCGTTACGCTCTCGCCGTCTTTCAGTCCCATTGACTTGCCAAAGCCATGAGATACACCAACACAGGAATCACTGATCTGCTGCCAGCCACTGCGGTGAGACCATGGGCCATACCACCCGTAGCAATTCTCTTGAAGCACGACAATTCCTCGTGGACGATCTTTTGTCATGTTTAAGATGCCTTGAGGGCCGAAGCCATGCTTCTCGAGCGAAGCGGGTCGATAACCTTGAATGACAACGTCTGCTTCGGAAATAAGGTCCCGTAAACTTTGCTTCCCTTCTTTTGTCGTTAAATCTATACTGCAGTTCCATTTACCCCAGTTGAGATCAATATGTAGATTATGAAGATCTGGAAGTTTCGGGGAAGTGACACGCATGACGGATGCTCCTAGCTCAGCAAGGCCGCGAGATATCGCTGGTGCAGCAATGATTCGAGACATATCCACTACTTTGAGACCTGCAAGTGGTCTTTGAGAAGAACTCTGACCAGATGGAGTCGACCACCATGTTGGAACTTGTGCTGAGGACGGACAGTCGTGGATCTCAAACAGCGATACATGAGAATTTGCTTTTCCATGCTCAGTTTCCCGAAATGAAACAGCAGAATGGCAGATGATACCAGCTTGCTTGTAGACATCTGATACTTGGTGTTGCAATTTCTCGCTGTCATAACGCGAGAGTCGCTCGATAAAAGGTGCCACAGCTTCTTCATTGCTTGACACTTCCATGTTACGTGGAAGTCCAAGCATGTCCAAGGTGATGTCTGGCTGCAGACTCCCGTGAAGATTGAAGTAGCGCCCGTCCGCTGTTCTATAGATATTTGTGACCATTTTGCGGTACAGTGTTGTATCTCTCCCATGAAAATTGTAGTCTGGAATCATCTTATCAAGAAGATTTGCATTTTGAGTGCACGAGATAGCATCTTTGGAGTCGGGATTGATTGTCCATAAATAGCAAGACATCAGAAAGAGCTGAGCGTGGTCGGTGTTGATAGTCGCTCCTTCGACCGAAAGATCTTCTTTCTTCTTCATTAATGCGGCAATAAGAGTTGCCTCGAGGGCCTTGAGCGCTGCTGCTGACTCTGCAAAGCGCCAGTTGACGGGAATACTGGGTTCATTGTTGCCAGAAAATATGATCCGAGCTGAGAAGTCGACTGCTTCAGGAGGCAGGTGCTTTCTGATCCAGGCGTTATTAAGAATCCCTTCTTCAAATACCCGCCGTGCGTTCAATGGAACAGAGTAAGATTGCGAGGAGGCTGATTCATTCATCTTCAAAGGATCAAGCTTTGGAAGATTCAACCGATGCTTTTCGTTCAAGACTAATAAAGAAAAAGATGATACGTGGTTTAGATGAACACAGTCTGCATAAGAGGAACCACGAAGTCTTAAGAGACAGATATCTGCGACATTTTTCTCCGCGCGAAGCATGGCTAGATTTACTAGCGTTGACAACACGATACGGTACTTTTCCATTCCGATTCCAGGCTTTGTCGGACCCACTTTAGCGTTTCCCCCACGCGAAGCCTGGGGTAAATTATTGAATGATTACATGTGGTGACGATGCTTTTAAAACCGCAATTCCCTCAGATCCAAATGGCATTTTCAGAGGTCGCAATTCTCCAATTCAATTGATCGAGTTATTGCGCTGGGCGCCGGTTTCAATTGAATCAACATTCATCCAACGCATCAAGAATCGAGTGTCACGAACGCGTGTCCGAACACATGGCTACCCAAACAAACGACCCTCCTTGTGTTACCGAAGGTATGCCGGTACGTGATGAGGAAGCAGTTCGTCCAGAGAAGGCCTTTGAAGAGGAAAACCTGGATGAAGATCTCGAATTCGGCTATGATGAGCAACGGAAAATCATTCACCGCATCGACCGACGCTTGATTGGTGTTCTCGGCTTTTTGCATATGGTGTCTCTAATGGATAGGGGAAATATAGGAGCAGCTGCAATTGCTGGGATGAAGCAGGGACTAGATCTTGTTGGATTTCGATATGTCAGTCCCAACAAACTCCTTCGTGGTCAATCACAACTGATTCCTTTGATAAGAGCATCATTGCACTTTGTTTCTTTCCAACATACATTGTTGGTCAGGTATTTGGCTCCATTTTGATTCGCAAGCTTGGACCCGTTGGTTTCCTTTCGGGCACTACCTTTTTAATGGGTATTGTCATGGTATGCTCAGTCAACACTTCTTCTCGAGATCGATTACTGACATCAATGCAGATGTGCGGCGGATTTGTGAAAAAATGGTCTGAGATGGTGGCTATCCGAGCAATCATAGGTGCTTTCGAGGCGGGATTTTTTCCAGGATGCGTCTATTTAATTTCTACCTGGTATTCTCGCTATGACATGCAGAAACGATACGCTGTCTTTTACCTACTGGGCTGTGTTGCTTCGGCATTTGTGGGTATCTTGTCATATGGGATTATGCAAATGGTAGGTGACAGTCTCGCATGCTATTCAAAACTTCCATACTGATATTTGATTTATAGAATGGCCTAGCAGGAATTGATGGTTGGCGTTGGATTTTCATAATTGAGGGCCTAATTACTTGCTCCCTCGGCATTCTCGGTGCATTCATGCTGATTGATTTTCCTGACCGCATGAAAGTTTCTCGGCGTCACTTTCTCTCCGACAGCGAATACGACTTCATCTTACGTCGCATATCACGAGACCGCGGCGATACGGAGCTGGATGAATTTCATTGGAAGAAGTACTTCTCTGCAGCTCTTGATGTCAAACCTTGGGCTTTCGGTTTGATCTTCTTCTGTACGACTACAGTTGCCTACGCAATCTCCTACTTCATGCCTATTATCTTGAATGAAGAGATGGGCTTCTCGATAGGAGCATCACTTTGCTTATACGCTCCACCCTACGCAGCATCTGCTATCGTGACTTATGGCACAGCATGGTTCGCGGATAAGTACCGACTCCGTGGGCCTGTTTTGATATTCAATGCGCTCTTATGTTTGATTGGGCTGCCACTTATGGTAATTCATTATATCACTCCTACGAAACAATGAAAAGGTTGACATTCTGGTTAGGCATTTACAGAGAATACGGGATCTCGCCTTTTTGGCGTATTTCTGACTACAATTGGGCCCGTTGCCAACGTTCCAGCGGCAATGGCCTATCAGGCCAACAATATCCGCGGCCAGTGGAAACGGGCACTTTGCACTGCTGTGTTTGTAGGATTTGGTGGAACTGGAGGAATGGCTGGGTCGCTGGTCTTCAGGTCCCAGGATGCACCGTCATATCATCCAGGGATTATAGCTTGCATGGCCTGCAGCGGATTATTGATCCTTACTGTGCTACTACTATCGCTGCATTTCAAACGGTGCAACCGAAATGTTGATCAGGGGCTACTTGTTCTTGAGGGACTACCTGGATTTAAGTACACGTACTAGCTCACGCTCGAAGAATATCAAAGCCGTATATTATATTACAAAGCAAAAACATTCCGTGTCAAGGCATGACTAGCTGAGGGCTAACAGCTGTACCCTCTATCTTTCCTTCCCGTCCTGTTTTTCTCTTGGAGGCTCCTCGATAAGCTCCAGCTGCTGTGCCTGGAGAATCTGAGCCACAGCATCTTCGGTCTGCAGATATGTTTGGCTCCCTTTGATAAACCAGAATGTCACCGAAGCGATGAGCATAACACCAAGTACTGCGATCGCGTAATTCATGTTACTCGGAGTGGGGTTGGGGGTGCTGGGAAAGAGAAAGAAGATAGTCGTAATGATGCAGTAAATGATACTGATCCAGTTGAGAGCGGGGCCCCAACGGCCAAGGTCGTAGAGGGATGGTGGCATTTGATCACGCCCAGTGAATAGTAGGGTCACAATAGGTATCGCATAAGAAATGTTCAGAGCGATAGTGCTCACACTCAATATCGCTTGAAGCACGGTGTCGGAAAAGAGATACAGGAGACCAACAAGGCTGATCAAAATACCCTGGGCCCATAAAGCGCGAACGGGAGCTTTCCACACAGGGTCAACGTAGCTCAAGTATTTTGGCAAGCCGCCATCGCGCGCGAATCCCCAAGTTAGACGTGAGCTGGTTGTCACAACACTGACGCCCTGCCCTATTCCATTGATGGTAAAGAGAGTTATAAGTGTAGCACCCCCTTCGAGGCCAACAGTCTCCCGAACGAGGTCAATGAATGGTAAAGGAGCACGCAGAAGGTTACCCATATTTTGGATGCAGAAAAGGCATACAATCATGAAAATGAAGCCTGTTACTGCACCAAAAAGCACTGCCATCCAGATGATGCGTGGGACATTCTGGCGAGGTGCTGGTATTTCTTCGACCATGTGGATAACCGAATCGAACGCCGTCAATCCATATGCTGCTTGTACCATCCCTGTGAACCATACTACCCCATTACTCCAGCCGGTATTGTTGTTCCATTTCCCAAAAACGAAGGCTGCAGATTGGAAAGACAAGTCGCTTCTGATCCCCACTGAAATTAGAAGTGCCAGGGAGAGAACGACAAACATGCCGAGGTACCATATCGCAACAAAGTTGTTCAGCCATGGAAGTACCCGTTCCTTGCGACAACCAACAACATTGATGGCGGTCAAAAGAAATGTGACACCAACATACACCAAGAAATTGACCCACCCGCTGGGCTCCCAGGTCGGGTCAAACATGGTTTTAATCTCCAGCAGAAATTCCGCCAAGAACGCATTGAGAGAGGCTGCCGAAGTCCACCAGCCAAATGTATTTATCCAGGCGCACATGTAGGAAACGAAACGGCCCGTGGGTGTTTTCCAAAGTCGATATACCCAGTACGCCTGTCCAAGGGCCGTTGGCATGCTGCTTGTCAATTCGCCCAATGAAAGCGCGATACAAATGTTGCATGCGGTGACAACTATCATCCCCCAGAGGATAGAGATAGAGCCACCGTTGGTCAATCCTTCGCTAAGATCCTGGGCGAAAACATAATATGTGCCTGGAATCTGAATCAGCCATGGAAGGAAAAGGTAGTTGATGAACAATTAACATACCCAGGACGCAGAATGTTAGCGAAAGCATGCTCCACATATCGAATTTTCGAGTCAAGTCCTGGCTATGCCCCAGCATAGCAAGATCTTGCGCATCTTGTACATCTTGGTCGGATAGGCTTGGCTTGAGAGGCTGTTCCAGATCCATGTTAAATGAGCTGGTGCCGAAGAGGTCAAACAAGAAACAGAACCGTGGAAACTTTTCCTACCAAGCATGAAGAGCGGCATGGAATATTTATATCCTTTTCCAATTATAATGATTTTTCTGGCTTGTTAACCATGCTCTCAGTTTGATTGAAAGAAAGGAAGATAAGGTGACGTTTGCAGCGAATGAAATTTAGCGATTCCAGTTTTCGGGACCACACTGGAACCTTAGCATTCGGGGCCCTGCGATGGGTCGCGGAGATGCGGGGTATCCGGAACATGAATTGATAGTGATGAGTCTGCGAATAATGGATTTTACGACAGATTATTAATTGGTCGCCGACTCGAATCCCTTGTATCTTAGGGGTAAGCCGATATCTAAATGAGGAAAGAGGAGACGACCATAGTCTTACTAGTGATAGGTTTTAAGATGATCAATCATGGCGGCTTTATTTTGAGTTTATTGTAATAGTATCAGAAAAACCAGGCGAGAAGGGAGGGAAAAGCCTGGCTTGTTAATCATGAAGCCATAACAAATTAAAAAATTGTTGCCTGCTTATGCCTACCCATCCTTTTGCGTAGGCTTCTCTTTCCTTTCGCGGGAATTCCTATTACGTTTGTGCCCGAGCGGACTTTTGTCCGCTGTCGTATCGGGAGATAACAGCTCTTGAATTCAAGGTTAATGGATCTGACTAGCGCTAGAAACTTTTCTTCTTAATCTGACTGTCAATTATGTAATAGCGCAGATCTTCTAGTTAACTAATGCCCCAGATTTGGTACTATGATGAATACATGAGCGACAAATGCTCAGTCTAGAATTCATATCGCAATAATAAAGTGGTGGATATTTTATCTCCTGTGAATTTGATGCTAATTATCTGGACTATCTTTCAGAAACCGCCGCTGATATCAATGACAGGCTGTGTAGAGCAATGTATAACGCCACCGTTCAGAGGAAGGGCATTGACATGAATTTGCTTGACAATACGATCGGGGCACAGTGCCTTCATGGTCTCCAGTGCTTGTATGTCCTTTTGTGGATCCCCAAATCCAGGGATAATCAGCCCTCCATTGACAAAATAGAAGTTCACATAGTTGGTAGCAGGATCCTCATGCTTTGAACTCTTCGTAAACTTCGGGTCGGGTTCATCGATTGTGTGAATTTGAATTTGGCGACCAATTGCATCCTTTTCAAGTGTGAGTGCTCTTTTCACTTGCTCGTAAACTTTCCACCAATCTTTCGGGGCAGACTGATGAGGCCGAGAGAGAACAACAACACCAGGCCGAACAAATTGCACCTCCGCGTCCGCATGAACATCTGTGACATCCAGGTCTTTAAATCCCGGAAACCAGATAAACTTCTTAACTCCAAGCAAACGGCTCAGCTCTTCTTCGATAGTCTGCTTAGACAGTCCGGGATTTCGTTCGTTGTCAATGATACTGCTTTCACTGGCGATCAGTGTACCATCGCCATCGCAAACTATGGCGCCTCCTTCCAAACACACTTTTGATTCGATACAGGTCACTGGGGAAGGGTGGAAATCGTTTTCAATCACCCGTTTGGCGAAAGTTGAATTTTTTCGAATCTCATCTTCACCCAAGTCTGGCCACTCGTAATCGATCTCTAATCCATTCTGCAGAGAGATTTTGTTGCCCCATTCGTGAAACCTGAAGTTGATCGCTAGCCGCCTATCTCTGTCTTCTGGGTTTGAATCACCACCAATAACGTATACTGGCGCTGTATCGCGAACCCAGAGATGGTTGGTGTCGAATGGAATGATGTCGACCCCAAAGGAACCGCAGTCTTTGTTGCTAATCATTGATTGTGCCAATTTGACGTCTTCAGGCTTCGTGTATAGACGCACTGGCTCAAATTCGGATACTAACTTAGCCAGCTGAGATATTTCCTCACATGCATTGCGATAGTGGACAGGAGGCAATGAGCATTTGGAGGGAAATCCGAGAATTGTCGCAATATGGCGAGTAGTTTCAGCTGGGTATTCAAACCTGGCAAAGAAAATGTTAGATTCATATTCCAACATTCGTGGGTATTCTGGAGCATTGACTAACTTGGCAGTCATTGTTGCGGATGGGAGGCAAATGGTGCCAGACCGAAACCAATATCAGAAGGTGGCTCGACGTTTTCTTCTGAGTTTGTGGTTCAGGCCATTGGATGGTATTGGGAAGGGGTAAAATATATAAGAATTTGATTGCAGCGATAAAAATCAATTGTCACTGCCAGCGAGATATAGCTCGTTGTCCAAACTATTCCCTTACTCGCTCATGAGATTGCCTCTCGGAGTCCGCGGGCTGCGAAAGCGCGTTTTTCTCTCATGACACATGATCATCTTGACATCGACCCGTAGATAGAGGTGGATACTGAACCCGAGGCCAAACCCAACAGCGGACTTTTGTCCGCTCAGGCAAAAACCGGGGTAGGTATCTCCAGCCAATCGGATTCATCTGCCACGTTTTCAGATATTTGTAACTTGAGCCAACTCGAATCGCGGTAATCCTGTGAGGGAAAGTCCAAGCAATAGCAGGCAATTAAGAATTGTCCAATTCACAAGTCCTTCGAGTCTATCCCTTTCGATTTCAGGGGTCTCCACTGCTCCCGGATTGTCCGAAGAAGTAAGCCAATAGTGACAACTTGCGCCCTGGGTCAACTAGAAGGAACGTCAAATAACCAGTATCTCGTGTTCTCCCGATTAAGAGTTCTGAATGTTATAGAAATATAAAAGTTTGTTTGAGGACAAAGTCGGAGTTTGAACCATGGCTGCGTCTAGATTCAGGATCAGTCGCCTGGGTAGGAAAGCCAAAAGGGGAAGGCGACTCGAGAACTCCACAAAGAACTGGCATCCATCGGATGTAGTTCTTTTTCTTCTGCCCAAGCCGGATGTAATCTACTCAAGTTCTCAAGGCATGACTTGACAATTAGACGAGAGTGACGTAACATCTTCTCTAGACAGTTTCCGAGAAGGAGTTTTTTGGGTGAGAGTACTATCCCTAGCCAAGAGCGGGGCAAGTATTATCCATTGAGCTATATATACTGCGGGAAGCCCATGTTTAATGTTTAATAACCTCTCACGGGTTGAATTGTGCAAAGCGCATCAAGCCCCCCGGCCTTCATCTCATTCCACCTTGAACCCTTGAATTGGAAAGAGTAAGTCCTTCTTTGTTATTTGTTGCCAAATAAGATAATAATTTATGTGCAGGCCATGGAGGAAAGAGAAGAGTACATGAGTATTCTTGATGCAAGCATCTCAGACATTCTATCGGCACTTTCCGCGCGGCACATTACAAGCGTTGAATTGGTTGTGCGGTATATTCGCCGTATCAGCACTTACGATGCGGCTGGAATCAAACTTAGCGCCATTCCCATCCTCAACACTTCCGTGTTTGAAGAAGCTGCTGCATCAGACGCTCATAGAGCCATGGGAAACCCTCCCAGACCTCTTGAAGGCATTCCATTCCTAGTGAAGGATAATATCAAAGTCAAGGGAATGACAGTTGCCGCCGGCTCACCAGCTTTCGAAAACCTTGTTGCAACAGATGATGCAACTTGTGTCAAGCAGTTGAGAGCTGCTGGTGCCGTTGTCCTTGGCAGGACAAACATGCCTGCGATGGCCAATGGGGGAATGCAGCGTGGATGTTACGGTCGTGCAGAAAGCCCATATAATCTGGACTATCTAACCGCAGCCTACGCATCTGGTTCTTCAAACGGTTCTGCCACGGCAACCGCAGCTAGTTTTGCAGCTTTCGGTTTAGGTACGGAAACTGTGTCCTCTGGAAGATCTCCTGCGTCGAATAACTCGCTCGTTGCGTATACACCGTCAAGAGGTCTCCTTTCGCTAGAAGGAGTATTTCCTTTATACCCAACGTGCGATGTACTAGTTCCCCTCACACGGACAATGGATGACATGCTTCGCGTTCTCGATATTCTTGCAGTGAATGTTTCTAAGTCAACCGGGGATTTTTGGAACGAACAGCCCTTTGTTCCGCTACCGACGCCTGACGAAATTCGACCCGATTCTTTTTTGGAACTTAAAGATGAACAATCTTTGAAAGGAAAGCGGCTTGGAATACCCTCCATGTACTTGGGGGCGAAAGGCCCCGCGTCTATATCAATTCGACCTTCAATGATCAAGCTATGGGAAACTGCTAAACAAAGTCTGGAATCTTGTGGTGCAACCGTTGTGGAGGTTGACTTTCCGCTCGTGACGACATACGAAGCCTGTGACCCAACCACTGATCAGTGGGCAAATATTGAGGGTTTACCAGAGAGATGGCTCAAAACTGAGCGGTGTGAACTTATAGCTCATGTCTGGGACGATTTTTTGATTGCGAATGGCCAGTCTAACTGCCAGTCGTTATCGCAGGTCGATCCACACATGATCTTCCCACTAGAACCTGGGACACTACAGGGCGAAGATGAAGCAGACAACCAATTGAGTTGGCTCGATTTGGTGAATTATCCATCAAAGAAGCCAGTCTCTATGTTTGACCTCCCAGGCATGGACCCAGCCTTACAGGTGTTGGAACATGCAAGAAAGCAGACATTGGAAGATTGGATGGAAAGCAAAACTTTGGACGCAGTGGTCTTTCCAGCAAACGGTGATGTAGGACCCTCGAATGCAGATATTGACAGTGAGGGATCCCGGCTTGCTTGGAGGAACGGAGTTTTGTATTCAAACGGCAATCTGGCAATCCGCCATCTGGGTGTTCCAACAGTCTCAATACCGATGGGAATTATGGACGATATCAAAATGCCCGTAAATTTGACTTTTGCTGGAAAGGCTTACAATGACAACGCTCTTTTGAAGTTCGGATACGCCTTTGAAGCAGCAACTCAAAACCGCCGAAAGCCTCCCTTGGTGCCGGCCCTCGACTCTGATTTCATTGACTTAAAACCCGCAACTCAAATTTGCGGAGATTTTGCAAAATTGGGGCTACCTTCCATGGCAATCAAATTGAGGAGCAAAGAAATCAGAGGATCGCAAGTACATCTTCAAATTCAGGGCACGATGGATATAAAGAACTCCGAGCTCCAAGATATGTCTTGTTACATCAATGGCGTGTCCCAAAAGGTCTCCGTTAATGGCAAGAATTGGAAGATCGAGCTTTGTTACCCTATATCGGCTCGAGAGATGCCTCGGAAGCGGTGGAGAAGCCCAATGTTAGTGCGCACGATTTGTGTGGTTGTTTGTCGCACAACTGTTGGTCTCTCAGCTGCAGAATTGGTTATCTTGTAAAAGGGCTTTTGACATAGTGATATTTAGACTCAATGTTTTTGCAATTCAAGGCTTCGAGCTGCTCAGTGATCTAGCAAACTAAAGTTTTGATTCCTTCGCACCATTCACAACATCCTCAACAACCCTAGCCGCGGCCAGAGTCTCCTCGTCCTTGAAATGTCTCCCAGCAATCTGCAGCGCCACTGGTGCCTTCTCATACCTGTCGGGGCCTTGGTACTTCTTCCATTCCCTCTCATCTGTCTCGCTTCGTGGTATATACTTCGCATCATGAGCCGTTAGTTTGTCTAACTCACTATCAACAACCAGCCCCGAAGGGAAAACGGCAGCTGGTAGATCCAACACGTTCCAGATAGCCGTATAGTTCCAGTAATGTGACTCTCCCAACACAGCAGCCGCAGCCGGATACGCAGGACCAAGAATGAAGTCCACGCCGCGCCGTTTGAGAAGCGCATGGTACTCGTCGCGGTAGATATCCCGCGCTTCTTGGAGGGCCCATGTTTCGTGATGCGTGAGAGTCTTGCCTTTGCTGTAGGAGAAAGACCAGTCGCTTAGTGGGCGGGCAGGCTCGCCGCTTGCTTGGAGTTGTTTGTGTTGGAGGGTGGCCGCATCGGGGTAGTAGAGGGACGACTTGATATCTTTTTTTAACTTGAGTTTGAGGAATTGGATGAATGAAACTCACTATGATTTCCCAGCCATGGTCGTGGTTGTATGGTTCCCAATCCACGACTTTGATACCAGCTGCCACCAACTTGTCTCGCGCAAGGCGTAGAGCTCGGGTGATGGGCGGATGAGGTCGGACACAGCTGTATGTAATATGTTAGTTCAAAGAACTGAAACTAAGTTAAGGATAGTGATGTAACTTACCCGTCATCCCACATAATAGCAATAGTAAAATCCCTGCTCGGAATCACCCTCTTCCACGGAAGGGGGACTAAGGACGTATCGACATCCCATGGCTCCTGGTCCAGTACAACACGCTGGAACAACTCCAGATCCTCCAAAGAGCGACTTGCTAATGGCCCTACGACACCGCGAATAGACTCCTGGCCCACCGCGGCAACCTTGATGCCTACAAGCGGGTTGCGCAGTGCTGTGGGCCGGAACCCATAAACGCCGCAAAACGCTGCAGGGCATCGGATCGACCCGCCGATATCTGTGCCAATGCCTAGTGGCGCACAGCAGAAGCCCATTGAGGCGCCTTCGCCACCTGAAGAGCCGCCGGGGGTAAGTTCACGGTTGTGCGGGTTGAGTGTCTGGCCAGTGATGTTGTTGCTGCAGCAAAGGTGCTGTTGTATTTTAGTCTAGGGTTACATGTCGGAAGAAGCATCAGATTAGAGCTTACCATCAGGGACTGAGGTTGGTTTGTTCGCACGTGAAATATGGCTCCTGCGTTTGCAAGCAACTGTAGCAGCATCGCATCTTCTGGCGTAACCTTGTCGATCCTGTGATGTTGTTGTCAACTCCTCTTTCTCTTTTCCTTTCATGATCACCCCATACCAAGAGACGTATCCTGTATTGCAGGTGCGGTTCTTGAAGCCAATGTGCTCTTTGACGCTAATAGGGACACCATGCTGCGCGTTGGTTGTATTATTAGTTCTCCGAATAGAACTCTACAAACAGGATGAACCCACTAGAGGGCCAATCAATTTCCCCGTCTTCTGGTAATAAGCATCCAATTCTTTAGCGCGAGCAATAGCCTCATCAGCCATAAACTCCGTCGCAAAATTCAGCTATATGGGGGCACGCGAGAACGTCAGCGACGCATCATTGAAAAGTAGGGGGGAAAATTGAGGGTTATTCACCAGCTGATGCCCCAGAACGGCCCTCTTCAAGAATGCGACAACCACTTCCTCGGCCGTGAGACTGCCCTTCCCCATCTCCGCCACCAGTACCGTGGCAGGCATGTCGGTGATACTGAGCTCACGCTCACTGAGCAATCCGCTCTGCCGTGGAAAGGCCATGACATTCTTCTGTGTTGCGGGCGGGAGCTTATCGGCGGAGAGAAGCCATTGTTTTGGAATGGAGTTTTGTAAGATGTCTCTACCTTTCTGGGCTTTCATTTCCCAGCTCTGGAGCGACATGATGATTGTAGAGGTTGTTTGTTTTTAGGACAGGGCGGCATCTACAGGTGTTGAGTAGAGTGAAGTCAAGAGGGATGTGGGAACATAAGAGCATATTAATTCTCCTCATTTCCTCAATCCCCGCACCGGGCCAAGCTGCTCCTATCTCGGAGCCAGAGTACATATCCCTAGTCATCACAGCCGAGCGGAGACCCCCGCATCTACTCGTGAGGGTTCATACTTGTCTTATCATACGCTAGTTATTTGACGATCATCCGCGGAGAAATTCCGTTGTTATCTATGCCCAGCACCCCAACTGTTATGCTAATATTGATCACGTCGAATGGCATTTATTGTTGAACCCAAAAAAGAGTTCATTTACTGTATAACGAGAGAGCGTTACTTCATCGATGAATAACTTGGTCCCCCATAGTAGCCATGAATAAGGACAATTAAAACCTCACGACCGCCCAAGAACGAACTAAGGGCTAGTTACCCACAGCAAGTCAACTCCTCGCACACTGCCCCACAAACAATCTGGCAACGGGGACTCGATCTCTGATCCTTTGTGGCGAGAGTCATACTGCCATGGTCTACCCCCGCAAGTATTTCGGGTTGCAGCGTTGTCGAATGAATGCCATACGCGTGGAAACACTCATTGATAATCTTGGCCGTTTTCAAGAAGTTGGTAACTGAGAGGTCGTTAACTACTACATGTACTGAGGCAAGTGATTTGTGTTGGTTTAGGCGCCAGATGTGCAATTCATGGATGGAGTGGACACCGGGGACCTTGTCAAAGTCGTTAATATCCAAAGAACCAACGAAGGCGGATAAACACATTACTTACCTGCTCCAAGTCGTGTTGCACATCCTTCATATCCACTCCCGTCGGTACACTTTCCAGCAGAATGAGTCCAGATCTCCGAACTAGATGTATGCCATGTTAGGTTGCTGCGCTTATCTGGAAAGCGGATCATCTTACCCAGCGGGAGAGATGATAGCATAATCATCATTGCGATCCCCATACTTACACCTGGATCTGCGTAGTACCGACCATCATACTTGGCGAACCAGATGACCAAAGCAGCAATCATGACGCCGAGGTTGTTTGCGGCATCACAAATAACATGCAGAAGAACTCCCCACGTTCCGAGATCACCATGGCCATGGCTATGATCATGGCTACCAGTCACTGAAGAGCGGAGCTTTTCAGAACTATGGTGCTTATGGTTATGATGCTGTGAAGTGACCTTGTCAGTAGATATCTCATGGGGTGGAATGACAACACACCTTGGAGAGAGAATCGTCACAAATGTCACTACTCGGTGAAATTGGATCTTCTACCGATGGCGACGAGGCATGGGCATGGCCGTGGTCATGCTCTTCAGACAGTTAGTGGCCTGGTGATGCGTGGTCAAGTCAACAAACAACCTACCATGCAAGAATACTGCGCTAATGATATTGAGGCCTAGACCGATGCTCCCAACAATGAACATAAGTTTGGGATTCTCAACGCCTGGATTCTATTTTAGCTAGATTTCCATTACAGCAGCAAGAAGAAACTCACGGTGCAGGGAGATAAACCGCTCGATTGCCTGCAACAAGATACTGATACCCAGCGCAAACAAGAGCACGCCATTGAAAAAGGAAGCCAGAAGCTGAGCTCGCTGCCAACCGAAGGACAGGCCTTTGGGCGCTTCATCACTCTCGGAGATCTAAGAGGCGCGGATTAGATGACCACTTGGTCTTTCACGAGATTTTGTCGAGGTATACCTTCAAAGCCACGAGGGCAATCACAAATCCAACCAGATCATTCAACTAGGAAGAATCAGCAAAATACTACGATATCTTGCGGGTGCAGGTGGCTGTTGCAATCACATACATAGTGAAAAGCATCTGCTATGAGCGCTAGCGAATGCGTGTAAAAGCCCACTATTTGAGTCAGCGTGTACTTTCCGGATCACATGAAAATGTAGTGGCAGACCAGAGATTTCGCCGAGAAAGAAGCAGGTCGAGATGCCAATTACAACCATCAAGCGCGTCGAGCGCGACAGGCGAAAGGGCATTGTGAAGGTGAAACCCCCGATTAGGACTGACTGAGTGCCCAGGGATTGAGATCAAGCAAGTAAATTTCTTGCGAAAAAATTAACAAAAAGGGCCCGATGGTCTGCGGATATGTCCCAAAGACGGTGGAGAGTACTCACTCTGACCAGAAACTCGGAAACAGTTGTCAACAAGAGAGGAGAGACATAGCCGAGAGTACTATGTCCAAACACTCCGAATGCTTTCCCACAAGGTAGTCAGGAAAACCACGGCTGGTGTCGCGATGTCAGTGGCGGTCGTGTAACTCTAGATCAGCGTTGGAGGGGCCTGCCGCAGCCAAGTATGTGAGGACGACGCTGGTATGCGGGATCCCTAGCGGAGGGTGCGCGATGTCCGGACAGACGTTACTAAAATCAGTTGCATCAAGCATGCTATTTATTTCGGCAAAATATCCGATTGAATTTGTTCAAAAAGTGCTTGCGAGTCAGCTGCTGGTGTCAATTAGGGTTTCGCATAGACTTGCGACGCAACCGCTCCATGAATCAAGGAAGAGCAACGGAGAATTCTACAGGGGCTCTGGCAATATCCCGACCTTCAATAACGCGTCTTGATTAAGCTTACTCTGTGCAGATCGCTAAGCGAAGAATGCCAGACTGGAGGACTTCCCGATATGGCACAATCAAGTAGTACAGAACAAGATCAATGACTTGAAGTCGGATTTGACCTAACTTGATATGGGGATCTGAAAGTAGATCTTAAGCTATAGCCTAAGGGTAGTCAACCAACCTTGGAAGTTTCCAATCGAAGTGTGTATACATAGGAGGGGAAAAAACGAATACGAAAAATAAAAGTGATATAAAAAAAATGTATATCTATATGCACGGTATATCTCTAAATACAACCAACCCCCATCCCAACCCTCGAAATTTACACCCACACCAACATCTAATTACATCACATCACATATTATCCTCACTCCAATGCGACCTAGTCTTCATCCACGCCTTCCTCTCCTCCATAGACTCACTCTCACTCACCCCACCACCAGGAACAGCCACACCACGCTCAACCCACTCCCGACTCCCCATCTCGGACAGACGGGACAACGCCCGCGCAAAAGCGAAGCGTTCCTCGTCGCCGCTGAAGATAGAGGAATTCTTGAGTGCTTGTACAGACATGCCCAGGTCATCCATGAGGTTGCGCATTGCGTCTGAGATGTCAGAGTGGTCGTCGTCGGCGTTATTGCCATCGCCCTTGTCCTTGCCCTTCAGGGAGTTCTTGACGTCGGTATTGGAGAGGAAGATGTTTGAGAGAGGGACTTCGGTTGTTAGGACTAGTTTTGCCTGTTTTTATGTTTCCTTGTTAGCCTATGATGATTATAAAAGGGGGCGGGAGGGGTTGCGTACCCTGCTTTCATAGACCGCGTCAATGAAAGTAATGAACCGTCTAGCTAGATCACGCTGGTTATGGCTCATAGACGGTACATCCGTAACAATAAACGCATCGTAATGGCGCACCAACTCCAGATAATCTGCTGCGCCAGTAGCAGCCCCGATCAGCTGCTGAAAGGTAAACTGCGCAGCCTTACCGCTCGCCAACGGAACCTGGATATTCCGTCCCCAAACATGCTGCGTAGCCGGGTGTGGAGGGTCATTGATCGGATCGCCCAGGAAATCAAACCATTTCTTCGCGTGGCGCTCCGCGTCCTCGCCTAGGGGGTGGTGATATACCGCTGCGGGTGGGCGGGGGATCTTGCGGTAGTCTGTTGGCGAGTTGAGGTTTATGACGTTCAAAGAGGATTTGAGGAGGTTGATGCAGGGAATGAAGGATTCGCGCTGGATGCCGTTTTTGTACAGGTCGTCCGGGTGGCGGTTGGATGTTGTGACGAGGACCACGCCGTGGGACATGAGGGATTCGAGAAGTCTGACGTGCGTCAGTATAGGTTTTGCTGGCTGTCATTAGGGGAGAGGATGTGAAGAATCATACCTCCGCAAGATCATGGCATCAGCAACATCCGTACACTGGAACTCATCAAAGCAAAGCACGCTCGCCGTCTCCGCAATATCCGCCGCAACCATCGGCAGCGCGTCAAAGTCATTCCCATACTGCATTTTGACAACATGCATACGCTTATGGACATCCTGCATGAAATTATGGAAATGAATCCGCGTTTTGGCCGTGATGTTTGGTGGGAGCGTGTCAAACAACAGGTCCATCAGCATGGTCTTGCCACACCCCACATCGCCATACATGTACAGTCCCTTGGGCAGGTTCTCGGGGACGGAGCGTGCGGCGGCCTTGGCTGCGTTGCCGCGGTTGAACAACGAACCGAAGAATGACTTCTTTGCTTGCAGGTCCAGGGACTCGACGCTGGGGTGGATGACTTTGGGGGCGTGGTATCCTTTCAGAGCTTCGAATAGGGACTGTAGACTCTCGACGATGCCTGTCAATCACGATTGTTAGTATTCGTTTTCGACATTTGACTCTCCCTCCCATCAATCAGACCAACCCACCTCTCTGATACGAATCATCCCGCAATCTCCCCTCCTGCACACGAATCTCATACTCTTTCAACGGCCCATCCGTCGGCTGCGCAGCCGCAGTCTCCTTTTTCGTGACAGTCTCCACCTCCGTAGCAGCATCCGCGCGAACGGTAGCCAACCCCCTCCCTCGCAGCAGTGGTGCGCGCGTCGCAACAAGTGGTGGCGACGAGACACCACACCCGACCACCGAACCAGAGGAAGAAGGTTGTCTCCAGCGCGTGTTCTCAACTTGCACAGCCCTCCTCCAGTCGGTGGAATATGGCCGTTCGCGAGCTGCCGCACTTTGCAGCGTCACAGCCGGACGCACGCCCCGTGGCGAAGACGACCGCAGCGCCCCGGGGAGGCAGTCGGCGCAGAGCTTAGCGGACGGCCTGCTCATTGGGATTGGTATGGTAGCTTTGCCTCTCCGTCAGGAAATTAGAGGATGCGGGAGGAGTGCGCACGGCGTTGGGTGCGGATCGCACGGTGAGATGTGTAACCGAGGTAAGGTAGTGTTTGCGGGAATTGTGTTCTACCGGAGGATGAAAAGTATCGGGGGCAAATCTGGCACCCGATCCAAGTAAGTGGCAACCCGAAAAGTAAACCCACTGGGAACGCTTGAATGAATCCGCAAGATTTATTAATGCAACAAAGCAAATAGCCTAGTGTTTGCGTCATTTCTATCTCGTTCCTGAGACCAAACAAATCCGCCCCGTTGCATCGGGGTCAGATGACTAAACTCGGGTTTGGATCGGCGGACAATAGACTGACTACACCGTGAGAGTGGGAGGACAAAGTATACCAGAACACTACCTATATGCACTGAGATGAGAAGGGAAAAGAGGATATGTACACGTCACCGCAGCAGCAAAAAGCCCAAGGGGATCCAGACTCGAATATAGATCAGACGGCAAAGAACAGCCCAGACAAAGTCATTGACAAAAGAAAAGTAGATGTCAGGAGAAAGGTGCAGAAAATGGAAACAAATCACAAGAAGATAAAAACCATGGCCGTACATCACGCATCATATTCGTAACAAAATCGCGCTCTTGTCATCGCTCCCTCCGGCAGGAACCAGTCGAATGTCGCTCATAAAAAAGGATGATGATGATAATGATGATGGGAAGGGCTCGAAAAACGAACAACCCCAAAACGCCAAATGCACCGTAACTCGTTGCAAAAAAAAGCACAATAGACAAAGCAGAAGGGTGGCAAGCGGATTGCAAGTCAAGTCAAGTCGAGCATGAACAAATTCTATCATCGGGAGAAAAAAGAAAGGCATTCTTTGTTGATTGGTTGGTTGATTAGGCGATGCTGACGAAGAGAGTCAGCTTGGTATTCCGCTGCATGGCATTTTCGAGGTCCTGGTCGGAGATCAGATCGACGTAGGAGCCTGAGGACTCGTCGCGGTACTGCACGATGATCTCCTCTTGGATCTTGAGGCGATCCGACAGCTTGTCCTTGAGATGCTGCATGCTGACTCCGGACGGAATGCGGATGGCAATCAGGTCGTCCTGGAAGAAGACCTTGACTTTCATCGCCTGGGAGCCCGAGCTCGACGAGACCTGGGTCAGCGAGCTGGGCTGGCGGTTCATGGCTGGCGGGCCGCCGTTGCTGAAGGGGCCGGGGCCCCCTTGGGCGCGCTGCTGTTGCTGCGAGGCCCGGTCTTGGGGTGCGTTCATCTGGGTCAGCGAGGACTGGTGGGATATGCTCTGCTCCATGCCGGCGGAGTGGTGTGAGTTGTCCGAGTACCGGGCCTCCTCGCCAAAGGCGTTGGGGTCGATTTCAAAGTCCCCTTGGCGTGGGGCGAACAGTTGTCGGACTAGTTGGCACCGCGCAATGTGCGGCGGCATGCCCAAGAGCTTCTTGATGTACTCATCCAGGTTCTGTCGTCGGCCGTTGGAAATCGCGTCTGTCACATGGGTCACCGGGCCCGGCATGAAGGGGAGAGTCCGTGGCCGGCCTCGGTTGCCGGCCTCGTCCTCGAATTGGGTCAAGAGGGCGATCTGGAAATCGTAAAAGTCGTGATAGTACCGCGACAGTTCCCAGCAGCGGCCATCCTCCATCTTCGCCTCGATGATATACCAGTACTTGTCGTTGTCGAAGCAGTAGCGCGGGATCGACGCGGCCACGGGTGCCAGCATGTAGTTTTGTGGAGTCTGGGACATGGGTGCTTGTCCAGCCATGGTTCCTTTGCTGCCGTCGCGCTGGTGATAGCCCTGTGTCGGGTGGTTAGCATTGCCTCAACGCGCACAGACAGAAAACAAGCACTCACATAAGAGTTCCCATTTTGGCTCATATGGCCAGGACTCTGGCCACTCAGTGACATCTTCTCCATGCCAGCACCGACAGCCAGCATGGTACCGCCACCGCCGGCTTCAATCTTGCCCAGTGTGATGCTGCTATTTTTGTATTCGGCCGTCATCTTCTTCCACTCTTCCACCTTGGGCACGCCGGCCCGTCGCACCGCCTCGAGCGGATCAGTCACAGCCTGTCCAGACTGCATGTCGCGCAGCTCGATGAAGGAAACGGGAATGAGGCCGGGGCCACCGAGACGCCCGATCGGTTTCGCGACAAACCACTCCGGATTGGACTGAGCGATGACGATAATAGCCTCGCCAGCCTTGGCGTCGAGCTCGTCGGGGCGTTCGGCCTGGAAATCATACTGAACGATGCCGTAGACCATGGCGCCCTGGCCCTTTCCGAGGGCGGACATCCTGAAACCGGCCTGGCGGGTGTTGATGGATGAGGAGGAGTCGGAGGCGGAGTGAAAAGGAGGGTTTCGGTCGGCGAAGCCTGAATCGTGGGACTCTTTTTTCTGGTCGACGGAGCCCCCACTATCTCGTTCGTTTTTGCCGATGATCTCGAAAAAGGAGACGGGCACCAACCCCCTGGCGGTTGGGATGAGCGGGTTGCAGGCCTCGTACCAGTCGGAGTCGTCCTCGCGGCTGATCACGTGGAAGAAGTCGCCTTTGCTGAAGGCCAATTCCTGGGTGTTACCGGGGTCGGGCTTGTAATCGTAGAGGGCTTTGATCACCTAGCGCGAGGAAAGAATGGGGGTCAGCCCGGGCGGTAAGGCCAAGTGGGACGCAAGGGCAGGACAGGGCCAAGCGAATAATCAACACTTGAGGAGGGCCAGACTCACCTTCTTCGGGGGCAGAATGGCCAGCGCGGACTTGGGGGTGATGGAGATGTGGTGGTGGTGGTGGTGCTTGGGATCTTTCTCGCCGCCCTTCAAGGAGCGTCGGATGGCCTGAAGTGAGTGGTGGAGGAGTTAATTACGTGGCTGTAAGATTCGGGGCTCTGGGCATCCAAACGCACCTTCATGCTGAAGCCGTATCCTGAGCAAGGAAGCTGGCGTTGAGATGGAAGGGAGACAGGGAGAAAGAAAGAAAGACGAAAGAAGAAGAGGGAGGCGAAGGGAGAGGAGGGGAGAGAGACGACGAGGCCTTTTTTTTTTTTTTGGCAGCAACTGGCAGCAAGTGTATTGCGGTTCCAACCACACAGCCGGCGGGATCCAAAGATGTGAAGTACGCTAAGTGTGGTTTACAATATGAGGTAGGCTAAATAATTAATTCTTCAGCGGCAACAAAGGGGCCAAAAGAAGATTCGACAACTATATCACCAATCGCATGGCCCTATCCTCACCTATACCAACTCCCAGGGGAGTGGTCCAGCGCCCCATGCAGTCAGCGCTTAACTACGCCCTCCTCGACATACTCCTCCGTTCACGATTCGTGTCTCGAGGAAAACCACTGACTTCTTTCCCCCTCAAACCCCACTCCCATTCATCCGCGGTTAGCCAACCCCGGTCCCGTGGCTCACTCGGTTCCTTATCCATCGCAAGTCACTCGGATCGGCAGACAAGAGAAAATCTGCACTCTGCCGATCGCCTGCATGGTTATTGTGCGACCGCGGGAGATGTAGTCGCGATCGCAATGAACACGGAGTCCTCGAGGGTTGGTGAGAGCTGAAGAACTAGGGACTTGCTGGTACATCACAGCTGAGCAACTCTGCGGATCCTTGCCCCTTACAAGCTATGATGTCAGTGGTGCTGAACCCTTCGGGACTAACAAAGCGATCAGGCCAGCCTGGCGGGCCACAACTCGACACAGGCGCGTGTACCTGTCGAATTCTAGAATTTCGAGACTGTTGCCACTATTATTACCGTCTCACACACATAGCGAAAGAATGAATGCGCCACTGGATTGTGGGACCCACGTGGCGGGGCAGGATTCGGATCCACGGAAATAAATGAATGGTTTACTATACTGAGTATACGGTGTGAAAAAAAGGGAGAGAAGTGCGTGAAAGAGACTAGTTGTCTGCGCTACCATGGATGTACCACACATCCTCCCCCATATCACAACGCCAGGAACGGAGAATCACACACAAAAGAAGATGCCGTCGGGGGTATTAGTATCATCGCGAGCCCTTATTGGGTGGTCAGGTGGACAGACCGGGTAAAAGTGGGAATGCAGAAAAGAAAAGGGAACAAGCAGAATGAAAAGTGGCGCCAGAAGAAACGCCGGGTTCTTGTGGAATGCGGGGATGAAAGAAAACTAGATCTGCCCTTTAATGTCGACGACGCGGTGGGCTTCGGACTTGGCTCGTTCAAAGACCTGGCCCGCTTTGCCGGTCAATAGTCTCACGGACCCCTCCCGCTCCTCGAGAAGGGTGTCCGACGCATGATCTAGGATGAACCGGGCGGTCTGCTCATCAGACTCGAAGCCGAGTTCCTCCGTGATGAACCGAATAGTGACGTCGGGTTTGTACCTATCAAGAATCAGCTATGCCTCGGGAGGGACGGGGGAGGAGACTCACACTCTACAGATAACGGCCAGCGCGGAGAGGCGTTCGCGGTCAACAAACATGTCCATCAGATACGCCCCCATATTCGGTGTGTCGAGATACAACTGAAAGAACCGATGGTAGTTGCCCAGCGCCAGGACGGACCGAACCTCCAGGGCATGCTTAACGGCCGGGTCTTGCCTGTCTGCGGCGGTCACATCGGCCAGGGCGTCATTCATGGCCGTCCAGTTGCGGGTGTAAATGAAATAGAGAATACGATACGCCTTGAACTCCGTTGGGTGGCCGCCCAGCTGCTGCGCGTACAGCACCCGCAGCTGCGTCTGGCACTGGTTATACTCACCAAGATCCCCCTTCTCCAAGGCAATCCGCGCGTGGATTTCGTACACAAGCACCGTGAACTCGGTCCGGATGTGCTGCACTGTCAAGTCCTGGCGGAGGGATTTGAACTGGTCACAGATGTACCCGTAGTTGGCCTCTTGTCTCCATTTTTTCTTCAGGAGATCCAGGGTCTTTTCCAGCACCACGAGTGGACGGACAGTGTCCGGATTGGGAGCAGACGTCAAACGGAAATAATTCTTCTCCAGGGTTTGGCAGCGACCAACCACCGGGCCCTGGTCGGCAGCGGCACTTTGGACCGGAGAGTGCGCAGGAGATGGGGAGTAGGGGGAGCCATAGCCACTTCCGGCGCCCTCGAAGCGTTTCTTTCTCATTTCCAAATTAGCTTTGGACTTACTAGAGTCGTCCAGGGTCAAGCGCTGCCTCTTTTCTGTGGGTGGGTAAGTGACTCGATCTTCGAAACCTCTGCGATGATTAGCTTTCCTCCACGGTGGCGAGCTGGTCTCCGGCTGGTGGCCCTCCATGGATTTTCTCTTGTGCGGCGAGGATGGTTGTCCGGCAGCAGCCCAGTTCGAGATACTGGGGTTGGCCAGAATCTTGTTGCGCTCATTCTGGACCATCACCTGGGGGAGTGCTAGCCGTTCCCAGTCGATGGATTCCAGTTGGTTGGACTCCGCCGCGTTGGTGATGACATTTTTCAACTTCTCTTGCATTTCTGCATTGCTAACACTTGCGATCTGGTTTTCTGGCGCAAAGCATCGCTGCACATACGATCGTACAGCCGGTGGGAACTCGATCCGCTTTCGCTCGGAGTCGGCTGTCGTAGGCATGGTCGGCTGAGCGGCAAATCCGTTGGAGGCTGTGTGGGTAGACTTATTAGAAGTCAGGCTACGGCGTGCTTGCACCGGGATATAGGCTGGAGGTGCTATACAGTCATCAGCATGATCCCGATGAAAAAGTCGGTCAAGGAGAGGATCTTACCAGTCTGATGAAATAAAGATGTGCTGGAAGGCGAGGCAGTTGCACGCCACGGCGGGACGCTGGAGTTCATTCCGTGGGATGTCTAGAATAGATGCAAAACGGACGAGGGAGAAGACTGAGAAGGGAGAAGCCTAGCCGAGGCTGGGAGAGAGAGAGAGGAAAGAGAGACTTTGAGAGAGAAAAGAAAGTGGATGGATGCGATAGAGATAAGGAGAGCTACGGGCTGGGGTCGATCAGATATGTGAGACGAGAGAGAAATCGTGCGGGCGAGTAGGAGAAGATGGCGTATTGTGATGGCAAGGGAGAAGAAAGTGAAAGTGCAGAGGCAAGCGAAGCGGCGGAATATCCGTTTCTCCGGAGTACGCCCTTATCGGGTTATCAATCGGAGTTTATCAGGATCTGTCTAGGCCAAGGCGACCACTGACCTCATCCAAGGCTCTCTTAGCTACTCGCTATATGTGCGCGGTACTCTATTACACATATATCGATGGGCTTTGGGGGGATGGGAGCGCCTCCCTAGCTTCAAATTACCGAGCGAAATGAGGGTCATGACTTGCGTGATTAAACCATTTATCATGGGAAATATCTAGAATGCCTGGATAATGTTTTACACGTCAAACTTATTGGGAGTAAGGTTTTGTTACAGACCTGCACCGTGGCCACTCCTTCAAAGTGTGGTCGGGGCTTCCCAACAACGAAGCACGTACCACAAGACAAAGAGACTTTGAGGAACTGGACTCAGAGATACTGCAGGATAGTATCGGCGATGTAATCACACGGACCAAAAGATTAGGAACAAGACCCGGGACATTAACTATTGCCCTTCTCTTTTGTTCTATTTTTGAGTTGATCCCGGGCTGATTCTCAGTATATAGATGTGTTGATTCTGAAGACTAACAGTGACCTAAACATTTACAAGGAGATGTCGCCACAAACAGAGTCTGGTACCTCGAGCCCTCCCAGCTCATGCGGCTTTCCTGCGAAACTAAGTACATCCAAGAATTGCCAAGTGTAGATTTAACCTTTGGACTGGTAAGCTATTCTAAAAGGGCAATTAATGAGATGCATCGCTAATGACAGCTCGGCCGATGCTTTCGCTTAAGGCTCCTTCAAGATCTTTGCCAAAGCCCGACACTCGAGGTTGAAAACGTTGCGAAGTTGAGAACACCGTGAATTAAACGCCACACATAAATTTCCAACATATTGAAGATAAACTATTCAACATAGTTTAGAGTATCATCGGATCTGTAAATGGGTGTGAATCAACCGTATTAGGACATTTCTTTATCAAGTTGTCTAAATTGCGCTATTTACCATTCAACATTTGGAACAAGTCTTAATTCATACAACTGTGAGAATTCTTCTTCAAATGCTACCGCCTCTGAATATGATCTTCTCCGGAGACAGCCGTGAAGCACTAGCAGCTTGACCCTCTCTTTCACAATATTATAGCAAAAAAAAATCACATCGAAGAATCCCGGCGGGACAGGATGGTCTTAAGGCACTACTAGCCTGAATGTCGGGACAGATTTCGAGATAAGGCATTTTAACCTCGTATTCTATCTCCTAGAACGGACGATCTATGTCTAATTCGATCATAAGGCATGAGTCATGAATTTTATCGAGAGGAGATCCTGTCAGATGGTCTCAGCGCCCGTTAGTTCGGTCTTTACTGAGGGGTTAGTACTGCGCCAGTTCACTAAGCCGTCCGACTCGCAGGGAGGTGGCAGCCACCCTCCTACTGACGCATGGTGAGAAAGAAGCGGGGTTCATGAGCTCATATTCATCGCCTGAGGAAGTGAATCTGCGCTGTAGGATGCGTCATACCGAAGCGGTGCCATTCGACGGTTTTCGGTGGGGCTGAGTCCTGGTTACGCGCCTCACCCTTTGTTGCAATCAGGCGCCTGGCGTATCTATTGTTAGTCGGCCAACGGTCAGTCTTCTCTAAGCGCTAGCAAATCGCCCTGACAGGGCAAGGTCCCAGAACGTATTCCTTATAGCCCTCGATCGATATAAGTTGACACGCAGGCTTTCTGCAGCGCTTCAGTTCATCAATATTTTGTTAGCGTGGCTTCACTTTAAAGTCACCGATTCTCAGTAAAATCCGCGAAAACTAGTGAATAACCTCTACCAACAAATCCTCAGTTCGAGTATCTGCGAGTCTTTGACAACATGATTAGCTTTGGATACGGCGTGGGAGATATTCTTACCATCCTCAATCTTACGAATGAGCTGCGTAAACAATTCAAATATGCTCCGCCGCACTACAGGATTATTGCTGATGAGTAAACTATCCAGGACACTGGGATGAATGAGGTGCCATTTACTGATGTCAAATTAGAGTCGGAATGCTGGCAAAATTACTGCAGCCTATGACTACTGAGAATTATGATCGGCGCCTCAATGAGGAGCAGAAACAAGTTCTGCATGCTATTTCACAGAAATGCAAGATTGTGTTGGAAGACATGCAGAACAGGCTGGATAATCATCGCGAACTTGACACCAACATATTCAATTTCCAGGACACATTGCAGTATATTTGGAAGAGATTTACGTGGGACCGAGCTGAAATTACTGAATTTCAACGACGCATGGGGGAAAGCATTAATGCCCTCACCCTTTTTCTGGCTGATATTAATTGGTATTGACTACCCTTCTACGTCTCTAGAGGTTAATTCTAACATGTGATAGTCAACTAATTTATGAAACAAAGCTCTTGACAAATTTGACTCAGGAAGGAATCGAGCATCTAGTCCAACGCCACGACGACCAGGACCGTCAGACCCTCCTGAACTGGCTGTCTCCAATCAACTATGCCGCCAAGCAAGCCGATACCCTCAAGTTTCGGCATAATGGTACCGGAAAGTGGTTTTTAGAAACTGACGAGTTCCAGAACTGGTTGCATCAAGATCATGGCACCAGCGATTGGCGCACTCTTCTTTGTCTAGGTAGTCCGGGAACGGGAAAGACACTCATGATGTCTATCGTGGTCAACGAACTTCAGAGTATGGCGCAGCATGACGACACAGTTCAAGTTGCCTTTTTCTACTGCAACTACCGTGAGAAAACGACGATTGAGGACATATTCGCAAGCTTCTTGAAGCAGCTCGTTCGTCCTCTGCCGTTGCCCTCCAGACTGAAATCTCTTTATGAGATGCACAAAAAAAGTGAGAGTAATCTCAGCCTCGAGGAGATCTTAGAGCTTCTACGACTAGTCATCTCTGATCTTTCCAAAGTCTACTTTGTTATCGATGCACTTGACGAATCTCATCTACCCCTTCGCCAGCAACACTTGATGGTTGCCAAGTTATCTGAGTTTCAGGTTGAGCATACTGTGGGCCTCCTTGCAACTTCCAGAGATAATCCAGATATTGTGGATATTTTTGAGACTTGCCCAATTCTAAGAATTCAAGCACAGAATACGGATTTAAAGAGTCTCCTCGACAATTCACTACAAAATCTCCCTCGTTGTGTCCAAGGGGACCCTAAGCTACAGGACGAGATATTAACTGCTATTATAGATGCAGCTGATGGAATGTGAGTCAAACATAGGTATTTTTCTTCTGTAATAAAGGAACTGAAGATGAAAAAGGTTTTTACTTGCCAGCTTGCAGCTTCGCTCGATTGAAGAAGATAAAATGTCACCAAATGAGGTTCGTATCCAATTGAGAAGCCTTCCTCGTGGCCTGGATACAGCATACAAAAATACCTTGGACAGAATCAGAAGTCAATCTCCTGGAAATGTTTCAAAAGCAAACGAAGTCCTGTCCTGGATTGTGTGTGCATCACGGCCACTAAGACCACTTGAGTTGCAACAGGGCATTTCCATTATTCCTGGGAAAACCGAGTTTGATGAGGACGATCTCACGAACTTAGACGACTTACTCTCTCTATGTGCAGGACTGGTTGTCATTGATGAGCAAACCGACTGTATACGCCTGGCTCACTACACTGCACAGGAATATTTTGGAAATAATTGGGCTTATTTTTTCCCGGACGCGCACCTCCAACTCAGCACCAAGTGCATTTCTTACCTCTCTCTCAATGTCTTTCGAACAGAGCCTCCCGCATCACTATCTGAGTACCTGGCCCGTAACAATGAGTATCTGCTTTACTCGTACTCTGCTGAAAATTGGGGTCACCATGCACGGCTTGCGTACAATGAAATCGAAGACTTGGTACACGCATTTCTTAAAGGTAAATTCACACTCAGAATCTCACTTCAAGCCTTGCGTGAAGACCGCCTATTCCCAATATATAGCCGGACAGTTTTAAACAAAGTCTCTGTGATACATGCCGCAGCGTGGTTTGGCCTTGACGAGTGTATACTTCTCCTTTTGAAAGAAGGTCATCTTATTGATACCAGGGATGACGATGGTCAGACTGCATTGCATTGGGCTATCAGGAATGAACAAGCCAGCACAGTTGAAATCCTTCTGCAGAAAGATGCTGGCATCAACGCCATGGATAGTGAAGGGAAATCCTCACTTCATCATGCCATTAATCAACGCGAAACGCGCTTGCTCCAAATCCTCGTGGCCAACGGTGCAAATCTAGAGCTTGTGGACAACAAAGGTCAGACACCTCTGCTGAGCGCTGTGGAGGCTATGTCAATCCATGCCACACAGAGTCTTCTCGAAATGGGAGCAAAAATTGGGGCTTTTAATTTCATGAAGCAAAATGTCTTACACTTGGCTGCCATGGCTGGGACGGACAAAGCTCTTCAGGTAACAAAATTGCTTCTTTCCCACTGCGAGTACTCACGTCTCAGCGCATGCGATTCGAATAACATGACACCACTTCATTATGCCGTGGCCAAAGGGCATCAAAATCTCTCCAAATTGCTACTTCGGAATGGGGCAGACGTCAACATCGGAGTGAAAAGGGGATGTGGAGGCTACACGATAGAACAGCGGGATATGACAAATTCACCGGAAGACCATCACCCAGGATCCTCGTCTGCTCATAGAATTCACGGTCTAACCCACTACACTTTGCAGCACTCGCAGGCCATCCAGGAATGACAAGGTTTTTTCTCTCTGAGGGAGCAGATGTCAACTTACGCTGCCAGAACGGCGATACTCCTTTACATCTCACTCTCCGTAAGTTCGTGTTGGACCTTGACGAAACGTCTCCCTCACAACCTTCGGATTTCGTCAGAGTACAAGACGCGTGGTCTGACGGCAGGTGGAAGATTGAGAGCCTTAAAGATATGATAGAAGACTCTGAAGACGAAGATGCCGCTGAAATATACCACACCGTCACAAAAGCGCGAATAGAGGTTATCGATATTCTCCTCGGGCATCCCAACATTGAAGTTGGCTTGAAAAATATCATTGGAGAGACACCAATGCACCTGCTTCCTTTCGGCAAAGAGCACTCTATGACTCTCTTCTCGAAGCTAGCAAACAAGTCTCCACAAATGACCGTCCTCAATGATAAAGGGCAAACGCCATTACATATCGCCTGTCTCAAGGGGGACCAGGAAATTGCAAACCACCTGCTTCATTTGGAGCCTTCCTCCGCTTCCACTTTGGATTCGCAAGGACTCAGCACTTTACATTATGCCATACGCTCAGAAAATATTCAAATAATCACAATTCTCTTGAGTCACTTTGCAAAACAAGGCTGGAGCACATGCACTCAAGAACACCGAAGATCCCTGTTGCATTTCTACCTTGAAAGACCGTTATGTTATCCAAGGATGGTTAATGTTCTCCTGGATTACGGAGAGAGCGCGAATTTTATCAATAAAGAGGGGGATTCGCCCCTCAGCATCTACCTCAAATCATATCACCTGGAGAACAAAAGGGCAATTTGTCAGTTGTTGATTGAACACGGTGCTCACCCATTGTGGACGAACAGCTTGGGTGAAACCCTCGCTCATGTCCGCATGCACTCTTCTGTGGAGGACGGTCAAGTTCTTCAAGTATTGCAAGATTTCAACCTTAACATACTTGCCAAGGATCACAGCAACAAAAGCATACTTCACCATGCAGCCATTTACGGTACTGTCAGTCAGCGGCTAGTCGCGTCTTTACCAAATCATTCTGTCCGTTCCCTTTGTGAGCCCGATTATGATGGGTTGACCCCGCTTATGTACGCCAAGAAAAAATGTGCCAGTGAAGCAGAGGTCGAAGATGAGTTTCTCAATGATCAAAAATGGCAGACTAGTTTGGATCTCTTACGCAAGATGGAGGCAGATTTGGTGGAGTAAGGCGAGAGTGGTGTTTTCTGGCACCCTTTTAAATTTCACTGGCTAGATGGCTCCACCCGATTCACCGTATCTCCTTTACTTGTACGTCGAGCGGAAGAAGGCTCTTTCCAAATATGGCACTCCGTCGAAAATTGTTGAAATTCAACATCACGCCTTGAAAGGAAAGGGGTTCGAAGCAAGAGTCGGCAAGGGTCTCGTGGCTGACGGTTAATTGCGTCGGAACAAGAGGCACTGGAAGGGAAGGACTGCCATTTTGAATGGCAGAACTGCTGAGGGGTTCCAAAGCTGGACCAGGGTTCCGACAAAGCTACTGCGGCGCTGAGGTCGGAGTCTGACTAGCAGCGGCCAATTCACAGTACGGAGTGAGTGGACCTAGACGGTGTGGCTGGTAGCAGAAAGAGTGACAGATTAACGGCCAGAAACAACGTCCCTAGCGGCTATTTTTGGCCGTCCTTGTGCCGTCATATTATTAACCTCGTACAGCTGACAGTTATCACGCTAAATGAAAGAAAAGAGTTGAGAAAATAATTTCTCGACAGAGCCTGATCTGTATAGACAGTAGCGTGTCAGCCGCAGATGATGATTGGATATAACTATGCCTGCAGGGTGAACTAATGAGCAATTGTTTAACTACCAACGAGGATGAGTTCATTGTGGTTGGTCCTGGCCCACTCGCTTGAGGATTACGTTATCATGTTATCGGTCGTCATTCCGCCAGTCCATCAGCCACACCCCTCTACTTCGTCGGCACTGGAGATGCTGAGCCTCCTAGATGTTCTTCAAGGCTCTGGACCTGACCACTGCTCTCCGGCCGTTGCTGTTGCCCGATGAGACCCTCCTCTTTGTCCAGGATGCCGTGGGCTTGTATGAAGGGTGAGTTGACCTCTTTGGCGATGACTCGCATGACCATCACTAACTCGCGAATTAAAGCAAATACAAGATCCCCAACTACCAGAACGGCCATGCCTACCTTACATCTCATCGTGTGTGCTATGTCGCCGCAGAGGAGCCGCGGAAGTACTCGGTGGGCATCGACTTGAAGGAAATCGATCGAGCAGAGTATCAGGTGCGGGTTCCTCTTGTGTTGTTTGGTCTGAACGACAAGTACTGACACTCCGTTCAGGCAGGATTCTTCAAATCCTCCCCCAAGGTCACTATATATCCCAAGCCGCAAAAGAACAACCGAGCCAATGGGTCCCGAAGCGCAAGCGCGAGTCCTGCCGTCCCATCATCATCGACCAACCTACACTCGGTGAAGTCATTGTCGACTCTGTCGCAAACTACCAAATCTCCTTCCCCAAAGCCCGTCAATGCAACGTGGATCTGTCCGATCTGCTCCTTCTCCAACCCCGTCCCGTCTAATTTTGACCCTGCCACGGCTACTGCAGCGACGCATCTACCACCCTGCCTGGCATGCGGTATCAAACCACCGTTTACAACAGTCATCAAAGCAGCCATCAATGCTGCTGCATCAAGTCGAGAACCTTCTCAACCCCCTGTGACGGCGGAACTTCATACTCATTCAAATGGCGGCTCATCTGTCGGGTCCTTGGAGCGTGGCGGTTCGGTATCATGCCCACGGTGTACTTTTGTGAACCATCCATCTCTGGTTGAGTGTGAGATGTGCGGTGCTCCTCTGAAATCGGCTGGCGCAACTGCAGCTGGCAACCGTGCCGATTCCCCTGCGCCGTTCTTCGAGCAGGCACGAGTTACAAACACCGAAGTCAGTGAAAGCATCAAGCTTTCGTTCCGTGATGGTGGGGTACAGACTTTCCACGAGCGGCTCAAGAATGCATTAATCCAGCGGAAGTGGCTACTTCAAAATGCACCACCAGTACCTCCACCATCACAGGCTACTTCCTCGCCGAGTGTGTCGGCAACTACATCATTTGAAAGCCCTCAGCCCGCACCACCACGGTCCCAGGGGGTTGGAATTGCTGGTCTGGAACAGCGCGGGTTTGAAGCCCGAAAGAACAATGAGATGGTGATCGGCAATGCCTTTGAAGATCTCGAGGCTCTGATGGCATCGGCAAAGCAGATCGTTGCGTTGGCAGAAACCCTCTCACGAGAGTCTGGAATGGCCAGCACCGAGGGCTCCGCAGAGACCAACGCCGTCCTGTCCGAGTCTGCGGCTGCATTGGGGATGGTGACGACCAAAGACATGCTCCGGTCAGGATCGGAGAATCTCTATTTGTCTGAGCTATCCCGCAACCTTGCCGAGTACCTGACTGATGACCGAAAGGGGATCTTATACCGGGAAGGGGGAATTATGAGCCTGATCGACCTGTGGGCCGTTTTTAACCGCTCCCGCAATGGAGTCGAGCTGGTTAGCCCGTCCGATTTCCAGCGGGCGGCGGAGTTGTGGGAGAAGCTAAAACTGCCGGTCCGACTCCGTCGATTCAAAAGTGGGTTGTTGGTGGTCCAACGATACGACTGGAGCGACGATAAGACACTCCGCCAACTCCAGGATTGGATGGAGGATCTGCGGCAAGTCCCGCCAGAAGAGCCCCTCGCATGGGACTGGGCCCAATTCGGACGCGCGGTGACGGCCCAGGAGGCCGCACAGCGGTTCAAGTGGAGCGTCGGGGTGGCCGCAGAGGAACTAGAGATGGCGGAGGACCGGGGAATTCTGTGTCGCGAAGAAGGCATCGAGGGGCTGCGCTTTTGGGCCAATCATCTCGGGGCATGAGATACTAGGCCGGACTTTGTTGCAGTCATGGTCCCACCAATTGCGACATGAACAGAACCGTGCGGTTGCTAGGGGTCAGCGATGACGCGCGAAGGATTTGAGCGATTTGGGCGACTTGCCCAGTGACGTCACGTTTGGGCTGAGTCAGGCTCCTTGCAACCGTTGATTGGTTCACCCCGGATGATCGATCGATGCACTCCCCGCGGCGTCGGAGGACTCTGGTCCTGTCCTGTCCTGTCCGCTGTTATATATCCCTAGAATACCCGACCTGTCATAGAGATCATTCATCTTTCTTCTTCATATACTATTATTGTTCATACTCGAGTGTCTCTTTTCGTGGACACTCCGGAATTCATTCACGATGAGTTCCTCAGCCGCCATGTCCGCGGCGGCATCAACGGGCTCGCGCCACGCCGGCCCTGCGTTGTCGCCGTTGGTGGCAAGACAATATTCCCGCAGTATCTATCGCTGTGCACGGAGTCAACGTGACCAGAAGGACCGCACTCGGCGATCTCGATCCAACTTCTCAGACCTGTCTGCGACGCGCAGCTTCTGGGAGGCAGAGCGCGAGCGGATGCAGCAGCGTATGGAGGCGCTGAACGCTGATCCCGTTGGTGCAGTCTTCGGACGCAAACTGGAGCCCTTTCAGGCGTATGGGAAGCGGTCAGGTTACGTCCAATCGTTACTCAACAAACCCACGCACATCCGCTCCATGTGGCAAACGAAGAGAGGCGAACACTCAGCTCTCGACTATGATCCGGTCACCGGGCAAATGACACCGAGATCGCCGAATTCGGGATCATCACATGTTGTGGACTGCCCGCCCGGCAGTGAAATCGAGGCCAAGTTTGTGTCAAACCCGTCCTTGGTTGAGGATGGTCAGTTCCAGCCCAGCAGCTTCAAGCCGCAGCAGCCAGAACCCATCACAACAATCCGTGCCAACTCCGTGGATTGCTCACCCGGCAGCGAATTGGAGGTTGCTTTCCTCTCCAACCCGTCCGGCTTCAATGATGCGCAATATCGACCCCACGTGCCCGGTGACCAGGCAGCGAAGCCCAACGTCAACATCACCTGTGCTCCCGGCAGTGAATTGGAAGCCTTGTTCGTATCCGAGACTGTCCGCTCCGAAAACGACCAGCCCCAGCTTGGAGCCTTCCAGGTGCAGGCTAGCACGAAGGAGCTCAACGCCGACGCTGGACTCAGCAACCGCACAAATATCGAGTGCGCGCCCGGCAGTGAGCTAGAAGCGATGTTCATGTCTCACCCCGCCGCCACAAAAGATCAAAGCCGTCCCGTGGAAGCGTTTGGACAACACATGAACACGAGCAATGTCCCTGTCGACTGCCCTCCTGGTAACGAACTGGATGCCCAATTCATGGCGCAGTTCGCCTCTGTGAATCTCGAGGCGGACACCAAGGCTAGCTCGAGCATTGATTGCTCGCCTGGCAGTGAGATCGAGGCCATGATTACCTTTGAGGCCCAAAATGAAGGTGCCTCTATTGACTGCCCTCCGGGGAGTGAACTGGAGGCAAAGTTCATCGCCGATCCCGCCGCTGCTGAGGATGGACAGTTCCAGCCTGGTCTGATGGCCCATCCTTCTCCCGTCAAGGCCGCCAACGTCTCTGTCGACTGCATGCCCGGCGATGAACTGGTCGCCAAGTTCCTTTCCGAGGCCGCCAGCGTGAATGCCGAGGCGTTGACCGCCAGCGCCATTCACGCCCGCTACACTTCCAAGGAGTCGCAGCGCGAATTCCGGCCTCTGCGGTTCGACGGCTCAGAGGACCGCGTCGGGGACTTCCTTGCCCAAAACGAGGCCCTGGTTCAGGATATTGAGGCTGCTGCCACATATCGCATCCTCTCGTACGATGTCACATCGAAGCAGGTGACGGCTTCAGAGGCCGACTCGTTCTTCGGGTCAGGCGAAAGCAGGACACCAAACCAAGTCCTCTCCCGTCTCCACAACCCCTCCAAGTTCACGCCATACCTAGAGCAGCTGCAAAGGGACGGCTACGAAATCGCCACAGGTGGCGGCGATATCCTGGTCCTCCGCAAGTTTGAATCTTCCATGCCTGGTGCACAAGACTCTTCCGAACTGGCAGCCGCCAACGCCGAGATCGCCAAACACATCCGCCACGACTCATTCCAATCCACCCCCAAGAACAACAAGAGCAGAGTGGTCACAAGACAGGAAACCGTGTTTACAGGTGGGCCTCCCAATTGGTCCCCGTGGCCACCGACCTCTTCGGCTGCAAAGAATGAAGCTGAACTTTCAACTTTCTCGCAATCTAGATCCTCATCCTCATCATCAACGTCTCACGCCGCGCTTCAGCGAATGCTCCTGGCAGGCACCGCGACCGCAGCCTCGTGCTACGCCATCGCAGTGGTAACGGAGTTCTTCCGTACCGGCGGCGCAGACGGGCGCGGCATCGATGCATTTACGGCCTTTGAGTCGGAGAGGCGGCGCTATCGACAGTGAAGAAAGAACCTCTGGAAAGGTGCTTGTTTTTTTTTATGTCCGCTTATGACCTTATGATCTTCTTGCCATGCGATTGATTTCGCAGGTTTTTTTCTCTTTGGGGGGGTGGCTGAGATTGACCCCTGCACTCCATTCCCTTTTGACTCTTCATACCATACCATCATATACCCCCTGAGCCATGTTGCTCACTGCATGATATCGGATTACATTTCTGTCATATCTAGAAGTAGACAGAATGAAAGAAACACAAGATTAGATTTACGCTCTGCATCAGTATCGTACATTATTCGCTCGCTAGGTATTAGGGCTTGATCTCGCCAGCAAGGCAAACAAGAACAAAACAAAATTCAGTCATCTCCGACGCCCGCATCCAGATCCCCATCATGCTCATAGTGATTCTCATCCATACCCACGCTCTCCTGCTCATTACCATCACTCCTACGCCCAAGTCCATCCCTCTCCCCCGATAATCCTTCCTCCATCTCCGTCTCAATCCCACTCTCTGTCTCCCTCCCCAACATAATCATCTCCTCGCGATCTCTCCACACAAAATCCCACCAGGGCTGCCTACTCCCATGCAGACTACTGATGCGATCACTATCACTCCACCGCATAGCCTCCCTCAACCTAGCAGCCTCCTCATCCTCACGCTTCCTGTACTTCTCCTCCCTCTGCAATCGCTCCTCCAATTCACTAAGCCGCAGCACTTCCATCTCTAGATCACGCTTAACCCGCTCGTCAGCCTCAGCATCAGTCTCGTCCTCGTCCTCTTCTTCCTCGTGCATAGTAGGAGTGGCGCCGCCGGGATTGGGAAACGGATGTCGCCGGAATGTATCCATCAGCGCGCCGCATCGCGCTTGCCCGCTCAGTAGATACAGGTTCAGGGCTACGAGTGCTTGCACGGCGGCTGCGAAATCGTCGCTCTGCCACAGTTCGTATTCGCGCGTTGCGAGCACGCGGAACGTCCGCATGTTAGGCTCGTTGTCGAGTCTTCTCAGCGTTGTTTGAGCGAGTTGCTCTTGGAGACGCTCGATGTTCTGCGGTGCGTAGAAGCGCGTGCTATTGCTGCGGTGCCGAGTGCGGCCTCTTTCTTGTTCCCGTTCCTGTCCGTCTTCCGCTTCTTCTCGGTGTAGCTGTTGCTCCTTCTCCCCCTCCTCCTCCTCCTCCTCCTCCTCCTCTTCGTCTTCTTCGGGGATAGCGGCTGGCGTAGAATTGGGGGTGAAGTACTCCACGTGCGCGGAAGAAGGTGTAGGCGTTGCAGGAGAGGCTGGCGACGAGGCAGTCAATGGCAGAGTCGGTGCCGGACCTGGAACCTCGCGTCTGCACCAGAGACTCGACATCTTCTGGCCCGGGAAGAAAGCGCGCATGATATGCAGCTTCGAGCCGTGCAGGCCCAAAAGAAAAATCTCTTGATCGGGCAGCTTGTCACCGGGGGGTTGGAGGGGTCGAACATGAAGCAACAGTTGGCCGAGCATGAGCTTGAACCTGCCTTGGAGGCAGGAGAGAAGGGATTCTTCCTCCATGGTCTTACGGCCTTTTTGTCAGTTTGTATACTCAGGCATGAGTGATTTGATGAAAGACATACCACTGAAACAGGCAGAATCGGCAGGGCGCGATATCTCTCGCCCTCAAAGTCTAGCGACAGAAACCCCTCCGCAAAGGGCCCGTCCTTATGCTTCTCACGGTATCCGGTCCAATACTCCATCTGTGTAGAGAGCAGACGCGGTCTACATGCATTTCAATCAGCCCACCTGCCAAACAAAAGGCAACACGGACGATGGGTTGCCAATGATACACACCTGAGGTAAAAGTAGCCTTTCCCATCATTCATCGACCTCTTAATCCCCAACATATCGCCAATCTCATTCATAAGCGCGTAGATAACCTGCGCCTGCGCGCGCGGCTTCTTCGCGTCCAGCTCAACTCGGCACAGCTCGCTTCCGCCGTCCCAGAGTCCCTTGTCGAAGCAGGGGACTTTGGCGAGGGTTTTGAAGACGCCTCTGTAGCGGATGTCGACTATGGACCACTCTTCCAGGTCGACGGTGCGGGCGTCTTCAGTGCCCGTGCGGAAGATCCAAGCCCTGCGTTGGACAGTTGCTGTTTCTGTCAGCGGAATGTCTCTCTTTATTTTATTGGTAGATGCGAATATGCGCGTGGGTACAAGTAAGAACGGAGATGACGAAATAGAATCGGTACTTACAGAATCTGTCCGCCATGCGTAGATACCGCACGGGAACGAGATCCTCGACGGGCCGGTTGAGGAATATCTTTGCGGTCAGGTTGTGCACCTCCAACTCATACGGGCTGAGTTGGGTGGGCGTGACTTCGGGGCTGGTGGGTTGGGGGGCTGTGGATGGATTCTCGGGAGAATCCATGATAACAGGAATAGGATGAATATCCCATAGGGTTGAGAGAATTGAATGTGTCAAAGGTTCAAAGGAAGTGGGTTGAGAGCATACTTTCCCTGGGGGATGAGAGAGTGAGTATGGAGTAGAAGAGGAACGCGTGTGTGTGGTTCGTTGATGAGGGAAGCGAGGGAAGTGTTTGTTGTGGGCAGGCTGTCAAGACTGCTTGCTGGGGACGAAAGGATAAGTCTACATGTTGGGAATTGCACCTTGAAATCAGAGTAGCTCCAGTCGACAAGCATGCTCATAATCAGAGGAAACTGATATTCAGTGGAACTACTCTGCACATCCTAGATTTGTGGGTTTTCGGCTTCTAAGTACAAGTTCTTCATTAAGATATCCTTGATATCGAGCCATAACCCCTTCAACACGCGGCCAATGCGTGTACTACTTGGCTGATACGCTGGAAGATGGATCAAATCTGTTAGTCTTCTAATCTTCTATCGCTCATGGTCAAAAGAAGGCCATCGAAGAATTTCAGGGCTCGATGACAATTTGCTATCAATGAGTTCCAATACCCATGAGCAGACACATATCTTGCGTTCACATTCAACACAGCAACCAACTCTGAAAGAGCCAACTCCAACTCTGTATTTAAGCAGAGACTCTTCAGTATTGAATTATATTCTACCAGCATTAAATAGCACGTAATGTAGTATTTAAGATTTTGTTCTCTTTTCCAGAGGCCCTTGTCTATCCATATTTCCCCTAGCAGTCTATCTATTACCTATACTCGCAATAGTTCTGCTGTCAGTCTCTACACAGACTCTAACAAATCAAGGCGGGCCAGATATTAAGCGTGGCAAATCAAGAACCTCTATCACTGTCTGTGCCAACGCCTCAAGAACTCCATTCGAGCGCTTCATGCTACCTACGATGCCAAAGACATCTACAATTGCGATAAAACTGCCCTGTTGGGGCCAACAGGACTCCGACACAGCATTATTGGTGTTATAGTTATACCATCACGTGATTGCGTCAAGCATACCTAAAGCAGTCTGGTGGCGCAGCCAATCCTTCCCCTAGTCATGCCCATCGTGGCTCTGCTGCTAAATAAATATCCAGGAAGATATGGATCCTCAGACGCGGCCTCCTTCCAAAACATCAAGGTTACCGTTTTCCGGCAAAAGGCGCCGCTGCTGTTCAGCCTTGTCGACATTGATAAATATAAAGGGCCATTGCTCTTCCGAAACGTATATCTCCGCACCAGCACTTCTTACCTCCCTGACAAATAGCCCCCATGCGAATCGCTATCGTGGGCGCTGGGCCCGTCGGCCTCACTCTCGCCCGGCTCCTTCTTAACAAACCCAACATCGACGTTGTGGTCTTTGAGTCCGAGAAATCTCGAGAAGCACGCGGACAAGGCGGGTCGCTCGATCTGCATCCCGATACTGGGCTCGCCGCCGTGAAAGAAGCAGGCCTATGGGATGAATTCCAGAAGAGAGTCCGTTACGACGGGGAGGCGTTGACCGTCTGCGACAAAAAGCTCACCAAGTACTTCGTCCTCTCCGGGGAAACCGAAGGCTCCTCCCACGGTCGTCCAGAGATAGACCGCAGATCTCTCCGTGACATGCTTCTCGACTCCGTGCCTCCCGAGGTGATCCGATGGGGCAATCATCTGCGCTCAATTGACGAAGATCGCAACTTGATCTTCGACCAAGGCACTGAGTCTGGGTTTGACTTGGTCGTCGGCGCGGACGGCGCCTGGAGCAAGATCCGCAAATTGGTCTCAGATCAAACGCCACAGTACTCTGGCATGGGCGGTTTCAGATTAACGATTCCCAATGCCAAAGAAACTGCCCCGGACAGCTACAAACTCACCAATCGAGGATCGATCTTCTCGTACTCTGATGGAAGTAGTATCATGAGCCAACAGCTTGGCGATGGCAGTCTGAATGTCGCTGTTTGGAGCACCCTCCCAGAAGACGACTGGATGGAGAAGCTCCCTTTTGATGTCCACGACTTGGAAGCCGTAAAAAAACATCTCACTGATAAATTACATGATTGGCATCCAGAGCTGCTCAACATCATCCGCCATGCCCAAGATCCGGAGGCTCGCTCACTCTACATGCTCCCTGTCGGCTGGCGGTGGGAGAACCGTCCCGGCGTGACTTTGGTTGGCGATGCAGCGCATGTCATGACACCCTTTGCCGGCGAGGGTGTTAATTTGGGGATGCAGGATGCGCTGATGCTGTCTCGAGCCATTATCACGGCCGCCGGCTCCCCTGAGCCCGCCACTCAACTTCCAGCACAGATCAAGACCTTTGAGGAGGACTTGTTTGTCCGGGCAGAGCGCACGGCTAGTCTGACGAACGATTCGTTGACCTGGCTATTCTTCACTGATGGCTCTCCGCGGACCATCATTGACAAGTGGGCTTTGCGCGTCATAACTTTCCACGACAAGACTCTTCTCGACCGGGTCCGGAAACCGCTGCTGGCTGCCTCCCTGAAAACTTACTTTTTTCTGTTCAAGCTGTATCATGCCGGTTGAATCTCCGAGCTGCCACTATATTGCTTTTCTGTACGTAGATTTAGTAACCCAACGAGCTTGATCCTTTTTGATTGCATCTACTCAGTGCCAGACGAGTTCAAGCTTCTACCAAGCCTCGTGGGATACGGAGTGGGCTGTGCGGAATGATCACACTCACACGTCAACCATGGGCATCCATCATAATGTCTACCTCGTCGTTGACCCATTCTCATTGATGTTTGCATCGTACTCTGCCACCGTATCATACTTTTTCCCGCCAAGCTCCAGCATTAGCTTCCCACGCCCAGCATCATCAAAACCAAACTGTCTTAGCTTCTCTGAACGCGCCGGTGTGATGTTGCCGGCTAATACAATCACGCCGCCCTCGGATTGGTTCTACCATCTGACATGAACGCCGCCTCCTCCCTCCCTTCCCCCTAATCCCGTTTTGTCCTTTTCCCTCATTCTTCCCATACGCGTCGCAGGCTTCGCACTACGCCCGCCCGCCATAATACAGAAGGCTGTGCTTATTTATGCTCTAGATAACTAAGTCTAGTAGGCAAAGATGCGTCTGGCTTGTGCTACACACTGCACATTTCGTTCGTTCCCAGACTCCATCATAACCTAGTTCTCCCAAAAAGCTAACGTTAGTGTTGGAAGGGTTGTCGTTGCTTGTTTAGAGATGACCCAGAGCCCGTATAACATCGACTACATATCTCAATGTATGTAGTCTGAACCATGGCAGCAGAACTCGGAATACGCTCCAACCCCTGGATTCTTTGGTAGCCCCTATGCTGAGCAATCTACCTCAAGCCCCTTCCCGTCTAGTGTACTGGAGAATTTAATCGAGCCAACTAGTAAACCTAGCCCACATCCTCTCAGGTAGCCAATTGAATCGGTCTCTTGATTGATTAACTATTCAGGGGTTTGGTCAGCGCTTTACAACTCTGGCTTTCTGCGAATACCCCAATGACCGTCTTTCCCATCTCTGGTGCCAGGAACGTAATAATGTAACAGATCAGAAGATCAATGTAATGCCAAAGATGATATGATAATATCTACACCGGTTCCATGGAGCTGCTGATATATTGACGATCAGTTATAGAACTGGTAAATAGCTGTGAGCTAAAGTAGGTTCTGGATTGGAATGTTAGGGACTAGCGAAATGCTGCTCAGTGGCATTATCGACATCTCTAGGCTTACTTTAGGTTTGTATTTTTATTACGATCGGCGTAAGGACCCATACAAGGAATATCGTGATTGGTTTAGACTTGTGATGTTTTCCAAGCAGTACATTGGTATTTTGGTAGCTTTCCTTACTAACCTTACTTCTGGTTCAAACACCAAGGTATAAAAGCTCACGCCAGATGCCACCGAATTGTTCTCTTAAACAAAGCAAAAATACATGCACACATTGGTAGTGCAGCACACCTCTCAAGTTTTCATATTTATTTACTAATGAAATGCAACAGCACCATGAAGTTTATGATACTTGCAGTCCAACTATTTGCCATGACTATGGCCCATCCAAAGCTTTCTACCAACGAGATATGCGTTGAAGAAGGAGGCCTTTGTTCTTCACTTGTTGGATCTTTGGCGGAATGCTGCGAGGGTTTAAGTTGTGTACAGGAGTTTCCAGACGCAGGGGTTGGTGTTCCTCTATATCCTCTATTACGTGCACTGATAACCTTTGAAATAGTTTTGTCGGGCTGAGTGAATTGGAGGACTAGGGGTGGTGAACAGATTTCTCGTCATCTTTTGTTCCATTTTTGCTTCTATGGAACATGTTTAGCTCCATGGACCTGTAACTTCGATGTAACTTCAGTCGCGGAGGTGTTACGAACTCTGCACGCCAACTGCTTGAGGGACGGTGAGATGGCAAACTCCTGGAGTTAGTGTAAGGCTACACTTGCGAAACAGACCTAGAAACCACACCTAGACAGAAAATTTGATTTAATCTTAGTCTTAAAGCGTCTTGGGACGCATATTCTATACAGCTGAGGTGTGTCGCGAGTAGAACAAACAACACACGGCAATTCAATGGGTGAGACGATATACGCATCTTTAGGCTAAGTTGGCACATCAAACTTTCATTTCGGATTTATTTTCTGGGAATCAAGCCTTGAGAGCGCGAAGGTAAAGCTGAATTCGAAAACTACTGTAGCCAACAGCAACAGGGCCTGCTTTGTTGATTTGTTATTTAAATAAACTATTCATTGTGGTGCAAACAGGTATTGCTATTTTATAATAATTAATGTAAAGCATATTAGTGACACTACATCCTGGTTGACCCATTCTCATTGATGTTCGGATCGTACTCTGCCACCGTATCATACTTTTTCCCACCAAGCTCCAGCATCAGCTTCCCACGCCCAGGGTCATCGAAACCAAACTTTTCTAGTTTCTCTAAATGCGCCGCGGCGATGTTGCCGGCTAATACAATCACGCCGCCCTCGGGTGGAAAGAACAAATCATCACCGTGCGCTTCGTCCTCAGGCGCCAGATCTGGATTCTCAGCCGTAATTTCGCCTGTCGTTTGATTCATTATAGATTGATCCAACGGGCATGTATCTTGTTGTATGATTGGCAAAGGATTATTCTTTGTTTCTTTCTTCCTTTTTTGGTAATGAAGGGCAGCTGGTATCGTTGCGGAACGGTAGAAGAGTAGAGTAGCGAAGAGGTGGAGAGGGAGCCGAATCGATCGTGTATCCATGTTCTAGTCGGGGCAGAGAGCCATATTATAGATAGTAGGCTTGAGATGCACGCGGATCGATGCATGTGGTGCCAACTGCAGGGTTGCAGCGGAGATAGCGGGGGTAAATCTACGCCACAGAGGTGAATTCGGGAAATACTTATGTAACACATAGCCAACAGCAACAGGGCCTGCTTTGTTGCTCTGTCTAGACTCGTGTGATGTAAATGAGTCATTCGGACGAACTGCCTCGACCCGGTTCTCACTCACGTCAGGATCAAAACAGTAGACTAATGGGCCCTTCCGAGAAAAGGGTGATGACGAAGAGGAATATATATTTTGATTGAAGATAGCGGACTAGCTGCATTAATCTCCTCTAATTGAGCACCCTATCTGCTGGGCAACCGAATGCTAGCGGTATTCTAATAGTAAGAACAACATACATCCATACCTGCCATGATGTGCTAGTCAGTAGTCGACATATCATCGTTGCGCAACCCTAACCCGATACCGGTGGGTCGGGAGTCCAACCCCACCGCATCCCCTCAAATTCGACCTCAACCAACTCACACCTCCCCCCGACACAACCACAGCCATAGATACAATGGCCAAGGGAACACGCACTGCCGTCCGCACAGAGCGGGCTCCCCTCCCACCTCCCTTCCTGTCCCAGGGACTCATCGTTGGCGACATAGTCTACTGCTCCGGGCAGGTCGGCGCAGATCCCAGCACTGGCAAATTGGTTGCAGGGAGTATCCAGGACCGAACGGTCAGTTATCCATCCATCTATTCCATTCTGTCTGCACCGCAGTACACTACTAGCGCATAACTACTAACATTGGATGATAGCGACAAATCCTCCAAAACCTAAATGCCGTCCTCGAAGCCGGCGGATCCAGCCTGCACGACGCAATCAAAGTCAACATCTTCCTCACGGACATGGCCAATTTCCCCGCCGTGAATAGCGTCTACGAGACCTTTTTCGGGGATCCGAAACCCGTCAGTCCTTCTTTTTCCCTTTTGTGTTTTGATACGGACCAGACCGGAAAGCACCGTTACGAAAGTACGAACTAATCCCTTGCGTTCTAGGTGCGGACCTGCGTGAGCGTCAAGTCCTTGCCGATGGGAACTGACGTGGAGATCGAGTGCTCTGGACTGATTACACAGAGTACTGGTGGCAAAGGCCGGAGTTCTAGACTATGATATGAGATCACTTCAAGAAATTTCATGTTGTTAATTTCCCCTGACCCGCTGTGTCCAGAAGTGTCGGTGCTCCACTACTGTCGTAAATGCCTGAGGCGCAAGGAGTCCATGGTCATGTGATGCGGAAATGGATATGAAACGCGCGTGAAACCATGGATTTTGGTGGAGCCGACAGCTTCGGCTCAGGAACAGGATTACATAGCTTGTTATTAGTTATAGATTGACGATAGGTACGACTATCATGTACGGCGTAGAAAGGATTCTCTATGATATGTCGCGACAGAACACAAGAACGGGGATGATGGCCAGGGATGGGTCTGACCCCGGGGCCAAATTCTCAGCCTCCCTAGGGGCGCGCGACACCGGACCGTTCTGCTACCCGCCGTCCGTTCGCTCCCAAGCCCCGTGGTTATTTCCCGAGACACATACGGCTGTGGCCCTATAGCAGATCGATCCTGATCCTGAGGGCCTTTTGTTGGTGAACTACTCTATATACCGCAGACCAAAAAAGAAACAGGATCGCCGCTGCTGATCCCCGCGCCGCTCAGACAGAAGGGTTTCCCCCGGGCGCGCAGAGGCGAATGGGGACTCACTCACGTGAATGGCCAAGAGCAAAAGAGGCAGGGCATTCTTCTCGCCTTCAATCGCATCATCGCGTGTCAGGCAGACAACAATGGACAACGGGGTCGGAATGTGATGACGACAGCTGCCACCGCATTCCGATCCAGCACGTGGCCTGTGATGATTGTAGGATGCTGTAACTCACTCCTTTTGTCATTTCCGGTTGCTCGCGAAGACGCTGAAGGGAACTACCCCGACAGCTCACGACCATGACGAGGTGGCAGTAGTAGTTAGCTCAGACCACGACTAGTTCGACCGCCTGCCGCTTGGACCAAGTTTCCGTGGTTGTTAGGCTGTACAAGAGGAAAGGCACCGGCAAGACAGCACGCCCTGAAGGCCCCTGCGAGGGAGCCGAAGCGACGCTGATTCGATCTCTTTGTTGATCGACTGCCGGCTTAAGTTAGGCGAGTGATCCAAGCGGGAAGCCACCGCGCGGAAAGGGTTAGTGGGATACACGAAAGCAGGTACGGGCACGCACTGCGGGTGGCTAACGCCACAGCCAGGCACTCCCGAGGGCCACATTGGATCCACTGCAGGGACACCGTTGGTCTAGATCTTGCGACGGCGCGGACTGGGCAATCGCTAGCGTAATTGCGATGGGCACGCCCAGCATGGACGGCATGGATGGCATGGACGCGGCAGACACGAGTCACAATCGGACCAACAATAGACACCTCTGAGTAGGTAGGATAGAACGAAACAAGGGGAGCAGCGATGAAAGAATATTCTCTGGAGGAAGGAACAAGAGAATTGCTTCTGTCGGGGAAGCGGACAGACCAGAAGGCCCCGAGCTGCAGGACTGCAATTTCCCGACATGCAACCTAACCTGGCCAGTGCGTGCGCACAAGACCGTGACCATACCATACCCTGTGTTGACTCTGGCGCTCGCCCACACGTGTTCCACAGCCCCCATCGCCCCTTCCCCTGGAGTCTCCTCTTGCTCACACTCATTTCGACTCCAACTCATTCGTTCCTTTCCTTTCTTTCATGCTTCGTCGTGCTTTCGCCTGTCGTCGTTGACTCCCTCTTCGACTCGGCACTGGGATCAAGTCAATTCCTCCGATTCCCCTTGCATCGAACCCTTCTCCAATCTCCCGGGTCTTGCATCGCTTCAACCAGTACCCCCAGCCTGACATCTTTGCCTCAAAGGTTGTCGTTCATTCCTTACAGCTGCTTTTTGTGACCAACAACACACTCGCTTTTTGTTTTATTCATCGTTATCTTTTGGGGACCACAAACCCCCTTTCCACTCGTTTTTGAATTCGAAAGACCTCGTCACGACTGCGTCCTGACAGGGTTTGATAAACACTACGGTTATACGGGATTTTCATGACATTTTAGCGGATTCATTTCATCCAACACAATGCGTCCCGGAACCTGGTCTGCGTTCGCAGCCTTCCTCGCCCTCGGGGGCTTCGAGCTCGCCGTCGCCGAGGAGGAGCCGCCCGTCCACACGGACCGCCCCAAGTACTACTTCCCCAAGGAGATCAAGAGAGCCATCCAGACTGGCACCCACAACCAGCAGAACCCTTGGCTGGAGCCAAACAACCTGGAAAGTTGGCTGCTTGGCGGTGACGATCAGCCCGCAACCACTGTCAAGAACAACAACAACGGTAATGGCGACGGCAAGGAGGACCGAGTCGTGATTATCGACGTGACGGAATCCGTTGACCCCAAGGGTCACACACATACCATCACCGGTGCCACACACCTGGGCGCCAAGGTTACTGCTCCGCGCACCGAGGTCCATGTCACCAGGACCACGGCAGCTGCCGCCCAAGCGAACCCTGCTAAGGCTGAGCCCACCGAAACCAAGAAGAAGCAGAAGGCCGCGGATACCACCACGAAGAAGAAGGCCGCGAAACCTACCGAGAAGAAGCCTGTCGACACCGAGGCCAACCCTACGCCCACCAGCTCGTCTGGTAATGATGGTGGTCTTCTAGGTGGCGGTGGTATTCTGGGTGAGATCTCTTCTTTGGCTGGCGAGCTTCTTGGTCCAGGATCCACCACCACGGACGCCGCTGCCAAACCCACTGAAGCGTCCCAGAAAGGCAAGGACGGCAACAATGGCCAGGACGCCACGACCAAGAGTGGTAAAGATGGCAAGGATACGACTACCACCACGACTACAACTTCGTCATCGGATGGTGGTCTCTTGGGCTTGGGATCCGTCTTGGGTGGCGTGGGCAGCGCCCTCGGTCTCGGTGGGGAGAAGACCACTACCACCACCACCACGACGTCAGCCTCAAACCCCACGATTCCTGTGAGCGTTCCTGCGAGTACCACCACCACCTCTGCGTTGAACCCACTTGCACCCATTGAGTCTATGCTCGGATTGGGGGGCCCCAGCTCGTCGAACACTAGCACGACCACCCCTGGCCTCGTGGTTCCCACGCCGTCTCTTCCTGGCATTGGCAGCGGCGGCATCCCTAGCCCCTCGTCCGCTACTGGCGTGCCTACCAGCTCAGGCAAAGTGCCATTCCCGTCTGGTTCGATCCACCCCGGCGGCGCGGGCTCCGGCACTACTTCTTTCACCCCAACGCCCACGCCGACCCACACGGCCGCCGAGTCTACGACGTCGACTACCACCACCACTACCACCAAGGAGCCAGAGATCGTGCCCAAGCCCACGGATCAAACTACCAGCGACAACGATTGGGTTGGCCCTAGCATTTTGCACCAGCCCAAGCCGACTCAGACCGAGGACAACAACAATCCTACCTCGACGGGCAATGATCACGAGCCCACGGCCCTCCCTGGCTCCATTTCCCCCGGAACTGAAGTCAGCAGCCCGCCGGAGAACTCGCTTCTCATCCAGCTGGGTTTCAACCAGGAGCTCCCATGGAGCTTCGTGGCGACTACCTCGATGTCCTCGGCCCAGATCTTCCAGTACGTGCCCGAGGGTCTGGAGCATGCTCTGTCGATTCTCCAGTCGCAGGTGACCATGTTCGCTCTGGAGCCTTACTACTCGTGGAAGACGACCGGCTACAACGCGACGTTGGCAATGGCCTACATCCAGCGCCGCTACGTCGACCAGCTGCGCAACGAGCTGCACAACCCGAACTCGCGTCTCTACAACCAGCCCAGCGAGCCCGTCAAGACTCTCTTCTCCATGATCGACCCGACGATTCCTCTCATCGTGGGCCAGGAGGGCTCCTCCAGCACCAACTTTGGCACCACCGGCTCCGGCGATAACAGCGACAACACGAACGACAACAGCAACAGCAACACTAACGCTGGTTCTGCCTCCAGCTCCAAGACCAAAGTCAGCTCCGTTGGCATTGGCTGCGGTGTTGTCGCCGGTGCTGCCGCTTACGGTGCCGGTATGTTCTGGCTTGCCCGTCGCTACCGCCAGAGACGCCAGCTGCACCGCCGCTCCGCCTCGACCGTTGAGCAGATGAGCCAGGGTGGTTCCGCCGCTGGCTCGGTCTTCGCGGCCGGTGCTCGCATGTCCGGTAGCCAGGCTGGAAGCGGCCGCTCGGGCCAGATGATCAGCGCGCCAGTGATGGCCGAGAACTCTCTGGGCTGGAACTAGATGGTAGTGCTCGACTCGCGTTGCTTGCTCACTCTCTCCTGACTCCACCCACAACTACTCTTTTTCCCTGCTCCTGCTTGCGCATGCGGAGGACACGCCACCCCCCGGGGCATCCTCGCTACTCCGAGAAAGAGAAACCTCCGCTTCGCTTCTGGCGCGGGAAAGAGTCGGGAAATGCACAAAAAGCCTCCCTTGGATATACTTTTTTTTCTTCTTTGTTCATCGTCCCGTCCAAGGGAACATATACCTGTCATATATCACATTCTCCCTTTCTTCTACTCCCTGTGGAAACCTTCGAGCGGCCATTCCTGTGGACGTTTTCATTTTTCGCTTTTCTCTTCTTGATACTCCGAGCGACGACACCCAAAATTGCCGCGCTGCGTGTGTACTTTTCTCTTCTTCTTCATTTATTCCCCCTTTTGTTTATTATTCCATTCACTCTTCTTCCCGACGATCTTTCTGTCTTCCGGTCAGATCAGAGGGGAATTCATTTCGAATTGGTCATATATTCCGTGGCTGGAAGTTTGCATTTCTTTTTTTGCATCCTGCTCACAAACAAACACCTTTAATGGTTGGGATGGCCGGGTTCCTTGATGAAGTCGATGTTCTCCGCCCCTCTGTTACATATACACTCTCTCCCTTAACCCTGTTCTGCGTTGCTTTTCTTTCCTGCTGTGTTTTTGTTGTGTTGTTGTTATCTTGTCTTTGTACAGATGTGTCCTGTCTATTGCGTGTTGGCGAGGCCTTTTTGGGGCCTCGGTTGAGATGGTGCGGTAGTGAATGAGATAGTAGATTCTTTTAACTTGGTTGCTTTGTATCGTAGGAATGTAGTGGGAGTACTATGACTGGGACGGAGTGATCATGCTCAAAGCTAACTAGGTGCGTGCTTGAAGAATGAGTGGGCAGGAAAGTCGACGACTCCGAGGGGCTTCGACGGCTGGAGGAGCACAAAACCGTGCTAACAAAACCTCGTCGGCAATGAACCCGAGTAGGAGTTCGACGACGACTCTGAGCAGCTTGGGTACTCACCGAGCAAGCTGAGCACATAAAAGATGCTCCTTTTCCCTCCGCAGCCTTTGTCTACATCTACCTCCTACATGACCAAGGGGATGCTATTGTAGAGGGCTAACTGCTAAGCTAACATAATTTTCGTTTGAGTTTTCCCATAGGTCTTCTCTCACTGCCATTTCTAATCATTCTTAGTTTCTATACCTGGCAACCCCCGACCAAGCTAACGCAGACCTCCTAGGCATTACGAACTCTGCAAAAGCCAGCTCTTTCAGCTCTTCGATGGCCGTAGGAGCCGAAGTACCTGAGTCTTACGATTTTCTCCGAGTGATCGCAACACTCTAAATGATAAGCCGAAGAATTTGCTTTAGGAATGTAGAGAAAACGTGGACGTGCTTCTCGGGAGGTCAACGGGCACGGAGGGCTAAAGAGGTGGCGGTGCAAACGTTTAAAACTATTTCCCTTCATGCCAACTTTTCTGCCAGATTAAAACCTACAAAGCTGCCACATTTCAACTACAACAGCATAATTCAACTGTATGCTGCCAAGTCAACAAAATGAAACCTGCCGACAAGATATTTCCAATCACAACCTTTATATCAGACCTACCAACCAATCTTATTCCGCAGTTCCTCCAATCGTCTTCCGAAAATGGTCCTGCTAGTGGACGCTTGGTCATTGTAGGCGATGTACATGGGATGAGAAAGTCCCTGGAGGCACTTCTAGACAAAGTCGGCTTCGACAAACGCAAAGGAGATCATCTCATACTAGCCGGCGACCTAGTCAATAAAGGACCTGATAGCCCTGGTGTCGTTGATCTGGCTATTAAGCTAGGCGCTAGCGCAGTGAGAGGCAACCACGACAATGCAGTTCTTGATGCGGCTGCGGAGATCAACGCCACAAGGAAGAGCCCACTACATTCTGGAGACTTGTCTGGCAGTCCGGTCGTATCTGAGAACCCTGAAGCCGACCTGTCTGGGCAAACTGTCCGAGATTCCGAGATTCCTGACAAATGTTCTGCTACAACTGGCATTGGCATGAGACACAGCGCTACAACATATAGTACGGCGTTGGCACTTTCAACGGACCACCTCGACTGGCTTGCCGCTTTGCCTTTGATCCTACGAGTCAAACTACCTCAAAAACTACCATCCACCTTTGGCGACACCTTAGTTATCGTGCATGCGGGCCTCGTTCCTAATATCCCACTTGAGGAGCAGGATCCATATGCGGTAATGCATATGCGGAGTCTCGTCCGTACACAAGGCGATGACGAAGGGTTCACACCGGCTCAAATTTTCGGAGAAGAAAGCTGGGTTATGGAATGGGACCGGTGGCAAGATAGGCTGGCATCCAAGACTACGGTGATATTTGGGCACGATGCAAAGCGTCGTCTGCAGCTAGGCAGATTCACGATTGGGCTAGATTCAGCGTGTTTATACGGCCATCAGTTGAGCGCGGTTGTGATTGCGGCTCCCAATGGGGAAATTGAGCATCAGGTTATTCAAGTCGAATGTGCTGATACGCCTGTGCTCCCAACAGTATCGGTGAAAGAAGGCGACAAAGCCGTGGAACTATAATCGGTATACTTGACGAGCACCCCAGGAGCACTTGTGAGCGCACGATGAATGTGTGTTAGCTATTTCCCTGCATTCATCCATCTTGCCTCACTCTTTGGCCTAGAACACATTGTGGTGGGATTCTCACACAATGACAGTGATTTGAATGTTTGGGACTATCTTGGCCGCGCTCCTCTTATATGGGCAGGATGGATCAGGCAATGAGACAGTAGTCAGACTTCTACTTGACCATGGAGCCGATCTCAAGTCTGGCTACAAAGGAGGGTTTCACATCACTCTTCTATGCTGCAGCGTATGGACATGCCCCAGTGGTTAGGTATTTCATTGATGGAGTTGCCAATGTCAGTTTTGAAAACAAAGGAAAAGAGACCCCGATCTTCTTCGCCGCGAAAGGTGATCATGAAGTCCGACTCGGTCCTAGATCGCTGTTGAGCATGGGTGATCATGCATTGGGTATAAAGTTGCTACTCTACGCAGCCGCTAATATTGACCACAAAACCGGTCGGGGTCAAAAAACTGTCTACATTCGGGCAATCGTTTTGACTAGTAGGCATATCTCCAAGTCCCTTTTCGTGCGTTTCTCGACCGTGAAGTTCGTCTTTTGACCTGCCCGGAACATAGGTTCTGGTCTCCATAGTGTATGTAGTGAGATGCTACCCCGGAGAAGGGAAATCAAAAATAAGAAAAAGTATGAAAGAGAGAGAGGCCGTTGTTAAGGAAGAGAAGGAAAAGTATATGTACAGAATATGAAAGATGGGAGAGGGATGAACCAGAAATAGTCTCTAGTGTAGATGCTAAATGCATGCAAATAAAAGGGAGAGGAATACTCAATCCTTCTTCTCCTTTCCAGCAGCCTCCTCACCACTTCGCTCCTTGCGCATCTGGCGTGCCCGCTCGCGCTCAGCCTTATACTCCTCCCACGAGAGATGAGCCGCGCGACTAATCTGCTCACTCTCATGGCTGAGGGTGTCGTGTGCACTAGCCGGCAACGAGCGCACAGCCGCTTCGCCGCCGTAAGCGCGTAGAGCGGTGCGGAAGCTCCATTCCACTGCTTCCTCGACGGGGTGATCAAAGAAATAGGGGAGGAAGGGCACCACGGCGAGGCCGAGCTTGAAGCGGTTAGCTTTGTTCTTGAGGTAGTTGGACAGTGTACCAGGACATTTGTATATGTGCATCAAAAAGGGAGGAGCGGGAGAGGAAAGATCAAACTCACCCCAATAGGAGCCCAAGTGCGCAGCAGCGTACTCTTCGCATTCTTCACCATTTTCCCCGAATACTTCACCACGCTATGGATCGTGAACGCCGGCAATCCCATAGAGGCAAGACTCTGAAATACCGCGCGCTTTGCCATAACCAAGCGATAATCCTCCGCGAGTGGGATCTGCGCCGTCGGCCACGGGGAAAGCTCGTTCCCATGGGGATTCAGATTCCCCGTCGCCATGCCTTTGAAGATTTCCGGGGAAATGCTCTCGCCCTTACCCTCGCCTTCACTTGCATCTTTATACGAGTCGCCTGGCGGGGCCAGCGCGCGCCGATTGCGCAGGTACGCCTTATACCCTTCGTGTCCTACGTCTCCGAGCAGATATGCCCATGAGATGCCGTAGGCTGAGCGTATGAGCCATGGGTGTGCGACTGGGCGGAAGGATTCGCCGATGTCTGAGGTGTAGGCTACATAGCGGTGCGCGGAGAGGAGGATTGTCCGGAAGCGGTTGGCGTACGCGGCGTAGCGGTAGTTGGTTTCGGTGGAGTCGACTGAGCTGTAATGATAGGGTGTGTTTTGTTAGTTTGCGGTGTGCATTTAGGTATACTGATTAATTTCGGGCCCATGATCATCCGAGAGTTCAGACCATCGACCACTAACGACCACGGCCCTGCTGGGGTTATTCATAGTGGATTGCGGAGGTGGCCGTTGGTGGCCGGGGAAGTGCTGTCGACGGGTGGGCGTCTTGCGCGCGCTCTCTCCACTTGGGGGCACGCGGGAGACGCGGGTTTGGAGAAGGAAGCAAATTGCACGTACTAGGAGGAATAGAGATCATCGTAAAAGCCCTCATCGTGGTCGTCGAGCTGTGGGCGCTGCGCGGGCAGCTTCTTGTCTGCTGCTGCTGCGGTTTCGTCCGGTTTGGACTTTGGTTGTTCTTTGTTGCTATTGTTGCTGCTGCCCCAGAACATGGTGTGAGCAGGGAGGGAATGGGAGGAGAAGGGAGAGAGGGGAAACGGAGGAGAGTAAAGAGTGAGAGTAAGAAAAGAGAGGGTGAGGAAACAAGATTATTATGATGGCATGTTAACCGCAGGGCTTAGCCGGTATATACTGTGCACAGTGCGCGGAAAGCAGGTCGGCTCTCCGAGGTTCGGGGAGGAGCTGAGGAGCTTCCTTAGAGGTTGGATCTGGGCAACACAGATTGCAATAATTATTCTAGTTCATATTCCACAAACACCATTCTCTCTTATCCTCACATTCTTCACACCTATCGAGTTCTGGACACACGCTTGCTCTCAACTTATTGACATCTTCAACCATCACGTGATATCGGACCAACCCGGATGATCACATGACCGATCACATGACTCAGCACCTGATTTGACCATCTCTGCATCCGCCCTGAACTCCCCCAATCGTCGTGTCTAAACTCACTCCAATCCCACTCCTCCAACATGGTTGTCTACTACCAGATTGCCGGCAAGAAGGTCGGCTCCCACGTCGTAAGTTCTGTCACTAATATCGCCATTGCCCCCTGACTGTCCAGCCATCATTCCTGGCTCTCCGTCGTCTCCTGTTTGGAAAAGAACCTCCAACTAACCAATTGCCTGCGCAACAGCTCTCCATGGCCACTCTCGGCACCATGTTCGCTGGCTCCTGGCTTGCCATGGGCGGCGGCGACAAGCCCAAGACCGCCCAAGGTCCCCCGATCAGCGCCTCCTCCAAGGATGAGGAGCAGTTCATCCAGTGCGTGCATCCTCTATCAACACAACATGCCCCAACCCAACACAACTCCGCAAATCTATACTCATGCAGCCACCGAGAAATACCACTAACACTATAACCCCCGGATAGACAATTCATGAAGGAAGTTGATGGCGGCGAGAAGAAACCCAGCAACTAGAACGCCCATCCCCTCCCGAGACGGTTGATTTCGATAGAGCAGGCCCTCGGATGTTGAGCATGAACCAAGTCTCACCTATGCTGTCCTGTTCCGTTGAATGCGCTTGCAATCCGATAAACAACACTTGATGAGCTGTGTTTCTCTTTTTCCTGCCCGGACGTTCCGTGTCACACAGACAAGAAGCTGGGCGAATCGGACTGGGTGAGAGGATGTCGGATGTTTTCTTGGTTTGTACATAGGAGGGCCTTGTACGCTGCATAGAAAAACGATATTATTTTGACCTTGTTTGATCTGGGGTTTAATTGTTGGGTGTTGTTTTGGGCTGCTCGGGGAGTTGAACTGAGCTTGTCGCAGACCCTAGCAGGTAATTCATTAGGTGCGTAGCTCACAGCAGCTGTAGACAAAGACAGTTTGTAAAACCATCGAGTGCACATCTCGCATGATCCAAGCCGAGGCGTAAGCACGTCACGCGCTGGAAACATCCAAACTCGTCTTCCTCGACCTTCCCGTCCACTTCCACTTCCTCACCTTCACCTACCTCAACCACCACCAACCACACCACACCACCTTCTCCGGGAACAAGGGTCGCCACGTGTCTCAAGAAGAGACGGGTTCTAGCATCTTCATGCAACAATGAAACCCCTCCCCTTTCCCCTCGCCCTCCACCTCGGCACCGACATCGTACACATCCCACGAATCGCCCGCCTCGTAACCCGACCCGGCAACTACCTCGCGCGCTTCACGCGCCGCATACTCTGCGCCCAAGAACAGCGCGACTTCACCACCCGTTTCGCGCTTCCTCCCTCCTACACCAGCGAATCTCTCCTTTCACAATCTCAACGTCAATCTCCGACCATAACACCAGACATGACACGTTGGCTGGCCGGCCGCTTCGCTGCGAAAGAGGCCGCGCGCAAAGCTGCCCCTACCGGCGGGGCGGGGTCAATTGGGTGGAAGGATGTTATGGTGCGGGCTGAGGAGGAGGATAGTGAGAAGATGTCTATGAAAAAGGGGAAGAGTTCAAGGCCGGAGATTGTGTTTCTTGGTGTTGGGGGGGAGGAGGATAGGTTGGGTAGGTTGTCTATTTCGCATGATGGAGAGTATGTCGTTGCGACTGTTTTGGCGGCGGGCTGAGAGGCTTTTGGGGTTGGGATATCTATATCTACCAGGTTGCTTTGAAGCGGTATAGCTCGGAACTGGGCTTCTGCGACCGATCTATCCTATGTCCGGGTGCGCCGCATTGACAAGGCCGGACTTGGATCACGGCTCGGCGTGCGGATTCATTGCAAGCAGCGTCTCCCGAGAGCAGTTTGCTAAAGCACGCCGGGGCGTCTGGGCTATGTTGCGATATACCTCTCGCAATTTCTTGCGCCAAGACCGGATCCTAGGTGTGAGGATGTGCCGTATCAGTGGTGCTTCGACATGTTAGAATGCTATCGTAGGCGAAGCCTGATATCTAGATCAGAATTTAGTTTAGGAATAGTATCACATTGAGTGGAAACAGGATCACTGCATTGTAACTATCAAATATTGAGACCTCGTCCGTCCCGCCGGGCTCATATCGGACCCCGATTCTTCCTTATCGCTTTTCTGCCATAACTCCGATTATCAACCTCATTGCATAGCGCCATCCACGTCAAGACTCTTATAGACAAGCAGATTGGGTACGTTATGAATTTTGGTGTATACCAGGACGCTATATGCTCTGCCCCCCCACCAGACAGCACCTACTACGCTTGCTTATCCATTGCTAACACCCCTCACAGACCTCACACCCGCCATGCCATTCTCACACCATAGCCATTCGGGCCAGTTCTGCCCGGGACACGCTCAGAACTCCATGGAGGAGATGATCCAGACAGCCATTGCCCAAAAGATGCACACCTTCTGCTTAACCGAACATATGCCCCGCGGCAAAGAAGATTTCTACCCAGAAGAGGTACGCCCACCAACGCCACCCACTCCAGAACATTTCCATCTCAGGCATGATTAACAACAAACCCAAGATCGAGGCTGGTAACACAGAATCATGGCACTCATCCAACGAAGCAGCCTACTGGACTGAAGCAGTGCGCCTGCGTACAAAATACGCCTCCCAGATCCAGCTCGTCATTGGCTTCGAAAGCGACTGGATCCGGCCCTCCTCGGAGACCCTCATCTCACAGTCCCTTTCCAAACTCCCCTTTGAATTCTTTATCGGCTCCGTGCATCACACGCACACCGTGCCAATTGACTACGACAGACCCATGTACGAGCAGGCGCGGCAGCAGGCCGGGGGTACGGACGAGCGCCTGTTTGAAGACTACTTCGACGCCCAGTTTGATATGCTACGCAAGCTGCGGCCGCCCGTTGTAGGGCATTTTGATCTGATTCGCTTGAAAAGCGATGATATGGAGCGCAGCTTTAAGTCCTTTCCGGGGGTTTGGAGCCGGATTCTGCGGAATTTGGATTTCATTGCTGAGTATGGTGGACTCGTTGAGTTGAACTCGGCTGCGATCCGGAAGGGGATGAGTGAGCCGTACCCCAAGGCTGAGATCTGTAGGGTGAGTTTTGTTTCGTTCCTTCCTTTGGAGTACTTTTTTTGCTTTTCTTGTCTTGGGGTTTCGTTAACATTCGAATGGCAGGAATTTGTGGCGCGTGGTGGCCGATTTTGTCTCTCGGACGATAGCCACGGCGTTGATCAGGTCGGCTTGAATTTCCACCGCGTGCTGGACTTCCTCGACAAAGCGGGTATCTCGTCGTTGCATTATCTGACATTGGCGGAGCCATCCACCGCAGCCACGGTTGATGCCCGATTTCCTCGCACGCAGACGGCATCTGTTTCGATTGACGAGTTGAAGGATATGGCATTTTGGAAGAGTTCACAGAGATAGAGTGTAATAACTACTATGAAGTATACAGAAGAATAGACTGCTTCTCCAATTCCCCGAAAGGGAACCTGCCGATCCCCATCTCCTTCGCCACACTCTCCCCGCAGTGGCGTCGAAGCTGCGAACAAATTAAAAATCGTGATTTCTAGTGATCAAGCGGCCCTGACCGTCATCAATTCACACCTGCATTCCCGCCGCCGATCAGGTCACAGTGGGGGAGTTCGGCCCCGGATTTCAACTGGCGCAGAGCGAGGTGGAGTAAGAGTTTTAGTCACGACGAGTATGAATCCACCTCTATTCGCACGCAACCCGGCGCACGGGAGGCGTCATATTGTGTTGTTCCTACCGTATAGTTAGTTCAGTGAAAAGGTGGTGGGTTATTACTATTACGTCGTGACTGACCCCCACTTCAGCATATTTACCGCCCCGCGGCTTCGCCTTTTCTCTCCCTCTTCTTTTTCCTTCTCTCTCCTTCCCACACTCACAATCCAATCCAATTCCCCTCCACCTTCGTTTCGCTTCAATTCATTCCATCAATCATCACAATGGGTGTCGAAAAGACTATTCTCAAGCCCGGCAACGGCGTCGATTTCCCCAAGAAGGGCGACAATGTCGCTATCCACTACACGGGCTGTCTGTATGACCAGAGCAAGGCCGACAACCATTACATGGGCACCAAGTACGTCCTCCCTCGCTTCTCTTGCATTTTGTCTGGATTATGCGCAGTGTATATTTAACTCTTTATGTGATATCTAGGTTCGACAGCTCCCGGGACCGCGGCTCTCCCCTCGCCTCCCCCATCGGTGTCGGCAGACTCATCAAGGGTACGGTTTTGCCTTTCTGCCCACCCCTTTCCGCATTTTGTGATGCAGTGAAGTCGTTTTATTGAGTGTGGAGTATAAGGCGACGTCGCTGACATGGTTTCGTTTGCTAGGTTGGGACGAGGGCGTGCCGACCATGAGTCTGGGCGAGCGCGCTATTCTGAACATTAGCAGGTGAGTGCGGGCCTACATTTCGCGAAATGGAATATGCAGCAGGAAATGGCTGACAGCTTCTTCTTTTACAGTGACTACGGCTATGGCGACCGGTACGTGATTCATTAGTCGCCTCGATTTCCACCTCCATCCATCCACTACCCCACCGCAAGACGACTGAAACTTTCAGCACGCATCGTTATTCATCGAGGAGGACATGGACATGATAAGAAAGAAATACAGATCGCTGACTATATCCATCCAGCGGCTTCCCCGGCTTGATCCCCGCAAACTCCCGCCTGGTCTTGTAAGTCCTTTTTTCCCCGAGGACCACAAACGGAATGAACGGGTGGACTGACGTTCCGCAGCGACGTCGAGCTCGTCTCGATCAAGGGCAAGACCGCCTCCTAGATTCGTCGATGGAATGGAGTTGTCATTCTCTGTCTCGGTCCTCTATCGTTATCGCATGAGAGTTTCTCTCATGGCTACCGAAAGGACTAAGAAGTGGTTTCAGATACTCTCTCTCTCTCTCTTTTTTCTGTCTATGTTGAATACCGGCCAGCGCTGGATCAAAATGAAATTAAAGAAAAAAGGTCGTCGCACCATTTATCTTACTATAACTTTCGTGCGGATGCGTACGTGTATGCTTGAGTCGACGAGGTAATCGATGTTTATCAAACCATCTCGGTTTCGATTTTAAGCACCATAAGCGCCGTCATAAACCCAAACGAGCTATCTCACCGGTGGGTGAAGGTCGTCTGTGATTTATAGCACCTATTGCTGATTAGGACCTCACGGCATGCCCCTTCCCATATGTTCTACAAGAGATTCCATCGACCCGATATACTTTCCGTCAAACGGCTCAATTCTTCTCATGTGCTCCCTTCGCGTCCCAGCGAGCCCAAGGCAACGATGATCGATATTTTGTCGGTTAATAGCGTCGAAAATAACGATTCTTTCGCGCTGCATATCCAACAGAAAACTCCCCGCTCCACGGTCCAGAAAGGGTCTTTTCCAGTTTGCCAGACTGGAGGAGAGGAGAATTTCTTCACGTTGAACTAGCACCTTTGAAATATTTGTAGATGATGCTCATATAATCTAGCTCATACTCAAGACTGTCGAGTAGCAGCCACAATGGTGACGCAAAGAAGAATTCGGCCGGTGAAGCGTAAGTGAACTCCCAATCTATTTACCCTAGAATTTCGGATCCACATTCAGGGGCTTATTGGAGGAGGGAGAAAAAGCGGTTCTTGTCACTATATTTATTGTAGGCGATACGTAGTAAACTAGCTAGTAAAGGGCTAATTAGTGACCACCATGAGAATGTACGAGAGGAGAAGAACTGGTAGTAGACGTTGGGGACGGCGATATAGATTCGTCTCTCATATATTATCGCCTGTCATCTTCGTTTGACTCTCGTCAAACCGAAAGCGTTGTAATCCTACTAGCAAGGGAGTCCCTATCGTGCGGCTCCGATTGCAGCATAATGATGTTTTCTGGGAGATGTTCTTGTGCACAATTCGAGAGGCACGAAGAAAACGACGGATCTGGCTAAATGAATCCTTTCATTGAATTCTAGGCATTTTTCTCATAATTTTTTTCGCCCCCGACAGAGTAGAGGCCAGTCCTAAACCGCGCTCGGCAACTACAACTCGCTTACCAAAAAGGAGTTCGGCTTTTCCACTTCCCCGCTACTCCCGACTCAGGAACTCCCGAGACCTCCTGGACAGGCTTTGCCAGCAGTCTGCTCAAGACAACTTGAAAGCATGGCTTCGGGCCATATTGACGTGGTGAGGAATTTTCATGTGCCTTTATCCGAAAAAGTTTTTCTCACCTCGACCGACAGGATACTGATTACGACAGCCTAGAAGACTCTGATTGGCAGTCGTGGGTAAACCCGCCCCGAGGGGTGTTATCAATGATAATTTCGCTCACCAAATGAACCAGGGATACTACATCTGTCATTTCAGAAATCGCCAGGGGTCGCTTACAATATGGTCGAACGTGAGTTATCATTATTAAATTGAGGATATATAGACGGACTAATTTGACGAGCAGTTACCAGGCATTGAAGTCAGAGGACTACTGGTGAGAACCCTACGCATTCACATTGAGAATCAAAAAAGCTAAAAATCGCTTATAGGAGTCCGTCCGATGACCAGCAATTCGAAGCCTATGAGACCGGGTAATAGATAGGCGCCTTTTTCTAAACTTCCCTGGTCCAAAGATGGCTGATTTTAAATTATTCAAACAAAGCCACTTAGTATGTCTCCTGCTAGACTACTACCAGCCTAATTTACTACACCGAGCTCCTATTGGCAGTTCCCCAAAAGTGAGAATTATACTTGTGTCCTTGATACAACAGTATACCAATGACGAATTTAGCATATTCTCGATGTCGGGACTGGCAAAGGAAACTGGGCCATGTAATTCCCGCGCACCCTACCCAAGGATATCGCTGATTTGTATTTAGTGACGTCGCAGATATGTACCCATCTGGTGAGCGCTCCACATCTTTATGACGCTATTCATTCGCTCATTGAAATCAATTAGCCATTGTTCGTGGTGTGGATCTGTTTCCCCCTCCTGCTACCTGGGTGCCCCCGAATTGTATATTTGAGGTGGATGACCTCGTTCAAGAATGGACGTGGGACAGGCAGTTTGACTTTGTTTATTTGCGCCATATGCTCGGATCTTTCGACAATAAAGGATGGGCTAAGTTGTACCAGCAGTGCTATGAGTCAGTCCACCTCTCTCAAATAACGTACACACTTATGCATGTAAAGCTAATATCTTTCTAGCAATCTTGAGCCTGGTGGCTGGATTGAACAAATGGAATTCGACATTCGAGTGAAGAGTGATGACGATACCCTACAAGAGGATACCGTCCTCGCAAAATGGGGCGAGACCTTCATCGGCTGCTCCGAGCGAGCTGGCCGCCCTTTGACAGTTCAGGAAACGATGCGAGCCAGTATTGAGAATGCCGGGTTTATTGATATCCACGAACAGGTTTACAAAGTACCTATTGGAGTTTGGCCAAGAGACAAGGTGCTCAAGGAGGTTGGCAAGCTCAACTACCACCACTGGATGACTGGCATGGAAGGCTATGCAATGTGGTTGCTCACTACATTTGGGGCACCTTCTCCATGGAGCCCGGAGGAGGTACAAGTGTATCTGGCTGAAGTTCGGGCGCAGCTAAAGGATCCCCACATTCATGGCTATGAATATGCGTGAGTTCATTCTATGGGTTCTTTGGAGAGTTGTCGGTCGCTGATGAAGAATTCTAGGCGACGGGTCTGGGGCAGGAAGCCTAGAGATGACGAAAAAAAGAGCCATTCAACCACGCGCGCGTTAACACGCCATGAGACCGGATCTTGATCGCTGCGCAAACATAACTGAACCTGAAACTGTTGCCATACAGTTTTCAGTCATTATTATCATCACTTGGGAAGGCCTACAGACCTACTTGACCACTTCTTCTGCATAAATTAATCCTCTATACATAGCTCATGATATACAAATCATTCATCATTGTGCCTATTACGCTTCCAAGCTCCTACTAATCCGCGCATCTGACTGTTTCCATCTGAGCGCACCGCACACTGCATGTATGATGACTGGTTGCCATTGCATTCCATCATGTCACACGCTGAATCTCTTGTGGCATGGTATTGTCACTGCCTGACTTGGTGCTTCTGATAAATGGCTCTTAATTCAAATATCTAACTAAGCAGGGATACATTTGGGGAGGGGGGGTGACATACACCCCTTGTGACCATCCATGAAGAGAAATCGATAATACCCGCGCTATAGAAGCCAGGTTCTGCATACCTGTCTACTGACCAAAATGCTGAAGCCATTGAATGGTGAAAACCTAATAAAATTATTAATTAACTGTATAATGCTTGACAGTACTTACCTCGTTATTCCATCTTGTGGATGACGTTGCAACGGTGATGACCTGCGCTGCGTTGGATCACGCGACTGGGATGCTTGTATCTTTGACCTACTTGTGTATCTGGTCTGGGACCTAAGGTTCGGCTCTAAGACTCTTAGAGTTGGATCCGCGGTTCTGGGTCTCTGGGTTGCTAGAACTAGAACGTGAGTCTTGGCGGTTCCGAGTCGAATCGAGCCTAGAGAATCGCGACTCCGTACGAGGCGCAGGTCATAGTACATAGAAGATATACACTACATACGGAGACATTCTCCAGCTGCAGAAGCCTTATAGAGAAGAAAGAAGGCCGAGAAGGCTATTACCACCACCACCATTAGCATGAAACGGTTCAGTAAGACGGATTGTGCGCTAGGTGATTAATAGATTTTGCTGTTCTCCCAGCCTACCTCCGTTTTGGGGGATTTCCGACATTTTCAAATACTACCAAGGAGAAAGCCGAATTGATGCGACTGGACGCTGCTATTTGTGGTTAGATTGGCCGTGGTGTTCTCACGGGAATGATATAGACAAGGGGTGATGTTCGGTGGAGCGGGGTTGACGAGTTACGGCCCAACGCCACTCGATGTCCGGGCGGCTACAGTGTCCTGTTGACTGGCTGAGATTTGGACCAGGAATCTAGCCTTGAAATAATGAAGTCCAGCTCTGCTGCAAGTATGGAGTTGTAGGTGCAACACCAAAAGGACAGAATCAACTACTTGACCTAAGATAAGATATGAGATGAGACCACATTGCCAGAAGAATACAAGAAATTGAAGATAGTCCTGCAATCTCGGTTCAGGGGGTGATGTAGCCTCCAAAAGCTGAAGTATAATTGGTAGCATTATTACTACATAGCAGAGTGACTGTATGCCCCGATCTCTTCAGCCACCAAATGTAGCTAAGTTTCATCCTAAAATGCCACCCTAATGACTGGATCTACTGCACACTTGCATGAACGCAACGGCTTTCTATTGGTCTACTCCATATGGATTAAAATTCTCCCACAGACTAAACTCCCCTTAATGTCAGATATTAAGCGTCAGTTGACCTCGGTTCGTTTCTTCCCCTGCCATTTGGATGTTGCATATCATTTCGAGTGGCGCATAACATTCGAGTATTGCATGTCGCCGGCAACTCAACGTTGCGATCCTTATCTGGGAAATGGCAATTGCTACCCTGGCCCTTGAGCGTATAGTAACATCGTCTGTGAAAGCATGGATGCTCCTTGGCTTTTTATCTGCTCAATTGCTTACAGATTCACTTGAACGACGAGGTGCTAGAGGATTCCAACGTCACACATCACAAACTCCTGAGCTTTTCTGGGTTCGTTCATGTTACTCTACCTCCAGGGCAGGTCACCTCGGGATGTTACTTGTTCCTGCTAGCATTCCCCGGTTGGAGCATATATAAGCATTCTTAACCCTTGAAGATCACATACCATCATCATCATCAACAGCAACACCAAAGCTTCTTCTCACATCCCTTCACTTCTACACTGTCTGCGGCGCGTCATTGTTCAATCTATCTCTCCAATGGCCCTCTCATTGAGCATTTTGGGCTCAGCCTTGGCCCTGGCCCCCTTTGTTCGCGCTGGATTTAATCCTAGCTCATCTTCAAACGTTGCAGTATACTGGGGTAAGAGCAGGCTCCTACACGTGAGCTGATTCGGTAAGAGATAGAGCTGACATGTTCGGCAATTAGGACAAAACTCGTACGATCAGGGTAGCGGTTCGCTTGCTCAACAGAATCTCGCCTATTACTGCTCCAGTAGGTCTTCATGAAGCCCATAATATCCATATTAGACGAAAGTATAAGCTAACCTGGGGAATCTTGCTTACTTTCAGATACTGATATCGATGTGAGTATGGATCTACGGTTACATGCTACTAAAACTAACAGGTTTGCTAGGTTATCCCCCTTGCATTCATGGACGGCATCACTCCTCCTATTACGAACTTTGCCAATGCTGGAAACAACTGCACCGCATTTGCTGACAACCCAAATCTCCTCAATTGTACTCAGATTGCGTAGGTCAATCAATCCGATTCGCCACTCTTACGTTTCTAATTGCCGCTTAGGGATGATATTGAGACCTGCCAGAACACCTACGGCAAGACGATCCTTCTGTCACTTGGAGGCTCTACGTATACTCAGGGGGGATGGTCTACCACAACTGACGCTCAAAATGCGGCGCAGTCAGTTTGGAATATGTTCGGCCCCCAGACTGGCGTCGCTGTCGACCGTCCTTTTGGAGAAGCTGTCGTCGATGGCTTTGATTTCGATTTCGAGTCAACAGTCAATAATCTCCCGGCATTTGGCGCCGAGCTTCGCAGCTTAATGGATGCCGCTAGTGGGAAGCAGTATTATCTGTCTGCTGCACCCCAGTGCGTCTTTCCCGATTCTGCTGATGGCACGACTCTTGACGCCGTTGCTTTCGATTTTGTCATGGTGCAATTCTATAACAATTGGTGCGAAGTATCTAACTTCCAGACGGGATCTACTACTCAGAATGATTTCAATTTTGATGTGTGGGATACTTGGGCCAAGAGCAGCCCAAATCCCAACGTGAAGGTCCTTCTAGGCATTCCAGCTAACACTGGCGCTGCTGGTGCTGGCTATGCAAGTGGATCTCAGCTCGCGGCTGCTATTGCTTATTCTAAGCAATATAGTAGCTTTGGAGGGGTCATGATGTGGGATATGTCGCAACTCTACGCCAATAGCGGTTTCCTCGACCAGGTTGTCAGTGACCTCAGTGCTTCCAGCCCTCCTCCTACAACTACAACTACAACTACATTGAAAACTACAACAACGTCGAGCTCCGGCTCCAATCCTACTGGGAGCCTTGTTCCTCAGTGGGGCCAGTGTGGCGGCCAGGGATATACCGGTTCTACCCAGTGCCAGCCCCCGTACACTTGCGTCGCCGGTGGTGCATACTGGTCTTCTTGCCAGTAATGAGAATCTTGGCTGGTCCTAAGGTTTTGTCAACCCTAAAGCACAAATTGTCATGCAGGAGGCCCAATTTCCACAATTTGTTATCACAGGACTCTTTTGTACATATGAGAAACAACTGTAAATACTCTTCTATTTCACATTCCCGGAGTCAGAGTAACGTACTTCACTGCGCGCGTCCTCTCGCCGCCCCCGAACTGTCCCGGCAGAAGCACCAAAGGGTAGGCAGGAGATGACTTAGGCTGCTAATACTTTTTGTACTGCGAAATCATTATGCCCAATTACCTTTTGACCGTGGAAATGTCATGGGCGCTCTGGTTGATGGAATACTACGGTTTTTTAATGCACAGGCCACGCACAGTTCAACTCTCCATAGCTAGCAACTATATTGTGGAATTCGATGTTACGGGACACAGGCCGCCAGACTTGTACATCCGCGATGCATGCCCGAAACGAAACGACTTCGGGGACGATGCCGGCCACGAACAAGACATAAATAAGATCCTGCCACAACATCTTTATTATTATCTTGACATACACACAAGCCAACCTTCCACTCATCCATCCATCCAACAAATCTCCTATCGTATCAAATCGGCCGCGGGTTGCAGAGCGCATCAATCTGTCCAGATCGGCCATGTGCACGCGACTGAGTCCGATACTCTTTCCTGTCCGGAAAGTCGGTGCGAAGAAGAAAAGAAATGTAGAAGAAAAAAGACAAAGCTCGCTCATGAAAGGGTCTCGGGGATGAGAGAAGAAAGACAAAGGAGAAGGGGAAGGAGGGGGAGAAGAAGACGAAGAAGAAGAAATGAAAATGCAAATCGTGAACACCCGTTGCAATCCAATCCACAGACGAGACGGAAGACTATATTATGTAAGAAGTTGCAGATGGCAAATCAGACACATCAGTCAGTTAGTCGATCAGTCGTCTTTCAGACGCTCGGAGGTATGCGAATTCGGCCCAACTCCACCTCCAAGGCCCGCTGTTGCGCGAGACCTGCTCGTCGCAGACACGGAGGGACTGGCGAAGCGGAAAGACGAGGACAAGGAGGCACCGCCCTGCAGATCGGATGTTGGGACGTGGGCAAAGGAGGCCGGGGAGTTCCGGCCATCCAAGGAGCAAGTGTCGTCTAGCTCGATCAGATCGCCAGGTCCTCCAATGCCTGTTTGGCGGCCTCGATCGTACGCTCGCTGGTTCGGTGATCCTTGTTGCAGCTCCGTGATCCCGGCTTTGGCGCGTGTGGTGACTTTTCGGACCCAGCCTTCGAAGGCGCCGCCGATGTTCTCTAGGCCGGTCGATGTTGTGGAGGTCACTGTTGATGCAGACTCGAAGGAGGATCTTCGGACGTTGGCGGGTGGTGGAGGTGGAGCTAAGGTTGGCATATGTTGTGCGAAAAACCGGCTTAGACCGTCCAAAGCAGGCCCTGGGACAGTTGAAGTGCGATCAAGAGTGCCCACTCCCGTACCAGTGAGCTGGATGCTGCTGCGCTGGCGGAGATGGCGTGGACGGGTAGGATATGAGGGGCCTGTTGGCTTTGGTTGCTCGTCGCGGGGTTGAGTCCCGGGCAGCTTGCCTACTGAAGATCGCGGTAATCCAGGAGAGGAGGGAAGTCGGGGGCTTTGTCGAGAAGAGCCAGATGGCTCAATGTCTGTGTAGGGGGTCGATTTTCGCCGCGTGCGAGGAAAGAATCCTAATGACCTGCGAGGAACACGACCAATCTCCACCGGTGCAGGAAACCCATCTATTTGTACCCAGGACTCATGTTTCCAGGTCCGATTTCGTTCCGACTCAGATGTGCGAGAGAAGGTTGTTCGTGCGGGAGAAGGTGATGGTAGCGGGACAATAGAGCTGTCTTTGGTGTCTTCAAGTGGATCGCCAGACGACTCGTCCAAAAGATTCACACTGTCCCTGGGTTGAACAGGTCGGCCTTTCACTGTGCATGCGTCGACGGGCAAAAGAACCGTATTTCGGCTTTGGATGTCATCATTTGGCCAGAAACCGTTCGCCTTCCGGAAGACCGCAGCTTGACAGCCATATTTGATCGTCACGCCCGTGATGCTGTCAATTGCTTGTACATTGTGAACGTATGCCAATGCCTCATCGTCTTGTTCTGGGTCGGGCGCCTGATCTGGAAAGTCTTCGGAAATCCTTCGTTTATGCCTAAGATCGCGGCTCGAGGTTGGACCGGTGTCAGCAAGCAAAAGAGCCTCGCGCTTCTTCGCCTGCACCATTGCTTGTCGTTCTTCCTTCGTACCCGCTCCGATTTCCGGAGTTGAACGCCCCGAGGGACCCCATGTAGAACTGCTTGATCTCGGCGCGTTAAAGTATATATCTGGCCTCGATGGTTTCCTCCGTGAAAGTCCCTGGGCGGCGCTATTTGGTGTTATTCGTCCCATGTCGCCCCCTAATACGGAAGAGGCCATGTTCTGGAGGGACGACCATGACGAGTCCAAGAAATCCACCGCCCCGCGCGAGGATGACTGTTTTGGCGATGTGTTCCAAGCAGATGTGTTTTCGCTGCGGAAGCCGCGATTGAACGACTCGGTGGCGCGGGAGGGGCGTATCATGGGTAGGGGCGAAACACCACGGGACGACAAGGGCGAGGGAGTGGCACCGCTGGATCTCGTGGCCCCAATTTCCGGAATGGCAGAGGAGAGTTGTTGCAGATCATTGTTGTAGGAGATATTGCTGTTACTGGTACTATCATCTCCATCCATCAACGAGACGAAGCGGCGTTGACGCGACCGGACCTCGGAGGTGGACGTGCGGGTGCTGGCGCTTGCACTGACGGGATTGGAGCTCGGGGAAGCATTGGCAAAGGTGTTGGGGGGACTCATTCCTATCCGTGAGGCTGATAGAAGCCTTGCTTCAAGGGCGATGGTTCTTCTGCTCCCTTAAAGACCAGTTGTGCGTCGCCAAGGCACTGATTGCCATCAGTGGTCTCCTAAAAGAGACCCATTCGTCATCCACCCTCAGAGGCGCATTCGTGGCCTTACGGCGCGAGCAACACAGAGGCCAAGGCGCAATCATGCACGAAGCCGGGACCCTGGAGGTGAGTACTTTATAGCACAACTGCCACTTCGTTTCGTACGAGGCGGGTCACCAATGAGCCACCTCTGGGGATGATGTGATGGGACGGGCCGGGGAGGAGGTTGTCCAGGAGTGATGAGGCGACCCACCCTGGAACAAGCAGCACGGAGAACGGAGGACGAGGAAAGGAAAGAATGGCGGAACACCAACCGGGTTGTTGGTGGCAGACTCTGTACAGGAACGAACCAGAAGGGTAAGAAACGAAGTAATGAAGGAGAGACGCTTGTTCGGTCGGGCTGGTGGATGATCGGCGGGCGGCGAGTAAGTAGCGGTACATGACGTTGGCTAGGGTATTATACGAGCGACAGGTACCGGTACCTCCCCTACACGGTGACACCTTAACGTGTGTATGCGCCGCAAATTTATTATTTAAATGGGTACAATATACAACAAATCCGTCGACAATTCTATAGACAATGATCGCGCAACACAAGCAACAAGACCCCGGTATTGGCCCCCGTATCAATCCGACATGTCCAAGATCCAACGCCTTCCCTCATCGCGCGGCGAATTGCCACAACGATAACATCAAAAAAACTATACAAGTCACTCTGGGGGCTCAGCCATCACTGCAGGTCGCGCGTCGGCTTCAGAGGATGTTTCATCCTCGGTGCTCCATTCCTTCTCTTCCTTATCCGCGTCGTTGGCCACCACTTTGGCTGCGGCCGGCCGAGGCTGCGGTATGACTTTGATACCACCAGCGCGACCAAAAAAGTCCTCTGTGCGAAGACCGCGCACTTCTTGAGGATCAACTGCTGTCATTTGCGCGCCACTAGCTTTCTTCTGGCGAATGAGTTCCCGCACAGGGACCATGGCGGCATCGCGACACGCTTCTTTGATGTCGCTACCAGACATACCGGCCATTGTCTTGACCAGATAGTGCAGATCAAAATTGTCCCGATCGACCTTGGTGTCCTTGAGGATCAGGCTGAGAATGCGAAGTCGCTGCGGCGCCGGAGGGAGGGTGACCGGGAACTTCTTGGGCATTCGTCGGAGGATGGCCTCGTCGATATCCTGGATGCGGTTGGTTGCGCCGAGAACGACAATGCGCTGCGGCTCTCCCATAGAGTTGGCGGACGTCAGACCGTCCCAGTGCGTCATGAACTCTGCCTTGACCATCCCGCTGGCCTCGTGCTCGCCACTTCTCCGAGTCCCGAGCACCGCGTCGATTTCGTCAATGAAGACAATGGAGGGCTGGAGTTTGCGCGCAAGAGAGAATACTGCATTGACAAGCTTGTTGGAATCTCCGTACCACTTCTCCGTCAACGTTGAGATATGCAAGTTGATGAAACAGGCTCCGCTCTCGTGGGCGAGGGCTTTAGCCAGCATGGTCTTGCCGCATCCCGGCGGACCATAGAGCAACACGCCCGAAGGCGCGGTGAGAAGAGATGATGTAGAGGTGTACAAGTGCGGCATGGTCAACGGGTAGATGACCGACTCCTTTAATTCGTCGATGATGTCGTCGAGCCCTCCAATGTCTTCGAAAGAGACGGCGATATCTTCCGGAGCGACAACGTCCATAGCGATCGCATGTTCATATTGAGTGAGTGAGAGCTCCCCGCGACGTTGTCGGCGTCCTCCCCGTTTTGTCCCTCCTCTCCGCGGCGAGTCGCCGTCCGATTCATCTCCGCCATCTAATCTGCGTAGGATAGCAGCAGACTTCCGCTTTTGCTCCTCTTTCTTCTGGCTCTCTGGATCGAAATCAACGCGCGACAGGAGGTAGCGAATAAGGAAGTATGCAGAGGCCGACTGGAGACTGTCAGTTCTGGGCCATGATTAGTAGTGCATGGAAGGCCACTCACTGTGCCGGCAATCATGACCAGCTCCTGCAGGAACTGTTGCCATCGGCGACCGCCCCCTGAAGCCATAGCGATAAAAAGTAATGGTAGGGGATTAGGGGGTTGGTCAAGAGATAGAGAGAGACAGAGAGAGAGTGTACGTTGAGATACTTGGTTGGGCCTCGGGGCAAGTGTGGCGTTTGTGGCTGGAGATCACATGCCCCATGACGCGGGTTTGTCTTTTGTTGTGGTTTGTTTCGCGCGTGTTTGATCCCATAGTTCAATTAGGTATCTCCCTTTCATCGCATCATTCTTATCCATCCCCCACCATGCCAAAGCGGAAAGCGCCCTCCAAGATTTCGGGACTCGTCGGCTCGGACGACGACGACATGATCCAATTGACCGAAAGTGAGAACCCTCCTCCCAACCACGAACCACCCGCCAAGAAGCGTCGCGGTCGACCACGCATCTCGCATGAGGACGCGCCAGAGCCCGACCCCAAAGCCGCGCCAACAGCAACCAAACAGCCCGCTAAACGAGGAAGGCCAAGGGGTAGTCGCGCAGTGTCGGTGGGAGCCGACGGCGCCGACGACTATGAACAAGAAAATGAGGATCCTGCTGCCCGGACGGAGACAAGGACTACAAAAGCTGGCAAAGCTGCGGCGACGCGTGGCAGAGGACGCCCTCGCACGACCAGCGCGACAACAACAACGAGCCCGACAAAGCAAATGCAGACCGACGGTGAATTCGAATTCACACCTACCGGCACGCGAAAAATCGCATCCGGTGGAACCTCCCAGGCACTGGTCGAACCCCGTGGAACACGGCGGCAGATCGCCAAGCCTGAAGTGCCCGAGTCGCAGCGGGAGGATGAGGAGTATGATACAGAAGATGGGGTGGACGAGACAGTTTTCCCAGATCCACCCAGTGCCAGTCGCTATGTGACCAAGAACGCTCGTGCTCGAATTACCGCCTTGCGAAACTCGCAAGATTCCTCTCCTCGTAAGCGCAAGCTGGGCATGGAGTCCGAGCCCAACGCCGGGGATCCCGATTTGCGACGGAGATTGGGTGAACTCACGAAGAAGCATGATGCTTTGGAGATCAAATACCGCAACCTTCGCGAAATTGGCATTGTCGAGGCAAATTCCAATATGGAGAAGTTGCGGAAGCAATGTGAAAATGTCACTACAGGTATGTTCATTCAAGTAACAAGTTATGGAGCGAAGCTAAGAGACTTGCTAGCGTCGAATGCATTGATTGCTTCACTGAAATCGGAGTTGGAGGCGCAGCGAGCTCTCGGGCAACAGAGCCGCAGTTTCCAAAAACAATTAAAAGACCGCGATACTGAGATGGCACGACTCCAGGCACAGGCCGACGAGGCGCGTAATCAGCTTTCTTCCGCACAATCTGAGATCAAAACGCTCGGAACAAAGCTCGCAGCTGCGCGAAACACAGCCGCGAGTCTCGAGAGCGCTGCAAAAGCTCCCGGCAGTGCTATTAAAGGTGGAGGAGTCAATCGCGCAAATTTGGCCGCTACTGCCGAAGCTGCACAGGTTGCGCAGCTCAAAGAGGATCTGTACAGTGATCTCACGGGGTTGATCGTCCGCGATGTTAAAACCCGCGAATCGGATCACCTGTATGATTGTATTCAGACCGGCGTCAACGGATGTGAGTTTCCTACTGTCTTTGTGATCTGTATAATTGCTAACCTTTGGCAGCTCTGCATTTCAAACTCGCCATTCCAATGGGCTCTGCGGCCGACTATGAAACTGCGGAGTTCCAGTATCTCCCTCTCTTGGACCCTAACCGTGACCGTGAAATGGTGGATATCCTACCGGATTTCTTGACGGTAGACATTACGTTCAATCGACAGCAAGCGTCCAAGTTCTACACAAGAGTAATGGATGCATTGACCAAGCGACGATCGAGTTCAGTGCAGTAAGTATGGTGCTATATAGGGATTTGAGTGGTTGTGTTTGGAGTTTTCCCTTTCTTTTGGATATCGCTCTTGTTGTTCTACTTGTAAATATTCAATCTATCCCTCTTTTTGGTCCTATAGCCCGGTAATCTTCCTCCCCTGTTCGCTTTATACTCGTGCCTGGCAAAATCCCCATCGGCACGGCCTGATTGGCTCACCGCCAAGTCCCCCCAAGTTCCCCGAAAGAGTGTCCCCAACTTCTTGTTTTTGTTCCATCCAGGGGATTCTGTCCACTCTTTTCACTCTCAAACCCCGGCACTCCTTTGGAACCCCTGTGAGCGGAGCAAAATCATGGCGCGTCTCGGTCGCGTTGGGTTTCTAACCCTCGCCGTGGTCTTCCACTTGATCTACACCTACTCCATCTTCGACATCTACTTCGTGAGCCCCATTGTTCGGGGCATGCGATCCTACGGTGTCGAGAGACCCGCCGGTACCGATGCCCCCGCCAGACGTCTCGTCCTGTTCGTCGCCGACGGTCTGCGCGCCGACAAGGCTTTCCAGGCCTTCCCGGACCCGTCCCCCGAACCCACTGATCGCGACAGTAACCAATTGATCCGCCTGGCGCCCTTTATCCGCTCTCAGGTGCTCTCACATGGTACATTTGGCGTCTCCCATACTCGCGTTCCCACCGAATCTCGCCCCGGCCATGTTGCGCTCATTGCGGGCCTGTACGAGGATGTTTCGGCCGTGACAACGGGGTGGAAGTTGAACCCTGTCAACTTTGATAGCGTGTTTAACCAGAGTCGGCACACGTGGAGCTGGGGTAGTCCGGATATCCTTCCCATGTTCAAGGAAGGCGCGGTACCCGGCAGGGTGGACGCGGAGACGTACAGCGAGGAGGCGGAGGATTTCACCGTGGACGCGACACACCTGGATACCTGGGTATTTGACAAAGTGCACGGGTTGTTCGAGTCTGCAAAGACAGACCCGGAGTTGGATCGGAAGCTACGCGACGACAAATTAGTATTTTTCCTGCATTTGCTGGGATTGGACACCACCGGCCATGCCTTCCGCCCTTACTCCAAAGAATACCTGCACAACATTAAGATCGTCGACAAGGGAGTGCAATCGGTTACAAAATTGGTAGAGGATTTCTACGGAGACGGCAAAACAGCATTCGTCTTCACCGCGGACCATGGGATGAGCGACAAGGGCAGCCATGGAGACGGGCATCCAGACAACACCCGAACGCCGTTGGTTGTATGGGGATCTGGCGTTGCGGGCCCCAAAAATACCAACGGCGCGGATGTGACTGGCCACGAAGATGGGTTCTCGTCGGATTGGGGATTTGACCATGTCCTCCGCCATGACGTGGCACAAGCCGATGTGGCTGCTCTCATGGCATATCTGGTTGGTTTGGACTACCCTGTGAATTCCGTGGGTCAACTGCCCCTGGACTACCTTGATGCTAGCCCACAGGAGAAAGCAATGGCCGCTCTTGCAAATACGCGGGGTGTGCTAGAGATGTATCGGGTCAAGGAAGAGCAGAAGAGTGAGTCTGTGCTTCGGTACGTGCCCTTCGAGCCTCTTTCCGGGCATGAAGAAACCTCTGTCGAAGGAAGACTCTCCAAAGTTGAAGCACTTATCACCAATGGCGCTTATGAGGAGGCCATTGCTCTATCCTCGGAGCTGCTGGTGACCGCGCTCGAGGGTCTGCGTTACCTACAAACGTACGATTGGCTCTTCTTGCGCACCATCGTGTCTCTCGGCTACTTGGGCTGGATCGCGTACGCTCTCACTTCGGTGATTGACCTGCACGTCCTGCATGGTGCCACGGACTCAAATCGGACAACGGCCAGCACCATGTTCTTCTCATCCATTCTGGTGGTCTTGTTTTCTGTCTTCCTCTACCAGGGATCCTCATGGCGGTACTACTTCTACGGCGTGTTTCCCGTCTACTTCTGGGAAGAAGTTTTCGCTCGCCGCAAGGCTTTGACTGCCGGCCGGGAGATTGTTCTCGGTCATGTCCGTTCGTTCAAGGGCTACCTCACTTTTGGACTTCAGTTGCTGGCATTCCTTGCTGTCCTTGAGGCCCTCGTATGTCTCACTCTTCTTTTTCATGTCTGCAACTTCTGACTCTTTCCTCGCCAGGTCCAATCCTATTTCCATCGGGAAATCTTCACTGTCTGCTTTACCTTGGCCGCTTTCTGGCCTGCTTTCTATGGCATGAACTTCGTTCGCAGCCACATGCTTCTGTCGACAACATGGGCAGTTGGCAGTGGCTTGATGGCCACTTTTACTCTTCTCCCGGTGACCAAAATGGAGAACGTTGATGCCATGTAGGTTTCTTGACCTACCAGTTGAATACCTGGCTGACTGGCTGTCTAGTACCTATGGCGCATTTCTGATGTTCTTCACCGGCGTGCTGTATTTGCTTTTCGAGGATGCTATCATTGGCCATCGCGGCCCTTCATCGCAGGCTTCACTCAGCAGTCTGGGCGCGCGGATTATTATGGGCTCACAGATCGGCATGATTCTGCTCGCCTTGGTTGTCACCCGGTCTACTATCTTCTCTCTTCAGGCTCGCCAGGGTTTGCCGTTTGGAAACTTGGTGGTAGGATGGTTCGTCTTGGGTAAGTTGTGAAGTTGCATGTCTCGGGTTCTATCTAACATTGCGCAGTGGCCTCCCTCGCATCGCCCTTCTTGCATCGCTTGTACCCCAACAGCAACTACCTGCACCGTCTCATGGTCATCTTCCTCACATTCTCGCCAACCTTCATCATCCTCGCCATCTCCTACGAGGGCCTGTTCTACTTTGTGTTCTGCATGACCCTCGTAACATGGGTCCGCCTCGAACACGCCATCTACGTTCACACGGCCGGTTCGACGCCTGTCTCGGGCAGCAAGAAACCCGACACGGCGACGGCCACCGTCGGGGGACAAATATACCACTACCGAGCCCTCACCCTCTCCGACACCCGCGTGGCCCTATTCTTTTTCTTCCTACTACAGTCCGCCTTCTTCAGCACCGGCAACGTCGCCTCCGTCTCGACCTTTTCCCTCGACAGCGTCCGCCGCCTAGTCCCCGTCTTTAACCCCTTCAGCCAAGCCGCGCTCCTCATCCTCCAGATCCTGATTCCCTTCGCCATCATCAGCGTCAATCTGGGGATCCTCAACCGCCGTCTAGAAGTCGCACCCAGCGCCCTATTCATGGTGGTGATGGCGCTCTCGGACGTGATGACACTCAACTTCTTCTACATGGTGCGCGACGAGGGCTCGTGGCTGGATATCGGCATGACGATCAGCCACTTCTGCATCGCTAGCTTCCTGTGCACTTTCGTCGCGGGCCTCGAGTTCCTCAGTGAGGTCTTTGTCAGCGGCGTGGACTTCGGCCAGTGGCCCCCTTCTGCTTCCAAGCTAGGGGAGAAGGTGGCGAGTGCCGTCGAGGGTTCCGTGGATTGTGGGCATGAGGGTGGAGGCGGAGGTCCGCCGACCAACGGGAATGAGAGGAGTAAGAAGGTGAAGACGAAAGCGAAGAAGAAGGCTGGGTGATACTTGCATACTTACTTGACACAGGATTGTTTTGATTTTAATTGGGGGCGTGATCCTTGTACGTACTGTATTCCTATTATGGTTGTTGAATAAATAGACTGCTCCGACTCCAATCATTCTTTGACTTCTATGGTCCCGCGGGGATCCACTGCCGTACACGGCGGTGCCTGGCATGGACGGCGGGCTTATTCAGAACCGACCTGATTGGCCCAAGCTGTGCGGAACAGGTGAACCTCGGCATCACAAGATCTGCCCTTACTCTCTGGACACCAGAACCATAGACGCTTTCTGACGAGTCAGTCATAACGCGCACTGACTAGAAGCCCCTGCCACCATCCCCGCAAACGCCCGCATCCATCCTTCGCGTGTTTTCCTATTTCCGTTCCCCCGCAAAAACTAGCCCTGACTTCTCACTGTTGGAAGTAGTGATGTGATCGGCTCGCATGATCTCCGGCTGAGCAGTAGATAGATCTACACAGTGGCTCTGGCGCTATTGTCTCACTAAGATGGCCGAGAACCGGAATCTTACATCCTAGTTAGGTTACTATATTTTTCTAGGCCATGATTTAGTATCGTTGGTGTTACCTACCGTGGTTGGTATGTTCATCGGATTGATTCCCCCCCCCCCTTACCCGGGGAGGAAGAGGCTGATGAGTGGCTGGGCGTGGTATTTCCACGGCGGTGGAGTGGACTGGGGTGAAACCCAGTGAGGAACGTGGACTTTCCCCGTTCTCGACACATCCATATGTAGTAGGTAGTCTATACAATAGTAACAATATTATTATTATTATTATTATACGACAGGAACCAAACAGAGTAGAATAACATGGCTATGGTCTATATCTAGAGCCTACTACTAAATCATCACTGCCTAGTCGTGCCAGCCACTCTACACCTCATCTCCACCATGACCTCAGATCGCCCGTATTGCCACACCACTCTCATTTTCCCTTCACCATCCATCCATTCTGATATTCCCCTTCCCATTCATTCCACTTCTTCCTCCTCTTCCGGTCCGTTTTCTTCCCCCATCCAGTTGAGTGGCGCTCAAGTAGGCTCCATCCAGCGCACTCTCCCTCCCTCCATCCCCAATTCCCAGACCCTGCCTATCCTCGTCCTCCCACACAAATCCCCTTTCGTCCCCCCAGTCCCAGTCCCTCCTTTATACTCTTCCCACTTCCCTCCGCCCCCTCCTCTCCCGACTCCCACCTACGTTCTCTTCCTCCCTCCCTCCCTCCCTCCCTGCCCTCCGGCCCCTCCCTACAGAGTCGAGTGGAAGGCGATCCAGTGCATGGGCAGTCGGCCATGAGCACTACGACGGAGTCGCACGCCGAATCATACCCGGCCACCCACGGCAGTCCTGCCCCCAGCGCCACAGGCTCGACAGGAACATCCGGAATCACCGTGCGCGGTGGTCCGAACAATTCACAAATGAGTTTCAGAAGGTAAGCAATGCGCTCTTTCTGTGTTTGATGGGGGCCGATGCGGTCGCGGGGTCTGGTTACGGGCGCGAAGAGGAGAACACAGTGACGGAGATTTTTGCGGCGACGTTAGGATGTTCCACTATTTTATCGGATGCTGACTCGATTTATCTAATCTCTAGACAACGTGCATCACGCGCGTGCGAGGTACGTCCCCTCTGTTTCGACGGTCGAGACGCGATCGATCTGGTGCTGCTGGGGGGAAGGGTGCCTCGGCACCTCGGCTCCGTTGCTTATCGCAAACAAGAAGCACACTATGTTTTAGCAGTGACCAAGCTGACCACTTTTTTTTTATTGTTGTGTTTTAGACATGCCATTCTCGCAAGGTAAGTAGCCCCGAACAAAATTGATACGGTCGCTTGTTCTGACTGTCGCGGGAAATAGGTTCGCTGTGACGCCGCTAGCCTTGGTGTCCCCTGCACCAACTGCGTCGCTTTCTCCATCGAGTGCAAGATCCCCACCCCGAAACGCAAGAAGAACACAGGTCAATCGAAGGGCAAAGAGGGCGGTGAGTACGGTGACAGTCCGCCCCAAAGTGCATCGTCCGTGGTCGACGCGGCAGTTGCTCACTTCCGACCCTCGGCCGGCTCCGACTTGCCTGCCGTGTTCAACGACCAACAGGGGACCTCGACAGACTCAGACGAGAAGGATGAGGTGCTTGGATACCGAAGCAACCGGATGGCTGTCGACGGCATGCCCGTCACCTCTCTCACTGAGTCGGAGGCCGCCATGCAGGCCTCGGGAGAGAATGCCTATGCGCAATTCATGAAGCCCAAGTTTGCGCGCGCCCCGATTAAAGAGGCCGGCCGCGTGGCATACCTGGGTGAATCGTCGAATTTGTCGCTGCTGGTCCAGGATCGTCACGGCACGACAGATGTGGTCCACTACCCATTGCCGCCGAATATCAGAGGATCGCGGGCGCGTCTGACAGACTTGGATAATCTGGAGATTGACATTCTCCACCAGCGTGGTGCATTTCTTCTACCGCCGAAGCCGCTGTGTGACGAGCTGGTCGATGCCTATTTCAAATGGGTCGCCCCCGTCGTGCCCATCATCAACCGCAGCCGGTTCATGCGCCAGTACCGGGACCCCAAAAACCCGCCGTCGCTGCTTTTGCTGCAGGCGATTCTGCTGGCCGGATCGCGTGTGTGCACCAACCCGCAGCTCATGGATGCCAATGGCTCGACAACGCCGGCTGCGATGACCTTCTACAAGCGGGCCAAGGCCCTGTATGATGCCAACTATGAGGATGATCGTGTCACCATTGTGCAAGCGTTGGTGCTCCTGGGTTGGTACTGGGAAGGACCAGAGGGTAAGCTTCTTTAGATGGCCGAACCCATTTTGATACTGACTGGTTGTAGATGTCACCAAGAACGTGTTCTACTGGACCCGAGTCGCAATAGTTGTGGCTCAAGGCTCTGGCATGCACCGCAGCGTGGAGACCTCCCAGCTGAGCAAGCCCGACAAGAGACTCTGGAAGAGAATCTGGTGGGCACTCTTCACTCGCGACAGATCCGTGGCAGTGGCGCTAGGTCGGCCGATTGGGATCAATACCGACGACTCGGACGTCGAGATGGTGACGGAGGATGATTTCATCGAAGATGAGCTCGACATTAAGGCCGAATATCCACCAGACCCGGTCCACGTGCAATTCTTCTTGCAGTATGTCAAGCTGTGCGAGATCATGGGTCTGGTGCTCTCGCAACAGTATTCGGTGGCATCCAAGTCGCGCCGTATGAACGCTATGGATCTTACCCACTCGGACATGGCGTTGGCCGACTGGCTGCAGAACTGTCCTAAGGAAGTGTGTTGGCAACGCTCCCAACACCATTTCTGGGCTGCTCTTCTGCACTCTAACTACTACACCACACTCTGTCTTCTGCACCGGGCGCACATGCCACCCGCCTCGTCGGCGCCTGGTAGCTACCGAACGGAGGAAATGGCGTATCCATCGCGCACGATTGCTTTCCAGGCTGCGGGCATGATCACATCCATTGTCGAGAACCTGCAGGCTCATCAGGAAATCAGATATGCCCCGGCATTCATTGTCTACAGCTTGTTCTCGGCTCTGATCATGCACGTGTACCAGATGCGTTCGTCGGTCCCCTCCATTGTGGCAACCTGTCAGGAAAGGATCCACGTCTGCATGCATGCCCTCAAGGATGTGTCCAAGGTGTGGCTGGTCGCGAAGATGGTGAATACACTGTTCGAGTCTATTCTCGGCAACAAAATCCTGGAAGAGCGCCTGCAGAAGGCTGCCGGTAGGAGGCACCAGCGAGCCCGGCATGATCACGCCGCTTCCTCGAAGAAGCAGTCAGAGCCGCCGAAGCGCAAGTTCGACGATATGGATCTTGGGCTGCCCAACGGCGGTCCCACGCCTCCTGTCTCGTACGAACGTTCTCGGCCTCAGACTCCGGCCGTCACCCCCTCCCGGGAACTCAACCAACCTCCCCTGGGCCAGACGTCTCCCAACGCAAACGCACACCGCGGGGCCCAGGACCCTGTGGGAGGAGGGCCAGCCAACTCGCGCGGCAATACTCGTCCGACCACCCCCTTCAATGCCCAGTTCTCTCTCCCCGCCACTCCGCCCGATTTCTTCCTGGTAACTCGCACATCCCCCAATCTCTCGCCCTCTCTCTGGGAGAATTTCCAGCCCGACCAGCTCTTCCCGGACGGCACGGCCATCTTCCCAGAGCTTACATCCCCGCCTCCCCCAACGACCGTGGACCCGCAGCTTCAAATTCCGACGAACATGCAAGCCCCGAACATGGGTCAGCGGCCGCCAATGATGGGCGCCCAGCCTCAGCAGGTGCCTACCCGCAGCATGTCTGTGTCGCAGAGTAGCCCGCAGCTGATGTCTGGTGTTCCTGCCGGCCTGGGAATGCCGACCACGGGCGCGCCGCAGCAGATGTTTGGCCTGGAGGGCCAGCAGTGGCCGATGCAAAGCCTCGACGGAACCCTGAGTGGCGCGGCGCTGGACGCGGCCAGCCAGGACGACAACTGGAGCAGCAGCTCACGCAGTGGGCCGACTGCGCCGACGACCTTGAACGTGGAAGATTGGTATGTCCCCCTCTCGCTCCCACCGGTTTGATTCATGCTAACCTTTTTTTGCTTCAGGTTCCAATTCTTCGGCATCAACGGCGGCTTTGGCGATCTGGCCGCTTGAGTCCGCTCAGTTATTGCACAACGTTCTTTGTAGCAGAACCCTAATCCGATCCTCTACTCCCGCCGGTATATAAAATCTTTCTTCTGGGCTTCCCAAAACACATGGTGGAACAGGATGGGGCGTTTTGGTATTTTTGTTTTTGGCTATCGTGTGCGAATTGGTTCTGTGGATATTGATTTTGCGGTGGTGTCTGCTGCGTTAGTGTTGGGAAGGCAAAATGGATTGATGATTCTTCTCTTCTATTCGCTACTTGAGGACGCGTAGTTGGTTGATGTCTGAGACTACCCCTATTCGGACTAGCGGATGACGAAATCGCTGCAGCCCGGTCTCGGCCAATCACCGCGAAGTGCCAAATTCTGGGGCAAGCCAGAGTCATCGAGTGCATCAACAATTTTCAATACAAACTAACCCTCTCTCTACATACTCCAAGGCACTCTGATTCCTTACCGTCTTTCTTGCTTTGGATTGTGCTTGCCGTCTTCTTCTCAATTACCCTTGTCTCCTCGTCTCTCCTCCCCTCCCTCTGCCCCGCTTTGCAGCGATGTCGGCGTCAGGATCCGGAGCACCCAACCCTGCGTCGGAGCCTACCAGCGCTCTGAAGAAGGCCTTCCCTCACGTCGATCTGCAGGGCAATGACCTTCCGCCCTCGCCTGCGCCATCCAGCCCGCACGCCGGTCGCCGATATGCTATTGCCACCGAGCTGGTCCTTACCGAGGGGACTGATCAGTACAATGCTAGCAGTGTGCCAATCTACCAGGTAAGCATTGAGATACACTATTCAATCAAGTTGGCTGGGTCAGAGAGGGAAATAAATGCTGACTGGCTTGATCTTCCCAGAGCGCAACCTTCAAACAAACCTCCGGCGCTGGAGGCGGCGAGTATGACTACACCCGCTCGGGCAATCCCACCCGCACACACCTCGAGCGACACCTCGCCAAGATCATGTCCGCGCAGCGCGCGCTGGTTGTCTCTTCCGGAATGGCTGCCCTCGACGTGATCTCGCGGCTTCTCCGGCCAGGCGACGAGGTGGTCACCGGCGACGACCTGTACGGTGGCTCGAACCGGTTGCTGAAGTACCTTTCAACAAACGGCGGGATCATCGTGCACCACGTCGACACGACAAACCCCGAAAAAGTGGTCCAAGTGCTCAGCCCCAAAACAGCCATGGTGCTCCTGGAAACGCCCACGAACCCACTCATCAAGATCGTGGACATCGGCAAGATCGCAGCCGCTGCACATGAAGCAAACCCCACCTGCCTCGTCTCCGTCGACAACACCATGATGTCCCCCTCCTCCTCAACCCACTCGAACTGGGCGCCGACATCGTCTACGAAAGTGGCACGAAGTACCTATCTGGCCACCACGACCTAATGGCCGGCGTGATCGCAGTCAACGACGTCGCCCTCGGCGAACGGTTGTATTTTACCATCAACGCATCTGGCTGCGGTCTCTCGCCCTTCGACTCCTGGCTACTCATGCGCGGCGTGAAAACCCTTAAGGTGCGCATGGAGCAGCAGCAAAGCAACGCGCACCGCATCGCCGAGTTCCTCGAGACCCACGGCTTCAAGGTCCGCTACCCGGGCCTGCGCTCGCACCCGCAGTACGAGCTGCATAACTCCATGGCGCGCGGCGCGGGTGCGGTGCTCTCGTTCGAAACGGGTGATGCGGCTGTGAGCGAGCGCATTGTTGAGAGTGCCAAGATCTGGGCTATTTCTGTTAGCTTTGGCTGTGTTAATAGTCTCATTAGCATGCCCTGTCAGATGAGCCATGCGAGTATTGATGCGAAGACTAGGGCGGAGCGCGCGATGCCGGAGGATCTGATTCGGTTGTGTGTTGGTATTGAGGATGTGGATGATTTGATTGATGATTTGCAACGAGCGGTAAGTTAGGTGTTTGATCTACAGTGGACTTGGCTGACTTTGATATGCATGTAGCTCGTCCAGGCCGGCGCGGTCAATGTCACGCTGGATGGCATTGAGGCGCACCCCAGATCGTAGTAGTCTATATACACAAAATATTTCGGGTGGCGTTAGGACAATGAATATTATGAGGCTTTTTGGTGTAATTGCGGTCCTGGTTGATACTCCATACCCTTGTAGGCTAGGCTGCTCATCGTTTATCCGAGCTCCGGCATCGGCTATCTGTCCGGCCCTTTCTCGTCCGGATAAGCGTAAGCCTGTTTACTAGCCCCGTCGACTGGACTGCTCTGGGTAGTCGGTCGCCTTTCTTTCATTCGAGTCATTCTTTCCCGACTTTCTTGTTGGTCCGATGCTTTCCTGTCGTTGATTTGTTCCCTCGTTTCGCGATGCCCGATGCCGTCGCGCAGAATACGTCGGCCTTGCCCTCCATGGCGACCATCAAAGAACGCTCTCCCATAACGCGCTCGACGCCGCCGACATGGAACTCCAAGGACATCGGTCTGCGACTTGGCGTCGATGTCGCCAGTGCAATGACAGCAGGCGCGCTGACCTGTCCGCTGATTACCATTATTGATCGGTGTGTTGTCCGACATTCCTCGGTCGAACTGGCCATGAAGAAGATGAAGCTAACCGAAGTAACTGCTCGTCCAGAGCAATCATTGAAAAGGCTTCCAAAGGATTCCCCATCCGCCAGACCATAACCAGCTGTTTCCGATCCATGCTCAGCCGCCCCAGCGGCTTCTTCCTCAGCACGCCTTTCCTCCTCATCTACACCCTGTATACATCCACCTACCTAACCGCCAACACAATCGACACCGTAACCTCCACCCTACGCAACCAGCGCTACTCCACTGTCACACCGGGGCCGGCCAAATTCATCTCCACGACGGCTGTCAACATGGGGATATGTATGTACAAAGACGCGCGCTTCGCCAAGATCTTTGGCGCATCGTCCTCCCCGGCTCCTCTATCGGGTATATACACCCAGCCGAGTTCCGCGCTGAGGAGTCCGCCATTATCCCTCTCCCATCAAGGACCCGCGCAGGCAACACCCGCAGTACCCACAATCCCCAAGATCTCTTATTCATTATTCTGCCTCCGCGACAGCGTCACAATCTTCGCCTCTTTCAACGTCCCCGCCCTCATTGCCCCCTCAATACCAGACTTCGTCGCCTCAACCCCCAACATGAAAGCCGCGATTGCACAGTTCGCCTGTCCCGCGCTGATGCAGTTCGCCAGCACGCCTATGCATCTCCTCGGCTTGGATCTGTATAACAGACAGCCGGCTGGTGGGCTACCCTGGACGGATCGCATGGCAAGGATTCGCAGGGACTATGTGCCTAGCTGCTTTGCGCGCATGGGAAAGATTGTTCCGGCTTATGGTATTGGCGGTGTGGTCAATGTTAGAATGAGGGCGTCCTTGATGCAGTGGCTTGAAAGGAGGTGAAATCTTCCTTGCATTGATGATATGACTCTTTTTCATGATCTCTGTTTGCTTTTGGTCTGGTCTATATACAGGCTGTGATGTGCATATATGCACTCACACTCTCCACTCACTCACACACACAGTTGGTTTACATTTTGGCGCTTGCTTTTGTTTTCGGCTTTTTGCTTTTTGCTTTGAGGAAGTCGAGTCTTGCTTCACTGAAGCCAGGCAGGACTTGTTCCTTGGGAGTTTGAATCTGCATTGCATGTCATAGATTTTTAGATGGACATGGCTCATTCTTGATTCGGCGTTCTTTGAGCTTTTTTGGATTTGGGTTTGGTTTCTTTCTTTCCTTCCTTGTCTGATGTTTCGGTTATTTAGTCTATTTTGTGTTGTACTTTTCAACTGGATATATCGAATCAAAGTCTAGTTCAATAATCTGGATATGTATCCACTTAATGGTGTCATGCAATTTATATGGAACACCACCTATGAACTAAACAAATTGTTCGCTATCTGACCTCCTGTAGACTGGTATCAGCGCTGAATGATATCCAAAAACAAACCATGAAGGCAAACACCATACCCTCCACTGACTCGGACCAACCACCACTAGAAATGTGGAATGAAGTTGGTCCAGGTTATACCATAATAAGCATTCACTGGCAACGACCGCACAAGCGTATCAACACTCATCACAAGAAGGAAAACCCTCGCAAATGCATAAACATAAATCCACCCAGAAAGCAGCACATCAGAAATCCTAGCGGGCAGACATCTTCTAAACATGTTCAACAGCATCGGAACAACTGGCAGTATCGCCGCAGTGATGCTGATATAGCGCCAAATGAGGTACCATTTCGAGTCGAATAGATTCGGGTGAACGAGCAGATGCGCAGCATTATAGGCTCCCATCGCGCAGCCGATGAAAAACATCGAAGCGATAACCCACCCCGGCTGGGTGACGCCGTCTCCCAAGTAGTATATAACGGGTCTGGCGAAGGGGATCCTCGCCACAGAGTCGGTGGCCGTGTCTTCGAGCCCCTTGTCGCATATAAAAACGTACTTTTCCGAGAGCTGGCCGACGATCCCCTGCTCTATTTTGCCATGGCACTGGATCTCAATCGGCACGTCGACGTCTTTGGGTTTATACCATTCCAGTACAAATGTGAAGACGCTGGGCAGAATGAACCACACGGTGATAACCTCCAACGGCGCAAGGGGCAGATCCTCCTCGTACCTGGCGATACTCTGTATAACCGTCCAGGCCAGCTGCATGAGTGTAAACACGCGGGCGAACGAATCGGTCTTACTCCGATCTTGAATAGCATCCAGCTCGGTATCAGGCACATCGATGAGATCATTCTCAACAAGGATCAAAAGCGTCTCCCCGGTCAGGGGAAAGGGCTCCCGATCACCTTCCTGAGGAACGAGGACATATCCACCCATATTAACAAAGAAGCCATGCGTCAGAGTCCACGGCTCCGCATTCGGCTTGAGCGTCTTCTTGATATCGTCGCGCGTCTGGCGCGCGCGCCATAGCTCCGTCAACGCGACTGCAGTAATGAATTCCGGAAAGGCGAGCGTGATGCACATCCATTTCACGCGGCGGAGGACCTTGCGCCACAGTTTGTCATTCTTTGCGGGGACGTTTAGGGCTTGGATGGACCAGGCGCACGCGAGGAGGGTGGCCAGGCAACTGTATAGGATGTCGAAGGAATCACGCCATGACCCCGAGGATTGCCAGCCAACGTGTGTGGTGGTTGGGGAGCTGTATTCGCAGAGCGGATTCGGGGCGCAGTAGTCGGGAGAGGAGTGGAGGGATGGGAAGGCGGAGGAGAGAGTCATTCTGAATGGGGCGGAAGGAAAGGAGAGCCGAATGAATGATGATTATGAGGAGAAGAAGCAGAGATGTTTAATTTTATTCGTTCGTGTCACGACAAATCTTCAATTTTGGAGAGAAGAACAGAAAGGATCAGTTGAATATTAAATAAACCTGACAGGGAGGACCGAGAACTGAATGCTAGTGATCGGCAGCCTCACGATGCAGCGGATGAGACGTGAAAACGGAATTTTCGTTCTTGGCCTCTGCGGCTGTACTTCGACCTATACTTCACGGTGTAAGCGATTCAGAGCATCATAGAGAGTTGCGTGTTGTTTAGCGGCCGGGTAGGATGGTCCGAGCAGTCGGCATTAGCTCTTGTAAGGCATCCTATGAACATCACAGATTCCAGCCACAACACGAGTGATACTACCTTGATTTAGTTAGACTCGGTAGAAAACATACTGTGGTTGGTTGTTTCTATTTAGTCTGCAATACTTGGGCTGAGGGCCAAAATCACCTAGTCTGCAACTCAGCCTCTTCGGAAAGAGGGCCGTGCCGTACCTACCGTGCTATAATTAAAAAGCGAGTGTTAGGACTGGGTCTGTGCAGTAGGATGACTTGAATCTATGTGATGTATGCAGCTTTGTAACCGCCGAGTGGAAACAGCCGGCTTGCGTATTTCAGGAAAAGGAGTCTGGGGCATTTTGAACAGTGGAAATTTACTGGTCTATACCTCTTGTTGGAGTTCATAATGCAAAAAGTAACTACTACTGTACAAGGTTAGTGAGGTTGCCAAACTTTGGATCCGGAGAACTCTAACCCTAGATCCACTTCTAGACCATCTCAAGGTGTATAGAAGCGTCGATTTTCTACGAGTAGGAACTAATCCAGAGATTACAGTATTTCACAAGTTTTTTTTTTCTTTTAGACAGACAATCAACCCTAAACTATGTACAGAAGAGAGTTTCACCACCTGAAATTATATAGTGTTAGCACCTTCCAACATTATTATGATCTGGGGAAACTCACGCAAAAGGCTCCGAATGCAAATATAGCTCCTCCACCTCGCCAGCCAGGACGCTCTTCTGCGCCGCCGCCGCGGCGTTCCGGGTATCATGCAGCATAGACGCCGGCCCACAAACCACCACGCCAATGCGCGGTTTCCGACCTCCAGGACAGCGCTGTTCGCGCGCGGAGGCAATGGTGCGCTCTATAAGATCGGGGATGTACGGATGGGCATTGCGGCTGACATTCAGACTAAAAGAGCCTGTCGTCGTAGTTTCGATTCCATCTTTGCCGGACGTTCCCTTTTCTTTCTCATCCCCTGCGGTGGTAGAGGGAGTGTCGGGGCTCGACGTAGAGACGGATGCGCTCGAGGAGGCCTGTGAGAGGGCCGAGGTGCGGTTTGAGGTGATATGCACGGAGACTGATGTGTCGAAGCCGTTGTCTGCCGTAGTGGATAGTGTAGTCGAATGGGAGAGGCGCGACTCGATCTCTTCGACGTACCAGTCTGCCATGGCAGTGTCGCGTGTCGCATAGACGACCTGCAGGTTCCGGCGGCGACATTCATTTTCGCAGTCCAGCTTGTTGGTGCTGCTGCAGTCGGATAGGCTGTTTAGACGGAGCGCCTCGTCGACCATGGCGAGCGAAAACCCACCGCCCGAGCCCCCGGCGATGACAAGGATGATGTCAAAGCGAGCCATGTGAGGCGCGCTTACGCCGCCGTACGGCCCTTCCAGGAGTATCCTCTTGGATCCGCCGGGTCGTTGTTCTGCGAGGGCTGCAAGACGGGCGGTGACGCCGCCGTGCGGCTTGATGTAGAAGACCAACTCCGATGCCTTGCCTGTTGCATCTGGGTCGTTGCAGGCAGAGGATATGGTGAATGGGTGTGCTGTGAGAAGATGTAGGTCTGGTGTGAGGAAGCGGATGAAGAAGTGTTGGCCGGGAGTCCATTTGATGATGGTTGGTACGACCACACGGACAAGACCGCTGGGGAGGCGCTCGAGCATTGCGTTGTGAAGGCCATGCATGAGATAGGTGCGAGTTTGTGCGGTGAAGAGACAGAGAAGGTAGATTGTGCCGGTGGCGACGAAGTAGTCCCTTTTCAATCGTTAGTGACTTGCTACAGATTGAGGTTAAAGATAATTCATACCAAGAGGAAAGACGGAAGTCGCAGTGGAGGAAAAAGAAGACAACAAACACCACAGCTGCGATAATGTGGGTTGCCTTGAAGAACTCATAGAAACGGTTTCTGAGTATACTTGTAAGTCTCTGCTCTGGTTTGTCTCGGGTTGGAAGCGTCTCTTACCTGATGGAAGGTAAAGACATGATGGTCAGATATGCCTGCGGAATGATAGCACCAATTCCAGTCCAGTAGACTAAGCTTGTCTTCCACTCATTAACCATATCACCTTGCGAGATGTTGTAGACAATGAAGGGAAATGTGTGGATCAAGGCCAGAACGAACATGGCATAGCTGACCCAGTGGTGGAACACCTGTTTAGAGTCAGTTCCATACCTCGGAGATGCAGATGAAGACCTTACCTGGAGCTTCTCATGTGGAACACCAGTCAAGGCAGAAATCATATTCGCTTTGGCGCTCAAGGCTCTAGGGATGGCTATCAGTAAATCGTCTGAAATTTCGAGAAGCTCGAAACTCACAGTACAAAAGGCAACAAGGCAAGGGCCATCCAGCCAGCTCGAGTCGCAATAGGCGGGCTACCTCCGTAGCTGGCATCCGTCGGCCAGTAATAAGGCTTAGGTCCAAGTGTCATTGCTGTCATATTGATCAACTCATATTTCTTCGAGGCGTATTCGAGTGACACATACCGAAGAAAAAAACAGCACCGACTACTCCTAGCACAATCACCCCCAACGAGGGAGACCAGTATTGCATAGCCGGGAATCTATATCCTCGGTAGGCGAAGTAGCGAGAGACGGAGGTTATCTTGCGCCACAGTGCGGTCCTCTTGACACTCTCGGGCATGTATCTGACGAGAAAATTCGAGATCGCGAACACGCCGATGGTCGCACACATGAAGTATACGGTATTCAACGCATACACGTGGTCGGATTGGTACCTTGAATATCATATTCGGATTAACAGGGTGAGCTTATTTTGACTTCGGGGCATTTGTATACCAGTATCGCCAATGTCCGGAGCGATAGCGACATTGAGCTTCGGTCAGTGTGCAGTTGTCTGCGCGAGACGAATGAAGCATCACCGGCTGATCCAGCCAGGGAACACCCCCTCCAGACATGTCCATATCCATCATCATCGCGGCACCTTTCAGACAGACCTAACTAATCCTGAGGAGAATGTGACAGGGCAATGTTGTGTCTTCGCCTCAGATTATTATTGATATGATCTCACTTAGAAAACTCAGATCGCGAAATAGGGCAAGATTAAAGCTTGGCAGATCTGAGTGTAACCATCCTTTTCAATCTGATCGTCGTCGTGGATAGTTGCGGAACCGAAAACGGATACCGACCGAGACAGTGCTGTGTCCCAAGGGTGAGCGGTTCATATTTGAGCTTGTTTCCGAAGGCATTCTCCAGTGTTGATCAATCCGAGCTGTCTGATTGCTCGCAATTGAGCAAGTTTTTGGTTCTTTGTTCACTGCTGCGAGCGGTCGGGTGTTCCTGACCAACTGGGGTTAGACTTGAGCACATTTGCGCTTATTCATGTCATCGCCGAGCCTTCCCCTCCACCAACACGTCTTGGCAGCGGAAAAAAAAAAGGCATGCAATACGGACATGCAGGTCTTACATAGAGTAATCGTGCTCAACTGGATCGCGGAATGTTGCATGCGGATGTCTGGTTTCGAGATGGAGTGGGACGGAACATCGGTGTCATTTTACGCGGTCACAATTGCATCTAGACAAATAAACCCAGGCCACTGGCGGACCAGTAGTACCCTGTATTTCATAAACCAAACTTGAGGCACATTTAACGAAGAATAACCGATCTCCCGTCTATGGTCAAACAGCGCGGACCATGGGTTTCCGCATTTGGTTTAGCAGATCGCTCACGTGGTATCTCTAACCCTACATTCCGCCCGATAATCTCGCTTTCACCGATCTCCGACAGCTCAATCCAGGGGCATGGCCGACACGGAAACGGTTGTCGGGTAGGGCAAGGGCACTTTGGTGGAGGCGGGAACTCGATCGGCCCCGATACCGTACGACCTGAGCAGCTGGCAGCCGCCGCGTATGCTGTCCGCTTCCAAGCCCTTTGCCCGCAGCACGCTGGTAGCCACGCGTGCTGTGTTCCCATCATAGCACAACAATAAAACATGATGTGAATCAAGATCTGAGACCAAGCTAGCATTACTGAAGATCCTCTCCAACTCCACCCACTGAGCCTCAAGCACTGCCGCATCTGAAAACGGGGACGGTGTATGCGGTCCAAGGCTCGACAGAGGGAGATTCACCGAGCCGGGGAGATGCCATGCGTGGAAATCGGGCAATCTGCGTAAATCTATTACCCAGTTCTGCGGCTTCGGTGTAATCTCGCTCAGACGACATTGTGCAAGACTCCTTGGTGACCCATAAAATTGTGGAAGGATCTCCAATGCGTCGCGCTCCCAGCTCTCGTCGTACCGATGGAGGTCGACTTTGGTCAGGCGCTATCACAGTAAGAAGTCTGGTTAGCCTTCTGCTATAAGGATATCAGGATGTCACACGCATAAGAACTTACCTCGTTTTGAATTGGAGGAAACTGCTCAGGGCCGAGTTTCTGGAAGTATTCCCCGATGTACTGATACGGCAAGTCACAACACAAAAAGACACAGTGGATGATTCTATCCGGGCCAGCCAACTCAGATAATGTGCCTGCTGTCTTCTGCTTCTCCAGCATTTGGAACAAGCCCTGAAGATTGAAACCGGACGATGGGCCGCATACCAACCCCTCCCTGCACAGGTTCAGGGACAAAGCAAACGACTCGGAGGAACCCACTTCCTCAATTACATCCACCGCTTCCCTCCAAGGAAACTCGACTGGCCGCAATAGTGCATATGATCTTGGGCCCGGCACTCGGTCACCCGGTGCTGTGCAGACACCCAGTCTCATAACCGAAGCCTTGACGCTTTTGAAGTACGTTCCTAGGCCGGTCATGGTCCCGGAAGTACCCATGCCGGCGCAGAGGACGTTGATCTCCGGCAACTGTTTGAATATTTGAGGGCCGGTCCATCGGACGTGCGCCTGCCAGTTAAGGTCATTTTCATATTGGTTGGGGTTGACGACTGTTTCAGACTCCATGGCCAGTTTTCTGGCATTTTGGATTCCTCCTCGCGCATCCACTGGTTCAGGCTGAGATGGTCCGCCGAAGAGAGTAATGTTGAGACCGAAGAATTGCATCAACTTCAACTTGGCGTCGCTGGTCTTGTTGCTGAGGAATGCTCGGGTATCCGAAATCCCATGCATGACCCGTGCAATCATCGACATTGAGACTACCGTTGATCCGGAGCTGTACTCGATGATGGTGTTTGTCTTATTGGACACCACACTCGACTCGAGCATGTTCAACGCTGATCTAATATCAGCGCGAAGTAGACTTCCACAGGACAATGACTCGTCATACCTGGCATTGCTTTGACGTTATTTGCGGGGTGCATGGTCATCATCTTGGCGTATATCCGTACGCCGTCGTCATGATAGGGATTCAGATGCCTGGGCAGCTCTACTAGCGGCAATGGAGGCTGGCAGTCCGGGTCGAAATATTTCTTTAACGAATCGGGGCCTAAGTAAACATTATGCTCATTCAAGTTGGCCATGTTTGATCAAACTTCCAGGGTACGGAAGTGATGGATGTCGATTTTTTAGGGAGACGTGAGCTGAACGATGGCGGATTTGCAGGAAGATATACTTTCATAGCGACATTTGGACCACTCTTTATTCATTTGTTCTCAAAGTGCCACTCAAAGGCTTGAAAAGAGTGAGATCTACTGCCAAGTGTCCCACAAGGTTCAGGGTATGGTACACCATGCGGAGTAAAAGATGATCACCGAAGCCAATCGGGCAACGCAGGCTGCAAGCGCCAGTGAATCACGTAGGTTGGAACCAGGACGGTCCGATTGTAAGCTTAGTGCCATATGCATTGGGTCAATGAGTTAGTCACACGTCCTGTGGATATCGTCAAGAATTTCGAAAACGGCATGATCCACGGAAGGACTTGCGTCATTAATCTTCTCTGTAATTTGGTATTCTCGTGGGCGTCTGTGCTGCGATTTGTTCTAGAATCCACACTTCCTCCGTTCCCTCATGTCTCGGTTTAGCATTCTTCGCAGATCTCCGACAACGGAATTTCGGGAGACAAGAATCCTCCCCAGGTCCTCAATTGTCAGTTTCAAAAAAAGCAAGTCTACGCTTACCTGCAGATGAGTACCGTGAGAGTGTTTGAGAAGTTTTGAGGGCTCTAAGCTTGCCATACTGCAGATCATCATCAGCTGCCAATAATCTTTCATTCACCCGTTTCCTTAGGGAGAACAGTGTCGATCCATGTCTATTTCGTCTAAGCTCCCCAGCACAGCGTGTCGCTGCCAGAGAATCGGATCAAATTTGTCGTTTTTTTTTTTTTTAAACAGAACAGAATCCTGTCTTCACACATTTTGCCCCCTTGACCTTAGGACAGAGGATACACCATGTCGACAGTTCTTACCAGCTCGGGGAAGGATGGCTCCGACGCGCCGGCAGAGGTCAATGTGGTAGCAGATAAAGATGGGACGGGGACTTCAGCTGCTGTTTTCAACGAGCAAACTAATTATGTGCCTAAACGCACCATCATCACAGTAAGCATCAGCCTCTAGGCCCCGAAAGCACCTGCGCCTGACCCTTTCCTAGATCTTCTTAGCCTGCTCAACCACAGACTTGCTAGCGTTGATGGACCAAACGACCTTGGCGGCCAGTTTGTCTATTATTGGAAATGCTTTGGGCGCAAGTGACCAAACCGCCTGGATTGCCTCCGGGTACTTTATGTGAGTGGTGGAAAGTTCCACGAAGCTTTAAGCTTCTGTTGGGCTAATAATAAATTAGAACATCGACATGTTTCCAATTGCTTTATGGGAAGCTGTCAGATATATGGTCTCGTAAGGCCGTCCTTTTTGTCGGCCTTGCAATCTTTTTCGTCGGTTCACTGGCAGCGTCGCTCGCCCGAACCGTCACACAGCTGATCGTCTTCCGTGCCTTCACGGGCGTGGGCGGCGGCGGCCTCTTGACCGTTGCTCAGATGATCGTCAGTGACATCGTGCCCCTCCGCGAGCGAGGAAAGTATCAAGGCATTTTAGGTGCTGTGGTTGCTATTGCGAATGGCATAGGCCCTGTCATTGGTGGTGCGCTGGCATCGATATCTCACGACTCGTGGCGCTGGATCTTCCGTCTGAATCTCCCACTCACAGTAATAACGACGTTATCTGTGCTATTTTTCATGCCCCTGCGCAAGGTGGCTGGTGACTGGAAAAGCAAGCTGAGGGCAATTGACTTCTTTGGTGTTTTCCTAGCCCTCGGCGGCACATCTGTCTTGATTCTCGGCCTCACTTGGGGTGGTGGCCAGTACGCGTGGAACTCAGCGCACGTTATTGCAACAATTGTGGTTGGTGTTGTAATTTCCATTGCATTTGTCATTTGGCAATGGAAAGGTGCATCTGTTCCACTCGTTCCCATGCACATATTCCGATCCCGCATCGTCAATGGCGCGTCTTTGACAATGTTCATCCACGGGTGGAATTTTTTGGTGCAAGTGTACTACATACCGACTTTCTATCAGCTGGTATTTGAGTATTCCACCGTCAAAGCTGGTGCAATGTTGCTGCCGATAACGTTGATGCAAAGTACGCCGGTTTTCCTTTCCCTTATGCATGTACAAATCTGACCAATAAATTCTGCAGCCGTGAGCAGCACCGCCTCAGGCCTTGTAGTGCACTGGGTCGGCCGCTATCGAGAAGCCGTCCTGCTTGGCTGGGTCGTCTGGGCCATCGGACTTGGTCTTCTTTCGACCCTCGATCAATCTTCTGGAATAGGTAAACAGATCGGATACGGCATTGTGACAGGTTTTGGCGTGGGAAACACCTTACAACCGTAGGTTTTGTGCAACCTTCCATAGAGCATGCTAACGGGTTGCAGCGCCCTGATCGCAATCCAGGCTGGCGTCGAGCGGCGTGACATGGCTGTAGTCACTTCATTTCGAAAGTGGGTAATTATCACCAGTTCCATCCGCAAACACTAACTGAATTCCAGTTTCGTGCGCTGCCTTGGCGGAACTTTGGGCCTCGCCATTGCTGGAACAATCATGTAAGGACTCTCGTTTTGTTTGTTATGATTCAACCATCTGTGAGCTGACATGATCAGAAACAACGTCGTTGCATCTTCTGCCTCGAACCTCGGTCTCAGTCAAGTCGAGTCCCGCTCACTTCTTTCAAGTCCGCGGACATATCTATCGGGCCTTTCTCCGGGAAACGCGCAGCATGTGCGTACTATTCTGATCCCAGCATACAGAAAAGGATTCCGTATTATATTTATTATCGGGGCGTCACTTGCCTCCCTGGCAGTTTTACTGGCATTCTGGCTAATGCCCCAGCTAGGACTAAGTCGGCAAGATGACGAAGCTTTGAAGGAAGAGGGGAAGAAGAGGATGAGGGGGGAATGTGATGAGGAGATGAGAAGTGGTTTATCCTCTTCTCGAAGCTAAGGGGTGCGCGCATGCTAAGGACTACATCTATACATATAAGCTGTGGTCCTTGAACTCCGGAGACTCATCGACCAGTTCGGCCTCCACCGAGACTGACGCGGTAAGTAGCCGGTTTACGTCTGAGACTTGATAGAATTCAATGAGACAATTTTTCGTACCTAGGAGAAGCGCTTCCGTCTTAGATATGAGTGCATCCAACTTTGCCTATTCTCGATGCTTGAAATCTTCACGGTCAATCGTCTTAGTACGCTTCTTTCGCTGTAGTTCAAATACCCACAGTTCTCTATGTAGAAGGATCTTAAAGATGGCCCTCCTATCTTATTAGCGGAGATTAAATCGGATCACACTAAGCAATTTCTCGGCGCGTCTCCGCTGTACGTTCATTATGTCCCCTCGGAGTAGTTATCGATCTAACACAAACTCTTTAGCAATAAATTCCCGGTTCGCCGAAATCATGTCAATCGAGTCTACTGTAATTTGTCTCTGCTGATTGCCATAGTTTGAGTTCCGTGTAGTTGATCTTATTTTCTCATTTTAGCAATGCTCGTGGCCCCCAATTACCATTCTGGGTATTTGGTCGTATTTGGTCGGATTTGGTCTAGCTGCGACGGAACTCGCGAGGAGCAGGAACGGGGTGAGCGGAATCTTATATGCTAGGTCTATCGATTTTTCCCTCGTATTGTCCTCAAAATTCACGGACAGGCGACGCCTCAAAGCCTAAGCCGGACAGGAACGGGAAATTAGCGTGTCACATGAGCAAGCTTACGGGGTAACCGGCTCCCACATAAATTATGTTTATCTCGCACCTCGTATATAGTGGAAACAACCAGATTTTTCTGCGGCATATTCTCTCCGCCAATTGCAGAAGAGATTTAGGGGTACGGCACATGAAATGTTAGAACGACGTGGTTCCGACCGACAGGTTGCCAAAATTTGGCCCTATCGCTTCCTAAAACGCCTCCCTATCGACTACATTTACAATCCCCTGAAAATAATGGAGCCAGAGAGGATAGATACCGAGCGACTACCAACTGTTTATGAATGGTATAATCAATTGGATTTGCTGCTACAGGGCTATGTAAAATCGAGCCAAAGAATTTTCAAAAATTTGAGTTAATAGAAGAAAAACTTTAAATACGATGGAATTTCATTATGATGGGGAGGACCCACAACAGCGCCCGCTGTTGGAGTACGTGCTGACAACCTGGGGAAGGAGATTACGCACACTTATTCAAGGTGCTCTGATGAACCTGTGACATCCAGGAGAAGGCGATCCAAACCCAAAACGTACTATTGTCCTCCTCGTGCCATCGTCCTCCTATACCGAACCCTTGGTGTTTCTCGTCGGCAGCCAACGAGCCTGCTCTGATTCATCATGGATTTCGTCCATGAACTCATCGCATCCGCGGCAGCCAGACCAGGACTCACACTCGCCTCGGCCGCAACATTCGCGGTCGTAGCTCAGTTCGCGATCCGACTGTACAAGCAGCGTTGCTTCTTCAGGGGCCTGGTACGTGAGCATCCAATCGCAAGCCAAGGGTGCTGCAAGCGAGGACGAGCTAATCACTGTGTCTAGCCTGGTCCTCCTCACAGCTGGCTATGGGGCCATCTCCAGATCATGGGCGAGATCTCCTCCATGTTCCCACCAAACTCCCACCCGCAGGCGTACTTCACCGAGATATCCCGCAAGTACAGCTTAGAGGGCATCTTCTACCTAGATATGTGGCCCGTCGCGCCCTCGATGATTGTCGTCTCGGATCCCGAGTTGCTTGACCAGGTCACAGTGGTGAAGCCGCTTCCGCAGCACCAGATGAGCGAGGACTTCCTGGCGCCGATCACCGGTCGCAACGTTATTGCGGCGACCAACGGGCCTGTGTGGAAGAAGCTTCACAATGCTATGCTTCCCGCGTTCTCGTGGTCCCACATCCGCAGCGTCACGGGCGTCGTGGTTGACGAGTGCATGTTGTTCCGCGAGGCGCTGGACAAGCTGGCCGCCAGCGGCGAGGCCTTCTCGATGGAGGAGATGGGAGCCAAGCTCATCTTCGACGTCATTGCCAGGATCGTGTTCAATACGTCGCTACACGCCCAGACTACGGGCAGTGCGTATCTGGATGACCTCAGGGAGCTGATCCGTCTCGCAGAAGGACAGTCGGATATCACCCTCGCCTTCAACCCCATTGCTCGGGTGAAGTCGTGGTGGAAGATGCGCCAGGTCAACGGGAGGCTCAACACGTCCATCAAAGGAAAGATTCAAGAACGGCTGCATCTTCTGCGCACGAGCGGTATTGTCCCGTCCAGGAAGGATCCGACTAGTATCCTGGATCTCATGCTGCGAGAGCGGGTCCAGGACGGACAAGACGGCACAGCCAAAGAGAACACGCCATTGGCAGCCATTGATGAACCGATATTGTTGAGCAAGTTCGTATTTCCCATCCGATTTTGACATGATATGGCTGTATCAATCAAACGCTGACCCTTTACTAGCATTAAAGGCCTTTTGCTCGGTGGCCACGGAACTACAAATGACAGTCTCTGTGTAGGTGTTTCCACGCAACAAGACGTTGGCAAATGCTTGGCTGACTTCGGAATTCGCAGTTCATCTATATGTTGCTGTCAAAGTCCCCGGAGACCATCACCAAGCTGCGAAAGGAGCATGAAGCCTTGTTCAACGACAACTTTGATCGCACCGTCGAGAATCTCCTCAGCGCTCCTGAGAATCTCCAGAACTTGCCATTCACTGAGTCGGTAATCAAGGAATCACTGCGGCTGTTCCCCGTCGGGTTCGGGGTGCGAGGAGCCGCGACAGGTACCACGCTGAACTTCAGAGGACAAACGCTCCCTATTGACAACAACCTCGCCCTCGCTCTCAACGGCCATGACACGCACTATAACCCAGAGTACTTCCCAGAGCCGACTAGGTTCCGACCTGAGCGGTGGCTGGAGCCGCAACACGAGATCCCGCGATCCTACTTCCGCACCTTTGGCCGCGGGCCGCGGGCGTGTCTGGGCCAGAACCTGGCGATGAACGAGCTCAAGGTCATCCTGATAATGACGATCAGGGATTACGACTTTGAGTGTGTGGATCTGAGACCAAATAGCAAGCCAAGGGTGACGTACACGGATCTGGACACTGTCTTTGGCGATATGGTGTTCCAGGAGTTGGGGCTGGAGGCGAAGCCGAGAGGTAACGTGTGCATGACTGTGAAGAAGCGCTAGGGAAAAGGTAATGAGAGACCAAGGCGTCCACACTTATTTTCGACTTCGCAGACAAGATGGGAGTGAAACGCGGTATAGACTCCATCATGCTGTTAACATGTGTCAAGAAATGGTATTCCTACAGGTTACATACAAGGATTTTACCCCCAATACTAGCGTGGTTGGGATGACATAAGTGGGCTTGTGTATTTGAATTGTCAGTTGTTTTAGTCCTTTACAGAATCAGAGGAGAGAATATAGATTTATCTCGTGGTTGGATTTCCATGTTGGGACGTCGTACATGCTGAATTTTGACAGCTTCTTTTAATTATGGAATGCTCGCCAGGAGTCGTGGGGCGTCTGCAACGTGATATGTCCGGAAGTAAGTAACAGCGTTTGATAGTCAAGCTTATGGTGAGCATTCCCCTCATTCCCCTACTGCTTTGGAAACTGGTCTTTTAATTGCCTCAGGATGGACGTAATGGGGCTGGGCTGAGTAAATACTGGACCCTGAACTAAGATTGGGGTCGAGAGTTTGCTTAGGTTAGTTCGGGGCGGAGTGGGGGCACACACCGAGATACTACATTTGAGGTACATATAGAAAGACCAGTATCATTAGAGTTAAGTCCCCAATGCAATTGATATCTTTCCATTTCCCTTATTTTAGACATACAGCGTAGAAGCATGCCCAAAGAGGGAAACAGAAAAGGAATGCCAATGTCGCGACAGTCATAACATCGTGCGAAATGAAGATCATATAACCATCCCATCCATCCATCACAGGAGACGCCATCCAGGAGCCGTACCGTCCTTTTGCAAACCCAAGAGGAAAGTGGTAAAACAAGCACGAAGGTAACCCAAAAAGAAAAGAAAAAAATCTCTCAAAAATATCATAGCCCAGAACAAGTAAAAGAAGGCTTAGCAGCCGCTGCAGAGTGATCGCGTGGTCGGATCCAGTCAATCACTACAACCAGTTCCACAATCCAGTCCCAATCCTTCAGCCCTCCATACTGTACTCGGGGTTTGGTTTCCTGCAGAGAAATCTCTATCCAGAAGGGGAAAAAGAAAATAGAGGAAATGAGGTCCACAGAGACATCGAACAGCCAAAAAAAGCTGAGCTCGATTCCTCTACTCAGCTGACGATTCCCAGCCTCCACTCTTGCATTTTTCCTGCGCAACATGGATCTTGCGCGCCGTGGTGCGAGTGAAAGTGGTGCCGCAAGTGGGGCATTCGGCTTTAACCACCAAGCCGGACTGCTCGCGCTGGTGACGCAGCAGGTTGCCGAAAGTCGAGAACTCCCGGCCGTTGCAGCCGTGGTCCCAGCATTGCAGTCGCGATCGCGAACTAATTACTCGAATCTGGTGTTCCGACTCTGAGGTGGTAGGCACCGATTCTGGCGACGGATATACCGTTTCATTGGAGACTAGTGAAGGTGATTGCAAGCTAATGGACTTGGACGATAGGTGTGAGGAGCTGTTGTTCTTGAATAAGTGGAACAGTTCCGCTGGTACCATCACAAGGTGAACAACTCACGGAATGAAGGGTGCATCGAGGAGATTGTAGGCGAGTTGATTGGACGAAGAGCTGACGGACACGTTAGTGACCAAATAAAATGGATTCCGCGAAGAGAGGTCGACTTACGAGATCATCAGGGGTTGCTCGGATAAAGGGGGAGTGCCAGGAGTAGAGTCAGGGCGAAGCGGCCGAGCTAGCGATGGGCTATAGACAAGAGTGAGCCTCCATACAACTACGAGTACAGACGTCAGCTTACCTTTGAGATTGATTCTGTGGGAAGGCATTGTCTTGCTTCGCGGCCAGGTAAGGGACCTGGTAACCATGGGGCGGGTAACTGTACATCACACCGTTTGACTGGCCATTGTAGTGAGCTGAGAAGCCGGAGGAGAGAGATGATTGGGGGTGTGGGAAATGTTGACTCAGGTGCCCCGACAGTGGCTGCAATGGCTGAAAGCGAAGGCTCGCCCACACATAGTCTGGTACTATCAGCGAGTGGTTTTCGCAAACCGATCGAGGGGTCTCATACTCTGATCGTTCGGCTGCGTTAGGCCGGCAAGGTACGCATCTGATGCGACGGACATATGGTAGGACGTGATTCCAAAGCCTTTGCTGTGCGTTTCGTTGGCATGAGCTCTACTGGTGAGGAATTTTCTGGAGCTTACCGAGGGATTATAACCCTGAACTGCTCTGTTGCACGAGGCAACCCCTCAAGAGAGGGCTGATCGACGACTCCAGACAAGGAAGACTCCGGGTTAATCAGAACACTGGGTAAGCTCGCGCTAGAACTTAACGAAGTCGCTGAGATCTGCGGATGAAGCGAGACCGGGAGTGCTCGAGTTGGTTCAGAGTCACCATGCATAGCAGAGACCTGACTATCCACGGGCCACGAGGAGTCCCGAATTGGAATCCCCTGTTGGAAGATAGGCGAAACGGAGTCCATCAGCGTCGACGGATAGGTGACTGCTGGCGGAGAGAGTTGGTCGTTAGACAGATCCGTGAGGTTCCTCCTGTGACATGATAGATTGTGTGAGCTTAACTCCTGGGAAAACATTGGAATGTCTGGCCCTGGAGGAGAGACCCAGGATGCGGTACCCGAACACAGGGGCGAGACGAGTGAATAGCGGAGAGACTCAAGGCAGGGAGAGGAGAGCGCGCTGGATGTACAGTTCGGTTTCCTGTGAACCCGGCGATATGATAGATAGAACGCCTTTTGTTTCTTGGAGATAGCAGGCGGGCATTTGCATAATACACGCATACAGTGTATACGGATTTTCTTTTTCCTTAGGGAGACAGCAGGGCGCCGCAGCGAAAAGGAAAGAAAAGAGAGAATAAGAACGAATCCCCGCAATATAATTTAGGCTTGGCTGTGCGATGGCCACATCTGGTCCACCGCCAGCTAGGACAAACCAACAGCTTCTACAATTTCGCTCACTGGCTCTCCCTCGTGCTTTAAGCCAGTAATTAATCAATTAAGCATAACTGAAATGCATTTGCTACTCGGCGTTCCCCGTTCCCCCAGTTGTCGATGGTGGAAGCACGGGCGTCATCACGTCTAGCATCGGCCAGGATGACTTTCTACGCCCAGTTTGTGTCGCCAGGTCTATCGGACGCGGCCATTGGGGACATCATTCCTTCATACACGGGTATGACATGCCCCTCTTCTGGGGAAAAACTCTGAGATCCACTCTGGGTAGCGCCATCGCGGACTCGGTGCTTGCTCCTTATATCTCGGAGTATTCGAACGCCGAACGGTGATCTTCTTTGGCGGACTGCTGGCCGGTCTCGGAGCGCTCATTAGGGGGGTGCGATCATCCTTGCCGAGTTGATCGCCGGCCAATTCAAAAATTATCATCTATTGATCAAAGGATTACAATATTGAATATTGATCTTGCAGCCGCATACGTCGCGTGAGAATGGAGCAAAACCTATTGTTGGATCTCGCCACCTCCCTATATGTCAGGTCACAGCAATAGTGAACACCGGCCCGAGTTAATATGCAGAGTTATATCTCTATTCTTAGCTAAAATGTCATCGGGCGTTACATATGTGACCTATGACCAATTCACAGCATACCATTGGCCCTCCTAAACTGCTCAAAGGCTCTACTTTAATAATAGGCAGGCACCTGCATCCCGTGCTAGTTAGCTTAAGCTTATGCTACATGGCTAAGAGAAAGAATGGCATAACGAAGGATCATCTTTTCCTAAAAAAGGATATGTAAAGAAACACGCTAGCAAACAAGGTTCTCTCTCTTGAAATTCTGTAGGCTTTGGGGCAAAATTTGGGGGCGCAGTGCTTAGCGCGTCTGGTTCAAAGTTGAAGTGCCATGTTTAGCCGTTGACGACATTAGGACGGGTCTCTCTTTTAGCAGGCTTTCAGGATGGCACTAGAAAATAAGCACTTTCCGGAATGTTTTACTTACTTGGGAATTTCCTTCCCTCCTAAGGGGGTATCTTGTATTTCTTGTCGTCACCTGTAGGAACAGAAGCAACCACTACGTCAGGTAAACGTGATTCATATATCGATCTATCTGCATAGCAAGAAAGAACTCCATTTTTATCTAGGATTCAACCACATAGCAGAGGGATTTAGAATTCTCCTCTGCCCGTCTGAGCTGGGAACGACTCCTGTCTCGGCCATGATCCGCAGCCACCCTGCCTAGGATGGTATGTCGTGAGTGGGGCTCATCAAAAATATCCTCTCTCCCTGTGGCGATCCAGATCCTGGTGGTCGGCTGGAGTTTAGAGAGAATTTTCGCCAATGTCTCATATGTCTCATCTAGGTAGGCACGTCTCGATAATTATAGAAATACACTTGACCGTTCCCTGTATCGACTTGTCATCTTTGCAGTCGACATAGATAGGAGCTATATGTAATGACTCATAGCAACAGTGAGAATAGGGAGTCTTAGGATTAAATAAGGCGAACCCGGAGCCAGCTCTAAACCAGACTGGGAATGTTACCGGGGTTTAGGGGCAAAGCCGTGGGGCAAAATAGCACAAGAACAGGATTTCCAATCACGCATACCTCCTGTTTGATCTCTTCTGCGCAACCCAGAATCATCACGACCTAATATCTATCCCATCACCGCTTAGCATGTTCCCGTCGCTAGACCGGCCTGAGCCTTCCCATCTGCGGTGGCAATTCATCGATGCTTCGAATAATAGTCGGAGCAACCTGACCCAGGTGAAGAAGCATGTGATGCAGGAGTATATGAGACGCCGGGGAAAGAGTACTGGATCACATCGGAGTGAAAGCGAAGACGATCCTCAACCTGCGCAGCGAGCAAACTGTGGACGACCCAGGAAGACTCTAATTGCGAAACGCGAGGTCACCAAAGTTGACAATGCTCCAGAAGAAGATGATGACGCCGACGTGGAGGAAATCAATCAATCGACCTCTTGGAATCCCTCGCTGGGTTACGAGGGTTCGATTGCTCTGCCGTTCCGGGCGTCTCCTACCGAAGCGCAGGAATCCATCATCTCATACTCGGATTATATAGACAACTCGTGGTCCTCTTTGCCTACACGATCCCCGCGAACCATCCTGAGCGCGGTGCGGACAGACCCCTTCAACTCTCTCCCCATGAAGCTAGACCTAGAAGACGAGAAACTATTCCATTTCTATGTCAGCGACATGCCCGCCTGCTCATACGGGTCGCATTTCCGCTCCCCCAAAGCGCACAACTGGTATACCCAGGTCTTCGTGCCCGAGGCCATGAAGGGCGCCGTCGCTTTTCAGAACACCGTCCTCGTGCACGCAGCCAACACCTGGGCGTGGGTGCGCCATGAAAGCGAAACCAAGAACACACTGCTACATCGAGACCGCGCCGTCACGATGCTGCGCGAGCACTTCCAAAACCACCCACACGACATCTCCGACATTTCCATAATATCCTGTCTGAGCGCTGCAGCCCTCGAAGACTTTGATCCTCGTCCGGGACACAAACAGACCAGCTGGAGGCATATGCGCGCTGCTCGCGAGATGATACGGGTCCGTGGCGGACCGGCTGCATTCGAGAATACCCGACTCGGGATGCTGATCAACTGGCAAGACTATATCCTGTCGGGGTATGAAAGCCACGGCCCTAGCTTCTTCTTCGAGCGCGGCCCTCCCATCTCCGTTGCAGCTGCTGAGCAGCAGCAGACTGCACCACCTCACCACCACCCTCTCGATCTCCACGATTCAATACCATCACCGCCACACTCCACCTCCTCCTCCCTATCAGGAACCAATCCATCATGCCTAGAGTTACCTCGCTCGCTACCTCAGAACCAGCTCCCAACATCTCCAATCGACGAAATCCGGCCCCAATGTGAAGAATTTCTCTACTTCCTCCGTCGCGCTGAACAACTTGCCCTCTACCAACAACATAAGTTATCCTCCTGCTCTCCAACCCGGCGTACAGCAATCCAAGAAACATCCGTCCTATACCAGATCCTCGCTGCACCCCCGGGAGCCCGCTTCACAGCCTCAGGAAATCGCATACAAATGATCGCCCGTATGACAGCTCTAATAATGCTCAACGCCGCACTCTGGGACTACCGCTACACGCCGTCCCGCGGGGCCATTTTCCTAAATACGCTGGAGCAGGCTATGATAAATAGTGAAGTGAACGTGAGCGGCTCCGTCGAGGCATTCCTACAAATCCTGTTAGAGTGCAACGATGGCTTTCCTGACTTTTTTATCGATGATGAAGGTGGCAACGTGCCGGATTTCTCGCAGTACTCGCCTACTGCGACATCCTGTGCCGCGCGGCCCTGGTGGGTGGGTAGGATGCTCAAGGTTGCGAAGCGGTTAAGTGCAGATTCGTGGCATCGTCTAGCGGCTTTGCTGTTTGCGTGTCTTACGCTCGGTGTGAGAGACTCGGCGGTTTATGTTTGGGAGGAGGATCTGAGGTGTGAGATTTTGGAAGCGCCTTTGACGTGCTATGTTATGCCCTCGTTGACCGAGTCACTCAAATGATCCATTTACCGCTTCAATTATTGTTTATAGCTCATCGCAGGAATATCCATGACCCATTCGCTTACCGATTGCGGTAACTACTTACTTAGTTAGATAGTCGGGCTGCCCCCAGGGCTCCCTGGAATAGACGCACATACGTGCTAACGGTAAGTAGCAGCTTTAACAGCTTGGCTTCCCCAACTTGGTCTAGGAATTGTTTCCAATGTGGCGCTTTGGCTTTTTCAACGGTTCGATTCCATGTCCGTCGTCTCAGTTGCTTGTCTTGGAAGAGGGCCATTGAGCGGGCATGATCTCTCCCGAGCTCCGCACAGCTCTCTTGCAACTTCCAGCGTAGGTGGTTGACCTCTATTTGTTGGATTTTGAGGTCTGCGGAAAAAGCCTGAAGAGAACTGAAACTAATAGAGTGCATTCTACGAAGACATCAAATCTGAGAAAGAAAGGAAGAAAAAAGTGAAGCAATTTACACGGACGGTAGTTATGTATACCGTGGTGGGTTACGTGACACAACAGAATCCAAAGCATCATACTTAGCTGCATGATGAACCTGCGGCGCAAGGGATGCAAGAATCGACCGCCGACTAGTGTCTCACAGATGTGGGATCCCTCGACTGATCAGGACAACTACAATGTTCCTAGCTCTCTAGCAAACCCAACTCTCACTGATACCGCAGTATTCATAGGAGTCACTGGGGGCCCAGGAGCAAATATTATTGTAACTGCCATCTTGGTTATACAAGGCAAAAGAGTCGGTACCGCATCCACCAAGGCTGTAAATATAACCGTTGTTGAGTGGGAATTGTCCAGAGTCACATGGATTGTCTCCGGCTGCGCAAATTTCTTCAGAACCGTTCTGGCAAGGATCCTCGCCATAGATCCAGGCGACTATTTTAATTAGACCCAAGTGGATAAAATGACGGCGTGAACGTACAATTTCCATCGGCACTATTGCCGAGGGCAACACTGGCTTGCGAGGGAAGAACCATAAAGCTTAGAAGGAGGCAAGATGTGCCAGACTTCAGGATATTTTTTGACTGCATCGTAAAAGAATCGGTGGTAGACAAGCTAGCAAAGCTTGAGCTGTCTAGTGTAATTGGCTTTGAAATCCCCGCCAAGAGAGGAATGTGGGAAAGGGAGAGCAGGTTAAAGAGGCTATATATATACTGAGCAGGCCAGACAGGAAAGGTGCGGGTTCCTGCCGACACAGGCTTCGTACCTAATCAGGACTAAGCTAAGCAGCCAGAAACTCAAATCCTTCGACCGAACGCCTTTCCCAATCTCATTATCCCCTCATACAATTCCTGACAAGAACCGCGTATACGAATGTACGAGCTAGTATGACAGGTGTCATGGTCTAATTCCAGGGGGCATTCTGTAAAGACAAGCCGCTGCGCTAGAGGCAAAGACGAGTTTCTTAGGCAGGGCCCAAGAACTGCCCCCACTGTATAAGGAGCCTTTATCATCACAACAGGAGCAGCTAGGAGAAAAGGACTAATTCTAGGACACTAGCGAGGGAGTGCGATGTTGTAGATAGGAACAAGGACTCGAAGCAGACTCAGGAAAAGTATCGGCGCTAAGCCCAATCAGGAAGATGCATATGCCGATCCACAATGGTAATGATACGGAGGACAATTTCAAAAGTCTTTGCCTACACTAATTTTTCACCATAGTCTAATATAGAAAATGGTGTAAATAGTGGTAATTAGCCTCGACAGCCTTCTTGATACCATTTCCCCCCTTCTAATCTAATAACCAACCTTCTGTATACCCGCCTCCAAATGTTAGGCCTGGTGAGGGCCTTCCACGGTCTAATACAATATCAGTCTCATGCAATTTGTTCCTCCCCCCCCCCCTAACTTCCTACTATTTCCAACCACCATGATGTCAGGAATTCCTAGCGATCCCGAGGATCGAATCTCTGATGCCTTACAAGCTTACCGTAATAGTAACTGTGAGGGGCGAAGCTCCGAGAAAAAAGTGCATTTCAACGAGAATTCTAAAGCTAAAGATGGAAAAAATTTAAAACAGAAATAATCAGCGAGAGGTTAGAGCCCGAAAAAATAGCCTCATCCAGATTTCAACAATCTCGGCGCAGAGCATCCAAAACCTAGGTACAGCATACACGTTGGCACCTAACAACTAACAACCGGACCAACACTGCATAGAACCGGCATTTCCATACAACCCTGTAAGTCCATCTCCAACACTTTGCATGAAGCTTTGGCAACTATCATCCCAATAAATGTTACAGGACACAGTTAGACCCCCAGAGAAAATAGAGGAAGCACTTAGTTCCACACCACCAAATGTTGAATAACTGTAACAATTGCCCTCGCATGTAGGTCGGTAGGAGGTAAGATAGTCGAAGCATTGTGAATCGCTGCACAATTCGACACAGGCTGAAGAGCCACTGCAATCTGCAGCTGCTATACGCTGCAAGACGGACATGAACGCTAAGTACCCGTAAGTTACCTTCATGATAAATGGTCTGAAAAGGAGAAAGATCAGTATTGATATATACTAATGAGCTCCCATTCGTCGGGCTAAATAATAAAACAAACCTAGAAGGCGACAGAGATTGCAGACGAAATTTTTTGAAACTTGGATATAAGGATAAATATCACTTTAGATTCTATTTCTTTCTTAGAGCGAACATGGCATTTTATAGATTTTCGTAGCAGGACGTAGTCTATGGTTCTTAGTTCTAGTCAGATCTAGACCTTGCTACGCCCCGCCAAGACGACCCGCTAAGACACTGAAATATACTACGGAGGCCCTGAGCTGTCGAACGTATTTCCGAATTGAGTCTCCGCCCCACCGGCCTGCCATCCAGAAACATTGGAGAGTTTCTACACAAGCTAGCCTTTCAGCTTGAGGCGGGGCGTTGACTTGGTACAAAGGATTTTAGAGATAGGATCGATCGGCGGACAGTTTAATGAAACCGCCTCCATGGAGAATGAGTATGCTAAAACCTAACTGAACCTAAATTTATGATAGGACAAGTCTGGATGTAACCTGGCCTTGGATTAAACTTTAAAGTAAGGAGAATTTCCGCGCATAGTTGAGGATGAGCCTGGCTGCTGGTAGCCAGTACTTGGCGAGCATGGCTGTGATGTGGTCTGTGACAAAAAGAAATATCCAGTGGGATCAAAGATGGGGGGAAGAAAGGGAACGCGAAAGGAGAGAAATATAAAGACGGCAGGCTATTCCCGAGAGGCGTCTGAACAGATATTCTCAGCCTGAGCCCTAGTTCGATTGCTCTAGTTATCGTCACAAATATAGCAGTTTTTGACGATAACTAGAGCATTGCGCCCAAAGTAGTCAATGGGCATGTGTTGGGTGGGCAGCCCGGATTCCGGCCGAAGAGGTCTACCTCAGCACCCGGTCGGCGACCTGACTAGCTGCGAAGGAAAGGATGATTCTCACGAGGGTTTCCTAATTCTTTCTAGGCTATACTGAGATATTATTACTCCACCAAGTTGGAACACGTTAGCTTATAAAATTTGCTGGTTTGAGGCATTTAACGCACGTGTGAGCTGAAATGGTGAAACAATCTTGCCATCTTTCTGCTCCATATTAACTCACCTTTCCTGGGGAATATTGATTTGACCTTCACTTCATCAGTGGTCGACACTTATGTTCCATCATGTCATCAAAGCTCCCGACCCTACTTTTTGTCCCTGGAAGTTGGCTGAGCACCGATATCTACCGAGACACGGCTGTTCAGCTGCCTGAGTACCGTTCTGTGGTGATAGACCAGCCGACAAATAAAATGCGTCCTGCCTCCGTCGATATGCATGAGGATATCGAGCACACTCGTACGGCCATCGAGAACGAACTACAATCAGGTAATGATGTGGTTATCATTGCGCACTCCGCGGGCGGCCTCATTGGATGTCTGGCTGCTCAGAGCTTGAGCAAGGCACAGCGGTTGGCTGCGGGCTACTCCACGGGCGTTGTCGGATACATTGGCGTGGCCTCCATTCTGCCTCATCTGGGAAAGACGATCATGGATATGAATGCAGAATTCTGGGTGGCGAAACAGAATGCCCTTGCAGCGGAGTTAGGTCCGCCGACCAGGACGTTTGATCAGATTGCAGCCGCATATAAATTCAATGAGGTGCCCACTCCAGTCCTTTCTGTTCCAAGGAGCTGTCCTGATCCAAAGCATTTGATAGGACTATACAGTGGATGTATTAGAGCCTGAGTACCTCTTCTACAACGATCTACCGGCGGAAGAGGCCAAGCCTTGGATAGCCAAACACGAGACTCAGTCTGGCACGTACGTCATCCATCCCATCCGCTTCTCATACCTCGGCTGATATAACGTCTCTATCAGGATGTACAACCTCAAGACTCTGGAAAATCCAATTACGGACCAGGTTCCGTCGTACTATATTTTTGCCATGCGAGACAACGCAATCCCTGGATGTATTCAGGACGAGTACGCACTGCAAACAGTAGCGGGGAATCGGGAGAACATCTTTAAGCTTGATTCAGACCATATTCCTCATCTGTCGCATCCGAAGGAATTGGAAGACTTGCTAAGGAAAGCCCTTGAGAGGATCATTGGGTCTTCATTGAATTAATCAACAGGGCGGAATCACCTCATGATTCGATATTCCGGTCTCAGTATTGAAACCGTATCAATTGATCCATCGTTGCTGTTCCATCTCGCCTATCCTCGTATTCAGAGAGTAGATAGCTTATCCACTCCCTTCTATAGTAGAATTTCCACGTTCGAATGATTCCCTGATCTAGGGGCTGATATCGACTAGTAGAATTTGGTGGGAGCCATACAATATGCGTATATTGTAGGGGTATCAAATTCTCGTATAGCTTCAACTGCAGCCTCATGAGCAGAGAAATTGTCGATCAATAGAGCTGCTTGTCGACTACGAGAGGTCATGAGCTTATCGAACCAGCGAAGCCATAGTTCCATGATATCAACCTTCATCCAAGCCTTCTTATTATGATGCCAATCAGTTTCCAAATTGGAAATATTGATGCCAGCTCTGCTAAATGCGTGTGGCCTCGCTGCTCTCCCAATCACCCTTAAGGGGCAATTTGTATGAGCCGTCGAGATTCGTACAGAAATGCCAGGTCATTTGCTGTCTCTGTTTCTTATGACTAGGGATTTTCTTCGTAGATAGGCTTCGATCAGGCACCATCTTCCAATATAAGCCAGTTTCATCGCAATTGTAGATATCGCACGGCTGAAATAGGGCGAGAAATTGACGGATTTCTTCCATTCGGGTAGGGGCTATTTCTGCACTAGCATCTTTCCCAAATCTGGCATGGGACATAATGCCGTAGCGACTTTGAAAACGAATAAGCCAGCAATTACTAAAACTAGGCAAAGGTTGCCCTGCATAGACATCTAGCTGCTTCCATAAGAATTTGGTCTTTAGGTGACCAGCCTGACGGACTGTGCCTGGCGCGGTGATGCAATTGGCACGTGATATGCATTGTGTAGATAGTTGGACTTCTTCGTTGTTTCCTTTTTTTCTTCTTCTCTCCAACTTGGAAGTCCCGTCGTCCATATTGATCTAGCTGCCCGGTCGCAATGCATAACACTCTTATCGTCACTTTATAAAGTATTTTTTTGGGGAAATGGGATGAATCTAGCAGAGCGTGGATGGGACTAGGGTGTTGCATTTCATTGAGGTGGAGTCTGCGGGTTGCTCACCCCACACTGTTTGTGCATTAGATTACTCAGTTGAGTATCAGGCTAATTAACTATGGTCAGGTGAGCGAAGAGCGGCACGACGCGTCAGAACTGATGATCAGCTTGTGAGACCCATGCTCAGCCTTGGAGCTGAACCCAAGCAGCGAATTAGATCGAAGTCACCAACTGCACTATCTTCCATCCCTCAGTATGTATAATAAATTTTTTTTAAAGAAATAATAAATCACAGATCGCAAATCTTAAAGTATTCCAGGGTTGTATCGTGTCTTATTGCAGGGTATTACATCATAAACAAATGAGCGCAGGGCGTACCATAAGATACGCGCAACCCCACTTAACACTAACCACTCTTTTCCTTCCTCATCACGCGTGAGTTCAATATTCACGACTTACCAACCAAGGGAGATTGGTCATATTGAAATAGTGAGATGATGATCGAGAGGTTATCATCTTCACTTTCTACTTTTACGATCTTTGCAAGACATGTGGATTCAGAGAATGGACTCTCCATTCTCAGTTACGTAGTTGACGGACTATGCATTACTCTAGTCACGATGGCTCTGGCTTCACGACTTTATGCGAGGTATCGTGTCTGGAAATCATTTAATTGGGAAGATTGTGAGTCCGCTATAAATCCTTGTTTATAAATGATTCTGCCCCTTGCTGATAACCTTTTAACTAAAGTACTATATTGCCTCGCATGGGTATTCATCCTTCACATATAGTATAAATTCGGAATTATTAATAGGCATTCTAGCTCTTTACCAGTGCCCTTTTTGTGGTAGAGATTCTATGTGCGTTATATTCCTTGATTTGTGAGTCCTTCTAGTAAGAGGAACTAACTTTTATATTTTCATATTAGATGTCTTTTTTGGAGGTGCTCATCATATATGGGAGCTTGATGCCTCTCAACTTCAGTTGGCTAGAAAGGTAAGTCAATACCTTAGCAATGACTTCAATAACTAAGCTAATTATCTAGGCACAATATACTATCTATATTCTCTATACGCTCTCAGTTGTATTCATAAAGGTATTGCTTATTGCTATACTGCTTCGAATTTTCGCTATACGACAGACAACGGCACGTTTGATCCTTGGTTTTCTTATATTTATCCTGGCCTATTATAGTGCGGTCCTATTTGTCCGGATATTTCCATGTACTCCAATCTCAGCTTACTGGAGACCGAACAGCGGTAAATGCGTCGATACTAACGCTCTCTTTATTGTCGACTCCTTCGTCAGCCTTATTACCGACGGGGCAATGATTATCCTACCTATCATTTTAACATGGTCACTCCAATTATCAATAGAAAAAAAGGTTAAAGTCGTGGCTATCCTTGGAGCTGGTGGAATAGCTACAGTATCGAATATCTACCGAATATGCCTAGTATTCATATCTGGGGCATCCACTGACAAGACGACCTTTATTACAAGACTTGAATTGACTGGGTATGTCCGCTCCTTTTTTCGATAGTTCTTCCGATCTGTCTAATATGGATATTAAAATAGCAATGCTGAGATTACGATTGGTTTTATTTGTGTCTGTATACCTTCTATTAACGCGATGTTTTCTCGAACGCGGCAACGTGTTTCTGGGGCACCTTGAACATAGGAGTCGCCAAAATCTCTATTTCATAGAATAATTTAGATTTTTTGAGGATATAAAATACGATTCGCCATTGACAGCATTTACTGCCCCACTTTGTGACAATCTTCTCAACATATTCAACATATCAAGGTTAGTTCCCTATAGGACGAGTTTCTATAAGATGAGAGCGGCCTTCTTTGGTTTACAATAAAATAAAACGAATGAACGAAGACTGCGTTTGTGCATAAGAATAGCTCGACGGCAATCTTGCCAAATCGCGTTTTCTCTGGTACCTTTGCCAGGTACATTCTACACGAATCTATGGAGTCTTACAGTATGTTACAAAATGACTATTTAGCGACACCATTCGATGCGATACAACTGAGCGGAGATTATATTCAGCAGAAATTTGATTCAAACACATTAATACAAAGCAGGACACTGAGCAAGGACATTGCGACTATCCTTGGCTTTGTTGTCGCAGATGGACTACCGAGGATTGGCTATGCTTATGATATCGACGCCATGTACCACCGCAATTCGACCTATGCAGATCTGACATTTCTGAGATTGCGAGTGGGACCCCAATCACCACAATATTGTTGCGAACTTTACATTCTGCGATTCTCATCATTCTTATATGTACGTGTACAAAGACATACCTTCCACTACATCCGTAACCCATATTCCGTAACCCATATTCCGTAACCCATATTCCGTAACCCATATTCCGTAACCCATATTCCGTAACCCATATTCCGTAACCCATATTCCGTAACCCATATTCCGTAACCCATATTCCGTAACCCTTAAACCTAATCCTAATACCCAGGATCCGAAGGACACAAATGCTTAGGACTCTGGAATCCGTACATATTAGTAGCATTGATGAACTCCTGAGTTGTCTGCAAGTCGCCATTGCAAATAGGACCGCACCAAACAGGCCGGCTCTCGTGGTTATAGGGCTGCAGGATATACTGCTTGTCGTAATAGGTAGAATTAATAGCTGATCCAACGTCGCACACAGGCACAGTAAAAATGCCTTCCCAGGCAGGGCCCTCCTGGCCTGGGTTTGCCCAGGCGTTGGTGACAGCGTCGATGGAGCGCTGTGCCAGCGTTTTGCCCGTGTAGCTATATCCGGCGACATTGTAGGCGTCCAGGGAGGAGTTGATGATATCCTAATAAAATCAAGAGAGTTTAGAACTGATGATTGAACTGAACCCCAAGAGGAAAGAAGCACGTAGTTGAAGAAACATACTTGTATCGTCACACCACTATACTCATTTTTACCCAACTGAGACGCCCCAGGAGGCCAAGTAACCCATCCCCACTGGTGCGAGGTCACCGAGACGACATCGTCTAGTGTCCAGTAGTACAGGTACCAGGCCTTGCCGTCTCGACATACGACTGCATCCTTAGGACCGGACCCAATTCCCTGGCCGTCACCGCAGGCACCGCCGCCCATGACGAAGATCTTCTGTTGGCGGTAAAGCTGGTTGATCGAGGCACCAATCAGCATACTAGTCATAGTGTCTGTGACGGCGTTCTTGTCAACACCTTCGTAGGCCACAAAGGCTCCGCCGGAGAGGTAGGAGCGGATATCGGCGCCCTTGAATGTCTTGCCGGCCATTAACTGGTTGTTGGCTGTTGTGAAGGACTCGAGACTTTTGGTGACGATCTGGCCGAGTATCCCGCCTAGGTCTGCGGATTTTGTGAAGGTGTCATCTTCGCTTTAGGATAGTTAGTTTCAGCTCAAGTGCAGAATGAATGGGGATATATCTCACTTCTGTTCGACCTGATAGTTACCTATACCGATTGCTCCACCGATAATAGACGATGCAGCACCAGCAATCGCACCAGTCATTTCTCCCGCAAACCCAGCAAAGGCAACTCCGATGCCGATAATCGGCCCAATAGAACTCAGTACCTCCTTAAGGGCGTTGACATTCTGATCATCGTCATCTGAATAGAAAGTCTCCGCCCAGTCATCTTTAGAAAGCGCAGCGTCGAGAGCAGACGTAGTAAACGCCTGTTCAACACCAGTGAAATAACTATGTAGGCGATTCACAGACTCGAGAACGTAGTAAGTTTGTCGAAGCTCCTTGCCCTTGCCGTTTAGCTCTTTGTTGCCACACAGATTCAGATCGCAGTCCGAGTTAGAGCCGTCGTCTCGGCATGACCAATCCGGGTTGCCCATTGCCCATTGGCCAAATTCGCCTGCGAACCCAGCTGGGTTTTTGCTTGTATTGTTGGCATTATTCTTGTTCCACCACATGTTTAACCAGTCGCCTGTGTGGTATTTGTTCCAGTCGCTGGTCTTTTGGTCGTAGTATTGGGATACTGGGCCACAGTCTTTGCTGCCACTTGATGGTTTGGAGGGCAAGCCCTGCACCGCAGGCAGGACAAACAGTGCTATAAATGCAAGGGAGGGCAACATCTCGAAAAAGTGGTACAGAAAACCCCGCGATAAAACAATACAAAATAGTCAAGAGTCCTCGTGAAGTCGTGAACTTGGCTTGAGAATTGAGGGCGAATGAATCAGATAAATCTTCTGGCCTGGAAGAGAAATCAACGGCCATATTTATCTTCGAAAGCGATATATTGTGCCCCCAAAGGCATGATTTATACAGAACCATCAGCCTAACCATAATAGTAAACACCTTGCTGGTTATTATTGCGTCACTGAATCCCCGCGGGGGAATAGATATTCAACCATGAAACACATACGGAAGTGGGGGCTCAAGAATCATCATGTAGGTAGTGTCTACAATCTTGGAAGAATATAGCATAGAGTTGCCTAGAAGCTTCTTTAATTTATAGAATGATCGCCAGGAGTCGTGGGGCGTCTACAACGTGATATGTCCGGAAGTAAGGAACAGTGTTTGATAGTCAAGCTTATGGCGAGCATTCCCCTCATTCCCCTACTGCTTTTGGAAATTGGTCTTTTTCTTGCCTCGGGATGGACATAATGGGGCTGGGCTGAGTAACACTGGACCCTGAACTAAGATTGGGGTCGAAAGTTTGTTTAGGTTAGTTCGGGGCGGAGTGGGAGCACGCACTAAGGTACTACATTGGGGTATACCCGCCTCCTAGACGGCAGGCCATCACCGCTCTCGCTGGTGAAGGCCTGCCGCAGCGTAACAATAATTCAGGGTAACGATGATTTTGCCCTCCCCTCGAGAATTGAAGCTATTTACAAATACCCCCCCAGGTCTGGAGCTGGCTAAGTACAAGAATAAGGCCGTTAACACGCTTTCCTGGCGCCTTACGCAGCACGAGAGTCTTGATGCCGTGTAGGGTGCAACCGGAACAACAGATACGGACTGGGAGGTCACGCAGCGAGACATCAAAGATGTTGTCACTGATTACGAGGCCGGGATCAAGGCGTGAGATATTGGATCGCACTTTAACAAGTTCTTCGTTACGCACTTCTTCGAAGGTCACGGAGGCGACTTTGATCATAAAGTTGTGAGGGCGGATTTGGGGGGCTAGAGCAGCTGGGCTTGCAAAAGGAGGACCTCGAGCAAGCCATCAAGATGGAGCTAAAACAGTGATTAAACGGTTTCGATGACATTTATATAATCAATTAATTGTTTACATGACCTTCTTGTATACCCAACTTCCCACATGAAGAGCACTTTCGGGGCGCCGTCTTCTTCTTCTGATTAGGCTCTCCACTAATATCTTCAACTGCTTGCGCTCCATCCCTCTTCCGATTTTTAGGCTTGGGTAATGGAATCGTAGGTTCCAAAAATACCACCTGACCAAATCCACTTTCAAGCAGAATCTCACGAAATCACGCGATGAGTTGTTTTTGATAAGTGCATGTCCTGCCAATTGACGATAGTCCTCCCCCCACAGGAAGAGAGATTAATTAAAGTTTGACAGGCCAGGAACCTGAACCATCGCCCCTAAACCTAGTAGTCACAATCCTTTTGATAAACTTAGTAACTGCCCTATGCAGAAGGTGGATTTTCAGAGTCTTTATCCATTCGCCTATTTGGGAATATGGTCCTGTATGAATGACCATGAATTGGATCATTCACTTGACGATCCCTAACATGTTTCACCACTGAGCCACCACTCAAAATACCCATACTAAATGTAATTCTTAATTTGAACATCTACATAGTTAATGTCCTGCTCTACAGACTGGAAGTAGGTTTGAAATGTTTCCAAAATATCAATATGTCAAAATGGAGGAAAATCTACATACCCAGCCCAGGGACCTTCGCCGCTCAAGGTCTCTAGTAGCTCTAGGATAGATCGATTCCTAGCAGGCTAGCCTGTATTTAGGTCACAGCGGGTTCTGCTATCACTCCTACATAGCAGTCGTGTGAAAGGCCAAGCTACATCGATCGAATGAAATCATGATCATCATGATCATCATGATCACCATCAACATGGATATTTTGGATGGCGAATCGATGGGGGCGGCCACTCGATTGGGAAATACGTTATACAGATCAGGGGGCATACATACTAATAGGTTGAATTTGAGGCTTCGGATCCAGATATAAGATACCTTCAGGTCCGAAGTGTCTTCCAACCGTTTCAACTTGAGGTGCCCATTGCTATTACCTCACTTGCAGCCTCCTCCAAAGTACATTCAGCAACACCGGGCATTTTATATTCAACATTGTTCGTTTGCCAATATTCAGCATGTTTTCTTCATCTTCTATGGCCGTGATCGCTGCAGCAGGATTGCTCTATGCGCAAGTGGCAGTGGCAGCTGGCTGTCAGGAGATCGAAAATGTCCTGATAACACATTATGGTGCCCCTGACAATAGCCCTCCGGGCCCTGCTATTGGCACCAATTGTTACGGTCATAATATGAAAGCGGGAGGTAGGATGGTATCATCACAGAACTTCAGAATCATCTTCTGACTAGCATATGACAGGCACTGGAACAGCAACTGATCCTATTACATTCGCCACAGCTGATGACGAATTCGACAACTGTGAACTCATCTACATTCCTCTGTTTCGGAAGTACTTCTACAAGGGAGACAGCTGTGCCCAATGCCAGAGCGACTGGAGCCACAATGAGTGGCACGTCGACCTCTGGACCGGATCAACCAATGAGAATGGCGGACAAGCACAGATCAACTGTGAAGACAACCTCCCAGGTGGCAAGCAAGTTGTGATCCGAGCTCCACCAACTAACCTGCCTGTGAATAGTAAGCTCAATGCTGTATCCTTCAAGTTGCTCTAGTACTGATATAGGCCACCATTATTAGCTGACCCCTTTTTCAAAAACAACAAATGTGATACCTCCCTCACATTTCCGGTCCAAAGCGGCAAATATTGCAGCAATTCTTTGCCGGCCGTGTCCCCTTCCGTGTCTGTGTGGCCTACCAAGTCCACGTCTCCTTCCTCGTCCATGTCCTCATACACGCCTGCTCCGAGGCAGTTTGGCCGTCTTAGAAGACACTAAAACTGCTCTCGGGAGGATCGCCGCACTGGTAGGGCCACCCGCTTCCAATTATTACAGGCACAAGTGGCTGACACGACACTTTCAGGGGCTACATGCTAAGATGGCAACGAGTGCATGGATGCTATGTTTACAACGATGGACACTGCTCTAATGAGGTGAAGGTGGTTGTGACAAGTCACGTGTTTTATCCCATGGCTTTGTTGGAGCACTAGATCTGATTAGCAGCTTTGTGTCAGTAGTTATATGGCCCCTGGGTAATTTATTCAGCCGCAGCATCCTACCGCTTACTCATCTAATCTACCCATATGGCAACTGTGCCCCGAGCTGGATAGTTGGATAGATCACACTGAACAGAGTTTTCCCGCTTCTCTGCTCCTATACATACAGACATGATAACTAGCCAGAATACCATCTTTTCAATCATTGTCACATAACACTATCTAGTAAAGTTACTGGTGGATACGCGAATTCCAGACTCCGGCAGCTAATTCCTCATGTTTGTACAGCCACGATTTTTCGGCCACTAATGCCACTTCGTTTCAGATCTTACAGCGTGCAGTCAGCGCGCGTCCCCCAGTCTATACATAGGGACGCGAATGCCACGCGTGCTGCTGATTCGTTCCCTCATTGCCTGATCGAGCCTGGCTTCCCTTGGCCCTTACGGTTCTAGGGATTTGCCTGCATGTATCTGCAAATTCAATAACGATGATTGCTTCGCGTTATACGCCTTAGCCCTCTTTTTATCTTTCACGCTCTACAATGTATTACCACGCCACGAAGCGCGATTTGCTAACGGAAGAAGCAACGATGCTGATCACGCTTATTACCACAACCTAATGGAACTCATCGAGGGTACATCAGTAGATGCGAAGAGGGTGCAATGATGCCCCAATTACGTATGGTCAGCTTAAGTAGGGCATTAGTAAAGAGCGCATGACGAAGAAAACTTAGTCTGACCTCGAATATTAAAAAACCCCTTCCCACCTCCCGGGGGGCGCCCGTCACAATTTTCACACTCCCGTCTTTCCACACAGCATGGCGAAAGACTATTCCGCACAAGAGGTTATCAAGACCTTGAATCTCTCCCCACATCCAGAGAAGGGCTATTACGTCGAGACCTTCCGCGACCGCTATTCATCGAATGATCGCTCGTACAGCACCTGCATTTATTACCTTCTCGAGGGGGAAAGTGGCCTCTCGCACTGGCACCGTGTTGTCGATGGCGCCGAAATATGGCATTACTACGCTGGCGCCCCTATGCAACTATCACTATCCTGGGATGACGGGAAACCCACCCGGGACATCATTCTAGGGATCGATTTTGCAAAAGTGAGTTATTTCTCTCTATATGTGTGGTGCATTGTGTGTTTCACGGCCACTTGATAAATATGCTCAATTCTACCAATACAGGGCCAACGGCCACAAGCTATCGTTGAGCGTGGGGAGTGGCAGCATGCGAGAAGTCTAGGTGATTGGACACTCGTGGGGTGTACGGTGGCACCGGCCTTCTTGTTCGAGAGCTTTGAGATGGCTGAAGCGGGATGGGAGCCCCGCCTAGCCACGAATGTTGAATAGAGCGTAGAATGATAACCCACGTAAGTAAAGGGGATTTGCAGAGTATCAGAGGATCTTGAAACATGCCCTAAAACAAGACGGGGGAAAATGCATGCCAGTGTTCGTTCGTGACAATCATCACATCGTGTGCGAAATGAAAAAAATCCTATCCATCCATGCCCACCGTCCATCCCATCCGTTTACCCAGCACCAGGTGAACAAGGAAACCGCCGAATAATATCCCGGTCCCAAGCCATCGCGAGAAAGAAGCCAACCCTATTTTGCAACGTAAATTTGCAAACCCGAGTGTGATGATAAAACAGGGACAGAAGATAAAATCTGACCGAAAAGAAAAGAAAGCCCCGGGGAATAAATGTTGTAGCCAAGAAGTCAGAAGGAAGAAATGAAATACGTGCGGCAGCAATGGTATCATTATACTTCCTCGACAACGACAACCCGTTCGACGATCCAGTCCGCCAGAGCCTGGCCTTCAATTTTCCACCTGCCGTCAACCCACACATCATTTAGCCAGTAAGCCCACGGTTTTCCCGGTCCGATGAGTTGTAGATCCCACAACGCAGACGAGGAGCGACGATCAATAGCGCGGCCTTGTGTTGACGAGGAAAAATCCCGGTTGACGTTGTGGAATCCCACTGCCGAAACGGCGGTGCTGCCGTTGCTAGATGCGCCCTGTCGAAGACGCCACTCCCGCTCGGCTTTTTCTCCCGCGCGTCGGGCGACGGCTTCTTCGTCTTCGGCTTGGTAGAGGTCACACTTGCTGCACTCGGTGCAGCGGGAGCCCGGGTTGATTCGGAAGTGCTCGCAGAAGTGCTTGTAGCCTTCGGGTTCTTCGAATTCGTCGTCTTCGGAGATATCATTTGGGTCATCAAAGAGATGGCCGGCTCCTTCTTCAAGGGGTCCGTCGTAGATGGCGAGGCGGCGTTGTGGAAGAGGGCCGCGGCCATCTTCATGCGCTCTGGCAGGTCGTCCCGGTGAACCCAGGGCCTTGCGGCAGAGGTAGCACATAGAATAGCCACAGACACAAGTCAGCTTATTGCAGCCTGAGGACTTGACAAATGACAGCCCGCACCGGGGGCAAGTGCGTTTTACGGCAGCAGTGCGGGCAGCCTCGACAGTGGCACGCAGGTCGAGCAGCAGTGGCTCATGGCAAATATGGGGGTCGCGCCACGGCTTCTGGCATGTCATGCAACTGACACGCTGACAGGAAGGACGGGCGCAGGTAAAACGTTTGGGACGGATCTTAAGGCAGAGATTGCGGATAGCGTTATGGAAAATGGCCTTGACAGCGGCAGGGTCGAAGAGAAGTAGTACCAATACCGGAATGACGAGTAAGGGAACCAGATCAAGAAGGAAAAGCGTCATGAGAATTGTCGGGATGAGTCCCCCATCGCGACGAACCCGCCAGCGGACACCTCGCGACAAAGGGTGATAGACCGGGTCCACTTCAGCGTACGAGCAGAACGGACACCGGATGAGCTTGAGCTGTGACTTGAGGAGAGCCTCCGAGGCTAGTCGGTCTTCGAATTTGCGGTAGGTCTCGAAACCGGACATGTCGAGAAGAATTGCCTGCCGGACGACCTCTGGATGAAGACATCCGTCGCAAACACTGACTGAAAGCGGCGCAAGACATTTGAGCGTCGACCGTTCCAGGTCCACGGACTTGCCCCAGCCTTGTCCGAAAAGCGCTTCATGAATCGTCCGCTGAATACAATGGTGACAAATGACATGGGTGTTGGCCGAGCATGTGGCAATCTGCTCAAATGTCACGTCGGCGAAGCAGCATTCGCATTCATATAGGGCATCAACTTTCTTCGCCTCCTTCACATTCAACTCAGAAGCAAACATAAAATCGCCATTTTCTTGCTCTTCGCGCTTTTGCTGCAGCAACGGAGCCACCAGGGTTGTGTACAGCTCCCCGTCCAGCTCGACACACCCTGTCTCTTTCAGCCGCGGAATCAGCTCTCCGTCTGCCCGACGCTGCCACCCTACAAGCGGGTGCTCGTCCCGATCCTTCTTTCGTCTGAAGGATGGGAAGATGCTATTGAAAGTAGCGCGCCACGTCCGACGCGATAAGTCTCGCAATGTCGGCCGTGCCCGGGTATAGCTGAAGTTGACCTCAGCCAGCACAGCGTCGACGGTGCTCTTGCTCAGGCCACTGAACTCCTTACCCAGAACCGCTCGAACGACGATCTTGTACTCATCAGACCGAAACATTTCCTCGGCAGGGACCTGTTCGGCGCTTCCATCGTCATGCCGACTCCCACGATGATCCTTCGTCCCATTCGCCTCGGAAAGATTCCACCTCCCAGCAACCCACTCATCCTTGTGTCTCAGCAACTGCTCAACACAAACCTGCAGCCGACTGAGACCATCAAACCGCACGAGCAATTCCCTAAACACCTCAATCTTCACATCGGGAAAGATGCGCGCAAGCTGCTCCAGCGCCGCATTCAACTCATCCTGCTCGCGCTTCTGGTCCTCCGCCTCACGAATAGAAACCTGGACTGCGCGAGCACGCGGTGTGCTCCCGAAGGGATTATTGCGTAGCGCCTCGCTGAGAGTAATGGAGTTGCTGTTGCTGCTTTGCGACGCGCCACCAGCGGTGGGGGATGAGGAGCCGCTTAGGGCGGCGGGTCTCCAGATGTGACGGCTGGATGAGGAGTTCGATGAGGAGCCTGAGCCGGCTGAGTTGCGGTGTCGGCGGGATTGAGGTGCCAGTGCTGCGGAGGTGGAGGAGGAGCTGTCAGAGGCAGCGGGGCGTGGGGGGTGTGGAGGCTCGTGAGAAGTTGGGGAATGGTAGCGAGAGCACCATTGTATCTGAAGAGGGCAGTGCTACATCGTCGATAAGGTAGATGTTTGGAGAGATAGTTGGAAAGAGTGAGTGGGTAAGTGAGTAGGGAAGATATGTAAGGATGGAGTTGGGGTGGTGATGTGAGGAATGAGAGAAAATAATGTTGTATGCCTGGGGTTATGTAAGACGGATCCCGGTTGAGCGAACTATAGTTGACCATCCGTTCGTTCATCGTGGATTGTGATCCGTACGACGTCCTTGTTCTATATCTAATTTTATACGTGTCCTGTCTAGGTAGCTCGCATTGTCAAGTTAAGCTTTTACACTGAACGGAATTTTAAGTCGAAGAAGATCCCATTGATCTCATAAGAAACAACAATACAACAGAAGACACCGGAGGTATGTATATACAAAAGAGGAAATAGAGACTAAACAAAAGGCACAATCTGACCGGAGCAATGCTCAAACTTTCATGTCGAGATATCTCGCATCAAGCGGAGATCTCGATCCATATCTTACAGCTTCGCCTTAGCGCCCTCCAGCAGCTCAGCACCCGCGCCACTGATAGCAGGCTTGCCAGTCTCGACGACGGTAGCCTGGAAGAGGACGGTGTTGCCCTCCTTCCACATCTCGGTCTTGAGAGTCTGGCCGGGGAGCACGACGCCGGCAAAGCGAACCTTAAGGTTCTTGTAGGCGCCGTATTTGGCGAAGACGTGCTTGGCCGAAACACCGAGCGAGCAAAGACCGTGCAGAATGGGGATCTTGAAGCCACCGACCTTGCTGAATTCGGGGTCGATGTGCAGCGGGTTGCGATCGCCGTTCAGGCGGTAAAGAGCTGCCTGGTCTTCGGAGGTCTTCTCCTCCACCACGGCATCGGGCTTGCGCTGCGGGGGCTTGTACGCGGCGGTGGCAGCCTTGGGGCGAGCAGCCGTGGGCTTGGGAGAACCGCCGAAGCCGCCACTGCCGCGGATGAAGACAGTCGACTCGTTGTAGAAGAGGTCCTCGCCGGTCTTGGCGTCCTTGGTGGTGTAACCGGCCACAACGAGGGCAGCGTTGCCCTTGTCGATCACGTCGATGAGCTTGGGGTAGGTCAGAGTGTTGGCGGCCGTGGGGATTGGGAACTTGCGGACCTCCATGTACTGCTCACCGTGGAGCAGCATCATGGGGGAGAAGTCTTTGACGATGTCGTCCATATTCCAGGGAGTCTGAGTGTTGAACCACGGGATCACACCGTACGAGGGAAGAGCCTGGAATTGCTCGTTGTTCTCGTAGACCAGAGGCAGATCGGTGCGCTTGGCACCGAGACTCAAGTTGTAGAGGATGATATCACGGTCGACATAGTCGAATGCGGAACCCTCGGTGGTCAGCGACTTGGCCTTCTCGATGTTCTGGAGGGTCTCGTTCACGCCAGCGTCGCCAGCGTCACCACCGGCACGGTTGGACATGTTGGCCATGATCTTCTCGGCACCAGCCTGGCCATCCTCGGGGTGGTCGGCACGGCCATCCTCGAAGTTAGTGATCTCCTTCCACTTGGAAACCACGGCCTCGGGGGTCAGCTTGACGTCCACGGGGAATCCGTGGCCGCCAGAGCGCTGCCAGCGGGTGCGGCCGAACCAGCCGCTGCCGCACTCGTACAGACCCTTTGTCGAGGGTTCAGGAGCCATGTCAGAGCACAGAAGCACCACCAGAGGGGCGACATAGTCCGGCTTGAAGGCCTGGACCATCTCCTCGGGCATGATCGAACGGGTCATGTTGGTACCCGCGTTGGGGGCAATGGTGTTGACCTTGATGTTGTACTTAGCGCCTTCCATGGCAAGAGTGCGCGAGAGGCCCAGGATACCAAGCTTGGCAGCAGCGTAATTAGCCTGGCCGAAGTTGCCGTAGATACCGCTGGTGGAGGTGGTGTTGACGACACGGCCGTACTTCTGCTTCAGGAAGTAGGGCCAGGCAGCCTTGGTGACCTTGTAGGTACCGCGCAGGTGGACGTTAACAACCGAATTCCAAAGGTTGTCATCCATATTGGTGAAAGCCTTGTCCCGCAGGATACCAGCGTTGTTGACCAGGATATCGATGCGGCCAAAGGCATCGATGGCACTCTTGACAACGGCATCACCGTCCTCGCAGGAGGCCTTGTTGCCAACAGCCTTGCCACCCAACTTCTTGATCTCTTGGACCACCGGTTCCGGGTCAACAAGGTCGTTGACCACAACGGAGGCGCCGAGCTTGGCAAACTGCAGGCAGTAGGCGCGGCCGAGACCGTTGCCACCACCAGTGACCAGGGCCACCTTGCCCTTGAGGTCAGGCTCCTCGCCCGACGGGGCAGGAGCCATCTTCAGGCCATTCTCCAGCAAGCCCATGAAATCGGCAGGGCCGGTAGGGTAGTCCGGCTTGGAGAAGTCGTTGACCTCGTTCCACTTGCGGGCGATGGCACCAGGGGTCAGGGAGTCATCAGTCTTCAGGAGAGCGCCGTTGGCGCGCTCCCAGCGGAGCTTGGCCATGTGGCCACCGCCAACTTCGAAGATACTACCACTCTCGGTGGTGTTGGAGGAGTGGACCAGAGCGGCCACGAGGGGAACCACCCAGTCTGGCTTGAGGTTATCCAGGACATCTGGGGGCATCACAGTGGCAGTCATGCGGGAAGCGGCTGGATTGCAGTCAGTCATCTCTTTTCCCAATCCGTGGAGTGGTGTCCTAGCTTACCAATGGGAGCAATGACGTTGGCGATAATGTTGTACTTGGCACCCTCCTTCGCCAGGGTCTCAGTGAAACCAACCTGACCCAGCTTGGCAGCCGAGTAGTTGGCCTGGCCGAAGCTGCCGAACAGGCCAGCGGCCGAGGCGGTGTTGATGATCCGGCCATACTTTTGTTTCCGGAAATGAGGCCACGCGGCGCGTGCGCACTAAAGACCGGTAAGAAACAAGCAGCGCAATTCTAGAACAGCCCAAACACACCTTGTAGGCACCGTAGGTGTGCACCCGGTTGATCAAATCCCAATCCTCATCCTTCATGTTCTTGAAGCTGATATCCCGCAGGATACCGGCGTTATTGAGGAGCACATCGACGCGGCCAAAATTCTTAATGGCGGTCTCAATGATCGCCTCGCCGTTCTCGACGCTGTCGTAGTTGGCGACCGCCTTGCCGCCGGCGGCGCGGATCTCGTCGACCACGACATCTGCCGCCTTTCCCATGGTCAGTACAGATCCAGTCGGGATTATAGCAGAAAGGACACACCTTTGATGACTTGCCATCACCCTTGTGAGAGCCACCAAGGTCATTCACTACGACGTTGGCACCGCGCTCGGCGAAGAAGAGGGCGTAGGCCTTCCCCAGACCGCCGCCAGCACCGGTGACGACGACGGTCTGGTTATCGAAGCGCAACTCGGACATTCTGTTGCGGGGGAGGAGAAAGGAAGGACAAGAGGAAGAGTGTGGAATGTCCGACTAGTTTTAGGAAGGAAGAACTAGAGAAGGAGCAAGATATAAGCAAGAGGAAAGAAAGAGGAAGAGGGGAGTTTAAGGGCAACAGCTCGGTACGGCCGGGGACCTCGGCTCAGTGGCCTGCGGTAAGTTAGGTAATGGGGGTGTATCGTTACCGTGGCAGATGCCCTGCTTCACATGCCGAAGAGGGTAGGTATTTTGTCATACTCGACTAGGATTAACTAAATTTAATTATTGTGGATGTTCTAGCACTACGATTGTCATGCGCCTAATGTACTCCAGTGTAGACGGTACTTCATCGGTCGCGGTGGTGCTCCTAGAACCATAGGCAGCCCATGTGACAGTGCAACGTCATCGCAGAAAACTACCATTAACACTTCCTAATCACAACGGCAATCGATGACTCTGTATTGTATTCTACGGTGACCAAGAAAGGACCCTCCAGGTCGACTGTCAGAAAACTGGGTTCTCGACGAGGGAGTGGGAGACCAGGAGATTGATCCAGAGCTCGCGGTACAAACCTACCGTCTCCGGGTCGAGAAGGTGGAAGCTCGATGACATCGACTTGGTGGACTTGACACCGTCTGCATCTTACCTTCCGGATGATGATGATGATGATCTGATTATAGAAAAACTATGTTGAAGCCATTATGTATATACCGGATCGAAATATTATCACGCAAAGACAATGAGTGGAGGGACTCCCGAGCGGCAGAATCTGGGGTTGAATGGAATTACCCCAGCAGATCGTAACTCCCACAACCACCACCATCCTCCTCCCCCACAATGCCGGAGATCGTGGACGACAAGTCCCAGCACTGTATCCCTTTCCTACTATCCCGCCTCCAGGCCCACGCCGAGCGCCACGGTACCTCAGCCGATGCCGATGCCGCCAGCAAGACCCCGCCATTCTTCCTGGGCCTGAATGGGGTACAGGGCGCCGGCAAGACCGTGCTGGTAAGTAGCCGTCATTCCGTTCCCGGTCCCTAGGAGCCTCGGGAACTCTGCCTTTGCAGATGCAGTGCATTACTAACCTCCTCCGAGGTATCTGCCCTCTACAACACCCTCCGCTCCGCGCCCTACTCGCTCTCCGTGGTAACCCTCTCCCTGGACGACCTCTACCTCACGCATGCCGACCAGGTGGCTCTCGCGCGCGCCCATCCCTCAAACCCGCTCCTCCAGCACCGCGGCCAGCCGTCGACGCATGATTTAGAGCTCGGCGAGCAGGTCTTTGCCTCTCTCGCTGCAGAGCGTCCCACTGCTATCCCGCAGTATGACAAGTCCGCGTTCCAGGGACAGGGGGATCGCGTTCCTCGCGAACAGTGGGAGGTCGTCAACAATAGTGGAGAGGGGAAACCTAAGGTGAAAGTGGTTATCTTTGAGGGATGGTGCGTTGGGTTCCGCGCGTGGGATGAGCAGACTCTGCGCAAGAAGTGGGAGGATGCCGTGCGCCAGAAAGAGGCTGGTGGGTATCGGGGACGGCTGGGATATGTCAAGTTTGAGGATGTGCGGGCTGTCAATGAGGCATTGAAGCGGTATGATGTGCTGACGGAGTAAGTGGCTCCTAACTATTCTGACCTCCTTTGTCTCGGGGCCATTGTTAACATGTTTGACTCTGCTAGCAAGCTCGATGCCTTGATCCATATGTATGTGTGTTTCAAGTCATCATTGCATTCAATCAACTAACCAATCCCTCCCTGGCAGCGACGCCCAAGATAACCACTTCGTCTACGACTGGCGCCAGGAACAAGAACGAACCCTCCGCGCAGCCAAGGGCACAGGAATGACAGAGGAACAAGTGAACCACTTTGTCGACGGCTGTACGTTACCTTACCTTCCTTCCCTTTCGTTTTCTTTCCCTTCCCTTCTTCGACACATAACACCCTGTGCGAGCTTGTAATGCTCCGCAAATCTCAACTTCAAGCTGATCCAAGCTATGTATCACCAAACCACAGATTACCCCTCCTACGAGCTCTTCACCGAAACCCTCCGCGAAGGCGTCTTCAAGCCCGCGCCGCACAACAGTGGTTCCGCCGCTACGACGACACAGCAATCGAGTTGGCAGGGCAGACAGCTTCGATTGGTGGTTGATCGCAATCGGAGGGTGCAGGACGTCATTCTGATTTGATCTGCGCGTGGGTCTCGCGTTGAGTGAGCTTCTGCATGTGGCGCTTTCACGTGCAAGTTTGTACATAGAGGGAGATAGAGGTGCGTAAGGAAGGGATTGAATAGAAACTGAGTATATACTGAATTGATTGGCTGGTTTTTTGATCAATTGATATATTGCGCGCCCCGTAGATCTAACTTTATAGTCCTGAGGAAGGGTTATGGTGCTAATGTTCGTAGGGCTATATATATGTCCGCGGAATGTTCTTCCAGGGACGAGCGGATAACATGAGACAGATCCGCTACATAAGGCACTCAATTGATTACTGATGAATATTCTTGTGCGCTCATAATTTTGTTTCACGAGCAAAAATCTGAAAAGTCAATTCCGATCGTTTAGACACGGCTGGTGCGACGTGTGGCTCCCGGGGTTAACAGGTCTCGGACCTCGGGACAATTTTTGCAACTTTAGATTAGGCTGTTGGGACTCGGCGGACACTTTCTTATTACTGAGTCTACGAGTCTGCAGCGATACTCAGCTTAAGTATTACAAGGAGATAGATAATACGATTATGGGTTGTTTGAAGCCGTTCAATTATCGGGAATCCCAGACGTTCGTATCGCTAAGAGAGAAAAAAACTTGACAGAGAGATAAAAAATCGTCCGTCTAGACAAACAACAAACAACCCATGCAGCTCATAAAGGACTCAATTTTTTTTGGAAGCGACGAACAAGCCTAGTTCATCTGGCGGATGAGAGCGTTGATGTTCTCCTCGCGGTTACCGGTGTCACCACCCTCGATGAAGTGCTTGAACTTGCGGGTGCGGAAGCCGCCGGTAGGGTTGGACAGCTTGAAGGGCCAGAGGAAGTTGTTGGCCTGCTTGAAGTTGGGGCCGACGGTGTAGATCTCGTGGATCAGATCCTCCATGCAGACGATACCGTACTTGCCGAGGTGCTCCTCGATCATCTGGTTGTCGGTCAGGGGGACGCGCATCTTGTCGACCTTGCCGTAACCGCGCTTGTAGAGCAGCTCGCGCACGCTCTTCAGGTTGGGGTAACCGTAGGCGATGTAGGGGTTGACGATGGTCAGCATCTCCTGGGTGGCCTTGGTCAGGCGGACGAAGGTACCGCTGTTGATCTGGAGCAGACGGAGCAGCTGCAGGATCTTGCGGGGCTTGGGAGCGATCTTGTTGATACTGCGAGGTGGGTTAGCATAGATTTATAATACCAAAGGAGAAGTTGACATACCCCTTGATACGGACAACGAAGACCAGCTTGGGCTCGTCAGCGACGAAGAAGTTGCCCTCCTGGCGGGCAGCGCGGGCCAGGCGGATCGACTCGCGCTCTGCGTCGCGGTACTCCTTGACGTACGACTCGGCACGCTTGAAGATGACGGCGCGCTTCTCCTTGTTGGCCTGTATTGAGAGCTTTGTCAGCACAATGTCCAACCAAATCGTGCGAGTGACAAATGCGAGTGTCATCAACGGATAGTGTCAGACCCGAAAGATGGTTAACGGACAGCATCGACCTTTTGGTCTAGTCGCGTGGTTGGTTGTTGTCATCAGTGTAGTTGGGAGGGGAGGGTTTGTGATAAAAGAAAGGAGAAACCGACCTGCTTCTTCTTGTCGGCCTCAGCACGGCGCTCAGCGCGAGCCTGCTCCTGGCTCTTGCGCTTCTTCAGGAGGGTCTCGGGGACGAGGACCTGGTCCTTGGTGGGGATGGAGCTGTTTTTTGAGGTTAGTATAGTCTGTCCGTCATGATCACGAAGACATGAAACAATTTCGCCGAGTGTAAGAATTGCAGCATATAGCACCACATTCTCGAACTGAAGGCAAATATAATAATAAAAACTCGACGAAATAGGTTTGATCGGTGAGGGCTCAGGCACTTGGGTTGATGCCGTCTCCAGTTGTTCGCTACTAGCCACACAATATTTCAGTGTGAGGTTTCGCAGAACCGGACGGCGACCCGCAAGATGCCATTTGGCTGCCTTCATCCGACAATACCCCGAACATAATGTCCAGGAAGTATGTGTTGACGCTCGTCAATCTTGGAACGGTGATGCTATTACCACATCCGCCGCATCCAAGAATGATAGCTGACCAACAATGGGTTTGGAGGAGAAGGCATCGCTTTCAACCTCAAGACTCCGTGGGCCTCTTCTCGTATCCGCGCATTGTTTCCAGGAAAAGGATCCGACGGTTAGAGCGAGAAGAGGGTGCAGGAAGGATCGAGCTGGTGCCTAGCGACCATCGTCGACGAGGACGACAGCCGTAGCATCTCCAGCGAGAAGGACGACTATACCTGGGAAACCTCACAATCTCGAGCAGAGATTGAATCAGTGCGAAAGGGGATTGTAAAGGGAATCATACGCAGTGGTAGGGGCCATGGTGAAGGTCCGAGGTCGAGGAGTTGGCTGGTCGGCGAGGGTTGTCGAGAAGAATCACAAAAAGCAGGAGAGAAAAAGAGTGAGAGAAAATCGACTGTGTGGGTGTGCTAGGACTGCGCTAAACCGGATGGGGGTGGGTTCAGCGCTAGACTGGTTTGAACACCATAGCCCTTATCAGTGCCGATAAGGGTTATGGTCAGCTGACATGATTTCAACCGGTCCGAGTCCAACCCCCAAGACAACAACATAACACGACAGCCCATCACCATGTCCCGCAGAGGTGTGGGCATCGGGGCCTTTGCCAACCGCACCCAAGCAACCCAGTCCTACGCCACTCATGGCGCCAATCTGCGCTCGACGCATACCGCGTCCCTCCAAACCCAACTCTCGGTCTTCCAGTCACTCCTGCACACCTTCGCCCTCGAACACAGCTCAACCATCAAGTCGAATCCAACGTTCCGCGCCGAGTTTGCGCGCATGTGCAACACCATTGGCGTGGACCCCTTAGCCGCCAGCAACATCAAGGGCAAGAATGCCCGCCGACTAGGTGAGGGGGCCAGTTTCTGGACGCAGATCATGGGCGGAGATATGAACGACTTTTACTTTGAGGTTGCGGTGCGGGTTGTGGAACTGTGTCGAGAGACACGCAGTGAAAATGGCGGGTTGATTGGTGTTGAGGAGTGTCGGAAGCGGGTGAGGAAGGGGAAGGCGATTGGGAGTGGGCTGGAGGTCTCCGAGTATGTTGTGATCTTTACTTTAACTTTGTCTTCAAGGACAGGAGGTTGGCTAATATGGCTGGAACAGCGACGACATCCTGCGTGCAGTCCGCTCCCTTGAACCGCTCGGCTCAGGCTTCTCCATCATCCTTGTCGGCAGCAAGCAGTATATTCGATCGATCCCCAAGGAACTAAATACGGATCAGGCTACTGTTCTGGAAGTAATCCAGGTGCTGGGATTTGTGAGCGTTTCTATGCTGCGCTTGAATTTGAGTTGGGAGAAGGCTCGGGCACAAACGGTTATCGACGATCTTCTTGCCGATGGTCTGGTTTGGCTGGATGCCCAAGGACCGGAGAAGGAGTATTGGTCGCCTCAAAATCTGCTGGATGATAGTGGATGAACGAATGACATTTGTTCAAAAGCAAATGCTGAAAGTGCGCGCCCCCAGTTTGATATCGACATGGCGACCAGGAAGGACGACAAGGCCTCTTCAGCCACACACCCTACCGAGAGGAATGCATGGCTATCCATCAAACGGAACCTATCATCGAGAGAGAGATCAGAGGCTGAAAATATAACGCCGCGCCCAGTATTGACAACCAAGCGCCAATTTGGTCCTTACTGACAACCTCATCAACCACACGGAGAATCTGCAGAGCTTTCAGCCACGCAGAGAATGGCCGTTAGATCCACATCATGCGCACAGTGTGCTCAATACCGGAGGGAAGCCCTCAACTCGAGCGCCCTCTACCATACAACCTGCCCCTAGCACGTTTCTATAAAGAGATTAGTTCGAGCGCTTAGGGTTTATATACAGCATGTAACCTCCAGATTGGTTTCCAATCAATCCTGGTAATTCCGTGAGGTCAGGAATTGATTCCGGTAAAATATGATGGTAGTTCACGACACATCAGGTAGTCAATCAATGAGAAATCTAGTTATTTGCAGATCCCTACCAGTATGGTTTCATTGTATGTATATCTGGCAATATATATCTTCACCCAAAGCAGGTTTTGAGCGATGTTCTACTCCATGGATGGACATATATACTCTTGTTCTAATCAATTCAATTCTCTCTTCATTTCCTATGGATCATTTCCATGCGTGAACAATCAATCATCTAGATCAACACAATTTTTCCAACCCCCCAACCATGGAAAGGGCCAGACCAGCACGAGGGATGATCCCGCACTCTTAAATCGTTGAAAGAACGAACCGCAATAAAAAAAAGCTGAAATAAAAAACAGACAAACAAAAGGAAATCATGCCATTAACATCACAGGGAAGGGAGAAAAATATTTTATTTACGCCTTGATCGCACCGCCCAATGCACCACCACCAAACTGCTGGCCGCCGGGTCTCCGGCCTTGCTGACCACCGGGGATACGGGCTCCCCCGCGCGCCTGGCCGCCGCCGCGGTGACCGCCACGACCGCGGGCACCGGGGCCTGACTCGCGCTGGAAGGCATTGGCCATACCCTGGGTGCGCTGCTCGAGGGTCTTCTCGTTTGACTCGAGAAGGTTCATAGACTTGTCTGCCATGGTGACAATCTGGGACTGCAGACGGGAGAGCTCGACGCCCTTGCGGAAGATGATAGCGTCGTTGACCTGGTCGAGCGCGGCGGCGAGTTCCTCGTGCGAGATCATGCGGCTGATGATGGCAGCGATTTTCTTCTCTGGTAGCTCGAACATGCCTGCCAGGCTGGAGATCGATAGGCTGTCGTAGAAGGGGGCGTAGGTGAATAGGTAAGTGCGCAGGCCTTCCTCTTGCATTTGCGCGGATAGCATCTCCTTCACCTTCTCCGGCTGCGGCATCAAATCCCAGATCTTGATCGAGGAGAGCATCTCCGCGGCCTTCTTCCAGTCGCCTGCGGCGAGGAACTTGGCGCTCATGATCACGCCGTCGCGAGTGTTCTCGGGAGGACCCGTGAAGACCTGGCGCTCGTTGTAGTCGAGCATGCGGCGGAAGGTCTTGGAGATCATGCGGCGGCGCATCTCGGGGGCGGACGAGGTCTGGGCCATGAGCGGCACCTCGAGGAACATGCTGGAAGTCAGGTAGATGCACTCAAGCAGTTCCAGGTTGATGTGCATGTGGAAGGGCAGCTGGCGCTGGCGCTCCAGACGCTCCTGCTCCGGCGAGACGGTCGAGTACCGCTGGAGAATGATACCCTGGGCGAGCAGCTCCTTTTGCCGGCCGCTGCCGCAGATATCACCGAGGGTAGTCTGGGCCTCGTAGATGAGGCCGGATCGGAAGGCACACAGACCGATCTGAACGAGCGTCCGGTTGAACAGGATCTGGGTGCTGACGTCGAAGTTGGAGATGTTCTCCGTCAGATGCGACATGAGCATAAGGTCGCGAGAGCGGTAGTAGTGGTCGTGCAGGGCGAGGAAGTAGATCTGGCACAGCATGGCCCGCGCGCGGATGATGCCATCGCTGTACTGGAACAGGTAGTTGCAAAGGGTTTGAATGAGAACAGTGACATCGCCCGCCTGGGCGCGAGGGGTGACAGACGAGTCCAGCTTCGGCGGCATGGCCTTCCATGTGCCGTCTTCCAGGATGGACACCACTGACGAAGGCTTGAAGTAGACGTGCTCCAACCGGCGGATCACCACTCGGTTCACATTGTCTTGCCGAGAATCACTCTTGTCGTTGGTGTTGAGGGTCTCCGAGTAGAGCTGGGCCCGGACAATGTTGTTATACAGCTGCTGCTCGTCACTCAGGCGCTCGATGTACTCGGCAGTGTGCGGGTCGATTTGCTGCAGAGAGCGGGTGAGCTCATCATCCAACCGCTCGACGTACGAGACGATGCTGCCGGGGATGTAAAAGATCTGGCCGGGCTCGAGCTGCGGTTGCTTCTCGTCATCCTCCCACTCCTCAGCACCTTCGCTGACCACAAAGTTGCGGTTCTCCTCCAGCACCGACAAAAGAGAAGAAAATTCTTGGTCTGCGAGCTTCCACTGATCAGGGCCCATGTAGTTGGCTGTGGACGAAGCGGTAAGGTCGAAGCGGGTGGAGATGAGGGCCATGTAAACCCGGATGCGCTGGTATGGGGTGTTGGCAACCTCTAGGAGCTTCTCCATGGTGCGGATCTGCTCCAGACGGTCGGTGTTCTTTTTCCTCGCGACTCGACGATGACTCGGAGGTGCTTGAGAATGCTCTCGGGGGTGTACTGCAGGGTCTTGCCACCACGGCCAACCGTTACAAAGTCCTCATCATCAGCAGCGGCCGCGGCGGCGGCAAAGTTCTGGATCTTCTCGACCTTGGTCGGCTTGGAGACAGGGGCAGGCGCGGGCTTCTCCTCCTCCTCGCTCTCCATGAAATCGTCCTTGGCCTCACGGTACTTCTCGATCTGCGCGGCGTAATCCTTGTTGTTCTTCTTGACACGCTGCTTAACCACGTTGAAGCCCTTGGTATTCAGGGCGTTCATGGGCTTCTTGTTCGACGACTTTTGCTTGGCGATGGTCTCGTTGACAAAGTCCTCCAGGTCGGCAACGGCCTTGATGTACACCTTGGGGGTCTGGCCGGCCTGGGTGATCTTCACGACTTGCCGGTTCAAGTTGTCGAATTCTGCAACACAAACCCCATATCAGCACTGGTTGGACCGGAAGCTCCCGAAACCAAACTCACCGGATGAAATGACAACCCAGTCATTAATCTTCTCAGCGTTCTCGATCAGCCGGATGGTGTTCTCCAATCCTTCGAGTCGCTTGTCCTTCGCACTCTTGACGATCGTGACTTTCTCCTCATCCTCGCTTTCATCGCTTTCAAGGGCACCCTTCAAGAACTTGTTGGCACCGGTCTCTTCATCGTCGGATTCCTCGTCCGCAGAGACTTCCTCATCGGAGGATTCCTCCTCCGAAGACTCCTCCTCATCCTCCTCGCGGCCGGAGAGAACGTCCTCCTCATCGGACGTGGAGGACTCGCTGTCGCTGCTGCCGTAGAAGAAACGCGACATGGTTGCAGAAATCGAGGGCAAGTAGGGAAACCCAGATGATCAAAGAAGTTGTTGGCCCGCCCTGAATCCAGAGCCACACAAAATTTAAGCGAGGGGTGATCGCTGACTCAGCACAAAGGAATCGGGTGCCAAGAACAAGCTTGGAAGTCTATATGATTGGTTGGCCTAACTAACTCTGACTGACTACAGACAGTATACACACGGTGTGAATGATCAAGGCTGTTGCGGCGTGCCTATCCACATTTTCCGACCGAGGAGAAAAGGAAGAACAAGGAAAAAAAGGCAAATGTATCCAAACAGTACGGAAAGCACACGGGCAGATGAGCCGACATCCCCAAGCAAATAAAAGGCACGGAGTGAACAAAGCAACGGGGGGTAATCAATAACACAAGCAATGGATGGAGGCTCGCGCACGGCTTTAATGATCCAGGTTATGCCGAATTGGAAATAGAACGCAGTCACAGATATCGGAATTTGGTCAAGAACCAGACAGGAACCGAGCCAGGGATACGACGGTCCTGCAGTGTTAGATCCAGTTCTACTCCGAGAGACCGCACAAGTTGATACCGAGAACGTCGGGGAGTTGCCTGGCCAATTCCCGACCAAAGAAAGAGCCCGCACATAAGAAACTGGCTGCCCAGCCCATGTGAGGTTAGAACAGAGGATTGACTCTTTGATCCTGCCAGCCAGCACAGTCCCCGGGGCCGAATGGACTAGTTTGGAGGAACCACAGCGGCTGCTCAAGGATGCTGCTCAGGTTGGGACCGGACTAGAGATGGCAGGCCGAGCGGATCCAAATACCGAAAGGACAAGCAAAAAGTCGATGGTTTGGCTTCTGCGTTCATCTCGCCGGGAGAGAACGCATCGGGTATGGCGCTCGGCCGCGAAGAGAAGCATGAGGACCACAGACCAGGGCTGAAGGTACCGTTCAACGGCAGACCGTCGCGGGGAGAGTGGGACCCTGGACGCCTGGAATCGTGCTTAGTGCCACTGACTCTGGCTCCCAAAGCTTTCGCCGCCAAGCACGCCGTCCTCGAGAGTGCGAATGAAATCGCGGTTACGCTGGTTGCCACCGGCACGGCTTCCACGTCGCCGTTGATTGGTATTGGGATCCACGTAGCCATCGGCGGGAGGAGGATAGTAGGCTGGACTAGGTTGTAACCGAATGGGCGCATTAGGATCGAGATGGCTAGCAACCCGTTGGATTGTAGTCGGAATACCTCCGCCTTGAGGATCCATGGTGGAGGCACGTTGCCGGCCTGCCCTGGTTGTCGCCTGCGCGTAGAGGCTCTGCGATGGAGTATATTGTTGCGATTGAGGCGCCTGGCCCGGGATCAGATTCATTTGATGGCCGTATCCCGGCGGTTGTGCCGGGTAGGGAGGTGGTGCACCCTGCTGGTACATTCCGTTGTAAATGGGTGGAGCTTGAGCGTGGGCCGGTTGATGGAATTGGTTCATCTGCATCGAGTAGGCATTCTGCACTTGAGCCGCCTGTGCTGCTCTCTGTTTGCTGGCAGCCTCGGCCTGCTGCTGCTGCTGAACACCAGGTGCGACGGTCTTGTTGAGAGACGAGTACTTCAAGTTCATTGGAGGCACAAATGGCCCGGTGAACTTCTGTTGAGTGATGAACGGATGCAATTTGGCTTGCTGGGGTGACCACCGCTCCAGGGGATTGATGGTTAATAGCCCTCGCACGAAGTCGATGAACGCGACCCGATTATTCAGCTCTGCAATTGCGGTTAGAAGAAAAAATTCACGAGTGGTGGGGAGTAGGTGGCATCGTACCTCGCTCGATCTCAGCTTGTTTCATGTTCTTTCTCGGCATGGGGTAGCTTCGGATAATCTCTTCAAGAGTCGAAGCCGAGAAGTACTTCTTGCTTGGTTGCTCCTTGGTGTTCCGTTCCCTCGAGTACTGTTCCAGGCTTTTCAGGCGGTAGGTCTTTCTCCCGAATTCGTCCTGAGTTTTCTCGAAGAATTCGCCCGACTGTTTGCCCATCTCCAACATCCAGGTAGGAGGCAGGCCAAGCATTTCGACGATCCGACAGACTTGGTTGTATTCCGACGATCCAGGGAATAGAGGCAACCCCAGGAAGAGCTCAACAACGATGCAGCCAAGCGACCACATGTCGATAGCAGATGAATATCTAAGAACTCATTAGCGTGGATCTGGAGCCTCAAGTTTTGGGAGAAGTGGCGTCTCGTACGGCAACCCAAGTAGCACTTCTGGCGAGCGGTAGAACCGAGATTGAATATAGGTGTACACTGTCTGTCGCTCGTCACATGCAGAACCGAAATCGATGACTTTGATGATGGGGCTCTCAAGGCTGCGAAGGTTTCGAATGTCAGCGAAGGGAAAACTTTCGACATGGACAACTAATGGACTCACTTCTTCAACAGAATGTTTTCCGGTTTCAAGTCGCAGTGGATCAAGTGAGCCTTGTTCAAGAGGCTCAATGCATTCAACAGTTGTTGCGCAAAGACTCGCACGAGGGTCGTACTCAAACCCCGAAACTGGTTCTGCTTGATGAGCTCGTAGAGGTTGACACTAAGCAACTCAAATGCCAAACACAGATGTTGGCGATGGATGAAGGTGTCTTTCAAGCGAAGGAGATGATGATCATCATTCTTGTCGTACTTGCTGTTGAGCTGTAGGGGCGCATGGTGAGCAGACATCCGAGTCATGAGGGCAGACTGAAGCTTACCAGATCCAAAACCGATACTTCCATCATGCTCTGGTTGAAATATGCGGTCTTGTTTTTGATGACCTTTACCGCCACAACCTCCTGAGTCTTCAAGTTTTGGCATTTCACCACTTGCCCGAAAGTACCTTGGCCCAACACATCGAGGATCAGATAGCGATTCCTGTGGCAAAGGTCAGATCAATGTTTTCATCAAAGAAGACCGAGACGTACTTGTGACCGGCCTCTTCACTGCCGAGGATATCGTTCACGTAAAGAATGTAATCGCTATCCTCGTTATCGTAGCCATCGTTCTTAACCCCCTTACTCGGCTTCGTCAGTACACGCCGTGGATTACGCGAGGACTCGTAGTTGAAGCCTGGATTGCATATCCGATAAGTCGCCGGAAGGTGGGTCGTCAGTGCGTGAAGTGGCTATAAGACGGATTAGCTCAACGTCAATTAGCACATATTCATGGGGAGCTGTACGCTGATAAAGCCTCCCTCCGGATTGGCGCGCCGAAACGCAGGCTGAACACTCGTTCGTGGTTGCAGCTCCTGTACAGACTTGACCTGGAACTTTGGGACCGGACCGCGTCCAAGAACCTGTGACTGCAACGAGCCCGAGCGCGGAGACCGTGATCCTGTCCCAAATGCGCTGGTCGGGTGCGAACCCGCTGACAACGGATAGTACTGCTCTGGGCTGAGGTCGGTAGATTGCAGCGGAGGGGGCCGGGCGGGGCGACCTGCGGCTGTGACAGAGAGAGTATAGGGTTAGTTCGGATAATAATCATTTGACACAATTAGGACACTCACATGGCGGCGACTGATATCCCTGCGGAGGCGATGCGTATTCGGGTGCCCTCGTAGGCGACCGGCGAGCATGGTTCTGCGGGTTCTGCGGGTTCTGGGGGCCTTGTGGGAAGCCGTAGGCGCCCTGGGACTTGCCGGGGCTCACAGGGTATGACATCGGGGGCGACATCACATTGTTCATTGGGGAATATCTGCGCGCAGCCGACGACTCCTCGTTTGCTTGAGCGAGGAATTGAGATGAGGCGCGGCTGTGATGGTTCGGTCGCGCCGGGTACTTCGCTCGGTTGAACGGGTCCGCATCCTCCATTGTGGTATCTGCATCACTGACATAATCCCGGCTACGCGGCGTGGCTGCGGGTGACGAGGCCATGGAGATCGGTTTGGAGTTGGGGCCGGCGGAGGGGGGTTGGAAGTGGTGCCGGGCGTTTGGAAGGTCTCGTACGTGTATCCGACCGGCGGCTGAGACGGGGGTGGCTGGCCGTACTTCGGGGGGAGCTGCTGGGGATGGGACGCTAACCCGGTATTGAACTGCGCGGGACGACCCATCAGGGGATCCTGGTACGGTTGCCATCCGGAATCCATGACGAACTGGAGGACGGGGAAAAGGCCGTCGTCGGGCTCGAGAACGAAGAGGCGGAGGGGGGATGTCGAGGCTCAAGTCCAGCACCGTCACGGTCCACAGTGCACACGCACTGCGACCGGGGGTGGGAGTGTGTGGGGATGCCGGAGGGAAGGCACACACGAGCGCAGGCAGCAAGGGAGTTGGGCGTTTGTTGGACGCCAACGGGGAATGGGGGGGTGGAAGGGTTTAAAGGGGGGGATGGGCAGCTCATCATCCAGTGAGTGAGAGAAGGAAAGGGAAGGCGGGCGAGGAGGGCCAGAATGGGGCGCCAACCTGAGAGCGGTGTCGAGGGTGATCCAACAACAATTCAACCAGGAGGCAGTCGGGAGTGAGTGAGTGAAGGAGAGTTAGACCGTGAAGGAGGCTCGAGAGGCGTGGTGATCTTGGCCATTACTGTGTCGTTACCTCACCACTCACGACTGCGGATCCCACGATGGAGTTCAGTACTACAGCTCGGTATGGTTGATTGTAGGCGAACCCACGAACGAATAATTCATCGATGAACTCACGTCGTTCCCGACGACGGCCTCTTAGTATCTGACCTACTCTACTGATATACTCTCGGACAGCTCTGCATTGCGGTCTCCTTGGCGACGTGATTCTTGCCCGATGATCGTCATACCTAACCATGCCAACTGGACAGACCAGAACGCATGTAAATATAATTGGCACGTATATTTATTGGCCAAAACAATAATCTCGCAGACTATTCCTGCGATCCGACTGTACATTTGGGTGCCACCGACACCTGCTCTCTGCAAGCAAGCAAGGCTATAGAATGAACTCTTGCTTCTCATCCTGTCTGCAAGTCTCTAAGATAGGAACGCGAACTAGACCGATAGAATAATCCAGTGAACCACGACGCTAACTACGACCAGCACGGAGTCTCCAGGCAGTGCAAATCTCAGGGAATAGCTGGATAACAGTCTGGTCGATGTCTGAGAGAACAGCGGAAACACCAATCGAGGAAGGATCGCCGTCGAGCAATTTGCCTCATTCGATCACGCTAGAGCTTCGGATCCAAATCACTAATTCACTCGATATGTCTTCCTGATTTCATGAGAACTCGAGCAGGCCCTGGAACCACCACCGTTCCCAGCACTCACCGTGCCTGTGTGTAGAATAGAAAGAGAGTACAGTATATGACTCGATGAGGAACGACAATATGACCCACCATGTTTATCCATAATGAATAGAAAACATCTCGGTTGCATTTCTCATCTCAGAATATCATGCTTGGATGCAGATGTCTGTGAGATGCTAGGATACGTCGCTCCGCCATGCTGCAGTTACCGGTGATAAACGTATGCATAGTAAAATTACTTCCCGCTAGGAACTATATGATTCAAGCGAATGTGCAACAGGGCCCTCGATTACTAAATGCAGTGCAACGTGGGAATATAGAAATTGTCCGCCTCTTACTACTTCGTCTTGACCGAACCCATATCAACCAAACCTTTGTAGGGTCGCTCTCCTCTTCGTGCTTGCATCCGAGAAGGCTACCACGAAGTGGCCAAATTAGTAAATAGTGCCTGCTTTGAGCCACGAGTGTCAACTCGGGACCTTACAAAAATGCTGTGTTTTAATCCGATGAGAACTATATCTCAGGGTGTGCTACATAATGCGATACTAGATAGGAGATGGGAAATAAGCTGCGCTTCCGCCCGGACCGTACCACGAGACATGCAAGCACATGAGGCGTCCCGAGTAGGTATATAACTGGTTACGTTTTCTAACTGCAAATGTTCCCCCCACTCCGGTTCTTGGCTTGGAAACGAGCCCTGAAAGTGGATTCAATCGCAGACCGATAGAACTGCTCAGTTAGATCCTCATTGGTGGCTGAAGTCCTCCGAGACTACTTTTGTCAAGCCAGGCTTAATTGGTCCTCGCCAGGGCCCTCCGAGCGGAGCGGCTGTAAAATCACCCGTCCAATCTATTATTTGGAGGATGGGGCAGGTTCGTCTCAATCGGATGCCCGCAGATGGGAACTGTGGGTCCAGTGGGGCAATCTCGCGTGAAGAGCTGATGGTTTTGTACCGGTTAGAACCAGGCATTATTGCGAAGCTTACTCGAGACTAATAGCTCAAGCTCCGGCAGGTGGAATATGTGAATGCTGACCTGGCTGGCCTATTGTGTTTTGGTTTTCTACCTCGCCTTTTCTTGTGCCATGACGATATTGGCGTGCCGATCCGCCATCGGGCCATAACCCGCCGCGACGGCGCCAGATGGTCCTATTGGGTGACCAGTGCCGATCCACGGCCTGTAAACAAACCTATGCGAGCTGAGAGCTAAAATTATGCGTCATGCCTCCGCTCGAGCAAGTACTTTCTGCAGTCTCTGCAGTTTCTGCCCCTGAGACTTCCTTCTCTTCTCCCTAGGCGCTCCAACGAGACACAATGACAGCAGTAGCAACCCGGGCCGTGATGCCCAGCAGCGACCCCTTTGGGGCGAACGCGCTAATGAGCAAAGAGATCACCGCGGTACCCAGTGAAATCCCTGCCGGGACTGACACTGAGGCGAACGAAAAGCTCGCCGTGGTACCCAGGAGTATCCCAGCTGGAGCGGACGCCGATATCAACAAGGAGCTCGCCGCAGTTTGGGGGGATATGCAAACGCGGATGGCCAAGCTTGCCAAAATGTCTCAAGGCAAAAACTATGACGAGAACCTGAAACCTGAAAACGTGATGGAGAACCTAGACACCGTGCGATCTGCACGCCTGAAAAAGTCAGAGAAATGGGGGAATATCCGGCAAACTGTCAGCAATACCCTCGATGTTATCGCAAATGTTGGAGGAATGGTTGCCGATGCCGCCTCTCAGGTAAGTAGAAAAAGACTACTAGAAGAAAGTAGGCGTGTTGCTCATCTGAAACAGGTATTCGCCCCGGCCGGACAATGCTACAACGCCCTCAACTTCGTCATCAACGCGTACAAGGGCTACGCAAGCATATTCGAGACGCTCAATGTGCTGTTCAAGAAATGTGCGAGCTTTTTAGGACGTTTAGACAAATATGCCAAGGGCAAGATGAGCCGCGAGTTGAGCCTGGTGGCGTGCGAAGTTCTCCGCCACTTTGTGGACGTTTGCGATAAGGCGTTGACTCTGCGAAATTCACGCATGTTCAAGATCAAGACGATGGCAAAGATTGCTTTCCTTGAGCAGAATGAATTCTCGGAATCCCTGGGAGCGATGGATGAACTCACCCGGGAAGAAGAGTTGGAGCGCGGCGCCGATATGTATCTCAATGGTGCGGAGACACTCGACAACTCCCGAAACATAATGGGCGTCTTGGAGCAACAACGAACGGAAAGAACGGAACAAAGCAAAGAGAAGAAGGACAGGAACATTCTTCTACGCGTCCTGAACTTCAGCACAAGTCCGGATGTCTGGGATGGCAATGGACCCATTGCAACCTGGGGGTCGACTTATCAAAATATTCGCAGTCGCAACGTGGAAGGAACGGGCCAGTGGTTGTTAGGGGAGCGCGAGTTTAAGAACTGGGCGAAGAAGAACTCGGAAGCGCCTGTTCTAGGGATTGTTGGCGGAGAGGCCTCGGGTAAGAGCTATCTGGCTTCCTCTATCATCAGTCATCTGCTAGCGAATGGTCCCGGCGAGGCAATCAACTCTAGACAGCTCGTTGCTTTTTACTTCCTAGATGAGAAGAAGGCCAACTCTGGGATCGAGATACTCGGGAAATCTGTCATCTGGCAATTCGCCCAAAGCGATGCGTCGTACATGCAATCGGTCGCCGCGACGTGTGGAAAGGCTGGCAACATCGACGCGAAAGAATTCTTAACTCGGCTCCTCCTCGACAACCACAAGGAACTGAAGGCCATTGATGCGATGTTCTACATCGTTCTGAACAAGATTGGCGACAGTGAGGACAATGTCCATGATGGGGTATTCAACTTCCTGCTAAACGCCTCACACTCTAGCAATGGGTCAATTCGCATCTTGTTTACTGCCACCGAGGGGACCTTCAAGAAGCTCAAGAATCGTGGCCTGAAGTGTCCTAGTGTCCCTATGGACCGTAACGCGGACGACGTGCGCAAGTACATCGATTCGCGCTTGGATAAGATGGATAATCTCTTCGACACCGGTGACGATCAAGTCAATGCTCTCCGGAAAACTATTCAAACCAGACTTTACGCACAAACTGGAGGAAACTACTATATGATTGATAAAACTCTCAGCAAGATCAGCAAATTGGACCTCGACACCGACATTTACAAAGCTCTTGACCACGCGGACAAAAGCTTAACTGATCATATCGAAGATGATGTCCGCGACCTCAACCGACGTCGCTCAAAGAAGGAATTGGAGGAGATCAATGAGATGATCCTCTGGATTACCTTTGCAAAAGAGCGGATGACGGTTGAGAAAATGAAGGCAGTCCTTCAGTTGAAGAACAACGCGACTTCCCTGCGACCTCTGGAGGACCGGCTCAGAAAGTTCCTGTTGTTTGAGATCGACAACTATGGATTCGTCAATTTTCGATCAGAGCAGATCTTGGGCAAATTGCCGGAGCGGGCCCTGGCCGCCAAAGAGCGCCAGGAGAATAACCAGGAAGTAAACAAGTGCGAAGTCGACATCCTGAAGCACTTCCTCGGCAACGTGTGCCCTCCAGGCCTGGTTACAAAGCTTGGGTTGGAAGAGCACTTCGAGCAGAAGTTAAGCCCCCGACAAGAGCAGATCTATCAAGAAGACAAGAACAATGCGAATTTCCAGCTTGCCAAAGCTTGTCTCCGTGCGTTGACCAGTGAGACTCATGGCAAGTTGAGGGTACTGCGAGGCTACGCAGTACGCCACTTGGTGGGCCACATGTCTGAAGTTGATCTGGCTGGCATAGACCCTGATCTAAAACGCCAAATTGGACCACTTCTCGTGAAACTGTTCCGCGATGATTCCGCCATCGACAATCTTTTCTGGGCGAAAAAAGAAACTCCGGAGTTTCCGGACTGGCTACGCGACAGGGACACAGTGCGACTGATTTGTGGTTGGTTAAAAGCCACTTCCGCTGACATCCAGAGTAGTGAGCAGGAAAAGAATTGGCTTAATGAGTTGATGACTGATGGGCAAGACTCCGTGAAGACTATCGCCGAACCTTCTGTTATTCGAATGGCCCATTATTGTTTCGAAGAGGATTCGGATGAAAAAACGACGCATGCCACTTTTGAGATCGTTAAGCGATTTGTATCTGAGGTACGTCTCTCTGCATTTACGGTTATTGTCTATGCTAATCAAATCCTACCATGCAGCATGCCTCAACTCGTGAACAGGAAGAAGCGCCGTCTTTCAGTGATGAGCAAATTGAAGAATGGTGTCTCAAGAAGCTCTCGATTGAAAGGCCAAACTCGCGCTGGCATACCCAGATGGCTGTTGTATTGAGCAGGTCCGGCGACAGGGACACAGTCGAAGCACGATGCCGCACAGCCCTTGATCTTGATCCAAAGAACTGGCGAGCCTCAGCCTTCTTGGCTCGTTTCCTCAAGTCTAACAAAGACGCTATTGCCATCCTGAAGAAGCTTGTCGGCCGCTACGGAGGGGATTCGGCTTGGATGGCGGTGAATCGCGAGGAACTCGCGGGGATGGAATATGCCCTAGGAGATCGGTACTGGGCTGACCAGCGGCTTGACAAGGCGAAGAAATGGTATTCGGCTTGTATTGAACATGGTTCTGCCAAGCACAATTTTCCGTCGCACATCTTGTTGAGGTATCAGTCAGTTCAATGGTGGAACGAAATGATTGATGTCATTGAGCAACTTCACTCCCAGTCTACTCTTGCCCCCATGATGCTTGCTCTGACGGAGAGTTCTCGGAACGAGAAAGTCCAGGTTGCCATTCTGGAAGCAGGAGTCAACACCAATAACCTTGGCGTCTTTGATCATGTGTACCAGGGTGCAATTAAATCCGCCGTAAAAGCCAAAAATTACCGCGCCTCGTTCAGTCTTCGACAGGCCTACGCTAGCGCTCTCGCCGCACGTCACCCCTGTCCAACCGACGACATCATGAAAGTCTTGGAAGCAGCCGCTGGCGACGTTCCATATACCAATACGGATTTAGCGGCTACCTTTTTCCTCGTCGGCTATAGATTGGGAACAATCTATCTCGACAAAGCGAAGGTAGCCAAGAAAGCAGGCCAAGAGGATGAGGCGAAGGACTGGCTGCGCAGAATGTCTGCGATTGTTCCCGAGCAAGTCACCGAAAACCAAATGCGCCTTCCGCTTAGCCTGTTCTCCGCCCGGTATTACTACATTAACAATGACCTGGAAGCGGCCCGGAGCATGGTGCACAACACACTGAGAATGGCAACCGAGCTCTTGTCGGACGATGATTCCACAAACGACATGCTGGCCTACAAGAAAATCCTCTACGCTGTCATTCCATTCAAGGACGAGGCCAACGCTGCCGCAGCGCTTGCGATGATGAAGCTTGAGGCACCAGGAGGGAGCTTTTCCGTTTCCTGTTCCTGCTCCTGTGGCCACACATGGACAACCCCTGGGGATATGTGGTGGTGCATGGACTGCATCAATGTAGTTTTGACATCCAAGTGCAAGGAGGATATCAAGAACAGAAATGTCTGCTGGGAGAGCCATAGCCACTTCTACATCCCCAAGTGGGATGAGGAGAAGATGAGCAGCAACACGTCTAAGAATCTTGTGCCGTGGAATGGCATGAACATCTCAATGGATAGATGGAGAAAGGAAATCACCAAGGCTTATCGTTTGACCAAGTCTTAGTCAGTTCATGGTGGTTTGTGACCCAACGTCGACAAAATACATACTTGAAATCTAATTTTTCTCTTCATTATTTTGGGAATAGACTATCAGAGTAGCAATTGAAAACGTCCGAAACCCTTTCGAGGTACCGCGCCAACTGTTCTGTGGGAAACTAGCAGTTCTACAACTCAAATACATAGTCCTGACGGTATGTAAAGGAAAGGTATATCGTTTAGATAGGGACTACAATAGGACACTGTGAAGAGTGCCGATGTGGATCGCAACACTGACGACTATATACGTGACCACCATAGTCATTTAACGATCCGAGTAACTAGTTGTTCCTAATATAGAGGCTTGCAAATGGATTTGCTGTCATTCGTAAGAACACACTACTACTGTAGCGGGTAAATGCATCAAACAAAAGGATAGAGGCAACAACGAAAAACCAGCAGGCAATAATATGTATCAGATTCTCTTGCGGACCCTCCTCATAAACCTGCTACAGGTGCCCAAGTACCATGGATGCCACGATGTGCCCAGCCAACAGCGCAGGATTGACCCAGGGGTTTGAGATTGATTAGTGTGTTGATCCCCTGAGACGGATTTAGCCATTGTATTCGCTCTAGAATCACGCATCTTTCTAGATTATTTCGGAATATCGCTGACCCCTCGAAAACGGCAATGGAAATCAATGGCATGGGAACTCCATGTAAGAATTCCAGTTAACTTTTATCGCAGGCTTGTCAGTGCCTGGGGTGACGATCCTGGCCCCAACATCGCCATCATGACTTGGCATGGATCCACACACGAACTGTCTGTGGAGTATTTCTGTAACCGCCGATGCAAAGGATGGACGCCCCGTGTGGATCAGTTACACCTAAGCGACTACGTCGCGGGGCGATCCTCACTCAGTAGTCTGAAAGTTGTTGATGGTGGCTTATTCCTAGCGGGATATCCAAACATAACAACCTAGTCTTGTCGGGCCAGCAGTTAGTTAGCAGCAGTCCTGCTGGATCTCGTAATCCTTCAAGCTTTAAGTAATATTTCTTTCCTTTAGTCACGACGCTCAACACAGAGGAAGGATCCGCCCTCTCCACTGATCATCACATTGTCACCCTGGGTCCTCGCGGCGGATCAGATCCATGTAAGAAAGAGGGAATCCTCTCTCCCCTTTCTCTTACTCGTCATTATCATCATCTCGCTCGAATAATCTGTCGATTTCTTTTCCTCATAATTTATCAACAATTGTTTTAATCATCTTTCTATACAACCATCATAATGCAGTTCCTTACCCTCGCTCTCCTGGCCACCGCCGCCGCCGCCAGCCCCATGGAGAAGGTCTTCAACCTAAAGACCTTCGATGCCACCGATCCCAAGTTCAACAACCTGTACCTCTCGACCTACCACGTGTCGCCGACAATCAGCGACGCCGTGCTGCAGGGCACCAAGGAGGCCCAGATGTTCCATTACAACAACGGCACGGTGGTGATGGATGTGAAGAGCCCCCTGAAATGGGAGTTGGAGCTGATTACTGTCAACGAAGCCGGTATGCACCCATCATCATTTGCGACTGTTATGGCTAGCTGATATCCGCTGTCTTTAGAATGGAACCCCGTTCAGGTCAACGTCAACGCCGGCGCGGGCGGCAAGGGCTTTTCCGTCCCGAAGACTGGGCTGGAGGGAGCGAAGAGCCAGGAGTTTGGTGGTTGGTTGGGTATGTTCACTCCTGGACAGTTTATTATCATCAACTAACATCTTCGAGCGTGTGATTGGTACCACGGGGTGCCGCAGCTATTCTTCCTCGCCAAAGAATACAAGGCGGACATCCCCTCCACTTGCAGCAAAGTCCAGCTGAAGCCAGAGTACAGTGTTGCTCAGGCGCAGTAATGGTGATGTGCTCCCATATGTATCATAGTATAGAGGACCGATGTCCAGTGTAGTCCATGAATATTATACAACTCCCGGCCGACTATTAATAGGATGTCTCACATGCCGGGTCAGCCACTATCCTCTTTAGGCTTAGACCCGACAGCCGCCTGACCTGGTCTGTCAATTTTCCCGGTCTTCTTTTCTCCTTCACTTCGTCTGTCACTTCGTCTGTCACTTCGTCTGTCACTTCGTCCTTCCAGTCGCTCGTTTGTGCTTCTTTTTCCCCATTCTTCCTCGTCGACTTCGTTGTTGTGGCTGTCTTTGTTGTGCCTCCACACTAGCAAAATCCACATTCCCGCTGATCACCCCAGAGCGAAAAAAAGAGGCACGGTTCTTTTTCCCACCCAACACCGTATTTGGCCTGCCCTTGTTACCCCTGTAACACTCGCTGCTGTGGATTCACTGGTGATCTCAAGGACGCCATCACTCGCTCGCTTATCTACGACCAGCGGCTTTTGTCGTGCTGACCCAACACCAGGCAATCTATTGTGCTGAAACCTGAGCCGGGGCAAGGGGTGATATCGATTCGGCTCCTCGGACATCTCGTTTTCCGACTCTCATCATGCGTTCATTTTTACTGAGCGTGCTATACGCTCTCCTGCTGCTGGGCACAATGTCCTCGGCGTGGTCATTCGGGTCATTCGGCGGGTTTTTGGGCGGGGGTGAGTCGCTGGGAAAGCGAGCAGGTACGACCAGACCCTCAAGGAGTGATGCTCTCCTCCGCTAACCTCTCCTCTCCTCCAGATGCGTCCGCTGGATCCACAGCGCAGACTTCCACAGCCTCCCAGACCAGCGCGAACACCAATACCAACACCAACACTAATACAAACACCAATACCAACACCAATACCAATACCAACACCGCGAGCGACTCCACGTCCACCAACACGAAAACAGACACATCCACCAAGTCCAAGACGACAACCACCTCGGTCTCGATCAACCCCGCCGCAGCCGCAGGAGGCGTCTCGATGATCACGCCAGCATCCTCGTCGTCAACTTACTACCGTATCGGCCAGAACGTCACCTTCGTGTGGAACTACACCTCGCTCTCCGTGACCCCGTCCTACGTCAACGTCGTCGCATCGTGCAGTCTGAACAGCGAGACCTACACCATCTCCTCGAACATGAGCGTCAAGCCTACGGGTTCCGTGGTCTGGGATACCGATGCCTCCATGACCGTCCCGCTGTTGACGGCCACATACACGCTATACGTCTATGATGCCAGCAAGTCGCTGGGGGATATTCCTAGCGCTGGCCATCTGAGCTCCCTGATTGGATATGACTTTGGGATGTACATCAATCTGGCATATACACCTCTTAATGGTGAGTCTTCCACGCAGCCTAGCTTGTATAGTCTGTATCATGACAAGACACTAACGCTGAATCTCTTATAGAATTCAGATGCGCCACCTGCAACGGAGCCCTCTCGGACATCCAACGCATGGGCCTCAAGTTCGCCTTCGGTATGGCTGCTATAACCGTTGCGTCGTTCACATGGTTCGCAGGCGGGTTTGGAGCATTCGCTACCTGACGATGATCCGCCCACCTTGTTATGATGTTTTCGTGGATATATTTTTGATTATCTTGACATTCGCGTGCATCCGTTGCTTTTTTTATTCTTCTTTTTCCGAAGCGATTTGATTTGGGTTTTACGATAATAGCAACAAATCCGGCGTTGTGTGTGGATGGATGGATCATGCCTCGAGCCTTTGCGTATGTTCTGTTTTCTTTGCATGGAGATGAGCTAGCTGCTTTTCGGGGTGAAGCATGTTTTTTTTTTTTTTCTTTTATTCTGGATTGTAATTCATTTATCGATTGTCTTCTTCATTTCTCTGCGCTCCTTGCTACAAAATAGAAGAAAGTGTATGTGGTCTATGGCCAGTAACTTGATACTTCTGAATTGACGTAGGAATTGAATTAAATTCCTCAGGTGAAAGGAAAGAAGAAAAGAATTCTGCTTGGAACAAACTAAATCCCCTATTCCATCCAGATTCTCCCCATGGTTGATGCACATCAGAATCCGAGACAAACACCTGGATCTCTTTGCTGCACCCAAGTCTTACATTTGATAACATTGTTTTGAGACTGAGCTTAGACTGCAGCAAACAACCTCCCCACCAGAGAAGGGAATGGTTGGTTGGGATTTTCACACCGGATGCTAGTTAAAAGGATTCAGAATCAGACTTAGGAACTTGGGTCAAAGAGCCTCTATGGAATTATGGTGGGTTTGAAAGAAGACCAATCAATCACACCAAAGAAAGAAAAGATCCTCTGCATCAGATCATGTCAGATCTGGAGCTAGGGAAGTAAGAGCTGTTTTACAGCATCCTGTTAGAGAGATATAATTAAATTGAGCGACGACAGACATCTCTTTCCTATCCAACCCGATTTCTTCCCCCAAAGAGCTGCCTACTCCCAATTCATCCATCATCTTCCACCATCACTCCCACAAAATGCCACCTTCCCAACCGACCCTAGGCTGGATCTGGCCCAAAGACCCGCGACCCGGCAATCCCTCACGCTGGCCACGCCGATGGCGATTCCTCGACGTGTTAACCAACAAAGGGCCCGACATGTACGTCGGCGTGATCGGCAACGGCAAGACCGCCCAAAAATCCGGCTCCAACCCCTTCACAAGCCACTGGGCGCGCTGGGACAAAGATCTCGCCGAAGATAACACTCCGATCCCATGGGCGCACCGCAACGAAGCGGAGCGGTATGATTTTCGGAGACGCAAGTACGTCGTTCCCGACCAGGGCACGTGGAGTCGTGTTGAGTATTGTAGCCTGCGTGGCGATTCGGGTGGATGGCGCCGTGGTGGGTCGAAGGAGTCGAGGCATTGTGTGCCACGACGGTATTGGGATCGAAATGGTGATGAATACCCGTCGAATCATTGGCATGATATCGTTTATGGAGCGCATGGGGATGCGAAGTGAGCTGGAGAGTGTTCGGTTCTCGTGAGGTTTGTATTCTTAGGTGTTGGCGTTCGTTGGGACTTTTCTTTTGTCTCGTGCGATGAGAACATTAGAAAATATTGCATTGTATTGTATGTATTCAGGCACAGGTCGAATGTAGAGCGTCAAAGGTAGAGATGCGTGGTTCGCTGGTTGATTGAAATAGTTGCGCGCGGCGCAGGGTCGGTAGCTGGGCGGCGTTGTTCGTTAGGCGCTGGCATTTAACACATGGTGTCTGTTTTATATCTGCATACGACGCGATCATGTCCTAGTCGAGGAATTAGCTTCGATGTATGGCTCCCGGGGAGTGATTATCAACGCACCAGCAAGAAAGCTAGATCCCACTTCCGAGACCGCGAGCCCAAACAGTCCAGTATAGCATCCTCGAGCTTCGTCCGCGATTTCCCAGGTGCAACTTTGCTCGAGACCTGCCAATCCGACACAGCAGTCTCACCAGATTCACTGGACCCGTGAACCAAAAAGAAAATGCCTGCTCTCGTAAGCGCCACCGTCAGGTCCATCGGATCCTGACCCTTGATAACGCGCACACCGGGGACATCCCTCTGAATAAATCTGTCAAGAACAGTCTGCCACTGACCCTCAGTCGACTGGGCCTTCACGCGTTCACTATCCTCCTCTTCACGCAGCCGATGCTCCTCTTTCTCCTTCTCTTCCTTGAGAAGCTCCTCTAGCAGCTCGTCGTAATCCTTCTCCCATTTTCCCGTGGACTGCAAGAACTGGCCGTTCGACTCGCTGATCCGGGACTCCACGTGAGCCCAGACGGGCTTGAGCTCCGAGCCCCGCCACATCGACTGGAACTGCTTAACGTCGGCGATGCGAGCGCGAGCAGTCTGGTTCAGGTCGCTTAGTAGATGGCGCGGTGATAATGAGATGGTGTTGTCGGCTGTGGCTTTGTCGGGATTGGAAATTGGTATTAAAGGCTCCAGTAGGCCTTGGGGTAGGATGGCGCGTAATTCATGGATCTGGAACGGGGATGTCAACTTCGTTTATCCTTTCCATCCTGATGCATATGGGACTGAGAGTAAAGTAAAGGGAACCCGCTTACCTTCCGTTCTAGTTCTTGGAGTTTTGCTAGTGATGACACAAGCTGAATCTCGGAGTCCCAGCTGACAGGTGCCAGGTCGCCATTCCCAGACTGGGCTGCGTTTTGCGTGTCTGCCATTTGCGGGGCGGATGTGACTGCTGATGGATTCGCCGCCGGGGCAGCGGGAGCAGGTGCCGTTGACATGGCTTCTTAAGTAGAGAGATATGCCAATTTGAAAGACCGTTCAGCGGTTTTGAGAGTCGCGTAATTACACCGAGCTTCGATGTCCGCGATATACAGTCGATTGCACCAATTGGTTCAAAATGTGCCCAGAATGGGAGCCGAAGGAGTGCGCCTCGCTCAATGCGATCGGGAAGCGATCGTTGCGATAAGACCTTCCGGTTGTGAGTGTATGCAACAGTCCCGTCGAAGGGGGCGACGGAGGTGTTTGGCGCAGGCGATGAAGTGCGGGTTAACGATGAAGCTTACGTAATCCATCTTGACATCGCCTGCCGCAAACTTGCAAGTATGCAATGGACTCAGAGTGTGACGGAGGCGAACGAAAGCTGTTTGATGCGGTTTCAGACCATCTCTGTGCTGAATTATGTTAGCAATGTTTCAAATTTTCTGCTGGATATGCATCAAAAAGTACCGAAGAGAGATCTAAGCCTTTGAAATTCAAAGCGCGTACCTTGACGCCGTTGTTGTTGACCGTGGATTTTCTTTCAACAAACCGCAATTCTAAAACAATGGTGTTTCTTCACTATGCTCTCAGCAGTTTCCAATGTACAATCTTCTCAATAATAAAGGTCCCTCCTACGATAATGCGAGAATGAATCGTAGACACACATTTGCTGCCTCCTCATAATGCCAGAACGCCCTATAGCAGACACACCGACTCCCCGGGAGCGCAAAATAATCGCAAGCCTCCCAGTATTCGGGGTGTAACCTGCCAACGCTGTCTCTTCCCAAATAGGTAAATCAACCGCGAGATGGACAATATCGAACACAGCAAGCACAACCCATTCATTCCTGCCGAGCCGTTGCCGATACTCGGGACAGACAGTGGCTAAGCTGCCGAGTTGGCAGGCATGACGGAACTTGCACTAGTATGGCTGGTTTCCAGATTCCCCCCAGATCCCACACTGGAATCTCAGTGGCCCACTGTCGGGAATGCAATCTGGAATGCCATCGGACTCGCGACAGCATCATCGATCGCGATGCGCGTTTTCCCTGTCACAGTCGTCATTGGGTACCTCCGCCACGGCCATATAAGAGAGAACTGAATAGCCCGAAGACACGAAGTACTCCAGAGTAACGCATTTTTCTGGATCGTTATTGCCTATCATGCGTGCCTGGTATGGCCGAGGTCAATCCCTTCAAATTGCCGTGACATCCTGCTGCCTTGCTGCTTTTGTCTTGTTTGGATACGACCAGGGCTTGTTCAGCGGCATTGTCAACAATGAAAACTGGAATAAGCAGTTTAACTACCCGGACGATACAGAGGAGGGTGTTATTGTTAGCTGCTATAACTTGGGCTGTCTCCTAGGGTGTGTTGGTCAGTCGAAATTCATTCTCTATCCAGAGTTGCCAAAAAGAAATAACTTACACAGCATCCAGTCAACTTCTTCATCGGCGAGAGCCTTGGCCGTCGCAGAACAATCTGGCTGGCCATGGGCGTGGTCATTGTGGGCGCGACACTGCAAACCACTGCCTTCACTGTACCGCATCTCATTGTCGGGCGACTGGTGACGGGTGCTGGTACAGGCTTGAAGACATCCACAGTTCCAATGTATGTTATGATCCATACTCCAATGGTGATCCATGCTAACTTTAGAATGAAGGTACCAAGCAGAGATGTGCGAAGGCAAAACGCGAGGACGACTAATCTCATCCGAAGTCCTCTTTACCGCCGTTGGCATTGTCGTGGCCTACTGGTTCGATTTTGGAATGTCCTTCGTTGGGGGCCCCATTTCTTGGCGGCTTCCAATCGCAATGCAGATTGTTTTTGCCATCTTTGTCATTGTGCTCGTCTTCGGACTGCCGGAGTCTCCTCGCTGGCTCATGAATCATGGTTATGAGAAGGAAGCCATGGACGTCTTGTGTGCCGTTTATGACCGGGAGGAAGACGATGAGTACATTGTCAACGAGCGCAGAGCAATCACAGCAGCTATTGAGCTTGAGAATGGTGCCATGGAGAAGTCAATTTGGACTATATTCCGCAACGACGAGGTCAAGACAGGCCAGCGCGTGCTTCTGGCTTGGGGCATCCAGCTCATGAACCAGGTTGGCGGGATTAATCTCGTGGTATACTTTGTACCCGGTAAGTTGATCATACTCATAGTGCGACATAGTTTAACTTTGTGCGATTCTAGCTGTCCTGAAGAATAACGTCGGGCTAAGTGGCCGGCTTTCTCAAATTCTTGGCGGGTGCATCCAAATCATGTTCATGCTAGGCTCCCTCTTACCAGCTTTCATGCTGGACAGAATGGGACGTCGCAAGACGATGATGATAGGATCCTTCGGTCTGGGAGTGTGCATGCTTCTCGTCGCAGCTCTCCTATCGCAGGTACATGAGCCAAATGGAAAAACATACGCCTCTGCATCCATTACGTTCTTTTTCTTGTACATGCTGATTTTTGGAATGTCCCTTAACTCAGTCCCATGGGTGTACGTACCCGAGATCCTGCCCCTGGAGGCTCGCACCAAGGGCACGGCGATTGGTGTCAGTTCTAACTGGCTGTGGAATTTCACCGTGGTCATGATCACACCGGTCATCATCGATCGCATTCAGTGGAAGGCGTATTTGATCTTTATGGTGACGAACTTTTGCTTTATCCCCATAATCTACTTTTTCTATCCAGAGACCAGCAACCTTCGTCTTGAAGATATCGACTTGATTTTTTCCCGGGGTGGGGATCCCGTGAAGCGGGCTCGCGAGATGGCAGCGGAGATCAAGGCGTTCGGATATCTTCCGTCTGGACAGCAGAATGCCGAAAAGGATGTGAATAGCGATGGCGTGAAGCATGCCTGAGTGGATTAATACCCAGTATACTGTTACAATCAAATGTAGAGGGTTCGTATGTTTGCACATATAGCCTAGAGTTGCTTTTTTGTGAATAGACAACGTTAGACTTCGGATCCTGTTGTTGAAATAGACAAAGGGAACGAATTGATTCTGCAACCAGATACTATTCTCATCAACTTTAGATACATTTGATCACCATCAAGCGCCTTCGCTAACACTCAGCTCAGCACACCACACATCCATGCAGTCAGGCAGCGTTTGCCGCCTTGGGCGGGTACATTTTCCCATCCTTCTCGACCTTAGGCTCGCAAGCACAGCGCTCACTCTCCGGCACCGAGTCCATAACGCTGGGGATGTGGCTACCGCAGCCCCACCAAGTGACCTTGTCTGTTGGACAATGAATCAGCGATTGCTCGTTCCGAAGATTAATTGTGTTCGATACTAACTGCAGGTGGAGCAATGAGCCTTCATGCACATGGTGGCGGTTGTTTGATTGCGTCTGGACAGAAAATAGACCGGAGTAAATGGAAGAAGGTGGAACGAGTCGAGATACTTGTTCTTCGCGAGAGATTAGATATCGCAGAGTAGATGGCGGGAGATGCGATTTTATATGCTTTCCCTGACGTTTGGGCCCGTCATTAGTCATAGCCGGAGGAATCGCCGATGTGTGAAAAAGAGAAGCCCGAAAGCCCGAAAATAATGTCGGGGTCTTGCTCTGGCTTGAATTCGATTCGACTGACAGGCTTTTATATAAGAATTCGCAGAAACGAACTGTTTTAGTGTCCTATATTCGTTATTAATATTAGAACATAGACAGGTATGTAAACGGGTGATTTATTGGCAAAGGAACCTATAGTGGGGCACTGGCATCTCCCGCCTAGAACCCGGAATTGTCAATCACTCCTATCCAACTTTTACCAACAACATATTAGCACTATATACTAGCGGATCCTAAGCTACTCAACGCCATCATGATTGTTGCAGTGGCCGGAGGTGCCGGCGGAGTGGGCAAGACCATTGTCGAGAAGCTAGTGCAGGAGGCCAAATTCAAGGTCATTGTGTTGTCCCGCAGTGTACGTGGCTTGGAGCAGAGCATGATCTTGAGTCCAACGTTAATTGTTTTTTCAGGGACCAAGTCAGGATATTGTTTTACAGAAAGCGCAACACGTCCAACTCGACTATGACGACATCGCCTCCATGACAGCAGAGCTGGAGCGCCACACCATTCACACAATCGTCTCAGCGATTGGTCTTGTGTCAAATGAATCTAGCCAGTCTCAGTTGAACTTGATAGAGGCTGCAGAGAAAGCCAAATGCACTAAAAGATTTATTCCCAGTGAATATTCTTTCATTCAAACCGCCGAGTACGCTCCCATTGAATTTCAGCAAAAGTTGAAAGATCAAATTAACTGATTCATACGCCGAAGCCTCCTTCCCGTGGATCCGAGTATTCAATACTGGCTAGATGCAGCGAATCGCCTTAAATCCGGCTCGCTGAAGTATACCCGGGTTATCCCTGGTTTCTTTATGGATTATTGGGGAATGCCGCATGTCAAAACCAATCTCCAACCTTATACCTTCGGCATAAATATAGCCAAAGGCAAAGCTGCAATCCCTGGTGACGGTAATGACTTGATCTGTATGACATACACGGCTGACATGGCCACGTACATGACCAAATTGCTTGATCTGGATGAATGGTCGGAGTTCACTGTTATTGTTGGCGACGAGGTGACCTACAACCAGCTCATAAGCATGTCCGAAGAAATCTGTGGTAAGTATACGGTGGTTTCTTTCATTTTACAGTGTACTGAGTGAGTTATGCCACAGGAAAACGGTTTGAAGTGCACTATGACAGTCTTGACCGGATCAACTCGGGGGATGTTACTGTGCCACCGATGCCAGATGGTACGGAATACGCGGAAAGTGAAGTCAAAGAAGTCACTGCGCTAGTGAGCCGGCTTACTGTCAATGGGGTCTTTGACCTGCCGAAGGAGGGTCGCTTGAATGCTCAATTTCCAGATGTGCGGCCAATTACTATGAAGCAGTTCTTGATTGATTCATGGCAAAAGAACTGAGCATGGATCTTGAACACAGACAAGATATAACGCAAATCTCGTATTGGTAAAATATGTAACACGACCAATCGAGCACATTGAACGTTTCCATCTCTTAGGTAGTCCATCCAAACATGGCCTTACACGTGTTCCTCCAAATATAGTGACTCAGGCTATGATTACTTGAGACGAAGATGCAACAAAGGCCGCCTAGCAAGCAGGGCCGTTGTTGCCGACTCCGATACAGATATATCGTCCTGGGATAAGGTTCGAGCACGAAAGATTGATATCTGGGTTCCAGCACAGAAGCTGTTTCATGGTGATGGTGTTCTCATTGCGTGAGATAATGTCCCAGCAAGTATCTCCATTCTGCACGGTATAGTAAAGATTGCCTGCTCCTTGGGATCAGCATCCGTATTGAGATGGGATATGGTTTAAAACTGCTTACAGGTAGGCACAACTTGCATCGGATTCTTATCGATTGGGTTTGAAATGGCCAGACAGGTAAATCCTAGCATCAAGAGAAGAGCCCGAGCAGCCATGCCTGAGAGGAGCCTTGAGTATAATACAGAACGAATGATTTTTCAAAGCCAGAATAGCGAGTGGACTAGCGATGATGTTGGATGAGGGCACCCGTAGGACTATATATAGTGCTTTCAGGCATGAAGATTAAACCTGACGAACAGATGGATCATGCAAGCTTCCCTGAAGAAACTTTGAATGTCTTGTGCGACCGTTACAGAAAACATTTAGAAGCTACCGCGAGGGCTTCAAAAATTGCTCACTATCAATGGCTTGACTCCCGTTTCGGATATTAATTGCTTTACCACCTGACTTTTACGTCGTTGCAAAGCAGTTACAACAAAGCCGCTTAACTGCAGAACGCGAATTGGCTGAACCGATTAGGTTCTAAATCTGATCTATTTCTGCATATGTTCCGCTGAAGATAAAAGCGTCACGCTAGGAGCAAGATAACTGCCTTGCAGGGAATCCCAGTCATCTATGCGTAACACAGTGATATCCTCTATGAGCTACTGTGGGGACAAAACAGAGAAATTGGAGATGGCAACCGGAAAGCTAGTTACCCTACAAAGATTGTGTAACCTTGCTATTTGCATCTAGACTGGAAGCAAACAGATGAAAAAATGCAGTGCAGCTAATTTGTACATATTTCAATATCGGATCGCTGCACAGAGTAGTATTGAGAACAGTTACATTAACACGTATGTACCAGAAAGTGAGCGTGTGCTCATGGCAGGTGAGTATCCTCGTAGCGATGAGAGGATCCCATCAGCTGGCTGGAATCAGCAGGTGGTTCATTCAGAAAGTCCCTTGCATTGACGTTTCAAAAACTTGCCCGATGCTACAGCAATTTCGGCCAGTGTGCTTTGTGCTCCGGGACGTGGAGTCAGCTCAATGGCCACCCCTGAGTGTGTTAAGATATGTAGTATTTTAGATCTGAGCTCGACATACGGTAATGTGCCAGCTTTTACTAATAGTTTTCACTTTCGAAAACTTCAAACAGGATTTGATTTCTTCGTTATTTTCATCCAGACATGATGGAAATGACCCAATGTATAAACGGAAGGTAAATTAAGCCCAGTTGATGTTATTGGCATGATAGCAGATTGGCACTGGAGGGCTCTTCCAATGAGGAGTTGCTTCGCTGTCATCCAGCCTCGCAACTGTCTGTAGCATATCAAGTCGTCCCCACGGACTGTCATCAAACCTGGCCATAAAGGGTGAATCTTGGGCCAGATATTCTGGGAAAACTCGCTTCCAGCCGTCAATTACCTGGACCATAATCTCGGAAACAAACTGATCCGGGGAGCTGCGCTCGAACTGGAATTGACCCAGAGTCTGCTGCACAACTTCGACAGGATAAAGACCAACGGCCTCATCAAGTAAAACTGTATCTGCAGCCACAAGTGAGCTTACCACATGGTACGAGCCTCCTTTTTGCGCGCGGTCCCGGATCGCCAACATCGTTGCCAAAGCGCCTACAAGGCCAGCGGTCATGTCAGATATTGGGAGAGGCGGGAGAACACTGGTGCCTTCCTGGTAACCCAGAGACCTTCCCATCACATACGAGGCACCAGAGGCGGCATCACCAATTTGCTGCCAACCTGGTCGCTCGGCGAAGGGGCCATCCGGTCCATAGCAATTTTCATCGACGTAGATGATTCCCTTGTTCCTTTTGGCGGCCATTTCCAGCATGCTTCGTAGACCGAGACCTTTCCTTTCAAGTGAGCCATAGCGAAAGCCTTGAACAAATACGTCGACATCGTCAATGAGCTCTTGGAGACAAGCCATATCCTTCTCATCTTTGATATCTAAATCGACAGTACGCTTCCCTGCGTTGAGGGTCAATTGGAGGACCTGTTAGACCTAAGTCAGTATCTCTGCCAAAAATGGGAAGCATTTAACAACTCACATTCAAGTCCGCTAGTTTGCTGCAGTTGACTCGGATAACGTCTGCTCCGTACGAAGCGAGAGTAACGCCGATAGTAGGGCCAGCAATGATTCGAACCATTTCCAGGACCTTGATCCCAGCTAACGGTCTCCGATCAGAGAGCGTGGGATATGGCACCGGTGGGGTTGACTTGGCATAAGACTCATGGGTATAGTTGATAAGCGGATGTTTTGCCAGTCGTTTGCCCATCTCTGTCTTCCTCCACCCTTCAGGGGAGTAGCAAATACTACCACACAATCCATGCCTCACATTGTGCATCTCAAGTTCATCCGGACTCCATTTCTGTACATTCTCACGAATATAGTCGTACTCCTCCGAAATCGACTTGAATGATACGTCCATGTTGATCCCCATTGAATTGAGTGTTTTGCTTGCATCCAGAGACCCGTGTAGCTGGTACCACACATTCAAGTCCTTTGTCGGGTACAGCGCCGTCGCCCTCAGAGCTAACGGCCCTTTCCCGAATCCCTTTTCGAAGTCTCGATCGAAGATATTGGCCAATGATCGAGATCGAAATAAACTCGAGATGTCGGTCCCGTTTATGTATGCGGTGAATGTTGATCCGAGCCAGATACCGGCATGGTCAGTGTTTACAGTGACGCCAGAATTTTTAGCTGGCTTCCTGTCTCGGATCTCTATCAACTCGTTGGCGACCAAGCCGCACATGGCGTGAAGAGCAGCAGATACAACGGGGGCTTTCATTGGACCAGGGATCATGGGGTCGGGGCGACCCTCAAATCTGACAGTATTCCATAGCGCCGCGTCTCTTGTGAATCCCGGTGTCTGGGAAGCAAGGAATTTGAAGACGCGGCGAGCGTCCTCTGGCACCGGCAGAAATCCCTTGTCGATGTAGGTCCCCGGTCCGTAGATTTCGTCTCCTGGCACCGTCTCGTGTGTTTGGGCGGCCATTTTGGGTTGTGCGAAGTCTGTGGTGTGAGGTGAGATGAGGCTTACCTTTATCCTGTAACTGGCTTTGAGTGACCTTGCCAAATGACCTAATTATTGGTTGGTGATCGGCACGTAATGCGGAGTCGAAGCCCCGCGAGCCTCGCCAGCCAAAGACAGGTTAGGCCCACTTCGGCCACCGAATCAGAGCAAGGTCTGTAATAAACCAGGCTACTGTTTATCTTCTCGACAATAAAAGCACTAGGACTGCATATGTCTTTCCCCCATTTATGACACGCTCGTAATGCTATGCCGCACCATACCTCATCGGCATTACGCTCATGCCTTGTGGATGGTGTAACATTGACATGCCCGATACAAGCCTTTTGACCGTAAAGATCCTAGTGGCTGGCCAGTAGCCTTTCCTCTAGTTTCCAGAGTAGAGAGCTTTGAGATTGTACACTAATTTGTATACGCTGGGTGCGCTCCACCAAGAGATCACCAAGAACGGGGTCACAATGTCCACTAAAATTGTGTACGAAATTGATTATAAATTCACGAGCTGACAAAACATGATGACCTGGAAGGGTAGAGTTAACGTGAAAAGAAGTATTACTGATCTCGATATTACAAAATATATGGATATGATATTTATTTTAACGAACAACTTACGACACAACTAGTACAGCAACTGCCCATGGTGGCATATTGACTGCGTAGTTCCCCTGTGCATTAAATACACTCTGATTAACAGCCTGCACTGTCACATCCTGGGGCTTATTGCTCTCGAGCTGTTCGCCGGCAAGCATCTCTAGCCTTCCCGTTCTAGTTCCCGGAACACTGACTTGGACGGTCTGGTTGTCTGGCCCGTAATTTGCAAGTTTCACATAGTTCTCCGAATCGCTTTTTGATGCCACCCAGTACAATGGTCCAAAATCCGATGAGGATGTTACAGGCAGAACGGTATGGCCTTTGTTCGATGCGAACATCTTTTGAACAAAGTAAGAAGTTGACGGTGTTAGGGAGTCAGGACCCGAGTCGAAGCCGTACATGGTAGGCTATGGGAGAGATACAGTTAGTTCAACCCCAGATATTCTGCCTCGAGGGAAATGCGGAACATACCGACCAAGAGATAAATCCAAAATGTTCCAGCATAGGCGCATATGCCGCCATCTGAACAATGTCACTGTTTCGTTCCATACCAATCATATAGACCGCCTCGCTACAGCTGCCCTGCATGTAGGACCAATATGTTCCTAAGGCACTGCTAACATTGCGACATCCATACTCGCCGATCATCACGGACTGATTGCGTGGCTGGTTGTCCCACTGATTGAACATCGAAACGAAATCATCCGGATTACGGTAAAAATGTTGATCGAGGATGACATTCTCAGGCACCGGGTTTGGCAGACATGAGTAATTTCCATTAGACGCAATGAGCGTCATATGAGGATATTTGTCATGGATTGCGTTATAGATCTGAGTGAACCGGTCCGGATAGGTTTCACAACCATCGGTAAGATCGTCCTCATTTCCGATCTCAATATAGTCAATCTTCCAGGGTTCCTGACGGCCGTTTTCGGCACGTTTCTTGCCGTAATTTGATTTTGGGCTTCCAAGGAGGTACTATGTCTGTGTCAGTTGCATAGCACGTTTAGTTTGGCTTGGTTCTTACCTCCAGCTCGTTCATTATGTCGTCAACATACGGTTGTAGGTCTGGTCCAGATATAATCTCCCCGTAAGACTTTCCAGCCCACACGGCCAAAAGGGGAGCCATGTTCATATCTTCGCACCACCATAGATATTCATCCAAGCCTGTTTGTAAGTCAGTGGCGAATATCGGCCAAATGCATGGAATAAACCAACCAAGGGCGTCAGTATTGGGGTAAAACCAGTCACCTATATAACCAAGATTAATGGAATTGATCGAGAACTTATAAGGGTTGCTTACTTTCTCTCCCCGGTCGATCCACAAGAGGCCCAATAGTATTGTTCCATGTCCAGCGGTTATCAACTTCCAAGCCCTCGCTGTAGTTTTTAATCAGCATGTTGAGACTATATAAGAATGATAACCTACAGGTTATTTCCACCAGGGAACCGGAGAAGCGCAAAGTTGGCTTCTTCGAGAAAGGAAGCAAGCTCATGGCGCAGTCCATTTTCACTAAAAACTAAGTCAGCACAGTTGATTCTTTTGACGTCTGTGCAAAGCATACCGTCCTTTATAGGTCGGTGGAAAAAGCTGAACAAGTCCAAAATTCAACGAGCTGTTTGCAACTTTGGATCCATCAAAAGTCAGATGCCATTCATTCTCCCCATCAGGTGATGGAGAAGAGTTAAATGACGTTTCATATTGAGTAAACTTTGAAGCCTTGCTTTTGACAGTCAGATTGTGGTCAGCGTATACAATGCCACTATGAGACCCAATGAGCCGCAGATTGATTGTCCCCGAATAATCCCCCATCATCCAAAAAGAGCTTCTATAGGTGGCGGCCATGACTGGGACTCCATTGTATCCGGTATTTGCAAAGCCCACGTATTCGGTCGCGTCGGCGGGCACCGATACTTGAAGGGAGGACGTGATCGCATTGCTCACAGGCTTTAAGCTATCTTGCGAGATCAGCGCATCCCCCACTGGTGCATATGCTGTCAACCCGGGATTTGCGCCTTGAAAACCGTTGTTCTGAAGAAGTTGACCGTGAATTCCACCATCACCTTGGAAATGTAAGCCAAAGCTCATGGCTTTGGGAGTTTATCAAATCTGCGTACCGGAATGATCCATCTCCTGAATGAAATAACCAGGGTAAGCAACGTTCTGTACATAAGATTCCAACGCCTTCTTACCTCGAACATTATCCCATAAAGTAACGGGCTAGACCTATTCCCACCCACCTTGGATATTGTTAAATTGACTGACAGCGGGCCTCCCTGAACCACGAGGCCCGTCACCGCCAGGATAAGGCACGGGTAAGATGACACCCTCATGACTGAGTGGAATGCGTGTAGACAGACAAAGAAGAAAGCAGGATCAAGAGACAGCTTAGACATTTGCCTTCAGAGCAATCAAGCTTCGTCACGCGGAGTTCCCCTGGTGGGGACTAAGCGTGGCTAAAGACTGATTCGCTCAACCATATACAGGCCGCCTCCACAAAGACATCATGGACCTGGCAATTAAACTAGGGGTGCGAATCATGTTCTTAAGAAAGTGTGATTATATTGTTGCCACCTCAAGGGAATTCCAACAGCCAATTGATGCCATACTTCACAATCTTGCTGATTCTGTTGATTCTGTGAATTTGTCGGGTATTTCGATAGCTTGGACTTCCTTACGTGTGCTGGCCATTTCTGTATCAATGACGCGATCACAAAAATGTGTTGCTGCTAATATCATTCTTGCTGGAGGTGACAGTTGGAGTCATGACGTCGAAGATCATGTCCCGATCCGTCTTGATAAGGTCGAGTCAACGATGAGCGAGCATAGTTAATACCATCCCGCCCCCTTTTACGGGATTAATGATAGGAACGATAATTTCGGCTACAAGGCCGTCTTAATTCAGATGTTTTCTTGATCTACGCATCGAGTGGACCATTTAGTCACATTCGCTCGTCCCGCTTTTCAGCCAAGATCCCGATCATCTTCGGACCCCGAAAAATTTCGGGATCAGCCCCACTCCACCGGACTTTACATACAATGGCCACCCACCCCTCTTCGGGGTTAACGCTTAACTACCTTGGAATACTTTTAACATAAATAGAGCCTGGTTTACTCTGCTTTTACGCGTCGTTTTCCTCTGTCACATTCATAAAATAATTACTCTTCTCTTCGCGAACAAAAGAACCATCTCATCATGCCAACAATGTCTCCTCGCGTCTGGCTCATCACTGGAACATCCTCCGGTCTAGGCACTGAATTCGTCAAAGCAGTATTGGCTCGCGGTGATAATGTTATTGCGACCGCTCGCAATGCGGACCGAATTGCCCATCTAAAGGAGATCGGCGCTGCAACCATGCAGTTGGATGTCACTGTGTCTCAAAGCGAGCTCGATCGCAAGGCGGAAGAAGCCATTGCAGTGTATGGGGGAGTGGATGTGCTGGTAAACAATGCTGGATACACACAATTTGGAACCGTCGAGGAAACCAGGTGCGGCAATATCTTCTATTCATATGCCTGCAAAGATACTAACGTAAAACACAATTTTCAGCCACGATGAGTGGTACGCACAGTTCAATACGAATGTCTTCGGCACCCTCAACACAACCAGGTCATTTCTTCCACATATGAGAGCCAAAAAAGCGGGTACAGTTGTTTTTATCGGGTCTATGGTAGCATGGGATGGAGCACCCACTGTCGGACCATACTGCGCTTCAAAGGCCGCGATACACTGTAAGCGAAATCTCACATCCCTCTGCCCTATTAAAGACTGTCTTTTGACTTGCGCTATTCAGATGCCGCCGAGTCGCTATCTCGAGAAGTTGCCCATATCGGGATTAAAACTCTTCTAGTGGAACCTGGCACATTCCGCACTGAGCTCTTGAGTCCACAGAATAAGAAGCCCGGGGTAATCAAGTTTGATGACTACAAGCCTCTAAACGAGTCGTTTGGGAGCGTTTTCAACAACTTGAATGGGAATCAAGCTGGTGATGCGAGGAAGGGCGTGGAGCGCATTGTTGATGTTGTTAAGGGAGAAAACGGCGCAGCTGAAAAGGAGTGGCCGATGGAATTGGTTATTGGATCTGATGCTGTGGCGGGCATTAGGAAGAAGTGTGAGGACACCCTGCGGCTGTTGGCGGAGTGGGAGGAGGTCTCTAAGTCGACTGATCTGTAGTATCTGCGCCCAATATTAGCTCATTAAAGGCATGCGGCGAAAGATTTTATACTATGAATTTGAGAGCTTTCGGAACGATATTCACTTTGGATGCTGAGAGTGGGGAATGCACCCTACGGATGCACCTCGTTTGTCTTTTTCTTTGATGGGCAACAGTTGATGACCGCTGCAAATTCGATGGCCGTTTTGACTAGCCTAAACCAAGGCCGTCACTCCATTGACCTGTTAAACTGGGATAGTGGTGTCCGATCTCGACGATCATTTGCGTACCCTATCGGTGAACGTTAGCTGGTGTCATAAGCTAGACTGTACGATGTCCTATAATGGAAATTCGAATCACGAATGAATAAATCCCTGAGTCAAATCAATCTAGGGCTGTCCGTAGATGAAGGGAGACCTAACTAATGATCTACTAGTGCAAATAGAGAAAAGGCGGTGAGAGTCATCATTGTTGACATTTGAGATAAACAGCAAAAAAGGTGAAAACACATACTGTATGGCATGCCACACGCGTTACAACTTCTTGCGCTGAGTTGACCTTCAACATCTTCGCAGCCCACTCAGTTTTGGAAATCGAACCAAATGACTCAACATCCTCAGCCAAGCGGTGGCGGCCGCTTGCTCAACACATTCCTTAATCGGTAAGCAGTTCAATGTACCTAGTTCCCCTCACATTCAATGAGTGAAAACGAGACAGACGCTCACGAGTCAAAGACCAGTCGAAGCTCATGGATCCGGATGGTCTGATCTATGGGACGAAGGGAATAGCAACCTCTGGGACCGGGGTATAACATCTCCGGCATTAGTAGATGTCATCGAGCAAGAGCGGGAACTCCTTAATCCATTCACAGCAGATGGAAAGAGGAAGAGAGCAATTGTGCCAGCAAGTAGTCTTCTACCGTCTTCCTGGCAGGGCAATAGCATTAGCTGACCACTGAGAGATTCCAGGGCTGCGGCCGAGGCTATGAGGTAGTCATGCTAGCATTGCATGGATTCGAGGCTTATGGGCTTGAAATCTCCGCAACGGCAGTGAAAGAAGCGGAGTACTACGCCGCGGCTGAGATGCAGAATCCGTCTGCTTATCATTTTGGCAGTCGGCAATCACCATCCAGATCTGGTTCCCCTGGCACAGCTACATTTCTGCAGGGAGATTTCTTCTCTTCCAAATGGGAGAGAAAGGGTGATGTTGACGGGACGACCCAATTTGATCTGGCATATGACTACACAGTAAGCACGCTCAAGCTCCTCTCTCCATTTTGCGATTGTTATGTGCGGGGTTGATGTATTTGTATAATCTAGTTCCTCTGTGCATTGCATCCAACTCAGCGTACACAATGGGCGGCGAGCATGGCTCGAATTCTCAAGCGCGATGGCCATGGCCTGCTCATCTGTCTTGAGTTCCCATTGTATAAAGATCCACAACTGCCCGGTCCGCCTTGGGGCTTGAAAGGCGTGCATTGGAATTTACTTGCGCTGGGTGGCGATGGACAGGTTTTTGGGGTGGTGGGTGGGGATGGCAAGGAGAAGTGTGATAATGGAGTGGAGGAGGGTAGTTTCCGGAGGGTGCTTTATACGAAGCCTGCGCGGTCGTATGAAGTTGCGAGGGGGACGGATATGCTGAGTGTATATGCTCGAAAATAGAGAGTGGGGATGTGCAAGAGTGGGGATGTGCAAGAATGGGGTGTGTGCTAGGTAGCATATTCGGAGTAGAAGTTGTGTGCTAGGTAGCATATTTGGAGTAGAAGATCCAGGCAGCGAGGCAACAGAAGACAGGGTCGATGGATATACATACCAATGGGCAGGTCTCTCATCTTTGTTTGTGAGTAATTTGTCAATATGAAGTGGTTGTCGTACAGCTTTCTTTTCTTCTTTGTTCGCTTTCGGTATCATTGAGATTCTGTTCACTGAAAAGTGGCGAAATTGATCCTCGGTAAGGTGGGGTTGGTGTGATAAACTGTGTTGTACCCGAACAGTAGGTAGAGTTCAGAGACTGGATAAACCGCTTTTTAAGTGCCCTTCGGACGCGGACAGTCGATGAGGGATTTACAACTTGAATAGCAAAAGTTTCTAATTTTGAACTCCCTCGGGGCTTCTCATGGGTTGACTGCGCAGGTCGGATATCCGTGCGTGTTAAAGCATCGATGATAGGCTCTGAGAGACACGCTCAGTGAGCATTTCACCTCCAAGACGCGTTCGATGTGTTGAGCCCAAGCCGCCATTTAGGCTAGCACTAATCCATTTCGTTGGCCGCACAACCAAATGAATAGGCGTAAGGAAGCGCCCGTGCGTTTCATTGCCCCCTGACGTGTACCATGCCCAACAATTAAGTCGTCCTGAGCGCTAACTACTGATTCCAAATCTCCAATGATCGAATGGTTGGTATACGTCCATCTTGCGGTAGAAGGAAGCTAAATAGCCCTGCAGTAAATACCAATATAAAATTCGCTCAAATCAAGCCACTCGTTAGTCACAAGCCAGGCTGTCGATAGTAGTGTCTTCCCATGCTCATTACAGTACAACCCTGTATTCTATTCATAGAAAGATATCGCGAAGGGATACAGTAGCCCAGCAGCAAACTGGATCCCGCATTAAGTTAGTCTACTTGTTTCACTTGGCGCCAGCTACAGTGCTGCACCGTACCAAATCAACGACCAATTTCCAATCGCCCAATCTTTCGGCCACATCAGCAAATACAGTACTCTTCATCAATATTACCGCCGAGGCGGAAGCGGCTTCACAGATGACTTGGTCATAAGCCGTAGCCTACCACGGGGCCGAGCTTTCGGGGATGAATCCTCAGCTTCCAGACCCCGGGGCAGGCAGGAAGCCTTTCCCAACCCTCCGCCGACCATCCTCTCTCCAAATCCGCAACTCCCGCCACTCCACTTGAGCGACCTACCCCGCATCGTACCGTACACGAAAGTTCTTCATATCGACCACCTACTCCACCATCGCTGCCAGAGCTCTATCGTTCCAAGGACAAGTGCTAAATGGCGTCACTCCGCTTCAACTAGCCCAAAACGGCTTTACGGTATATTGTGACTTTCGGTGTACAATTACGTTATTCTATCGAAATAATGATAATAATTGCGGAAGTGCCTGGACTTAGTGTATAAGCGCGAGCCTTTCATTTAGGTAATGGAAGCCAGCTCCTTGATTTTGGAAAGTAGTTGCTAAAATATTCTCTTTTTACTATACATTGTGCTTCTAAGTTGCGAAAGGGTTGTGGTCCTGTGTCGGGTGAGCTAGATACTCGGACGAATATACGTCAGTAATCTGGAATATGTAGTAGTAGTAGTAGTATTCATTTGCCCGATGTAGCTTGCCGTATGTACAGCCGCTATCCGGGAGTGCAATCAGGCCTGCTCGACAGCGAAAATGGTACGCAGCACCCAGGTGTTTGTACACAGAGAGCAGAGCGGGCTCTCCATGATGCAGACCACCTACAGGATGAATGAATATCTGGAATATGTCAAGACCCATATCCAAACCCGCTTGATACCCCTTAATCTACCCTCTGTCGCACCTCTCTTTCTTAAATAAGCTTCAGTAGCCACTAAATTTTTGGTTTCAAGGTTAGCCGCGTGAATCAGCCACGTCAATGGTGTGGCATCCTCATAGTCTATAGAGTTGATGTTCGCTCCACGCTCTAGTAAAATTCTCACAATTTGTCCTAAATAGTATTGCTTAAAGCCCTCCACGCTTCTCCTTCAAGAACTTGTTGGTTACTAATCGGTTTTCCTGACACGCGCGACATATGAACGACTGAAAAAGGATACGAAAAGGTAAACCAAGGGAGCCAGGTACACTAGAGTCACAAATAGCGCAAGCGTCTGCCCACTATTCCATAGACATGAAGTTGCTTGGACCTCAAAAATCGGCCCAGCAACGGCCACAGAAGAAGTGGTATCAGAATGGCTACTCATGGGCGGCTGAACTTTGGCATAGTTTGACTTCATCAGGCGGCCCCATTCTAGATGTGTAACTTGGCTTGTCACAATGTCGTATCCAATGAAGAGATAGCAGATAGCGATGGCTGCACCGAGAAGAAATTGGCCAATTTGCAAAGTCGTCAAAGATCTCTTGATTGAGACGGGCACCCGAAGGCCCAACGCCGTCATCGAGAAATACGTATACTGGATTTCTCTGATTAGCGATATTCATTGGGGCTGAAAGGATAGCGTACCATCAAAGTATGGATTGCGGAATTGAGAAGAATACCAACAAGAGCCGGCGGTGATGCATATCGGACGCTTGCCCACATGCAGAGCATGACGCCGGCATGGTGGTATGTTTGAAGAAATGAGCTTTGTTTTCCTTTTGCGAGGATTATATAAGTATCAACCACTTCATAAAACTTAGAAATATAAAAGATCCATGAAAAATATCCAGCACCGGCACTCCATAGGTAATTTGAATGGTCCAGAAAGGCCATTGGCGTGCTACCCAGCATTTCAGGACTTTGGGAATAGCCGAAGTCACCCGTTGTGGTAATTTGACACATTGTATTCGCAACACGAGCGACAAAGTTCGGATCTGACATGGATGGCCAGCAATTCCAAAGCACAAAGCAGAGACCAGCGAGCGTCCATGCTGAGAATGTGGCAAGGAAGATATTGTGAAATATCACTAATAACTTGAAAGGCGCTGTCGTAGCAAATGTCCAAGGTCGATTTCTTCGAGTCTTATTCAAGTTGTTGAGTAAAATGACGGTCGTTATATAGACCGAGGCTATTGTTATAGGTGCCTTGACGTCTGAAAGATAGCGAAAGACAGATGAGGGAATCTGAATTGGGTGCATCCATGTTGCTTTGGCCTGTGTATAGGGAAAAGCTGCTTGAGAGGCATCTCCAGGAGGCCAATCGAAGACCTGGCGAGGAGGAAGCCGGAAATGCACTAAGAGATTCGGAATAGACATTTGAACAAGAAAACAAAAACCACGTTAAAGTCTCAGGAGAAATCCTCTCGCGAGTTTTTGGGTTTGAAAAAATGGCAGTGATTGATTGTTGTTTTTCAACTGTCGCTGGAGGAGCCGGAGAGTTTATATCATTATACTTGAGAGAAGGTTTTAGAAAGTGAAGACCGTATGGATAGAGGAATGAGCAAGGATTTGACACAATTCAGGCAGGCGGCGTCATTTGACTTAAATCTATTAGAACATCATTGGCGTGGGTAGTTGACCTGATGAACTCCTGAATTTTGATAAAGAAGCAGAAGCAAGGGGTGTACATCATGCAAGCCGGGGCTTAGGCAGGGGATACTCGACGAAGGCTGGTACGTATACCTAGCCACCTTGGTTTTACACTGAGTGACCATTTTGTTAATTAGGAATATCATATCGTTCAAAATTGAAGTCGTAAATTTTGAAACCTGATCTTACAAACAAGTTGAAAATGAAACTTTCCGTAGAGGACTACAAGAAGCATATCAACAACCTTGGCCTTTACTCTTGACATTCAGACGGAAGGTCTCAAAAATAACTCTTCACTCGTGCGTTGTCCAGATCAGATTCTTACACGAAGGCCCATTAAATCCGATTGAGCTTGCCAATCTTTTATCCGCGCAGCTCGACAGGGTAATCTAGCTTAAATTTTCGCAGTCTGAGAGATCCTCGCCAATCGCATGGTTGAAAGCAAATTTTCGGCCGCATTTGAGTGAGCATGGATTGCGCTGCCATGGAACAGTCTCGTAGCGTCCTTACCAACATGCTCTAGCAAGAAGCTTTTTCCGCCGGGATGTTGGTCCACAAACTTTGCAACATCATGAACAACACCATCAATAAGAAGCAAACGACGACCGTTGTTAACTGTTTGGGTATATTTTTCAATACCCCAGATCGGAAGTTCGTCTATTGATGCCCCCCAGGATATTTCTTGGCGCCGGAGTTCAAGCTGGCGCTGGATTTGCTGTAATTTACCCTTTTGAATCTCGTTTTCGGGAAACCGCTTCAATTCCGAGGCCAGGTTAACTTTCTCGCAGAGCCAGATAAACCACTTCGTCGGATCCCAGTGAAACCATCTGATCCCATTGCGGTAGTCCACTGGAAATTCGTGATGAAAATTGTGATACCCTTCTCCCCAAGTGATAAGCGCGACGAAAAATGAGTTTCTTGGTGAGAGGCGGCTGGCATAAGGTTGATCCCCAGCCCAATGAGCTAGAGAATTGACGCAGAATGTTGCCTGTTGGATCATGAATAATCGAATCCAGCTGGCCCATATGAATCCCCCAGCAAAATCACCATACATAAGCCCGCAGTATACTGTTGGAAATATAAATGCGGTCAAAAGGAACAAGGGAATGTAGTGCTTGCGCTGCCAAAGGACGATTGGATCATTCGCGAGATCCTGAACGTCCACCTGGCCCGTCTGTTCTCGCTTGCGTTTGATCACGACCCATCCGTAGTGAGAATAAAAAAGTCCTTTGTGGGCAGAGTATGGATCCCTATCAGTGTCTGTATAGCGATGGTGGGCTCTATGGTCTCTGCACCATGTTTTGATCGAGCCTTGTCCTGCGCTAGTGCTGACAATTGCGAGTATAACTTTCAGAACTTTTCCAGCAGAATATGCCCGGTGTGCCCAAAGGCGATGATATCCTATGTTCTCCATCAAAATAAGTCCTAGTAGAAGATTGGTTGTATTATTCACCTGCAGTGACGCTGATCCCAGATGCTGTCGCATAAGTGAAGAAAAAGATTCCGGTGCGATTTTGGAATGGTACCCAGAGGGCGCCGATTATTATTGCAATGAGGGGTGCTCCGCCGGTTATCCATAAGCGATACCAGTCAATCCGAGAGCTCAGAGCTCTAATATCCCCTAGAGTCCTGATCAGACTCGAAGAATTGTGGGAACTGACCATCTTTGTGTGCAGGAATGGTGATGTTATGGGACTTAAGCTAGAGGAGGCCTATGAAAAAGTGGATAAAAGTGTAGATAGCCATCAAGGAGACATGATGTATTTGGATAGTTAAACTTTTCGAATCATACTAGTTTCGCGGAAACTTCAAGAAAAAAAAAACAAAAAACAAAATTTACAAAGTTTGGGTGCATAATTACAACAAACCGGTCTTGGCAGCGATTTTGAAAATGCGACGAGTTAAACTTGGCAGAGACAGCCAGCCTTCCTGAGCTAATAATGCGTTTTCGCCCAAAGCAAGGTGGCCGAGTTACTTTGAATATATGAGCAAGCTATAGTAAGATGATTTAATTATGGATATAAAACCCAATGTTTTTTAATCTTGTGGCGCCAAAATATTGCGTGGCTTTTTCAAATGGCCGAGATCCTTCAAACCCGTCTATCATGCATGTACCTCCTGAAGTCAGAGAACTGCCATATTCCGAAGTTTGCAGGCTACATACTTTACCAATCCCACAGCATGTTACCGTTGCTTAGTTTCTGTAAAACTCCTTTGTGGAAACGAGAACCCTGCAAGACATTCCTTACTTGTCTACCTAAATAACAAAAGTAGTTTGCTCCTACTATTAGATTAAGCAAGGGCCCATGCAGGCTAGTCACAATTCATCTCTAACCAGCGAAACATATATGGGTCCAACTGACAACCGAGAAATCTATGCTGCAGATTTCTTAGGAAGAAATCATCAAAAAAATTGTACGCGGAAAGTTGTTGACGCTCCCACTGTTTTGTTTTCCCTTGTGAAGTCAACACTATGGATGTTTTATGCCCTGAAGATTGTCAGAATGATGACAACAAAAATGGAATACTTAATTCATCGATTATCCAAAATGGAGACAATTTTTCTATCACAAAACAGGATATTTTGACGCTTTCGGCGATGGCCATCCTGAGCTTGATGGCAGCGCTGGATGGGACGTCTATCTCGGTTGCTTTGCCAGTATTCCATCCTGCCCTTTCTGTCATATAGCAGTTCTATCTCTGACATTGACACCAACAGATCATTTCTCATGAACTTGGAGGAACTGCAATCGAAGCATTCTGGACCGGAACCTCCTTCACACTCTGCTCTGCCGGTGAGCTAACAAAAGTCACCTGAAACAGAGACATACAATACTCACGCGAGATTAGTCTTTCAGCCTGTATTCTCATCGTTATCGGATTTATTCGGTCGGAAGCTGTTGGTGCTTGTCACGATCGCATGGTTTACGATCGGGGCGATTGTCGCCGGTGTCGCTAATGATTTCACTCATATGCTTATTGGGCGGTCTTTACAGGGAATTGGCGGGGGTGGTATAATTACCCTCACTGCTATTCTCATTGCAGATATTGTGCCTCTCAGCGAAAGACCAAAATACTTTGGCATGCTTAGTGCGATCTGGAGCTTGGGAACAGTGGTCGGGCCTGTCATCGGCGGCTGCTTTGCAGAGAAAGCCACCTGGGTAAGCATGACCCTATTTATGTTCTTGACAAGATTTCCGTTAACAGTAATATCTAGCGCTGGATCTTCTATATCAACTTCCCATTCATTGGAATTGGAGCAATCTTGCTTGCTTGTTCGGGCGGCTCCCTCACTACGCAAGGCGCTTTTACCGTCCAAGTGCGCAAGATCGACTTCGTAGGAATCGCCCTATTTATTCCAAGCTCTGCTTCGTTCTTGATACCGCTGACCTGGGGAGGTGTCCTATATTCCTGGGGCTCTTGGCATACCTTGGCTCCCTTGATTACCGGGTCTGTCGGACTCTGCGTCTTCGCGATCTATGAATGGCGGATTGCACGACTGCCAATGATCCCACCAGCGATTTTCCAGAACCGAACGGCGCTCATATCGTTTGGCGGCTATGCCGTTGTCGGCCTGCTCGTTTGGTGCTGTCTATACTTCCTTCCCCTTTACTACGAAGCCGTGAAAGGATTCAAGCCTATCATGTCAGGAATTGCGCTTTTCCCTGAAACCTTCACTGTCGCTCCAAGTGGAGTTGTTATAGGCTTTCTCATCAGTCGAACAGGCCGGTACTATTGGGCCGTCTGCATCGGATGGTTTCTTTCGACTATCGGAATGGGCCTGCTTTGCCTATTGGACACAGATACCAGAACGATCTCTTGGATCTTTCTAAATGTTGTTCCTGGAATCGGCATCGGAATGGTTCTTCCCTCTGTCGCACTCGCAGTGCAGGCTTCTGCAGCTACTGAGATCTTGGCGATTGCGGTGGCTACATCGACTTCTTTCCGAGGCTTTGGGCAGTCTATCGGTGTGGCTATCGGGGGTGTCATTTTCCAAAATCGAATGAAGAGCAATTTGTTGCAGTATCCAGCCCTCCAAGCGTTGGCGGATAAATACAGTAGCGATGCATCGAGTGCGGTGGAAGTTATTCGAGGATTACAAGACACTCGCGTTAAAGGAGACCTTAAGCAGGCATATTCGGACAGTCTAAGAATGGTCTGGGCATTTTGCTGCGGCATTTCCGGATTGATGTTTTTCATGAGTCTCTTCACTAAGCCATACAGCTTGGACCGTGGGCTTGTTACAAGGGTGTGTCAGGAAAAAGAGAAAGTGGATGAGTGAGGGAGAAAGGGTTTTCTGAAGATAAATCGCCGAGAAATCAAAACTCGTTTATCTTCCTACCCCTTGAGGGTACAGTATACGGAATTTGCTACTCAAACAAGACAAGCACCGAAATTAAATTTAGCGGAGACCAGGAAGGAGATGAAACAGGTGGAGTGAGTTGTATTGCCTAAGTGATCTCTCAGAAGGGAAGTTCTATCTACAAGCAGCGGTGGGCGCCCGACACCTCAGGCACCCACCTGATCAGATAATTCAGTTAAAACTTACTCGAACATATTGTATGAGCCAAAGCATCCCAGTGACTAAAGAAGGTGGCAATCGCCGTTGTAGAAGTGTCCGCGCTGATTGGTGGTCCCGATGACGCGCAGAGTGCTACACGTTTTCACCACGGGCGCAGCCCTCTAACTTCTCTTCTATTTTCGGTATTTCCCTATTAGGGAAGTGAGATTTTCCTCAACCGGATTTTGGAAATTAACTTATAACTGGAAAGTTAGTTATGGCAGTCGTTCACCCGTGAAAAGCATCCGAAAACAGCCAATTAGTTACAACCAAACTTTCATGACTAATATATTAACTAAGCTTTCTCGTGTATTACCAAGGTAATCTTCACGAGCACTGACAATCAAATCCAAACTAGATTCTTACGTTCGTAGTATATTAATCTTGAGCACAGCTTGTGTCCGTGCACAAAATATCTACAGAGTCTCGATATCGGTATCACGTTTTCTTCTAAGCATGAAGCCCGTTCTCATTTTCGTTCACGGCGGGTGGCATACCCCAGAGTGCTGGACGTATATAGTTTCTCTATTGCGACCGCAGGGTTACGAATGTGTTACCCCCCAGCTAGACTACAGTGGCACAGCGAAGCCAGTTGAGTCTATTGCGAGCAGCATAGAACAAATCCAGAAACTGCTCAACGTCGCGACGATGGCAGGACGAGACGTGGTGCTGGTGAATCACTCGTTTGGTGGTGTAGTGGGCTGCAGTGCTGTGAAAGGCTTCACTCAAAAAAACTCCTCACAGCTGCACGCGGGGTCAGGAAGAGTTATCGGAATTATTCACTTGTCTGCGATAATGGTTCCATCACACTGTTCCGTGGATGATCTGGCTTCGCTTTCGCCAGATCCCTTATTCCACAACCCCGGCCCGGATGGCTGGCAAATTATCGATAATGGGGATCCGCGCGATGTTTTCTACAATGATTTACCGTTGGCTGAAGGTGATTACTGGGCTGGCAAGCTTAGAAAACAGTCATCTGCAGCGTTTGCTGACAGAGATAATATCTACCAGGGCTGGGCTGATATACCAGTCTGGTACCTTTACTGTACAGATGATCATGCCCTTCCCGTCAAAGTGCAGGAAGAAATTGTGTCTGCCGCGATTAAGCTAGGGGCTGAAATAACAACCGAATACATTGCTTCAGGGCATAGCCCCTTTCTAAGCAAAGCTGCTGACACGGTGCGCTTCATCTGCGACGCTATAAACGCCCTACAACGCAGCGAAACCGAACTCGGCAGTTAAACTACCTTCATATATCGCAACCCTCAGTACCCATCACTACTGAATGGCGTCGTGGTTGCGGCGATTTCATTTCGGTTAAATCGGTCACAGTACTAAAACAGTACACCTTGTCAACAGCTCGTATTTGAGGGAAGATGTGGGAAAGGTTTTTTGAAATTGAATGTTTACTTTTTTTGATGACTGAACTCAAGCCGCATTATTACTTTTGTGAAGACCCAATGTGATAGCTTTATAATCTCGAAGCCACTACATGCAGTGGCTGTAAGAGATATTGCGTGCAATGCGCCAGAAGCTATTGTAAGGATTTCGAACATGCCATCCAAAAGCTATTAGACTAAACAAGTGAGACCTTCGTCTGGCAAAGGAAAGACATGTTAGGTAGAGTTGAGAGCTTGGGGTTGGGGGAGCGCGCATGCGCAACTGTGTCTACAGTACTACAGACAGCCCCTTCAGTCTAACACGTCCTTTTCAGAACCGTCACATTGCATAAATACAAAATAATAGAACGTCGTATAATGTTCTGGGCTGTTTTCTAGACAAGATAAGGAGATAAACAACGAAATGGCTTGGTACACACTGCATTGTTGACAACGCGGATATGGAAGAACCTGTTCCATCCCATGGCATGGGCAAATATCCTACTGGCTGTTTCAGTTGCAACGGTAGTAATATTTGCGCTCTACCACGACGTCCTCGAAGAGGATTATTCGGCTAATTTTTTGGAGAGTAGAAAAGTAGCCCTGGGGGCTTGGTTGGTGGGGTGTGTTGTGCCGGTGCATTTCGGCAGGTCAGTAGGGAAGAGAGAGAGAAAGAGAGAAAGAGAGAGAGCAAATGCCATTTTTCAATTGATCCATAGATAAGCGCTTACATGCTAACTAATTGTTCTTCAGGGTTCTACTGGAAAGTACCCACTCAATTGAGTGACACCACCACGTCCCCATCCACCACATCCACCAGAAAGAAAAAACCGGAATGTCATGCCAAGTGAGACGAATTCCTCCGATTCTCGCACTTCCCACTACTCCTACAGACTAGTTTTAACGGCCTCGCTCCACAAACCGGACATTTTCGTCCGCTCCGGCTGCACTCGGGGTTCGCACTGAATAACACGTCCGTAATGAGTCACTTGAACACGATCCACTCGGCGTACCAAGCCAAGGGCGTCAGATCGATGCACCGACGTCGATCATAACGGGTAGGACGGGTGTTGCGAGGCATAAGGGGCATAAGAGCTGAAAAAATAATGAATGTGGACCGGGTATTGCGGCTCTCGGAAAGAACACGGGTTTTTGCGGGCTCCGGGGGACGGAGCGTCCGGGTGCCGATAGGACCGGCAGTATTTTCTAGGGAAGAAAGCACCGAGAGGAAGCACCGAACCGCCGCGGTTATCCATTATCGCATCTTTCTTTCGTCTTTCGGGTATCCTATTTGAAGTCTAGATGGTTCTCGGACTTTTTTCAAGCCGTCGACGACGTCAACAATGCTTTCCAGTCGCCGGCGACTGATATTCCGCGGAGGTCCAGATGAACATCTACATTTATAGTTATCATTGGCCCGCGGCAGCGTAGGGCTGGACAATGAATTGCTGGGTCGGGTGGATCTCATTGCTATTGTGGACGAGGTTCCTCATTAATAAGGAGCTGAAATGGGAAAATGGGGAACCGATACGAGACGGACTCGGGATATCATGAGAGTTTCTCCGACCGAGTCGCGAACACTCATGATTTGCGCCAAGAGCCGCGCTCGCCTAGATAGGCAAACACGAAGGCTTCCCGTGACGTCTACAACATTCCACGCTGAAACACCCCAAACACCCCACAACTTGCCAGAAAGAATCCCTGTGCTGCGCCAACAGCAAGGAGGCATTCCTGGGTGAAATTGGGGAATTGTGGAATTGAGTAATTGCTGCCTGAGCCAGGCAGACACCGTATGTCCTTAATCGAGTTGCTCGAGGTTGTTCGTCTCCGATCATCACATTGGCTTTGTCAGGGTCATGGCCGCCTATCTAGGAGAATAATGAGGTGATCGCCCGTCTAGAAGAATAATGAGGTGATCGACCGGATTGCAAATACAATGATTGGAAATCTACGCCGGGGAAACCTTGGGAGCAACACAAAGTTTATGACAAAATGCGGTGTTATGTCAGCGACGGGATCAGTCAGCCGGATGAAAAACAGCTGCGCGCCGTCGGTCTTAACCCGCGCCGAGTGGGTCCAGACAGGGTCTACGGCTGTAGGAGTTAAGAGCGGTCACTCAGGATGGTGTTTTGTTGGGCTATGGAGCTGGGGAAAAAGGGAGGAAAAAAGGAGGGAAAAAAGGCGACGAGGCAGCGGAAGCATCTCGGACCGACAGTGCTGTCGTTTCTGAGATGGCAGGAAGACGAAAGGGCACAAGAATGATGCTTGATAAACAGGCTGCATGATTATTCAGCGGCACCATGGAAAACCGGCACCTGTTTTTACCTAACGCGGTCTATCCGTCATGATGTGGGGCCAACCCGCGCAGACTCCGATCGCCGAACCGGAGTTTGCACGGATCACGGAAGAGAAGATGAAAAATCAAAAATAAAGGCTGCCTCGCCAGGTATATAATTATGGGCGAAAGCCTCCTGACGATCAGTTCTGCCCCTCTCGTATCCATCCACTGCGGGAATGCTAATGCCGATGAGAATTGATCACGCCAATCTCCACATTGATTATCTTCCTTGCCTAATAGTGTACACCGCCTATTGTTGTTGTGTTCGGGTGACTCAGAAAACAGACGAGTCATCCACGCCAGATTAGGAGCTCATAACATAAGCCCTTCCGCCAATCCCCGAACCACTTTCTCCCACCATGGACTCTACCTCTCTCTCCATTCCCCCCTCGGACTCATCCTTCGCTGCCGCTGCCAGCCCCTACTTTGACTCTCTATTTCGCCGGCGCCAGCAAAAGAAGATGAGCATCACCGAGACGTACTACCTTGCCCACACGGCCCGGAAGAAGCTCACCCGCGAAGCTTCCCGGGCCGACCACGACCTGCGCCTGCTGGTCGGCCACGCCAACCTCCTCGACTCGCTGATGGTGGACCTGGCCGATGCCGAGAACGAGCAGGAGCGCTGGTTCAACCAGACCGTCCACGGCGCCGCGAAGGCCCAGGACGACCAACCACCAAAGCACATCCAATGGGCTACCGCTACCACTATTGTGGAGGAGCCCGAAGAAGACTGGGGTCATGAGGATGTCTCCGACCTGGACTCAGACTTCAGTGATGAAGACGAGGACGAGGTTGACGACGATGATTATGACGAGCGCGACTTTGTCATCGCCGCCCTGCCGCCCCGGCGACGCGCCCCCTCGCCTGTGGCCGTCATCCACGAACAAGAATTGATGGAGGACGAAGATGACGACGACGACGACGATGACACGGACTCGGATTTTGAGTACGACGACGTGGAGGATCTGGAGAAGCTGTGCCTCACTCGCTCACCGTCACGGGCGTCACAGTCGCCGCCTGAGCTGCTGGCCGACTTGGACGATGATTCAGAGGATGATAACCTGCCACCCTCGCCGCCGCAGCCTACCATCGAGGTCTTCGATGAGAAGGCCGCCGCCGCTGCTGTTCAGGCCACAAGCATGTCGTCACTAAAGGACAACCATCTGTTCGAGGAACAGGAGTATTACGTTTCACCACCACACCAGGAGCAGACTCTCATCGAGGCATACTGACCGTGCCTGTCTCGTTGTGTACCATTCTTTCTGTCTCTCTCTGCATTTTCCCGTGATACCCTGATGCCTGACGATGATTGCTCTTTTCTTATGATATACCAGCGAGCGCTTTTTTACATTCTATCGATCGCATGTCCACTCATCCATACATATTCCCCCTTTTTTCATCCTCTTGTGCAGATCTCCCTACTGTGTCAGGTTGAGACTCCACGATTTTGATTCCATCTGTATATCTTACATACATCTCCACAATTCACACATTCAAGAATCATCATCATTATCCTTCCCTGGCTACTCGTACTCGTACAGCCAAGGAAGCTCGTAAACTAAGCAAGTAAACTCAGCCCTTATCAGTGCATGTGACCGGTAGATCTGTGTGACCCGTAGATCTGCTGCAGCTCCGGAGCCCCGAGCGCACACACTTGCCAGCACGCCATTCCCGCCCTGTACACCGCTGGTTGGGCAACAAAGATAGGACCCGGTTAGCTCGGCATAGTCGGCGCGCTAGGGGTGATAATCAGGGTCCGTCAGGGTCCGGTCTTGTGATTATTGGGAGATCCCATTGGAAATGAATTCCTGAGCTACGGTATTCTTCGGATTCAGTTATACCTCCACACTATCGGTTTCACGTCCACTCATCATATATATTCCCCCTCTTTTTCCCTCCCCCTCTTGTGCAGCTTCCTAGCACCATGATAGCCCACTTCGCTAGTACATAGCCTAAAATCACACAGAAACTCAATAAGGGCCAATCTCTCATTTGCCGAAGTGTTATTAGCAAGATCTGTTAGGCTGTTTATCATAACACCTCGCATATCTTGCTTCATCTAAAGATGACTTGACTCCCTATCGCGGACATATTAAATATTAATTAGGGGGACCCTAAATTTCCTAGGATCTGCGCTAGTTGTGATCGACACTCATCGCCGTTCCCGTTCCAAATGGTTGAGTGCCGATCAGCCGCGCCAGGATGAGGGATGATTCCTTTCACCAGACTTTTTTATGAGGGTAGGAGGGTTGGTTCTGCACTACTTACTGACTCCGTTGTGAGATTAGGATTTTGGACCACGTAGTTGGGGATCCTGGATGATTGCAATTTGGGTGTCCGCACGAACTCGTGGATGCAGAGAGCGGAATGCAGGACCTTCCCTAATAATTACAAGATTAGGGCACGCCTCTTGTCTGTATATGCTATTTTCCTATAGCACCATCATCATTGACAAATGAAGCATTGATCCCAGTAGTCATCAAATAGTCAGTCGTTTACAATTTTAGTTCCTTCTACGGTGACTATCGAAGCTATCACACAGTACGGAAGATTTAGACCACTCCACAACCTGTATGATACCTGATGAAATTTCCAATATGAACAATTCCAATTCAAATAGTGAATCCTCTATCTAGTAGTTACCCTAACCCAAACCAAACTAGAGGCAGCTACAGTGCAAACAATGCAAACCAATCAGATAGCACTCACCGCCTTCCATCTTTCCTTCGCCCCTCGTGGCTGCCCGCTTGCGTCCCCTCTTGTCTCGTCTCATCTCATGACGTACCTACACGTTGCATTCGCGTTGCCTCATTTCGTGCCTCTGCATTGATTGCTTTATTTCTTGCATTCGCTTGTCTGGCTGCACAAATCCTTCGCTGGTGTATCTCCTGCTCGCTGGAACGTCTGCGCCCAAAATAATGGTCCCCCGCTTGGGACACGCGGATCGCCAGCAACTTCAGAGCGGCTGAGCCTATGCTCTTGCTATATCACTTGAATTAATTGTTTTTGTGGCTCTTGGAGATTACCCTAGTGTTCATTCGAAAACGCACCTGTCATCCCAAGCCTCACAATCAGCAAACTTGGCCATCTGCTCGCTCGCGTGACAACAACAAACACCTTCACTATATATCCGATTCTCCACGATCGACTGCCGTCACAATGTCCGCTCCACCCTCTCCCAAACCGTCATTCGAGTCAGAGGAACTCCCAGTGTCCAGCAGCAGCACGACACAGGCGACAGAGGCTGCGTCGAACGAGAGGTCCAGAGCCCACAGCCCGCGTCGACGATCCATTCAGTTCAGTGTTGGAGATACAGAATCTCAATTGCCGACTCGTTCAATGAGTTTCAAGGACAAGCGACGCTCTTACGGCGAGTCACCAACCAAGGAAGACCCAGCGGACAAGGACAGCAAATCTCTCGCTGCCAACAGGGGGCCATCGCCACCTCCGCCGAAGTATGTTTTAAACCCACAACGACACATTTTAAAATACTGACTGCAGCAGGACTTACGAGCGAGGCGTTTCCTTTGATACGTTCGATAATCGGGACGCGACCGACTTCTCGCTGACGCTGAATTACAAACACAAGGGCTATCAAAGTACCCGGCGCAGCAGGACATTCCTGTGTGGGACTGACCAGAACGATTACTCTGAATTCGCGCTTGAATGGCTGATCGACGAGTTGGTGGATGACGGAGACGAGATTGTCTGTCTTCGTGCGGTGGAGAAGGATTCGCGCATGGCTAGCGATGCCGGCATTGAAGAGCGCAAGTATCGCAAGGAGGCCGAGAGGCTGTTCGAGCAAGTCATCCAGAAAAATAGCCAAGATGAGAAGGCCATCAGTTTGGTTTTGGAATTGGCTGTCGGCAAGGTTGAGGATATCATCCAGCGCATGGTAAGTTTCAACCGGTGCCTTGCCGGTGTGATTGTTCTAACACAACTCCAGATTCGTATATACGAACCTGTCCTACTCGTTGTCGGCACGCGTGGCCGAAATCTAAAAGGCGTGCACAGCCTTCTCCCCGGCTCCGTCTCGAAATACTGTCTCCAGCAATCCCCTATCCCCGTGATTGTCGTACGCCCATCCCCCAAACGCGAGAAGAAGAAGAAGAAGCGTCGCGCAGATCCAACCCGTCGAAGCTACAACCACATCCTGGAATTGAGCTCGCGGCGCGGCAGCCGCATCTTCGACGCCAGTTCCAGCACAGAGAGCAGCACCTCCAAACTACCCGACGAAGAAGCCGCTGTTGCCGAGGCGCTCGGTCTTCCGGCCTCATATGCAAACTCCCGCACGTCGCTGTCCGACCGCAGCAGTCTCAGCCATGAGGATGCAGAGGCTGTCTTCCCGCCTCCGAATTCCCTCGATGACCGCCTCATGAAGAGTCCGTTGAGCGGGAGCCCGGCCACCTCGGAAGAGAGTATTAGTATCAGTGAAGACACGCAGAGACCTCACTCGCCTGACAACCCGTCTGGAGAGCCTCCTTCTTATTCTCCTCCGCCCATTGTCGACCACGACTCTTCCGATAATGCTCAGCCATCATCGTCCGAGATTATTACGATCCAAACTGACGTCGACGAGTCCGACCCGAAGAAGAAGAACCGTCTTTCCATTCCCACAATCGAAGTCTCCAATGACAATGACGACGAGAAGAAAGAGCCCGACGAGCGCTGATATCCATGTCCATGTCCTTGTCCATTCCATCTTGCCTGCCTTTTGTGCTGATGCGTTAGTTACTTGCCAGCAAGCAAGCAAGCATTATTTCCATGTTCATACCTACCCCGATTATACCTTTCCTGTTTGTTTTCCGCCTCCTTCATGGACTTTTCCTGAACTCCCCGACCTGCATTGTCTTCCTAAGATCATTTTTTTATTCCTTCCCTTTCCTTGTCTGATACCACATCTTGCATACATGGGTTTCTTGCGTCCAGGCTGCCATGCTGTGGATATTTGTATAGGATATGCATACCTAGGATTATCATGAATAGCATGCCCTTTTTTAACTCATTTTACTGCATGTCCATTGCTTTTTTGTTTGTTTGTTGGTGTATTGGTTATGCTTAGCATCTATTTTATTCTAATATTAGAGCCCGTTTCAGGAATTGGTACACTCTCCTTGTGCCTACAAGGATATATATGTAGTTGCGGTAGCCTGTATGATGTATATCGCCGAATTGACAGAAAAAAGTGTTTCCTAGGATAGATAAAAAAAATTGTTGCAAGCGACGCGATTCGAACGCGCGAAGTTTCCCACTGCGGACGTTATCAGAGATAACCTAAACACAGCGCCTTAACCACTCGGCCACACTTGCGTCAATTACGCTGTATTTTTGCTATTTTCAAATCTTACTTTGCTTTAAAATCTCTGACGACAGCGGTAATTGCACACCCCATTCATTGGACAAATGTAGTGTGGTCTGCGTCTTTGTAGCGTTTCATTTACTCATCTCTGTGTTAAGAGTGCTTCCCAGTATCCTTGAGTTGATTTTTTTACGAATTTGGACAGTAGAGGTAGACTTTGGGTGCGATTTAGTATATTTCTAAGGCTGATCGCTGGCCGTTGAAGCCTAGGTGCCAGCGAGGAATTTATGTATAGATTCTTTACCCCGTTCGCCCATGTGTTTGTGCATGATGAGAAACCACCAACTACTAGCAGCTATTAGTAGATAGTAGAGGTTTTATTATTTTTATTATTATTAGGAATTACCACTTTTCGCCTCACCTGGCCACCTGGCGAGCGTATAACTTGATGGATATCTACCTGAAATCAGAAAGCCGAATCTAATCTTGATAAAATGCAGGCCTGGTTCATATCTACCTTCCTTATCATGCTATGCACAGTCCAATCAACCATAACATTCTTCTCTCTTTTCTTCGTTGTCGATCTCGCCATCCCCCTAATTGCACTTGCGTACTTTTACCCGGATGGACAAGAACTGCCTAATGGGGGTCTTATGGAAGCAGGCGGGGAAGAAGGTATATAGAAAGTGAATCACATACTTCGCAGAGCCAATCGATTAAAATACACAGAGATAAAAACAGTCAAGAAAGGGGAATTTATGGGATTGGGACTCCGGGTATTGAGAAGACACGATCAAGAAGAGAAAAAGGGGAAGGGGGAAGGGAAAAAAGAGAAGCATAATATGCAAGAGCCATATGACCAACCAGCGCGAAGTCTCAATCATCCATCTGTCTGTCCGTCACTGACTCACTCGCTCGCCCATCACCAATGCTTTTGAGCCATTTTTCATCGTCCACTCAGTCTCTCCCCCTTCGTGTTCTTCTTGCTGCCCATCCGCCCACTGACACTAAGATTCAGTCTGCCGGGTCGTTTGATCTGGTCTGATCGGCTCCTACTGACAGCAACAGCGCCAGCTAACTACTCCGTTCCAAGTCACGGCACCCTCTCCTGGTCAGTCCGTCCATCATACTCTCTGTTCACTATTCTTCCAGCCACACAGGAAATGGAAAGAAGCAAAGTAAAGTAATGAAGTGAAGTGAAAAAAAGATGTGAAAATTGTACACTATGAATCGAGTCGAAAAGATAATAAAAAGGGGGAATGGATGGAGGGAGCGAGGGACAATAGAAGAGGTCCTGAGCCCCAGTGAACCGAGTCCCAGTGAACCGACCAGTCGGAGATGCAAGGCGAGGCGAGGAGAATGACAACGACGACAGATTAAAACATTCGCATTTGGGTGTGAGCTCGTGTGGGAGCAAGATATAAAGATGAATGATCAAAGCACAGAAAAAGAATCTTTTGTTGAAGGGATAACCAAAAAAGAACAATAAAAAAAAAGCGTTGATCATTACTCCGAGGGAATCTATGCTGTGTTCTCGCCATCCTTGGAGGGCGTTTTGGAGGGTCTGCGCTCGGCCGCTGCTGCTGCCGCTGCCCCTGCGGCGGGCTGCGACTTGGTAAGGTTCGGGGACGTGGGGTTTGACGGGGGCGAGGTCGCCATGTTGTCCTTGTCTTCTAGAGCCGCGAGTGCGCTAGACAGAGGTTACATTAGTATGAGAGTCTCGTACATACCCGGAACAGAGGGAGGGGATGAAGGTATGTATGCATACCTGAAAGCGTTCATCGACGAAGCGGCCTCTTTGTCCTCCTTCTTTCCGGCAGGAGGTGTGCCAGTGCGGCTGCTAGCAGCACTGTCATCACTGCCCCGGACCAGGTTTCCACCCGGTCCCAGAGTCTTGCGACCACTGCTGCTGCGCGAGCCGAGAAGGCTGGACGGGCCGAACGATGGAGGTTGGTTAGTGTTGCGAGTTGCGCGCAAACGGCGGAGGTCGTCGCTGCCGACCTTGCTCGAAGCGTAGTCTGGCGGAGGAGCCTGGTTGCCGTAGCCACCGAAGCCGCGAGCATCGCCACGACCCATGGCCGCTCGGCCGCCGCCACCGCCGCGGTTGGCCTGCTGACGCGCGCGCTCCATCTCGGCCGCTTGCTGGGCGAGAGCAGCCTGAAATGTGATGTTAATGGCTGGGATAAACAAGACAAGATAGTGAGTAGTGGAAACTTACCTCTTCACGAATTTGTTGGATAGTCTTAGGACCCTTGTCGGAATCCTTGGAGACCCAGCGGTGGTTCCGCAGGTCGACGATATCCTAAACACAACATTGTTAGCTCTGCAAATTGACTGTAGATTGAGACCAAGTAGGGAGGACATACCATCAACATGAATCTCAGACGGCTGGGTAGGTTTGGAGTGTCGATCATGAGGACGATACGAGCGAAGTAGGCATCCATCATGGCAGGTCCCTTCTCCGAACTATCCAAGCTGGCACCGATGGTGCGCAGGAGACTAGTCAAGCTCTCGACCTCCGCCTCGTCGGGGATACCCTCGTAGTCGACCAGCTTCTTGACACACTCGTGCATGATACGCTCAGTAAGCATGCCCAATTTGTACAGCTCACCAATGAACTTGACGAGACCAAGACCACGACGCTTGGCAGCCGCAGCTATGTAGTACTCGTCGGACATCATGGCAATCTCTTCCGTCGTGCCCTCGGGCTGTGGGGGCAGGTTGAGTTTCCAGCCACGCTCGAATTCTTCCTGGCAGCGGTTGAGCAGGTATTTGCGGAACAGACTACCGCCCGCAACGACCTGACCATTCTTGTCACGGATGTTCTCGTCCTTGATCTCGGCGCTCATGTGCTCGAGCATGCGCTTGCAGAACTTGGCGTACATGGGCGCCCAGTGAGCCTCATCGGTGGCCTTCTCGAAGGTGAGTTGAATGACCTGGCGCAGGGTACGGCCGTCCGACTCATCCTTGGACTGGGAAACAATTTCCAATATCTGGTCGGCAATGCGGTCGAACTTCTCGGGAGTCATCTTGTTGAGAGCAGCCTTGACCTTGCGCTGCACCACATCAGGAGGCATGTGACCCTCTTCACCAAGAGCTGGACCAGCTGCCGACTGACCGATACTGCGAGGCTTCCAACCAGTGCTACTTGGTACAAGAGCCTTGAGATCCATACCAGCGGTGAGAGGCATGGACTTGTTGGAGTCCTCTTCCTTCTTAGCAGAGTGCTTGTCACGCTTACTGCCCGTGCGTGGGCCACCACGGCCGCTAGCAACACGACCCGGCATCCCAGTAGAGCTGTTGCGGCTCATAGCAGGAGAACCCATGCTGCCCATACCAGGGCGGGGGATAGCACCGAAGGGGGCGCGGCCCATCGAGGCGTTGAAGCGCTGGTCCGAGGTGGTTCCGGGAGGCAGGGCGCCACGAGCAGGCTGGCCAAAGTTGCCCATGAAGCCAGTAGGGCCCATACCGCCACGCGAGGCGGTGCGGCCGCCCATGCTGGGAGTCCGAGCAGACTGTGGTCGCGACGAAGACTCTGCGTCACCAACGGTCTCCCGAACGCGAAGATCCCAATCCACCAAAGGCTTATCCTTGTACGCAGTCTGGAATTGGAGCAGGAAGTCTCTATCGTAGTGGAACCGGCGGCCAGCAGGCGCGCTGGTGTTGAGAGCTGCGTTGGGCGGAGTGATCGAAGAAGGATACGTGACCTTACTAAGATCCTCGAGGAACTTGGCATTGCGTAGAGCATTCATGGCCGCGCTGGGCTTCTCGGGCTCGGTCTTTGTCTCGAGCTTGAGCGGGCCGGGCTTGCCCTTGGCGGCAGCACTGGCGGGTTTCGCGGGCGGGCCCATGGACGACATATCAGATGAAACTGGAGTGGCAGTACCACTGTCTCCAGGCGTAGAGGTCTCGGTAGCGGCGAGTCCACCCTTTTGAGGGAGGCAAAGAGGTCCTCACGCTCCTTGCGACTGGACTCGTCCTCGACATCACCACCCTTGGCGCGAGCGGCCTCACGGGCAAGCTCACGCTCTTCGGCCTCACGCTCAGCGGCCTTCATGTTGGTCTCGTAGGCCTCGCGCTCCTCACGCTCCTTGCGTTCGCGCTCTTCCTTCTGGGCGGCCTTCTTGCGGTTATAATCTTCTTCGGCCTCGCGTTCCTTGCGCTCGACTTCTTCCAACTCGCGCTCAATGGCGTCGTAGTCGATCTCGTCATCATCAGCAGGGGCAGGGGCAGGAGCAGGGGCAGGAGCAGGGGCAGGAGCAGGGGCAGGCGCAGACGCAGGCGCAGGAGCAGGCGCCACCTTCGGTTCCTCGGCAGGAGCAGCCTTCTCCTTCAAGCTGAGATCCTCCACGGCAGCACGAACGGACTCGGTCTCATCAACCTTCGCCTTGGCGGGTTCAGTCGATTCCTTGCCAGCAGCCTCGGCGGCACGCTTCTCGTCTGCCAGGATCTTTTGACGAACGGCATCCTTGAGCTCCTGCTTCTTCTCCTCGTCAGTCTTGGCGCTGTTTGCCTTGCTCTCGGAGCGCACGTGGCCCGTGGCGCTGGCTGTGCGTGGTGGAGGAGTGGACGTGGGTGTGGAAATCTTGATAGGGGAAGGAGTCGCGCGAGCCGGAGAGGCGGGAGCCTTCTCAAATGTCTTCACGGCACCACTACCGGGGTCTTTGATGACGATAGCGGCGCTCTTCTTGGCGGAAGGAATGACGAAGTTCGGCTTCGCAGGAGCCGGGCTGTTAGACGATCTGCTCGCAGTGTGAGCATGACCGGGCGCAGGAGGACCAGCGGGTCCTTGGCCCTGGCCAAGACTCGATCCTGGACGGTCAGTAGACACTTGGGATGGGGTACGCGAGAGCGGAGTCGACTGCGGCGGCGGCTGGAACTGGCCCTGCATATAAGCACCCTGGGCGTTGTAGGGCATGCCGGGACGGGGCTGAGGGGACGGCGGGGTCATGTACTGCATCTGCTGCATGCCATATCCCGGGTTGTAATAGCCGTAGTTGGGATCGTAAGCCTGGGGGTATCCCTGATTGGTTTTCATTATTGTCAGATAACGTTCAAATTGGCCGCTCTCAGGCGCAAGATCCGGGAAGGGGAGGTTCTGGTGGAACAAGGCCGCCCGAGGGGCTTTGTTCCTTTGGAAATTGCCACGCCGGGCGGGTTTCAGGGTATGACGGAAAGAGGGTGGGTTTCTCACAGTTTGGGGACCCATGTGTTGGCCGTAGCCACCGTATGGCTGCGGAGGCATCTGGGGGTGGGCCATGGGGACCTGGTTCATCTGGGGAGTCGTTGGGTGGGCGTTGGCCAGTGCTGGGCTGCGGTTCGCTTGATGCGGCGAGTTCGGGAAGGGAGCCAGCGGACGACCCTGATTAGGGCCGTGAAACTGAGGGCCCATATTCGGTCCGCCTCGGGGCTGGTTGGGCGTTTGCCGGAAATTCGGACCGGGCGAGTATGGCATCTGGCCCTGGTAGCCAGACTGGGAGTATCCGCGACCGCGGCCACCCTGGTGAGGGTAGCCACCGCGTCCAGGTCCACTGCCCATGTGGTTGCTCATATCGCTGTGGGTGGACTGGGACGATTCGCGACGCAAGTGTTGAGGACCGGGTCCGAGAGGTGCCTGCGGAGTCGGACGCATCTACGTGTGAGTGGCACGTTAAAAAAATCTGTGGAGACTTGGCAGATCGCGCGCGGTCGCGTTCGCAACGCTTCACACATCGCGCACCAAGCGCCATCAGAAAGGGGAGGAAAACAAAAAGAACTTACGTTGGCATCCCCAGCATCCCCAAAGCTGCCAAAGTTTGGCACGTTGCCCTGGCCCTGGTAGGTCGATGGTGGAGGACGGCCACCGCTGGACGCAGGCTGTGGGATGGGGGAGGGAGAGGTCTGCGGCGAGGTAACACGCGGGTTCATCGACGGGGCAACCCCCAAGCCGGTCTGCGACTGGTTTGCGGCGAGCACAGCGGGATTGCCCATGTTGGGCGAGCTCTGTTGGTTGGCGAAACCGAACTGCAGGCTATTCGGACGGCTAGCGGGTCCTCCGTTGGGCATGTAACCCGATGTGCCGGCGGACGTGATGGTCACAGACGGTTTGCGCGAGTGGTCAGCAGCAGGCGCCGTCGGGGCACCATTGACAATGGTGACGCCCGGCGACGCGGTCTGCTGCTGGGACTGTTGGTTTTGCATGGGGTTGCCGCTCACAGGAGATACGGAGGTCGACTTCCCATGTTGCGCCGAGCCGCCCACGGTGACGGGAGCGGCGGTCGAGTCCGTCGCGGACTTCTTCGTGGCGTTGGCGTAGGACCTAGGCGGCGCCGGGGCAGTCGCAGCCAGGGGGGACGGGGAGGAAGCGACGGGCTGAGTTGAGGCGGCGGCGGCGTTAGCAGCGGTGCTCTGTCCTTGTTGGCCCGACTGCGAAGGGATCGAGCTCATTAGACAGGTGGTGTCCACGGCAGACGCGCAGAGGCAGATCGGATTTTCGAGAGAGTGACGGTGATGTCAAGGCGTGGAGGAGGCTCGACTAAGGCCACATCCAATCCTGAATCTGCCGGTAAGGGAGAAAAAAAGGGTCAGAAGGAGAGGAGAGAAGAAAACCCGAGGAGAAAGACCGGCGACGCAAGAAGAAGCGTGTGGTCCCAGGGTTGATGGTGAGTTTTGGGATGTTGGGTTGGGGATGGTTTGGAGTGTGGGAGGAGGAAAAAAATCCACGCGGAGGAAAAAAGTTGTTTCGGGAGGGAAAAAAATTGTGGAGGAAAGGAAAGGGACAAGCGCGTCAGGATCGCAACAACAACTTACCAGGGAAGAAAAGCGACCACGGACAATAAAATGGTCGACAGGATGTGGGAAGGGAGAAGAAAGAAAGGAAGGGAAAAAAAAGAGAGAGGGAGTTGAAGGCGCACAGGCTGAGGCTGTTGTTGTGTGGCCGCCACCAATGACATGATGTCGATGTTTGTAGCCACTGGAGTCATCGCCTATGCTCGAATCTACGGACTACGTGGATGATTACGGACTCGTGCTCGATCTCAGTCCATCGAGAACAATACTTGCGCTCACGAACAACAAAGACCCTGCGTCCGACTCCCGTTCGGCCATGGGCCTCGCCACCCGAGCGAAAGGACCATGACGACTATCCCTTTTTGGTCCCACTACGACTAGTACCATCACAGGGATACATAATTACACCCCTGTTGTCTTGCCCTCGTCGCCCGTAGAGAAATAAAGCCATCGTGAATTAATAGTAGTAGCATTCCGGTGATCGACTGCCGTGCATGCAGCCGCCGCGCATTGACATACATTTATTTCCGCGTCGTATTTTTCTTTTTTCTTGTTTTGGGAATTCTCGGTCAGCAACAGGAGTGAACAAGCCTCTCTAATTTTTCTACCCCCCTCCCCATTCAATAGCGATCAAAACCAGACGTTCGCGCCCGGGAGATCTCATCCACGGCTCGCGCCGCAAACTCCGCGCCCGACGAGCCCGACGAGTCGTGGTCGTTGCCGCCGAACCAGCCGGAGGTCCATCGGCCACCAGAGGCGCGCTTGGAGCTGGCAGATCGACTGCCAAGATCGTCATCGTCGACCACATCAAACGAGAGGTCGCTGCGATTCTTGTGTAACGGCGCTCCATAGGCCAAATCGTCTGTTTCGGGATCCTCGCCGAGGGTCTGCTCCTCCCTCGCCAGGGTCGAGCGCAGAAAATCCAGCGTCTCCCGCTGGGCGGATATATACTGCGCCTTCTCGGTGCGCGACATGGTCTCCATCTTCTGCTGCAGCAGGGTGCCGCTGGCGGACAGCTCCTCGGCGCGTGCTTCGCGCGACTTGCCCGGGGACGTGACCGAGCCGATGGCGGAACTGAGGGCCGAGTACCAATCATTGGCCGGGGCGGCGGATGAGACCGCCGCGCTGGGGAGGTTGAACCGCGACAGCAGCGACTGCGCGTAGCCCGCTGGACCCGTGGGTGGCGGTGTCACGGGACGCTGTGGGGGAAGACGCAGCACTCTCTCCCGGATCATTTCGACCAGCATCGAGAAGTACTGCAGGCCCAGGGTTTTGGCGCGTTCATGGGTGCGTCCGATCAGCTCTTCGATCTCGTGTTCGTGATGTGCGAGAAAGGGATCCACGTAGTCCTGGTAGAGCAGGCGCGCCCCTTGCGTCTGGGGAAGGACCAGATAGGACAGGAAAAAGAGACGAATCCAGCTGTAAAACGGGAACCTGATGGAGCTTGTGAGCGTGTGTTCCACGTTGGGTCAGAGCAGCGGCAGTCGTACCATCCGATAATAAACACCGTCCACGATTCTGCCAGCAGGATCACGGACAGCACCACCCAATACATCAACCATGGAGCGAGTTGGGAGGGGTCGGACGAGCGCAGGGCCTTGTAGGACGCGAAGACGGGGAAGAGGATGGTAATCACGGAGCTGCAGAACAGGTTACCGTGAGCTTTCTTGCCAGGAGAGGTGTTCGGGGATCACTTACGACATCAAGTCCGCAAAGATGCCGAACATGCTGATGGTGAGGGTTGGTTTGTCGATCCGATGTGGGGAAGCTTCAAATCGGCGATAGTAAAAGACTACCACCAGGGGGCTGTGTAGCGGGAGCTACTACTGATCAAAGAGAAGAGCTGGTGAGTGGTCGTGCTGAGTGTTTTGGACCAGTTGCCGTGGCTATTCGAATAATGGTGGTGTTCACCCCGCGTTGGCTCTGAGGGGAGAAGCAGCAAGGGATTCGAGTGTGGGGGAGTGCAGAGAAGCTCCAGGCAGCAAAGACAAGAGCGGCCGGCCGCTGGACGGGGAAAGGGCGAGATGAGAGTGTGGAGAGGAAGATAAGATGTTCGGCCCATACTCATTCTCTCGTCGCAGCTCTCGTGACTGACCGCTTTGTCTTGACGTCACGGGAGTCTATTATTTAACTAGTGACCATGTTTGGTGGTTCGCGATCGGTCGAGGCCGACCTGACCACCGACTGACTGTGTTCCCCGATTCCTTTCGTTCGCTTCATCTCTTCTCTCCAACTCCCCACGAGACACCTGCAATAATGTGCATCGCATTAATCTCAACCGCCCACCCATCCTACTCCCTAATAATCATCAACAACCGAGATGTGAGTCCTTGCTTCCCTCACGACAGTCAGTAGTACATACCCAACTCCTAACCTCCGACCACTCAGGAATTCCTCCACCGGCCAACCTCAGCTCCAGACTGGTGGCCAGCACCAAACACACACGTCCTCGGCTCACGCGACCTCGCGCGCGCCACGCAAGGCACCTGGATGGGGATCACAACGCACGGCAAAGTCGCCGTGCTAACAAACTACCGCGAGCAAACCTCCAGTGAAGCCATCGGGACACACAGCCGTGGCCGGATCGTCAACAGCTGGCTGACAACACCGCCGGGCGAGCGGCAGACCACCCACGACTTCGTGCAGAGCGTCTTTGCCAGTCCCGAGGCGAAGCAGGTGGGCGGGTTCAGTCTTGTCTGTGGGTATATCAATGAACCGCTGGCTATTGTCTCGAACCGCTCGGAAGATATGGATCATATTACCTGGGTGGCGAGGGAGAAGAACACGACGCGTGGATTGAGTAATACCAGCATGGATGATCGGTCGTGGCCGAAGATTGTTGATGGCGAGAGATATATGGAGCAGGCTATTGCGGAGCATGTGGATAAGGGGGAGGATGAGGAGCAGCTAATAACCCGGCTCCTGGATGTCCTCAGCATCGACACTCTACCCCGTCTAACCAAACTGGAAGACGCCAGCGTCGACACATATATCAACCACCTCCGAAAAAGCATCTTCATCCCCGTGATCGGCGCCCACAGTGCGCATGAACAAGCCGCTGGGGAAGTTGACGCCACGTTCGTCGGGGACGAGTCCAAGAACCCTGCTGCTGCGCAGGCGAATGGGACGAATTACTCGACTGGTGTGTATGGCACACAGAAGCAGACGATTCTCCTGGCCCAGCCGAATGGTCGGGTGCGGTACTTCGAGCGCACGCTCTACGGGAACGAGGCCAAGGCCGTGCCTAGGGGAGAGGGTGATCGGTCCTTTGAACTTACTCTTGCGCGGTGACTATCCGTTTCGCGGCTGTAATTTGACATTGACGGCGCTATGATATGAGATGATGACCTGAACGGAACTGAGCTGCCTTTTTGCATGGATGATGGATGCATTGGATGGGTGTTGGAGAGGCTTTGGAGGTTTGGGATTGTTATACTTGAGAGCTACGTAGCTATGTATATAGTTTCTTCATCAGCCAATGAGTCTCGAGGGAGGTTTTGAGATCCTGACTGTTGCACAAAGTCAAGAAAGGGCCGTATGGTGGTTTACCGTTCGTTGAGCGATGTGGAGCTGGATGGGGTCCCATGTTAAGTAGCCATTATATATAACTGTACCAGAGCACACATTTCACAAATGATAAGACCCAGGTTTCAAAGCAGGAGGAAGGACCTTGAGATGTTTTGGAAAATAGGTAGGTGAACATCATACCTCGTGAATTATATATATCCAGATGTAGGCTACTTCTTTCCATTATACCATAATAGGGAGCTCATTGCGGTCTGCGTCGCGCTGAACGACTACTCCGAGCCTCGCTAAGGGCCCGTTCAGTCCTCAGTTCCTTCGGCGTTTTGTGTCATGGGTCTCTCTAGCCCACCGTTCTTTTGTTTCTTTTCTCCGATTTGGCACAACAAGATTAAGTCCGAGACCAGTTCCATCGCGTATATGAAAGCCTTGTCACATTGGTAATGTATAACCAACGAGGCTGAAAATACCTTAGCATGAATCATCCATACCAAAAAGGACACACCGGTTAGGAAATCGAGCTCATCCGAAGTTGGAAACCTCATCGTTCCTCGCGGCCAGAGAGCGCACCTATAGCTCAGGCTTAGCCGTCTCCCCCAGAAGCAGTTAGGGCCGCTGATCATCTTAGCCCACCACGACATGAGGCTGATAGGCGTCGAGTAACTAAAATAAATTTAGACGAGGCTAAGACATGGGGGCTTGCGGATACATTCAATATCTCATATTCATTATGATCATGACTCGTAAGAGGCTTAGGAAGAGGCTTAAGTTTACGCCTGGCAAGTTCTTCTTGGCCGATCAGATTACCTAAATAGGATGTTAATCCAATTAGGATCGCCTAGAGATGGGTGGCCCTAATCCTAAGCCACCCGAAGTAAGACACTTGAGGTCCGATGGCTCCTTGGGGGCCAAAGCCGTTTTATAGACAAGACAAGACGTCAACATCTAGAAAATTAGATATAAAAACCGACGTCGAGTCTTCCAGTTTCTTAGTTGTTCAACTCATCAAAATAGCGACAGCAAGCATCAAAAAATTCACTATTATCCTCTTTTACAAACTGCCAGTCCAACTTGAAAGAACCGCCTGTCCTTCATCGATCAATCTGCACCACTTGCAAAGGAAACCACCGAAATGTTGAACAATATGCTCCGTACTCTTGCCACCTCTGGCATTGTCTTCTCTTCTATTGCGGCAGCTTGTCAATTAACCAATGGAAATTACTTCACCGGAGTTGAGACTGACACCAACCTCTGCATGGGCCAGGGCGAAGGCCAGTGGACCTTCGGTATGTCTGTGAGCTTATCCGACGTTCCCGCTCCTGGCGGAACACCAGACGTGGGCGCAGGATCATCCACGACGTTCTATATTTTCGACAATGCCTGTAATATCATGAGCACTTATACCCCCGGGTCCTGCGGTGTTCCCTGGATCATCGAAGAGAACTTCCTGGCCGATGTCCTGACAATCACAAGAGTGGAAATGGACGTGGGTCAACCCTACTTCAGCTTCAATTACGGGAATGGAGTATACTCGATCAACAACAACCATTGCGTTTGCAACAGCGACGACGATGGCCTCACAGCAGGCCAGGGCTGCCGCTGCGCATTCCCCGTTGACGGTTACTTCACTGGCTAGATATCTATTTCATTCGAGACACAAGTTGCCGGTTGATCACGTTGGGAAGCAGAGGGGTCAGAAAATGAAACTCTTTGTGTTCCTGAAACAGACAACAGCCTGGTCCACGACTGGTTCGAAACTTGAGTACTTCTCGTGTTTTCTCACCGGTTTTATCTTCGTCTTACAAATTTTGTTCTTTGTTTTTTGGCTAAGGAGTGTATGAGAGGGTACTGAAAGAATAAATGCAGAGATCACAACCAGTCTTTTGCCTAGGAGCTCTGCGGATGCGAGATAGAGCGAGACGTGATGGGACGGGTCAGATATATGTTTCGCGCCTCCTGTATTTAGTCCTCCACGGCTTCAGAAAATTGCCTTCAAATCCTTGGCTATTTGCTCACTTTACATATCTTGCACAATAGAGTGTGCACTATTAAGACGTATTCGTGCAAAGTGTAGCAATTGTACCTCGGCGCATTACGACCATCGGCCTTGACGTCTTTCAAGCCACTTCTCTCAAGTAGCTTTCGGAGCTCGGGAATTCAGTTTGGTATATGTCTTGAGTCTGCAGATCGGGTGATCTGCACTATAGCCTCTTGGCATGCCTACTTGAATAGACCACCACCACCGTTTCTAACGCTCTAGGAGGTAAAACCCGCTATCCTAATATTGCCCGCGTCCAAAATCTTTGCCATAAAGTATATAACTAATCGACCCACCTGTCAGTGGACTGAATCGGGAGGGCGATCCTTAGGTTGTGGTGGAGATAGTAGGTGAGGTTACCACTCAACGGTTACATAGTCATGATTTACAGATAAGAGGTGGAATGCAAAGGTATCATAGTATTTCTCGAGATGACAACTGGTCAAGCCACGCGACTAGGTAAAAACACCTTGCCCTAGCCCGCCCTAGCCGACGCGAATCCACTAACAGATGAAAAGTGAAAGGAAAGAAAGTATAGAGATATGGCCACAAAAGTGAAATTTAACGTTCGTGATGGTCGAGCGGCGCGTCCATTGATACACAGGGCTATACAATTTAAAGGACCTTTGAATAAGACACGATCCAAGAGCAAAATTACATTAAAGACATAAAGACAGTCCATTCCAAAAAAGCATCAAAGACTAGGGCGGAGGGTCCATTCAAGCACTATCCGCCTCATGCAGGCGCACGGTCACCAGATCCGCCGGAGCCATAGTCAGTGTCATGGCGCCGCGGATCTTGCGATCGGGATAAACATCCTCAATCTTATCGAAGCGCTGCAACAGACGCACAATCACGTATCCCGCCTCGGTCAGCGCAAACTGCTGTCCGATACAGATACGCGGCCCGCCGTTGAACGGGAGATACTCCCACCCAACCTTCCGATCCATCCAGCGCTCGGGCTTGAACTCGTCCGCGTCGGGACCCCAGAGATCCTGTCGGCGGTGCATGATGAAGGTGCTGTAGGCGACGTTCTGGCCCTTGCGGACGAAAATGGGAGACAGGCCGTCTGGACCGCCGCCGCGCGGGAGCGTCGTGTCGCGGGATGCGGTGCGGCGGTTGAACGGGACGACGGGGTAGAGGCGCAGGACCTCGTTCATGCAGTGTTGCAGATATTGGCAGGATTTGAGGCTGGCGAAGGTGATATTGCGTGGAGCGGCGTAGGTGCCGAATTCATTGATGATTGTCTCGCGCAGTTTGTGGAAGACGGCTGGGTGGCGCGTGAGCATTTGGATCGTCCAGCTTAGGAGCGAGGCCGTGGTATCGCGGCCTGCGAGTAGGATGTTGAGGAGTTGGGAGCGCAGCTCGACTGGGTCATGGGTTGAAGCGACTAGCGCATCGAGGAAGACATAGCTAGCAGGCTTTTCTTCGTCTAGGGGCTTCTTCTCGCCCTGCTGAACGGCATCTAGTGCGTTCTTGACGAATTTGTCTACAAACGCGCGTACTTGCGCGTCTGAGTGCCGGGTCTCCTTGTTGTCCACTACCCAGGCGAATTTCTCGAATCGGGCTCGTTGCGCAGCAACCCACTGGGAGCGGTCGAAGAAGGAGGCGAATTTGTCTTCCGGCCGATTCAGGCCCTGGATTGCACCGATCTGGCTCTCTACACTTTCGCCGAACAGGAACTCCGTCGCTGAGTCGATGGTCAAGCGGAAAAAGATCGACTGGATATCGGTAGGGGCAGTCCAGCCATTCGCCGCCACGGGTAGTGCCTGCATCGCCTTTTGCACATGTTCTTCCTCCAGATCTAGCTGGCTGATCTGCTCGCGGGTGAACTGGGGGCGGAGCAGTGAGCGGGATCGCGACCACTCTTCTCCGTCTGCCGTAAACTATGATTGTCGTGTTAGCCACACCACCTTTCATGGTCAACGAACAATCAAAACTTACGATTCCCGTACCCAACAACGGGTGAAGGCTGGTATGCCTGGCGGCCCCGAGCCCAAAATCCTTAAACTGCGTGGCCAGCAAAGCCTGGATATTCTTGGGATCGACCGTAAACAGGTTATCGCGGCCGAGGTTGCGGAGTAGAAAGGTCGAGACATAGCGGTTCTCGAGGTTGCTCATCAGCTCCATGCGCTTCGTAGCCAGCTCGGGGATGGCATGTTCGCGGTCGGCGGCCAGCGACTGCCGGAGATTGCTGATTCCCAGCGGGTCCTGAGGGTATCTGGGCACGGCGCCACAACCCAGGCTCTTAGCCTGGCGCGACCGCTGCCACGAGGTGAAGAGCAGGCGGATGACGTGCAGCGCGAGCGCCGCGGCGGCAAAGCTTAGCAGGAATGAGGGTGTCATGGCTGCAGGCTGCAGATAGGGGGTGCCGGGTTAGCAGATAAGCGAGTGTTTGCTTGTAGTCACAATAATCAAGCATTCAAGCAGTTCAGCTCCTTATAAGTCCACTGGGCAAAGCGAGCAGGCCGCTAGGTTGTATCTGTTGACTAGGCCTGATAGAGGCTCGTCGCCGGGGCCAATCACATGGCCGATCGGGTTTCGGGGCAACCCTATGCGTCGGCGACGCCGGATGTGTGGAGTGGGGGGGCCCGGACGCTTCTTGGCCTACTCACTGAACAATTCGATCGCTGCGGTATGATGCCCTCTTTGGATGAAGAAAATAATTTATCCCTTCAATGGATGTATTGTTATGCATTTACGGAGCTTAGCTTATGCTCCATGGGCCTGACGTTGCAGAATTCTTTGTCCCACCGGTGAAAGCGGGAGGATACCCGATACATGAGTGGGATCGGCACGGCTAAGCCGAGGCTTTTTCCTGAGGACATCTTCGATAACCTACATATCGCCCAACTTTGAAAATCTGACTGTTCTCCGTCAGCCGCATATACTATTCCAAGAGCTCAGCCTGAGTCGATCATACGTTTGGCTGGTCCCGCGACCGTTTGTCGGGGGAATTCATCTCTGGACCCAGATCATTCGGTAATATGGACCATGTACCCGCTGGATCCTTTGGTTGATCCATCATTCTTTCCCTTCCTAACATATATATACCGTATGCAGAACTGGATATAGAAATATAATCAACTGCTCAAGCTTCTGTACACAGGGACCACAGTTCCACAGACCACCATGATACAAGACAGGCAAAAACTAAGCCGAGGCTAGAGGATCGTGGATTTATGGATTAGTGATCACGACAACTCAAGACGTGGACAGCGAACATGCTCCCAGTTCTTCTACATATCACTGAAAATGAACTCCCCTGTACCCCCAAAACCAGATCCACGCCCCGATGAGTGGTATACGTTCTTGTCATCAAGATCCTACCTCGAAATGGCCGGGGAAGCCCGCCAGGAGCGCGAAGACGACGTGTTGCAGAGGATGTCCACATCACCACCAGAGGAGCCGAGTCTGAAGAATGAAGCACAGCCGGGGCGCGCACTTCGGCCACGCCGAAAGCTCTCATCTCAAAAAGAAGCAGGGATCGAGCAAATGCCAGAGAGAAAGGGTCCGGATCGCCCCGCCCGGAAACGAGGACGCCCGAGACTGGAGATGGAGAAAGATGCGGCAGCCATTCAGGTACAGCTGACTAGAACCAAAGATGAGGTCAGTGTTAACTAGCATGGCAGGAACGGCGGCTGCAGGTCCGGCGTGCGCAGCGCACCTACCGGCTCAAGAAAGAGGCCACTATCCAGGCCCTCAAGACCCGTGTGGCCATGCTGGAGCAGACACTGCAGAATGTGTCCAACATCCTGGGCCCTGTTCAGTCGGATAGTCTGACTGCTCGGCCGGACACTGGCTACCTGGCCGAAACGCGGCAGCTGATTCTCGCAGAAATTGACAAGACCCGGGCGACAGTAGAGGATGGCAGTCCCCAAACCGTGCACAGCCCGGACAGCCTCAGCGATATATTCGGATATCAAGTATCGCACACGTTGAAGGGCGATGAAGGCCATAAAGATCATGGACCACTACCATCGCCCTCGAGATCTCATACACCTCTCCTCAACCGCCTTCTCCCCACAGCAACAATCTACACCTATAGCCATCAAGAATCCAACCTCTCACGACGTTTGCAGCGTTTCTGCCTCGAACACACCTACCGCTGGATAACCGACCCACGCTCAGAACCGATGGCGATGAGCCGTGTCTTTGGCCTTCTAACGTGCATCCACGATATTCCCGGATTAAAGCGGTCGTATCAGCGCGTGATCAAGTCAGAAATCGGAAGCTCGCTGGAGTTTTCCAAAATACCATACTACACCCTCGGAGGTGCGGGGACGCATTTTCCGCGCCGCGGGCAGGACGGTTGTCTCCTCTACCCCGAGAATGTCCGCAGACCAGGCCGCGTGCTGCGCAGACTGTCGAACATATTGCGTCATGGTGGGATCAGGGTTTTGCAAGAGGATTGGACTACGGATCTGGAGCGCGATTATTGGGACCGGCAAGATGGGAAAGAAGAGTGGACGAATCGGCTCCGCACACTGGATCTGGATGGGGAGTGGTTTGATTGTCATGATGTCCAGGGTTATCTCGAACACCGGGGTGTTGCTCTGAACGACTCTTCTTTGAAGCTCGATCTTTCTTTGGCGACAGTTGAAGATTTGTTTGGTTCTTCGTCGGGTAAAAGTGCGTTCCGGTTTTATGCCTCTCCGCCGGTGTACGAGGCGGAGGCATGGGGCTCTACTCCGTCGGCGTATGTTCTGGATGTGGAATGCTTTTTTGAGCGTGAGTCTGAATATCGACTATTGTCCGGCTTTGATATTTTCTAACAACGGTCAGTACTTTTGAACAATCTCAGAATGCTCGGACGAGCTCCGGGATTTCGGGCATCGGACGTGGATGCCGCCCTCCGAGCTGCAATCCAGAAACGCCCTTCATGAGACGATAATGTTGTACAGGGAGAGAATCTCTTGATATCTACCAGCTCCCCACATCGGAATATATGCGCGAAAGCGTATGGAGTAACTCTAGGTGAAGATGGAAAGACCATGGTTATGCGGCATGACAAGGACGGACGATGATTGAAAGAAATAAAAAAAGCAAGTGCTTTGGACACGAACTGCAAGATACCTCTTCGCCACCATGAGCAAGTCAACAATGATCCAATGCATACTGAGCTTAGCCGGCGAATGAGAAAGGGTGGAAGGAAGAATTACGCGACTCTCCAAAACACTTGCTACTGCCCGCTTGAGTCCAGCTTGTTTCAGCTTGCACCACTTCAACGCCCACCAGCAGACGAACACCCATGGCACAGAATGGCCCGAAACTGCCCCTAATACTCGAGAGTTCGTTCGCGATATGATCTTGAGCAGATTACTAACTACAACACTGGTCGCTCAAGCCGCTGGATGCAACCCTTGTGCTGCTCCCATTATCTGCAGTAAACACGGCAGTTCGGCGATACCAGACTTCCTCTCATTCGAGTGGGCAGATCACGCAGTATATCACCACCAATGCTAGAGGCTCTCTGTGAACATCTATCGGAAAAGCTGGGTCTACCTCGATGAGATTTACGGGATTGCTACAGTGTTTCCCGAAATCGGATTCACCACCCACACTCTTGCACTGTTTCTCCAACCCTAATGACAGGCAACGCTATTCTACCTTTAACATATTTCGAGAAGAACCAATTTTCTAGGTCTTGTACCGTAAAATAACAGAGTATCATATAATGCTGGGCCTGTGTTTATAATCTGTCATAGCAAGACAGCTGCTGCCTCGGGCGCCTCATATCCAAAAATTCCGATCACACATGTCCTCGTTGACTGGTGCCTAGTACCTGGGAGTTTGAATCTTCGGATTGGCCGAGAGCCAACCAAACTCCCAGGTACTAGGCACCAGTCAACGAGGACATTCTATGGCTTACACTAAGTTTCTCGGTGTTCGTGTTCGTGTTCCTCGTATTCCTATTGAGTAAACTTACCGTCACGAACAGGCAGCTCATCATAAGAACATGATTTATCTTTGAAGCAGCCCGGCCAATTTTTCCTGCACCACTTGCTATGGACTCATTCAGTATTCGCCTTCATTGAACGATCCAACTTATCACAACCCTGCCACCATGACTCCAACCCAGAAAATCATCATAATCGGCGGCGGAATGTGTGGTCTCGCCTCCGCAGTATCCATCGCACAGGCCTTCTCCTCACACGAGGTCAAACCCCAAATCGTTATATACGAACTTCGCGAGGCACCTAGCACATTCGGCGGTCCGGTGAACCTCACGCCGAAAGCGCTACGCTGCCTCGATAAACTGGGCGCGTTCGACGAGTTGAAAGCCATGAGGGCGGGCTGTGAGGTTGACTCAATTCAGTTGTTCTCTATGCGTACTGGAGGGCAGCTTGCTGCGATAGACTATGCTGGATCGGATGGAAAGGGGTTTGGCGGGTATAAGGGGTGGAGAGTCATGCGATATCAGCTTCTATGTGCTATGATAAGGGTTGCTGAGCGGCTACCCACGGTTGAGATTCGGTATGGGAAGAAATTGACACGTGTTGAGGAAATGTCAGATAGAATTTGTGTTTACTTCGAGGATGGCGGGATGGATACCGGAGATATTGTGCTGGGCTGTGATGGGATCCATTCAGCCGTGAGGAGCCTTTTTGTGGAGGCTGAACGGAAGCCGTTTTACTCTGGAGTGGCAGCGGCATACGGGTTTGTGGAGATGAAAGACGTGTTTGGTGAGGACGAAAAACCGTTCTTCACAGATTCTGGGCTTGTGATGTCTAGGTATGGATCCGCTCTGGCGACATTCTGTGATTATGACCGGAGTATGATCTATGCCGTTCTCTTGATGGAGATGGAGGAACAGGGGTCTCGCGAGGGATGGAAGTCGATTGGTAAGGATCAGGAGAGGGTGCGCAATGAAGGAGCAAGGAGAACGCAAAAGTCACCTATCCCGAAGATCGGGCAAATTATCGAGAAGGTCGAGGATTGGAGTCTTTACCCGATATATGTCCTACCTCCAAATGGTCGATGGTCTACGAATCGAGTTTTACTACTAGGAGATGCGGCTCATGCGGTTAGCTTTCTTCTTTCCCTTTGGCCCTTGGACCTTGTACTTATTTCAATTTTTCACAGATGCCGCCTAAGGGGGAAAGTATTGGTCATGCGTTTGAGGATGCAATCAAGATATCACTTATATTGTCACACTTTAATAGTGAACCTCCAAAGGCCGCATTCGACTTTTACGAAAATCTCCAACGCAAGAAAACCGAAGATATGTATAAGGTCTCATCGACCGGTTGGAGGTCCAACCGTGATATAGGAGCCATTGGCGGCAGGCTTCTTGAATGGTTTACCCCACTGTTTTTGTGGTGGACAAGGGGAAACTCAGAGGAGGATCTACTTGCAGATCCGACTGATATTCCTTTTCCAGTTACATAGATAATTTCTTCTATAATCATCCTCTTGCTGTATTGAAAGTTCTCTAGAGCAAGTAACAGAGGCAATATTGCACGAATATCTAAAGCTGAATAACCAAACTCATCACCAGGTTCGCTTCGGTAGATGGACAGTAGAGGTTAGCCTTACCATTAGATGGCAAATAAATTAGACAAACTGATTAATAACAAATGACTACATGACCTTTCCTCTCATCGTCACTATCCACAAAATGTGTCCAAGCCAAAGGTGTAAGTATAGCACTGACACGGGATTTCTCCTCCGCGCAATTATTGCTTATCTCGCAGGTGGAGGGTATGCCGATCCCGTAACTATAAAATGAAAGCTGTTAGCACCTTATATGTCTTATCTAATAGCCAAGTTACAGACCAATGCTTAGGATTGCAGTACGTGATACTTCTGGCGCAAAACACAAAGCACGTTACGAGTCTTAAATAATGATACGGGACAGGGAGTTGGGCGTATAGCTGGCATAGAGCAGGAAATCAATGCCTTGTTCGTCTAATATAATCTAAGAAGATTGAAATATGTTGACAGAATTTGCTTCTCAATCACTGTCGAGCACAATCACCTCCGCATCGGCTTGCCCAATACTCTCCACACGGAGCATATCGCCCACGTTGACCTGGGTAACAAAGGCACCGTCTCCCTCCTCTAAAATGGCATCCTCGCGACCGTCGAGTTTGATCTTAGACATACCCTGCTTGGTCATAGGCAGATGAATGTAAACCTTGCGCATCTTCCTCGAACTGACGACTCCGCCTGCGCCAACGCTCCACTTGAATGTGTTGTTGGGCTCAATAATACCAGCACCCATGACAAAGTCTGCGTGAATGGGAATCGTGTCAGCAATTTTTGGCATCGCAGCATCTTCCTGTGCGGGTGTGGCTTCAGGGCCGGCGGCGAGTGGCGACAGGATAGGAACGAAGTCTTTGCGCTTAGCTTCCTCGCTGAAGCTCTTCGTGTGGTACTGGGGCTTGAGGCCGTGTTTCCAAGGAAGGGCCCAGATTTGGAGAAAGTGGACCGGCTTGTTGGACTCATTCTGCTCCGAGTGGGCAATGCCTGATTCCCCGTTAGTTCGGGTTTGTTAGGAAATTTAGCCTTCAAGGAGAGCTTACCCGTTCCGCCAGTAGTGAACTGCACATCGCCCCGCTTCATGCGATAGAACTCTTTTCCTTGCGCACCTTCGGCACCCTTCTTAATCATGCTGTCGCGGTGCGTGAGCTCTCCACTAAGGATGTAGCTGAAGATCTCTGCATCACGATGAGGATGCGTCGGGAAGCCATTTCGCGCGGCAACGCGATCTTCATTTAGAACCCGGAGACTTCCAAATTGCATGAATTTGTGGTCATGGTAGCCGGCGAAGCTGAAGGTGTGAAAGCTCTTGAGCCAGCCGCCATGCTCGGCATATCCGCGCTCGCTGGAGCGGCGGAGGACGATCTTGGCGCTGGCGAGTGGGTTTGACATAATTATTGAGTGTGATTCTTGTGCTTCTTGGTGCACAATGCTTTAGAAGACAGATCGGTTGAAAATTATGATTTTTCCATTTCTAAGAGGGAAAGAAGGGGCTTTTAAAGGTATGATCAGGTTCTCTAGAGGGTTCTTAAAATATCGCACGGATTATGGCAGCATTATCGATGTATCATTAAGCAACAGAATGGCACTAGTCCTAAAACAGTATAGTTCGCCCTAGTAATGCTGATGCATTGCTGACCCCCGATGTCTAAGCATGAATTGGCACTTAACTATGAACTGACGTAATTTGGCAATAAAAAAATAGAGGGCAAAACAAAGCCTTTCTTGAATACCGTCATTCTGATTGAACTCGGAGATAACGTGCACAGCATACATGCCTCATCAATAGGAGGAGAGTAGGGGCGGGAAGAAGGACGAGCAAAACGGCGAAAACAGCAATAAGTTGAAGTGGCGATGGCGAGGGCTTTAAAGACCACGCATGGGTAGCTTAAGAAGCCGTAAGGGGACGATTCACCAAACAGGCACGCTAACCCGGATCGTAATTTGGCATCACCGAAGACTACGGGAGTATGTACATTTATGCCTGTAGGGTACATAATAGGGTAATTATGACAGCATTCTACAATCGAGACTGATAAACAGCACCATCTTTGAACTATATCTACACCAAACCCAGACGAGCTGCTTCAGCACGAATTATTGCGGGGATATCCTTTTCCAGAGAGTCGGCCTTTGGAGCCCACCCCAGACGCTGTAAAGCACGCTGAGAGCGCTGCTGTGCATTGGTGCCCCAAAGGATACCGGCATGCTCAGACAGCTTTTCTGCCTCATCATAGCTGATGCTCTTGACCGACGCCGAGTCCGCTAGGCCGAGGCCATGCGCCGCCTGAGCCACAAGCTGTGAGACCGTTCCAAAGCTCTGCTGGGGTTATTCATGTGTTTGAATGTGAATATATAGTAGCTAACTTACCAGCAGGTCGTTGTCCCTATCGTTGCTCGTGAAATACAGCCCATCCTGATTCCAGAGACCACTATCCTCACCCTTAACGGCCTTCTCAACCAGTCGTATGACAATATCAGTCAAGTCGAAGATGTGGATATTACTCCATGTGCTTTCACCCTTACCGACTTGCACAGCACCCCGGTTCTGCAGAGTGACTCTTACCAGTTCGGGGACCTGCACGCTTCGCTGATTGACCGGCCCTCTCGCCTGGCCATAGATCATCGGTCCAAATATCAGAGCCGTTTTCGGGCCGTTGACATTGTTGAGAATAAAATTATCCAACACTCGCCGGTCAGCGTTCTGACGAACGATTTCACGAATCTCATCGGCATTATCGATATCACTGACAACCTTATCACTTCTCTCTCCGAAACGTTCGTTGATAATATCAGGAATTGCGAGAACAGTCGCGCCAGAAATTTGGATCCAGTAGCCTAGAACAAATTAGTGTATTTCCAGTCCCTTGAAGCACTAGGTGCTCACCAGGCTTGGATCCAGTGCGGCGAGCCAGACCAGCGGCAATTGCTTTGGCACTTTTCATATGCCTGTTGCTGGCAGCGTCTATATATTTAATGAGAAGCTTTCAGTCATACGGGGCTAACCCAACTCACTGATAACAATATCGGCATGAGCTACCTCCTCTTCTATGAGCGATGAGGAGTCAAGATCTCCCAAAACAGTACGGACATCTGGATATGCCTTCGAGACCGCAGCCGCTTTGGCGCTGTCTCGAACCAAGACACTGCACTCATATTCTGGATGCGCAGATGCGAGGGCATGCAGGATATCCCCGCCAATGTATCCCGAGGCGCCTGTACTGTTGAACGATGAGCATACGGCTACCACGGAAATTCTGTAGATCTCACAGAAAGATTCGTGTCATGTTTTCTGGTTTTCAATTCTTTTGCGTGGACAGAATTTGAGGAAGTTGAATTGCGGGGAAAAGCCACAATTTCAGCTGGTTGTTGAAATACGAGATTTCCAATCACGCAAGCGATTCCGATGATAAGCGCTTCATTGAGCCGAATCCATGCCCCGAACAGGTTCAGTAAACCAGTTCCTTCAGGTCGAGGTAGAGCACGACAGGAAGGCCCTTACGACCATTGCACCTATATAAGGAAGATGATGGGTACTCAAAAATCGAACGGTGAAGCCCTGGCAACCGAAAGATACCGGACAAGACATGCAAGCGTTTGACCCACGGAACGGAATCAGTTGAGAACGAGGTAGGCGGATCGGGTCCGTGTTGGAGTAGTAGCTTTATCATGGCCTTGCGGTCAATCATGTTGCTCTGATGGTTGATCCGCACTGCAAGGATCAACGGGCTCATATATGGCCCGTCGACTTCGATATCTGCTCCATTTCTGAGCGCCAGTAGAGCAGTCTGCCGTCATCCACGTTTTGCACCCATTAAAGGACATTGCTTCGGCTGTGCTGGACACTATGCGCGTAGAGGTAATCCACCAAGTGCGGGGAAAAGCGGCGATTTGTTTGTGCCAGTGCATTGATCCAGCGCTCTTTGGTGAGCACGTCTGTAATTTCCGATATCAGCTCGTTTGGTAAATTTAGGAGGGACACCGTGGAATTTGAGCTAGACAACATATCAGCGGGTAATAGCTCAGGCTAGATATGCCATATGTTACTAGAACACCAAAAAGGTAATAATTGTGGGGCAATATTAGTGAAGAAGAAGAAGAAGAAGAAGAAGAAGAGAAGGAGGAGGAGGTCCAAGAGGGTATGGTGGACAGCACTGTGTCATATTCAGTTTCAGAGGTAGCTTATGTTGGCCTCTTACCTACTCCTTTCGCTTTCTCTACATTTTTCTTCTTCAACACCTACCCACTCGCATCTTCTATTTCCTCGCCAAAACTTCGCTCCCACCTATTCTCATCTTGACTTTGGAGTCCACCTCAATCTGATCCTGATACATTCACAATGTCTCTCCTCAAAGTCCTGAACTTGTTCCTAGGGTCCTACCGCCGTGCACTGTTGTTTAACCTCTGGTGAATGCCCGGGTCCACGAGACATTGTGAGTACGTCGTGAATACCGACTCCCTGTCGAACTTTGACATGTCTGAGGGCAACTCACACACGATCAGCATGGTCATTGCCCTATTGTCCAGACAACATCGGCCAAACACGCCTACCTTACCGCCGTCTCCAAGGATCTCTTCAATTAACACCGGAAATATCTCCCGTCACTCGCTCTGTTTATTGCAGGCGCTGCTAGTCTAGAACCACGGAGACGGCTGCGCTCTCGGCCACACCCTCGCACAGCCGGTATTGGGCCCTCGTTGTAAACCTGGGCCATTAACCTACACCCTCGCCGACTAGGCTACCGCGACACGGTCAACAACAGATACCACCTGTGCAAAGACATTCCTGATGCGCGGTACGCCAACAAGCTACTTGACGAAATCTCACTACACATGGCAGCTCTAATCCAAAGAAATCTGTTCTCGGACTTCTCGTTCTAAATGGCGCATATTGGAATCCGGAGGATAAAACTGCCTTAATCAATCGGACTATGCGCCACCTAATCATTGTGAATCAATCCAAAGGATTCTTCATACCATCGGCATACATATTCAGCTTTCCCAATGAATCCTCGATGAACTAAAAAGAAAAATTTGATTTTTTTTAAACTATGAAGTAAATATGCGCTAGTATGCAGAAACTAACCCCCTCCTCACCCCCCACCAAACGGCGGACTGAAAATACTTGAACTCCCGTTTGTGTAAATAAATTCCCCATTCCCTTTCTCGTCCCACCATCCATGAAGCTCTGTCACAAAAGAGAGAAGGTGTGACAAAAGTCGCCAGTGTCCCTCATAGAAAACCTCAGGTTCTCTGCCGCCTTTTGGCAATAAAATCTTTGACTGACTGATGAGTTCCGACTGGCGCATAATCCGATGGGGTTAAGCCACTGATATCCTTAGGATTCGAGTGTGCACCATGGCGGAGGAGAAGTTCGATGATTGGTTCACTCCCGGCCGCAGCTGCCATGTGCAACGGAGTTCTGCCAGAATGGTCCACATACCCAGCATCTGCACGTAGCTCAAGAAGCCGTTTAACAACAGTTTCATTACCGGCTTTGGCGGCGAGATGCAACGGGGTATTTCCTTGGATATCGGGGACGCATGCTTTTACGCCCCTACCAAGTAGAATCATACCGAGAGCTATAGATCCAGCTGCAGTATGCAAAGGCGTTCGGCGCTCAGAATCTTTGGTTTCGGGATTAGCACCTTTGCCAAGAAGGAATAAAGTAATGTCTTGGTCGTCACGACTAACGGCGAGATGCAATGGCGATCTGCCCTGGGCGTTCTTGGCTTCAATGTTTGCACCGTAGCTAACGATAAGCATGACGAGAAATGCGCGCCCATTTTCAACTGCAACATGCAATGCAGACTTGCCGTTTTTGTCCGTATGCTGGAGGTTGACTTGGTGCTGAAGCAATAGTCTGACAGCATCCTCATTGTAATAGCGTATAGCGTGAATGAGTGGTGTAGTGCCATCATTATCGGCATGCTCTGCATTAGCACCGCGTTCCAAAAGGAGTCTGAAGACCCTCCGACGAGTAATGGTCCACGTCGAGATGAGATCATATAGCGGTGTCTGGCCAGACCTGTCGATAGCATTTACGTCCACGCCTTTTGGAGAATCAATAAGAAGACGAACTATTGGTAAGTAGCTAAACCGTACCGCCCGGAATAGCACAGTCTCGCCTTGATTGTTTCTGATGTTTGGATCGGTTCCATTGTTGAGCAGGGCCTGAACAAACCCCATGAGCCTGATGTGGGAGGCCGACCACAGGAGACTTTCGCCGCTGTTGTCTGTGCAATTGGGATCGGCCCCCTTTGCGAGAAGGAAGCAAGTCATTTTTAACTGCTTGCCTCTCAGTGCGAGAGCTACAGCTTGGGACTTTTGAGCATTGACGTCTGCTCCATTTGTGATCGAATTTGCAGCGGTAACCGTATTTCCATTTTTGGCGGCCCAGTAGAGTGCGGAGGCATTGTGGTGCCGAACATTGTGCGCATAGAGGTAGTCGTTCAGGGCCGAGAATAAAAAGCGATTTGTTCGGGCCAGTGCACTGACCGACTTTTCTCTGGGGAGCTCTTTTGCAATAGCAAATAGAAGCTCGTTTGGTAGGTTGAGGAGAGACATGGTGAGTGGCTCAGGGTAATGGCCAATGAGGCGATAATCAATGTGAGACTGAGGAGAAGAGAGATATTAGAGATGAAGGGGAAAAGGTTTGTAAAGTAGGTATCGAGATGAATCGTATCGAGAGAGGAAGATATCGAGAATAAGAGAGTCGAGAAAAGATTCGAGAAGAGAGTCGATAAGGGGGGAAGAAGAGATCAAGAAGAGGGTCAAGAAGAGGCCAAGAATATAAGAGTAAAGGGAGTAGAGAAGAAGTTTGTACACGAGGGCTTTTCAGCAGTTCTCTTACTCGCGCAAACCAGCAGCAGGTAAAATATAGCATATCTCAAACTAAGTGACTACCAGCGGACTTCAAACCTACACCTTCCGCTTCACCAATCCTCTAAAGAAATCAAAGCTATTACTATCACTCTGCAACTGCCACACCCGGCCAGTCGGCCGATCACCCCACCCTAGCTCCTGCGCCAACAAAAGGCCATAATCTCGAGTGATACCCTGAATGCGAGCGCGCGCCGCCTTCTTCCTCCAGAGTCACGATCTGGTGCATGTGCAGCCAGTCCTCGTAGTACATGGTCTCGAAGCCGTGGTCGAAGCCCGTGCGCAGGAACCGGGTGTACAGTTCTTCGAAGGTGGTTAAGATGCGCGCGAGGAGTTTCTCCAGCGTCACAGGTGATGCGGCTACGGCAGCAGGGCCGGCGTAGCGGGATGCAAGTGTCGTTAACGCTGTTGTCGGGGAGGCGTTCGTGGCGTTGAGACCGATCCCCACAACGGAGATGTATTCGTTTGCCATAAAATGGGAGTTTATGAGGATGCCGCAGATTTTGGTGTAGCTTTTTTGTTCTGGGTCGGCCGGGTCGAGTGCATCTGCAGTACTTGTTAATTTATGGATATGTGGGGAAGGAAAGAGGTAACTCGTACAAATGTCGTTGGGCCATTTCATCTTCACGGGAATCTTCTCGTATCCCTTGGCGTAGCTCTTGATGCCCTTTACCACGGCCATGGCAGATAGATATTGAATGAATACCACTGGTGCGGACTGGATCTTCTCGATCGGATGGCGCACGATTGTCGAAAACATCAGCGCGCCAGCAGGAGAGACCCAGACGTTTGAACCTCGGCCCCGTCCGGCAACCTGGACAGTTGCCGTGGCGGTGAACCCGTGCGGTAGGCGGCGAAGAAGCTTTGTGTTTCTATGGCTGATCAGACGATATTGCAAGAATTGAAAGTGTGAAAGACTTACTTCTCCAGAATCGTGTTGGTGCTGGTCAGCACCTCCCCGTACAGAAGGTTGGACCCAAACTGCGAGGCTCCTTCACGGGATTCAGACTGGTAGTGGCGAAGGTTGGCGTAAAATGCATGGTGATTGAAATATGGTGTGAGCTTCGATGATGGAAGGTCTTCATGGATCACAAGCCGCTTGATGATGGCCTGATAGTCCACGATTCCTTCGTCCTTCTTGGCTGATTCAACTGGTAGAGATGCTTCCAAGTCACTCAAGTTCCAGGTGCCAGGTCGCTCGATGCGGAAAGTGTCAGTTTCGTCTTTTAGATATTCAACATCTCCTTCGTGGGTCAAGGCATCTGCCATCAATGCCAAAATCTCCAAGGGTCCCTCGGCGTCCGAGCCAGACATATGCAAGGAAGATAGCGAGGGAACCGTCGTGGTGTCTTGGGAGATCTGCAAGCCCAGTTTGGATAGACACGACTTCAGGAAGTCTGTTCGCTCCTTGTCATCAGCGGCAATCGCATCTACCACGCCCGCAAATTCCGGATCGGCAGCCTTCGGGTCAAGATTCGCAGCAGCAAACTCTGGATGTGGCCCCGTCAGAATTGCTGCCCCGTCCTCAACCTTGCAGTACACAATAGCTGCGGCACCATCTCCCGGGTCGACGTTGAGTTGCTCGCTATAACTGGCCAGTACCTCGACTCCTTGGTCCGCGAACTTGGATGCATCGACGAAGACACCACCGCCATTGTAGTAAGACCGAAAGTGCTCCGGAACAGTGCCAGAGCTCAGTGACTCCTTCGAGACCACAAGGTCTGCTGCCCGTGCCCCTGCTTCGCTATGGTAGACGAAGCCCGGGAAGGCACCACCACGACAAGTACCCGGATAGAAGCCGAGTTCCCGATCCCCAATAACCTCCATCGTCTTATCACCCACCTCAAATTCGCAGCGCTTGCACCCATAGTATCCACCAGCACACAGACCCAAGTATCTTCCGCCTCGGCGCACGAATTGCGCAATGCGCCTGTTCCCTGCGCCGTTTAGCGTACGACAATACCCCAGATCCGCGCCCCCGGGGATCACCAGCAGGGCACAGGTAGCCATCCATGGCTCCTTGAGGAGCATATCACCTGTGACCGGGATGACAGCATAGTGGGGAGCGAGCAGGCGGCGCAGCGTGTAGAGGCAGTGGCGGACCGAGTCGACGGTAGTTCCGTTTCCTGTAGCCAGCGAGGCATTGCTGGTCAGAAAACGGCTGAGTTGCCAAGCAGAGTGGGTGAGCGAACCAGAATAAACGAGGACATTGAGTCTTTTGCCAGTTAGATTGGCGTCGTTGCCAGTGGGCGTGGCCATTGCCGCGTAAGTTGTTGTTGGAGACGAGAAATTGCTGGGCCGCCGATAAGATAGAGACGGACGATCATCACATCGATGCCAGCTGCGTTTTTCCCTCTGTCATCTACCACTCTCGCCATGTCAAACCATGTGGAGCAGCCTCGTGTGGCGACGGAGGATGATGATGAGCCCGATGAGTGGTAATTGGGTCCTTTGCTGGTGGTTTGGGGCGTGGGCTGACGGGAATTCTTTCACGCAGGGATAAGCGGATCTTCAGCACTGGGTGCGCAGGTAAGCCTCGAACAAGAAACCATGGCATGAACCAACTGCTGATCGTTTGCAGTTGAGCAGGACAAGATGAATGACTGCTATTTTGCAAAGAAGGACTGGCGGGAGTGTAAGAACGAGGTGAGTGGATGTCGAGGCGAGGTGTCAGCATGGACTGTTAGTCCGCTTGAAGCTTTTCCCAGACTGTTTCCTTCATGATAATCAGTTAAAAGCCTTGCATACTCTCGCAATTCGACGGTCATCCACTGACGAGCAATGCAGATGGAAGCCTTCCGCGAGTGTTGGAAGCGCCAGGGCAACGACCAGCGGACGCAGACCAAGGATGCATAATTGATACCTCTTACAATAAAATTTCTGTTTATCCTTTTACCAAGGAATAAATACTCTCTTCTTTCCCATTAAATGCATACCTGTTATAGATCATGGACATTGCACCACGTGACCAGCTCTCCTTTAGCTCCAACTTCACCTCACAGCATCACTTCTTCCCCAACAACAACAACCATGTCCGCACTAAGCAGATGCCGACCCTGGCGGGCAATTGATGTCCTTCAACAGTCTGCGATCTCATCGCGAACCATTCGAGTCCCGCGCAATCCTCTCCTCCAGCCTCTGAATAATTCCACCGCGAAGCGCGCGCTCAGCTACACCTCCAGACAATACCAAAACACCCAAGCCCAACCTACACCCCCCTCAACAGAACGCAAAGAAACCATCCCAGCAGATACCCCGACAAAGCGCACAACGGCACCAATCCCGAACCGCCCTACAGCCGACAGCATCTCCAAGACCGGGCTGGACGATAAGCCGCTAGAGCTGGAAAATGCCCCCGGGGAAAAGATTGACTGGACGCGGTCCTTTCATGGACTCAGCGCGGAACCTTTTGCTAAAGAAGCGGCAGATATCCTCCTCGCAGAAATGGATCCCCAAGATGTCGAGATCAAGCCCGATGGCATCGTCTACCTCCCCGAGATCAAGTACCGCCGCATTCTGAACAAGGCTTTTGGACCGGGTGGATGGGGTCTTGCGCCACGGGGTGAGAGTATTGTTACCAATAAAACTGTTACAAGAGAGTATGCGCTTGTCTGTAACGGCCGGTGAGATTTATCTTTTTCTTATCTTTTGAGATCAGGGCAAGGAAATGCTAACACAACCTCAAATGAAAGACTCGTTTCCGTCGCCCGCGGTGAACAGGACTACTTCTCCCCCGACGGCATCCCCACCGCAACGGAGGGATGTCGCTCCAACGCGCTGGTGCGCTGCTGCAAAGATCTGGGCATTGCGAGCGAGCTGTGGGACCCACGTTGGATCCGGAAGTTCAAGGCGCAGCACACGCGCGAGGTGTTTGTGGAGCATATGGTTAACAAGAAGAAGTCGAAGATTTGGGTGCGCAAGGAAGATGCCGTTTCGTATCCGTGGAAGGAGACGGGGAGTAAATAGATATTCTTGGTCGTGTGTGAGGACAATTTACATTCCATCTTCTTCTTGCTTATTATATTCATTAGTATAATGTGTTTGGTATTTTTTGGGATGTCGGGAATGACATTTATATCTCGACTCGATGTGTCTCTTCCTCGTCATTTGTTTTACTGGGGGCCCTGTTTGTACTTGTGGTCATAACCCAGCCCCTCCCATGCCTGCTCTCTAGATTCTCCTAGTTTCAGACATTAGCTCCTTCAGGCAAGTCTCGGCGCGGTCTCTCAAGCTGCAGACTCATCCGTGTTTGTGGCTACTTCGAGTAAGTGAGTGGGCCATGACAAGGGGCCATAATCGGGGTCCGACACACTAGACATCGCCATGTGCGCTACGTTGGGTGCATTGGGCAACATAATATGTGACTGCGCCATATAAAAAAGCAAAAGAGTGGGGGCTATAGCAGGGGTATACTGAGGCCCAACAAACCAGAAAGAATAGACTAATTTAGCGCAGCGAGCACCATGCTACATGACTGCGCCGCACGAAGAAGCGAATACCCCTTAATTTTAGAATGAACTCATTTAAATGGGGACGTTGGGTATGCCCACGGGGGTGATAGGGAGTACCTTCTCTGCTATTGCCCACAATATTTCAATCTATATTTACATCCCGTGATTTATTTTACGAACAAACATCAAGATGTCTGACGCCAAAAAACAAGAGCAGGCTCTGAAACAACTTCAGGCTGAACAAAGCTTGCTTCTAGACAAGATAGACGAGCTACGCACTATTGGTGTCGGTACATTTGTGCAGTTGCCGCAGCTCATCGTCTGCGGCAACCAGTCCAGTGGCAAGAGTTCTGTTCTTGAGGCTATTTCACGAGTAAGCTTTCCAATAAAAAGCACTCTTTGTACGCGATTCGCGACTGAAGTGAGCCTACGTCGCCACCCAACCGCCCGCTTCAAAGTCACTATCGAGCCTGGGCCGTCAAGAAAGAGTGATACCGATTGTCAGAAACTCCGTGCTTTTGCCCCCGCTGCCCTTGATAACAGTGATCGCTTGCCATCATTGATCGAACAAGCAAGAAAATGCATGGGAATAGGAACGGAGATTGAATTTAGTGACGACATTCTCAAAATCGAAATATGCGGCCCCGATAAGCCGGACCTGACCCTGGTGGATCTGCCAGGCCTATACTATGCTCCTTCTTCCAATCAAGGAGAGCAAGGGGTCGCTATTGTGCGCAATCTCACGGAGAGGTACATGAAAAACAAACGCAGCATCATTCTAGCTGTTGTGTCTGCAAAAATGGACTACCATGTTCAGGAGGTGTTAGAAATTGCCAAGAACTTTGATGCAGACCGTGAGAGAACGATGGGCATCATAACTCAACCTGATACCCTCGAGGTACACTCAGAGGAGGAAGGATCTTGGTTGAAAATGGTTAAAAACGAAGAACTTCAACTACAGCTCGGGTGGCATGCGCTGCGCAACCGATCTTTTGAAACTCGTGATGTATCAGATGACGAGAGAGATGAACAAGAGAGAGAATTTTTCAACCACGGAAAATGGGCCTCGATTGCGAGAGATTGCGTGGGAATTGACAGCTTACGGCGTCGACTCAGTTCCATTTTGCTGAAACAAATTCGTCGCAACCTACCGGGACTGATAAACGATATCAACGCGATGGTATCTGGCCTTGAGTCTAAACTGGCTAAACTCGGCGGATCTCGATCAACCCTTCAACAGCAAAAGGGCTTTCTTCTAAGCTTAAGCAGCAGCTTTGAGCACATCACTGAACAGGCACTGAACGGCATGTACACTGATGACTTTTTTGGGAGCTTGAAATATTTCGGGCAGCCCAGTACTCAATATGATCGTCGTTTGCGGGCCGTTGTTCGTCAGTTAAACGAGGATTTTGCAGCTGTCATGGATCATTACGGCTGCCAGCGATTTATCGTTGGCCTCAACGGGGCGAAGTTCCCAAACTACTCCCCCTCAAGCGCCCTTAGGGGTTCCAGGAAACCAAAGTGGGTAAGCCGATCTCATGTGGAGGATGAAATCAAGGAGCAAGCACGCCAAAATCGAGGAATCGAGTTACCGGGAACCGCTAACCAGCTCTTGGTTGGTAATCTATTCCGAGACCAGTCCAATCCGTGGGAAGAGATTGCTCGAAATCATTTGATGAAGGCCTGGGACTCTGTGAGCTTCTTTGTAAACCTTGTGCTGCAGTATCTCACAGATAAGCACACCTGCCAGTCGCTGCGGGCACTCATTCTTGGCCCTGAATTAGACAAGATGAAAGACCAACTATTGTCAAAGCTCAAAGAATTGACCGCGTACAACAAGCGAGGTTATCCACTGCCACTAGGCAGAGATTTTCTCACAAGAATTCAGAAAGCTAGGAATGACCGCCAGGTATCTCTGTTAGAACATGAGCTTCAGTCAAGACTACCGCGCAACGACAGGCAATTTACCCTTGAAATGGTTCGGCAAGCGTCGCAGAAGCTGGAATCATCTAGTGACCAGTTTGCTGCAGCTGAAATCATCGACCAGATGCAAGCATATTACGATGTGAGTCGACTAAATAGATAACTTCCACAAATATTTTGTTGCTGGGAGGAAACTGACAATAATAGACTGCTATTCTCACCTTTGTCGACAATGTTGCAACCCTTGGGATTGAAAACTGCCTTCTTGAACCTTTGAAAGGAATTTTTACCAGCCAAACAGTTAACAATATGGACGACAAACAAGTTCAGGACCTTGCTGCTGAGCCTTCTTACATCATGGAAGAAAGAATCCGCTCAACCGTCCAGCTAGAAAAGCTAAAAGCGGGTTTGCGAGTCTTGAATCAATTCAACGTGCCAATGACCCCCGTTCGGCCAGCTCATATCAATTTTACCATGGAAACAAATCTGCCTGAGAGGAAAGCGGAAACTTTTAAACCTAGCAATTTATTTAATGTGCCTACCCAAACTTTTGGTAAGTTGCCAACTAGCAATGACGAAGACTTGTCTCTAATGGGGTCAGCAACATCAACTGCAACATCAACTCGCACATCAACAGCTTCTGCTTCAGGCTCGGTCTTTCCTAGTATACCAGCCCATTTTTCAGTCAATCCATTTCAAACATCAACACCGAATATAGCATCTTCCAGTGCACCGTTAGGCCCAAGCATCAGCAACCGCAAGCCAAATCTGTTTGGATCTCCTCAGCAACCTCCATTACCAGATTCCTCTTCTCGAAAGGGCTTGTTTTCTTCAGATCAGTAAGTTAATAATGATAGCTCACAGAATGTGTCTTGGTAGATAGCCGATCTGGCATGAAGGAAGACAGCCCACGCTATCAACAGACACAAACGGCTCTGCTCGGCAGATGTCAAGGCTTTATCGAGCACAGAAATCATGCAGTTTTTATTTCTCTCCTAATTGCGTTTTTCCTTCATTGTATTCTTCATTTGCCTTTCGACTCTGGTGTTATTGTTCGAAAAGATATATCTGGAGTGGGAATTGACTAGTCAAAAAACCTCAAATGCGAGCTGAGACAATCCAGGAATATTGGCTAATTTTAACGGACAATTCAATAGAGAAGCTTTCTATCAAGACAAAGAAGTCTCAGACGGTTTCCCACAAACTCGGAGATTCATGCACATCAGCTCTGCGCCGGAGTTTGTAAAGTTTTCGCCAGAAGTATGTGCGCAAAATAACTCGATGCAGCTCACGATTAACTAATATATATGTATAGGAAATTCGATTGCGGGCGTATGAATCAGTGAGATCTAACCAAATTTGATGATTTCGTTTGATAATTCAATTAATCAATAGTTCATTTGCCTGGTGTAGATTGCTTTAGATACACTCGCTATTCGGGAGTGCTGTTTGGCCTGCCTAAAAATTGAGAGAATGATCCCTAGAGCCCAACGTAATAGTCAAAGCGCCTTGTTTAAACTGTAGTACGTGTCCACTGTAGAATAAAATAATAACAAGGTAAATACCAAAGGAGAGAGGTGACCATCTTCCTCCTATCCCTACCGTCTAACTACATATCAGTCCTCACCACCCCACAATCAGAGGCATGTGATAGCCTTCCGATTAGATGGGGTATCGCGCCGGATAGACTACAGGACACCCATGAGGTTGAGCACTCCTTAAGGTCCCGCGACGCCGAAAATCTACAACCTCAATCTCTGACAGGAGCGAATCTGCGTTGTGTCGTGTTCTTCGTTTTCTGTCGGCTAGGGTACTGTTGTCATCTGGGATACTCTTGTCGTCTAGGATAGTAAGTATTGAGAACAGACCCTCTGCGCAACGATCTCTAGTCACAGACTAGTAGCGCTTTTGTTCTAGAGAACTCCTTTATGAAGGACAGCAGCCTTTGGCGACCTGCAGAGACACAGAGACGGGTGATTATGGTGATGAATACCAGATCAGCGTTCCGCGCGTAATGAATTCCCATGTAAGTTAGCAGTGAAATAAAAGGTATTTATAGCAAGGCTGAGCAAATGAATAACAGATTGACGTATCCACCAATGGAAAATGCGCCGCCGCGAGTCGATCTACGGATGAGAAAATAAACTCACCACGTTACGAGATAGCGCTTGTTGATTTCGAACATGTGGGGCCACTAGAATGACTCACGAAGGCTCATCACGAAGTAATTTTTAAAAAGGCAAATCAGACATCGCGCGCTTAGTCACTTGAATCTGGCCGTTCGGATTTAAGAAACCATGATCCTGCCTTCGGGGAGCAAACCAACTCAAATCGCTCGGTTTATTGGTATTCACAATGACTGAGGGTTCCCATCATGCCATAGTTTTTGGCGCATCGGGTCTAGTTGGGTGGGCTCTAGTGGACCAGCTCTTAAGTTCTCACCCATATGCTAGATCTTTCTCTAAAGTTACTGCTGTCACGAATCGCCCGCTCAATTTGTCTGAGACTTATTGGCCTGAACCGGACGATAGTCATGAGCTGCAGCTTGTATCAGGTATTGATCTTCGGCGTGGTGATAGGCCTACGTTGGCGGATTCTTTGCTAGAAAAGGTCAAGGACATTCGAACTGTTACCCATATATATTATTTGGGTATGTCAGTGGCAATTTCAGTGTTCCTCCGAAGTTCAAACAAATTGACTTTTGAAAGTATTCACCGCAATTGATGATGATATCGAGGAAGTCGCAACCAATCTGCGCATGTTTCAGAATGTCATCGACGCGCACAACTCGATTAGTCCCAACCTGCAGTTTGTGGCATTTACCGGCGGTACGAGGGTAAGTACCACGAAGAACGAAATTATTATAGCCTGCTAATTATCTAGGGTTATGGCATTTATGCCCCTGGTGGAACATTCACGCCTCCCTTGACGGAGGATATGGTGCAAAATCTCCCACCTGATCACGCTAAGACAGTCGTATACCCGGCCTACCGTGAGCTGCTTAGCGCAGCGAGTGAAGGAAGGGACTGGACATGGTGTGAAGTCTGTCCAGATGCAATTGTGAGTCTTCCTTTACCTTCCCCTCCCCTTCCCGAGCCTAACTAATCCTACTCCAGATCGGCTTTACACCAAATGGTTCCCAGTTCAGTTTAGCACTACATTGGGCTCAGTATCTTTCTTTGTACGCCTATAACCATGGCGTTGATCTGGATGGGCAAGTCACTAAAGCAAGGGCCGTTGAGGTGCCTTTCCCTGGCAATGTTGCCGGAGCCAACTCGTTGTTCTCTCCTGTGTCTAGCAAGTCTATCGCCCGCTTCACGATATATGCCTCAATCAACCCTGAGACATGCGGAAAGGGACAGCTATTCAACATTGCCGATAGCGAGACACCTTGTAAATATGGTCAGCTCTGGCCCCAACTCGCGAGATGGTTCGGTCTTGAGGGTGTGGAACCCACAGAGAACTCGCAAGCCCTAAAGAATAGTCTGAAGGTGGGCGAACTTCCTCAGACTACCCCCACATTGACGCCTGGAGAATATGTCGCAAAGCATAAAGATACCTTCGTTGGGTGCGGACACTTGAATGCTATCAGCGGGGGTGTTGGTGCTGGTAGTCGGCAATTAGATAGCGTGGGATATTGGTTGACTTTCGACCGGCAAATGAGCTTGACGAGGTTGAGAAAGACAGGTTTTGAGGGGGACAGAGATCCGATTCAGGGCTGGTTGGAGAGCTTTGAAATGTTCAGAAAGGCTGGTTTGATTCTTTAGGGGATGAATGTCGGGAATATATATGAGTGATAGTAAGACAATGAGGTGAATGAAGCCGTTTGAAGATTGAACGCCGCCACCGTCATAAACAGTGGCAGAGCCTAATAATTGTACGTAACGAGAGAATTGTTCTTCCCCCCAGTACTTGTTGTTAAAGCAGCGAAGTCAGCATGAAACTGCTCATCAAACACGAAAATAGGCTTCAAATCACCATCCCACAGATTAAAACTATATTCCAACCTGCTCTGCTTAAACAATACAGCATATTAATTCTCTTGTTCATCAATTACTTCTCAATCATCCGCCCAAGGCTATCATCAAATTCCATCATTGGCTCTGGTGTCTTCGCCGCAGCAATGATGTAATTCCCCAATAACCTCTCACGAAACGCCGCTTCGCAGTAAGTAAAATAGTATAGCCACTGCCGACGAAACATCTCCACCTCCGAATCCGATTCCTCATGGTGTTCGTCACGATAGTCCAATTCGATTGATTTCCAATTGTCAAGGAAGTTATTTCGCCATGCCGACAGTGTCTTCCCGTAATGAGGGCCGATATTCTGGACGGAAGTTACCTCTAGGCTTCCGTCAGAGCCCCGGTGGAGGGAATCGAGGAGCATGTGAATGGTTGGTAGGTAACCCCCCGGGAAGATGTAGCGACCGATGAAGGTCGGGACATTGGATTTGGTCTCGCGGAGCTGTGAGTGAACTAGTTAATTTACTTTGACGGTAATTAGATGCAAGAGAATCATATACGAACCGTGTTGGTCATGGTGATCCCATCGATGACCATCAATCCATGAGTAGGGTGCAGAAGCCGAGATATAATTTCAAAGTACTGGTCCAAGTACTCAGGGCCGACATGCTCAAACATTCCTACCGAAATCACACGGTCATACAATAGGCCATCGTTATCCGGCCCAGATATATCCCGATAATCGCAGAGGAGTATTCGCACCCGATCCTCTAGCCCAGCCTCCTTAACCCTCTGATCCGCGAGGCTCTTCTGCTTGTCTGAGAGGGTCAATCCCGTCACTCGGCAGCCCGTTGTCTGAGCCGCTTTGATGGCCAAATCGCCCCATCCGCAGCCAATATCCAGAACATGATGTGAGGACGAAATCTGAGCTTTGCGGAGGAGATTCCTGACCTTGCGGTTCTGCGCTGAATCCAGTGACTCGAGTGGATCGCCTTTCCAGTGGGCACAGGAGTAATTCATGTCTGAGGAGAGGAATGCAGCGAAGAGTTGGTTGGATACATCATAGTGCGCCGAGATATTTTGGCGAACTTCCTGGATGCTATTCGAAGGTTGTAAAAGCCATGCAAGACGGGGTAGGAGCTGAAAAATAAGCTTTCCGGAACCCAGGCGGTTTTTGTTTTTGATATAGATCTACTCCGTTTGTTAGACTGTCCAAGAGAGTGATTGGGGGCTATGAATGATCCATGTTCATGGCAATAAATGCACATACCTCAAATAATTGACCCAGGTCGTCACAGTCGACTTCCTGGAACATATATGCCTCTGAAAACCCCTATTTGAAATGATGAATCTGGTTAATGATACCATCTTGACATTTGGATCCAATAAATCGTGCCATACCAGGTCAAAACACGAACAAATCCTAACCCACAGTTTCGGACTTCGGACATTTAGTGTAACTGTTGATTCTGGCTGCTCAGCGCCATCGATAGTTCCCACTTGAATCTCTTCTGGCGGATCCTGATACAGGAGAATAACCTTGAGCTGTGCACCCGAGATACGACCCAGGGAATGGAGTGCGAGTTGTTGGGCGTATGAGTAAACGAGAGACGAGATTGTGGAAGCCATAGAGCTAGACTGTAGTTCAGTGACGACCTTTCCTGGCTGCTTCTTCGAAGACCTCCCGTTAAAACAGTAATGGCTTCATCGGATGTTTCCTCAAGGCCTCCTGTCTGTAGAAGAAGACTACTGAAGGACCGACATGCAAGACTTCTGGGTCGTCACACGGAGATCATTGAATCTATTGTACATATATATTTCTCTTTTCTGTTCTTTTTTTTGAGTGTTGCAAGCGGCCATTCTTATAACCATGGACAAGACGCGGTATGTATGACGTATATCATGTGGCAGCGAGTGAATGTGGGGATTGAGTGACAGGGTAAAGAGTAATCATTTACAGACAAACCCAAGTGAGTGAAGATTGTCCTGTTTCAAGTTGTAGTGCCCTTTTCTAGAAAGCAGATATCACCAAAAGTGACACCTGATGATGAATAGATAATAGCGCCGACGGTGTCCTGGAAATAATTTTGGATTTCAGAATGCCTAGAACATGACAGCCGTAACGATACTTCCGTATAGAATATCAAGCTAAAAGCTCAAAGTGGTTTTCGTCATCGGCCTCGTTTCTGACCAATGACGGATTTAACGAGACCCGCACACTCCCGTTATATACTTCCAAATGCGGCGAAACATCAGCATTTTTTCGTCAAGCCTTGGCAACTGCCACCTATACACGCAACCTGTCCCTCTCGCATGCCTTCAGTGACAAAGAGTGCCACTCACTAGCATATTTCCGTCATTAGTGAGCGGTGAGAGGGCTACGTATAGTGGGTACTCAAACCTGACCCCTAGTTTCCACAGTGGCATCGTACTGGCTACTTCGTCTCCACACATTAGACTGGGCCTGATGCTGACTTCCACTTAGTTTATCTCGGTCGTTCTCGCTGGCATGAATTATCTTTTTCTTGCGCGTATAAAAATGTACCCTTTCCTGTGGGAAAGGCTGGTTGTCGGTTATGTGACGTATTGCTGATATTTTGCTCACCTGTGCCAAGATAAATGCAACTAACCATGCTCGACAGCCATGAAGACATTTAACAGACAGACGATGGAAAATTTTGCATTTATCTAACAGTTTTGGTTTCACCCTACGCAAACCATCCATGAGAAGGTTGAAACTCGCACTGGCCCAGTGTCTAGAGAGTGAAAGGAGGGTCTGATAGGTAGAGACTAAGCAGATCAGCGAACGGGGCAACGGCGTAGAAGCCCTGTATCAAGCCTGGTCAAAGCGGCCATCGCATTCACAGTGGTCATATTCCCCACCCTTACACATGCTTTTCGATTTTCTTTGCTGAGGCTACAGGAGAAATGTAATAGAGAATATCCGAATAGTTTTCCCAGCACTTTGCAATGTGTAGTTCACGTATCATTAGCGCAGATTTTATGTACAGAACAGAGTAGAGCTACTTGTGCATGATGCGGGTTCACATCTGCCATCTAACGTTATCCATCCAGACAATCTTTAGGTCAAATAAATGAAGTCCTCAGCGCGGTCGTCCCAGTCTTCGCCCATGCATGTTTGTCCATTGGCCTTTGCCGCATTGCGGTGCTTGTAAACTATATGCACCAAAGTAAACAAGATCATAGCGACAACTAATGTGCCAAGGGCCCACGCATTGCCTAAGTAGTACTTAGGCTTGTCCTTTGAGGGATACAGCTGCCCTACCACAACTCCTGTTGTTTTCTCAAGTCAACATTCAAATTCACTAGTAATTTGATTCATAATGTGAATGTACGATGTTGGAGGCATGTAATTGGAATAGGGATGACGTACCAGCCATATCTGTGATAGTCAAAGTAATACCCATGGTGGCACCCCTCTTCCCATCCGGCGCAGAATTTATAGACGTCCAAGACAGATTAATTCCTGCTATAATGTACATTCCTGTGGTGATCAGGAATGTAGAGAAGTATTGAACCCCAGCGGGAATAGGACACAAGAGAAGCAAGTATCCCAAAGCAGTGACTGGCGTGAAGCTCATGACTGGAATATACCGCTTTTGATAGCGATCGGCAAGATATGCGACCAAAATATAAATGAGCGTACCCCACAATTGAACTGAAATTCGATTAAGCTCTATCTTGAATGCTCATGGAGTCCCTGATTGTCTGACGATAAACGTACCTGGGATAGTGAGATACTGCGCCTGAATGCTGCTAAAGCCAAGCCCATTTTCAATAATAATCGGCAAGAAATTGTTGAAGCCTGGAACCACATCAGCTAATATTCGGAAAATAAACATATGTTGCAGTCTGTACTGTAGAGTGGAGTGATCACACAAAACTGAAGACAGCCGTGTAACCATGTCTTGACGTCTCTCGCTGCCCACCAAATATGTTGGAAGCTGAAGTGTCCTCGGCCACCACTATATTGATGCATAGCTTTTGCGCGGTTCCGCATGGCGATTTTATCCTCATCATTCAAGAACCAGGCGGTCTCGAAAGAGCCTGGAACAATCCAATAAGATGCGATCCCAAACACGATCGTGACAATTCCTTCAATGATATAAACCCATCTCCAGCCCTCCATTGACGCAATTCCATCCATGTGGTAGATTGCAAAGGCTAATAAACCACCGAAAGCTCCGGCAAGGGCAGATGAAGCTGCATATTGTCAGTATGTAGTCTTGCACTGATAAACCGTCCAAAAGCTGATGAACACGGGCAATGTACCAAACAAAAATGCCATACGGACAGACAGCTCCTCACGCTTATACCAGTTGGCGACGAATAGAGCAAGGCATGGGAATAAGCAGCCTTGAAAGAGGCCTAAAATCAGTCTCAGTGCTGCCAGCCCACCATAACTGGTTACCCATCCGTTCCCAAGAGTAATAATTCCGAAGGCAACTGTGAGGGCCGGAAGAACACGTTCAAATCTCCATCGCTTTGCGACCATTGAGATGGGAAGCTTTTCCCCGGCGCATTGTTAGTCGGGTTGTTTATAATTCTCGTTCTAGGGTCATGATCCGGAGATACCTCTGATAACACATAGAAGACATAGAAGATGGATACGGTGACCTTGGTGACATGTTAGAAAACAAATAGATCTCTAAGAGCCAGCAAATTATCGTACTCACATTTAGCTCATTGCCTTTTAGATTCAAAGCCTCGGTCATTCCTTGGGTGGCGGCAAACCCGATGTTAGATCGGTCAATGTAAGACTGAAGAATACTGTATCAGCCATTGGCTCGCGAGACTTCTTTTAAGCACGCAGAATGGAATTTTCACACCATGAAATTGAAGGCACCTATCAAGGGCGCTATGACAAGGTCCAATTTGCGCACACAAGTTCTTTCCATCGCCTCAAGGCGAGCTTGATCGACCTCGGTGGAATCAGCCATCTTCATCTCGGAATGACTAGTCTCGGTATCGGGTTTTGCCTGGGCTGAAATGGAAGCTTCATAACTGTCGGCCATGATCAATGTTTTGCTGCAATTCTTCCAGCGAAGTGTCTTCAGTGTGATTGTCAGAATGCAGACAAAAAAATAAAAACGGAGATGAAGGAAATAAGTAGATATAAAGACGGACGCAGCTGGTCAAGGCTCACGAGGGCGGTGCACAAGCCTCCATTTGAGTGAGCAAAAGGGCCTCGCAACAGCGATCATGATATATAGTTCTCTTGAAATGCTAGAATAACAGGAGTCAGCACCTATCCGAGCTGTTTACTGGCCGGTCAAACTCCGCTTCCCCACTCTTCCTGGGGTCGGCTACATTCCGATATAGAAGCGGGGAACCACGGCTTGAAATTCATTCGCCTCTGAATAGTAGAGATTAAGTCCCGGCTCTTGCGTCAGTGTCCCTGGTGCATGGTCTATGCTTTTTAAACCCGAAACGGAGGTGGAAGATTCCCCTGCGGTTAAAGTTCGTTAGACCAGTGATGATAATATTTTACACGAAAGTACAATATAATGAATAAGACTGTAAATGATGTGACGATTTCATGCCTATATTGGAAAACCGTAATCAAACGCATCATGCTGAATCGAAAGATCTAACTGCAAGTGTGGATCGAGGCTTGATTGTAGTAGCGCAGAGCGGGTCTCCGGGGTCAAATTCTCTTGGATATGAAGGTTCAATTCAGATCCATAGCAAAAGCCTTGATCGGGGAACGCGGGTAGCCACTCTTCATATTCTCTGGAAGGAATTCCAGAGGCAGTTGTTCTGGACTCATGGTTGGACAGGAAATTAAGTTCCTCCACGGGTGACGAGGACGAAAATGTAGATATTTCCTGCATGGTATGTTGGCTCGAAGAAGGTATTATTGTGTGCAGCACAGGGGTCGCGTGGGTCAAGGACTTGCGAGAAATATTGTCGATATCGGGCATGAAGAGAGATTCTAGGCGTGCTGCTGACTGACGCTCGAAAATCTTTTTTATTCTGGTGCGTATTATGTCGAGACTGCGATTCAGGCCCGGCATAACAGAGCTAGTGCGCTGAAGAATGTTGATCAAAAATTTCAACTCATCCCACATAGGCTGACTGTCAGGTGGACGTGTGTTGAGTTGGTCAAATACTTCCAGTTGGTAAACAGCTGTGGTTGCTGCGGTGTACGTGCAGTAGCTGTTCAAATAGGTAATGTGACTAAACCCAAATGTTTCAACATACGTTTGCAACAATTTGTATATCGCTGAGGTTGCTGTCTGGCAGATCTTCCAGCTATTTTGAACTGCCGGAAACTTGAAGTTTGGCTTGTGGTGGACCAGTGGCCGATGAAGAAGGATGAGGGTTGTATGATACATGAGATTAAGAGAGGCGATGTGTGGAGGCGGACTGGGGGAGGAAGCTTGAGCCGTATTGATTTTCAGGAATTCAGGTAGCTTGTTCCACCAATCTTGAAGTTCTTCGTTAATTTCCACAAATGCCGCCGATTTTGTATCGACGTTGGATGGTAGTTCTTTTGATGGCTGATGTGGGCTATACAGCTCAAACATCAGGCGGCTAAGAATTTTGCAAAGCTTGCACAGTGATGTGAAGCATGAGATAGTATGTGCAGTGCGAGGTGTGTATGCCGTAGACTGTGATACGCTAGAATCAGATCCATAGAAGGGTTGCCAGGGTTCTGTTTCAGTGAAATCATCCAGGAAATCAAGCGAGATACTCTCCGCGCCCATAACAAAGTTGGGCATTCTGCCCAAATACAAGCTGATATGCTTGTCCCATGAGTAAAGACTCCAAAACAAGCGCTTTCGAATTTCTACGTCCTCCGGAGATAATGACTTTGTATGGTGGCAGAGTTTGTCAGGCGAAATATGAAGTCCCAGGTCGATAGCCATGCGAAAGGCCATTCCAGAATATAGCCAGGCTTGTGAAGATTGACCACATGCAATATCCCTGGCAGATTGTTGTAGTAATGCCTGAACAGTGGCAATGGTTGGTGGTTGGAGTATCTCCATGGCCAGAGAAATGGTTGCATTGGACATCAGACGATCGGCTAATTTTTGAGACGACTCTTCATGCTGAGAAATGCCCCAGACAGTCTCCGAGGAGTAAATGAAACGACAGCTATGCGCACAGAGCACCTTTAAAAGGGTCAAAGAACAGTAACTGCTAGAATCACGACCAGCTCTTAGCACACTTAAGCCCTGCGTAAACGCTGGCCGGTAAACGAAGAGGAAGGCCGGGTGTAGCCAGCACCAATGTAGCTGCAGCAGAACATTAGTCAGTTCTTTTGGCAGGCCAACATATGTCGCTGCAATCTGCAACTTCTCTACTTCAAAGTTTCTCTGAGCAGCTGCATTCGCACGAAGTGTTTTTCTCATTTCCTCATTTCTGCCATCTTGAGCGACACCATTGACAACAGGTGGTTCATAGATTAAAGTTATTTGTCTTGATGAAGAGTCGGGTGGAGCCTCGTGGATAGCAGATAGGGAGTTGTGGTATTGCACATCCCCGCTGGCATCCAGGCTAATAGGGTCCCGATACTCATCGTGGTCAAGACCAGCGACAAAAGAGGCCGGTGGCGCATAGGAATCCGTTTTATGCATGCATTCCAGCTCTTCGATACGATCCTGTAGCTGGCGCACATATGCGATCGATGGTGACTTTTCGTACCTGCACGGGGAGTTCGTCGCTAGGCATGTTGAGCAACAAGGTGTACCACCGTCGCATTTGCTTTTCCTCCGGCGACATGTAGAACACACTATTTTGCGAACTCGTTTCATAGTGTTTGTAAAGCGGCAGACCGCCGCTGCAGCCTAGTGGAGTGTATCGTTTCGGAAAGTGGCCAGGGAGAGACAGGGGCAGTGCAGCCATGCGCAAACGATGAGGTAGGGAGAAGTATGAGTGAGTTGATGCGCATTGATGCTCGGGATTGGACCGGGGTTTCGGTCGGCGTTTTCGCCGGCGGGTGAAATGCGGGGTGCACTGATAGCAGGAAAGTAACTGTACGACAGGTTCTTCTATGATATATAATACGTAATTCGCTCGGGATGTGACCGAATGTGTCCACGTAGGCGGAGTCTCCAAGCGTAAAGTGATTCTATCAAGCATAAAATAATCCCTTCCTCACCGGCTCTTTGCACATACGGCCGAGGAACAATGTCTTCGTGCGAGAGTACAGATCCAAGCTCGAACTGGCTGGCAAAGCCATCTGGGCCATGCTGCCTAGAAGGCACCTTACATAATGGTACCCCTGAGGGAAAATTTGTCACAGTAGCAGGAGTAGAGACATATATCAAACAGCCCTCAGAAGCCCTAGCGAACGGTCACATCCTACTCTACTTTCCAGATGTCTGGGGCATGTTCAAAAACGGACTGTTGGTGATGGATACGTTTGCTAAGGCCGGGTATCTGGTATTGGGTATTGACTATTTTCGAGGAGTAAGTAAAATTCTGAAAATGCGTTGAGCTTCGTTAGATCTCTCAACTGATAGGTGATTCCTACCTTGCAGGACCCGGTGTGGAAACATAGACGAGATCGCCACGATCAGTCCAACCCGGACTTCGACTATGAAGCATGGAAAAGGAAACATATGGACTTCGCAAACGCCGTTGTTCCCCAATGGATCAAGGAGGCGAAGAGCTTATATGGGCAGCCGAACACAAAATATGCATGCGTTGGGTATGTTTTGCAAGTCCTCTATCTACGCAACACGTCTGATCGGAATCAAAAACCATAGGTATTGCTTCGGTGCTCCATATGTTTGCAATGCATTATCAACAAGAGAAGTCAGTGCGGGGGCCTTTGCTCACCCTGCGTTCCTGAAAGAAAAACATTTTCACAAGATCGAAGGTACGTATATTATCACCTGAAACTTCGGCGTCGAGCGAAATCTCAAATCGTTCCAGGTCCACTGTTTCTCTCCTGTGCAGAGGAGGATCATACGTTTGATACAAAATCTCGGCGTCTAGCTTTGAATATCCTACAATCGGAGAGAAAGACATACCAGCTTCAATTATTTTCGGGAGTTGAACATGGATTTGCTCTCCGTGGGAACATGAATAATGCACACGAACGTAAGTGTGCGGCAAAGAAGACCATGGAAAAATTATTGACAAAATTAGGTTATGTCAAGGAGCAAAGCTTGAGAGGTATTGTGGATTGGTTTAATTTCTGGCTTTCACAGTAACATGGACTTTCTTGTGGCATGTAAGAACGTGTTGACCAGTTCTTATGTACTTAGAAAGTAGAGAACTGCATAGATGTTCATTAAAATGTTTTACAAGAAAAGAAGAAGCTCAATAGAAAGTATTAACTACCTTCGGTTAATAAGGCTATCTCAATCAACTCTTAATAGACTCAACATTTCGCTCCCTTTAATATTTACTCTCGATCAAACCTTATCCCGGGAAACCTCTTCCTCTCGCCAAGTCCCCTGTGTTTATGTAGCCTAACTTCTTATCTGTAGACATGATATGTAGAATTGGTGCTATTTTAGCACGTCCCGCAACTCGCAACTCCTAGCTCCGCGGATTAAACATTCAGAGCTCTAACATGGAAGACGCTGTCACTATATTACACCCAGGCTCCAAGCCCCATGCAGGATATTACCGGTGAGATGGGGCAAGGCAGGTCAGCGGCCACTTACCGACCAGTCAATTCAAAGCTGTTGGTTATGTCAGTCTCGTGATGGCACCTGAAGTATCATATTCGGAAAGTGCCCGATGCGATTTGCCGGCGTCTCCGCACTCCTTTCGGCGATCGATTCCTACTCCATACCGAGAAGTCACGCTTAAGGATAAAGTGACAAGCCGGCACTTAAGAGGACCATGGGTTCTGTTTTATTCAAAGCTTGATCACTCATCCTGACAAATTCATGAACCTGAAATTATGAGTTCTATTCCGAAAGCATTTGACTTCACCGGCGAAGTGGCAATCGTCACTGGTGCTGGATCTCGCATGTCCGGTGAGCCTCACAAATGCGTCATTCCAATTGCTTAGAACGTACATTCAAGCTTACTATTTCCTTGGTAAAACCAGGCGAGATCGGGAATGGCCGCGCTACTGCCATTCTTCTGGCTCGGCAGGGAGCGAAGGTGGCTCTCGTTGATTACAATACAGAATGGGCCGAAGAGACCAAACAAATGATTGAATTGGAGGGGGCATTTCTGCGGTTGTTCAAGCTGACGTGACGGAGGAAGAGAGTTGTCGCAAGGCCGTGGAGAAGACGGTCGAGCTTTTTGGGACGGTCCATATTCTCGTCAATATTGGTGAGACTCCGATCCAGCTACAGCAGCTGATAGAAGCTGGATATGGGCACGCTAATATAGTCCTCTTTTATTCTCTCAGTCGGTGTCGGTGGTGCAATGGGCGATGCTACACAGCTCAATCTTGCCGCCTGGGAGAGAGATTTCAAAATCAACGTCACTAGCATGGTTCTGATGAGTCGACATGCTATTCCGGAAATGAGAAAGAATAGAAGAGGAGCAATTGTTAACATGTCATCTGTGAGCGGGCGTAAGTCCTCCAGATCTCGTTTGGTGATTCTCACGCTGACTGCCAACATCTCAGTTCTTGGGGGAAACCCTAGTCTCCTGTACCCTACAACTAAGGGAGCAATTATTCAAATGACTCGGGCCATGGCAGCACAGCATGGCCCGGAAAATATTCGGGTCAATTGCGTGTGCCCTGGCATGGTTTTCACACCAATGGTACGAGGGAGAGGCATGAATGACGAAATGCGCCAAGCAAGAATCAATCAAAACTTGTTGAAGCAAGAAGGAACTGGTTGGGATGTTGGAAACGGTAATCCTCTCCAAATTTGCGCTCAGTCATCAACTCTAACTCTACAACCATCTAGCGATCCTGTTTCTTTGTAGCAAGGAGGCTAAATGGATCACCGGATTAATCATGCCGGTGGATGGTGGTGTAAGTGTATCGCATCTTATTGAAGCGCCATGCTAACTTGACTTTGGAAGACAACTGCCGGAAAAGCCGATCGGCCGGCTCTGAAGGCGGACACACTCGCAGAGCAAAATACCGGCGTGCCCAACAAATAAGGCTTGAGACACGAGCAATGCTCAGATGGCGATGGCTTCTTACATTCCCGGACCACCGATTGCAATAGTATAAATAGCTTTCTCGAAGTTGTCAATCTCAGAAACGGGTATCGTATGGCACCACACAGGTCGGCTGCGTTATGTAGGTGACAGTGGTTAGGATCTCGAATTAGGCGACAGATATCTCAGCCTGTGTCTATATCAATTATTTCAGAGCTACATTTTATTAACATATATACTTTGGGTATCTTCCTTGCACCAAATCGTCTAGGTAGACTAGACAACATGATATACAATTGAAGGCTACAGCACCCCGTCCCCGTGCGCGCATGTGCCTACGCTACAGTGGAATACTTGTTCAAATACATCCAGCTGTTTTTATAGGCATTACCAAGTTATCTTAAATCCTCTCCACTTTCCTTTCTGCATATATACATCCTCTCATCGGGACGACATTCGACAATTGCCGATGTGAACATTAACGAGCCACGAAAAAACTTCGTAGGACCCAAGGGCACCTTACGTGTGAAAAGAAGGGAGGAAACGATATCAAGATAAATGATAGTATATTCTCACTGAGATTAAAAAAGAAACCAGAATCAAACCCATTTTGTGTATCAAGCAACTCGCCAAAATCACACCCCAAATGTAACCCGTTTAGTGTAAATATGAACAGGATGCACCGCCACTACACCACCTAAATGAAATGGACTGGACTGGACGCGACTACTCGTGCGAAGACTTGTTACTCCGCTTTAGCGCCTTAGCCAAGAACGGCGATCTCCTCTGCTCCTGCTCCTGATCCAGGGACTGGCCCTGGACATGTGTCTGGTACTGGTACTGGTACTGGTAAGGCGCACCATTACCGGTCGCAGCAGCCGCAGCAGGGATGGCGGGGGCAGACGGAGACTCGCGCAGCGAGGGCGGGGAGACTGCGTCGTATCGCGAAGGAACCTCGTACTGGCTCGGTTCGAGCGCGGAAACAGGCGGGCCGGAGCCTGAGCGGCGGTCGCGGTCTGATAATTGTGGTGGGTAACCGTGATTATTGTAGTGAGTGCTGATCCCGCTCATCGGAATGGACTCGTAGGCGTTCTCGCGGTTATAGTACGCCGGGTTCGAGTAGGCGCCCCGTGAGTACTCCGAGCTGGGGGAAGTGAACGCTTCCGACGCCGGTGCTTTGGGGAAACTCGTGTGCGGTGGAACCTGTGGTTGTGGTTCGTAGCGTGCATTGCCTCGTGATCCTGGGGGCGCGGGTGCGCTCAGGATGGGCACTTCGCTTGAGGAGCAGGGTGTCAGGCCCGCGTGCACGGGGGAGAGGGGCACTGGCGGTTTGATATTATCTTGCTCTGGGACCGAGGCGCGAGTGCCCTCTTTCCGGCGGCCGGTAGATGGCTCGCGCGAGGGAGCGCCGGCGCCGAGGCCCTGGACAGTAAGCTGTTGCCGGCCTTGACTGGATGAGCCCGTTGTTGTGCGGTATAGCCCTGCGTCATCGTTGATGTCGCGGGTATCACGGGCAATATCTGCAGCTGGAGAGCGAGAGTTCAGCTGTTCAACGATGGCTGCTTCACTCTGCGACTGGTTGCCCGCTCCGCGTTGGGTGACGGTCCCGGTAGACTGGCCGTTGTCAACGCCCGAGGACATGGCAGTGTCATAGCTAGCCATGCCACCTGCAGCGGCAGCAGCAGCTGTCAGACCGATCCCACCGGATCCATTCTTACCATCAGCCCCACCGTTCTGAGTAGTGGACTTGCGATCGTCGCCGACAGTGGAACCAGAACCCGCATCGGAATTGTCATCGTCTTTCTTTTCCTCTTCAGGTGCAGCGGCACCGGGCGCGCGGATGGGGATCTTGCGAATAGCGAGCACCAAAGCACACATGAACTTGGACCTGCGCGCAGCGCGAACAGTCTCATTTGACCAATTAGACTTGTGACGAATATCGACGCGCAGCTCCAACTTGTCCATGTCACCAACACCAACGACTTCGACATTAAGGTCCTGCTGGAAGTCACGGCAGTTATCCTTGTCACGAACGAAACGTTCCATCTCCTCGCGCAGGAACTGGATGTCGGCGAAGGTCGTATCGAAGCTGACAGGCACGGTGAGCTGTTCGTACATGGCGTTGGCGCGGGTGAAGTTGTCGATCCACAGACTGTTGAGAATGTTGTTGGGCACTTGGGTGGTGCGGTGGTCGGTTATGCTACGCAAAACAGTGTATAGGAGCGAGATGCGCTCGACGACGTAGGACTTGTCCGTGATGTCTACCCGGTCACCAATGTCGAAGGGGTGTTTGACGAAAAGGAAAATGCACGATCCGAGAACTTCTTGTGCAGTGACGGAGAAGATGAAACTTATGGACAGCAGGGAAGTGGCGCCGGCTGCGATGACTGTGCCGAAGCCGCTGGTGACGAAGGAGACTGCGAAATAATTAGCAAGGGGACATGTAGAAAGCGGAGAATGCCTTACCAAAAACCAAGATGCCAATAATGAAGGCCACACCAAGCAGCAGGTTATCCAAAACATGAATGGCCTGGTCCACGTCATGCATGCTGTGGTTGAGGGACTTCCTCATGCGGCCAAACTCTGTGATAGTGAGAATCATCTCGTCGAGGCTGATATCGCCATTTCCATCTTTATCCAAAGCAGCAAAGCACTCCTGAGCCTCAGCCTCGTGCTCAGCACCCAAGACCTCAACGATATCTTCCAGGTACAGGGCCTCGCGACCCTCCACCACAAAAGACATCCAGATACGGCGCGCTAGAGCCTCAGCGCAGCGTTTCCGCTCCAGCGCCTCAATTACAACAGAGTGCGTGGAATTCGGGTTGAAGACTTGCTTGCCCGTAAGCTCGGAGGCGACATTCCCAAAAGCTGCAGTGACCTTGTCACCAATACGGCCAACATTGCGTCCCACATTCTGTCCGACCTGGCGCATCATGCGGAGAGGCATAATATCGGATCCAGTCTTGGGGCCCTGCGTTCCATTTAGAGCGAGTAGAGAATCAAAAATCAAAGAGTCCTCATCGGCGAATTCGGGGCAGTACACGGGGAACATATTCCGGGATGCCTCATAGAGCAGACCGACGAGATAGACGTTGTGTTTGGACTCTTTGATCTTGGAGTCGAATTGTTTGCGGTGGTAGCTGATGGAAATGAGCTGGACGATGGCCTTTTCTCCGAAAAAGATCAAGCTGCACACAAGTAGTGCGAAGAGAATATTCTTCACGCTCTTTTCCCAGGATTCAACGTTCGTGTCGCCGCTGTCTTGCTTCTCAGGGGTAAGGGTCATGATCTGTGGGGTTTTATCAGCAACTCCATCTGTCCACAGGGGGGAGGAAGACGTACCGGAAGAAAAGTCACCAATGAAATTATACACCAGAATACAATCGTGATGGGCATCTCCAGGGCACGCAAAATAAGTGCATATTTCCTCGTCCCCGAGCTAACAATACCACACAAGAACTGGAAGATATATGGCAAGAACCTAGCAAAGACTTTGCACGTCCACAGAGACACCCAAACGACTTCAATCCACGCAAAGAACCAGTAGATGTGCACACCACCGATCTTGGCATCCTGGGCGGCAGTGGCACCGACTATGATAGGGATGGCGATCAAGAGACCGATCGGGGTGATATAGAGTAGATAGCGAGTGATGATGGAATAGTTGAGAATAGCCTGGTAGAAGCGACCCATGCGATTGACGGTTCCATCTTCGGGAGAATCGGAGGGTTTGCCCGTGCTCTCGTTGATATCGTCTTGTGTTTTGCGGCGACGTCCAGGCAGGCCACGATGTTTCGTTACGGCACCGGATTTCTCATATCCATATTCGGGCGAGGACTGGCCTTTACTCCGGGACCCTGTCTGGGTCAGGCGTGACCCTGTCTGTGTCAGGCGTGGGCTGTCATTGAGGGGGATGTCGATCGTGACATCGCCATGGGGCCCATTCCCCAATCCCCCGTCAGGCATATCGTTTGAAGGAAGAGCTGTGAACCGATGAAAGAACGAATTGTTGCTGTTGTAGCTGAACCGGCTGTTGTATTTGTAGCGGTTTTGACTCTTCTTGTTGAAGTTGTTGTTGTTGGAACGGCGAACGAGTCCCAACCGGCCGACGACCATGGCGGCGACTTGGGCGAGGGGGCCCTCGCTTTTATTCCTGGTCCAGATTTCGACTTTTTCTGATTCAGCTTCGATCTGTCCTGGAATTGGCTGGTTCGATTGGCCAAGTGGAGATCGCGTTGCACTAGTCAAGGCGCGGCTTCCCCTCGTCAAGTTAGTGGCTTTGGCTTTGTTTCGGTTTTTGCGCGGGTCCGGCGTCGGGATTGGTGTTGCGCGCGGTCGATCATCCACCGACAGCGCAGAAGTGGAACCGTTTGATCGGCGATGGCCGAGGTTCGGCTAGGATTGTGATCGAGGGCAGAGGTGATGGTCGGAGAATTAAGAACTTTAAGGTGAATATGGAAAAGTATGACCAAATAATGAGGGAAAGATGCGAAATGATAGTAAGACACGAAGGAAGAAACAATACCTAATCAGGGGAATGTCAGTCTGTGTTGTTGTATGGCGAGACCACGCCATGTTTCATCAAAGCCAAAAATGTGGGATTACGCGAAGTATGCCCGGTTGCTAAGCACCTGACGTCAACTCCCTACGAGAAGTGCAGTTACTACTGTATGTACAGCTCACAACCTACTGCAGTCTAAACTTCCGATTAAAAACTATTCACGGCTTTCTCCTCCGCCATGGCGTCAAGGGTCTTCTCAAACCCTCTGATCCGCCAATAGCAACCCCTAATCAGTGGGGCGATCGTGATCCAAAACGGCAGTCCACCGCGGATTATTAAGGGTCATGTTAGGGGGCGCATACCCCAGTCAGGTACCCAACTCTTACTTATTGATTTTGCACTATGGCGGCAGGTTAAAGTATTTAGAATTGACTTGGTCGGCCACCCCAATTAACTATAGAGAGGCAATACGAGATTTCTAATTTTTGATATCACAGCCACAATCGTATGAGATAAGACATCGTATTTTTTTCGGCTAACTAGCCGGCCCCCATTTACCTCTACATCCTGCTAATATTCCGTCCCCTGCGCAAAGGATTCAATATTCGAACTCGCAAACTATGGCACTCTCCGATCATGGCCCACCGTGGTTACTTGCGAGCCTTTCTCTACTCACCGGGACAATCAGCATCCTCATCAAGCCTGGCGGACGCCAAACGTTCCTTGAAGATGTCAAGCGCAACGTGGTGTCTTTCTCCCCATTCCGATCCGGAGCAATCGTCACGGCTCTTCTCATCCATTTGATCGACTGGAGACTCTTGAACATTGCCGACATATATGCCGGCTGGAGGCTGTCCTCGTACTACTATTATCCTTCGGACTTGTCTGATGGTGTCTGGTCGCGTTTTGCGCGGCGAGCTTTCCTCATCGGGGCAACACTGCCACTGTACACAATGCTGCTAATGTCCACGAGTTATCGATGGATCCAGTTGTTCGCGACGTTATTAGTCGCCGAATCTGTGCTAGCTGAATTGTTGAGGCCCTTCTGGGGGACTACAGACGAAGGCTTTTTTACCTTCCACAGAGGCTGGCCTAATCATATTATGCTGACCGCGAAACCCGTCGCTACACCCGATCACAATACCTTTGACCATGTCGACACTGGAAGGAAAGCAAATGAAACTACAGAATTCAAAGAGGGTGGGCACATGGCACCGCCCTCCGCTCTGAAAGATAATCTCTGCAATCGCATAAATCAGCTCTGGTCGCCAGTGGCCGGTATAGACATCGATTCTCCACCGCATTCCTTTCCTCCGGAGAATGCTCCCAAGTTAGAAAGAATTTTCTCGCCGGCTGTCCATGCCTCACATTGGACGTGTGGGCACTGGCGCTGTCTTGTCTATACGAGTTCGCATGTCGCCATGCGTACCATCTGTTCGTCCTGGTTATATGTCGAGCTAGTATCGACCGCCTGGCTGCTACACGTCGACCTGCGGCCAGTGACGCTCCCACTTTCCGAAAAGATGCTTGAAAACAATATACTTGGGGGCGTGCTCACCTTGGTATACCAAATCTCTCTTGTTTTAACTGTATTCGCCATTGGTTTTATTCTTTCCGCGGTGCTATTTCACTGTCTGTGCAAGCAAGCGCGGATAAATCAAGCTTTGCGAGACCTTGCTGAAACTGCACCAATAACCTACAAGGCTATCGATATTTTCGGCAAACGGTTCGTGCCCCTTTGCGTGGGTCGTCTTTTCGGTCAAGCTTTATTCCCCGCGGATTCATCGCTGACCAGGGAAATCCTCTCATATGGCATTGAGATCATGGTGATTCTAGCCATTTACATACCCGGGTATCGGCTCATGGTCAGCCCACCTCGATCAGAGCTGGCGCCCTTGGAGGCTGAACCCCAATCCAGCTCTGGATCATCTTTGGACTCAAAGGCAGCTCCCAATAGTCACTACCAGAGTGCTCAAGACCCGGCAGCAGCTACGGAGTCCCTTTCGACATTGTCCAATGACGAGACAAAAGCGTACACGGACGGATGCGAATTCTCGGAAACTCCAAGACAGTTTCACTTCGAAGTTTTCCGTCTAGCTATTCTCGTCCCTACCGTGGCTGTTTGGATTTTCCTCTACCATTAGGTAGGAGCCCTGGTACCCGGCCTCAAAAGAAAAACGAGTATGTAGATCTAGTAAAACACTGCAAATATAGTACAAGTTATCACGATCGTAGCAGTCCCTAGACTAGGACGAAATCGACCAACCCCACCGCTGTTCCCAATATTAAGAGTATTATTGCCGAAACCGACAGTTCGAAGCCAAGTCGGGGAAGACGCGTTCATGTCGAGAACATCTGAATGATAAGCATCCAAGACCCCATTGAATGTGAATCGTATGGTGCCTTGGACAGCCGAACCCAGCTCCCCATTAGATCCGCCAATGTAATTAGTGTCGTTTGATCTCAAGAATGGATACGCCGCAAAATCTCCATCGAGTGTGAGGTTTGCAGTTTGGTCGTCAAACGTAACATTCATCATAGGAAGCATGAAGCTCTTCCAGCCTCGAGTGCTCCACCACCAGTCGCCTGGAATTTGTAGTGTCCCGAACTGCCATTTTCCATTATAGTAACTGGAGTTGCATGTTGGCATCAAAATATCATCATAACTCCACGAACTGAGCCCACTGGTGTCATTCAGTATGCCTCCCAAAGAAAACGTATTTTGGGATTTGGTGGCTGTGAAATTGAAGTTGTCGGGAACGGCAGTTGTGTTCTCTTGTGCTATCCATGTCGGTCTAAACAGGTCAGAATTGCGGACTAGAGGTGATATATGAGCCAACCCCCGATTATGACGACACTCACTGAGACGAATCAAGCGGCCACCAAAATGGGTTGTTTTCCAAAATACTACTCTCCCACGGCAACGTGGACCAGTTGTAATTCGGCGGTATCAAAGTCAGCCAGATGTTGACTGGGTTGGACCCCGTATTGTATGTGCCTCTGTCTGTGATAGCCAGAATCGAGGTCCATTTCATGGTTGTAGTGTAATTTTGCAAAGGCGCACACAGAGCATCACCGGGTTCAGATCCCATCTGGGGCGTCACCGTCACCTCTGTTGTAGCATTATAGTACCTACGGTCCGGTTATACAACTGATCCAAGTATACCACGTCTGGTACGTTACTCACGATCCAACCCATGCATACATGTCATTCAAGCCTGTGACATTACTGGGGCGGAAGTTCTCCGCAGCACTGTAGTCTGGGTCATCCTTGGCAAGGACGGTGACCGGTAAGCTCAGCAGATTTAAATATACAAAAAGGCAGCCCAAAGAACGACGCATGTCTGCGGCAAAGGAATAGAAAGGAGGTAGACACGAAAGAAATATTGAATTACCAGCTGGCTCGACAGTGGGTCCTGTGGGCTATATAAAGCAACCAGCCCTGTCAGCATTTAGCTTGGGAATAATCGGGCCGCCGTGCCGTTACGTACAGTGAAGCCCTCGATTTTACCGCCTTTTTTGACCGCCTAACCTCTATACAAACGCCTCGCAAACTTGTGTTTTGAACCCGCGCGTCTATCTACCTACCCAATTACGCCCCCCTATTCGTCGACGGACCATGCTGGATGGTCCTACAAGCAGACTCATACGCAATGCCCATCAATTCCAATTAATACTATTAGGAAAACTATCACATGAGAGAGCAAGCGCATTGATCATCAATCTACGCAGCGCTCAGGGCGTCCACGCAAGCTTGATAGCGAGGATGAAGCAAAACTTTTGATGCGCTTGGTGATGATCCTCGCGTTTCCTGTAATGACATCCTTGCTACCGCAGATCATAAGGCCAAAAAAGCTTATATATATTGATCGGACTTTAATTTCAATTTTTTTCAAAACTGTTTAGATGCCCTATAATATCGTAGTATTTTTTTTTTTTAATTTAGTTGTCCATTAATAGTAAAGCTGTATATGGTTGGAAGTCGGTAACTAACGCTTATCTAAATTGGTTTTTCCGGGCGGGGTTCACCTAAATCCGTAAATCTTGCAGAATTAAACTATGGTCGACCAAACACCATCTGTTCCTACATCCAGACATGGTCGCTACCACGCCAGGGACAGATAGATATCATCCTGACCGGCAAAACCCGGCTGCCGGACTTGGGGACGAAAGCAATGATGTAAATGAGACTACGGCTCTCCTTGGACCCGGCACGGCCGCGCGCCCTGACGTGCGCACATTGGATCCTGCAGATGGGTCGTCACCGCTGGAAGGCGAGGGAGCGGACGACAATGATGATGATGAGGAGGAGGAGGAGGAGGAGGATAAGCCTCTGCCCAAGCTCCAGGTTCTGCTCCTCTGCTATGCCCGAGCGATCGAGCCCCTAGCCTTCTTCTCCATCTTTCCCTACGTCAACCAGATGGTCCAGGACAACGGGGACGTTGCGGACTCGGATGTCGGCTTCTACAGCGGACTCATCGAGTCATTATTCTCCCTGACGCAGGCCATCGTTATGATATTCTGGGGCCGAGCAGCCGATCGCGTCGGGCGCAAGCCGGTCCTGGTCTTCTCTTTGTTTGGTGTGACCGCGGCAACGGGCCTCTTCGGGCTAGCAAAGACCATACCGCAGATGATCCTTTTCAGATGCCTTGCCGGCGTCTTCGCGGGGACCATCGTCACCATCCGCACTATGGTGGCCGAGCACAGCACGACCAAGACCCAGGCCCGGGCATTCAGTTGGTTCGCCTTTAGCGGAAACCTGGGCATCTTCTTGGGACCTCTGTTAGGCGGTGCCCTTGCCGATCCCGTACGTCAGTACCCACGCGCCTTTAAAGCCGTGCAGTTCTTCAAGGACTATCCATATGCGCTCTCAAGCCTGGTGGTGGCGGCAGTTGGAGCCACTGCTGCCGTGTCTACTGCCTGTTTTGTTCAGGAGACTCTAAGGAAGGAGTCGGCATCTGACGACGCGCCGGCCAAACGTGTCGATACCTCGATAGGGCGGCTCCTGAAATCACCAGGTGTAGGCATGGTCATCTACACGTACGGGCACATCATGGTCCTCGCCTTTGCATATACGGCCGTTGTCCCCGTCTTTTGGTTCACCCCCGTACATCTTGGGGGATACGGCTTCACGCCCCTGCAAATCTCGCTGATGATGGGTCTGAACGGCGCCGCCCAAGCCGCGTGGCTCCTCCTGGTCTTCCCCCCATTGCAGCAAAGGATCGGGTCGAATGGAGTAATACGCCTCTGCGCCTCTGCCTATCCGGTATTCTTCCTGTGCTGCCCAATTGGCAATGTCCTTCTGCGGACGGGGACCGAAGCATCTGTCAGGATTTTCTGGGTCATCACGCCGGTGATATTGGCCGTCGGCTGCGGTGTCAGCATGAGCTTCACGGCGATCCAACTCGCTCTGAACGACATTTCACCGTCACCGAAGGTCCTTGGCACGCTGAATGCTCTGGCCTTGACTGGCGTTAGCGGTTTGAGGGCCGTTTGCCCGGCTTTCTTCACCAGCGTCTTCGCTGTAGGGGCCAGAACACAGCTGGCGGGGGGTTACGCCATCTGGATTCTTCTGGTCCTAATTGCTTCCGGTTTATCGCTTGCAGCGAGATACCTACCCGAGCCTCGGGAGCCCCGTAAGCGCCGAAATAACCAAGAGAGGTGAAATGTTTCTGGCCCCGGTCTCATCCTTATGTAAAGTATACAAGGCTCAGTATATAGGTTAGGAAAATTCATATATTCTCGTTCCTTTAGCTTCCTAGCCTTGGTATAGGAACACCCATTCCAAAGACTCCTCCCAGGGTCAACTCTTCGTCTTTCACGATCCTATGTCTCACATGATTGCATCAATCCTGGTAATGTTTGTGACCAGACTGATGGTAACGGGCTCCTTCCAGTCTGAGTATACAAATATTCGTAACATTCTTTAAGCTATGTAAGAGCCAGCTGCAACAGAAGTTGACGACGCGCTCAATGGATAAGAGCTACTACCCAAGTACGAAACAAAGGAAATCAGGCCCTCGAATCTCTCTGCAACTGCCCAATCTCCTGCACAACCTTCTCTCTCCCCCATCCCTCTTCCAACCCCCTTACCACAATATCCAACTCACTCTCAGGCGCCATCCCACTGGGCGCCGGCGGACGCTTATCTAAATTCGTCGGAAACGGATACGCCTCCACAATAGCCTGCACGAGAGCCCTGACCTCCCTCGCGGGTAAACTCCAGCGGACCGGATCCATATCGGGACCTGCAATCACGCCCCCCGCCTCATTCTTATACTTGCTCACCAACAACTCCCAAACAGACTCAAGTAGCGGCAGCGTTTCAACGCTCTCCATCGTCTTCCCCATCGCGGCACTGATCTGCAAGAGATTCGCAACGCGTCTGAACCCGCCGTTTGCGGGATCCATAACATTCGCGCCTGCAGCGTGGAAGAGCGCAGGGTTAAAGAAAACCCCATCGCCCAATGACAGCGGGAGAGAGATATAATTCTCCTGGAAAAAGGACTTGAACTCGTCCCGCCGCCACGCGAGGTATCCCGGCGCATAACACTGGCTGAAAGGCAGGTATCGGGTTGGTCCGGACTCAACTGGCATATCGCTGTGCGCGACTGCGCCCTGCAGAGTCAGGAACTGGGATGCAAGCTGCAATGCCATCGGGTAATGGACGCATTTGTCTTCTTCCGCGAAGCCGAGGTGGTAATCCCGGTGTGGTGACTGGGCTGCGCCGCCTGGGTGCACGGCGTTTACTTGCGCGGTGATTTTGTAGCCTGGACCGAGCCAGGCGGTGCTGACGGCCGCAAGCCATGGGTTGGAGTAGTAGGATACGAAGCTTTCGGGGTCTGTGAGCGCGTGCTTGGAGAAGGCGCTCCAGATGCGGTCGTTGGTGCCGCCTGAGGCGAAGTGGTCGCCTTTCGAGGAGAAGGCGGCAGAGGATTTCTCGATTGCAATTATGGAGTCGTACGCTGCGTTTGTGGCGGATAGCACGGAGGAGTATTTGGCTGGGTCATACATTTTGCGTAGGACGAATACGCCTGGTCCCGAATGGAGGATGTGGTGCCATTCATCTTGGAGGGCGGTTAGGTTGTTGGAGGGGGTTTGGGTTTGTTCTAGGGTTGGAATGTCGTAGATGGGGACGTTGTGTGAGATGGTGTCGCAGAGAGGGTAAGTGGTTGGGTCGGTGGTGCGTGAGCAGAGGTGCTTGAATTCTTCCAGGTTTACGGAGGACGCGCTGTATAGCCGGGGGGGCACGGTGGATGCATGGCCGTTCATTATGGTAGTTCAAAGTATGTGGTATAAGTCTTGAAGATGCATAAGATGACAGTCCGTCCGACTATAAAGTCTTTAAATCCAGCGGAATCTGGTCTCCGCCGGTGCATCCCCACATCGCATTTCGTGCCGAAGGACATGGGGAACAGTAACGTCAACTGCTAGCCACTCGGAAAATTATTCCCGAGCCCGATTCGTCATTGTCAGGGTATCACAGGGGAGGGCTATCGAGCAGTCTATAGTACAGGTCTACTACCAAAGGGAAGCAAACAAAAAGGCAAGACAGCCCTCTCGAGATCATTATTGTGCCCGCCGCCACGGCCAGACGGGGCAGAGCCCACAAACAAACCAAAACATCCGTCCCGCAACGCCAGCCCAAAACAAGAGAGAGAAAAGACAACTCCGAGAATATGGAGATTCCCAAATGAAGGTGACACAAGATTCACCTGGAAACTCCCATCAACAAACATGTATCCGTCATCCGATGCCAGTAGTCCCATGCGTTGTGGATAAATCTCGTCAAAAATAAAAAAGATCTATGGGTCGAATCAAACGTCTTTTGGCTGGAGCCCAACAAAAAAAAGAAACAAGCAAAAATTCGTTAAGCAGGCAAGCAAGCAAGGTGGTGGCATCAGCTCATTCAAGCATTCATCATGACCACCCCGACATCTGAGGCCAGGACGGGATCGGAGGGTGCGGGTTCGCTCGACTGGCTTGACTCGCTGAGGAGCAGATGGTTCTCGGACATGGTCTCCACCAGGGCAGCGGGTCGGCCGGTGACAGTGAAGAGCACTTTCAGCAACGCACCGGGGCTGCGGGTGCCGTCAGGCATGGTAAGAATTGCTTGGTGCGTGTGGGTGACGAGGACGCGGACTAGCTCGCGAATCGGGGCATCCGTGGATGTGTCAATGATCAGGTCCAACCCATCGATCACACATACCAGCAAAGGCGGAGCAAAGTGGACGAGCGTGTCGATGAGTGACAACGCTGCTTTCCAGCTACCCAGCTTTCCGTCTAGCTGGCGGAACCGCTCTGCGCCTAGATCCAACACTGCGTCGCTGTCCACGACGGGGGAAGCCAATCAATTAGTTGGCGAATTAGACTGTATGTGAGGGCAATAAACCCTTGCTCTTGCGGTGTCAGTCCCTGCACCTCTTGGGTGGGCAGGGAACAGAAATGCGAAATGACGGGGAGTCGTGCCTGTCTGGCAAAGGAAGCATAGCAGGCTGACGTGAGTGCCACGGGGCTGGGGGAGACAGTGGGTGACCCGCCCACTGCCAGGGCCTGGGACCGCAAGCTCGTGGCCCATTGCTTCAAAGACGCAATGACACTGCCCTCGGCAGCCACCTTGACCTCGGGTTCAACATCGGCGATCTGATCGTTGTTGTCAAAGTACGCCTGGAGATGCTTCGATGCACTTTGAAGCTCGAGGCGGGCCAGGCGGCGTTTCGACCCTCGAGACCATTCAAACTGTGATGTATCTAGTCGGTGGTCAGCGAAACCCGCGCTGCGTGGCTTTTTTGGGGGTGGGGGGGGGGGGGGGGGGGGGGGGGGTCATACCGAGATTCTGGACTGCAGCCGTGCTCAAACAAGCAATGCCACTACTCTGTTCAACGGGCTGCAGCTGCTGGCTCAAGGCACTCAGCGCCTGCGCCAGGAGGTGCTCTCGCTCATTACGGATACGTTCCCGGTCCTCTGCATTCTGCTGAATATCCCATATCAATCGGCGGGTGATGGTATTCTGGGCGGCAATACGACGCTCCGTTCCCTGGCGCCCAATCTGGCTCAAGCGGGTCTCCTCCCACAGAGCCCGGGCATTATACGGGAGGGTCTCCCAGACCGACTCTTCCTCGTCCAATTCCATCCGATCTTCCGCTCGCCAGGGGAGATCGCGCGCCCGGCGCTGGATGAGATGGACCAGATGATCAAACTCGGCGTATACATCCTGGTTGTGGCTTTTTAAGGACTTGCAGGTGGATCTCCGCACATAGTAGTCCATAAATTCCGAGAGCAAGAAAAATGTGACGGCGTAGATTTTCGCAATGGGAGCCGCGGCATCGGTCGGAGGAAGAGTCCCTCCAGGAAAGTTCAGGGTGTTATGGATATCAAGGAGAATTGTGATCAGTCCCTCCATGAGGTGCGGGCAGTTTACCGTTGCCTGAGATGGGTGATTAGACGCTTGGCAATCCATATTTCGGTCGCTCACTCACCTTCAATAACGATTGGAGCACCCCATAAAAGAGCAGGGCGTAGAGGCTGGATTCAGGCAGAACGGACAGCAACGCCGAATGAGTGTCTAGGGTGGGGAGCAGGCGATCGCAGAGGGCGGATGCCTGACTGTACACCCGTTGCCGCGGCCGGGACATCCAGTAGGTCTGGGTTTTGCGCACGAGATCGACAATGTCGTGAGCAGTCTGTGGGCGGGCATCCCCGTCGACCACCCGATCCTCGGGCGGCAGATGGCTGTTGAACCACTTCCACGTCTGTGCCAGCTCGTTGCGTTCGGTGTCGAGCTCCGCGATCGCAAGGGTTCTACCGAAAAATTCGTTAGCACGGACGAGGGGGTCTGCTGCAAGAGGCCCACGTACGGCGAAGGTGTTGGCGGCCATTGCTCGTCCCCGGTCCCCTGAGGGTTGCGGGGGATGTCGGGGGGCATGGTGTGCCTGTGTCCCTAGAGGGGGTGAATACCCTTCGGGTGAAGAAACAAGAACGAATGGATGGTCGGGCGCAAAAGACAAACCCGGACAGCACGATCAGGAAGTCATGACATGAGGTGGTGGTGGGTGTGTGGGGGAAGGGAAAGGGAAAGGGGAAGGAAGGAAACAGAGCCTGTAGAAGAGGGGGGTTTTGGGCGGCCATGGCGCATTTTGCGCTGCATTTCACCGTGGTCGATGAGAGCCGAGGCCTTGACTAGGGTCCGGCGACGAGTCTGGAGTGCGACCGCCCGCTTGGTTGGATGTGATCGCAAGAACCGTCCCCCAAATAATGATCACGCTTATGACCATAATCCGAAACATAATCATGACTGGACTCCTCACGACCACGATCTCACTAGTGAGTTTCGTCCAGCCGGGTGGTAGCAGTCAACTTGGGTCAGCACGGATCACGTCGATCCGGGCGAGCCAGTCCAGATCCCCCCCGATCGAGGGCTGCTGGACTTCCCCCATTCGTGACCGTTCGTCATGACTTGCGTACGTCCTCTGGTTAGGACCCTTAAATAATCATGTCCCACTCTTGCTGCCTTTCTTCCCTGCCCGACTCCCTAACTACGTCTCTCCTGCGTAGTGGCATGCCCCCACACTGCTCCATCCGCCAACTCCCGTGAAATCATCACCGTGGGGGAAGGCCGATCATGTTCTCTTCTCCTCCGTTCTCTTTTCTCCTCCTCCTCCTGCCCGCGTTCCTCTCTTCTGTCCGTGCCGATGTCACCGTCGAGGCCTCCAACAGTACCAACGATATCCCCAGTGCCCGCTTCCATTTGCACAGCCACGTCAGCCTGCTGAACAATCAAAAACTCGCTCCACTGACCGCAGCCTTGACGACCTTGTCAGACGCCCAACTCCAGGTAATTAATCATGTTCCGTCCGGTCGCAACCCGCGAAACGACCAACTAACGGGCGGCTCGATCTCCCATAGTCCTTCAATCTCACTGGCCCTACGGTCGTTGCCAATCCCATTAATTCTTTCTCGCTGCCCAATTCTTCCATCGCCTGTATCTCCTGTGACCAATCAGAATATGTGTCGGGGTTTGTGACTGCCAGCGGCACCATCAGCGACGTCATCTCCGCAGGAAACGCTCTAGCCATCCTCCTCTACAGTGAATCGGCCGGGCATTGCGACTACTCGTCCGATGAGAACTTCGCCAACGTTTTTACTGTGCTGAATCCCGATGCTGCCAAGGCCCTGCTCAATTCCACCGGCTCTTCTCTCAGCATCCTCTCCGCCATGTCGACGGCATACATTCCAACCGGGACCCCGGACCCGGTCCCCGGCCAGCAGAACAACGATAGCCCCAACACGGGTATGTGCTAATCGACCCCAGATGGATGAGTGGTCCGTGCTAATTGTGTCACAGCGATGATCATCCTCTACAGCATCACGGGGATCATCACCGCGCTCTTCCTGGGCATCATCATTACGGGCGCAGTGCGGGCCCATCGCCATCCAGAACGATATGGACCCCGCCGAATCGCCGGACGGGTGCGGCAAAGTCGAGCACGAGGGATAGCCCGAGCCATGCTCGAAACGATCCCCATTGTCAAGTTTGGCGACAATGCAGACAGCGTCGAGGCTGCCAAACGTGACGTGGAGCTGACCATGAACCCCGAGGAAACGCCCCGGGAGCATTTTACGCCTCGGACCGACAGTATCACCGCGGTGGAAATGTCTGCACCAGGCGAAACCCAGCCGTCACCACCAGAACAAGCATCCGACGACCCCCAGACGACGACCGCTCATGAATCCAAACCCGATGCAGTCCCCGACACGGGCAACTTCTCCTGCCCGATCTGTACAGACGACTTCATCAAGGGCCAAGATCTCCGCGTGCTGCCGTGCAACCACCAGTTCCATATGGAGTGCATTGATCCCTGGCTAGTGAATGTGTCTGGCACCTGTCCTCTCTGGTTGGTCCCTCTCCCAATCTATGATCTAACCCTATACTGACACAACACCCACCAGCCGCATTGATCTCAACCCGCCCCCAGCCGAAGAGAATGCCGAGCCAGGAGAGGGCGAGACCGGTGAGAACACCAACACAGAGGCCACCCCCGATGGTACCGCAACTCCGACCGCCGATACAACGCACCATCACCCGCACCGACGACTCACGACGCTCCTGCACGGCCACAGCCCTCTGAACGCGCGGCACATGCACGAGGCCACCGTCGAAGAGCGCCTCGCTGCGCTCCGACGGGTGCGCGAGGAAAACCAGGGCCAGGGCCAGGGTCAAGTTGAGGGATCGCGCCGGAGTCGCAGCAGACTCACGACACGTCTGCGTGACCGGTTCCGCATCCGCACCCGCGCTCATGGCGTCGAGGGTTCTTCTGGTGTGCAAACACCCGCTGAACCCGCGGTGCCAGGCCCGACTCAACCGACGCCCGCTGCTGAGCCGGAGACATGAGCTTATTTTTGTTTTTCTCTTATGTTCTGGCGTTGGCATGATTTACGATTGATTGATTGATACAACTTTTTTCCCTTTCTCATCTCATCAAGATGGACGGCGTTGGGCACGCGTGCGCGAGGAAAAGAATGTGCGGATCGTTTGATTTCTCTTCGATGTGATTTATTTTGGTCTTGTGCTTTTTGCATATACTACTACACGTGTGTACTATGTACTGTTTATATGGGGGATCATGGATATTCATCTACATACAACCAAAATATATATTCTCCCTCAGTATTATTCGGCGAATCCATCTCCAAATCGTCCCCTCTCCACGCTCCCCCGGTTGGACTCGGATCCATTTCCTTAGTATTATTTCCCCCTGCGGAGAAAACTTCCCCGACTCCACTTGCGCCTTTTTTCTCTCTCGGCGGCCCTGACACACCGAATGACTCAGCGTCGGGCCCCCAGCCTGTCACGGGGATTTGGGGCGGGCAGCCTCAGGTGTCGAGGGCATGTGAAGCGGGTGCGTCATGGGCGAGGAAGACACCGAGGGAGTAGGCCGAGGTAGTGATGGAAGGGAAGAGAAGGAAAATATAAATAACTTAGCGACAGAGACGTCACTAATATCTTGACTCCAAATAATCCCTTTGTCAGGTCCACCCCCTCATGCATTCCCCCCATCCGGTGAACGCAAGCAGACAGATAATCGGTCCCGTCCGGGGTAAAGTATTTTAGTGATCATCACAGCCCAGCCCGCCAACATGGCCCCTACAACATCTTCTTCTTCCCCCTCCACCCGCCTCTCAGCACTCTCCCACCACATCATGGGTTCCACTGCTCCTGTCTTCACCGCGCAAGCCGTGGCCGCCGCGCCGGAGGATCCTCTGTTCGGTCTCATGAAGGCCTATCGCGAGGACCCCTCAGAGAAAAAGGTTGATTTGGGCATTGGTGCCTACCGCGACGATAATGCGAAGCCGTGGATTTTGCCGGTTGTGAAGAAGGTATGTAATTACGTCCTCCCTCTGATTTGCAACCACTCCTTGCAATGGCCCTTCCTTGCTAACGAGAGAGAAAGGCCGACAACGCCATCCACAACGACCCGACCCTCAACCACGAATACCTCTCCATCGGCGGCCTGGCCGAGTTCACCGCGGCCGCGCAGAAACTGATCGTCGGGTCTGATTCTCCCGCCATCCGAGAGAAACGGGTATGTCCTCGCGAAATCACACTACGACCACCACAGCAAGGAACACTACGTGCTAACGCCCCCACCAGATCTGCTCCCTGCAGACCATCTCGGGAACCGGCGCCGTCCACCTCGGCGGACTCTTCCTCTCGAAATTCCACCCCAACAAACCAGCCATCTACCTCTCCTCGCCCACCTGGGCAAACCACCACCAGATCTTCACAAATGTCGGCCTCACCCTGGGTAACTACCCCTACTTCTCGACGAAGACCAAGGGACTCGACTTCGATGGCATGCTGCAAGCCATCCAAGGCGCGCCAGCTGGCTCAGTGATCCTGCTGCACGCCTGCGCGCACAATCCCACAGGCGTCGACCCCACCCAGGAGCAGTGGAAGCAAATCGCAACGGTCATGCGGCAGAAGCAGCACTTCCCATTCTTCGACACCGCCTACCAAGGCTTCGCATCCGGCGACCTGGCGCGCGACGCCTGGGCGATCCAGTATTTCGTCGATCAGGGATTCGAAATGTGCGTCGCGCAGTCCTTCGCCAAGAACTTCGGTCTATACGGCGAGCGCACAGGCGCGTTCCACTTCATCTCTGCGCCTGGCGCGGACGCATCCAACGCATCGGCTCATGTCGCCAGCCAGCTGGCTATCCTGCAGCGGTCAGAGATCTCGAATCCGCCCGCTTACGGGGCTAGGATTGCTAGTCGGGTCTTGAATGATCCGGCCCTGTTCAAGGAGTGGGAGGCTGATCTTAGGACCATGAGTGGGAGGATTCAGGAGATGCGGAAGGGGTTGAGGGCTCGCCTGGAGGAGAAGGGCACGCCGGGAAGCTGGGCCCATATTACCGATCAGATTGGCATGTTTAGCTTTACGGGATTGAGCGAGGCGCAGGTCAAGGTGTTGAGGGATAAGTGGCATGTTTACATGGTGCGTTTCTTCCCTTCCTCTTTGTTTTTTTTTAACGCGGACTTACTGACGAGGAGCCACAGACCAAGAACGGCCGCATCTCGATGGCCGGTCTGAACTCGCACAACCTGGACTACTTTGCCGAAGCAGTTGATAGCGTTGTCCGTGAGACTTCTTAAGGTTATGCTAAGGCTGAGGATATCTGCGCAAGATCAAAATTAGTCTAACGCAGGATTGAGGGTTGGATTCCTTTCTACACTCTGGCTTCTGATTGGGAACATCTTCAGATAGTTAAGTCAGCCAGACGTTGCATGGATGATGACTGCCGTGGTGTGTGCTGCTGCATTCGTATTATGTGTTGTAGATCTACGCCGAGTCTGGGATTTCGCGTTGAATACAATTAGATTTTCGGTTAGGGTCTTCCGCTCGTGTTTGTTGTTAGATGATGATATTATCATTGCGTCAATCCTATCTGTATCAATACTCACATCGAATACTCCAATATCTCACAGGCTGTATTTCTGAGAGTAAGGTAAATATACATTGCTACGTCTGCCATCAACCTCAGAAGACACGCAGGCCTACTGAATGCATGATGATATACAACAGACAATCAAACCACCTTTCCCTTCCCTTCCTCATATACCGTACTAGAAAACCAAATCCCAAACAACAAGCCACGTACACAACCCAACAGTGCCCCAAAACACCGCCTGTGCCGTACTCCGCCTCTCCGTCGCACGCTTCAGCTCGCGATTGCCCTTGCCAACATTCGACGATGTCGCCTCCGCGTCTGTGACCAGCTGCGAGATGAACTCTTCTTGGGTGGAGAGGTGAGAGACTAGCGTTTCTTGGAGGGAGGAGATTTCTAGGAGAGATTTTTCGGCGTTTCTTTTGGTGGTGGATTGGTGTTAGTGTTGTGTACCGATATTTACGGATGAGGGATGTGGGGAATATGTAATATGTATAAGGGGATGTGGAGAAGGATAGAGAAGAAGGCGGGAAGCGAGAGGGGAATACATACTGGACTTTCCCAAGGGTATCTTCGTAATGCCGTAGCATGGTGTCATTCTCCTCCGCAAAAAGCTGCAATTGCTCCGGCGAGAGCTGTGCTTCGATCCGGGCTGTGTCCGCGTTGCTGAGAACGGCTGCGTCGGGTGTTGGTAGCGGCGGTGATTTTGAGGGCGCTCCGTACGAAGGCGGATTCGGCGATGTTTTGCCTGGCACACCACCACCGCTAGGAAACGAAGTATCGTTCACCCCAGACCCAGCACCAGCACCACCAGCAACCTTATACAGAACACTCTTCTCCTTCTCGCGCGCCCGCTCAATGCGCTTCTCAACCATATTCCGCTGGACACTCATTGCGCCGTCCAATCCTCTTCTCAGAAACCAAAGTACACCCTCCCTAACAGTCCGAATAGCCCGCGCGCATTCCTCAGCACGAACCTGCTCTTCAGATTTCCCCTGATTCGACTCTGCATCCTCGCCACCACTCTCACCCAGTGCCCCGGCCCCACCAGCCCATCGCCAGAGAAGCGAATGCGCAACGCCGTGTCCGTATTTCTTGCGTAGCACTGTCGCTTCTGTTTCCACGCGGAGGGACTCCGCCGAGGCGAGGTTGGAGATTGAGGCTGCTAGGTCGCGGAGTAGGAGGGCGGTTGAGGAGTCGACGGCGTCACGCTCGGGGTCGGTGAGATGGGTTTGTGTCTTTGAAGGGGGGTGATTGTTGTGTGAGTTGCTGTTCCGGAATTTGGGGTTCGTGGTGTTGGAGCTGGTGTTGTGGCGCGGGGCCGTGGTGGAGAGATAGGAGTGCCGGATGGATTGGAGGTATTGCAATAGGGATTGGATATGTGAGTTCTGTTTCCTCGGCAATTTCAATTAGTTTAAATGTAGGTAAATGTTCGTGTAGGTGCGGACTGACGATTCGGTATGCCTCCTTCAGGAACTCATCTGCTGTCTCTGTGCTTGGTAGACGGGATTCGGTGGTGGACACTGGGGCTGCATGCTTGTCTGAGAGCAGCGTGTTGAGCGCGGGAGTGAGGTCGCTCATGGTTGCGCAGGGTGGTGTAAGTTGGATTGGAGAGCTGTCAACAAACGTCAACGTCAATCATGCGTACTTGGTTCGTGTCGCGTCCCGGAACTGGCATGTGCTTGGACCGAGCCCTAATTTGTACATTTGCAACAAGCTATCCAAGATGGAGATTGTTTATGCGACAGATCTTTTTTTGTCGCGAAAATATTCTAATAAGTTCAAATTTGAAACTGGAAATTTGGCATTTAGCATGTTTGGGCGGCGATGGAGGCACTAAAATATGTTCTCCGGCCTATATTGTATTCATTTGCCTTGTAAAACATCTTTAGATTCGTGCGCTAGACTAGGTAAGACCATCGCCAATTCTTGGCCATACATGCTATAGTTCCGGTTGTGACGAATTTAAATGAGGAAGATGAGATGAGCTTATGTTCTCAAGTTGTTGATCATGCTCGGAAAGGTGTAACAAAAGTGTCAGTTGCATCGCTGAAGGCGTCTTCTGTTTTTAAGGTTCAAAGTGCTTGATGTCATCCAAAGTCTGCCATGCCACATAGCAAGTGGTGTTTTTTTGGTTCATTAATACTGGGATAACCTCCTAGCCCGTAGCTTAGTGGGAAAAAGGAAAGTTATACAATGATCATCCACCCACATGTCTCGCCATTGTTGAATAGTGTAGAAGGTTGCTTGAAGTGTGCGAAGTCGATACAAGATGCTGTACCGGTGTGGTGGATGGGCAGGAAGTACAGGTATGATATCGAAGTTTGGAGCATCCGTGGGGCAGAGGAATAAACGCCTAACGCATATTTTGTTGTTTTTCTTCTGAAATGGTAAGGCCGCCCCTAAATTGTCTCTAGATGTATGCCTGACAAATAGACTGGTTATAAAGTCAAGAAAAAAAAAGCGCCTCGCGCACAGCATACGGAACCGGTCTCTTCCTCGCAACACACACAACCCTCGGAGTCGTAACCCCAGCACCACGCTGAGCCTCCGCATATGCCTCCTCAATAAGCTCATCGAGATGCTTCGCCTCCTCCTCCCGTCCCTCAACCTTCATCTGCCCATTAAACTCCTTGATAGTCATCAAATGAATTTCCGTATCATGGCAAATCAAGTCCGGCCGTCCATGATAAAATGTCAACTGACACTCTTCAAATCCATGCTGAAGCAGATGCAAGGGGAGATCAAACACCCAGTCATGGCGGCCATCCGAGTGCACAAACTCCCTGATCTTGTCGAGCGCCACAGTCTTGAGCTTTTCATCTGTCTTTTCAACATACGTGTGTGCGGTGCTCAGATCGTCCCACTGAATCCAGCCCCCGGGCTTAAGCAGCTTAATTACATTCTTGATCACAGGCGCCGGATCTCTGTTCGAGATGGTAAGGAGAAGAAGACGCAGGTGGATTACGTCGTACCGCTCTTCGAGCTCGGTCGGGACCTCGTCGAAGATATTCCAATCGTAGAGGCGGTGGATGTTGCTGGGGCGCCATGCGGCTGGTGGGAGCCGGGTGAGATTGATGTCGATTCCGTCGAGGATGGCGTTGGGGAACTCGTGTGCTGTGTCGAGAAGCCAGAGGCCTGTTCCTGCAGTTACGTCGGCGATGCGCGGGTGATCTCCGACTGCGTCTCGGATGACGGGGTGCAGGGTGTAGCCGAGGCACTGTTTCCAGATGAGGTATTGGTAGTTTAGACGTTGGCTTCCTTCGTGGCCGGAGTCAAGCAGGTAGCCCTTTCCTTCGCGCAGGCCGAAGCCGGCGACGTGGTTGAGAGGTGAGGTCTCGGGCATGTTATAGGACAAAAAAATCAAAAGATCTATTGGTGGAGTAGAAAAGATGATAGTAAGATCTACGTGTGGATAGGAACCTATAGGAGACGAGCCCTATTTATCTACAGAACGTGCGAGTCAAGAAGTCACGATAGCTTTCCAGCATGAAAGCCAACCAGATTTTGGGACGAACGCGGCAAGGTATTCATTGGGCCTGACTGATTGATCAACCACTTATCCTAGACATTGTTGAGTAACCGGTATTGGTGCAGACCGCACTGCTCAGTAATAATTAGTCAATAAACGCATAGTCACCGCATGCATGATATAGATCCACGGCATTGTCCCAAAACAAAAGTAGACACTATCGCCAAAAGAGTAGGACAGAAAATGCTCTTACCTCCCTTTGTATTTGACCCCTAGGTTTTGGACACTCACCGCGGCGAGGTATCTATTGGGCTCCATGGTTTGATCAACTGCTTAGCTAGACATTATTGAGTAACGGGTAATGGTGCAGACTGCACTGCCCAATAAATAACTAGTTAACGCATAGTCACCGTATTTATTACGCAGATCCACGGTACTGCCCCAAAGTAAAAAGCAAACACTATCGCGAATAGAGTAGGACAGACAACGCTGTTACTCGATCGGTGCAATAGTCAGAGAACCCCTACTTCTCTTTATTCTTTCCATCATTCCCACTTCTCTTTTCTTTTGCATCATTCAATTGAACTTTCGTATACCCGTCCGAATCCTTTGTACTCGAACAGAAAATAACACAACGCTTGGATAGGAGGTATTATGCTTTGCTGCCTCTAAAACATGATGACCGTGACGGGACACGACCAATCGGCTCATATGAACGCAACACTCCAACTCTTGGGACGCTTGCGTGATTTGAGGGACAACAAGCAAAATATTGTTCTTAACGGCAGCAACCTCGACATTGCTTCCATTGTCGCAGTTGCTCGTCATTGTGTCGAGCCCACAATCAGCACAGACCAGCTGCTCGCCAAGCGGCTCGAGATCTCCGTCAACACTCTGGCCGATGCCATTTCTCAGAAATGTGTCATCTACGGCGTCAACACCGGCTTCGGCGGCAGTGCTGACACTAGAACCAACGAACTCATCGACCTGCAAACCCATCTGCTCCAATTTACCCAAAGCGGAATCATCACTGCCGCCGACAAGGATCCGGCCAGCAACTCGGAGCGGGAATCATCCCACGTCATGCCTCTGACCTGGATTCGAGCCGCCATCGTTGTCCGAGCCAATCAGAATCTCAGGGGTCACAGTGCCATCCGTAAGTGCGTGCTCAAGAGCCTAATTGACCTACTGCACAACGGCATTACTCCTCTAATTCCACTTAGGGGGACCATTTCTGCATCTGGAGATCTGATGCCCATGGCCTATATTGCTGGAGCAATCATGGGCAACCCGGATGTCTTTGTCCAGGTGGGTAAGGGCGCACAAGCCAGAGTTATGCCTTCCTCGGAGGCATTGAAGATGAGCGGGCTCTCTCCGTCGGGACTCGGCCCAAAAGAAGGACTTGGGCTCATCAACGGCACTGCTCCTTCTGTGGCTGTGGCAAGCTTGGCACTGTATGATGCGCAGCAGCTTGCGTTGTTATCTCAAATGCTGACGGCTTTCACTTCTGAATGCTTGTCCGGGAATTTAGAGTGGGCTCGGCCCTTTGTTCACGCCACTCGACCTCACGCTGGACAAATTGAGGTGGCAAGCAATATCCGGCGCTTCTTGAAGGGCTCTAAGTTTGTTGTTGGCTTAGAGTCGCAGAAGACATCCGGCGACGGACTTTGCCAAGATCGGTATTCGACAAGAACAGCTCCTCAATGGATTGGACCTTACCTTGAGGATCTTCTCCTAGCGCAACATCAGCTCGAAGTTGAGCTCAACTCCACATCTGACAACCCACTAGTGGACACAAGCAAGCAGGACGATGGTTCTAGTGGGAAAGTGTACACCGGGGGAAATTTCCAAGCAGCTACCGTCACGTCGGCTATGGATAAGGCTCGTTTGGCTATCCAAATGATAGGACGGATGCTTTGGTCCCAGGTTACTGAGATGATCAACCCTGCTACAAATAACGGACTCGAGGCCAACCTTAATGCTACCTCCCAAGAGAGCTTCACTATGAAGGGAATCGACATCAATATGTCAGCGTACATGTCTGAGTTAGCAGCCCTAGCACACCCGGTCTCTGCTCATGTCATGTCAGCCGAGATGCATAATCAGGGTATCAACTCTCTCGCTCTGATTTCAGCCCGACGCACTATGGAGGCCGTAGACCTGTTGGCACACATGAGTGCCTGTCATTTATATGTCTCATGTCAGGCTGTCGAGATCCGGGCAAATCACGTCCGATTCCTTTCAGCACTCCGTACCAAGATGGAGGACTTCACCGCAAGCGGTGCATTGCACGGACTCGGATTGAAGGGCTCGCAGATTGAAACACTATGCACGTTACTCCTCCCCATTGTCCAGTCAAGCTGGTCCCGCGCAAACTCCAATACTTGGAAAGACCGTGTCTTGTCTGTAGTTGATGCCGTTATGTCTTCAGTCAACAAGTTTATGGCCATTCACAACCCCGACTGTTTAGTGTCAATGATTATCGCCTTTAAAAAGCATTTTCAGAGCGTTGTATCCAGCACAGCCGAGGCAATGTTTTATCCCAGCCCGACTATTTCCCCCGAGGAAGTGGCTACGCAGCTTGGTAGGGGGACTGCACAGCTCTATAGGTGGGTGCGCTCGAAGCTCAACATCCCTATTAACTGTGGCCTCCAAGACGATCCTTTGTATAACGCTCAGAAATGTCTTCCCATAAAGGGCAAAAAAAGCATCGGAAGCTCGGTAAGCATAATATATGAAAGCTTGCTTAAGGGTGAAATGATGGATATGATTCTAGAGGGTTTAATGCAAGATAAGGAATAGGTATACTGTACATTAGGAAATCTGAGATTATGTAACGGAATTTCAAGTGTCATGAGCGCACTATAAAAGGCCAATGCAGGCATTGAATTGAAATTTTAGGGACATTTCGACGAATGGTATCAGAACTCTACGCGCCTGGTTCAAAGCTTGACCTGTTAACAACACGAATACGAGCCATCTCATCCAAACATCCTGATTGGTATAAGATGACAAAAACAACACAAAAGGCGATATCACTATGAAAACTACGCTGGTATTCCATTCGCTGGACCTAGGGTATAGACAAAACCAAGATGCTAATATCAACAAGCCAGAAAATCTAAAACGCCTCGGACCAACAGCCTCAAGCCCAAGCCCAAGCAAGCTCAAATCATAGCCCTTTCCTCTACCCATATCTAGAACATCGTCAGCATCAGCATCGTTCTCTCAAGATGAGGCGAAAACAAAAAACTCACCTCCAATTTCCCCATTTCTGTCCTCTCCCGCCGAGCGACCTCTCGGGCCGAGCTCAGCAGCAGATCCAAGTCCTCCTGGTCAACCATGGTGATCATGTCGCCATCATCCTGCACTTTCATCTTAAGCGGGCATCGGAACCCGAATTTCTCGCGGATACGCGATTCAAAATCGGCGAATGTGATATCTGACGCAACCATGATATACCGTGTATCTTCTGGTGCGTGGACTTTCGTTCTGAAGCGTTTGACATCGGGTCGCTGTCGCGAGGGAGCACGCCGTGTGGCTCGCGCGGGAGATTGTGTTCTCCGTTGGGATACCGGTGAGTCGCCTGGAGTGGCACCGAGAATATGGAAGGCTCCGTCGTTGAGAGCGTCTCCGTCACAGATGTCGCTGTCAAACTCTTCTTCCTCGTCGATGTATTGGGGTGGTTGGTGTCGGTTACCTCTACCCCAGTTGGGGTTATTGGCGTGCCGTTGTGGTGGAGAATTGTACAGATCTGTATCTCCGTAGCTCCCAGCGGGAGAATAGGTGGTGTCACTGAGATTCCTCCGATGTCCTCCTTCTTGAAGGTCGCGAGTCCAAACTGCAGGATCTTGCGCGAATCCCCGCATGTTATTTCGTGACGGCGGCCCGCGCGGCTCTGATGCTGTTCGCGTAGTTCCAATCCGGGGTTTCTCCATTGATACTTGCGCTCGGCCTCCAGGGCGACGGTCTAGACTGGTACCCGTCCGATCTAGATCGAGACGTGGCGGTCGGCCGCCCCTTAGAGACGATGGACGATTGTGTAAAGATGCGCTGCCGTGCCCAGAGGCTGAGCTCTGGCTTCCTGTCCGGTCATCGGGTGGCGGTGTGGGTGGGAACACATTACGGTTCATTGGGGGCTCAGACTGCTGTCGAGTGCGGCTGGTGAGATTCTTGTGAACGAGATTCGTGGCCGCAAAAGATACTCCCTCTCGGTCTTCAAGTGCAGCGCGATCAATGACCAGCGGTCTCCACTGGGACTCTGCTCCCTGGGTGCGGTCAGATGCGGCGATGAGTCTGGCTTTGCCTAAATAATCCTTGGTTTTGAGATTCTTGACTTTGGCTGCGTTTGGCCGATAGAGAACCCCGACCGGGATTGAGAATACCGTGTAGCCCTGGGAGCGTGTGAGTAGCATATCATAAAACTGCAGAGCAGACATACATCAGCATTCTCACGTATCGCATCGTGAATCACATCGTGGTCTGTCGTTACTTTCTCCTTTGCGGCATACTGAAGATCCTGCAAGCCTGGACCCATTTGTTGTAGGTAGATGTAGCATAGTCCACGATTGAACAACACTTCGCACGAGTAAAGGCGGAACTTGAGGCCTAGCTGCTCATAGTCGATCGAGGTATTTCCTCGCAGATACAGCAGGGTATCATTGAAATTGACCAATGCTTCCTCAAAATCTCCAAGCAGGAAGTTGGAAACGCCTTGCTGAAAGTAAGCGATTGCGAAATATCGGTCGAGCCCAACTGCGCGTTGATAGCATTCCACCTGCTCATGTTAGTGATATACATCTTTTGTTCTGGCAGTTGGACTTACTGCCTTATCATGTTCGCCGAGAGTTGCATATATGACCCCGCAATTGAAAAGGATCTTTGATGTATCTGCAATTGCATCGAAGCAACGGAGAGCTTCTTCGAAGTCTTGGTTGTCATAGGCGTCCAGAGCCTGAACCCAAGTTTCAATTTCCTACACCGCCAAGCTGTCAGCTCTCAAGTTCCCTCGTGCCAGTTCCCGTATCTCTCACCTGTTTGAGCGACATTGCGATAGATGCCGACCTCCTCCGCGCCTAATGGGTGTATATGGGTGGGAAGGGACCGCAACGGAGAGTGCTGCTTCCCATCCGACTCCCCTAAGGACGCGAGGACAATCTTTATGGGCGGTTGGTCTCCAGGCCACTGCCAGTGGGTGGTTGACACCGGTCACACCGCATCCAGGGGAATCCCGATATTATAGCCACTTGCGCAACAGCCCAAATGGTGGAAATCTGGGCCCGCCAGAAACAGATAGTCCGCCGAAGTAAGATATCGAGAGTCGCACGGGCGTCACAGAGAATGCGGCGGGGGGTATTCGAGGGATCGGAAGCGAATATCTGAGTCCCACCGTATCCTTTCGATCACAGCGCAGTCTGAGGAGGAAAAGATCGCCGAGGGTGGATTGGTAAAATCGTTCACTGCAGCCACAAGAACCAATCTCGCGGTGTGGTATTAATAGAAAGCACCCCCTGGTCCCAAAAGCCTGTGGCGGGGAAAAGCCGGGACCCATAGAAAGACCGGACTGGATAGCCAAGCTTCTGATCACGATCCTGCGCAGATTCGAGTGGCTAGACTTGGAGGATGAGGGGAGGGGAGGATTACATGAGATAACAGACATGGGTCGAGGAAAAGAAGAGGAAGACGGGTGATGTTCTCGAGCTGCATGGAGGGGCAGGGGCTGACAGGGGAAGAAGGGCTAGTCGGGCCGACTGGGGAAAGCAGCAAGCGCCGAGGGGAAAGGACGGTGACGAGTTAAAAATAACCTGCAGGACGGGAGCAGCAATGAGAGCCCGGAGCACCTGTTTGGCACCCTGAGTGGCCGGTTGCGCGCTCGGGATCACTTGTGAGTGGTCTGAGCATCGGATTTTTTCCGTCTGTCACAGGCATCGCTTGGCAGTTCAATACCTGTCGGCCTCGGATGCTCAGTTTGTAGTGATACTGGTCTGGTCAGCCATGTTTATTTTGCTCTTCCCCGTGGAAAGGACCCGGTCCCGTGGGATCGACAAGGGTGAACGGGCCGCCAGTGTGGAACCCCGTCAAGGATCCATGGGTGGCCCAAGGGTTGAAATGCTAAGAAATATAGCGATTTACTTACCATGGTAAGCAGCCGTTTCTGTGTTAGCGGAGACCGTCTGCCAAGCTAGGGTCTACGCCACGGCGCTTGTGAGAGCTTTCTTTCGAGGCATGGAGTATTTAGCAATAAGCGAAGGGGAGAAGGAAGGATGGAAACCCCATAATCTGGGTTAGGCTGGATTTTTGAATCGAACATAGAAAGTAGTTATAGATGATCAACCGCAAAAACCAGTTACATATTGGGCACTGATCCCAAAGCAGAATTTAGAAAATGAACTTTATTTCTTCGCTCAAAGCCTGTACACAAAGTCGTGATTTTCTTGAGACTCATCCTATGGCCGCCATCACATATCAATCCAGCTCTGCGAGCCCATGCGATATTCCGCTATGCAGCTTCGGACGCTCTTGCCTTCGTGCCTTCTACCAAGCAGGAAGATCGTTTCCGCGGGGTTTCCAGATAACACAAATCCAACGTTATGTATTCTGTAGTGTTCAGGTAGTGTCGGTTGTCCTTGACAGTCAAAGATAGAAAGGTCATCAGATAGCCCGCCAGAAATAAAATAATCGCCTTCCTCGAGTTCCACGACCTTGCGCGCCACAGAGGCAGTGGCTCTCGCATCCCAAATCCCTTCTCGGTGGAAGACCGATTCCAGTAATTGGACTGCCTGTATTCTGAGGCGATGGACTCGGCATTTCACGGCCACATAATAGAGAGGCGCAATGCAGCCCATATCCACAATGGACCTGGAAATGTTAACGCGATCATCCACCGAGATTGCATCCCACTCAGCCCGGCTGACGTCGTGGAGGTTCTCCATTTGCTTCATCAAGTGAGCAAATTGGTGGATTTGGGTGTCGGAGGCCATTTCATTATCGGGATATGAGCACAGCTCGGCCATTATCGTTGTCATTGTATGATATATGCCCAAAATAAGGTATGCCTTCTGTTCATCAAGTGACCCCTGCCCTTTTATGGCCTGACTCGAGGACTTATATGCCGTGTGCCACTGCTCGAGTCTCTTCAATGTTTCTTTTTGTTGTTTCGTTGACGGAGGATAGCAGGGTGAATATGCGTCCCTTGCGTTATGTTGTCGATTAAGATGGGCCAAACGCAGAGTTTCATGCATTTGACTGTCCAATAATTGCCACGCTTCTTTGAGAGAAAGAAATTTGCGAGGGAGAGAGACTCGTTCGTTCTTCTGAAATGCCACATCCGAACCGTGATCCGGCTCTTTAAATAGCCCAACCTGGACATGTAACCTGAAGAACGCTTCCATTATCCAGTCCTCTGCCACGCTGCGCTGAGGAAGTGAAACCGGTATCGAGCCATGCTCTACGGGGAATAAATTGGTTTCCTTTATGATTTTGAACCCATTTTGAAGATGTGATTGGGCGGTCCCAAAGTGGCCACGAAGAAATTCAAGGGACACGAAGATGACACATGCAATGAGGATAGTTTGGAAGGATACCCTATTTTTTGCCGCAAAGTGGGGGTGTAGGTGATCAATTGCCTTGACGTAATTATGCAAAGCAAATTGCTTCATCTGTTCCTTAATATAACGGTTGCTGTCGGTTGCGCCTGCCTTGTGAACAGCGCTCAACGCGAGGCTAGCATGTAATATCGCTGGCTCTGTCAGGCTGGATTGCAAAAGAAGTCTGGACCAAAACTCCGAGATGAATGAGCCTGGAAGCTTGGGAACCGTGCGGTTTCTGAACCAATCAAAGTATTCTTTTTCTAGCGCACTTGTAGCAAGAACGGGAGCGCCAATTGATCGTGGGAGAACAGCTCCGCCGCTGCAGTTTTGCAGGGGCTGACAACGTGCTAAGGTGTTGGAGACTTCTCCCCAAATACCATAACCATCGCAAGAACGGCCAGTCGAAAGACACCGGCGACAGGCAGGATGGGTTTCATCACACTTGACTTTTCGGATCCTATTGCTGCATCAATTTTCTGCAAATTGTGAAACCCCGCGAAATTACTTAGCCGTTACGACTTACTTGCAAGTTCGACAGCCAGCCTTGGAGTACATTTTCGTTGAGTCTGAATACTGATGTTGCGCCGAAGACATAACGATCGATGAGGATGTCAGGACTAGCTTCTCGCCATTGTGGGGCACTTTTTGTATGCTGCTTCTTGATTCGCCCGCTCGGCATTTTGGACCGTTTATTGGACGGACGCCCATTGGGGTCTCGTTTACTATTCATTTCAAACATTTTAGGCAAATATTAGAACTAATTAGCTCGGAAACGGGAAATCCTCGAAATTTGAAACTGATTTGCCCGCTCGGCATTCTAGAAAGTCTATTGGACACTCGAAATATGGAGGTAGCGCAATCCAAGGTAAGCTCAAGTTCTTATTCACTATTCATTTCCAGCACTGCAGAAAATCCCAGTATGCAAAACTCGGATATTGGAGATCCGGAATGAGGAGCCTATGTTCTCCTCCTTGACAGGGTATAAAAACCGCCTCCTATATCTTTTCCCAGTAGAACATAATCTTCTCAGAAAACGTCAATTCCGAAACCCTACCTTCATTTCAATATGACCTCGAGATTCCCAAGCTCTCGCCCCCTGGGCCAAAATGGACCCGTCGTGCCAGCTATGGGCTTTGGCTTGATGATGATGACCTCGCCAAGCTATGGTGTCTTGCCTACAGACGACGAACGGTTCGCCCTCCTTGACCGCGCAGTTGAGATCGGAGCAACCTTCTGGGATACTTCTGAGTAAGTCCAGTTAATCTACAACAGATTCGTCGCTTGTCTCTTACCTCTAATAAAAGTCTCTACGGCGACAACGAGGAACTGTTAGCCAAATGGTTTAAGAAAACCGGAAAGCGAGATCATATCTTCCTTGCATCTAAGTTTGGATACGTGCGAGGAAGCAAGACTCTGGAGATCGATTCCTCAGCTCAGTACTGCAAGAAAGCTTGCGATGTGACCCTGAAAGCTTTGGGTATTGAGTGCATTGACCTCTGTAAGTGTGTCTCTAAACAATGCTGTCTTTCCTCCATTCCAAGGACCAACCAGCTTACTGACTTATCATCGTTGTCAATTAGACTATGCACACAATGTTGATACGGTAACACCAATCGAAGAAACCATGCGAGCTCTTGTGGAACTACGAAAGTAGGCAACTTTACTCCACGTACAGAACAAAAGAAATTAACGCAAGATGTGTAGTGAAGGCAAAATCAAGCACATCGGACTATCAATGGTATCGTCCAGCACCCTTCGACGAGCGAGCAAGGTTGCAGCTGTTACTGCATACCAGCCGGGGTATTCTCTCTTTGATCGCGATATTGAGGGCCCCGATGGGACTGATGCTCTCGCTACATGCCGCGAACTTGGAATTGCTATCGTCGCAGCGACACCTTTGAGTAGAGGTTTACTCACCTCAACCTTCAGTGGCGGAGATCCCGTCGGCAGTACCGATAGCCGAAGAATGATGCCGCGGTTTCAGGATGGTCAGCGAGAGTTTAATGTTAAAGTGGCGGAACAAATCAAGGCTGTTGCCGATAAGAAAGGTTGCACCTTGTCTCAACTGGCTCTCGCCTGGCTTTTGAAGCAGGGCAATGATATATTTCCGATTCCTGGTACCAGAAGGATCAAATACCTAGAAGAGAACTGGCGTGCTCTTGAAATCTCGCTGACTGACGAAGAGGAAGCGAGTATCAGAGCGATCATTGAGAAGACCCCTGTTGCTGGTGGTAGCGTTCCTCCACAATTCACTGCGCTCATATTTCGGGACACCGAAGAGGAATAAAATCCTCTTGCAAATGTTTTCGTTGAATTGCCAACGTCGTGATAGTTATGATTGTTAGCCACTCGCGCTTTGCCCTGTGCAATATATATTCCTTCTACTCAAAACACACGATACGTGAAATACTTTCTTTTTCCAAATTTAAAGACGATTGTCCTTCAGCTCTGGCGTTATTTTTGGTCTTATGTTCAACTGGGGTTATGCCTGTAATGCATATGCACGTGTGAAGTCTCTGCATATATATACTGATTACCATTTCACCGCAACCAAGTATTGGAGTATGTGAAAAGAACGAGAAAATGAATATGTGATGCGAACTATCGAAATGTCAAATATCCCCGGAGAAAGACGCTCTGGTATGGGTGTCTTGGCAATTTAGTGTCGTAGCGGCCTATATCTCAGGTTGAAACGCACAGTACAAAAGATAGTTCCGGGAGATAGTAAGAAAATTTAATTGAGAGCCAGAGCTATAAGGTTATATGATGGTTCATGCCATCGATACCACGAAGGCGAAAACTAGACGTGATCGAAATCAGGGCCGAAAAGTCCTACAACCTCCCCAGACATGGGTATCCTTCTACCTTTCTAGACTGTGAATGTATTAGTATTGATAATAGACCATGTAGGCGCTAAGAAATACCTAAAAGGGATTGGGACTTTACCCGAGGATTTACCCCAGATCTAAAGGCTAGAGCTGCTGCGGGGGGTTTTTCCCCACTCTGAGTCGGGGGATTCTTGTCCGGCATGACTGAGAATTGTGGTGCAATTTCCAAAGCCAACTAGTTTAGCGAGAGTGAAAGTAGGTGAGTGGCATTCTGCGTGTCAAGTAGAATCCTTACTTTTACTCCCTCCGCTGTCGCTGCCGTCGTCATCGAGCAATTAGTTCATCATGGCTTTCATCTCTGATGCCTCGTCTCTCACTTTCCGCCATGACAACGAGACCTTACGCTTAGACGCATGGGGCCCAAATGCAATTCGTGTCCGTTCCACGCGTGAGCCGTCATTCCCCGCAGATAATTGGGCTCTTGATGAAACCGTGCCCGCGCCTGCGAAGCTTTCTATCGCGCACGACAAGACTGGTACCCTGAGCAACGGCAAAATCACCGCCACTTTATCGGCTCGTGGTAAGCTTCTCCTTACCAATCAGAAAGGGGAGATAATCTTGGAGGAGTTTTCGCGCAGCCGTGTCGACCCAACGGATCCCAAGGCCAGCGCTCTACGCATAGAGCCTAGAGAGTTCAAGCCACGATTAGGATCCGAATCATGGCACGTCACTGCCAGATTTGAGTCTCTTGATCCGAACGAAAAGATCTATGGCATGGGTCAGTACCAGCAGCCTTATCTGAATCTCAAGGGCGCCGACCTAGAGCTTGCCCAGCGCAATTCGCAGGCCAGCATCCCATTCGCCATTTCCTCACTTGGGTACGGCTTCCTGTGGAATAACCCATCCGTTGGCCGCGCAGTTTTTGGCAAGAATATGACGACATTTGAGGCAACATCCAGTCGCGTCTTGGACTACTGGGTCATTGCTGGAGACACACCCGAGGAAATTCTGAGAGCATACACGGACGTCACGGGCAAAGTCCCCGAAATGCCTGAGTATGGCCTTGGATTCTGGCAGTGCAAACTGCGCTATCAGACTCAAGAGGAGATTTTGAATGTCGCTCGCAAGCACAAGACAGAACTCGGCCTCCCGATGGATGTTATTGTTGTGGACTTCTTCCACTGGCCTAAGGAAGGTGAATGGAAGTTTGACCCAACGTTTTGGCCTGACCCTGGTAAGCTAGCACTTTCTTCTTCTTTTCTCCAGCTCTCTGTTGGTAGATGCCATACCCACATGATTCAATTGCGCTTACACTCTTGTAGAGGCCATGATTGCCGAGCTCAAGTCTCTCGGGATTGAGCTCATGGTCTCAATATGGCCTACCGTCGACCGGCTTTCAGAGAACTACGAGGAAATGATCACTAAGGGGCTTCTGATCCGCCAAGACCGCGGTGTGACCCTTGCCATGGAAGGCCATACTAGTTGCAGCCATTTTGATGCCACGAACCCCGCCGCGCGCTCTTACGTTTGGTCCAAGGTCAAAGCCAACTACTTTGACAAGGGGGTTAGGGTCTTCTGGCTTGACGAAGCGGAACCTGAATATACAATATACGACTTCGACAACTATCGCTACTACAAGGGCCCGAACCAGATGATTGGAAACTCATATCCAAAGTTCTACAGCCAAGGCTTTTACGAGGGAATGAGAGAGGCTGGGCAGGACAAGGTCTTGAATCTTGTCCGATGTGCCTGGGCGGGTAGCCAGAAGTACGGTGCACTGCTCTGGTCTGGAGATATCGCTAGTAGCTGGGGAACCTTTCGCGACCAGCTTGCCGCTGGCTTGAACGCAGGTCTGGCGGGAATCTCATGGTGGACCACTGATATTGGCGGATTCCACGGAGGTGACCCCAACGACCCTGACTTCAGAGAGCTCTTTGTTAGGTGGTTCCAATGGGGTGCCTTTTGTCCCGTTTTCCGCCTTCATGGTGACCGAGAGCCTCGCCAGCCACAATTCGGTAACTCGGGAGGAAGCTGGTGTGCTTCGGGCGCAGACAACGAGGTCTGGTCATATGGCGAGGAAGTTTTTGCTATTTGCAAGGCCTACATCCTACTCCGTGAGAAGCTCAGAGACTACATTCGTGGTGTCATGAATGAGTCCCACACCAAAGGTGACCCCATTATTCGACCATTGTTCTACAACTTCCCCAAAGACAAGAAGGCATGGGAGGTGGAAGATCAATACATGTTCGGAAGCAAATATCTCGTTGCTCCTGTTCTCAAGCACGGTCAGCGAGAGCGCCGTGTATATTTGCCTGAGGGTGCGTCGTGGAAGCAGTTTACAGCCGCGGGCGAGGTGACAGGAGAGGCAAAGAAGGGTGGGGAGACGATTGAAGTTGATTGTCCTATCGGATACATGCCTGTTTTTGAGCATATGTGAGTACTTATATTCTAGAACTTGCGGAGAAATTGGCTCGTGATGGCGAAAGGATAATAACATGACCATCAAAAAATGTTTGATACATGCCTCTTCCGAAAAGACTACCTTTTATGTGCGCGCTGTAGCCAAAAATGCAGTTCAACTAAAGAATTTCCGATTTTAAGATAGCATTTCACGAAAACGTGTGATAAATGGTCCTAATAATATGTTGAAACTGCACATGAAATAACATTGTTGAGAAAGGCCTGGCTCACCATCCTTGGGGTCAAAATGCCAATTATGCCATGCCAGGCCTTAACGAGTCTTAATGGTTAGAAGCGGCACACAATAGCAACAGAAAATTGTCAAGACAGAGTATAAATGGAACTGTGGCTTCAGAGTTGAACCACGTCTGTTTCGTCTGCGTATGGCTCAACGACTGCTGTTTTGAACTTCCTGGCGCTAACCTTCTTCGCGAATAAGAGATCCAGTTCCTCATATGTGCGTCCCTGTTGAAAACAAGATTAGTGAGTTAATCGAAACACGTGGTATTGCCTTTTCCTCACTTTGCACTCGGGAAGTCTGAAGAACACCCAAACAGTCATGACCGCGGCCGTGCTACCCCAGACAAAGGCCGTCTTTCCCTTCATATCCCATGCCGTCGGGTTCATCATGTACGGTTCCAGAACAGCGCACCATATGGCCGTTAGATTGTATGTGTTTCGCGCCAGGACAACAGTTTGAGCTCGAAGTCTGACGGCAGATGTTTCGGAGATGATGGCGTAGGCCAGAGGCCCAATCGTCAAAGAATAAGCTAACTGCCAGATTAGACACAGACTTGCCTGTGCCCACATGGCTGGTGTGTTGTTGGTGATGGCAGAAATAATTCCGATAGAGAAGAGAATCACAGTGAGCGAGGATATACCCGTCAGGAAGATTGTGCGGCGCCCAAAGAATGTCAAGAGACCCCATGAGAACACGGTGCCAACGAACTCTAGAGCGGTGCCTCCAATTCCGACCATGTAAGCATTTTCGGGTGTCATCCCGGCCTGCTCGAAGAAGTACGAGGGTCCATAAGCAAACTGCGCGCCGGCAAGCATTTGCGTCGCAAATGCACAGCAGCAAATTTCCGTTCGTCGCAAGTCAACGCCCTTGAAGCAATCCCAGTAGCTGCTACCGGACTGGATCTCCCTCTCTAACTCAATAGTGTGTGTCATCTGTGCCAGTGTGCTCCTGATTTCATCATCTGATCGGTCAGAAAGCCGGCGGAGACTTTTCTCGGCCTCTCCGAGGCGACCTTTCCTGAGGTGCCACCAGGGAGATTCTGGTGCGAAGATGTAGGCAAAAAAAAGGAACGGCGGCCAGACCCACTGAATTGCCCAGGGAATACGATAGGACCACTGCGTTGTATTATTGACAAGTCCTCTTAGAACGCCATTGGCAAGAAGCTGGCCAGTAGCCCAACAAACGTTGATGTAGACAGTCAAGTAACCACGCAAAGCCAGAGGGCAGACCTCCGAAGCATAGGCCGGTCCAATGGTTGCAAAAACGCCCCAAGGCAATCCGCACAAAACCTGGCCAACTGCCAGCACTTGGGCGTTAGGCGAGAAGAAAGTGACGAATAGGAATGCCGCAATGGCTACCATAGACACCAAAATGGTCCGTTTATATCCATATCTGTCGCAGGCCCAACCATTGATAAACCCGCCAATGATAACACCGGCGTTGGAAGAGTTGACGAGTCCAGCTTGCCAAGCTCCGGTGAGTTGATATTCTTTGATGCTGGGGAAATACTGTCCGTATCTCCGGATAAAGGAAGGATACCCAAAGAAAGAGGGCATCAGGGCTGTATCATAACCCTCCATGATGATACTTGTCGAGATAACGAGTGACCAGAGAACGGCACGTTTGTGCTGCATCATCGACTCCCAAATGCCAGCCGATCGCTCTGCAGTAAAGGCATTATGCGCATCTGTAACAGAAAGCCATTTCTCCCGGGGTGCACCTTCGAGATGCTCAGCGGACACAGTCTCGATTTGTTCTGGAGTGGTCTTGTCCATCTTAGGCGAGGACGCAGGCAATTGGGTACTTCAGTGATGACCTGTTAGTGCCAAGTACTAGCTGTGATATTGGACTGTATAATCTGGAAACTCACGAGAACCAAATCTCGCTGCGGGGGCCGATAGGAAGCTTTATAACAAGGGAATAACTGTGATACCGCGTCGATGGGTGAGGCCCGGTGTATATATCCTATTTTTCGAGTAGACCAGCCCCGCCCCCGCAAGATCCAAGCTATTGGGCCTTAAACCCGGGGTAACGGAAGCCGCTTGCAGGGGGTGGGAGTTCCGCTGGATGTCTGCTTTCACAACGAAAATATACCGTAGGTGAAAGGCCAATAGTCACAGGTGGCTAACATATGGCTGTACTCAAAGCTTTGTTTTTCAAGCCAGCTGCGCTTAAAATTAACAACCTCGGAGCGAGCTTAGCCCAACAAAGGCTCGAAACCGGTCTATGGCAAGCCACGGAATGACGCCACATTCCAGAAATCAAGCTCCAACAGGGCAGCTACGCTGAGTCTACAATACTATTAAGGATCTTCCCTACGGCAGATGTATGTAGGGGCCGGTCAGAGCCGAGAGAAGTCGATGTATGTTTCTAGGCGGTTGAATGGCAAGGGAGGGCTCTCTCCACTTGCCCTCTTGAAGTGGCTCTCTTCCTAACATCCAAATAAATTGACAGAAGCGCATATTGCGTATCAAATTGTGATGGGTTTCTTGTCAAGCGCGTCGTTCATTCATCTAGTGGTGCTAATGCAATGTAGACTTGGGTACATTGTAGATCTTCATAGCCTGTTTGAGCTTAATTTATTTCTGCTTTTGACAGGTTTGAGGCTTCAGATTCATCGATTTCGAGTTGAAGCCAGGTGTATGTGCTGTAGGAAGAAGTTATCGCAACTGTCAAAGAGGCGTCAGATGAAAAAGGGGCTCGCTCGCTTAGGCAATCCGTTAGTGGTGTCCATCCCAAAACAGGCAATCGAACCGCCGGCTTCCCCGTGGGGGCGGGAACATGCCCCGCGCAAGCTACCGACTGCCTGTTTCGTCTGGAAAGTCGGGCCATCTTGAACCGAAGGATTGCAGTCAACAATTGGGGCAATCTCCGGATAAATGAAAATTGAGCGGGGGACAATTATCCGACTGGCCTCGAAACAAAGAACAAATGTGTTTGTTTGGATTCTGGTCGCCTCGACGAAGTTCTCACAATCTTCTTTTCTCGGTCATATCCAGGAAATCGATTCTGGACAACAGTCGATCATGACGTTGTCAATTTCACCCTCCGCTCCAGTTTTCGAGCATCACCCGGACGGACTCGGTGTTCAACACGCGCAACCGCGGATTTCGTGGTTGTTCTCCAGCGACGGCGGGGGTTCAGGTGGATGGATACAACAGGCTTACGAGCTGGAGATTTCTCGCAATGGATCTATTGAGACACACCATGTTGAAAGCGACCAGTCGGTGCTTGTTCCTTGGCCCAGCAGTCCGCTTGTCTCAAGGGAGAAGGCAGAGGTGCGAGTCCGGTGCTTCGGTGCTTCTCCCAAGCAAACTACCGGCCCCGGCACTATCGGTATGCCGACAGAATGGTCCCCATGGGCAACCATCGAGGCAGCCCTGTTGGATAAAGGCGATTGGAAAGCCCAGATGATTACCGGCTCGCTGGTATCGCGACTCGACCAACCTGTCCGACCGTTACGTTTTCGCAAGGTCTTCGAACTCGCCGAGAATAGGAATCCAGTCACCAGCGCCAGACTTTATGTGACTTCCTACGGGGTTTACCATGCGTTTATTAATGGCGAGTCCGTGGGGGATCATGTCATGTCACCAGGGTGGACAAGTTACCACCATAGACTTAATTACCAGGTCTTCGATGTTACGTCGCAGCTACAGAAAGATGGTAGAAATGTGATTGAAGCGGAGGTGGGCCCTGGCTGGTTTGCGTCCCGATTGGCTTGGGGTGAAGGCCGTCGATGCATCTATGGAGACTATCTGGGTGTACTGCTACAATTGGAGATCCGCTTTGGAGACAGTGCAGAGCAACTAGTTGTTGGATCCGATCCTACTTGGACATGGAGCCACAGCCCACTTCTGAGCAGCGAGATCTACGATGGCGAAGTCTACGATATGACTCTGGAACAGGCTGGATGGCATAAATCCGACCACGACGTGTTGCCGGGGTGGACAAATGCAAACAGCTTGCCATTCCCCCAAGCTCAGTTGAGTGCGCCTGATAGCCCTCCAGTACGAGTGACCCAAATTATATCTGCACGGAAGATTTTCACGAGCCCATCAGGGAAGGTTCTCGTCGATTTCGGACAGAATCTAACTGGCAAAATTGGCGTTCGATCTTTGAAGAAAACAGCTGGGCATCGTGTCACGTTTCGTCATGCAGAGGTCCTAGAGAACGGGGAGCTAGGAACAAGACCGCTCCGCTCAGCCAAAGCCACTGATACTATAATCTGCTCCGGGGAGATACTCCACTCCTGGTCTCCGTCATATACATTTCACGGTTTCCGCTACGTGGAAATTGGAGGGTGGACGCCAGAGGATACCGAGAGTCCGTTGAAGCAGGAAGATATCACTGCTCTAGTAACTCACACTGATATGAGTCGCACGGGATGGTTCAGCTGCTCAGAGCCCCTCGTGAACCAGCTACACGAGAATGCTCTTTGGAGTATGCGCGGGAATTTCCTCTCTATTCCCACCGACTGTCCACAGCGGGATGAACGACTGGGCTGGACGGGCGATATCCAAATATTTTCTCCGTCTGCTAACTTTCTTTACAACACTTCCGGGATATTGTTCGGCTGGCTGCAAGATCTCGCCGCCGAGCAAACATTGGCAGGAGGAGTCCCTCCACTGGTGGTTCCCAATATCCTCAAGGATGAATGGCCTCCGTACGCACCTCATGCTGTTTGGGCTGACGCAGCTATCCTGGTTCCTTGGAATCTGTATTCCTCATATGGGGATCCCGGCATTCTGCGACACCAATATCCCAGCATGCAGATGTGGCTGGATCAGGGTGTCCGCCGCGATGCAAGCGGGCTATGGGATTCATCGCTATGGCAACTGGGTGATTGGCTCGATCCAGCTGCGCCTGCACATAACCCTGGAGAAAGTAATACAGACAGCGACTTTGTTGCCAATGCTTATCTAGTGCATATCACGTCGGTGATGAGCAAGGCCGCCGCCATTGTGGGCTTTCAGGATGATGCGAAGCGGTACAGTGAAGACTGGCAGCGGCTCAGAGGGACCTTCCAAAAGAGATATATCACCCCCGAGGGTCTCGTAGTGGGTGATACACAGACATCGCTCGCTCTCGCTTTGGTATTTGATCTTCTCGAGACACCGGAGCAAAGAAGAAGTGCAGGAGAGCGTCTTGCAAGACGGGTCCGACTGGCGAAGTTTCGAGTCGCGACCGGCTTCGCAGGAACCCCTGTCATTGCACATGCTCTGACACTGGCCGGCCAAACACAACTTGCATTTCGCATGCTGCTGGAACGGAAATGCCCGTCATGGCTGTACCCCGTCACGATGGGCGCAACGACAATGTGGGAGCGATGGGACAGCATGCTCCCCGATGGATCAATTAATCCTGGTCAGATGACCAGCTTTAATCATTACGCCCTGGGGTCGATTGTGAACTGGCTACATGAGTGTGTAGGAGGCATTCGGGCGCTTGAGCCTGGTTGGAAAACATTCCTTATCCGTCCGCGTCCAGGCGGCACCCTCGATTGGGCTGAAACGCGTTATGAAAGTCCCTACGGAACAATTAAATCCCACTGGAAGATCAAGACTGACGGTGGCAAGAAATCCTTTCACCTGACTGTCACTGTACCTCCAAATTCCATGGCGTGGGTGATCACCCCGGAAAAGGAAGAGTTGAAGGACACTGATGGGAAGGAGTCCGGCGTACAGTGTTTCTCTGGAGAGCATGAGTTTTCCTGCGCGTATATGGACCAGAATGACTGGCCACCCAAAAGGCTGAGAATTGGGTATGGTCCTGAAAATCTTGATGATGATGACGATGACTATGTGTGACAACCCCTTAGATCTATATGCTTGAAAATTCAAAACTAAACATTTGGGATTGGGGGAATTCTGTTATCCAATTATCTTTATGACCCAAGGAAGGAGTTAACTAGTTAATCTAATCGGACAACTCAGTAAGTTATCCATCCATTCGGGGAAATCATTCTGGAATTGGCCTTGGCGGGATTCCCGTGGGCGTCGTGGGAATTCCCATGTGAGTGGATCGTGCCCCATGGACGGGAATCGTCCAGGTCTAGTCTAAATATAGCGGAGATCAACGGTGGCGTCCGGACTTATTGTTTCCTCTCTCGGAGTATCTATTCAAACCTGCATATTATTCTTTGCGATGCTAAGAATTTGGTGGCTGCATCCTTCGCCAGTCAAAACGGCCGGACGGCCCAACTGAAGCCCGAGTGGGTCGATGTCTCCGAGCTGATGGCAGACATCTCCAGGGCTGACCCGGCATCCAAGGCGTCAGCTTCGATAATTAAATCATGACACTGGCTGGCAAACAAAGCGGATTATCAGGGCGAGAGAGTTGCGCATGGAAACCAACTAGCTCTTTCTCGATCCACACTTCCATTTCTCCCGGCCCCCAACACACTCGAACCCCGTGACAGATCAGAAGAAAGTCGGACTCCGATCTTCACCAGTTCTCACGATCATGTCACCGAGCACCGGATCAGAAGGAACATCGCCTTCAATTGAGACAAATGTACGCCAGCGCCCAGGTACCGCTTGTGATGAGTGCCGGCGCAGAAAGCTGCGTTGCGATGGCCAGCAGCCACAATGCGGCGTGTGTAGAGGGACCGGCGTTGTATGTCAAGTGACGGAGCGTGGTCTGCGCGGGCCAAAGAAAGGTCATCTCAAAGCGTTGAAAAATCGGATATCGCACCTGGAGGCTATGTTGGCGAGTCGTCTTCCGGCCCAGCAGCTACCAAAAGGCTCCCAGAGTAATAGTCGAACCATTGAGGAATTGATGCCCTTGACGACTCCGGCAGAAGCAGATAATACCACATTGATTGATGCTACAGCTTCGTCGCTGCCTAGAGTGACAGTGAGCCCTGCCTTTGAGCATGAATCTGTCTTGACGAATGGGTTCCCATCGGGTTGGGGTTCTCCTTCTCATGGGGGGTCCTTGCTGTCGACTTTTACCCTCGTCTCTAACATCCCTATCCCGCTCACGGATAACTTGCACGCTGAACTGTAAGTATCTGGGTTCTCCCAAGCTTCATGTAAGCTAATTCGTATATTCCAGGGACCAGCTTTATCTGGACCGCGTGCATCAATCAATACCAATTCTTCACCAGCGGCGGTTTCTGAAATGGTCCAAATCAAGCACCAAGACAGCCTCACAGAGATGCTTGCAATACGCCATGTGGACGCTTGCAGCGTTACTGTCGTCTCAATTTCGCGAGACTATAGAGCCACTGTATCAGAAGACCAAGCAAATGCTGGAATTTCTCAGCGTCGAAGGTAACGGGTATAGCAACGTTAGCACAGAACTCGCCCAGGCCTGGGTATTGGTTGTGATCTTCGAGTCGATGCGGGCTTATCACCGCCAAGCCTGGATGAGTGCCGGCCGTGCTTTTCGCTTGGTACAGGCAATGCGGTATCATGAGATTGACAGTCCAGCCGACAAACGTGGTCCTCTGTCCCCTCGTTGTGATGATATGATTGAAATTGAGGAGCGACGAAGGGTATTTTGGATGGCCTATTTTCTTGACCATGTCATCTCCATGCGCGACGACTGGCCTATCACCTTAAATGAGCATGTGGTAAGAACCCCAACATGGACCAATCAGAAAGAATAGTGCAGAATTTGTGGACTAATTTATGATGTCTAAAAAGATTTGTACTCGGCTTCCAGCGCCAGACGGTGAGTTTCAGATCGGACAGTACGATCTAGGACCGTTCCTATCCGAGGCCATGACGGAACCGACTCTCAAAACACGGTCGTCGTTCAATGAGTGTCTCATCTTGGCTACAATCTGTGGGCGTTGCCTACTTCAGAGTCAACAGCACCACATTTCCAAGGCATACGGAGACATGACATTAGACTGGACGGAGCAACTTCGGTCACTAGAAAGCTTGCTGACAACCCGACTCGACGCCTTGGAACGATACTATCCATCACCCACTGAAGTCTCCGATCCTCTACTGCTGTTCGCCAACATTCTAGGCCAGGTAACTGTGATTTACTTCTGCAAAGTAATGAAGGGCTCGGGGAGAGAGTCTGTAGACCCGTTTCAGTGGAGTAGTGAGCTGTATACCTATCACAGGCGCGCTTTGGAGGCTTCTGGGACAATTATTCGTCTTGCCACGACGCTGCGCGATCTACCGTTCTCCAAGGTAAGCGTGATATTTCAATAACGGTAGCCTCTGCTAATCATTCATTATTCAGATCCATCCCTTGATGCCTATTCCCTTATTTCTTTGTGCCGAATTTCTCTATGAAAATATTCATCTTGGTGAATCTTTTCAATTGCGTGTTCGAGAGCTGTTTCACATTCTGCGCGACTTGAAGAACATCAATAATCATGAACAAAGCTACCTAGATCTCCTGCCGCAATCATGTGTATCCAAAACTGCCGAACTATTCGGTTTGAATGTCGAGGATAGCATTCCCACTGATATATAAAACTTTCATGCTTGGAAAAACATAACAAATCGTTTTTCGCCGCCGTTTCTGTAAACAACATCTCTCTATCTAAGTAGATAAATCTTGTTAGCGTCTCATGTGCACTGAGTCCTAAAAGCCAAGGTCGCAATCACTCGATACGCTGATCCTCGGAGGAAAAGATCGGAGAAAAGTTTCAGGAACCAAAGTCAAGCGCCAGAAACAATTTCGCCGAGCGACCTATTTTGGAGCCGTGCGAATAAAGCCAGGTCTCCTTCGGCTCCGGAAATGATTTTTTACTGTCAATAGAATCGGGAAACTGTAAACTTCACGCCGAGCTCTATCCAACGGCCCCCGAATGTTAATTGATCTTCTTTGATTACACTTCTAAAGCCGTCGGCCAGTCGGCCTCCAGGAACCCGATGTATTCAGTCCATGGAGCCAGCTTCACCTCAGTGACTTTCTTATAAAAGAAAGGCATTCCACTACCCGGATCCATGTTTAAGCACTACATCTGTACACCAATTTGTTGATTGACTATTATCTTTTTTCGAAGAAAGCCAAGCTTGTCGATTTAAAAATGAGTCTCCTGGAGCGAGCAAACGATGCCCTTTCCGTCAATTCCGCCACAAGAGTTGATCAAGCTCTCTCCGTCCATGGATCGGATTGGCTCTGGGCTGTCACAGCGATCTATGTGGTTTCCTTTGTGAGTACCTTTGTTCCACGAGGCGTACCTTGACCCTGGGCACTAGTCTTGTCGTGCTTGTGTACTCACATATGCGTTTACAGATCGGCCTTTTGCTGCTCTCCTTCGCCGCCAAAGAAAGCGAGAGGGTCTTCCACTACCTTTTCACCGTTGCCCTCCTGGTCGGTGCCATAAGCTACTACGCCCAAGCCTCTGACCTTGGCTGGAGTGCCATCGAACAAGTCGATCATCTCAGAAACGGGGTTGTCCACCCGATGTTCTATGCCAAATATATCAACTGGATTGTGGCTTTCCCTTCTCTCGCTCTAGGTCTCGGTCTGGCCTCTGGGATTTCTTGGACCACCATCTGCTGTAATATCGCCATCGCCTGGCTGTGGGTCGTCAGCTACCTCGTGGCCGCTTACACCACCACGACCTACAAATGGGGTTTCTTCGCATTTGGCACATTCTCCTGGCTCATCCTCGCCATGAGTACTATCAACGAGAGCCGTGAAGCCGCCGCCCTACTTGAGATTGAACGCGACTATCTTGTCCTTGCCGGCTGGGTAAATCTTTTGTGGGTGCTTTACCCGGTCGCGTTTGGCCTGACCGACGGCGGCAACGTCATTGGCATCACGGGCGGTTTTATCTTCTTCGGCGTTCTCGACATACTCATAGTGCCGGTGTTGAGTTTTACAATGCTGTTCTTTGCTCGCAATTGGGATTACCGCAAGCTGAACATTGCATTCAGTGACAGCCGTCCTAGCCGGGAGAGTGAGACCGCGAAGACAGAACGTCCTGCTAGCCCTGCTGATATTGCTTAAACTCCATTTGCAATTACCAGGCTGTCACATGCAGGGATTCTTTCCTTTAGCATTACACAGCCCTCCAGGACTAGAGGATGTGGAAGGAGTCTGCGAATGTTATCAGCGGGGCGTGATCATGTTTCGGTGCAAATGCTTTGCCATCAATCCAACATACCAGATGTGTCACGTACGACATCTCAGCATACAAATCACGAATGAACAAACTAGGAATACCCACGTTTAGACTAATAATCGACTAGTACCCAAGAGGGAACGCGGACTAATCCTCGTATAAGATCATTGTATGGATTGCCACTTACAGCTCCAACATCATTAATAACATCTCAAACCATGCCCTGGCTAACCTGCTCCTGTCTCTCCTGCCAAACATTCTTCCCCGAACATGAGCAGACCATCTTATCATTATCCCACACGCCAGCACTGCGTGCAATCACACCAACAAGCGTATTCGGGTCCTCACGCTTAAACGGGCCTTCTTGGCTACTCGAAACCACCATACTGCGGCCAATCAACTCCCAGATCGCCACTGGTCGGTCCCAAAATACATTTCCTCGGCCTTTCTCATCGACATCCACGCTACCAAAAAACCCCCGTGGCTCTTTGGGTGCCGCGGCATCGGGGCCGAATACCTTCGCTTTGAGGGACTCCCAGATTCCACCAGTTGACAGAGCGCCTTGCGAAATGTCCCCGGCTTCCCGGACTGTGGCCTGGTAGCGGCCTGGAGCGAGGCCGTTGATCGTTAGGTCGACCAGGGTCATGTTCGAGGAGATTTGGACCATGCGCGCGAGGCCGCGGATCTTGTTGGAGACAGCGGAGGAATGGGTTTCCAGGATGCACACGGCGGAGCCTATCATGAAATCAGATGATCAGCCTGTTGGAAGAACGGATAGACTAGCGTACTGTTCGTAGTTCCGCTGCCGCGGAGGATCGCGTCGCGGCCGGTGCTCTGGATCGCGGATACAATGGAGCTGGGTGGTGCCGTGCCCTCGATGAAGACGAGCTGGTCTTTCAGGCTGACATCAATGTTGGTTATTCCTGCGGAAAAGGGTCAGTCAAAAAGGGGATTGATAGAAGAGAAACAAGAGTACCTTTGAGCTGGTTCAACGAGTTGGAGATGTCCTTCACGCAACCCTCACAGTTCATCGGGACCGCGAAGGTCGTCTGCGCGCGAATTGTGTCAGACTGAGCAGCAGGCAAATACGGGTATCCATACCTGGAATGGTTCAATCATGGCGACTAATAATAATGGGGAGGAGTATGGAAAGAGGAAAGAAGTCGCAATGGATTGATTGATTGTTTGATTTGAAATCGGCGGAGATCGGCCCGGCCCAGTCCAAACGTCATTTCCGCACTTCCTTAACGTTCCCGCTCCGTCTTCCATCTGAATCGCCGCGCCGGCGCACACCATGTCCACGGCCAAGTCCCGCTGGGCAGACGAAGACCCCGAAACCGAGGCCATCATCGCCCAGCAGAAACGCGAAAAGGAAGCCAAGCGACGCGCCAAAGCAGAAAAGCAGCGCCAGCTCGAAGTCAAGGCCCAGCAGACGCGAGCACAAGCACCGGAAACCAAGACACAACCCGCGAATGGCGAAGCCGGACCCCCCAAGAAGCGTCGACGCCTCTCTAATGCCGCCGAGACACCTGGATCCGATGCGGATGCCGCAGAAATCGCACAACAAAAGAAACAATCCACCGCCCTCTTGCGGTTCCCAGTGCGGGAATGGGGAACTTGTCGGCATGTGGATAATTTTGAGCGATTGAACCATATCGAAGAGGGCTCGTATGGCTGGGTGTCGCGCGCCAAGGAGATCACGACGGGCGAGGTCGTAGCGCTGAAGAAGCTCAAGCTGGAGAACTCGCCGGACGGGTTCCCCGTTACTGGGCTGCGGGAGATTCAGACGCTGCTGGAAGCAAGGCATCCGAATGTGGTCTATCTACGGGAAGTGGTAATGGGCAATAAAATGGACGAGTATGGCCTTCTTTCTCCCTTGTTCTGCGCAGGACACAGGTATACTAATCATTGATCCATAGAGTCTTCCTCGTCATGGACTTTCTCGAGCACGACCTCAAGACCCTCCTCGACGAAATGCGCGAGCCGTTCCTACCTTCGGAAATCAAAACCGTCCTCCTACAAATCGTGGGCGGACTAGAATTCCTGCACTCGCAGTGGATCATGCACCGCGACCTGAAGACTTCGAACCTACTCATGAACAACCGGGGTGAGATCAAAATCGCCGATTTTGGCATGGCCCGGTACTACGGCGATCCGCCGCCGAAGCTGACCCAACTCGTTGTCACGCTGTGGTACAGGTCGCCCGAACTGCTTCTCGGCGCGGACAAGTACGGTCCGGAGATCGATATGTGGAGCATCGGGTGCATCTTCGGCGAACTGCTCACCAAGGAGCCGCTGCTGCAAGGCAAAAATGAGGTCGATCAGGTATCCAAGATATTCGAGCTGACAGGCCCGCCGAATGCGCAGACCTGGCCTGGGTTCCGGTCTTTGCCGAATGCCAAATCACTTCGTCTGCCTTCGTCTTCATCTGCTCCATTATCCGGGAAAACGCCTCTTCTCCCACGTTCCAAATTCCCATACCTTACAAACGCAGGCCTGTCTCTACTCTCGAGCCTACTAGCCCTGAACCCAACCTCGCGCCCAACGGCACAACAGTGCCTCTCACACGCATATTTTAAGGAAGACCCGCGCCCGAAACCGCGCGAGATGTTCCCCACGTTCCCGTCAAAGGCGGGCATGGAGAAGCGGCGACGGCACCACACGCCTGAAGCGCCGAAGCGGGGGCAGGAGGCGCCGCAGCTGGATTTTGCGGGTGTGTTTGGTGGTGCGCCCGGTGGGGATACGGGGGAGGTGGGTGCTGGGTTTTCTCTCAGGTTGGGATGAGATGTGAAGACAACTGTTGATATACCAGGTAACTAACTAAAACCTTGGAGCTCAATGCCAACTATGTGCATTATTATTGGAGATTTACGAGAGATTATTAGGTAGTATGCCCATACAATACAGTTTATAGGCAATGTTCAAGAAAAGAGATCACTGCCTTTGTTCTTGTTAAAATGCTTAAGGATAGAGGTTAGGGGTACAAATAACTAGGCGGTCCTCGATGCGTTGAGTCATGAAGGGGATATATTCACACATAACGCAAAACGAATAAGGATCGGGAATGCGAAATGGGGGATGGGGTTATGGGAAGATGAATATCCTCAACGAAGCTCTTCTGACCGCACACCAAGCCCCGGAAGAAATTCATCACTGTCACTCCCATCCATCTGCCCGAACTGCAGAGTCCGTGGCAGCGGGATCCCCGGCAGTGAGCGCGGCCGATTGTTCAATCTTCGCTGATGAGGACAAGGAACGTGGCGTACGGTGCCTTCACTGCTCGAAGCTGCTTTGATGGCGGGCATGTCATCGCCTCGATCCGGGAAGTGGCTGCCCATCTTGCCGTCAACCAGGTAATATTCATCTTTGAAGGGATTGGGGAAGAGGAGGTCGTCGTCGTCATTGACGGGTGACCATAGACTATTGGATACAGAGGTTGGTGATGTGACTCCGGCAGAGGTGGTGTCGTCTGGGCGGAAGTGGCTTGAATACTCAGATTCGCTGAATAGATATCCGAATGTTTCTTGCTCAGAGGAGTGCGAGGTGCGGTTTCTGGCTGGGATTCTTTGGGCAAATGGATGCCATGGAGATGGGACTCTCTCGCCTAGTTCAGAGGGCTCGGGTCTGACGTCTGTTGACTGTTCAGGGTGTTAACTTAGCATGCTCAGTGTCTTTTGAGCCCTCGGCTCACCTCTCTCAGACTCATGTGAAGACCGAAGGAATGGCGTGCCTCGGGGTTTCTGTGGTGTGTCTCATCTGTGAGAGAATTCCTGTATGGCACATCTTCGCTCTCGGAAAGGCGCATGGCTTCGAGGACTACTGAGGAGTAGGTGTCGAGATAATGCGAGTTCTCATTGACAGCAGGAAGTTCATCGATTATTGGGGGTGACTGGAGATTTTGGGCTTGGTCGGGATGGTCTTTCATTGGAGAAATGACTGCGAGGCTGTGCTCAATCGTGAGGATATCATGATCCCGGGTCTTCCACTGCTCCAGCAACTCATGATAGACTCCTGGGAATGCGATCTTGACTTCAGCAGAACAGTTTCTGGATGCTAGCATTGTCGGTTGTGACTGTGTGCTGAAGTCTGGCTGGCTCGAATCGATAGTTTGGCGTTCACCGTCAATCACAGGTCTGTCATTTGGCTCATAGGCTCTTTCCTCTGTGCCCCGGGAGCTTTCAACACCATTGCTGAATGGATTGCCTCGGGGCTGGGTATCTTCCGCATCTGGGAGATCTCTCGCTGGCAGTGAAGCTGACTGAAAGTCATCTAGCACCTGCGCTCTCAAGTTTGGACTTCTGGAGAGATCCATGGACAGCACTGCTTCTTCCTGGCCTATGGATGAAGTAAAACGAGTAAAACCGAATCTTTCTCGGTTGACATCGACCTCTGGTACAGCATAGTCCGGTCCCTGATCCCATGCCATGGAAAGAGCATGCAAAGGGCAAGGGTCTGGAACGCTGTTTGGGCTGGTGTCACGTAAGTTTGCTTCATCGAACAGTGCACTCACGGGTTGAAGGCGGTTTGGATCTTGATAGTATTGTGGGATCACAGTGCCGGTGTCGTCAAACATCTCCGCATTAATCGCAGGTGCAGAGCCAGTGACGGCGTTCACAGGAGCGGAAACAACACTGCTGGATCTGCTATGGTCTTCCTTGATCGAAGACCAGGGCTCGCCCGTCCGATGCAGATGAGCCCCAAACACAAGATCCTCTTCCGTTGTGACTTTATGGTATTCCATCGGCAGCTGCAGCTGGCTTTCTCCATACACTGGCTGGCTTCCTTCTTTCAGTGCCTGTATTTTCTCAATGGATGACTTGGTTTGTACTTTTGGCATCCTGCTTGCGCGTCTCTCGCGACCAAAGTCTCCTGGAGTTGGTGGTGGCAGGACTGCCTGAGAATCGGCGCTGCTCCTACTCCCATCAGAGGATCGACGACGCAACCATCCAGGCTTCAGGACCGACCATCGAGAACGTCGTTTCTTCAGAGTCATCTCTTCGGCCGTGATTTTGTCCCAGTAGTCCTTCATCTGGGCCTCGGAAGAACTCTGTGCATCACGGCGACGACGCTGTTCGTTGCTCACGAGAGACGAGTTGTGTTGCGGGTTCAGAGGCTCGTAGACGGGATAGAGGCCGCGCTCCTTGCACAGTAGCAGAGGTGACCGAGGCTGTGGGCTAGGCGAGTCGGCGGTGATGCTTTACCTGTATTAGACGCGTGATATATCTCTCAGCGTAGGTTTGTTTCTTACCTAGATCTCCTCCGGACCGATCTGAATGCCTTTGATAGAGAGGAAAACGCTGAACGACGCCGAGCTATGCGCTGAGTATTCTGGGTTTTCTGGGTCTGGCTCTCTGGATCCATCAGTTCAAGACGCAGGTGTGAGATTGTAAGACCACAGGAAGTAAAGGAAACTTTGGTAGGTTCTGTGTTGATGAGAACAAGGTGTGGGACAAGAACCGGTGTAGGGAAAAGAAGAAAGAAAGGGAACAGAATCATTGATAGGTGAAGCCCTACGACTGGCTCACCTGGTTGCACTTTCTGTTCCTGTTGTGGTGTGTTGTTCTATGGAACCCAAAAGGGAAGGCGCCTCCTATAGTGAAATGGCGAAGACCGAACGCAACTCGTGGTGCTGCAGCAATATCCCCATACAATAGTAGGAAATTGTCTTTCGATACAAGCATTTTCCCTTGTATTGACGTCCTTTCCTCTACTGTTCTATTCTTTAGGTCCCATGGTGGAAGGAACCTCCCATAGTAGAATAGCGGTGATCGAACTCAATTCATGATGCTGCAGAGGTACTCCCATACAAACTCTGAATTTCACCAGGACTGTCTTTTTTAAATGATGAATTCTGGGTCTATAATGAACAGATGGATATCCCGTCTCCATAGTAGGAACATTCTACGCACATATAGTTGGCGGTCTATGTGGGTCCGGATCGGCGAGCTTCTTTGCCTCCAGTGACGGTTTTCTCCTTCCCCCAATCACCATCCAACCAACCACCTGATTGCACCAACTCTGTCCTTCCGTTCCCTCTCTTTTCGCCGCCAACCTCATCCCATTCTTCTTTTCTTCTACATCCTCCCCTCACAATGGCCCCTAGCAAGCAGCCGGGCAAGCAGCCACAGCCAGTTTCGTTCGACGAGATCATCCAATCTGGTCAGCCGCCCTATTACTGAACCACCGGACACCCCACTGTGCTCAGATCTAATACGGGACCATTTATCTAGATCGCAAAAAGAAGAAGAACGAAGAACTGGCCAGCAAGCTGCTCGGCAAGAACCGACGGTCGAGCGCGCCGGGTCCAGGCAAAGCGCAGAACGCGAAGCCTGGCAGCAAAGTGCAGAACGCGAAATCCGGCAGTCTAGCCAGCCGCATTGGCGTTGCAAAGGTATGAATCTCTCCGGAAAAAAATTACCCACCACTTCACATCTAACCGGCTCGCTCCATCTAGCGCTCCGTATCAGCCAACTTCCGCCCAACCCAGAACAAACCCGCCCCTGCCGCGCCATCCACACAATCACGAACGAAGCCAACCAACACGCGTCGCCAGAACGCAGACCGGATCCTCAACGCGCTGGGGTCATCAAATCCACAAGCCACGCTGCGGGGGATCGGTAGCGGGCTGTCGATCAAGGGCGCGTCGGGCCCCTTCACGGTCGTGGGGGGCAACTTTGCGCCAGGCACCACCGCTGCCGATATCCAGGCTGCTATTGAGCCCACGTCGGGTCCCATGCAGAGCTGTCGAGTGGTGTCGCATCATCCATCCGTCAAGGCTGAGTTGGTGTTTGCTGAGAAATGGACGGCGGAGAATGTGGTTGCCAATTTCCATAACCAGAGGGTAAGGATTGTGTCCGCGTACTATTCATCACCGTTGAAGAAGTACTGATCAGAGATTCAGGCTGACGGCCGAGTGATCTCGATGACCCTTAAACCATCCGGTGCCAGTGCCACTGCTCCTCAGGCGCAGACTCCCTTTGACGAGCTCCGAAAACAGGCCGATCGTGAGCGTCGGAATCGTCGAGCGATTCCCGCTCTTCAGAATGGCAGCTGGGGATTTGGCGAGCAGGGCGACTTACTCCGACAGAAACAGAAACCGTCGGGGCTCTACAGTGACAAGATGGCAGTAGACACTCCGAAACAAGGCAGACAGAATAGGTGGAGAAAGTAAAAGGTGATCAACGGCAGATCAACTACGTATAGCGAATTCGAGGGATCCAGACAGAGTACGAGGATGATGCGCGAGGGCTGGATTCTGCTATGTCATGACAATGTATGAATATTAATCGAACAGAACACTAGGCATTTCTATTTCGATGGTGTCAATTAATTCCTCCCATCACAGAATGTACAATACGATATCATCATAAGGACCGAACTGAAGCTCGAGATATAATCACGTGCCGGAGCTTTTGCGGAGCAGGACGAGCCGCGCACCTCGACCTTCTTCCGTTCACAAGAATGAATCCCGCGACAAAACGCGCAGCGTCGCGTATTCTGCGCGCACAAATAGTGCACCCATGTCCCCGACGATACAACTCCACATTCGACCAGCGACAATGGTCCACACCACTTGCGCGCACCTTAGCTAGCGCGATGAAGGTATTCACGCAAAGCCACATCCACAGCTCATTATTTCTAACCGTCTACGTGTATGGATAGGTCACTGGCCCCATCCCAATCGCAGCATTCATGCGCCAAGTCCTAACCTCTCCCGAGGGCGGATACTATACGACTCGCGAGGCCGTGTTCGGCAAAGGCGGCGATTTCGTCACATCGCCGGAAATATCGCAGGTATTTGGTGAGTTGATTGGCATATGGACAGTTGCGGAGTGGATGGCGCAGGGGAGGAGGCCGGGTGGTGTGCAATTGATAGAGGTTGGGCCTGGGAAGGGGACGTTGATGGATGATATGTTAAGGGTGAGTTGGATTGAGTCGAGTCGGTGCGCTGAGTGGAATGGAGTTATTCTTGATTGGGATATGCGCGAAGAAATGTATGGGATTTGAGAACTGACCATTGAGAACAAACAGACGTTTCGCAACTTTAAGAGCTTTGCATCTAGCGTCGAGGCTATCTATCTCGTCGAGGCGAGCGCTACCCTCAGGGAGATGCAGAAAAAACTTCTTTGTGGGGATGAGGCTGCCATGGAAGAGACGGATATTGGGCATCGCAGCATGTGCAAGTACTTCCATGTGCCAGTGATCTGGGTGGAGGATATTCGGCTGCTGCCACACGGTAAGTCATGGCCGCATACGCAGCATAGCTTGAGGGATGTATATTGATAATCTACAGAGGAGGGAAAGTCGCCATTCATCTTCGCCCACGAGTTCTTCGACGCACTCCCCATCCACGCCTTCGAGAGCGTCCCCCCTGCACCAGAAAATGCACAACAACCAGACCAAGCTCGCGAGATCATGACCCCCACAGGCCCAGCAAAGCTGCACAGCCCGCTCAAGCACGCTAACACCCCCCAATGGCGGGAGCTGATGGTCACGCTGAACCCGAAAGCCATCGAGGAGAACATCGAAGGCGAGCCGGAGTTCCAATTAACTAAGGCGAAGGCCTCCACGCCGTCCTCGCTGGTCATCCCCGAGATCTCGGCGCGCTACCGGGCCCTCAAGGCACAAGCAGGCTCGACAATTGAAGTCAGCCCGGAGAGCCGCATCTACGCTGCGGACTTTGCACGCCGAATTGGCGGTGGCACTGCTGCTGCTCCTCCTTCGCGATCGGCTCAGCCACCCCCATCAACACCAACACCCAAAAAGACACCTTCTGGCGCAGCCCTGATAATGGACTACGGGACCCAAAATACCATCCCAATCAACTCCCTACGCGGAATCCAGAACCACGTCAAAGTCCCCCCGCTCTCGTCTCCGGGGCAGGTAGACGTGAGCGCGGATGTAGATTTCGTGTCGCTCGCCGAAGCGGCCATTGAAGGCAGTGATGGGGTTGAGGTGCACGGGCCGGTTGAGCAGGGCGACTTCCTCGCCGCTATGGGGATTACCGAGCGGATGCAACAGTTGCTGCGTGGTGTTGGTGCGGATGAAGAGCACCGGAGGAATTTGGAGACTGGGTGGAAAAGGCTGGTTGAGAAGGGGGGTGGCTCCATGGGGCAGATCTATAAGGTTATGGCAATTGTGCCGGAGAATGGGGGGCGGAGGAGGCCTGTTGGGTTTGGGGGTGGTGTCGAGTGAGGCGTGAAGGTGAAAATATAGATTGTACGATATGGAAGAGAGATAGATGAACAATACATCATGACCTATACAGTAGGAACAGAACAAGATCGGTAAAAGTAGTTCAATGCATCTCTATCAATGTGGTATCGTCTAGATTTTATCTCCAGCCCTTCATCATGTCATAAAAAAGTGGTATCATATCATGCATCCAGTCACACACAGGTGCGACCCGACTCAAACCCCAGCGTCTTCGTTGAGGGTTCCAAGTTATCAATACTCCCTCCAAATATCCTCCACGTATGCCTCGGTCAACCGCTCATCATTCCCATATTTCTCCTGCCACTGCACAAACCCGCCCTCAAGCACATAAACCTGCTGCGTATGGCTCTCCTCGGGCCCGTAGACCCTCTCCCGCTCTCGTGCATACCGCAGCGCCGCAGACGGACCGCGTTGTTGGCTGAGCGCGCAGTGAAATACGACCTTCTCTTTGTCTTTGAGGGTGCGCACGAGCTCGGGCATGCGAGTGTCGAGGCTGGAGCTGGGAACCCATGTTGAGGTGTGGATGTGGCCGCCAATGTGATCTGTAGTGGTAGGGTTCCTTGTATCAGTATAGGACTTGGTGGAGGCGAGTGCTCTATGTAATACCTGAGTCCCGGACGTCGATGATGGCTAGTTTGGTGGGCGTGCTGGTTGAGAGGAGAAGCGCGGAGAGAGCGTCGCGACTCATTCGAGGGAGGGTTCCGATTGTGATGGAGGACATATTTGTAGAGGGATAGTGGAAAGTAGATGTGGTGTGTTCGAGGTTGGTTATAGTTGGGCCGAAATGCTCAAAGCGAGCGGAGGGTCACGTGTTCTTCCTGATTGATTTTCCGCGCTGCCTTCCGCTCTTTCCATTGCCCTCGACCCAGGCCTGGCCACCTTCCAATTGCTGTTGCAGATGACGAGTTTGCGTCCATAGAACAAGCCCTCTCACGTTCCGGTACAACTGTCGAATCACAAACGAAATGGAGGTCCGCGCCCTGGCTCGCAGCCTTCGCGCCAGACCGAGCCCATGGCTGCTCAGTTCCAGACAGCAAGGCACCCTGCCACAGTATTTCATTCGCAGCCCGACAGCCAGTGCAGGCCGGCTCAATTCCACGACGTCTTCGTCCTCCACGCCCTCACGACCAACGAGGTCTGCCTTTTCCGAGAAAGACAACACCGCAACCTCAACTCCGACAACATCTACAACACAGGCACCGGAACCCCCCACCGACCAAGGCACCAGCCAACCTCCCTCAACTGCAGAAGGCAATCCAGTCAAGCTATCTGACGACTTCGACAACATCCTCAGTGGTTTGAATCTCTCCGGCCAAGCGCCCAAGCGCAGGCTCAACCCAGTCGCCAACCTCCGCTCGGTCTTCCCCAAGTCAACATCCGCGACCAAGACCAACATTAGCGGACACGCAAGCCAGCGGCTGTTCAATCCCTCCCACCAAGACATGGCTATGCCTCGCAAGGTTGACCTGAAGCTGGGCCCCACGCTGGGTCGCCAGGTACACGTCGAGCCCGAGCGCGGCCGCGACTTGGCGGCTGCTATTCGGATCCTAGGCTCGACTTGCAAGTCCAATCAGGTGAAGCAGCAGGCTACGCGGCAGAAATTCCATGTGCGGAGAGGACAGATGAAAAAGGAGTTGCGAAGGCAGCGGTGGAGAAAGCTCTTCAAGTTCTCGTTTCAAGAGACTGTGAAGAAGATTCAGCGCATGCAGATGCAGGGGTGGTAGGATTTCAGGAATGTCGTTGTATATATAGGACGGATAGGGATGTTGTACTGTGTACTTTATTTTCTTTTGTTGCGGTTTCTTTAACTTAAAATTGGGGTTCTTGTTACTTCCATGGTTGTACAACTACCAGTCGAGCTAGAAAAATACATCAAGTAAAAGGTCACCTCAAGAACTCGTCTTTCTATTGGAAGAGTCTATCTTCCTTCGTCAACTCGTGTAGCCTTTGTTCGATGTCGTTACTTACGATCTCGAATTCCAACACTTTAGATATGATATTTTAGTTCATGACTCTATATGTAAATCAGGCATTCGTATTGAGGACCATGTCCATGATGATCAAATTGACAAGTTCTGAAATCCGACTCTATGATGTCCTATTCCACAAATTAATCCTCTTATGGTGTTCATAACGCAGCACATTGGTGAAATTGCATAATTGTGGAAAAGCACGCGTAAAATCCAGATATGGCACCATTGATCTGTCACGGCAGCTCGTGGGGATTGTGTTGATTTGATAACTCTGCCGGCGCACTCTTGGTTGGAAGTTCTCCCGCCTGAGAATCTTTCACTGACAACTCTGCCGACGCACTCTTAACTGGAAGTTCTCTAGCGTGAGAATTTTGCACTGGTAGATGTGCCTGGTACTCTGAGACCCCTGCAATTCCTTCCGATGAATCCCAGCCCACGGGATCTGCATTGGTCTTACGCCTGCGACTAACACACCAAAATGCCAGCGCCGTAAACAGAGCCAAACCAACCACGGCACCAACAACTGGGCCCGCGATCCAGGCTTTCGAGGATATGTGATGTTCTGAGCTCGATGCGGCGGTTGTCGTTGGCGTAGATGTTGACTTCACAGTCTGACCCGGGGCCGCGTTGGTCGCAGCGGTTTGGGTGGCTTGAAGCTTCTCCAGTCCCGAGGCCACAGTCAAGGTATTATACTTCAAGTTGAACGAAGATATAGAGATGCTCGTGGACGACGCCGAGGAGTTGGCAGTCAAGCCACTGGATACCCACGTGCTCCTCGAGTAGTAGCAAGAGGCGCCTAGCGTAGACGAAGTGAGATTGCAGTCCAAAGCCCCAGTAACGATATAGATGGTGCTGTTCCAGTAGCTGGTGATATCGTAATAATAGTCTTGGAAGGACGGACCGGTCGTGAGGGTCTGGGGCAAGACATAACCGGAAGAGAGACATTGGTTGGTCACGCTGGATCGGCAGTCAATCTGGATTGTGGTCGCTGAGGCGTCGGCACTCATAACACTTCCTTCCAGGTCGTTCAAGTTCATCCCATCGAGGGCCGGGAAGATGATGTCGACCTCAGTTGACTGGGCCGTTGTGCCCGCCACCATCGATATCATCGAGGCTACGGCCACGGCCGTACGGAAGATACCGTGAAGGCTCATCGGGTCACGACGCTAAAGGGCGATAGAGGGCAATTAGAGGATTGTCCCTTTTTTAAGAGTTCTAGATCCTTAACCCTAGCGCAAGACTACTTGGCTGGCCTGACGGCTTGTTTGTTCTTAGTTAGCGCGAGAAGAGGGGTTATGGGAATTCTATCATTGTTATGATTGGATCATAATAGCAATAGCGGGAAGTGAAGTCTTCCCAAGATCCAAGTTGCGTCCAACGACCCTACGGATGTCAAAACACTTGGAAATACCCTGTAAATGTCCGTCAGAACAGGGACTAAACACAGTCTTGAAGCAAAAGTTGCTCTAATGAAATACAATCCACACATAATTTCCTTATTATTGATCCTACAAATTGTAATTTGCAAAATTGATCTGCCACCTCAGCTTGGAGTGGGGACTGGACAGAAAAAAAGGGAGTGAGTGGCGGGCGATTGGGGCAAGTAACCCATTTTGTGTGAACTGCGAATTGATTGGAAGAGGCTGTGATTAGCTGCAGGACTTACCCCCTCCTGGGTCAGCACTAAGTTCCTGAGCCTATCTTAGGGCTGAATTCTTAAAAGTTAAACCTTCGCTTGGCTTTATAGCTTAGACTTTTTGGTAATCTGTAGCAGATGAGACTGTCGATCAGTTCGGCCCTCGGGAAATGAGTGAGACACAAGGATTCTTCCGATCGACAACGAGCCAGCTCATCTGTCAGGTATCACCCCTATCGCTTATCAACTGTTTGATGCTGAGGCACCTAAAGTGACCGCAAATCACTGTGACAGGCTAAGTTCCAATATTTTCCTTGTATGTGTGACACTCACGCCGTGAAGCTACCTGTTGATGTTCATTGGTGTAAAATGAGGAAACAGACCAGATGAAGCACGTTGTAGCACTCGCATCCGAGTTGTGTCTCGGATCTGCAGATTTTGGGAAGATGTATCTCATTCGCTCTGGAAAGTTTCGCACTGGGAAGTGGCAGGTCTGTAATTTGTTCCAGGTACTTGCCAAGTGCAGTACGTATTGATTAAATATATTACTGATTGCAAGTGCGGTTTGGAGAAGCTCTCAGAAGTTCGGAAATCAAGTCGATGAATAGAAACTTCGGAGGATAAGACACGAGTCATTGTAGCGACACAGAAAAATGGCAAAAATGGCATCTCCTTCAGCTTAGGCTCCTAGGAACGTAAGCGGTGAACATCTGAGCAGGCGAAGGGCCAGAAGTAGATTGAAAATTGAAGAGGCTGGTTGGGTGAGCACCCCGGGTAAGCGATCAGGTTCCTCAGTGAGCAGTTCACCCGTGATCCAGGAGCTGATCGCTACCCTAGGTGGCAGTTTTATCGTCACCACCATTACTTATCAGATAATTTCGTACCCTCAGAACATGAACACATTGCCCCAACGGTTCTCGCATCGTCTGATATGTTATATTTCGGGTTTGATAGGTTTAATGCGTACTAACGAAATAGGGCTCAGACTGTTTATCGCTTTGGTAAGATAGTATGAAACAATCTTCATCTGTTTAGCATGAAAGCCGATTTCGAATGTCTCGTCCTATAGAGAAAATAATCTTGATATGTTGAATATGTTGAAAAATTGTTACCAAGTGGTCTGCCTAGTAAGTACTGCCGACGGCGAACCGTAGTTTATATCTTCAAAAAAAATCTAAAATTTTTCTATGGACTTGTCGTAGGGTTCAAGATGAGTCAGAGATAGGTTGCCGTGTTCGGAAAAACAACGCGTTAATAGAAGGTATACAGGTACAAATGAAACCGATCGTAACCTCAGCGTTACTGTTTCAATATATATTTTAGATAGGTCGGACGAGCGATGGAGAATAAAGGGACGGACATACCCAGCAAATTCAACTCTTGTAATAAGGGTCGTGCTATCGAGATTTGTCCAAGAATTGAATAACAGGCATATTCTATAGACATTCGTTAGTGTAGCTACCCCGCCGGCTCCAAGGATAGCCACAACTTTAATTTTTTGAGTCATTCGTAACTGGAGTGACCATGTTAAAACGATGGGTAGGACAAGGATTGCGGCGTCGGTAAACAGGCTGACAAAGGAGTCGACAGTGAAGAGAGCACGAAGATCGACGCATTGACCGGTGTTCGGTATCCAGTAAGCTGAGATTGGAGTACATAGAAATATCCGGACAAATATGACCGCAGTGTAATAGGCCAGGATAAATATAAGCAAGCCAATCATAAATCGTGCCATCATCGTTCGTACGGCAAAGATTCGAAGCAGTATAGCAATAAGCAATACCTTGATGGATACAACCGAGAGCGCATAGAAAATGTAGGCAATATATTGTGTCTGGACAATTCGTTTACTTATTGAAGTCATTGCCGAGGCGTTGACTTACCTTTCGGACTGACTGAAGTTGAGAGGCATCAAGCTCCCATTTATTATGAGCACCTCCGAAAAAGACATCTAATATAAGTGAAAATAAAAAGTTAGTTTCTCTTGCTAAAAGGGCTCACAAGTTAAGGAATATGACACACATAGAATTTCTACCGCTAACAGGGCGCAGGTAAATAGCTGGAGTGCTTATTAACAATTCGAATTTATACTGTATGTGAAGGATGAATACCCATGCAAGGCAACATAGTACTTTAAACGGCTATCAGCAATTGACAGAATCATTTATATCAAGGATTTATAGTGGACTCACAATCTTCCCAATTCAATCCTTTCAAGACATGATACCTCGCATAAAGTCGTAAAGCCAGAGCGATCGTGACCAGAGTAAGGCACAGTGCGTCAACTACGTAACTGAGAACGGACAGCCAATTCTCTGAGTCCACATGTCTTGCAAGGATCATAGAAGTATCAAGTGAAGATGATAACCTCTCGATCATCATATCACCATTCAATGTGACCAATCTCCCTCGGTCCGTAAGCCGTGAATATCGAATTCAAGCGTTCAGTGGGGTTACGCGTATTTATGGTACGCTCGGCGCACATATTGTCATGATGTAATAGTCTGCAGTAAGAGAGAATGAAACCCTGGAACGCTTCATGATGTGCGGTTTTTTAAGATTTATTCTGGAAGGTTGGCGCCGACGCGCTTTTTTGCTCATCTGACCATAGTTTGCCTGATGCTCTGCTGAGTCATCTGAAGCACCGACTGATCCTCATCTGAGCGTCCTGATTCGCTTACTGAGCACGAACAGAGTGTGGGCAGAATCCACCTCCCTGACAGTCCCACCCACTTACCACCCTTCCTCTCTCGATACATCCCATCTCTCAAAACAGACGACGATAAAAGTGTTCTGCATCTCGCCACTAAACACACGCATCAGCCAACTTCGATTGTATGAGCAGTTGTTGTGTCTTGGCCGGGACAAACCCATGGGTAGCCCATGCTTGGCATGAGTCTGGATTCAAACCGATGCCTCGGCACCCATGGGTTTGTTCACGTGATCTATCCGTAGCTTTCTTCTCCGCACTTCGTCTACTTCCTAACACAGTAAAAGCACCTATTTCCCATGGTCGTACATACCTAAAATCTACGGGTATCCGACTATTTTTAGTGCTTGGTTGATCTACGATTAGTTTTATGGAATTTCCGGCATAGTGTAGTTCCAAATTGTTACTTTAAAAGAGGCGGTAAAAGAGGCGATAAAAGAGGCGAGAAAAGAGGCGACTGGAACCATGAACCTACGGTATTATGTGGAGATGAACCAGCGACCTTATTACTACCAAGCCCTTATTTTTATATCAAATTGGGTTTTCGTGGGAGCCCAATGGGAGCCGACGATGGATCCAGGGCTGGGTCCTGGGGCGCAGTCTTCGACCCATTTCCGGATTGGGTTAAAGCCTAGCCATGAGAGGCTACAAAACTACACATGATTGCGAATCAAATACGAACCAGACCCTTGCAAATCAACTCAAATACGAGTTTCTTCAGGAAAGAAAAGCCGAATACGAAGAAACAAAATCCTTCTTCGTACCCAGCCCTAAGATCCTCAGGAACTTCGCTGACACGAGATGTTTGAATGCAACCACCCGGCCTGGCCTCTATGCGGACATCGAAAAACGCCTCATCATCTCTTTTACTGCAAGAAGATGCCATCGCGGCCAAGGCCCTAAGGGACATGCGCGTCCGCAGGCACGGAGTATAGTACAGTAGTATGCATTTAAGTATGATCCTACGGGATGTTTGGCCCCGCTATGCAACATAGCTTTCGTATTCCTCACTTGAGCAGTAGTCGGGCAGTTTGACGAGACCTATAAAGAAGCAACCTCTCCATCAGTCAAGCATCCTCATCATACTCATCTTTTTTTCTCGTTTCCCTCTATAACCATGAAGCTCTTCTCCGTCTTGACTACGGCGCTCCTGACCCTGGGGGTCGACGCAACGCCTGTTCCAGAAGGAGGCGCATCATTCCGCGAGGGGGTTCTCGCAGACAGGTTTTCTCAGCGAGTAACCGATGCAAGTGCCGGCGCTGCAGCAGAAATGGGTGGCCTGGTCAAGAGAACAGAGCTTACTTGCGAAATCGTCAACGTTGTAACTACTGTCGATTGCCACTACTGGCCAACCCACGCAGATGTATCGGAAGGCTATCCCGAAGTGAAGAATCATGTTGTGACCTCGTTCGGACCTTCAACTAAGCACGATTTCTCTTGCTACCTGCCTGGTGAGAACGTTGGAGGGATCACGTAAGTAATCCATCAGTATTATCAGGGAAAAAAGAAGTCTAATAGATGATTTCGATATATTTAGTGCTTGGGATTATGCTAGTAACTGGGGCTGCTTTGTCCCTGGATATTATACAGACTCTCATTGTACTCACGGTACGCTTCTCCCCCTCTGCAATTACAAGCCCTTTCTGGGTATACTGATAAGAATTCTGTTTTCTAGAAGCACTTGGAATGTGCTGGACTTAGAAGCCCTTGGACCATGCTTTCAATGCTGATGAATTTGAAAATCTGTACCCGAGGTGTCACCGTTCACCCTCTATGTCACGATCTGACATGATATTGCCTGCATGACTGATTTGATTCGGTCGTAGGTTTCGGATACATCGCTCCGATACATCTATCTGTTTGATGTATGCATCGCTCCTTTGTATCTATCCGTTGAATATTTGTTAATCTATATCGAGTTGATTGGGCCCGTAATTCCTAGCCTAGGAGAGATGAACTTCGTAGTGGCGGTAGGTTTGGAAAAAGCTAGGAACAAGCTCTTCCTTGACTTAGCCACCCCTATCAACACCAGGATGATTGAATATCTACCCTGCGATCTCATTCTATCCATGACCACACAAAGAAAAAATTTGCCCGCTCAGGTAAAGGGAATGAGAAATGACGAGACTCAAATGACTTCCTCTCTTTCCCAACCACTAGCTTTAAGATTCTCGATCCCCTTGTTCGGATGGGCTTTGTTTGGGTCGTGATAAGTCGATGCATAGGGATTCGGGTCTGCCTCCTGTTTCAAGTTTCCAAGTGTGTGGTTGACTTCTCGGTGCTTGGCCTCATCTGCCCGGACATATAAAAGCAGATCTCTCATCGTCCTCTGACCTTCGGACATGTTCCAATATTTGATGGCAATATCAGGAGCCTCTGTCTTGTGCCATTCGGGTAGGCGGTCCTTCTCAATGTCTTGAATCGCCCGAGTGTACGTGATCACGGCTTCCTCTTCAAGGTAACCGACGAATCGATGGCAAGTGCGCGGAGATACAAGGTAGGAGAGGAAAAAGCAGTTGAAAAATACCCCTTGGGCTCCAAGAACCATAAGGCGTAGGAACCATCCTGGCTCAGCAAGCTTCATGAACGTAAGCAAATGCATCCGCTCATTGAATGCCTCTTCTAAAAGTGTCTCGATCCTGTCATATAGTTAGTCTCTTTTTGGGGCAATCTAGAGGGTCCATGTTTCGTACCATCCATTATCTCGCTTCATGCGTCGAAGACTTCGCAGGTGTCTCAGCATTCCAGCGACCATGCCTGGGACACCGGCAACACTTTCCAAAAAGATAAACCGTGTGAGCCATTTTCGTTCAGTCATTCGGAATTCCACCTGACTTTCTTTGCCAGGTGGAGGATGCCGATATCCCGTAGCGAAGTCCATACCCCATCGTAACACGCGGACTGATGCAAGTGCAACCCGATCGGACCAGTTCTTTGCTTCTCTTTGTGCGATTACCACCTGGGCCATCTGTGGTTTCGTGTATCTAGAACCAATAAGCTTTCTGGACAATCAACGCAATCGTTACCCTGAGGAATGAGCTCACACAGGATGAACCCATGACGTTTCAGTCTCCTTGATACGAGATGTTTTGGGTGCTGGGAAAAACTGTTTGTCCTGACCGTGAAGTGTAGATGAAAACAATTGCTTTCGTTCTTCTTGTTGATGGTGGTTTCTAGGTCTCACTAAACTCCGCCATTGTGAACCCGTTGTTCGAAGCAGAAACCTTGCGGAAGAGGGAGCGAGAATATGTGTGTTGAGTAGTAATGGATTCATCGTGAAAAACGAAAGACTATCCTGTCTGTCAATGTATTGTGAATTTATGAAAGTGGATAGGTGCAACCAGCCCAGGGCTTGGATTCATATTTATATGTTATGCGCATTTCGTGAAGCCTATAGTGCGGAACCGACAAACACATTAATGCCAACCAATTACGATCATCTTTAGGCGTAGATAGCTTAGTGTGGAAAAATTATTCCTTTATTTCCATATTGATTTCGATAGGGCTAGCTCTAGAAACCGTGGCTTCCCGTGTGAGTGCATTGAGATATATGCTGAAATGACTATATTCGCATTTGCAACAATGCGAATTCTGCCTACGAAATGCGACATCCTCCTCGAAGTCCCACTGGGTCATATGCGACTGACAGCGGTGGTGACAACAGTCGGAGCCGAAGGAAAGAACTGACCAATCGGAGTCTGGAATGGTGCGGCTCCGAAGCTCGCTCCACCCAACTATCAGTACTGCTTTGATGTAAGCTCCCACCTCTGCATATTTAAGGTAAATTTTATTGGTCGTATATCAGAATAACACATGCTTCCTTTTATTATTTGCCAAGCTCTTACCACATTTAACCATTATTGACTCCATGAGCCAACTAGGACTTGAATTTATGAACGGAAAGACCTTTTGGAACAACCAAGGTAGTTCTAACTAACTGTCAAGTCAATTGAGAATGTCAATAACTCATCTTGCAATGTCTGAATGGATGTCGCTGTCACACTTCGTGTTTAAGGGTTGATTATTTCGGGTGTCTTACGGTTATGGAGAGCACAGGCAGAGGAGCAGTGAACAACTGCACTATGGCTCCTTAAGCGAGGATGCATCGAGCCTGACCCGACACATTCGCGCTGTCAATCCCTGCTCGCCTATTGTCGCAAATCCTCGATCTTTGCTATTAACAAAGCAACCCTGCATCATGTCCGAGGTCACCATCGTTTTCACGAAGGCTGCCCCGATGCGTATATACAATTATATGGTCTCCCAGATCTGAAAGTCGGTTGATACTGGGTTCATGGAAGCATGGCAGAGAAAAGGCAAGCTCAGTCCTCGCCATGTTGATTGTATAACTTTGGTTTTTATTTTGATATATACATGTCGCGTGTGCTAATTACCCGAATAAGCCGAAAAGACCATTATGACGGAGCTTTTCAGCTTCGCCATACGTGAAACCACTAGATGGAGCGCGCGAGATATTCTTCTGTGCCAATAAACCTCAACGCAGAATAGTTTCCATACTTTCACCGTCCCCTTCTACATTCACCTTGTACGAGCGGCTGACGGAGATGTCATTGCCGCCGGAAAACGGATCTGCGCTGCCGTTCTGAACGCTGTGGAGCTGGTATGTATGCTGGCCTTTCCGGTCTGCGGGCTGAAATCTGTTGAATGATTCATACGTCATTTTCCCACTACTGTGCGTGTGCGACGAGAACAGTGATAGGCGCGGCAGGTATGTCGCAATCAGCCGCTTGAACCGCATTGCGCAGGCGCAGATGATGCCGAGGTTGACCTCTACTAGGGACCACACACCGAGAATAGCTTCGGTATAGGTTGTGTCGGGGGTCTTTTCGAGACGGAGGACATATGGTAAGCGGGCTATTGAGCAGACAACGACACTGTGATATTCATTAGAAGGGTATCCAAGAAAGATGAATGGACATGACGCCAAACAGGAGAAGCGTACCCAGATCCCAGAGCCAGGAGGCTGCCGACGGTGAGTTTCTGTTTCAGCGAAAAGTGGAGATTCACAATCGTGGGGATGGGCAAGAGGACGACGGCAAAATCAGATGCGATATTTAGGGCTGCCTGGGCCAGAGCGACGTTTTCCAGACACTGGGTGGTCCCCGTTTTGAGCGGATTACATGGCCCCCCGGTGATGACGCATAAGGTCAAGGTATAGCCAAAGATCGCAACGCCGACTGCGACAACCGCGCATCGATAGGGAATGGACGGGTTGATGCGAAACAAGACAGACAAGATGGCCATCTTGGTTATGGCGGGACATACCAAGTAAGTCAAGGTATTAGGGAGCAGGGCCTGCTTTATGTTAGGAATAATCAATGATGTAAAAAAGCCGGGGTCTTGCCTTATTGAACTCCATGAGGTCTGCAATTGAAACATCCCACATGTGCTTTCCCCAGCCATAGTTCATTACTATCGTAGACGTCAGTGGATGGCTTGACCCCAAGACACCAGGGACTGACGCTTAAGCATGCTTATAAAATAGAACAAGGCCGCGCCGTAGGAGATCGTGATGATGACTATGAAGTTCAGGGTAGTGTGAGTGTTTAGTGCTAGAGTCATGGCGGGGTCTTTTAACTTACCCAAGTCGAGCTCAATCTTTTTAATCAGTTTGAAGGACTGGAAGTAGCGCAGGCCAAGAAAGAGTGTAGCGATAAAGTAGGTGATGCCCCAGGCGACCACCGTCCCTATTTGCAGCGAGTTCCAAGGCGCCTGGAACTGCGGTGTCTGGCCGGCCGGCGGCTGCATTCCCGGTGTCGTGGCCAGATCCATCGAGGCAGACATTGTCGCCGATACAGCTCTTGCAAGCACCGTGGGGGAAGTTATGGACACACGCCGACATATATCGCGAATGTGGGCGTGGACCCTTTATAAGCCTCGAGTCCACAGCAGAGTACCTAAATCCCCCGTTCCTCCAGTCATTTCGGGCAGAATTTGGTAGATTCTGCGCCACGCGGGCTGGACTCCTGTCAAACGGATTCGGGGACGGCAGTGACAAACGGTGACAGGTCTGATTGGGGAATTCCTATTAGTGGACCAGCAGGAACCGGTTTGCGGGACTCGCCAACATGGGACTTAGTGGGCTCATGAGAGGTGTCAAAAACACACCCCGAGAGCTAAAAACGCCCAATCCACTATGGCCCACCTTCCCTTTATCATATAGCGCATAAAAAATTACAGCCGTGGTACGTGTGACCATAAATAATCACATACTAAAAATTCCGAAGCCGGAAAACGCATAAAAAAGCCTAGTAGGGTTAAAAAAAAGGGGCCGCATATAATCAACTGCACATTGATCCAGACCTTTACAGGCAATGTACATATCTTTTGTAGATTTTTTGTTTTTTTGGCTGTGGCAGTCTCAAATCCAAGACGTTCAAGAACATTTCAAGGCTCTCTTTTGCTGGTGTTGTAGGGTGTGATTTACTGAACTAAGTGTATTTACTAAGTAATACTTTACAACTATGTGGGCCCTATAGAGGATTGGGTGTTTTCAGGCCTGGATGTGTCCAGTCGCTCCGGGCCTAGAAAAGTGATTTTTTTTACCTAGCGCTCTGGCCGGAATTTTCCTGTCATACCCTAAGTTCGAGCTAGTTAGAAGAGATAGTAGCCTTGTTACCCCCCCAATCAAGTTTAACGAGGTCGGGGGCGGGTCTAAACTAGGTAAAATATGAAACAGACGGGTCTGTACACACTTTCCGCAGCACACATTTTACGACAATTGAGAATAGGGGTAGACAATAATAATATTGCCCCTCTAGATTCCTTTTTCGGCGCAAGACGTCTCCATTGACAGATTGCTGTTCTTATCTACATCGTCCCTCGGGGCATAAACATCATTATCGTGAAGACTCGACGACATGGGCATGTTCTTTGGGCGCAAGCCCGCCGCGGAGCCATTTCCGGGTGATCGAGTGCTGCCATTGCATTTCTTCGAGAATAGCCTACTAGTCCAGGGGAACAACATGGCTGTTTCACTCGTGTTTGACGCGGTGCTCGACCCTCAAAAGTTGCGACAGTCCCTCGAGGGCCTAGTCAAGCGGGAGGGGTGGCAAAGGTTGGGAGGCCGGCTGAGGAAGAATGTAAGAAGCGCTCCTCTCCAAGCGATACGGGAGCTGCCGAAATGATAGCCTGCGCATACTAACGTGACCATATAGGACTCAGGCAATATCGAATGGCATATTCCTGCAGAGTTTACGGCGGATAGGCCCGCAATCACCTTCGCGCACGTGGACCACGGCATGCCTGCTGCTTCGCACCCAGCAGCCTCCCGGATTCCGAAGCCAGACGCTCGTCCCGCCATTGTCGGCGACCCGGACGACCTAGAAGGCCTGGCGTGGGATTCCGGGTACAAGCCCGGCGGGATCAAGGACTACCTCGACTCTGACTGCCCGGTCTTAGGGCTGCGCGTCAACTCGTTCACTGACAAGACCATCGTAGTCCTGCAGTGGCAGCATGTCGCCTTCGATGCGCTTGGAATGCAGTATGTCGTTGAAGGCTGGAGTGCCATGCTCTGGGGCAAGACCGCCGACATTCCAACCCCATGCAAAATCGACTCGGATCCATTCGATACGTTAGCCCAGGGGTCGCGTCCCACCACGGAAGAGCATATTCTAACTGATCGTAAGGTCGGGCTGGTAGGCATGCTCAAGTGGGGGCTAGGGTATGGGGTTGATATGCTGGTCCGATCCAAGGAGAACCGCATGGTCTGTGTCCCAGAGTCATACTGGCGACCACAGACGGAGAAGGCTCTCGAGGAGCTTCGCGCCGAGGCAGTCGCGAAGGGCGAAGACCCTTCCAAGGTGTTTTTGACCGAGAATGACGTTTTGACAGCCTGGATCCTACGTTGTGTTGTTGCCCCAATGGGGATGAAACCTGACCGAACGGTAAATCCTGTCCCTTGTCGCCTCGCTGGATTATAGCACCGACTGACTCTGTTCCAGGTTGCCGCATCGATCGCCATGTCCCTCCGCAAGGCCTTTGAGGGCGACCTTATCCCTGCCTCCGCCGAGCACCCCTACGTGGGTAACGCCTTCGGCTGGGCCAACGTCCTCGTTCGTGCGGGCGACATCACTTCCAAGCCGCTGAGTTGGCTCGCACGACAGGTTCGGCGCGCTATCAACGAACAAGGCACGCGTGCTCAGCACGAGGCGTACTACGCTATGGTGCGCACGTCTGGAACCGGCCTGCCCATTGTCATCTTCGGCGACGGCGGCATGGCCCAAATCGGCTTCTCCAATTGGTCCAAGGCGGGCCTGTTCAACTTGGACTTTGCCCCGGCTCGTCAGGACCTCCAGGGTGACAGAGTGCCGTGCCGGCCGTCGTACGTCCAAGAGAACCACGGCCCGATTAAACCTGCGGATGGATTTTTCATCTTTGGCAAGGACGAGAAGGGAAACTACTGGTCCTCGGCGTGTAAGGTGAAAGGCCAGTGGGAGAAGTTTGAGGAGCAGCTGAAGAAGGATTTTGAGGTGGAAGCGTGAGCCGTGAAGGCAAGGAATATCCTGTTTTTATATGTCAATACAAATGATACCCAGTCCTGCATTCATCGATAGAGACGTTGGCCGTAGTCCATAGCTAGTCAAGTAGTTGTTGACTCCAGTGGTTACTGTTGGAGGGCGACTTTGCCGGTTACAAGATCGCCTCGATCTACACTTATCAAATTATTTAGAGTCTACGGGACGAATATGAAATCAAACATCAGCAATTTTCAATCTGAGACCGGCAGAGAAATCACTGCGGCAAGATTGGCACGCGAATTGCATCAATCGCTGTTGTCGTAGCCGAGGCTGGGGCCTCTATGGATGCTTGAAGCAGGAAATGATTGTGGATTCGCTCTTACCAGATTAGGACAGCCGACATGTGTAGCGCCGGCGCAATCCACGGAAGTAAGTCGACGATCATTTGGTCTGGCCTTCGTAATTTTGAGTTCCAGAGATAGGGACAAATTTAAAGCTTCGTTCAAGATGGCACAGAGACCACCATCTGCTTTCCTAACTCATAAGACCTGCTGGAAAACACCTTGTCGTGCAGTTCAGTCTTAATGAAATCTGTTTGGAATAGCTTTTCAAAATGGTCAAGTCTACCTCTCCTTTTACATACATAGTCAAGAACCACCTTTAGAATATGTCTTTGATCCGTTGCTCAAAGTCTTGTGTTTATTCACTTTCCAGATTTAGAGAAACAGAATATGCATTATGTTTTGGGTCGTCGAACGTGCTATATTTGACATAATGTATTGAATTGCTTGGCATATTCGATATCAATCCCAGGTATTCATCTGGTCATGTACATTCTGGCAGCATCCACCACAGCATCACACTGTACACAGTATGAACAACCCAACACTAAGCAACATCTATCAATACACTCCTTCCATCATCAACATCAGTCCTTCTTCCCACTCCCAAACCCAGCATACCCAAAGTGTCCTCCGGCATTAACAGGCGTCGTGACTCCATTACTAGGAGGAGCAGGGGAATACCCACCATACCCATTAATGCGACCTCCATTCCCAAACGCAACACCCGTACCCTTCCCCCTAACCGTCGGCAGACCACCCATCATGCCCTCTCCGCGCCATGAAGACGCAGCAGCACCACGCCGCCAGCGCCGGCCATTGCGCTCCCAGTGCAGCGCAGCCAATGCGCCCACCGACGCAGCCATGACGAAGAAGAACAGCCGGGAGAGGAAATGGCTCTCTGGTTTTGCGTCGTTCTCGGAGAGGAACGACTCTCCCGGTGTGCGGGCGGGCCAGCCGATCGACGCGCCGCCCTTCACCCATGCAATGTGGAAGGAGAAGGTGAGCGGCTCGCCGCGAATGACTTTCGTGCCGTGTCCTGATGTCCAGGGCTCGCGCGCGGCGCGGACAAGAGCGATGGCCTGCTCGTCCTCATCCTGCGAAGACTTGGCGTCGAACTCGGGGACTGAGTACGCCGTCCCGGCCATCACATACCCGGGCTCGGTGCTCTTCTTTCCCTTGCGCTTTTGCGCCGCCGGGTCCGCCGCGAGATTATGCAGCAGCACGTTCATATCAGTCCAAATATGCAAATGGCTCAGCTGCAGCGTCCCCTGCACGGCCATTGTGACCGGCGTAAACGGCGGGCCGTTCTCATTCAGCGCGGTGCGAGAGCCGTTCTCCTCGTTGGGATCGTCGTTGCTTCCTTTCGGGCTGCTGTGGAAGGATGAGAGCGGCGCGGTGGGCACACGGCAGGACATGGGTGCATCGGAATGCACGTAGAATTCGAGGAGGTGGTAGAAATCATCAGAGACGGCGGGGACGGTGCAGGTTATTGTCTCCGAGGTACCGTAGTGCAGGGATAAGGGGGAGGAAGTTTCGTTGCAGATGGCGAAAGGGACGTATTTGAGGTTGCCGAGGTCGTCTGTTATCTGATATAGACATTAGCATTGAATTGATCGATTTGTAGTTATTGATTTTGTTTTGTTGTCCTGAACTGGGTGTAAAGGAAAGGGAGAGAGGGAGGGTTGTCGCGTACATGTTCCCCGTACTCACTGGAGCACACATTAGCAATCCTGTCTTCTATTATCAGAAGAAACTTACAGTGTCCGATCCAAGCATGACACTGGAATTCCCTCGCCAGGGAGATATCCTTCGCCGGTCTCCTGGGCGCTGCTCCCCGCGGAAGCCACCTGGCCCAGTGCGCCCAGGACGGTGAGAAGGAGTGCCACTGCCGAGGAGCGACGCATTGCGCTCTCACGAGATTGGTTCGACATGGTCGAGAATAGACCGCCCCGAGGTGGGTGGTGGGTGTGGTGGCGGCGGAGACAGGGAGAGAAGAGACGGGGCGGATTTAATTGTTGGTTTCTGCGGAGAAGCCGAGATTGGCACGCCATAGCGCGCCGACTCGGAACTCTACAAGTATACTACGCGAGCAGTTTACTACTTTACTACGTCGGTAAACAATTACCGGAATTACTGGAATTACTGGGAGACCATAATCCAAAGAACAGTCCATTTTTTCGGTTATATCTGAAACAGAAAATCATTGCTCGTCAAGTCCCAACGATCTCTCAAGGCTTACGCCAATTTGGCCTTCTGCTTGAACGCGAGGAGCAGGCCGCTAGTCGAGGCATCGTGGTCGGCACCCGCACCATCAGTCTCCAGCTCCTTCTGGATTTTCTTCGCGAGGACCTTGCCCAGCTCAACACCCCACTGGTCGAAGGAGTTGATGTTCCAGACTGCACCCTCGACGAAGGTGACGTGCTCGTAGTAGGCGATCAGAGCACCCAGGGTGGACGGGGTGATCTTCTGAGCCAGAATGGAGGTGGTGGGCCGGTTGCCCAGGAAGGTCTTGTGCGGAACGAGGTTCTCGGGGGCGTTCTCGGCCTTGACCTCCTCGGGGGTCTTGCCGACCATCAGGGCCTCGGACTGGGCCAGGAAGTTGGAGGCCAGCATACGCTGGTGCTTGCCGCCCTCGACGGGGTTGTGCGACTCGGCGGCCATGATGAAGTCCGCGGGGATGAGCTTGGTGCCCTGGTGCAGCAGCTGGAAGAAGCTGTGCTGGGCGTTGGTAGCCGGCTCGCCGAACAGGATCGGTCCCGTCGTGTACTTGACGTACTCGCCCGAGCGTGTGATTGCCTTGCCGTTGCTCTCCATCGAGAGCTGCTGCAGGTACGCCGGGAAGCGGTGCAGGTACTGGTCGAACGGAGCGACCAGGTGAGTCTGCGCGCCGAAGAAGTCGCTGTACCACACGCTCAATAGACCGGCAATGGCGGGGATGTTCTGCTCCAGCGGGGCCTCGCGGAAGTGCTTGTCCATGGCGTTGGCACCGGCCAGGAACTGGTGGAAGTTGTCGTAGCCGATGTACAGCGCAACGGACAGGCCGATGGCACTCCACACGGAGTAGCGACCACCGACCCACGACTCGAAGCCGAACATGTTCTTCTTGTCAATGCCGAACTTGGTGACTTCGCCCTCGTTAGTCGACAGAGCAACGAAGTGCTTGGCGATGTGCGACTCGTCCTTGGCCGTCTCCAGGAACCAGGACTTGGCCGTGTTGGCATTAGTGCAGGTTTCGGCGGTGGTGAAGGTCTTGGAGGCGATCAGGAAGAGGGTGGTCTCCGGGTCGGAGTTCTTGAGCGCTTCGGCGATGTGGGTACCATCGATGTTGGACACAAAGTGCAGGGTCAGATCGGGGTGGCCATAGGGCTTCAAGGCCTCAGTGACCATGACGGGGCCGCTAATTCAATATCAGTATGGGCCCGAAGATCACACAACAAAACACTTACAGATCGGAGCCACCAATACCGATGTTGACGATGGTCTTGATCTTCTTGCCGCTATAGCCCTTCCACTCACCACTGCGCACCTGCTCGGAAAACACCTTCATATGCTCGAGCACCGAGTTGACTTCCTCGACGACGCTGTGGCCATCGACCTGCATGGGCTCATTGGCGGTGTTGCGGAGCGCGGCGTGGTAGACGGCACGGTCCTCGGTGAAGTTGATGTGCTCACCGGCGAACATGTCGTCCCGCAGTTGTTCGACATTGGCCTCCTTGGCCAGCTTGACCAGCAGAGACAGGGTCTCCTCGGTCAGGAAGTTCTTCGAGAAGTCAAAGAGGATCTCGGAGTTGTCCACCGTGTTGGCAAAGCGGCGGCTGAACTTCTCAAAGCGCTGGGGGTCCTTCTGGAAGTACTCCTTCAGGACAATGTTGCGGCCAAGAGCATTGTGATGCTCCTGGAGCTCCTTCCAGGCATTTAGCTCGGTGGCTTGTGAGAAACCTGGCATGATTGCAATGTTTGGTAATCTAGATTGAGCTGGGACGTCAGTGCGGGGCAGGGTGGGATGGACGAGGAGATGGTGAGGAGGGTAGGAGAGAGAGACGGAGGGAGAATGTGGGAGTCTGAGAGAGAAGAAACAGAAAGAAATGAGAAGGCAGGGACTATACCTAGACGAAAGATGGTCAGATGAGGTGAAGAAGAAGCAGGAAAAAAGATGGCGTCAACACCGGTGTGCTGGGGTCCGGATGGTGGGGCACATTCGCAGTTGGTCCGTCACTATGCTACATGTAGTAAACCGAACCATTCTAGAAGAATCCTATTCTGGCTAAATAACGGATAACTCGTGTAGTAGTCAGCCCTAAATATTTCTCTCGGGTCCCCCAGGATCGGTCTTGACCAGCGATTCGGATGGAGAGGGAGGGAGGGAGTTGTACACTGCACGGGAGGCGGCGGAAGCACAGGAATGGCCTCAGTCTGTGCCACCTCTCCTGAATGGTTCCCGCAGAACATGCTGGCGTGAGACTCTCTGGTCTAGACGCCCGAGGGTAAAGCGGCTAGGCACTTGGCTATAATGACGGAGGACAGTGCCATGATCGAGCTCATAGCTAGAGCTTCAATGTTACCTTATACAGAATACATGCCTGGAAAAATTATTGGAAGAGCTCCAGCGCACTAGAAACACCCCTCCAAAGAGATATCACCCATCGGAGTCCATCACCATGAAGCGCCAGTGCAGCAAGACCGGAGGGCACATTTTATAGTGTACCACGCCAAGCCCGCACGGACCCATCAAACATCTTTTGCCGTTCCTTGCGATCGCGACTTTCTGTCTTCTCTCCAGCAACTCGACCATGTACAATCCCTACCAAAGTGAGTGTCTCCTATCTATCTCCCTGGCCGAAACTGACCTCCCCTCAGATCCAGGCCTCTATGGCCGGCCAGACTATGGCGCGTATCCTGGCGCGCCGCCGGGGATGGGTAAGTGACCCCCAACCCAGCCCAACCGCATTGTCAAGTCAACTAACGCAGCGCTCGACTAGCACCTCCTCCAGGGATGTCCGCTCCAGGAACCAGTCCTGCCCCGGGCATGCAGCAGACCAACAGCCAGCAGCCCGGACGCCCGGGTGGGTTCCCAGCCAGCTTCCAACCGCCGCCAAATATGCCGAACATCAACTTCTCTGCGCCGGTGATTCGCCTGGGCACGTCGGGCCCTGCTAAGCCCGCCGCTGGCCCCGAGATGGGCCGCGAGCGCGGTGCTGGTCCTGAGGGTCCCGGCCGCCGCGCCGGTTTGGGCGCTGGTGGCGGGGATTCCCAGCGGGGGTATGCGAGGGAGTCCATGATGCCGTTACAACCCCCCACAAAGGACGAGATTGTGCGCACCCTCTTTGTGGGTGCGATTACCGAGGGTGCTGGTGGTGACGAGGGTATCGAGCGCATTCTACGGTCTGCGGGCAATCTGCGACGGTGGATTCGGGCTACCGACGCGCATGAGAAGCCCTGCCGGTTTGGGTTTGCCGAGTTTGAGGACCCGGAGAGTTTGGAAGTTGCGGTGGAGGTGCTGAAGGAGGTCGAGGTGCCGGTGAAGCGACAAGTGCCGAGCGCGGACGACGAGAAAGAAGAAAAGGACATCGAGAAGAGCACTCTACTGGTATGTATGCTTTTACTTGATATTTAAAGGACAGAAACTGACTCTGTGACAGGTGATTGTCGATGAAAGCACAATGAACTATCTGGAACAATTCGAAGCCAGTCGTGGCGAAGCCGACCCGCAAGAACGCCAGGCTCGCTTCGATGCCGCTCGTGATAATCTCAAGGCCGTCCTATCCGACCTTTGCCACCCGTCTGCCCCCACCCAGAAGGAGGATATAGCCGCGCTCGACCGTGAAGGCGACACCGAGATGAAGGATGTCGTGAACAAGGACGGAGAAGTGGTGACCATTCCAATCACGGTGGAGGATGAACTGGCCGACGTGCCACCGGAGATGCGGGAGAATGTGGCCAAGGAGATCGCAGCCTTCCGTGAACGCAGCAACCGCCGTGACATCGAGCGGCTCAAACGCGAGGAAGAGATCGAATCGATGGAGCGCGCGCGCGGTTCCGGTTCTCGCATCAACCGACTTGCCTCCCCGCCGGCATCTGCTCCTAGTGGGCCTGCAGGGGGCGCCAATGGCATTCCCCTGGGCCCGCGCGGTGCACCGGCGGGTCCCAAGGGGTTTGGCGTGCAGATTCCCAAGGATTATCAAAACGGCGTATCCTTCGTGAATGGTGGATCGATCAATGGTCCATCTATCTCCTTTGATCGCGACGACGAAGACACGGATGCCAGCGACGAGGAACTGGAACGCCGCCGCCAGGAGAAGCGTCAGGCAGAACAGGAAAAGCAGTTCCTCGACCAGGAACGCCGCTGGCTCAACCGCGAGCGCAGTCGGACTGCTGCTCTGGAGCGAGAGAAGAAGCGAGACAAGGAGGACGACGGGCGGATGCAAGCGGCGCACGATGAAATGGAAGAGCGGATGCGCGAGTGGAACGACGATGTCGAGGCCAGCCGCAAATCTGTCGAATACTACGCAGACCGCGGTGCCTGGCTGCGCAGCCGTGCAGCATTCCGTGCCCGCGAGGCCCAGCTAGACGAAGCCGATCACGCCGCCGAAGAACGTGACCGCGCACGCTCGGACCAGAAGCGCGAACAGGCTCGCGGGATGGCCGATGATTTCCTCGCCCGCCAAGCCGAGGTGCTGGAAGCCCGTACTACCGAAGAGGCACCGCGAGAACCGCAGCGCTTCAAGCTGTCCCTCGGTGCCGCCGCACAGAAGGCCCAGGCCGCGACCAGCCGCCGGACCGTTGCCGAAGTGGAGGGACTCTTGGAGGACGAGGAGGAGCCCGAAAGCACGGTCCGCCGACCACTCATCCCGATCAAGTTCGACACGGCCGCCGAGGCCGCCGGTCTATCGGACGAGGAGCGAGCCCAGGCCGCACGCCAGCTGGCCGCCGAGATCCCCACGGACAAGGAGGGTCTCTGGAAGTGGGCGGTCCAGTGGGAGTTTGTTGACGAGGCCGTGATCAAGGACCAGCTTAAGCCGTTCGTGGAGAAGAAGATCGTCGAGTACCTGGGTGTGCAGGAGCAGATGCTAGTCGATGTGGTCGAGGAGCATGTGCGCCAGCATGGAAACCCTCAGGAACTGGTTGATCAGCTGGCTGAGGCGCTGGACGAGGAGGCCGAGGTGCTGGTGCGCAAGCTGTGGCGGATGCTCATTTTCTTCTCGGAGAGCGAGAAGCGCGGGCTGTCCGCGTAGCCGTGGGCTTGTATTATCTTCTAGGATTAACGTTCATCAAGAATAGCAATTGAGCCTCTCTCAAGAACCCTTGATCCAACCATATTATAACTCTGACCCTAAAGCTTGGAGATATTGGCTATAGTTACCCCCGGCGTCTCTGGTTGGTGGAAAAACCAAGCCCAGGGGCATCCACCAATGACGCACTCCCTCGAGTTTCTCCATGGAGGGGCGTGGGGTATATGAGGTGGGCATTCTCTCGTTTTTCGGGTTGCCGTCAGATTGTTAATTTGTTTGCGTGTCCCTCTGCTCTCTACTCAATCTGCAGTTAGTCCGCGACCGCAATTGCAGCTACTCATTCCTCCACCCATTACTTGACTGAAGACTAAGTCGTCACCATGGTCAAGATCACTGGCTTCACCACGCGCGACGTGAGGTTTCCGGTAAGTCCTTGATTTAATTGCCAGGTTGACCAGCGATTGACAAATTCCCGACAGACCTCGCTCGACAAGACCGGCTCGGATGCCATGAACGCCGCGGGCGACTACTCCGCCGCGTACTGCATCATCACCACGGACTCGCCGCACGCCGGACACGGCATGGTATGTACCTGCCTGCCTATGCTAGAACTTTAGTAAATGTACCACATCCATGGACCCTAACCAATCCAAAAACCAGACCTTCACAATCGGCCGCGGCAACGAGATCGTCTGCTCAGCCATCTCCCTACTCACGCCACTCGTGGTTGGCAAAGAGCTCGACGACCTAACCGCCGACTGGGGCAAGACGTGGCGCTACCTCGTCTCCGACAGCCAGCTACGCTGGATCGGGCCCGAGAAGGGCGTCATCCACCTCGCACTGGGCGCCGTCGTCAACGCCCTCTGGGATCTCTGGGCCAAGACGCTGGGCAAGCCCGTGTGGCGTATCGTCGCGGACATGACCCCCGAGGAATTCGTCCGCTGCATCGACTTCCGGTACATCACTGATGCGATCACCCCCGACGAAGCGATTGCTTTGCTCAAGGAGGTAGAGGGCGGCAAGGCGGACCGGATTCGCGAGGCGGAGAGCAGTCAGGCTGTCCCAGCTTATACCACCAGCGCTGGGTGGTTGGGGTATAGCGAAGACAAGTTGAAGAGTCTGCTGGATGAGAGCGTTGCGCTGGGATATAAGCATTTCAAGCTGAAGGTGGGCGGGAATCTCGAAGAGGATAAGCGCCGGCTTGCCATTGCGCGCCAGGCGATTGGGTATGACAAGGGGAATATCTTGATGGTGGATGCGAACCAGGTCTGGTCTGTCCCGGAGGCGATCAGCTGGATGCAGGAGCTGGCTCAGTTCAAGCCGTGGTTCATTGAAGAGCCCACCTCGCCCGACGACATCCTCGGCCACGCGGCGATCAAGAAGGCGCTTGAGAATACCGCCCACGGCTCCGTGGGCGTCGCGACGGGCGAGATGTGTCAGAACCGCGTCATCTTCAAGCAGCTGCTGCAGGCCGGCGCGCTGACGGTGCTGCAGCCGGATGCGTGCCGTGTCGGCGGCGTCAACGAGGTGCTGGCTATCCTGCTGCTGGCGCGCAAGTTCGGTGTACCTATCGTGCCGCACTCTGGTGGTGTTGGTCTGCCCGAGTACACGCAGCACCTGTCGACGATTGACTATGTTGTTGTTAGTGGGAAGAAGAGTGTGCTCGAGTATGTGGACCATCTGCATGAGCACTTTGTGCACCCGTCCAGCGTGAAGGATGGGTACTACGTGACCCCCATGGAGCCTGGGTATAGTGTTGAGATGAAGGCCGAGAGCATGGACGAATTTGCCTTCCCCGGTGAGGAGGGCAAGAGTTGGTGGAGGTCGCAGGAGGCAAGGACCATTCTGGACGGGCCCAGAGTATAGATTTCTATGTGTTCTTTATGTTGATATGTATTTCATTCATTGTGAATAGTGACCAAAATGATCATCTCCAGGATTGCGCCGGACTACCGGCGACTAAATAACAGTTCCTGCCATAGCTCATAAAATATGATACAGAGGACAAGCCTTGCGCAGTCAAGGTCGGTCTGTGGGACGGACCTCGCCAGTGGTCTTCAAAGACACCGCGCCGATGGATGGACAATACACCCATCAAGTCCGGACACGCCGTTGCAGAATAGCCTCGTTCCGTGCCTAATCGACATCCCTCTGACGTCCTGACTCACGTTTTGGGCATGGACATGGTCCTGGGCGGGTGAATTAAGGAGTTTCTCAGACCCAATGCCACCCATCACCGCCATTGCATACCGAACAGCTTCAGCGAACTAGCCACACTAGGCTTCTCCGACGCTTTCTCAAGAATAATGCGCGAGTGCCCCTTGACATCCAGCGCCAGAAGCTGATACTCCCATTCACTCTTGTCCAAGGGCTTCATCATGTGCACAAAGACGACGCCCGAGTTCAGAGGTCCCTCGACATGGAAATTCATTCGCAGGTGTTCGCGGCCTAGCCTGTCTTTCTCTGTCGTCGTTCTATATGCATTCATTGCCATCAGCATGTTGGGTATGGGAGCAACAATCCACACTACACCACTTACGCAATCGGCCTGTTCCGCTGCCAGCGGCTCCAGGTATTCTCGCCATAAGCCTTGATCTGCCTCCGGTCCCCGAGGAGCTTTGTACACCGCGTATCGTCCTTGATGCGGCCAACCGCCTTTTCGAATTGCCAGGTCCGGCTGTTTGGTGAGAAGACTTCGAGATATAGAAGGGTGAAGACGCCGCCCTATGAGAGGCTGTATGAGCATGTCTGTCTGGAAAAGCTACCTAGTTGGTTGCATACCGTCAATACAGCCCCGGCTAGCACAATCACAAAGTTGAAGGACTGCTGCGTTGCGCGGGACATTTTCTCTCTCCCCGACAGCTCACCCCATCGGAGCATTCCATCGTCGGACAGTACTGTGATGTTCTTCTTCCGTGTTGGCCGTGTACTGCTACTGTCAGTCGTGGCGTACCGACGGAGGATCCCTATGGTGATGGGGGATTGGCGTAGCACGAGGGAGGCCGTGGGCGAGGGCCGGGGCAGGGCCTTCAAATAGAGGGAATTCATGGCGATGGTCACTCATCCAGACACTTTCCTGCTGCTGCGCCGATGGTCAAAAGTAGGGAGGTCACGTGCGCAGTGCCGGCTCTCGGTGAAAATTACAATACTGTGTATTTGCAGCATGTGACTGCTATCTCACTAGCGTGGCAAATGCGTATTATCTTCTGTAAATTACCTCCGCAGTCCAGACACTCAGTCAGGCTTGACCGACCACGTTCGCCGTTCCCGCATCTTTTTGTCTCTCTTCGCTACGACCTTGTCCTCTCACCTCCCTTTTTTACTTTCACCTTATCTTCCCTCCTGTCCATTGGCTCTGCCATAGCCCCCAAGATGAGTGCCACCAAGGCGCAGTCTCAAAAGATTTTTGAGAAGCTTAAGCTAAAGCCCGCAAACAAGGTGCGCACATCCCACCCCTCCTCCCACCCCCGTGAGAGACATGTTGGCTAATCGAGTTCGGTCACTCGCAGATCTGCTTCGACTGCGGCTCCAAGAACCCAACCTGGTCGTCTGTTCCGTTCGGCATCTATCTGTGTCTGGATTGCTCAGCCCACCACCGTAACCTCGGTGTCCACATCTCCTTTGTTCGCTCCACAAACCTCGACCGTACGTCCCCTCCCAGTGGGTTGACATGCCAGAGACTGACTAAATGTTTGCAGAGTGGCAATGGGAACAGCTGCGGGTAATGAAAGTCGGCGGGAATGAGTCCGCGACCAAGTACTTCCAATCGCACGGCGGGTCTGCTGCGCTGGCCAGCAAGGATACCAAGGTCAAATACACGTGCAATGCCGCCGTCAAGTATAAGGAGGAGCTGAAACGGCGGGCGGCGATGGATGCGCAACAGTCAGTGGAGATTCCGCGTCCCAAGAAAGAAAAAGGGTTGGTTGTTGACACGCAGAACAGATATCCGGAGGAAGTGGTCATCACCGATCTCCTTGTCGACGTGCCGTCCGACGGCGCCAACACTCCCGCCGGTGACCCAGATGACGACTTCTTTTCTTCGTGGGACAAGCCATCGATCAAGCGGCCCAGCAACCCGCCTTCTCGAACCGGAACGCCACCCGTCGTGAGCCGAACTGCCTCGCCCTTCCTGAACGCGGGCACCAATGCCAACGGATCACGTTCCAAGTCTCCCCTGTCTGCCTCGGAAGAAAAGCCTACATCTCCCGCACCGGCCGCTGTTCGTGCTAGTGCGGCTACGCGGAAGCCGGCTGCGGGTGGAGCGAAGAAGGGCAGCGTTCTGGGCGCTAAGAAGGCGCCCAAGCTTGGAGCCAAGAAGGTGGTTTCTGCAGATACAATTGATTTCGACGAAGCTGAGCGCAAGGCTAAGGAGGAGGCCGAGCGGATTGCGAAGCTTGGCTATGATCCCGAGGCCGAGCAGGCTGAGCAGGATGCCAAGGTGACGGCCGCTGCGTCTTCGACTACTACGATCACATCGCCTACCCCGATCAGCCCGAGCAGGGCAGGCAAGTCGCACGAGCGGAACTCGAGCGACGTCGAACGGCTGGGCATGGGCATCGGTCGACTTGGCTTCGGCCAAGTGTCGCGCCCCGCTGCCCCTCCGGCTCCGAAGAAGCCTGGATTTGGCTCTGTTGGACCTGTCCGTAGTCCTGCCGATGGTATTTTCACCCTATATCCCCTTAACGCTCACACACGTATACTAATACACGCCACAGAGGAAGAACTCACCCAAACCAAAACCCGCTTCGGAACCCAGAAGGGCATCTCCTCGGACGAGTACTTCGGCCGCGAACGATATGACCCCAACGCCCAGTCCGAGGCCAAGGAGCGTCTGCGTCAATTCGATGGCGCAACCTCCATCTCCAGCAACAGCTACTTCGGCCGGCCCGAGGACGAGCTCCCCACGCTGGACGATGGTTACGGAGACCTGGAGACGGCGGCTAAGGACTTTGTGCGCCGATTTGGGATCACGGCCGGTGATGATCTGGAGAATCTGTCGCATCTGGTTGGTGAGGGGGCTACCAAATTACAAGGTGAGTCTTTCTTTCCCGTGGCCTTATAGGTTGTTTTCTAACTGGAAAATTCCAGGCGCTATTCGCAGCTACCTGAACAGCTAAATATGCTGCGTGTCATTTCTTGCCTCGTCTTGTCACGTTGAGCAACATAGCAAACCACAGCATTCGCCTGCTGAAGCGTGCGTGCGTGACGTACATTTGTATCCCCAGTCTCGCCCTCTCTGCCCTCTCTGCTCTCGCCTTGCTCGTCCAGTCCTATCTAGCTATCTCCATACCGTGGTTCTCCGATGAAGCGAGGAGAGACGACTGGCTGATGGCGGAGAGAGAGACACACTTGGTTTTTGAACTTGCAGCCTGGCGTATGTTCGTCGCATTTTCTCCTGCCCTGCCTTCCCGCCCCGACTTTTTTTGCACTCTTCAAAGACCAGATGTTTTTATGTTGATGTTGATGGGCATTGATCTTTCTTTTTTTCGCTTTCTTTTGTTTCTGTTTTCTTTTTTCGTGGGTTGTGAGTTCAATGGATAGTTATTATTGGAAGAGAAAACTATGAATTAAATTGATATCTTGATCCACGTCCTGATCCTGGGTATCCTATGTTCAAAAGTAAACTGTAGTTCTGGAGCCATTCGACGTGGTTTGAGCTGTCATTCGGACGTTTTAGTAAAGTAGCAGTATATAGTGCGTGTCGTTTTTGACTACTGCCTGACTCGGATATATATATCTCCCTCCTCCCCTCGCATCAGAAGTGCACCTCCAAGTACATACAGGGAACCCACCAAACTCCTAAAGTACACTCTGTATAGAAACCCCTAATCTAAACTCGATAAATCGCATCCGCAACCTTAGCAACGTGCCCCATCTCTAGAACATCATGCACGCGCACAATATCCGCCCCACCAGCCACACTCGCCGTAACCGTCGCCGCCGTCCCCCAGACCCGTTCACGGGGCGTCTGCACACCGGTGATATGCCCGATAAACCGTTTCCGACTGGGCCCCATCAACCACGGCAGGGTATCCAACCCGTCTGCCGTGCGGAGCGAAGCCAAATCCCGCAGAATCGCCAGGTCTTGCGGCTGGTTCTTCGCGAACCCGAGGCCGGGATCGAGAATGATTCGCCAGCGCCGAATTCCGGCTTCCTCTGCTGCGGCGAGACGGGCACGGAGCTCGGCTGCTACGTCTGGAATGACGCCGCCAGGGTAGTCGTGTAGCTTTGTCATTGTTTGCGGCGTGCCACGCATATGCATCAGAATCGCGGTCTTCCCTGTCCGCGCAATGGTAGACAGCATGTCCTTGTCAAGAAGACCCGCCGAGACGTCGTTGATGATGTCTGCCCCAGCGGCACAAGCCGCTTCGGCAACTCGTGCGCGGTAGGTGTCGATGCTGATGGCGATATGTGCCGCTTCCGGCATCGAGGACCGGATGTGTGTGATTACGGGGACGACGCGGGCGATTTCCTCGTCTGCGCCGATGGGAGCAGACCCGGGGCGGGTGCTTTCGCCGCCTATGTCGATAATTGTGGCGCCGTTGGCGATGAAGGCGCGGACTGTGGCTGTGAGCTCGGCGAGGCTTTTGGTGTTGTGTAACCCGCCGTCGGAGAAGGAGTCTGGCGTTAGGTTGAGGATGGCCATTATGTGGGTGGGGCGGTTAGGGTCTGTGGAGTGCAGGGATGGGAATTGGGGGGAGATTGGGGTTGTGGACTGTGGGGTTGGGGATGGTGGTGGTAGGGCTCGCAGGTAGGAGGCGTATGTCTGTGAGTTCTTTTGGGGTGTGGGTGGGCGGTTGTTGGGGATTAGTCTGTTATTTGGTTAGAGGCTGGCATTGGGATGCAGACGAGGCCCGGGGAGATGCATACTGGCATAGAGGTCGGAGAACAAAGTCCCGCTCGAGCATCAGGCTGTGTGGGATGTTGAGGCGCTCATGAGTAAACACCTCTTGGCCGTACAGGAGGATGTCCAGGTCAATTGACCGAGGCCCCTTGTCGATTAATTTCTTTCGTCCCAGGGCAATCTCGATGGACTGGAGCGTATCGAGAAGGTCCAGTGGCGCGAGACTGGTTTCAACCTGACCGCGTCGGTCAGCATGGTACCGAACATACCGGCAGCTACACATACCTCGCAGACTCCATTCATAAAAGTGCCCTGGTCAAGGACGTACATGGGAGTCGTCTCGAACAGCGAGCTGGTCCGTTTGACTTTGATACCAGCTCGGTCCATCTCCAGACAGGCCTTTTCGATCATCTCCACCCGGTCTCCGACATTGCTTCCCAACGCAATGAAGGCCCGGTGCAGACCCTGTACGGATTGCATTTTGCTAGACGCAATGGAGAAATTTCTCGCGAATCTGCTCGCATTCAAGCACACTGCGCTCGACCGGCCATTTCGAGCGGATGGTTCAATGGCCGTGGAGAATGATTCTAGTTGACGTTTAGTCGGAGAAAATAAGATAAAAAAAAAAACAGATCAAAAAGTGGGACAGATAAAAAGCCCGATAAGACATTTACGAACATGGAGGAACACCTACTGGAGCTCAACAGAGACCACTTGCTCGATCTATACAATCTGTCAGTTAGAGTCGCGTCTCCCGCTCTCGGCAATCGGGGGGACCTGCCGCTTGGCACACAATAATGATGAAGATCGGATATTTCGCACCCACACGTGCGGATGAGCCGGCAATGGCAGAGCCGAGAACGGACCTGAACAAGATACACCACGGACACCGGTAAATGGGCCTCGGGCAGCTAGAGAGCCCATGTTAGACGCGAGATCACCAGGAGCAGATGGACGCAAGCAGCCCGCAACAAGACCCGTCACACGCAGTCAGCTGATGTGGCTGCCTTGATGCCTTAATAGAGCAGGTGCAAATGCTGTGGCTCAGAACGCTTACCCCGGTCCCAGTGATATCCGCATCGAATGGGATCTCTTTAGGGCGCTCCGGGAAAATGTAATTGTATTCCCCAGCCATCATGGCACGCGATCAATCGCAGGTATTTAGTTGACATTGACGCTCATCCGCATAACTGTCTTAAGTGTAAAGTGGCTTGACCCTCGCACGGAGGTGGCTGTTGCGCTGCAGGCAACATGGCAACCCCGCCGGCTGAGTCAGCTCCATAAAGCCTCGGCTCAGACGGTCTGGAGTGCCTCCTCGGCTTTCCCCAGGTCCTTATAGCGCCCATCTGTTCTTCTGCTCCTGACTTCCCCCAGATTCTTCTTCTTTTTCTTCTTCCCATCACCCCAAGTGTTGTGCATCTCCATATCAACCATGGCGTCTCCTCGTATGTGTTTCCCATACTTCCTGATGATTCCCTCTACTCCCTCGTCACATGTGACATGCGATTCGGCGACTTGTTCACTAATCATGCCGCGCCCACAGAGCAAATCCGCACTCCCATCACCGATCTGCTCAAGATCAACCACCCCGTCCTGCTGGCAGGTATGAACGTGGCGGCTGGCCCCAAGCTGGCCGCTGCCGTCACCAACGCTGGTGGCCTGGGCGTCATCGGTGGCGTCGGCTACACCCCCGACATGCTGCGGGAACAGATCGCCGAGCTGAAGAGCTTCCTGAACGACAAGAACGCCCCGTTCGGTGTTGACCTGTTGCTGCCCCAGGTTGGTGGCAGCGCCCGCAAGACCAAGTGAGTATTCCCCTATACCATCCCCTGCCTCGTACTACTGAACTACAACACTAACACTTTCGGCCTTTAGCTACGACTACACCAAGGGCAAGCTCGGCGAACTCGTCGACATCATCATTAGCAGCGGCGCCCGCCTCTTTGTCTCCGCCGTCGGTGTCCCCCCCAAGCCTGTCGTCGAGAAGCTGCACGGCGCCGGCATCCTGGTCATGAACATGATCGGCCACCCCAAGCACGTCGCCAAGGCCCTCGATGCCGGTGTCGACATCATCTGCGCTCAGGGTGGTGAGGGTGGTGGCCACACGGGTGACGTCCCCACCACTGTCCTCATCCCTACCGTGGCGAAGCTAGTCCAGGGCCGCAAGAGCCCTCTGACCGGCGGGCCCGTGCAGGTGATCGCGGCCGGTGGTCTGTTCAACGGTAACTCGGTTGCCGCGGCTCTGATGTTGGGCGCTTCCGCCGTGTGGATCGGTACCCGTTTCATTCTGGCCGACGAGGCCGGCGCCCCGAAGGCCCACCAGGAGGCTGTCCGGACTGCCGGTTTCGAGGATAACGTCCGGACCATCATCTTCACTGTAAGCTTCTCTCCCCATACACCCTACCCCGAAAAAAAAATTCTAACCGTAATAGGGCCGTCCCCTTCGCGTCCGCAAGAACGACTACATCATGAACTGGGAGGAGAACCGCGCGGACGAGATCAAGAAGCTCACCGCCAAGGGCGTCATCCCCGTCGAGTACGACATGGAGAACTTGCCCGACGACGTCGACGACGACACCATGGACAACGCGCGTCCCTTCCTGATGGGCAAGGTGGCTGCTGTCGTCAACGAGAAGAAGTCCGCCAAGGCGATCGTGGACGAGTTGGTCGGCGATGCGGCGGCGCTGCTGAAGAAGGGCAACCAGATGCTTGCCAAGCTGTAAATAAATTGGGTTCCATTTGTGTTATATGATCATCATATCCAGCGTTAAATAGTCGAAATGAGACATTGATGTTCTTGGGTACAGAGTGCTTTTTGTGAGACAGTTCTCGATGGGGGGCTGTACCCCAGGGGTCGAGTAAGCAAGGCTTGGCTCCCGAGCTTAACTTGCGGAATGTTTTTGCACTTGATCTTCTTCATAGATACTTACCTCGGCAGGGGTCTATGCAGGCTTACCATGGGACAATCAGCCATTGTCTCTCAGCCTCGAACGATCCCCTATCCTTCGCCATCGACCAGACGCGCCTTCACGTCGCATGCCCAGTCGTGAGAGACCGAGTATCTCCGAAGAACATGGTCATAATATCATATCAGCAACGCAACTATGTCAATGAACCCAATAATGACCAGAGTAATCATAACAGCCACGAACTACCGATGAGATCTAGATCCTACCCATTCTCGTCTGACCAATCGCAAGCACTCAATCATCCTAGGGCTGACGCTGGTTGTTGTCAGACGGGATTCAACCGAGAGGGATTGCGCCAATCGTGGTTCGCACGGTGATCTCCGCTATCTGCACGGAGAGGAGCCGCATGGAGTTGCCGTTCTGGTTCATGTACTGTGTGCCTAGGTCTGCCGAGTTTAGATCTCGGGCCGAGTTCGCGAAGGTGAGGTATGGACTTCCCACGTGGGAGACTACGATACTTGTCGATCTGCTTCTGGATCTAGAGAGTCGAGGAGATAGATCCCTGCGTAGAGCATGCATCGCATGGCCATGACTTTCCCGATTATTCATCACATAGGCACCATTTACTCCAAACGGCAGAGGCATCCCCGCATCTGCGTAGCCATGTCAGCCATGCATCGATCGATCTGTTCCGGCTCCCCCAATCAGCATATCGGTCGAACACCACCCGAATCATCACCAAATCGACACAGTCATACGCCCCCGCATATCGGCGGATGCCGTCTCACGGCGAGGGGACGGCAGGAAAGGATAGCGCCCCGGTCGAATGATGGGCAGAGATAGGGGTGCATGGGCCCTGCGCAAGGTAATATCGCTTATCAAGACACGATTCCCCTGATAAGCGTGACGCGACACTCATTGGCCACGCGACACCCGTTGCCACCGGGTCGCCGTGTGGGGCCGGAAGAATACAAAAACTCCATCGCTTCCAGACTTTCAACGAGAAAAAAAAGGAAAAAATGTTCCGTTCTTTCCTTCCATCCCTTCCCTAATCCCCTTGCCATTCCAACACCCTTCCCACCTGGTCTGAGGAGCTACTCGAGTCCTCACTCATTTCCTGCCCATTATGGCCCAGTTCTTCCGCGGCAAGGACGAGGACCTCGAGAAAGCCACGCAGGTGGACAATTCCCCCGTCGACTCCAACCTCAGCAATGAGGTGAACGACCGTGCCAGCGATGGTGCCGTGCCGGGCGAAAGCTTTGAGTACGGCAACTCGTGGTACGCGCGCATCCAGCGCGTCGCAGGGCGGTTTCATGTCGAGCAGCGTGGCATCGAGCGCGTCCCCGAGAACGAGCGCACGGATACCTCCTACTTGAATATTGGCAGCATGGTATATTCTTCGTCGCAATGTTGGTTGATCGAAAGAAATCTGACTCCCCGGGTTCTAGTGGCTGGCTGCCAACATGGTCGTGAGCTCGTTCGCCATTGGCGTTCTGGGCAATTCGCTGTTTGAGTTGGGGTTTGCCGACGCGATGCTCGTCTGCCTCTTCTTTAACCTCCTCGGCGTCCTGACCGTGTGCTTCTTCTCGTGCTTCGGTCCCGCGTTCGGCTTGCGCCAGATGGTGCTGTCGCGTTTCTGGTTTGGATGGTGGGCCGTGAAAGGCAGTACGTGATACACGATTTCCCGGTGCAGGATTCCACGCGCGATTCTAACCAACTCCTCTAGTTGCCATCCTCAACGTCCTGGCCTGTGTCGGCTGGTCCGCTGCCAACGCCATCGTCGGCGCCCAGCTCCTCAACGCGGTCAACACCAACGTCCCCGGTTACGCCGGCATCCTCATCATCACTTTCTGCACGCTCTTCATCACCTTCTCCGGGTACAAGGTGGTCCACATGTATGAATTCTGGAGCTGGATTCCGACCACCATTGTGTTCATTATCGTCCTGGGCACCTACGCTCACTCCGGGGACTGGGTCAATCTGCCCATGGGCGTCGGCAAGTCCGAACTGGGAAACTGCCTATCCTTCGGTTCGACGGTGTACGGTTTCGCGACAGGCTGGACGAGCTACGCTGCCGATTACACCGTGTACCAGCCCGCAAACCGCAGCCGCCGCATGGTCTTCGCGGCGACCTGGCTCGGTCTGATCGTCCCACTGCTCTTCACCCAGTTCCTGGGCATCGCCGTCTACACCTCTACGTCGCTGAACGATCAACACAACAAGTATTACGTCGGATACCAGACGTCTGGCAACGGCGGCCTCCTCGGCGCAGTCCTCGAGCCCCTCGGCGGCTTCGGCAAATTCTGCCTCGTGATCCTCGCCCTTTCCATCATCGCCAACAACTGCCCGAACATCTACTCCGTCTCCCTCACCCTGCAAGTCCTGAGCCGCTACACGCAGCGCGTGCCCCGCTTCATCTGGACCTTCCTCGCCTCGTGCGTGTCCCTCGCAATCGCCATTCCGGGCTACAGCCACTTCGAGATCGTCCTCGAGAACTTCATGAACCTGATCGCCTACTGGCTGGCCATCTACTCGGGCATTGCTATCGCCGACCACTTCGTCTTCCGCCGCGGCTTCGGCGGCTATCGCCCCGAGCAGTACGACAAGCGCCACAAGCTGCCCCTGGGCATCGCGGCGACGCTGGCGTTCGGGTTTGGTGTTGCCGGTATGGTGACGGGGATGAGTCAGACGTGGTGGATTGGCCCGATTGCCAAACATGCGGGTGCTTTGCCCTTTGGTGGGGATGTCGGCTTTGAGCTGGGCTTCGCCTTCTCGTTTACGTCGTATTGCTTGATGCGCCCGCTTGAGATTCGGTATTTCGGGAGGTGATTTTCTGGGAAGTGTATATATTGGTTGTATCTGGAGATCATCGTTTTTCTAAAATGGGTTGCATTAGGCATTCACTTGTCTGTGCACGATGGTGCCTATCTAAATAATAAATTGGATGGTTTGGAATGGATCTCTGTACAACTTTATTTAATGGTTGCGCAACACTTGTTTTCTACCCGGGTCATTTTCTTTCTGCGTATTCCGAGGCGTCTTCGGGGGATCGAGTCTACGTACTCAATGTCTAGGCCGCCAGGTGTGGTCATCAACCCTGCTTATATCCGAACATAACTCCATCCAAATATTGCAGATCACCGAATTGAGGGCCTTCCATTCGCTCCTCTGAGGCGCCATGGTCAATATGGAGCCAGCTCGCATGTGGTACACGTTAGTCGGGGGGCGCCGGGCAAAAGTCACCCCGACGGAAGAATGTCTAACGCAACAAACTTTCTCTGCAGGGAGATAGGGAGTACAGGGTGAATATATAAGAGACGCCTATCTCTCGGCTGTTATAACCAGTGAGGAGATCCAGTCGGGTTTACAACTTACAACAACAACCCGCATTAAGATCCCTGTCCTGCAGACGCAGACCCTGCCGCCCTACCAAAAGCTTAATTATTAATTGACCCAACGCCAAACATGCCTGGCAAGCTGAAGTATAACCCGGACACCGACATCCCAGACCTAACGGGAAAGTCCATCTTCATCACAGGAGGTTCGTACAGATCACGATCATTGGAATCAAACCTTCTATCTCATCTCTATTTGTATTAACATCTTTGTGACAACGATAGGAACCGGTGGCCTCGGCGCCGAATCCGCCCTCCACCTCGCAAAACACAACCCCTCACACATCTACCTCAGCGGGCGCAATGCCAAAAACGGCGAGAAAATCATCCAAGCCATCAAAGACAGCGGCTCAACGACCTCCGTCTCCTTCGTATCATGCGATCTCTCGTCGCTGCGCGACGTCAAAGAAGCATCCGAGAAATTCCTCGCCACCACACCCCGCCTCGACATCCTCATATGCAACGCAGGCATCATGGCCCTCGCACCGGGGCGCACGGTGGACGGGTACGAAGTACAATTCGGCACGAACCATCTCGGGCACGCGCTGCTGATCCGCAAACTCCTCCCGCTGCTTGAAACAACAGCCCTCGAATCTGGGGGCGACGCGCGTATTGTCCTGCTCACATCGGAAGGCCACGCCTTGCACCCGGGCAAGGGGATCGACTTCGAGTCGGTGCGCACGGAACAGGAATTTGCCTTCGGCGGGCCGTGGAGACGGTATGGACAGAGCAAGCTGGCGAATCTGCTTTATGCGCGGCAGCTGGCGGGGCGATACCCCGGTATCACGTCTGTGTCGGTTCACCCGGGCGTGGTGGCGACGGGGCTGACGGGTAATCTGGCGCTGAAGGATAAGCTTCTTGTTCATGCGACGACTCTTCTTGCCCCGTGGATGGTTTTGGGGCTGCAGGAGGGTGCATATAATCAGGTTTGGGCGGCGACGGCGGAGAAGGGGAGCATTGTTAATGGGGAGTACTATTTGCCGGTTGGGAAGAACGCGCAGAAGCGGCTTGGGGGGAAGGCGAGGGATGAGAAGTTGGCAGAGAGGTTGTGGGATTGGACGGAGGAGGTGCTGAAAGCATTTTGAGTTGGAGGGAATGGATGTAAGATAATGGGATTTATTTATTCTGTGTTTATATGGTTGGGAAATGTGAATATTGGAGAATAGCTTGATTTCAACTATCGGAGTATTTTGGTCGCATTAAGATTAATTCCACTGAACACCGAAACGGATCCCTTACTTCTCCCCTTGTATCACCATTCGATAATGCTGAAACAACCCAAACTACCGGGCCAGTGAATGTCGATCACTGGAATGCACGATCGGCGTCATCAAATGCCTTGCTGATTCTGTCTGAGGAAGGCTGGATCTTGCGGAACGTCTCATCTGGGAGCGTAGCCTTGGCCTGATTCTCGAACAGTCTCTTTTCGGCGTGCAAGTTATTCAAGTATGTTCTAGCTTCAGGGCCCAATCCCGATTTCTTGAATAGAGGAGCCTGTACGAACAGGGAGTAAGCATTATCCGTTCAATGAGTGATAAAAAAAACATACCTTTTCTTGGGCTGACTGAATGGCACCAAGCAGTATGGGGGACATTTGATAGTAGGATTCGGCGTAGCGCGACCCTTCTTCAGGTGTCATCTTGTCATCACCCGCTAGGTTTTCGCGGGCAGTTCGAGCGGAGGTTTGTGCGACTATGAGAGATCTGGCAACCCCAAGGGCGGCCGGGATGCCTCCGCTGTAGTTGTCCAATGATCTTTTCGCGGCACCAATCTTCTCGCCCATATTGTTCATGTCGCTAATGCCTTGGGCAACATTCGCTGCGGCGGACACGCACGAGGCGGCACCAAGGGCGCTCACAAGGAGAAAGTTGATTTTGTTCAGCAGCATCATGGGCAGATAGATGATTGTGGAAAAGAGCTTTGAGATGCCAATAATCTGAGGATTGAAGGCAAGTGAAAGAAATGGAAGATGCCCTACATGGGAGAGAACCGGAAGTTTAAATACTCGATACATTTGGCAAAACATTCTGTATACGGTTTTGATAATCCCAGTTCAAAAAGATTATGGAATTGCAAAGCTACCTTGCAATTCATTTGAGGTATCACAGCTCAAATATTTGAGCTGAGCTATGTAGGGGTTGAAAATTATAGGATATACAGGCCCCAATTACGCACTTTTAGTGGGGGCATGCCGAAGATCGCAAGCCACCAGATTCCAGTGAGGATCTAAGTATCTTTACAGTATTAAACGTCATATATCACTATGCTCTATCATATGAAATATGGGGCTATATACCAGCGTAATACGAGTCGATGCGCTCGATAGGCTTGCACCTTGCATGTCCTATTGAAAGGTTCGGCATAGGCTCTGTGCCAAGTGATGTAACTCGTTCTCAGATTCGCACTTCACAACCAGGTTTATTCAAGCCAATCCTTCAATTGTCATTTTTATCACAGCTCTGAAATCTCCCGAAATTTCAATTCTCACAGCAGGGCTTAAGGGGACCTTGTGAAGCCAGAATGGTTGGCTCAACAAAGTCACAGGGGTCCAGGTATTCAGGTCACTCAGCGGTAGGTTGTTCACTCTTATTAAAAGGAAATACTAATACAAATCTCAATGAAGGATAATGGAATGGAAAACGCCAATCCTGAGCCGGGCATAGGATTCAGCGCCCCGAAATGTGGTCATGATGGCACTACTCAATCACCGGCTGTTCCACCAGTCGCTATTGTCGGGATGGCGATGCGACTTCCCGGGGATGTTCGGACAGCCAACGAATTCTGGGAGCTTCTCATCAGTAAACGCGACTGTTCATCGGAAGTCCCTAAGAGCCGGTACAACATTGACTCCTTCTATCACCCTGAAAAACCCCAGTCAGTGAGGACTCGGCGCGGATACTTTCTCAATGACGATTTCATACAAAAGTCCGACAAGTCCTTCTTTCCTCCGGTACCTGGATTCACAACAGGTGACCTCGATCCTCAACAAATGTCGCTGATGGAGGTTGTTTGGGAGTGTATGGAGAATGCTGGACAAACCCAGTGGCGAGGGAAAAAGATTGGTTGCTATGTGGGGGTTTTCGGAGAAGACTGGCATGAACTGACAGCCAAAGAGACACAGTACATTTCACGTGCGCATACATTTGCAAATGGAGGGTTTGCATTGTCAAATCGTGTTTCCTACGAGTTCGACTTGAAAGGACCCAGGTATGTTTTCGCGACCACAAGACAGAATGGTTATTAAAATTGGGATAACATCTTAGTGCCACCGTTCTCACTGCGTGTTCCTCGTCGCTAATGGCATTGCATGAAGCTTGTCAGGCTCTCTACAATGGGAGCTGTACCTCAGCAATTGTGGCTGGAACTAACATGCTATTGACCCCTTCTATGAGCGTGACTATGTCCGAAAATATGGTCCTCTCTCCGGACGGTTACTGCAAAGCATTTGATGCAAATGCAGATGGCTACGGCCGTGGAGAAGCAGTTAATGCTATCCTGATCAAGCCTTTGGACCAAGCAATGGCAGATGGCGATAACATTCGCGCCATCATCCGCGCCACGGCCGCCAATTACGACGGAAGAACAGCGAAAATCTTTGCGCCAGATGTAGACAGTCAAGAGCGCCTTATGCGAGAGGCCTATTCAAGAGCCCATATCCATGACATGTCACAGACAGCCTTTGTTGAGTGTCATGGAACCGGAACCAAAGTCGGCGATCTCGTGGAGACAACAGCAATTGCTCGAGTCTTTGGCAAAAAGGGCATCTGCATCGGATCTGTACGTAGAAACTGCTTCTGTCGGCAATTAGTAATTATTGCTAATGTATCTATAGGTCAAATCGAATGTTGGGCATGGTGAAGGTGCGTCGGGGTTGACGGCGATCATCAAGGCTGTGTTAGCCTTGGAACATCGTATAATCCCCCCCAACATGCATTTCACGCGCCCCAATCCAAAAAGTAAGAATGTATTGTCTTTTATCATTTGACTGGAATCTTAACTTTTTCGCTTAGTTCCATTCGAAAATGGTGGTCTTCGGGTCCCTGTTGAGCCCACTCTCTGGCCTCGCGATCGCATGGAACGCGTGAGCGTAAATTGCTTTGGTATTGGAGGGAGCAACGCCCATGTTAGTATGCTTGTCTTGAATTTTGCCTAGACTAAAACAGATATACAGGCCATCTTGGACTCATCCACCGCCGCTCAGCATTCGCATAGAAAGGAGTTTGGAGTGCCATTAAGCTCTCATATTCTCGCTGTTTCGGCTCATAGCAAAACGGCGCTGATGTCGCGACTCACGGAAGTCCAAGAGTATGTAGAAAAAAATCCACATACGGTACAAGATGTTGCATACACCCTTGGGACCCGCCGTGATCATCTCTCACATCGAGCATACTTAATATGTGATGGTAAGGGCAACCTATCTGATATCCAGTCAAATGCCCAGACCATTACCACGAATTCGTCGGTGGTATTCGCATTCACTGGACAAGGGGCCCAGTGGGCGGGTATGGGGAGGGATCTGATGAACAGTTTTGCAACCTTTCACCATGATATCCATGTTATGGATCAGATTTTGCAAGAAATTGAGTCTCCACCCGCATGGAGCATTGAAGGTACAGCACAGCCCCCATCCAACAAGTATGAAGCTTTAGATAACTGACGTCGTACCACATAGCGGAGCTTCGAAAATCAGAGAACTCCAGTTCCGTTGACAAGACAGAATACTCTCAGACTTTGTGTGCTGCTATCCAAATTGCTCTGGTGAATCTGTTGGCTACCTGGGGTATTCACCCGTCAACATTGGTTGGATACTCTAGCGGCGAGGTCATTGCTGCATATTCAGCAAAAGCAATCTCAATGCGTAGCGCCATCATTATTGCACACTTCCGAGGGCGTTGTGCCGAGTTCACTTCACACTGTGGAGGGATGGCTGTGGTCGGTCTTGGAAAGGAGATTGTGAGCCAATTTTTAATCGAGGGTGTAGTCATTGCATGCGAGAACAGCCCTCAGAGCGTTAACATCTCAGGTGACAAGTCAAAATTGGTGACCGTGATCGATCGCCTCCTTGAAGAGAGGCCACAGACATTCATTCGGTACCTGCCTGTCGAAGTTGCTTATCATTCCCGTCTGTTATTCCGCCGATCATCATTTTCTTCTCGATACTAACCAGAATACAGCTGACATGAAGCATGCGGGTGCAAATTTCGAGCGTGCTATTGCCCCGCACATTGCTCACAGTGACATGATGCTTCCTCTCTACTCTACTGTCACAGGGTCAATAGTTTCGAGTCCGGTTCAACTGGATGCTTCCTACTGGCGGAAGAACCTAGAGTCACCGGTTCTTTTCTGCAGAGCCGTTCAGACTCTACTTGATCAACAGACAGATCGAGCAACTCTTTTCGTGGAAATCGGGCCTCACTCTACTCTTTCTGGGCCCCTTCGTCAGATTCTGACTTCTCATTCAGTTCAGAGCTATTATACCCCCACACTACTCAAAAATGCAAACCAAACACATTGCCTTTTGAAAGCAGTGGGGGAAATATATTCCCATGGATATCCTGTTGCCTTCGCATCAATATATCGACTAGGAAAGGTTCTTGCGGATCTCCCCGCCTATCCCTGGGAAAGACAAAGCATTGACTGGCAAGAGAGCCGTCTCAGTCGCAACTGGAGATTCCGCAAGCATCCTCATCATGAACTGTTGGGCTCCCGTATGTTGGAAGCCAGTGATATCGAGCCGGCGTGGCGAATTCTTTTAAGCCCAAGGAACGTATCTTGGCTTAATGACCACCAGGTCTTGGGAGAGATCGTATTTCCCTGTGCGGGATATATCGCGATGGTCAATGAAGCGATGCGCCAACTATTCAACACGCAAGAGTGCACAATTCGCAATCTACACATGAAGGTTCCGCTCGTCTTGCCGACGTCTGAGAGGGATACTGTGGAGATTGTCACTACACTGAGGCCCACACGGATAAGTGATCGGCTTGATTCCAAATGGTACGAGTTTACTATTTCGTCTTACGATGGAAATGAGTGGACCAAGCATACAGTTGGCAAAGCGGTGGCAGGTGTCGAAGAGTTGACATGGCCTGCAACGGTCCCGCAGCAGTTTGCAAAGCCAGTCTCTTCACAATTCTGGTATAAAATGTTGGCGAAGATCGGACTGCAATATGGTCCGCAATTCCAAGGATTGGAGGATATCACTGCAGATCCGATCAGCTTCACGGCTAGTGCCACGATTCGTGGAAGCTTTGGTAGAAGTGAAAACAGCCATGCCCTTCATCCTACTTCCATTGACCAGTGTCTGCAACTATTTAGTGTGGCAGCCTGTAAGGGAAGGGCTGTGCACCTGACCAAACTATACATCCCCATGTTCATTGAAGAAATCTGTCTTGGTCAAAATAAGGATTTGATGAAGGTTCAGGTGTCTGGGAGCAGCTCTACGGGAACATACGGACAGGGCAGTGTTACGTTGATGTCCGGCGACAGTATGGTGCTCTCAATGCGTGGGGCGACCCTAGCCCAATTGGATCAAAAAAAAGCAAACGAGGCCTCTGGAATTCCTCTGCTGTCGGAAGTAGAATGGCAGCCAGATCTTGATTTACTTCCTGGCCACCTTCAACTACCCATGTCGAGAAATAAGGAAGACACAGCTGGATTGTTGGCCAGAGCTTCCGTGCTATCGATGATTCTCGTGCATCAAAATATTGTTGATGTGAAGCCATGTTCCGAACATATCCGAAGCTACAAGAGATGGCTGCAGGCGCAAATCCAGATAATGAGGCAAAGGGGCATCTCGGCAATTCCGGAAGCACAAGCATGGGCTCAAATGGACAGCGAAAGCCTACAGCTACAACGCAACATGCTGGACGAGCAGCTTAAGGCTAAGAAACTGGATTTTCTCTCTGAACTCAGCCACCTGACAGTGAAGGTGAAGACAGCTGCTTGTAAAGGATCGCCTGATTTCTTTGGAACGGGTGACTTGCTTCAGAAGCTTGACGACTGGATCTCATCTCAGAGTGATCTATCGGATTGGTTCTCTTTTCTTCGCCACAGCAACCCGAAACTCCGCATTCTCGAAATTGGTGGAGAACGAGGATCTTTTTCTTCCTTTGTTCTGCAACATCTGACTTCAGATGGACTGACGCTCTGCTCTCAGTATACGTGCACAGAGACACTTCACATTAATGACGCTATCAAAAACCGACTCCAGGATTACAAACAGGTCGAGTTCAGAACACTCGATGTCAACGAAGATCCATCTCAACAGGGCTTCCATCAAGGTCTCTACGACCTGGTTATTGCATCAAATGTGAGTGAAACTTATTTTCTTAGTATAAAGGTAATGACTGACAACTACATCACAAAGCTTGGTTCTCGGACGTCTACTCTAGGAGCAGCCCTAAAGAACATTGGAAAACTTCTGGCTCCTGGTGGGCGACTTTTACTTCGTGAATACTGCCCTGGTAAGCCGACCTTAGTGCCAAGTGCCTTTGGGGTGGATTCTGTTAACGCGCTCCAGGACTTCCGGTGGTGAACCATCTAATGGTAAGCAATCACACTGGCGATATGGACGAAGAAAATGTATTAACATCCTTCAAGAACCCATTATCTTCTCAATCCTTCGATGAGCTTGAGATAGACGTCGACAGCAAGTACATGTCAGTCGAAACATGGAGCAGGGAACTTCAACAGGCTGGCTTCTACGGAGTCGAAGGGCATTCTTATGACGGCAAACCACCGTACCATTTAAATCGCAACTTGATTTCACGCATTCCACGCGAGGACCATCTGCACGACGACACCGTTTACTTTCTATACCCCAGTGAAACACCCCGCCATTCATGGTTATGCAAGGTTGAAGAATATTTCATCCAGAGCGGTCACACCGTCAAGCGCTGCACTATAGGAGAAGAAATACCCCACAAACAACGGGTGATCTCGTTTCTTGACTTGGATGGCCCATTCTTTTCCAATATCAGTGATCAGAACTGGGCAAAATTCCAGAAGCTTATAAACACTTCCGCCCAGGTCCTCTGGGTCACGAATTCGGTTGAGTTGAATTGCGCCAATCCAGACTTTGCGCTCGTGATGGGGGTTTCCCGGACAGCACGGCAGGAACAAGAAATGCAATTCGGAACTTTGCAGATCGACATCTTCGATAGGGTTGCGGTAGAAGCCCTATTGAAAGTGTCGGCGAAATTCTTCAGGAGAACGGATCAATCGGGGTTGCTCGATGCAGACTATGAATTCGCACTCCACGATGGGTGTGTTTACATTCCCCGAATGCAGTGGAAATCTCTTGCAGACAGATTGCTCCATGCCCCAGAGCTCGAAGCACCCGCAAAGCTGGAAATTGGCTCTTATGGCAGCCTGGACTCACTTTTTTGGGTACAAGATGAAGTTGACCCACCTGGGGTAGGAGAGGTTGAAGTTGAGATTAAATTTGTCGGACTCAACTTTCGGGTAAGCCCTTGACACTCCACCTCTGACCGGGTAATGCTGAATATTATAGGATGTTATGATCGCATTGGGTGTCATGGCAAGTAAGGATCAATTAGGAATGGAGGCCAGTGGAATTGTGCAAAGATGTGGCCCTGGTGTAAATCAATTCCGGCCAGGTGACCGAGTAATGATAATACACTTCGGGCTGTTCCGCACTCGTATGGTGCTGTCTGCGAATCTATGCACCCACTTGCCGCCGTCTATGTCGCTGGAAGATTCCGCAGGGATGCCAGTGGCTTTTGCCACGGCGCTCTATTGTCTCCTGGACATTGGGAGGCTAGAGAAGGGACAGGTACGCCAGACACCTTATAGCGATGGTGGAATTCTGACATATCTAGTCTGTTTTAATCCACGCGGCCTGTGGAGGGGTTGGCCTTGCTGCGATGCAAATTTGCCAGATGATTGGAGCAAAGGTAAGAAATAGCTGCAATTATTGGAGGCTAAATCACTAAGCTCTGCGTTGTTCATAGGTCTACGCAACTGTAGGAAGCGAGGAAAAGGCACAGTTTTTGATAGAACGTTTTGGGATTCCTCGCAACCATATTTTCAGCTCTCGTGACACATCCTTCCTTCCCAAGCTAATGCACGAGACTAATGCTCAAGGTGTCGATATTGTGATAAATTCTCTCGCTGGAGAGCTTCTTCATGCGTCGTGGAAATGCGTTGCAGAGTTTGGCAAAATGATTGAAATCGGAAAGCGAGACTTTCTAGAACATGGTACCTTGGATTTAGAGGCATTTGGAGGCAACCGCGCATTCTTTGGGGTTGATCTCATTCGGCTTGCGGAAAAGCCAGAGCTTCGTACAAGGTATTCAAGATCAAGCCTTCCGCCAACCGCGAGCAATGTTCAATATGTGACTAACTTCTCACAAGACTTGTCCGCCAACTGGTGGAATTGTACGAGGAAAGGAAGATCTCTCCCATACATCCCTTAAAATTGATATCAAACACCGACACGCACGAGGCGTTCCGCTACCTTCAACAAGGACTTCATATGGGCAAAATCGTCATGAAGATGCCAGAAGCCTCGGAGCGAGCCTTTATTGCCAAATCGCGGCGCAGTTCGAGGTTCTCATCCGATCTATGCTATTTTCTTGTTGGTGGTCTAGGGGGTATTGGGCGGTCAATAGCAACTTGGATGGTTGATCGAGGTGCTCGAAACCTGGTTTTCTTCTCCAGGTCTGCTGGAAGCACCAGTCAGGATCAGTCGTTTCTTCGTGAGCTCGAGTTACAAGGCTGTACAGTGTCCATGATAAAGGGTGATGTGACAATTCTGGAAGAAGTCCAAACTGCCATGCACGCTTGTCCATGCCCAATTGGGGGTGTCCTTCAGCTCTCTATGATAGTTCGGGTAAGTATGATACTGCCACATCTGACTGGAAATAGTAATACTGACCAGCGAAGGACCAATTTATCCCGGAAATGAGCCACAAGAACTGGCAGGACACGATTGCCGCCAAGGTAGCGGGAACCTGGAATCTCCATAATGCGCTAGATGGTCGAGGGGCCAAACTCCAATTCTTCGTCGTCTGTGGTTCCATAACCGGAGTTATGGGCAATGCTGGCCAAGTCAACTACTCAGCAGCAAACACCTTCGTGTCTTCATTCGCCCAGTATCGGCTAGAAAAGGGGCTCCCAGCCTCTGTCGTGAACCTAGGAGGAGTCAACGATGTGGGATTCCTAGCGACACAGGACGTCAAGCTTCGAGAGCGAATGCTCTCAGCATCAGTGAGATTGTTAAACGAGCAGGAAGTTCTGGATGCATTTGAGGTTGCCATATTCTGTGGAGACTTCAAGCAATCTTTCAAGTCCTCGAGATCGCTGCGTATATCAAACAATCTGATTGTTGGTATGAGTAGCACAAAGTCTCTTGCCGATCCCTCAGTTCGTCCTCTGTGGGGGCAAGATGCCCGTTTCCGTGCTTATGCAAATCTGGACTTCAAACACGAATCATCTCGCGACACGTTCAAAGACGCCCCAAATTTTCGATATATGCTCTCCACACTTGAGAAAGAGCCTGAGATCTTGAGCGATCCGTCCTGGAAGAAAAAAACGGTAGTCGATATTGTGCAGACTATCCAGAAATATTCGATCTTTGCCCGTGGGCAGGACTATGCCCAGGTGGCTACCATGCATATCGATTCTCTTATGACGGTTGAGATCCGAAACTGGTCTCGCCGTTTTCTTGATTTGGACCTGTCACTGACTGCGATAACCAAGGCAGCCACCATCGAAGGATTGGGTGAATTGATTATCGCAACCCTACGCTCCAAGTACACGAAGAAGTAGTTGTCGCGCCTTTCTTGAGGTGCGTCTCTAAGCTTAGCCATATTGTTGTCCTTTTGTATGATCTAATCTCATCGCCCGGAAAATGCAACCCATGTTTCGTTTTTTTATTTGCTTTTTTTCTTCTGATCATCTTCAGAATACCATTAAATTTAGTTTCCTTAACGCTGCGTGATTATGCAAGTGCATAAAAGAAAGCTATTTTATATTCAGCGTGTTCTTTTCTGTAAGGATTAGATAGGTTTCAGTTATCCTCGCCATGCACCATTTTTTGGCAGAGTTATTATAGTAGCAATAGAAGTACTTAATACGCCACCGTTTGCGCGTCACCAGTCTTGGTGATGATTCTGTCGAGGCCCCCTACTGCCCCATGGAGGAATCTACTATCATGAAACCGAGTCAATTTTGATTTGACGATGTTATCTTGATATACATATTATGGCCTGTTATCTCGATGCTCATGCGAGCCACAAACTGGTTCGATCAATCCTACGGGGGTCGAAATTCACCCATGGTGACTTGGCGTTCCTTGCAACCACCATAGTTTATTCATTATTCATATCCCAGCTTCTTTGCAAGAAGCATACGAAACCTATTTATATTATACGTCATGTGAGTGGTTTCCTCATTATCCAGGGATATCCAGTTTGGAACGTCCCTCAGCCTGTCAATCGTATGTCTTAAAGAATCTAGCATTCCAATTCAACTTTCACCCTTGACCGCTCGGGCCAAGGAAAATATTATAAACAAATGGTAACCATTTCCTTCATTTATTATGCAGAAGAAAAATTGCTGGAAATGCTACGTCAAGCGATTTTCGTGTCTCTTGCGCTTCAGACCACCGTCATCCAGGTTCGCGGCTTCTTAACCCTAGGCCGCCCTCTTTACGACGCGACATTTGACTATGTGGTGGTGGGAGGTGGAACGGGGGGAAGTGTTGTGGCGACTCGGCTCGCCCAAAATGGTTTTGAAGTTGGTCTAATCGAAGCCGGAGGTAATTACGAAATTGAATCTTTCAATGCTATTCCGGCCGCCGATATCCTCCCCGTCGGCTCAGACCCCGATACACAGTCTGCTACAGATTGGGGATTCGTGGTGAAGGGTCAGCCAGGAGCAAATGGGCGGCCAATACATTATGCCCGTGGAAAATGTCTCGGAGGGTCGTAAGTGATATATGCTGAAAGAGATCACAACTTGCTAAAGCTCTAACATTTGAGTAGATCTGCGCTAAACTTTATGATATATCAACGGTGCAGACCTCAATAGTTTATTCAATACAAAAGCTAATTTTTATTGGCGCAGACCAACGCGCGACTCCATGCAACAATGGGCCAATGCAGCCAACGATAGCAGTTATACCTTTGATAACGTGCTCCCCTTTTACAAACAGAGCGTTCAATTTACACCTCCTAATTGCGATAGTCGCGCATACAACGCGACTGCTGCGTATGACAAAGAAGCATTTGATGAGCACGGCGGGCCTTTACATGTATCATATGCGAACTATGCCATGCCATTTTCATCCTGGATGAAGCTCGGCATGGAGGCAATTGGTATTGAGGAGAGGCAGGATTTTAACTCGGGCTCGTTGATGGGAGCACAATATTGTTCTTCGACAATTGATCCTCTCACTGAGCTTCGGAGCAGCTCTGACGCTTCATTCCTCTCCAACATCAAGTCATCCACTCTGACAATTTATACCCAGACACTTGCGAAGAAAATCGTTTTTAATGACAACAAAAAAGCGACTGGTGTGAAAGTGGCTGGTATCTTCGGAAATACTATCACAATTTCTGCGTCCAAAGAAATCATCATATCCGCTGGAGCTTTTCAGTCACCACAGCTTCTGATGGTTTCCGGTGTGGGCTCCTCTGATGTATTACGAGAGCATGGGATTGATGTCGTCTCTGACAGACCTGGTGTTGGCCAGAACATGTGGGACCATCCTTTTTTTGCTCTCACATATCGAGTCCAAGTTGACACATTCACTAAATTTGCCGACAACTTTCTTTACTCGGCTAGCAAAATCATCGACGGATTGTTAGAGAGGGTCGGCCCATTGACTAATCCGGTTTCTGATTACCTTGCCTGGGAGAAGATTCCCAAATCTCTGCGATTTCAGTTCTCGCAGACATCACAGGAAACGTTGGCTCAGTTTCCCGCTGACTGGCCCGAAGCAGAGGTAATAATGAATGGAAGTATCTGAGACATATGAGTTAGTGCACTTGCTAATGGAATGCTCCGTAGTACATATCAGGCGCGGGATACATTGGCAACGTCTCAAATCTCCTAGAAGACCAGCCTAAGGATGGTTATCAGTACGCCTCAATCCTCGGTGTTCTTGTTGCTCCTCTATCTCGAGGCAACGTCAGCTTACAGTCTGCCGATGTTTCAAACCTTCCAGTTGTTAATCCAAACTGGCTTGATAATCCTGCTGACAAAGAAGTCGCCATTTTGACGTTCAAAAGAATCCGCCAAGCTTTCGAAAGTGAAGCCATGGCACCGGTGGTGATTGGCGAGGAATACTACCCCGGTAAACAAGTCAAGAATGATGCCGACATCCTTGAATTTATTCAAAACAATGTGATGCCTTTGTGGCACGCTGCTTGCACTTGCAAGATGGGGACTTCGGATGATAAAATGGCCGTTGTTGACTCCCAGGCTCGGGTATACGGCGTGCAAGGTCTACGTGTCGTTGATGCTAGCGCATTTCCACTTCTTCCTCCGGGTCACCCGCAGTCAACAGTTTGTAAGTATATTTTCCTCTAGTGCCTAGCCCAATCATTCTAATCTCATGAATAGATATGCTTGCGGAAAAGATATCAGCTGCGATCATTCAGAGCTCCAAGTGACAGAGAATTCGAAGCAGGTGAAAGATCACAGCTCTTTAATTTCATTGTTATGTTCTCTAGTAAAAGCGTCTGAATGGAAATCAGAAGTCTAGATAGGGCGTTTGCAAGGCCCACTGTCCGAAAAAAGATAAGAGAAATACGGTGATACACCGGATAATAGGTTGTACCGAGAAGTCTTTCAGTTTAGATGAAGACTATTGCTGGTCTCTATAAGGGGTAGATCCCCATCACTAAGCCCTGAGGTCTGGGAAGAGGAGGCTCAGATTGTGTTTTAACCAAAGCGAGGATATCTCCACAAACTGAACTTATGTTGGTCATGGCTTGGTACTCCGGAGAAGACACGAGGTGACCACGTGACCAACCTCTCCAGCCACAGCTGCGCCACGGCCGATGAAAGAAATCCACAATCGCGTTTGAAAGAAATCCAGAAATTTAGCAACACTCTCACTCATCCCCCAACGCCCACCATGTCTCAACTCGGGAAGTGAGTATTGCCCCTCCACAGATTCTTCCAGATCTGCTCTAACCAAAAATTTTCGCACCTGCAGCCGCGCCGCCTGGGCCGACGATGAGGAGTTCGACGACCCCTCCGCTCTCCCCGCGCAAGAAGTGATCGCCAACAAAGACGGCACCAAGACGGTCATCTCCTATCGGTTCAACGAAGAGGGCAAGAAAGTCAAGCTCACCCGCCGCATCAAGACCACGGTCGTCCGGGAACATGTCAACCCGCAGGTTGCGGAGCGCCGGTCGTGGGCCAAGTTTGGTTTGGAGAAGGGCCACGCCGCGGGCCCGTCGTTCGACACCACCTCCGTCGGCGAGAACATCGTGTTCCGTCCCAGCGTGAACTGGAAGGCGCAGGCCAAGGAGGCCGAGAAGGCTGGTGGCGAGAAGGGCAGCATGAAGGACCAGCTCAAGGACAAGAAGGTCAAGTGTCGGATTTGCAGTGGCGAGCACTTTACGGCTCGCTGTCCCTTCAAGGACACCATGGCCCCCGTCGAGGAGCCCACCGAGGGTGCTGGAGCCGACATGGACGACGAGAAGGCTGCTGGTGGTCTGGGCGCTGGCTCTTCCAGCTACGTGCCGCCTCATATGCGGAAGGGTGGTGCTGGTGGTGGCGAGAAGATGGGCGGTCGCTTCGAGAAAGACGATCTGGCGACTCTCCGAGTTACAAACGTATGTCTTGCCTCCCTTCGGGCTTGCCATATTTTCATGGGTGATTTCATCCATCTAACCTTTTTTCTTCCGACAAACAGGTCAGCGAGTTGGCAGAAGAGCAAGAGGTCCGGGACCTCTTCGAGCGGTTCGGTCGTGTCACCCGAGTCTTCCTTGCCCGGGACAGAGAAACCCAGCGGGCCAAGGGCTTCGCATTCATCAGCTACGCAGACCGGGGCGATGCGGCCCATGCGTGCGAGAAAATGGACGGCTGTATGTTTTCCTCATCTGTGTCTGCTGGAGTTTTTCTTCCAGTGCTAACATCTTTGTCTTCTTGCAGTCGGTTACCGCCACCTTATCCTTCGGGTCGAGTTTGCCAAGCGTACTACTACTTAGATTTGCTGCTGGTTTTGATTTCCTTTTCTCACGATCTTCTTGGTTGGATTGTTTTTCTTCTCATCAGGCAGGCCTAACTCTAGGCTGGAGCTCTTTTCCTTTGTCCGGTACGACCTGATTGATAATGATCATTACTGAAAGGCATCCAACGTGTCATTTACTTGCATTCGTCAGTCTATACAAAAAGCAATGGCCTAGAGATATTCATTCCCACACAATATATCCTCATTAAACTCGTCTGAAATAGTATGAACTAACGATGGATCTACAACCGCAATCCAGAGAACCTGCTAAATTCTCCTGCAAGAAACTACATGGGACGGTGGCTATGCCAACTAAAATGGTAACATTTAAAAAGGTCGTTCAATTATTATTACTGATCCATGAAGATCTATATTATGTCGGTTCGATCAGTCCCTTCGTTACTAGGAGCCTGTTAGCAAAAAATCAGCAAACAAAAGGAATCCCACACAAACCTTTGCGACGCCTGCTCCCAATGCTGATTCAAGGAGACCATCTTTATGATCGATTCGGTATTATCCCCAGCTGACAAGCCCGACTGCTCCTGACTAGCCATAAGTACGGCTGAATCCGTGGACCCTCGGCGTGCAGAGCTACTCAAATGACTTGTAACAAATCGACTAGACTGGGTGCCATCGAAAATGGTATTAGTTGACTTGGGTTTCTTTTTGTTTCCGCGTACCAGGCCTTTCCAGGGAGCCGGGTTTTGCTGAGTATGCTTGGTGAGGATGTTGAAGGCCGGCAGACAGGCGCAGATTAGCCCGAGTCCCACTTCGGCGTTTCTAAGGGAAAAAAAGGGTTAACTCCAAATTTGAGACTACCAGAGAAGAAAGAAAACTCACGCGGTCAATATGGACCTGGTAAACATTGTCGTGTCGTCCGGTCTCTTGATCTCGTATACCCCGACCACAAGTCGGTAAAGGCTAAAAGCCACAGCGATGCCTCCAAGTCCAAGAAGAGTAGTGACTTTGACCTTTTTCCAAAAGGGCATCTGCAGTGGCCAGATGAACGTAACGGGAAACGCGAATATGGCAATATCCGTCAAGAAGCTGATGATGGAATCTGCAATGATCACTCCTGGCTGGTTTAAGCATAGCGCGTCGGTTTCGGTTTCTTGAGTCCGTGTCCAATAAGCGGAGATTGGATTGCAGATGAACATCTTGATGAAGGTGATGATCGTGTAATAGCCAATGACAACGCTGAGAAGGAGGTATATGGTCACCATTCCTCTGTATAATGGTTGGAATACCCTGATCAGGATATAGATAAGACTGGTCTTGACGAAGAGGGCTGCTGGTGCATATAGTACAGTGCAAATGTAGTAAAACTATAGTGTACACCACGTTAGCAAACAGAGAGAGTTAAAGTCTTGATTATTGCCTTGCCTTGATGCAGGTTTCAAGCTCGTGTGGCTTCAGGTCGGCAGGCGACTTGGTGCCACCCTTGAAGCCATCTAGCGGTTAATTAGCAACTTGAGGTCACCATAAAGAAGGAACACTGCAAGACACGTACAGATTAGACCATTTGCGCAATACCCCATGAACACGAGCTAGCCCGTCGGTTAGTTACCATCCAAGCATTGGGACGATCGCAGATCAGCTGTGTCTTCTTACCCATCCAATGAAACAACAGACTGAATAAATTAGCAGATGCATGTTTCCATAGATTAACCAGATGCCTACCATCATCGATTCCTAGCTTGCCGCTCAATCTCCATCGCACGAAGACCCGGAGAAAGACGAAAGGGGTCACAAGGATGAAACATAGGACTTGAGTCGCATAGTTCACCAAGAACATGGAGTTACCATTCTGACTGGTAACTAACATGGAGACTGGAGTGGCATGGATGCGCAGAAAGAATTCTTTCGAGCCAGGTTTTCGTTTCTCCTGATGTCCGACTGGGGGCTGATGCAACGATCGTCCGCAATCGGGCTTAGTCAGGAGGCGCAGATCTACGGCTGAGAATAACATAAGGATGACGTTAGGTGTAGACAATGTCCCATGGTTTCTGCCAACTGTTAGCTTTGGATGTTACATTATGGATTTTAGCACCGGATTGCCTTCTTTTCTTTTTCTCCTGGGCGGTATACTAGTGGACGGTCTTGCAGGCATCTGCCACCCCAGTTGATCTCTGCACAGGGCTTGAGCTGCAGGCCAATCATGGTTCGCCAAGCCGCAGCCACAAAACTAGCCTGGAGCGGTCCAAGCGCAAATCTGGGGCAGTCTTTCAACATGGTTCCTGTCCGATTGTTCGACTATAGAATCGGATTTGCTATTATTTCGAACCTGTTCTAGGTAGGTTTTATTTGGAATGTAAGGATCTATTTTTAGAATGGTGCCTTCGGAAATTTTTGTCCGGTCGCCATAGCAAACACAGAAGGCCCTGGCTGCCATGTTCGCAGCCCACCCTGGAGAAGACAGACCCAGTTTCAACATATTCGCAAATATGTCAGAATTCAAAATCCTTGACGTGGAGGTTGCAGATGCAGAATGCCTTGCTCGGGACGTTGACGTTCCTGCGAATCGAAATGGCCCCTTGTGCAAAGCCATGTTCCCCCGTTTCAACAGCCTGCAAAAAGAGCAGTTAGATCAGATTATTCGTTTTTATACCGACATTTATGAAGATGCATTTTACGACCGGCGGGAAAGTTTTCTCAAAGTCTGCACTTTCGATAAACGACCTGTTGGATTTTGTGGATGGGCCATTGAACGGCCCCGTGAGCAGCAAGCTCAAACGAACAAAAGGCAGCCCGGTATGAAACGTATTGATTCAAAAAAGCGGAGGGAAAACGCCTGCGAGCCGGAGATCTTAGATGTTTACGCCTGGCTCTCGCTATCAAAACGACTAAGGGCAGAGCGTAAACGGGTCCTGAAGGACTTCAGTGAGATATGCCGTAAGTCGGTCGATTATTTCGAGCTGGTATGGCTTATTGACAATTATTTCACAGGAATAACGATCATGTCAGTCAGGCCCAACTATCAACGCCGAGGGATCGGCTCAATGATGATGCGGCGGATTTGTGAAGACGCCGATATACGTGGATGGCATACGTTTGTGTTGGGGTCGCCGGAAGGTGTCCAGCTATATACAAAGTTTGGATTCACCATTGTCGGTGGGGTGTATACACCAAATGGCACATTAACAAGCATGCTTCGACCACCTCAACGGGCGGATGATGTGCTTTGAGGGATTCCGCGGCCGGAGAGCATAACAACGCAGTGAAACGGGTTGCCACTCGCGGACAAAAAGCAGGGTTGATAAATCCATTATGCAGAGTAAACAATCATTGGTTTGGGGATCATTGAAGATGAGCGCAATGTCGCGTTTTGCAACATTATCCCGTGTTTAAACGGGGGCAGTCTGCGAAGGTAGAATGAGATAGAGTGAAGAAGTGATACGTGCCACAATCCTCGGCGCTTATATTCTTGCGCCAACAATAATATTAGACCGCCGCTTGTCCAATATTCCCCGCATCGTAACCCGAAATAAGAATCATGATTTAGACATGATTTAGACAGTGGTCACGAAGTGAAATACCCTAGAGTGCTCTCTTAGCAACTCTAGACCATAATATAATTCACTATCCCAGCGCCCAATCTACTCCTTCTCCAAAGCCCTCCTAACCAACGCCTCAAACTTCGTCCACTCCGCCGAAACGGCACCCTTGGCATTCCTCGGATCAATACCATTCCTTTTAAACTCCTCATCAACTGTCGCAAAATTCGAAACAACAAGCTTCTTAAAGCTAGGCACCGTGCAGCTTTCCACTTGCTTACTAGTCAAGTCTGCCAGGACGTACCAGATGATATAGTGGAAATTGAACCCGAACTCGTGCAGCGGGATTGGATCCTTGAAGTCTTGGGGAGTGGGCTGGTAGCCCTGTGAGAGGTAAATAGCTAGTTTTGCCACGACCCAGGCGTGCAGGTGGCGCATTGGATGAGCATCGCTGTAGAGCTGGGGGTCTATTTTTGTGTACCGGATTGCAGCGTGGAGGAACGCTCGCGGGAAGTTTCCTGCGGATAAGAGGGAGAGGATCAATGAGTCTCGGATGGAGGGGTAGGGTTGGCGGTGGAGAGGCCAGATGGTCGTTTCGTGGAAGATGTGTAGGAAGCGTTCGAGCTTTTCAATTGTTTCGGATGACGCATCTGAGTCTGTGGTGGGGTTTTGGAAGAGTTCTGCGGCTTGTTTCTGTGCTGCTTCCAGAGCGTCTGTTTCTTCCTGGCGAAGCTGTTCAGATGTCTCGCGGATCTCGGTTTCTTCGGCCGTGCATTTGGGACAGTAGCAGTCAAAGAAATATCTCTCTGATAGCTCCTTCCGGCGCTGGGAGGTGGGATTCGTGACGTCGACGTAGGAGATGAAGATCTGTTCATCTTTCTTGATTGGCCGGATGGCTTTGACGAAGAGCTCGTCACCATCGAATCCGACGACGGCGTTGAAGTCGCAGCTGTGGTTGATCAGTGCTGCGTAGGGATGCATGTAGAGTCCGACGCGGTCGTAGGTGAATGTTGTGAGATTGAAAGAGTTGACATCCAGCTATTACCTCGTTAATTTAATCTCCAGAAACATCTGATTATAGTGTAATTCCAAGTAAGTACCTTCGCAGCATATTGCGCAATAGCATCCTCATCCAAATCAGCTTTAGCACACGCTTTAACAGCCTTTGCGATCATAGTAATCCGACCTATATGCTCTTCATCCTGCTGGATCTGAGCAAGGTGAGTCTCGAGGTTCGAGAAGAGATCCATCTCCTCAGAATGATACTTGTGCCGCTGGGCACGATGCACCATGCGCAATATGGCCCGCGCATTGTTCGGTAGAATCTTCGGCTTTTGAGTCTGGAAAATGGAGCATTCGATGGAATGTGCAAATTTCCAGTCTTTTGCTTGGCAGGTCTGGATAAATAGTTAGTAATGCTCTCCCAAAAATAAATACAATATGAACAGCGACACATAATATGGTACAGGACGAGTTTCATATAAAGACCCAAAACGAAGAGCAAGAAAACACTAACCCTATCACAATACTTGACAACTCGACACCCTGTACACCCCTTCAACTCAGTAACGCCATCTAGTTGCCTCCTCCCAAAGCACGCAGAGCATGTATCCTCTAGACGGGGCGTATCGAGAACAGCCACAAAGGGCGATTTGACATGCAGCACGTTCTCGCCAGTGTTGATGTCGCCTGTTGCGAATAGGCCATTTCCCATGCCATTGCCAGCACTACGCGAGGCTGTCTTGGTGGAGAGAGTTGGTATGGATGGAGAGGATGACATCTTGAGATATGGTGGTTATAGATTCAATACAAGAATCTCAATGTGCGGTTCTGTTGATGTCGTTGACGGTGATTAGTCAGTAGTTTCGGGCATTCCTGGGCAAATCAGAAGTACGGGAAATTCGAAAATGGCCTCGACAAATAGACCCCATTCGACGCTAGTACGATTTTGCATGAACATGATATGTAATAGATGCAAATCTGGCCCTTGTCAGCTACATACTAGAACTAGGGAGAGAGCCGGCAGTAGGGTGTTACCTAATAAAGACGAGAGGCAGGAGTCACTAGTTAGGAAGAGCATGTTATCCATGCACTATGGCTAAGCGATCGAGGTAAAGAAGAAAGACCTAGATTCTTTTATCACTCCAAAAAGAACTAATTAGAGTACTACACAACCGAGCAGGCGAAGGCAAAACAAAGCACGAGCAGAAACCAAGCATTTCGCCAGGCAGAAGAACAATCATCAGGCAGGGTTTGGTACATGAAGTACAACAGTACTACCACTGTAGCCCTGTTTCCTTCCCTCTCGATTGATTCGCCGCAGAAAGAACGAACATAAAATCAGAAAGAACCCGAAATCAAAAACAAAGAAGAAAGGATAATGCACGCCATCTAGTTATCAACAAGATAAGATGCCCTAGCACTACGCCATACACAATTCAGATTTTGTGTCGACAGATAGATTGGGGCTTTTAGGTTGTTTGTGCAAGAGAAGATTGAGATGGAGGGAGGGGTTTCAAGAACAATTTACAGCAGTTTGCCGCCCACGAAGTTAGACCAACTGCGGACCTCGCTGGGGATGCCTTCTTGGCGGGGGAGTTTCTGGTTCATGCACTGAGCGAAAAGGAGGGCAGTCTAGATATTCATTAGCAAAACCGTCCTTATGTTCTGGTAGAGACGAGAAGGGCAAACATACCTTGGGCTCCATGAACAGAGGCACACCAAAGTCAACCGCATTCCGGCGCATAACATAGTCCTCATCGAGGAGGGTCTTGCCACGAGTCTTGGCAACATTGAAGCAGCCCCGGATATCATACTTCTGGAAGACCTCACGCAGAGCGCGCTTATCCTGCTTGGGAAACTCAATCACCTGCACAGAGACGGCTTCCTTGGCGGACGATTCGATGTGATCCTTGACCTCGGGGCTGGCAGCAAAGAACTTGTAACCCAAGGGCTGGAGGTACTCGACGATCTTGGCGAGGGTGGGCTGGTGGATATCTCCACCCAACAAGATGCCCTCACCGGGCTCGGGCATGCGGAAGTTCATGGTCGACTGCAGAGACGCCCAGTAGGCCTCGATGAGATCTTTGCCGAAACAGGCGATTTCACCGGTCGACGACATTTCCACGCCTAGGAAGGGGTCTGCGCCGGCTAGACGAGTCCAGCTGAACTGCGGAACCTTGGTTGCGAGGTAGTCGCGCTTCTCTTGCATGAGGTCAACGGGCTCGGGGACGTCGCGGCCAACGATGGCCTTGGTGGCGACGTCGATGAAGTTCGTGCCTAGGACCTTGCTGACGAAGGGGAAGGAGCGCGAGGCGCGCAGGTTGCACTCGATGACCTTGAGCTGGGCCTCGGCGCCCTCCTGGTCGGCCTTGATGATCTGCATGTTGAAGGGACCGGTGATGTTCCAGGCCTTGGCGACCTTCTCGGCAATCTCCTTCACGCGGGCCATGATGCTTTCTTCCAGGTTGGCGGGGGGCAGAACGAGAGTGGCGTCGCCAGAGTGGACACCAGCGGGCTCGATGTGCTCGCTGACGGCGTGCAGTAGAAGCTTGCCGTTGGAGGCGACAGCGTCGACATCAATCTCCTCAGCACCTTCGATGAACTTGGTGATGACAACCGGGTGGTCCGGGGAGACAGCGCTAGCGTTGAGGAGCTTCTCCTTCAACTCGTCAACACTGTAAATGACGTTCATGGCGGCACCGGACAGGACGTAACTCGGGCGGACGAGGACGGGGTATCCAACAGACTCGGCAAAGCGCTCGGCCTCAGCAACGGAGGTCAACTCCTTCCAGGCGGGCTGGTCGACACCAATGCTGTCCAGGATCTGGGAGAACTTGTGACGGTCCTCGGCCTTGTCAATGTCCTCGGGGTTCGTGCCAAGAACGTGAGCACCACCCTTCTCCTGCAGGCGAAGAGCAATGTTCTGCGGCAGCTGGCCACCGACAGACACGACAACACCGCTGGCAGCCTCGAGCTCGTAGATATCCATCACACGCTCGTAGCTCAGCTCCTCGAAGTAAAGCTTGTCGGCAGTGTCAAAGTCGGTCGAGTAGGTCTCCGGGTTGTAGTTGATCATAACGGTCTTCTTGCCCATGTTGCGGAGGGAGAGCGTAGCGTTGACAGCGCACCAATCGAACTCGACAGAGCTACCGATACGGTACACACCGCTGCCCAGAATGATGGTGCCGTGGTCATCAAAGGTCACATCGTGCGAGGTGGCGTTGTACGTGGTGTAGAGGTAGTTGGTGTCCGCGGGGAACTCGGCAGCCAGGGTATCGATCTTCTTGACCCACGGGGTGACACCGAAGGACTTGCGGCGAGCGCGGACATCATCCTCAGTCGAGCCAACCAGGAGAGAAATCTGCTTGTCGGAGAAACCAAGCTTCTTGGCCTTCATCATGATCTCCTTCTTGATGCCGAAGAGGCTTCCAATCTCCTTGAGCTCATTGTGGCAGTCCACAATGTTCTGGATCTTGTACAGGAACCACTTGTCGATCTTGGTCAGGTCGTGCACCTTGTCCACGGAGTAATTCTCGTGGAGCATGGCCTGGCCGACGGCCAACCACCGGCGGTCAGTCGGGTTCTGCAGAACCTCGTCGAGGTTCTCGAAGTGGTCACCCTGGAGACCAATGTACTTGGGGTCAACTTGGCGGATAGCCTTCTGCAGGGACTCCTCAAAGGTACGGCCAATCGCCATGACCTCACCAACCGACTTCATGGCGCTGCCAATGTCACGGTTGACGTGCTGGAACTTGCTCAAATCCCATCGGGGGATCTTGGTGACAATGTAATCCAAGCTGGGTTCGAAGTTGGCCGTGGTGGTCTTGGTCACGGCATTGGGGAGTTCGGGCAGAGTGTGGCCCAGACCGATCTTGGCGGCGGTGTAGGCGAGCGGGTAACCAGTCGCCTTGGAGGCCAGAGCAGATGAGCGGGAGAGACGGGCGTTGACCTCAATGACACGGTAGTCGAGGCCATCGGGCTGCAGAGCGTACTGGACGTTGCACTCGCCAACGACTCCCAAGTGACGGACGATCTTGATGGCAGCGGTACGGAGCATGTGGTATTCCTCGTCCGACAGAGTCTGACTCGGGGCCACGACGATACTGTCACCAGTGTGGATACCCAGAGGGTCGAAGTTCTCCATGTTGCAGACGGTGATACAGTTGTTGGCGGCATCACGGACAACCTCATACTCGACCTCCTTCCAGCCCTTGAGGGACTTCTCGACCAGGATCTGGGGGAGAGAGTGAGAGACTGGGCGGACAAGTTGCGCAGCTCCTCGGGGTTGGCGGCGAAGCCCGAGCCCAGACCACCCAAAGCATAGGCAGACCGGACGATGATGGGGTAGCCAACTGTCTCGGCCGCCTGCAGGGCCTCGTCGACGGTTCCGACAGCAATTGACTCGGCGATGGGGATGTTGATCTCGTTCAGGGCCTTGGCGAACAAGTCACGGTCCTCACTGGTCTCCAGGGTCTGGATGCTAGTGCCGAGCACCTTGACGCCGTAGCGCTCGAAGAGACCCATGCGGTTCATCTGCACACCCAGGTTCAGGCCGGTCTGGCCACCGAAGGTGAGCAGGATGCCATCGGGCCGCTCGCGCTCAATGACATGGGTGACGTACTCCGGGGTGACGGGTAGGTAGTAGACCTCATCGGCGAGCTTGTGGTCGGTCTGGATGGTGGCGATGTTGGGGTTGATCAGGACCGACTGGACGCCGGCCTCTTTGAGGGCCTTAAGTGCCTGGGAACCTGTGATGCAGACACGGTGAGTCACTCACTGGGCTGGGGGGATTTCCACGGGCAAAGCGAGCATTGACGCTCTGTCACTCCTACATACCAGAATAATCAAACTCTCCAGCCTGACCAATGCTCAGACCACCACTACCGATGACCAGCACCTTCTTCACATCGACGAGGTTGCTGCCGGGCTTGACCACGCCGCTGGCGAGATAAGACTCGGCCTGGGGGGGAGTCTGGGCCTCCGCAGCGAGACGGTGCAATGTCGTCGAGAAGGAGCGCAGCTGGTTGGAGCGGGCGGGCGTGAGCTTCTGCAGGCGGAGAGTCGCGGTTGGGGATGCGGTCACGGAGCGGAGAGAGGAGGACGAGGCCGAGGAGAATGGGCGCAGCGCAGGGCGAGCCCCAGCGAGGCAGCGCTGGCGCAGCAGAGAGGCTGCTTGCCCACCACGAGCAGCAAGAACCATTGCGCACTGCTCGGGATGGTTCAATGGGAGGGTTTGGTTGAGAGAATTGGGGGACGTGAGGAAGCAGTGTTCGGTCTACACTTTTTTTCTCGATCTTTTTTCTTCCCCGTGCTCGCTAATTGGCCCGTGGTTCACCGTCTGCTCCACGCGAGAACCCGAGCACACGACAGATGGGGATAGTAGTTCGGGAAGAAGAATAGAGAACGAGGGTGGGAGAATTGTTATTCTGTTGACTTGATTTTTTCGTTTTTTCTTCTTTTTTTCGTGGCCGCGATGAGTCAATCAGGGCTGTCCTGGTGGGCTTCACCGGGCTCCATCTGCTAGTGTGCTCCTCCGGGAACACCCCCATTCTACCCATCCAAAAAAGAGTCTTCGAAGACTGTGATTTGGGGTCTTCAACTAGGTCGGTGACTTGAATCCGTGAATCCGACAGACATTTAAAAAATCCTGGAAGGCGATTTCGTATATTACCACCAGAAGCATTCTATCACTGATGTCTGTCGGCGTACCCCTCTATACCCCTTCGTGCCCTGTTTCCCGATATTATGTCATTGGGCTTATCATGATTGTGGTCGGTAAGTAAGGCTATCTACAACTATGGATCCACCGCGGTACCACGCTTGCCGACGAGCATGTTTGCCTCCGCCGTCCGCTTGCGCTGCTATGTTCCAATGCCTCCTCACCCATCTCAGATTCGTGAATATGTGGAGTTGCACATCTTGCTTTTCTCCTATTGAATGAGCCTAGGTAACTAAATCAGTACATGACTTTCTCATACAAATAAAGTCTGACTTCCCAACACCTCCATATTGGATCAAGTCTATTTGAATGGTATCGACATCCTCGAAGCCAAACTTCCGATAGAGCGAGTATCCTTTCCGAGACGCCTCTAGCCAAGCTTGCGTAAGTCCCCTTTTGCTACCTTCCCTAAGGCCATATTCAATTAAGGAGGATCCGATACCCTGTCCTTGGTATTCCGGAAGTGTCACAAGAATCGCAAGCACTATTTAGCATGAATGTCATTTATTTTGTCAGCGCAGTGTGGAGATTGGGAACGGAGCACGGTTCAATATTTCTCTAGAGTGCCAAGTAGATAATAGGATGCCGTCGGAGGAGACGGGGTGGGAGTGACAAGAAAAAGCAAAAACACGTACGTGCGAATCTCTGTCCAGACATGTGAATGTTTCTCGCAGTCTCTATTGCTCCGAAGAACTCGTTGGAGGCATCTGGATTTCGCGTCCAAGACCAGTCCTTATTCTTCCAATGGTCGACCTGTTTAGGCTCGAGATAATAATGCCACTGGGCCCAACCTGCGACCTTGCCTCGTTCTGAACTTCCATCACAGACAACCGCTTTATAAATTTCCAAGGTCGGATCTGTCTGCGTGTCGTGGGATAGTTCTTCGCATCGAGATGCTTGGCTCTGTGCATTGAAGGATCCAAACATTATATGCATAACACTGCTCTCCTCATTGCCCTTGTCGTCATGATCAAAAGCCATTTGTTCGACTTGGGCAAGCTCCGGAAAGTCCGTCTCTTCGGCTGGAAGAATGTGTATGCGGCACGAGGAGGACATTTTTGACTTGCTTAGCCACGATCAGTATGGCGTGTAGGTAGGGGAGGTTTGCCTCGCAGCTTTTCAAATATTCGATGCTCACTCGGAAAAGGGAATTGAGCAAGGTCATTCAAGCGAATCGCGCTATGTGAAGGTATGATCAAGCTTATAGAGCGAAAACTGTTGGAAAATTTATGAAAGGCGCCGATCGGATTTGATCAAGCTGGTTGTAAGCTCGTATTCTTTGCGCTAGACTCAGGTGGACTCCCGACACCTTTTAACACACCTTAGTGATGGGTGAGTATCGGATGCCTGAGGTGTCACCCCCTCTCATCGCCCCAACAAAAGGATATACTTAGTAGATCATTGCTGCTCCTAACACGACCACCTTTGAACAGAACAATCCCAGGCGCGCACCTCTCTATTGTTAAAGAAGTATATCATTCGCATGGATCGCTGTCATCTACTGAGCGCCCTGATGTGCTACTCTGACCTTGGCGGGCCTAAGGCTTTGTCGAACATAAGACGAGCAGCAGAGTAGGGAAGGAATCCGATTTGAGAGATGTGACCGGGTCTACTAATATTTGTCGCTAACAGCAGCTTCGTTAGCCTGTCCTCACCCTCTCCTGTGAACAAGTGTAAAATTGTATTCCCAGAATCATCTGCAATGGCATAGTGTCGGAATGTTACTAGACACGTAAGTTCGGAATCAAGTACGAAACTCAAGGGTCGCGCAATCAAAATCCGATGACAAAAGCCAAACACGCAATATCCAGGAACTACTTAACGCTCGCCCCGCAAGGTGTTCAACTTGAGTCAGGGTTCGCGGACTGCTAGTGGCATACATGTTACGCCCGCCTCACTAAGACAACGTTACGGTCCAGCTAAAATCAGGTATGGTGAATTCTAATCCGAATGCGAGCCATATGAGAGAGAGAGATCGGGTTTCAAGATACAGTACTTCCGGAAAACGGTGTCAGCACGTACCTCGTGTATCCGGGTGCTGCACTCACCCGGGTGATCATCGCGGTCTTATGCAGCAGGCGCCCATTTGGTTTTAGTAGTAGACGTCTGTATGCTAGATTTCACCATTATCAACAAATGTCATTCATAGTGAAAATACGACATTTACTTTCTTCATCATTCCAGCGGCGAGACATCGAACCACCGAAACTTTTCTCGGTTCTCTCAACGAACGTCGGTTCCGACCCGACACGCTCTTGTACACCAAAGGATTCCCACTAGACGAGGTATACTCTTCGATTGCCTCAAAACCTAATGACTAGTATACACTAGTATGTTTTTGGTGTTTCTCCAGAAATCCCCAGTGTTTATCAAAAGTAGCCAAGACTGGAGCGGGGCGCATTCGCTCGTATTGCTAAATAACACGAGACCTCGTCGCCTACCATAAGCTTCTCCTAGGTTTATCGTCCTCCCACCATCCCCCAGGACCACTGAGCGAGGTGTAACCTTCAGACATGGCGACTTTACCAGTGACGATCCCGGTTAGCCGGGAGTTCAGCTCAAGAGAGCGACTTGAGGTGTGTCATTCTTCTCACCTTACGCGACAGATACTCAGGCGATGCTAAGGCCGTCTGACCTCGTACAGGACCATCTCGAGCTCATGCGAAAGTTCAAATGCATTTTGGATGATGTAGAGCAGCCAAGTGGGCAAACACGTAGATTCCCGCCCCTTCCGCCTGGCATTTCAGGTCAAAAAGAAGAGGCGAGATGGAGAGTGCAATGCCTCTTGATGAGCGCTGAGGTCCGGTACTCGATATATCTTCAAATTTTAGAAAGATGGATTGTGTCTCATGGGTTCAAATCACCCAAGGATGAGTGGCCACTCCCGCCATGGTGTGATAATCTCGATTTTCGTCTTGCACATGGAGTATGGACTAACGTACTCTGGCAGGGACGTGGCCATCATATTCTATGCTCATCTCCTCTCACCATTCAACTTCCAGAGAGATGTCGGATCAAATTTCCCAAACCTTTGGAAAGCAGAGATTGAATTCCCTCTTGCCAGAATGCGCTCAACCAATACAGATGAAGCTAGTAAACGTGCATGGACGAGGGAATACCCCGATGTATCTTACCAGGTTGTCGAGTTCATTCCTGCTGGCGACCACGCATATATCACTGCTGACGATGCTATGGACATACACGGCTATAACTGTGGCTGGACGCGCTGCGCAACGAATGCGACCAAAGGAGAGTGCGTCATCCGAATGACTGAATGGCCCAAATACCGTGTCGGCCGAGCCATTATCATCTGCCCGCGTTGTCAGACTGAGATGTTCATTGGCAAAACGGTCGAGGCTCCCGGAGTGCTCAAATTCTCTCGTGCCGCATTTGGGTTCCCAATCTTTGACCTATGGGACAGCCCTCAACGACAGTTTGGTAGCCAAGGATTTGTGGACCGGATCTTGGCTTTGACCAAGGCTCGAGGCCTGTTGCCAGACCATGTTTCCCGCTATCTGAAGTTCCTACAGCTCATCAAAGAGAGTAAATCCACACTTGTTCCAACCCTCGACATCGATCTCCTCTGGCACACCCACCAGCTCTCACCGGTTGCATATGAGAAGTACTGCAAGAAGTACTTGAGGCGACAGATCAATCACGTCGATACCATCCGCGCGACGACGCGCTCCACGGGGCAGGACGACACGGAGCGCCTCTGGGCGACGCGGTACGGCGAGTCTTACTTTGACCCTGAAAGTACGTCCACGTCTACCGAAATCAAACGACGCAAAGCCAGGTGGAAAGGGAAGCGGGAGGACTGGGGAGCTAAGCTGGCTCCGTACGACCACAACCACCAAGATCTAAAGAAAGGACGCGAGGAAGCAAACGACCGTGCGTCAACCAAACGCACCGGCATACGCATCGCGCGTAAGGCGGCGAGAGTGCTCCACGCGGCACTGCTCAAGCTGCGTTACTACCGCCAGTCGCAAGGACAGCAGCTGCGGGAGCTAGAATACAATCGTCAGTCGCTGATGGAGGAGCGCACGTACAAGTGGCGCGAAGTAGAGACTCTCGGAGGTGAGGGCCGGAGTGTGTTACGAGAGCAGGAGCGCCTCAACAAGAAATGGGAGGAGGCAGAGAAGAGGAGGCAGGTGCTAGAGCAGCGGCTCACGACCGAGGTGGCCTTACCAACAGTCGCGATTTGGCCGTTTAATGTCGACGGCACGGACAGGCACGATCATCAACACCAGCATCAGCAGCAGTACCAGGAGGATCGGTATAACGGGTCGTGGTACTCGATCGTGCCGTCAGAGGTGCAGTCCGATGTGCATCCCATTGTGGATGGCGTGGACGATAGGACGTCGAATGTACGATATTCTCGGACGTACGGCTATGCGGGAGGAGGAGGGGGTGGTGCAGCAGGAGGATGCGGCGTCGGAGGAGGTGGCGGATGCGGCGGCGGAGGAGGGTGTGGAGGTGGCGGATGCGGTGGTGGTTAAGGCGTGTAATAACAACGGTGAGTGTCGTGACAAGCCTCTATCGACATCAGCAACTTCTATCTTGGAACTTATATAAGGCCTATCTGTTTACCTTCACTTTCGGAAAGAGGATGGAATACGGGACCTTTGCGAGGTCACCTTTTGACTCATTTTGATAATATAGAAATAGACCCTCTTGCATTTTCTGAATATAAGCGTGAACCTCACTATGGTCTTGACCATGACGCAGAGTATCGTTCAACATGATATCCTTACTTATTGAAATGACAAGTTATTCCATGACTTCGGGGTCCACATGCATCACCTCCATACATCAGGTTTATGCTCTGATCTTTGTACGTAATCGACGCTCCGTTTAATTTGCTGCTGCCACCAGAAACACAAGCTTCGCCTCCAACCACCTGAAGATTGGCATCAAGTTTGGTTTCCTTCGGAGAGAATGTTTGTCCCTTGGGAGCACAATTAAGACCAAGAGGAGCAATCTGTTCCCAGGTACCATCATTGTTTGGAAGGCAAATGCGGATCTAGTAACATGCCAGATATATCAGCAGGTACCTTATTCAACCAATTTCATTCAAATATGCATAGGCATAGCATATTATCCGTTCATTATTGAAAGAATAATAACAGAGTAGATCAATGACATACCCATGGATCCTCGTCGTCGTAGTGAGAATCGCTCGCAGAGGTGAAGTGGACCACAATTTTTCTGTGTTCACTGGGAAAACATGCTGATCGAGAGTGCAATCCCATAGAGCATTGACACTGACCCCAAATTTGGGATGAGAACGTGAGGGTAGAGGAGGAAGAGACGGAATAAGAACCCGTGGTGGTGAATCCCACGCTGATTAGCAAGACTTGTAATAAGGCCGCTTGTTAACCATCACAACAGTTTATCGTCAAATAAAAAAAATCAACGCATCTTATTAGATTTAGAGAGATATCAGATGCTAATGATAGTGTAGAAGAGCAGGATGAGAGACTGGTAATCACCGATTAACCTCAAGAAGGGATTTTAAACTAGTCGTAGCAGTAGTAGGCACTGCGCGTTTCAAGGTTAGCTTTCGAGTCACCCAGGCAAAAATGAAAACAAACTTACTCGGACGGACCCTCCCAGCCAACACATTTCCAGCAGTCGAAGAAGTGGGTAGGATCATACTTCTCCTTTATCCGATGTAATTCAGGATAATTCGACCCGAAAAATGTCTCCTGCCATTCCGGTTCCAAGTAATGGCCTTCATTCAGATAGCACCCTCCACCAGGCGTCAAAAATTTCAGTGGCTCGATGGTATCCAACCATTTTTCAAGCAGTGCCGTCTCAGTTGAGACGCCAAGCTCCTCCGACCATCCCCCTGTCATGAGGACATGCCAGAGAGCCGTTCGCCACGCAGGATTAGCACTTGTTGTGTTACCATTTTGGTGATTCACGGGCGTGGTCATGATAACTTGGGTGACGGAACCATCATCGGGTATCAGCTTATTGCTAAGGCGAACTCCTTGGAGGACGGCGTCGACTAAATCGTTTCTTTTGCGGTCAGTTTCGAATAATGAGTGCGGCATCAGCCGGCCTGCAACAGCTCCAAAAATTCCGCCCGGTGTGTACTCGGCAGCGATCCCATTAGTAATTTGTAGGAATTCGGTATATTTCGGATAGGTCGTGTAAGTGCTCTTGGTAACCCGCACATACGGTTGATTCGACAAAAAGGAGGAAAATCCACGAGTCAGGGTCTTCAAAGCTGTTTCGTTGTTCGAAGGCAGGACGAGGTAGATTTCAGTTTTGTTCGGCCAGTAGTAAGCATGTCCTGAAACATTGTTGTACGACCATAAAGGTTGGTAGGTTGCGTGTTGTGTGAGAACCTGTTTCAACGCAGCGTAATTGGCAGTTTCGTTACCATGTGCCTCAAAGCTGGCTTCGAACTGATACACGTTGATCTTGACCGCCGGATGGAGTTGAAAGCGATAGCTCGTTAAAATGCCGAAGGCTCCCCCGCCTCCGCCACGCATAGCCCAGAAGAGCTCGGAGTCATTGCATTGATTGATTGTTCGTAATTGGCCGTCCGAAGTCACAACGTCAAACTCGACCGCATTATCCACCATCAGCCCATACTTAGGACCAAAGACGCCATGTCCACCTCCTTGACCAAAGCCGCCAGCTAAGCCGACCGATCCTTCGTTACCACCAGTAACATCCATATTGAACTTCGTGAAATAGGTGTAGACGTCCGACGCCTGAGCACCGGCGCCAATCTCCCCGATAAATTGACCGTTCGAGGCAGGGCAATTGTGTGCAGTAAAGGCTTCATGATACTTTATAGTTTTCATATTGTGAGTCCAAATTGCGAGAGTATTAGGACTAGTAGAGCGACCAAAGTAGTCATGTCCTGTGTTCTTGATGGTGACTCGGAGTTTATGCTTTTGGGCGAATTTCACGGCGGTGGCAACATGTTTTGCTTCGCGAGCATCGACATACAATGATGACAGTCGGCCAAGGGAGCAGTCATCGGAAAGGGTCTCAGACGGATGCGCAGCATTCAGGGCACAAGTTTGAGATCGACATGCTTCCCAACCTAGTCCTGTTGCTGCGCCGTATACGTCGGTTCGTGCCTGGTTTGTTGTGTAATTCGCTTCCGCAACAGCACAGGCTGAAGGATCATAGTATTGAGAACTATAATAACAGCTTGCGGCGAAAGGAATCGTGCGGTATAAGTTTCCGGATAGACTGCTATTGAAACTCTCCCATTCTTTGTTCGATGGCCAACAAGATTGTCCAGCTTTGCAGTTGTACCCCGGGGATGTCGCCGATATGGTGGAGACAAGGCCAAGGACCGCCAATGCAGATGCAGCGTTCACCAAAAAGGCACTTGATATTTGCACCATGATTAAAAAACAAATTTGAGGTAAGAAAAGAAAGAAGAAAATGTTGCAATCTCATGAGGCGCTAGGTGTCGGGGGCCAAGTATTATTTATAGTTACCCAGAGAGCTCATTATGGTGCTAACGGCCCCCAGTGTTGATCTTTCCCTTCACGGGTCTACCAGAAATTGCTACCAAAATTACTCGATTAATCCTTCAACTGTACTATGTTAGTGCGTGGCCTAGTCTATTCTCTAAACGATTAGACCAATTATGGAGTTCAGCTTTTCTCCACAATGCATCCACAATTGATGCTTGGAACGAGTTCATTAAATGTGTTGGGGCTAGTACACCAGAAGGGGGCTCAACGATAGCGTTAGAGTAGTTCTATGTTTTTGAAGCTAATCCTATAAGGGTATATGAGATGCAACGCCGCACAATAATTTAACAACGATAACGGCAACGACTATTTTCCTTCCAAGCCATGTTGTGGCAGCCTTAGCAAATGCATTTTTTTCGGGTATAACCGACCAAGTTATCACTCCTTAATTCGTTGGATTCCGTACAAAAGGGCTAGTGTTTCCTGACGTGACTCGGACATACCCCAGGTTATTTGGATGACCCCTTGATACTGATTTTGTATTTCTCCTTTCTACCACTAAGTCGTCTTAAACTGTCCCGTATAATCTAAATTCTCTCACCACCACAAAAAAAGGAAGAGATGCACATCAGATTATTGATTTTCGAGAGTATTTGGCTACTCTACGAGAATGGCATAACTGGACAGACGGAGTTGATGTTCTACGATGTGATGGCGAATATTGAAGAGAGGATATTGAGAACGCGACCCTAATAAGTTCGTTTTTATTTTATTAAAAATTTCAAATACTTGGTCTGTTATTACTATCTTTGTAGATTGGTATATGAACACTGGGCCCGAGGTCAAACTAGGCAAATATAGCCAGCCACCTCAAAAGCACACTCAAAGCGGCGAAACCTCCATTTGTGCGGAGAGCAGTTGCTGCGCCATTAGCCGCTCTTAGATTTACAACGCCGCTGGGCGTTCCCGTGGCCACTTCATTGGTTGTCTTCAACACAGCATCAACTTAACCCACAGTCTTCTTACGGAGAAGTCAGTGACCAGGCGTATTTGAGCTCCCGAAAATCATCTCAGGAGTCTCAATCCCCGTTGACGTGGCTTGAAGCTGCGGCCAATGGATAGCATCAATCGACAGGTTGGCATTTTCTGCCATTGCTATCCACAAAATAGTCATTTGCTTGCTGAGATTCCACTCCTCTAGTGTGCGAGTGCAAGTTAGATTTTTGGTAGGAAAATCGAAGTGCCAGATACCGAAGACATAGGGAATTTCGCCGGTATGAGCAGCAACAAAATAAGAGATGACCGCCTGGGGCATTGTGTTCAACCATGCGCAAGTGGAAAATAGTGAGTCTACATATATGGAGCTAGTCCTTCCTATCTAGGCAAGAGAAATGCAAGACCAATCAACACAATATCATCAAGAAAAAGTCAATTCTACTAATGACGTTCTTCATCAATCATTCCCAGAGTGTACTAACAGAGGTTCGGCAAACATCAAAATGGTAATTAAACTACTCACTCTATCTTTAGCACATTGTATAATTGAGTGGGTCCATACGAACTATCTACACGATTAGACCAATAATATAACTCAATCTTGCGCCATAATAACGTATTGTGGAAATTCAGCTCTCACAACGTGTATACGGATGTGAGTGCGCGGCACGTACTCCGTAGGTCTTCTAGATTTGTGAAGAGACACCTCAGATGTTAAACAAGACAAAGTGGCCATTATACCCGGCAAGCATGCTAGGTCTGCTGGAAGATTTAAAGCGTAAGTAAAGGATTTGACTTCATGAAAATCTATCTAAAATTACGAAGATGATGCGTTCAAAATTGAAGGTGCAAAATTCAGGTGTATGGTTAAAAAAGTTTTATACTATGCATAAGAGAATGAATAATTCCAGAGCAAATAGAAAAGTAGATGAAAAATTAGATGTTCTTATTTTAAAGCGCTAGTATGCTCAAGTTCAAACCTCGAGATCTTTCTGTCAGGACCTGAGCGTTGGATCACTCGTACTTGGCCGCGTCTTCTATCTGCCTGATATGCTCGGCTATCTGCAGCGCGATTGAGAGGCCTGCGTTCATATAGACATCCTGCAGAAGTCGAATGATCCACTGTCGGGCTCCACTTGTCGCGGCCGGAGATTTTCCTACCATGTAGAGACCCCAGGTCAACATATACCCACCTGATACGTTGCCGTCGAAGGAGAGATTGACAGGGGAGCCAGGTTTAGATGCTGAGAACAGGGACTCCAAAGCTTGTGGGACAGTAGCCAGGATGTCGTCTCCTAGCGTGGATAGGGTTTGCATTGTCTTTTGGAGCCTTAGCTTTATACACTCCCGATCGGCCGGTGCGAGATTCGTGGCAAGCGCAATATTCAAAATGACGCATGCAATCTCGCAGGTAATCATTCGAAGGCTTCGCATGTTGTTCCAGAGTCTAATTGCCCACGAATCCTGATACAGGTCAACTCGACCATTATAAATGATGTTTGGGTCCCCTTCAGACTCTCTGGTCTTATACGGCTCTTGTTCGGCGAGGCACCCAGAAAGATCATGAAAGTCACCGTCAAGCGTGGTCGCTTCTTCCAGGAGGTCAGACCAAGGGATTTTCCCCGTCTTCTTATTGCCCCTGACGCTCATAAGTAGGTTTGCACACCGAGTACTCAACACCCCTAACTGCCAAAACGAATGAAAGCACTCTGGATGCTTAGATGCCTCTTCCTGCAGGTCAAGCATATCCTTCGGGAATGGCTTTGCGCCATGGACACAGACAACCACTAGATCTGCACGCACTTGGTTAAACATGCGGATTGCGAGGGGGCTTGAAAACTGGCTCTTGCCCCGGGCAACCACTAGTGCGGCGGCGCCCTCGACATGTCGAGCCCACGACTCATGTTTAGAGATGTGTTCAAACACCCCTAACGAAATCACTGACATTAAGGTGCTATCCTTGACGGATTCAATCGGTGACGCTAATGCAGTGTTCACTTCACAGACCGCTTTTGAATACTTAATGCGGGCATGACTAGCTAGCGCGGGCTCTTGAGTCGAATTGGCTAACGCTACAAGACCCACGGCCGCCATGCTGGCTACTAGCGTGGGCTGCTCGCCATCGGCATGATAAACAGATGGCAAGTAGTTAAGGCATCCACGCGAGGATGTTTGGCCGCCAAAGACAAAGCAGCGTAGGAAATAGTTGACGCCTATTTCGTCCATGCTAGGACCCAAGCTGCGGACGAGCGGTGGCAAGTCATCGATCGCACTCTTAGCCTTTTTTTCCTTTGAACGCATAATTGTCTTTTCCGTCTGGTCGCGGAAGACGAGGGTCCATTCATCTCGGTACCCACTGCATTGATCGCGAGCTCGAATACATTGTGAACAATGAGGAGACTTCCGGTCGCACTATGCAGAGAAGAGGAACAATTAGCACTAACCCAGCAGACATGAGAGGCCGAACGATACTCACGCGTCGCTTGACACTTCGGCAGTTGCCACAACTCCTCGAGGGTCTTCCGCGAACTGTTTTAGGAGGTAAAATGTCCATGGATCAAAAGGGAAAGAGAGTTGTAACCTTTCAGCCCTGTTTGTTTGCCACTAGGTCGGTGCTCAAAAGATTTATAAAAGCAGGCTTAGTGTGAACAGGGTCAACCACATTCCCCCTAAATCGCCCCCACCCCCAATAGGCCCCACACGGAAGGGTGTTTGCCCATTCTATTATTGGTCTATTCGTGTAGGTAATGCATAGGTACCCAAAGGGTGATGCAGGCGGCACTATTGTCCTATGCTAGGGCAATTTGTATGGGGAAGGCTGGACAACTCATGGAGAGCAATCCAAAAATAGTACGGGAGTGCAGTAATCGTCCAGGTTTTGAATTTTGTCTTAAATAGGGATAAGATCTACCGTTTCACGTACAGTACTCTGGATAAGGCTGAACGGAGGCTTTTGTATTTGTTGACCAAGGATCCATAGCGCTAAGCTTATTTGGGAATGTAGAATGCACCACCAATCAACGCATGATTAAGATCCAACACCACCGTTTAGGAATCTAAAGGTGGCCCATGCTCATACAATATTTCTCCTCTTGATCGACGGCTCTCCATAGTCCTGAGCTACGAAGTCCCTAGTGAGTTCGGTGTTTGACGAGAAATTTACTAATATTTATTGAATTAACGTCATTGGTCTAGTCGTGCGGATAAAACATAGGAACCTTGCGAGTCCAAATGCGTCGTAGATTTTACTTAGCGAGGCTTAGTTGGTCCCTATGCGATTTCAACGCGATCCGACCAATCACACTTAGTTTATTGACTAGACCTATGGCCCTAGTCCAATAAAGGGATATGAGATGCACCGCTGATCAGCTCGTGGTCACAATATAACAACCAAAATGGCGGCAACGACGAGTAATTTTACTCAGGGCTGTGTTGCAGAAAAAGCTCAAATCCCTCGGGTTGGCACATAAAAGGAGGCCGACGTTCCTCTTTCTAGATAGTATACAAACTCATCTCTACTTAGCACTTCTATACAACCCTCAACCTACTATACCATCTTCACACTACTATACTACGAAACGACACAATGGGTGCAGTTAACTACCGAGACGGCATCGCCATCCTCCAGCTCATTATCTATCCAGTGTTGCTTGTCACTGCAGTCCTCATCTGGAAACGGATTGGGTGGAGAGCTGGCGGAAAGTGCTGGCGATTTGTTGTCACGCTCTCCCTCCTCCGAATTGCCGGAAGTATCTGCACGTTATTGTCAATCAACAACCACTCGACGAACATCATTATTGCAGAGGATGTATGTGCGCTGATTGGAATTGCGCCTCTTATGCTGACCTATGTCGGGCTGATCGGCCAAATGTGAGTTGGTAATTATGAGCCCTTGATAAACGTGGGCTAACAAAAAACGTTTGCTAGCGATGAGGGATCTCAAAAGATTAATCCCCGCCAACTCAAATTCCTGTATCTCTTGGGCTTCCTTGGCCTCATCCTCGGTATCGTTGGGGTTACGCTCATGAACGGTCACTTCAGCGCAAACGGCGAGGTTAAGGCGGCCATGGGCATTTTCATCGCACTTTTCGTCGTCATTACCCTGGCGGCGGGTTGGCTAGCTTCCCAGCTTGGGACCACAATGAGTGTGTGGCAAAAGAAGCTGTTCCTCGCCATCGGACTTTCTTGGCCTTTCCTTTTGATCCGACTGATCTATTCGGCCATAGGTGATTTCGGCAGCGACGCTCGTTTTACTGTCCTGTCGCCTACGGCGAGCAACACTAACGTCACCATCTACTTGTGTATGTCAGTGTTGGAGGAAATTGTCGCCATGGCTTTTTGTGTGATCTTCGGGATGTTGTCTGTGAATGGAAAAGAACGTAGTCTTGGTTTTGACATGAACTCTGGCAGAGATACTGCTCAAGTATAGGATCGGGCTTTGATTTGAATTCTGGGCTTATAATTAGACGGCAGAGAGTTAGGCGCTTTTGAGAAGAAACAAGGGAAGTTAGAACTGGTATATGAGTGAGACTGGGAGAAGGACGACACTTCAATATTTTAAACGAGTTCGTGTATATTGTTATTTAGTGTACGGAGTGAATGTGAGTGAATGTGATACAATTCTTTCTCTATAGACCTTTTCCTCGAAGCAGATTCAATCTCGGTTGGCTCATATTACACGGGTTTGGAGAATGAAGTGGACGAATATATCAGCTTGAGTAAACATCGCCAAAATGGCAACACAACTCGGACCCAAACCCAACCCGAAATTAGGTTATGGCCTCTGGACAGATGTTGCTTCTGCTCTCATGGAAAGAAAGGCAGGTTCATTTTTTAGAGCCTGCTTAGGGGATTACAACTCACGAATACGAATAGCTACATCCTAGACAATGCTTCTCCGCTAGACTGATACCGATATGCGGTCAGGCAGAGGGATTTCTGTTTTGGACCGTGGAGTTTGGTATTTGAAGTTTTCAGAAGGGCAAGAAGAGAAGTTGCGCACAAGATTGACTAGAAACTTTCAGTTGCCTACTTAGTGCGCGAATATCCGAGGTCATTCTTTTTGCCCTTTTCAAATACAAAACATGTAGCTCAAATTCCACCGGCCGAACTTTTCAATTACGTTAATCTGTAGTTTTAATGAGAAAAGCCAACAATTTTTCAACTGAGATAGATTACACTACAATATATTCCATACTTCTTTCCACAAGTGGACTATTTCATCGATGTTTCTTGACCAGCCGGACAAGGCCTCTTGATTTACCATGCGACATATCCAACAGCTGAAACCAACCCTGCGCCTCGGTTACCCATTTTGATATGCACTGCAAAGTATTCCTATATATGTAAGATCATTTTCACTAATAGAATACTTTATTTATCCCTTATATTCAATAACAATTCTACCCCATAACGATTTGCATTTGTACTGAGGCGGCCGTTTCTGGCGTCAAAGGAGGCCAAAAATGGCCTCCTTGGCACAGCCCGTTGCCTAATACACTTCGCGAGACTGTAATCTGCTGGACGGCATCGTCACTATTCCTGATGATCTCTTCTGTGATATATCACTGAGTTGCTTGATGGGAGGCGGCAGCAATTTCCCTTCATCGTCGCTTTTTCAGCTCGTGATCAATTGTCGAAAAGCCCTTATGAGTCGGGTTAAAACCTTTATTCCTTCAAGTGCTGTTGTGATCATCTTTCCTCCTCTTTTCAACAATGTGATAGAGACTTTCGGTAATCACGCTGTGATTTGGTAAACACTCCGTATTCGAAACGCTCCTCACTGGCCTGGAGATATTGTTCTCGGAATTCGTGCCAGAGTGAATCGCATCTTGCTGGCCGAAGATAGAACAGCTCAGTGTGCCAAAAAGCCGCAACAGCTTGTTGGACCCCTGCTTGATTCATGAGAAGATCCCTATAGATATCAAAATCAAGCGCCCACATGCAATGTTCACAGAGGACGTTTGAAATGGTGTCAGCCTTGATGATCTCACCCCATGGCGGCACAACGACAAACTCAATGCCCTTGGCGTCGATTCTGCTGATCCAATGCATGATAGTACATGCGGATAACTTATCTCTTACTCGCCCCTAACCGTCTGCCCTAAGCATGCTAAGTGATCGCTGAGCAACCCTGAGCGCTCAGAGAGTACATGACCCAATCATATCACACTGATTTGTAGATAAACAAGATTTTGGTATGAAGCACGCTAATATACTTTAAGTGCAGCTATTCCTATTAGATAGATAGTTAGTCTTATGGCCCCTATTGGTGTCTTAGGCCTCCAATTAGTCCCTTATTGACGAGGCTCTAAGTTCGTTTTCAGAAAGTGGTACACTCAACTGGTATACACACGGATATATATAATTGTACTAGCCTGCATATCGCTTTCAAAGTTGAATAACCACTAAGCTAAAATACGAATTCGCTCTCTGCCTAGTGGTTGTTGGCTTATAATCAACTCTCAACTGCGAGGGGTCAGCCTAATTGAAATCATCCATCCATCCATCCAGACTGTACACCAAATCAAATCCGAGAAAATCCGGCTTGCCAGGGGCGCTGGAAAATGATGTGCCGGCGATGTTTGATGTTGGCCCACATCTCTGGACCTCTGGAAAACAACAAGTATTGGCTTCAATTGGGGTCTGCTACTTCAACTTCGCGGCATTCTTGAAAATAGAACCACTAGGCAAGATGTTGCTGAGTGAGTGTCAACCAAATTGATGTTTCGAAATGTAACCCACAGCTCCGAAAAAGGGATATGGCGAGGTTTAAGCGCTGCTGATTGGCTGCCTCTTAGGGTGCGTCGAAAAGCTGCACGAGAGAGACCTCGGACCCTGGCCGTGAAACTGTATTTTACGTAACGACCGACAGACCAGCCATGATGTATTTTACACAGATGCCATATGTCAGAAGCAGGAAATTCAGTGTACTTGTAAACCCAGCGATAAATCACTGCACTAAACGAGTGACTGAAGGTCTGAAGAGGAAACTATTTAATTCCCCTGAATCAGGGAGCAAACGGGTGACCTCTATGCGCGGTAATTTTATCCTCCGAAGGCGTTCAACACACTATGATAGGCTGCTCCAGACTAGCTCCGACTCCCCACCAACCAGAGCGCAGCACCACCCCAGGACTTCAGCCGCGCCTGGTCGCCTTACCAGACGCGGCTGCGAAGCAAAAATAGGACAGCAGCCTCTTTTTTTTCACACAAAAATCATCGCCGTCAATACTTCCTCTGCAGAGGAACAATCAGCTTCGCGATGACCTCCCCCGCCAGCCCTAACATCACAAGCTACTTCAACCGAGGGCCGCTGACAACCGCCTTTGCCCCTCCAACAACATGCCTCCAGACCTTGTCCGAGGTCGTCTATTATGTGGATGGCACAGCTGAGTCCACCACATACTACGGGCACTGGTATGGAGACTACACAGGTTACACATGTTTACCCACAGGCACCGTGCCCGGCACTCTACTTGCTTCCCCGACATACTGGGACACATACTGGTGTAAGAAAGATATTTAGGAAATGCGGTATAAGCTAACTTGCATTATTCTTCGCAGACTCCCCAGGTCTTTATTGTCCGACTGGATGGACTACTGCAGGCCAACTGGCTGGATCATGGAATGGGTTAGATGTGGCCGGCAGCACGAGTGGTGCTATTTGCTGTCCTTCGTAGGTTTTCCCTTCTCTGTAGGACTGAGCAATACTGATAGACTGTAGGGGCATGAACTTTTACTCACAAAATCATGAGTGCAGCCAAGTCCTATCAGCAAAAGACACCATTACAGTTGCAGCGACCGGTGTAGCGGTCCTATCAACCCTGACAACACCAATCACCATTTATGCGGACGGAATCCCACTGATTTGGGAGAAGTCTGATCTTCCAAAGACGACAAGCGCAGCAACAACACCCTTGTCAACACCACCCTTGTCAACATCACCCTTGTCAACACAAACATTAACTGCAGCCAGCGCGACGGCAACAAACTCGTCCAACAATGATAAAAGTGGTGGCTTGTCAAAAGGAGCCAAGATCGGCATTGGAATCGGGATCCCGGTGGGGGCCATTGCGATAGGAGTAGCGATCTTTTTCTACTTTCTCAACCGACACAAACGGCACAAAGAGGAGCTTCGCGCAATGACGTATGCTTCTCCGCGAGGTCGCGAGACGCTCTCGGAGATTGCGACTAAAGAGCATTCTGAGCTCTCGGAGCTCCCTCGTAAGGAAGATCGCTCGGAACTTCCTTTGACCACTCCGAATCTTGTGCATGAATTGTCATGAATGTATCTGTTCTTTTTTTGAGTTTTACCTTCTTAGAAGATATCTAATGGTGATTCTTGATTATGATCAAGACATCGCTCTAAGCACTACAAAGGTACTCATAGTAGCCATAGGTCGGGCCAGACTTGGCCTCGGGGACCATTATTTTATCTTTCACAATATTTACGGCCAATTCTGTGACAAGAACTGAGTGGAAGGCCGCTCACATAGATGTTTAGGCTGTTTGAATGTCCTATGTATGTAGTAGGGACCGATGGCTCTTTGTTTACTTCCTTCCTCACGCACTATTTCTTCGTCTTCTGCTCTCTCAATACAAGGTTCTTTCTTCGAGATTTGGGCTCGTAGCATCAAGTATAGTACCCCTATGCTTCGACTTCATGCCTTGCTATATATACGAATAGAATATTTCTTTTCACTATTTCTAGCTCTTCGATCACATAGATAGACTTATTTTGCATAAGGCAGTCATAAAAAATAGTTAAAGAGAGCTGTTAGAAACAGGACTACTAGCAAGGTTGCCTACTACATCTGTAGGGCCGCTACCTTAACAAGACTATATAACCGTGGCAAGTTATTAAGATTGTGATTGCTATAGGGCTCAAGAAAATCAGGTTTAGATGTGCGTTTCTTCCTGGAGGTAGAAATTGTAGCATTTACTTCGAATAGCTTGGTCACCTTCTATAAGGACAATCAGGATCCCATGGACGTAGGGAATTCCAAAACCTTGGAGCTCGAGAACGATACTACCCTATAATAATCAAGGCTATTCAGACTAGTAGATACCATTCATCAAAATCAATTCCAATCCTAATACTCGATATGGCCCTCGCTGCTCAGATCGTCAGCACCACCTCTACCTAGCAGGCCTGTCACCAACGCGACTCGGACTGCGGCGGCATCCGTAAGAAGGCTTGTTATAACAGGATCATTTGGCCGAGCCCCCTCTTTCACGTCTTTGATATTGATAGTCGAAACCAGATGAATCAGGACTGCGGTTACATTTGTGGCAACGCAAGTGCATTGATTTGTAATAAGGAAGCTTTATGCTCTTCTTGCATATTGGTTGCCCCGCTTTCACAAAACTTTCTTTCTTTCACGAGTCATGAAGATTCACCTGTTTCGTTTATTGACAGCGATCATCGGAAATTGCGAATTCTCGGAATCTATATAATGTCCGTCAGGCTTCTAAACTGGGCTTTCAGGTCAATGCGGCTGCTGCTTTACGAGCGCGGCACTCCTTGAAACATGATTCTCGTGCAAAGCCACCACACCCGTTTTTTATTTTCTCTACAGTTGAATGTTTTGGGGGCCTCTTTCATGGATAAAGACATTGTACTTCGTCTTGAATGATCTTTTCTTTAGGTAGATCTCAGGGTGGCCTGTCCATTGCCGTGCCGAGGTCTATCCGCAGGGCTGAGAGTTCGTTCGTTATTACGCCATATAAGTGAGTGCAAGTTAATACGCTGACAGGTGGTCGCAGCCTCGAATGGTCGATTTATGTTATCGTATTCGGTATAATTGTCGTCTCCAGCACAAGCACTCCATCTGTATAGTTAGTGCAAGTCAGGCGTATGGTCTATGTATCAAACTCCTTGATTTGTATGCAGTTCAAATGGACTTGAATGAACGCCACATTTTATCTATGCCCCTCTTACCATCGTTTACCGTACACCTTCACTTTTACTACCATTCTTTCTGATATCTAGCCAATGCATATATCAGTCGGAAGCAGCCGAACACCGAGCCCAAAACATTCACGATCGTCAGGCCCTGTTGATCCTGCAATCTCCCACCCCATACAATGACTTCAGAAATCGCCAGACAGAACTACAGCGGCGAATACCGTCGTCAAATCCAGCAGGTGCAGCCTTAAAGCGGTGAATTTCTAGACTTGGTTTTTTGATAGCGCCATCTTGATGCTTCTTTTCCGAGATATTGATCAGGATATATAAATCTACGCTGTCCCCGAGATGGTGGAGTGATACAGGCAGTGAGCATCGACCTACCTTCGTTTTCTACGTACATTCGTTTTTGTCATGTTTCTGAAGCTTTCCAGATTTTCTGCGGGTTTGCCTGCATTATGGCTGTGTCTCGCATGGCTTAATGCTTGCGGCACCATGGCCATGACCTATCCATACACCGTCTATCGAGGTACATTCATTCATCTCCCCCGGCTTAACTCGACTTCAGCAAAGCCGGAGCTCGCCAGAAATCAAGGTGTTTTGTGGGTTTCTTCTGCAGATGGCCGCATCAAGGGATATGATTGGCAAGTCAACGATGATGCCAGCTTCCAATCTTTCCTGTCTAGCCACGGCTGGACTGTCGCCAATACTGCAACCACTAGCAATGCCACTCAAGTCCAAGTTGTGGAGTCCAATGACGAACGAAACGAGTTCTTCTTTCCCGGTTTCATCGGTATGTCCTACCTACCTACGACATGCCAGTACTGACCATGTAGACACCCACATCCATGCGCCGCAGTTCCCCAATATTGGACTGTTCGGTTCAGCAGGCCTCCTGGACTGGCTGAATGAATACACCTACCCAACGGAAGCTAGCTTCGGTTCTAAGTCAGACCCACAGAACCAAGATACAGACCCCAGAGACACGCCACCCGAGGGCTTGCGCGTTTATGATGAAGTCGTCGCACGCACCCTTGCCCACGGCACAACATGCGCGTCTTACTTCGCCACCATCCACATCGCGGCCACCAACGCCCTCGCAGCACTCTGCCACAAGCACGGCCAACGCGCCTTCATCGGCCGCGTCTGCATGGACAACAAAGAGGAATGCCCGTCCTATTACGTTGACCAATCCGCCGAGGAGGGTTTCAACGCAACCAAGTCGACAATCGATTACATCCAGACCCTCGACCCGAAAGGAACGTTGATCAACCCAATCGTCACCCCCCGCTTCGCCCCAAGCTGCACAAACGAGTCCATGGATGGCCTCGGCGCATTAGCCGCATCCTACGACCCGCCTCTCTATATCCAAACACATATCGCCGAGACTCTCGACGAGATCGCTCTCGTCCAGCAACTATTCCCGGAATCAACTAGCTACGCCGACGTCTACGACAAGGCTCACCTGCTCACCAACCGCACCATCCTTGCGCACGGTGTGCACCTCACCAAAGACGAGCGCACCCTTATCCGCGAGCGCGGCTCCAAGGTGGCGCACTGCCCCGCGTCAAACTCTGCCCTGGGCTCAGGACTGGCTCCTGTTCGCCTCTTGCTCAATGAAGGCCTCACGGTTGGTCTAGGCACCGACGTGAGCGGCGGATACAGCCCTAATATCCTAGAGGTGTGCCGACAGGCCTGCTTGGTGTCTAGGTTGCTTGCTTATAGCAGCGAGTACCAAGAGATGACGGGTACACTGGGAAACGAAACAACGAATGGAGATGAGAAGCTTTCTGTTGAGGACAGTCTTTACCTAGCCACACGCGGCGGCGCAGCCGTCGTCGATATGGCGGATGACATCGGTGGCTTCGATAATGGGATGATCTGGGATGCGCAGCTGATTGAACTGGGTGCTGTGCAGAATAGCACCGTGAGCCCACTTGATGTGGCGCGGGCGAATAGCCTCGCTGTTCGGAGCCCTGTCGAGACTGGTCCTGTGGGCGATGTTGACCTGTTTGGAAATGAGACTTGGCAGGAGCAGATTCAGAAGTGGATGTGGAGTGGAGATGATCGGAATGTGCAGATGGTCTGGGTTCAGGGAAAGCTGGTGCATACCAGAGAATAGATCATGATTGTTCCTTTGTTGGATTCGTTTATTTGTTTTGACGTCGATTTCGTGTCTATATTTGTCTATAAGGGGATGAGGGAGCGGTTTGTTGTTGCCGTCAGGCGTGTCACTCATTATGTACAATCAAGTCAGTTTCTCCATATACTAGTACTTCGTTCTTTGCAGGCTAACCTGACGCTACAGCGCCGGTAGCTCAATGCACTGTGCTGCACGCACTTCTGCCCTCGCGAATGCTCTTGTTTTAATGTGCGAAGTCAGCAATGACATTACGTTAGCAGTAAGGTGAGTGGTGACACCAGTTTCGAGATCCACTGTATTTTTGAGATCAGCCTTGGGAAGTACTAGTCGACCGAGCGAAATAATCGAAGGGTGTGATTATTTTGAAGACGAGACGTTGTGGTTGATATTATCGCGATATAAATTGTTGCGCTGTGGAACCACGATACCAGACCCACCTGGGGGAGCGCCCGAGCCTCCACAAAACACCCAGGAGACGACTACCAGCTTGTCGGCCGAGGGTTCCCAGCCAGAGGTGACGATCACCACAGCTCCTCTTACAGGTAAAAGAGCGCGAAATGGCGAGACCTGCACGCTTTTGGAAGGGACGGGTCGAGTTACCACCCGGGAGTGTGACAGCTCATCTATACCCTAAAGGATATCATCGAGTTCTAAAAATAATCTGTTTACTATCGTGTTTTGGGGGTGCAGCGCTCGCTCACCAAACAAGTTAGTTAATCACTCTGACAATTGTTCCGCATAGACGTATTAAAACGTGATCCCTAATATTTGACCATGCGTGCCGCGCAGCATATCTAATATGCTGTTAAGTCTGTTCGTTATCTGGCACATGTTTAAGCCACGGACAGAGAATAGACATGTCTTGCTTCATAAGAGCCCAAAGTTCTCAATCGAATTTAAATCGAATTTAAATCAGGAGAATATCGAGGCCATTGCATAACCTCGATACATAAATCGTCAAGTAACAGTACTATGCCCAAGTTATGATTTTAGGCCCCTCCGTCTTCTCCCGTGTATGGTACTGATCGTCGTCGGAACCCGCCGCGGAAAAGAACCTACCATATCGGATATACTATCCAAATCAGGCTCCTGTGGCGACGAGTGGACTTGCCAATGGCCTGTTGACGGCGAAATTGGAGGATGTGATGAGAGAAATGAGGGAGGACTAATACTATATTAAATGAGGTCATCTACTTGGCGTACTGCTACTGATCGGTGGCAGCCGGCGGGATCATTCCCCTCAACTGCAATCCACGCATCCACCACTATATTCCAGATTGATATAAATCTACTGATCCGTGTGGTGTGTGCTCAATCATGCTGAGACGTTTTCCCAGTTTTACCATCTTCATTCCTGCGTGAGAATGAGCAAATATCTTGGCCTCCGGGGCTCAGCCCTCAACAGAGCTATTATCGGGCTCGTCGTGTGGCCGGCTTTCGCCTGCTACTCGTACAATCTGGCCGTGATGGGAGGTTTATTGACCCTCCAGTCGTTTATTGACACGTTCCCGCGCTTGGATACTATCAACACTTCAGGTGCACAACAGCATTCTAACTCTCAAATGCAAGGTTTGTGGACGCTTGCTTTTCCGCAATGAAGACACTTTTAACTTGCTTTCTTAGGAACCGTTGTTGCGCTGTACACCATCGGGGGTATCTTCGGCTCTCTATTGTGCATCTATTTTGGTGATCGCCTGGGTCGCCGACGGGTCATCGCCTACGCTTCGTCAATAACCATTATCGGTGCTATTCTCATGGCATCAGCATTTGAACTTTCCCAACTCATAGTTGCGAGGCTAGTACTCGGCTTAGGAACGGGCGGGTACCTGGCTACAGTTCCTGTCTGGCAGTCAGAAGTCTCACACGCAAGTGAACGGGGTGCCAACGTGGTCGCTGACACTGTTTTCATCGGATCCGGTATCAGCCTCGCTCTATTTATCGACCTCGGGTTCTACTTCGTGAAATCGAATTCCGTATCATGGCGATTTCCCTTTGCATTTCAAATTGTGCTATTGCTCATCGTGATAACCTTTGTGCTGTTGCTCCCTGAGTCCCCTCGGTGGTTGGTCAAAATGGGCCGGCTAGATGAAGCGCGCGACATTCTGGCCCGATTACTGAACGTTGAGCCCAACTCGGAAACGATTGATATAGACATTCGGGATATTGAAAGCTCGCTGGCTGCCTCTGCCTCGGAATCCTGGTGGAGTGTGTTCAGGATGGGCGAACAACGACTCATACACCGAACCATCCTCGCGGCCAGTGGCCAGTTTTTCCAGCAGATATGTGGTATTAATGCAATTACCCTCTATACTACTACATTATTCCAGAACTTCATCGGATTGGGGCCGGTCCCATCACGCATATTGTCTGCATGCATAGGCTTTTCCGATATAGTGGGAGGAACTATCGCCTATTTTACCATTGACCGTCTGGGACGCCGAGTTCTCATGGTATCGAGCTCGGTCATGTTGGCTATCTCTATGGCCATTCTCGCTGGCACTACCTCCGACACTACCAACACTAGCGCGCTATATGCGGCGGTTGTCTTTGTATATGTATTCGAGGGTGTTTTCTCTATCGGTTATTCGGGCCTGCCGTACCTGTACGCCGCCGAGATCGCCCCGCTACAACATCGCGCGGCAATGAACGCGATTTCCACTGCAACTTTGTGGATATTTAACTTCTGCCTGGCTGAAGTGACACCTGTTGGTCTCAACACCATCGAGAACCGATATTTCATTATCTTCGCCGTGATCAACGCCGCCATCGGTCTAATTGTGTTCTTCTGCTTCCCGGAAACGAAAGGCCGCACGCTCGAGGAAATCGATGAGATCTTTTTGCAGTCAAAGCATATTTTCGACCCTCCGCGCGTAGCTCGGAGTCTGCCCAGGTTGCATATTGCTGACGTACATGTCAAAGGTGAGACGGATCAGGAATAGGGAATGGGCAGGAATTGCTCCCCTTTGAGGATGGGCGAGAGTGAGCGAGGATGATCATGAGAGGACACCAGTCGCCTAGGCACGGCGAACGGAAGTGGAAGTGAGCTATAATGGCCGCCTTCTTACCGTCTCATTGATTAAGAGGGTAGTAAAATTTCAATCACTCTAGACATTGAGATAGTGAAATTGCTCTTGTTGAGATGATGCAACTTTTGACACCGTTCAAGTAGTATAGTAAATATTCAAATCGAGGTCACAGCAGACACTGAACGGATTGATAACCCGAGCCAACTACTCTACACCCACCTTCCCATTCAGCCCAGACCACGGCCCTTTGGGTCTCTTCTCCGTCCTGCCCCCACTACCTCTGGCCCGCGTCGACTGCTGCGCCTGTGAGGCCCAAATATCAGATCCCTCTGGCTCAGTCTGTCCATCCTCGTGCAACACCTCGGCGAGGTCCTGGTTGAGCATGCCGTAGACCTCCTCCAGCGTCTTGCGTGCGTCCTGCGCTACCTCCTTCCCCAATGCCACTTTCTGTTCGATGTACTCCTGCTCGCTGGCAGATGCCGCTTCAGAGGCAAAGGCCCATGCCTCGGCGAGGGCTACTGTCTCGTCCGTTTCGTCGTCAGGGGAAGCATGGGGCTGGTTACGAGAATTGAGAGCTGCAACGGCGTGCTTGAAGCGTGGCTGGCGAGCCAGAATCGGATATTCTGGTAGCAGGTGGCTCTCGTCCCTGAGACGGTTGAGGGCGCGGAGTGTGGTGGATTTTTCCTTGGAGAGGAGCCCAGATAAATAGGATTTCTGGAGCGCGAGTGCTTTTTGGCTTTTGGATAGAGGCAGGAGGGTTTCGTTTGCGTAGGACAGGACATCCAGAGGATTTGGCGGTGAGGCCTCCTCCGCTAGGAGGTCGCTTTTGGGGACTGGTGGAGAGGGAGCCTTGGCGGGGAGATTAACGGGTTGGCACGCTCTGGCGGCGGCATCGAGCAGTTCTCGCCGAGCTTGTAGGTACGAGGAGTATTGCTGTGCGATCTGCATCTTGCGGTCTTCCAGCACCCGCTGTGCCTCCTCGAGTTCCTTGGATGGCAGCTCTTGGAGTATGCTCTCGTCTGGATCGCCCTCGCTGACTAGCCGTTCTTCCACCCATTGTACCAGTTCATTTCGTGTTCGTTGGAGTGCGAGGACTTTAACCGCCGGCGAGGGTTTATCATTTCTAGTGTCGTGTCGCGCCTTGATTTTCTTGAACAACTGCTTCTCCTGATCGAGCTGGGTCTTAGCGTGGACGACAGCTCTCTCCAGCTGATGTACAAGTGCATCCAGATCCGTGCTATCGTCACTGCGACCAGGTTCCTCTGCATCCAGTGGCAAGTGGCTGAGATCCACCGCAGCCCCAAAGGCGTCTGCGTCGACGGCCTCCCGCGCTTGCAGTTCATCGAGATAATGCTGAAACACCTGCATCCTCGCATGACGGCGTCGATCGCGGAGCAGAGTCAAATAATCACGTAGGTCGGCCCCGGGGCCCTGCAGCTCGTCTTCGTTACGGGTCGTGGGGGCGCGTTGGCGCCGTCGCCGAGAGGCAACCTCCTCGGACGCTGCGCTCCATTCCTTGTGCGCGGCAACGTTGGCCTGCAGTGCGTGGAGGTAGTCTTTTCTTAAGCCTGAAACGTCGGCGGGTACCCGTTTGACCTCGGCGATGGCGTCAATTGGCGCGCACAGCGATAGATGTGAGTGAGCGTGGTGGGCGGATTGTTCCGCGTGGGGGACGAAAATGACAAGCGATCGGAGGTAAGACGTCAGGGCCTGGCGGATGCGGAGGGCATTTTGGCGGGAGTGTACGTACGGAGCCAGGGGTTTGGCAAAGGGAGGAATGTCGGGGGGCATGACGTAGGTATTTGTGTCTCACACAGCAAATGAAGATATGAAGAAGGCAAAGAACAACATAGTTGTTGTTTTGCTGTTTTGGGCAAGCCTTAGTCAGGGCAACTAGTCAGGCATAACTCAAGTGTCCCACTCCGTGTAGCATCTGCAGCCTGCCTCGTCGGTCCCGGAGCCATTAATGATTTTCCCCTCAGGCATGTTTCAGCACATTCCTCGCAAGGGATGTGTTGCTACTCCGAGCCGTGACGTTGCCCGCCCCCAACCAACCCATCGGCTTGTGTTTGTCATTTATTCAATGAAGTTATCACCCTAATGGCCCCCGACAACAACAGTATAACCCCAGCCCCTCGCTCTCGCTCTGCGACGGCGACCATGCCTGCCATGCCTGCTACACTGGCGCCGTCTTCCCCGCTGTCGCGCCTCAACGAGGTCCCGACGAGCCCACTCCAGCGGAGTCCCGGCAGTCCGCCGCTTGGATCAGCAGAGAATGGCATCACTAGTACGGCGCAGGGTAGGATCTCTGTATAAATTTATATCGGTCAGGCGTTAGCTGACATGGCCAGGGCCACTTCGACATCCTAAACCGCTGACCCCCTCAGACCTTCATTTGGTGCTAGAGAAGGAGCAAGAAGCAATGGTGGGCAAAAATCACCGCCGATACCATGAGAACAAGGAGCTAATGTGATCCAGGTCAACCGACTGACTCGAGAGCTGTCTCTTCTGCGACAACAAACAGCGTCGGTGGCATCAACAACATCCTCCGCTTCGACATTGAACGAGCCAACTAGCGCAGAAGGAGTACAAAACTCGCCGCCCCTCGGCAGGTCCTCCTCACGTCCAAACAGCTCGCGCCGGCACCGATCCTCATCCAGCATTGGCTCCAACGCCCAAGTCGCACAGAGTGCCATGGCCGCCAATGTCGCGGGCATCGCTCCCTGGCGTGAGAATAATCCCCATGCTTCTTCCCGAAACCACTCCGACCTACCGCGCCGAGCGCGTAGTCGCGAGCCATCGCTCACGATGTCTCGTCGCCCGTCTGTCAGCTCGCTCACTTCCTTCCCGCAATACCAGCACAATAACGATCATCACACTCCCTATTACGGGAACAGTCCCTCGATCTACCCCTATCGTAACTCGATCTCGCAGCCGCAGTCCGCTGCTCCAGCCTCGAACCCCATGGCGCGCTATGAGGAGGCCGCGTACCATAAGTCAGAGCTAGATGTGGTCAAGCGTGAAAATGACCAGCTGCGGAAGCGGGTAAGGGAGCTGGAAACCACCTTGAAAAGAGTACAAGGAGCTTGATTCGTTGCCCGCCGGGACTGTATCGGGGTTATCTACGTCAGCATCGTCGGGGTTGCGCTTGCTGATTGATTCATGAATTTCTGTCTTGTTACCTAGGGGAGTTTGCGACAGCGATTTTCTCTTCTTTCGGGCAGTGTTTGCAGGCAAACACATTAGCTATCGATCTAACTCTTGTTGATCCAATGAACTATATGCAATCTGTGGCGGTGCAGCCCCGCCGACGTCACCGTGTGGCGCAAGTTTGCCAGCTTGATTAAATACATCGCATTATCCTGCTACTTTCCTCTTCCCCTCTCATTCTCCCTGAAAAAAATTTATTCTCATATTCTCTACTACCATCCCACTTCTACAACATGTCTAACCATACCACCGTCCACGTCTCGGGTATCTCGCCCGCCACCTCCGAGAAGGAAGTCCGCGACTTCTTCAGCTTCTGGTACGTCATCCACCTACCCATCAAGCTCAGCACCCGCAAAACAAGAATCCCTCGTTAACAAATCCTCCACACTGAAGTGGCAAGATTACCACGTTGTCCATCACCCCCTCGTCCGGCGAGGCCAACGCCCCGAAATCCGCCAGCGTCACCTTCGAGAAAGAAGCGTAAGCCCTCTCCCAACTACCCCGCACTCCGTGTCGTTTCACCTAGATCTCACTAACGCGTATCACGCCATCCAGAGCCGCAAAGACTGCCTTGCTCCTCGATCAGACCCAATTGGGCACCTCAGCCGTGCACGTCGAAGCAGCCGCGACTCTCGATGATGTCGCCGCCCCGGCAGCCGCCGAGAGCACCAAAGAAGGCGAGCACGAGATCTCCCAGGAAGACCTGCCTCGCTCGCGTATTATAGCCGAGTACCTCGCGCACGGCTACGTGGTCAGCGATAACGCGATCCAAAAGGCGATTGCGCTAGACCAGAAGCACGGCTTCTCGACCAGGTTCACCACCGCGCTAAGCAACTTCGACAAAAAGTTCAATGCCACCGAGCGCGCGAAGGGCCTCGACGAGAACTACAGCATCACTGATAAGGCGGCGACGGGCTGGCGTGGTCTGAACTCGTACTTTGAGGCAGCGCTCAATCACCCCTCCGGTCAGAAGCTGCGCGACTTCTATGTGCAGACTGATAAGCAGGTCAGGGATATTCATAATGAGGCACGTCGCCTGGCAGATCTGAAACAGGGCAAGGGAGGTGAGACGGAGGGTGTTGCTGCGGCGGGTGGTGAGGCTTCTAATGTTACGCCTAGCTCGGCGCTGGCATCTGAGCCTGCTGGTGCGGCGCCGCCTGCTGAGCCGAAGGCGTGATTGAGTTGATTTGGAAATGTGCTTCTGCTGCTTTCAACGCTGATGATGTCCATGCTATCTTGTGCCCTGTGTATCGGGTCTTCCGGTTTCAATTTTTGTACTTAACTTGCAAGACGTCCTTATGCTTACGATGAGATCTGACTACTCGCGGCTCCTTTCTGTCTACTTGTTTCGCGAGGTATCTTAATGAAGTAACCGAATGAACATATCAATATATCTGTTTCTCACTTCTTTTCGTTATTCTTTAGAATATTAGACCATATCGTATAGAAGAGAAGCAGAGGAAGAGTGAAAAGTGTGACTCCTAGGTGGATAAGATGAGAATTTTTTTTTTTTTGTCATATGGCTCTGTTGGAGCTGGTGGTATAGAGATAGTCAGTCCTATGGCCTTGAGTTCCCAGAACATGCTGGCTTGCAATCCTATCTAGTTAAGTGCGTATGGCCTAGTAACACTCGATGCATTACACTGCTAACTACCAAGGTAGAATTTATATCAAAATCCGTTCTGAACTCATAGAGCCATGCCAACATCAATCCTCTCGAGGTCCACGGTAGCCTGCAGCCTGCGCAGCTCCTTCGTCAATTTTACATCCTCGTTCTCCGATCTCCCTGCTGTTTACTGAGTCTTCGCAATGTGAATTACATAAAAACAGCACACAGACCCCGCGGAACCTGCAGAGCAACGAGGCAATGTAGATCTCTAGGGCAATACATGGCTAAGGTTGTGTCAAAGGGAGCGAGAAATTTGAAAACTTTAAATTCCACAATTTAAAGAATCCATTTAAAGTCCGCCAAAAACTATATTTTTGAAAAATAGTGTATGTGAACTCCCAGCAGGCGGGAAATGTTACAGCTGGAGCTTTTTCCGGGTTACGAAAGGGAGAAGCTCAAACGGATACATATCCGAATGCCCACCCCACACCCGGACATGGGATGGTCACTCCGCGTTCGGATTTAGAGCCACATAAATACATCTTAAATGCCACGAATGAGATAGCTAAGTAATTTTGCTCGTGGTAAAATGGCATCAACCTCTGAGACTGTTACCACAGCGGTCGTGCAACCGTCTCAAACCAAAGATATTGCAACTCGCCTGCTGAACGGCACTCTCCACGCCGACTATCCGCCCATTGAGCAGTTCATGACCCTCGATGGCCTGCTCAAGTCTCATGCTGCTCAACCAGACGAAGCTCAAAGACCATTGATTTGCTATCCTATCCGTGGAGCGGCTGACTTCGAAGAGCATACAGCTGGTGATATCGACCGCTATACGGATGCCGCGGTTCGCTACTACATGGAGCAAGGACTCCCACCAGCGGTAGGTCCGTTTATATTGCTTCGTGGACCAGTACTCATTGTTCCCTAGGACCCTGCTCTCGATAAAGCACCTGTCATTGCTCTGCTTGCTGGCTCCAGCTTCGAAGTCATATTGACTTTCTTCGCGCTCAATCGCCTCGGCTATGCTGTGCTCTTTTTGTCCACTCGTCTCACTGCTCCGGCCTACGCACGCCTGTTGGACATGGCAGACTGCAAACAGCTCATCATTGCAGAGCAATATCAGCGTACAGTCACTGATATCTGTGTGGAGCGGCCCGGATGCAGCAGTTTTTTGATATTGCAACGAGGAAACTGGTTTAATCGCCCGGTCAGCTCACCTCGGTTCGAGCGCCCAAATGTGGATCCAGCACGAGAGGGCAAGAAGATGGCTTGGATTCTGCATTCCTCTGGGAGTACAGGTTTTCCGAAACCAATCTTCCTGACCAACCTGCAGTCCTTGGCCAATTTCCGTAAGAGTTTCGGCTTCCGCCTATTCAATATCAGTCCTCTATTCCACTCTCACGGACTTATGGAAATTGGTCGAGCATTCTATACCCGAGCGACAGCGTATCTGGGAAATCACTCTCTCCCCGTCACATACCAAAACCTCTATGACGCCCTTCAAATTGCACAACCTCAGCAGATCAGCGCAGTGCCCTATGTCATCAAGCTTTTGGCAGAAAAGCCGGAAGGTATCCAAGCGTTGGCCAAAGCCGAAATTGTGTTGTATGGGGGATCCAGTTGTCCAGATGATCTTGGCGACCGTCTTGTTGCCCAGGGCGTCAATCTGGTTGCGAACTACGGCGCAACTGAGACTGGGCAAATCATGACCTCTTTCCGCTCTCCAGGTGATACCGAGTGGCAATACATGCGTCTGCATCGCCCTGTTGCCGACCATACCTTGATGGATGAAATTTCGCCTGGAGTCTTCGAATGTGTAGCGCTGGACAGTCTTCCGAGCAAAGGCCCTTCAAACTCAAAACCACCTTACAGTGCAAAGAATCCAGAGAATAGTTTCAGAACAGCCGATCTGTTCACGCGACACCCAGACCCCCAAAAAAGCAATTATTACAAGTATCTGAGTCGACTGGATGATCGAATTACTCTTGTCAATGGTGAGAAGGTGCTTCCTATCCCCATTGAAGGTCGCGTCAGAGAGGAACCACTCGTGCAGGAGTGTGTTGTATTTGGCTTTCAGCGAACTGTTCCCGGGGCCCTGATCTTCCGTGCTCCTGACAAGGCCCCGGATATGAGCGATGATGATTTTTTGGAAGCTATATGGCCCGCCGTCGAGGCTGCAAATTCTCGTGCCGAGACTTTTTCCCGCATTCCCAAGGAACTGGTCGTGATCAAAGGTGCCGATGTTTTTTACCCTAGGACGGATAAGGGAACTTGCATTCGCGCTCAGGTCTATCAGATGTTTGAGGACGATATTAAAGCTGCCTACACCAGGTTCGAAGGGAACGGTCAGCGGAAGGGAACTCTTGCACTCGGTGTGCCGGAACTAGAAGAGTGGTTGTTGTCCAGATTTCGTGACGACCTCGGTGTACCGCTGCCGAGTGTTCAGACCGATATCTTCTCGACTGGTGTCGACAGCCTGCAGACTACACAGATATGGAGATACATCGTGCGTGATCTTGACCTTGGAGAGCAAGGGGACAATGTGAGCCAGAACATTGTCTTCGAGAAAGGAACCATCAGCGCTCTTGCGAAGCATTTGTATCAGCTGCGCACCGGCGAAGAATATGAAGAGGAAGACGAAAAACAGATCATGCGGCAGATGATCGAGAAATACTCCCACTTTACACAGCACTTTCCCACTACGACAAGAAATCCAGAGAAGGAAGTCGTGCTTGTCACTGGCGCAACAGGCAACCTAGGGGCATTTATCGTCTCGGAAATCCTCAAACGACCATCAGTGTCCGAGGTCTGGGCCCTGGTTCGGGCACCAGGGCAGGCTGCAGGAGGTGCCCGTCTAATGAACGCTCTATCAGATCGCAGCATTGCTCTCACTGACGATGAGGCCGTAAAGCTTCGTGCAATCCCCAGCGACTTGTCTCAACCTAACCTGGGCTTGGACACCCATGTCCTCGAACACCTTCTCTCATCCCTGACGTGCGTCATCCACAGTGCCTGGGCCGTCAACTTCAACCTGGGCGTGCGGTCCTTTGAGGAACAGCATATCCGCGGCACATACAACCTCATCAATTTCTGTCTGCGCTCCAAACTACCCACTCCGGCACGGTTCTTCTTCTGCTCGAGCGTGAGCACTGCAAGCAACACTCCCAAGCCGGCTTCCATTCCAGAGACCGCTATCGAGAATCTGGAGCATGCACAGACTATAGGCTATGGGCGATCGAAGCTGGTTACGGAGCATATCACCCGAAACGCTATGCGGCATACTGGTATGCATGCCCGGGTTCTGAGAATCGGTCAGCTTGGTGGAGATACAGTCACTGCGCAGTGGAATGACACCGAAGCTGTAGCGCTCATGTTCCGCAGTGCGTTGAGTACGGGTGCGCTGCCTGCATTGGACGAGGAAACCAGCTGGCTACCTGTCGACGAATGCGCCCGAACAGTTGCAGAATTAGCTCTTAATACCGGAGAGCCTTCATCGGATGTCGACCTGGTGTATCATCTGGTCAACCCACGAACATTTAGCTGGAAGCACGACTTGCTCCCCGCTTTGAAGCAAGGTTCAGCCCTGCCAAGCTTTAAAATTGTGCCCCCACAAGAATGGCTACAGAAATTGGCAGATAGTGAACAGGATCCAGAGAAGAACCCAAGCATTAAACTACTTGATTTCTGGCGATCAAAGTATGCGGGTTATGGTCAGCCGCGGTCGGCTACCACCATTACGGAACAGGGCCAACAAGAGAAATTTCACGGTCTTACCTTCGAAACTCACCGGACAATCAAAGATTGCTCGTCGCTGGCCCTGGTCAAAGACCCCGTTACTGAGGGATTGATACTGAGATACATTGAATCATGGATGAAACGGTGGACCAGCACATAGACAGATTGGATAGACTTAGATTCAAACTGATCATTTTCTTCTCATTGAGAACATGTAGGCAACGACTCAACATTCTTGGGCACTCTTAACCAGCAAGATAGATTTTCTCGCCTATTTCCCTCCAGAAAATACCCTCCCTCAACATACATCACTTAGCATACTTTGCCGCCTCAATCTTCTCCAACGGATGTTCCGGGTTACTCTGCAGCCGGAACTTCTTATCCTCTTCAGATTTCTGCTGCGCAAACTCCGGCGGAGGATGACCCGCGACGTCGGTCTTGCCGCTGGCCGGGGGGTCGCTCTGCTGTGCGCCGCTTTGGCGCTCTTCGGGAGGGGACTGACGGCCGGAGAGGCGGGAAGACATTTTGTTTTGATTGAATCCTTTTCCTTTTTGATAAGAGTTAACAATAATCCTTGATGGTGCTCCCGTGCGATATGCTTGTTGGGGCGGAAATGTGGTCGGTACGAGGTCAACTCACTGGCTGGTATAATAGCAGGTATAGTTCGTGGGCAGCTTTTGCGTTGGGATCAAATTGTAGATAGAGGGACTGATTTATGTGAGATACAAGAATATTCAAGGTTAAATAACTTGTTTAATAACTGCCCTGACTTGATGTCCAGGCCTGACGTTATCAGCCGCAAGAACTCTAAACCGAACATCCCTGGTGCATCATCATCATGACGTCTCCTCCCAGGCATGCCATCCATTCACTTCTTGGCCATTTGAATTTAATTCTGTGTTTATAGGCTAGTTCCTTGTTGCACCCACAAAGTACTCTAATTATCAGAGCTACACCTCGTCAACATAAGCCTATCCTATCCAGTGACATCATATGAGTATAATGGAATCTGGTCACGTGATGATATATGGCACTTGTCTGGATACTTGAACTGGAATAAGAATGAGTAGACTGACGATACATGAATAGACGGTGTCTAGCATGCATACATAGTATATTGGATGGACACCAGAAAAATCCATGTTCTAATAAATAGAGAAACTCAAAAAGCTATCCGCAGCCGGCAAAGAGCCTTGCCGACCAGACAATCAGATAGATCACTCAAGCCACGAAAGCTTCACGGAAAGTGAGTATTTCTTACGATTCCATAATTTTGACAACAATTCATGCAGATTTGATCGAGATATTGTCATGGGGGAGGAGTCTTCGTCTTCAGGGAATCTGTGCATCGACGAGGATTAATTGGAGGAGGGCAGAGGAAAAACCGGGGGGTTAGGTAAAGGGGGACTTTTGTGCATACATCAGAGACATGAGGGGGGCATGACAGGACAAAACAGACGGAAGAAACAAAAAGAAAAGAAGAAAAGAAAAGCCTCAGTAGATCAAGTAAATGATCTAAACATGAAATTGAGGGCATATAGCTCGTGGGCATGTAGAGATGAGAAACCAATATACCAGGAGGGCACCAGGCTTCTAACCGTAGTAATCCTCCCGGGACGATTTCAAGTCTATTGGTTGCCATTGGACTGCATGCCCGCCGCCGCGGCGGCTTCAGCATTGGCGGCGGCCGCCATGGCTTTGGCATCGGCTTCGTGGAAGACAGCCTGAATAACCTGCTGTTCTTCAGGACCAAGGACCTTGGTCAGGTTCTCGTAGAGCTGGGGCTGCTCTTGTTGAAGGCCTGGAAATTGTGTTAGTGAATAGATAAATCAGCGGCGATATAAAGAAATTTCGTACTCAGCAGAACATGCTTGAACATGCCGTAAGGCTCCACCTTATCGAGAGGTGTTTCGAGGAGACTCTCTTCGTCCAGTTCGTCGTCGTCATCTTCAGCGAACGAGCCAAACTTCGCCGCCTCCTGGTTGAGGAACTCGAGGTATGCGGCGCTCTCGTCGGCCACATCTCCATCCACAGCCTCTTCAGCCTCGTCCTCGTTCCACTCGACCTCACCATCCCAGTCGTTGTCCTCATCGTCTTCAACATCGTCTTCGAGCGTGAAGTCGGATTCCCGGGTAGCGTCCTCACGTTGTTTAAGGGCAGCAGGCAAGGTCTGGAAAAGCCTTGTCACACCCTGGAGTAGTCTTGGCCAGCCCTGTTGAACACTCTCTGGAACACTATCTGCCGGCAGAGTCAGGAGCGAGCTGATGGCAGCAATCGACAGCTTCTTGTCGTGAACCCTCCGGAAGTTATCGATGTTCGAGAACCAGGCGCTGAAGAACTTGTTCGTCAAGCCGTTGGCTTCGAGAATTTGGAGACTGAGAACCGGGTTGTAGTAGATGGCATTGATGACCATCTCCATCAGGTGGATCCGGTAAGACTTGGTTCGGGCCTCGCCTGCATCAATGACCCGCATGGCCAAGGTGATGAAGAGATGGATGTACTGGTCGATGTGACCACGGAGGTTCAGCATCAGGGTCTCTGCGAGCTTGCACCCGCAGATCCGGTCCACGCCGCCGACCTTTTCGTCGGTAAAGATATCCTCCACCATACTCACCACAGCATTAAGATACGCAGGGTTTTGTACCAGCATCTCTGAGCCGTAGGCAATGAAGTTGTCCAACGCTGGCAGCATATCTTCCAGATACAACTCCGCGCCAGCTTTGAAGGTCTTGTGGATCAATTCGAAAGCTTGCCACATGGTGGGGGAGATGGACTTGGAGGCAAAAGTGCAGCTGTCGATGATCTCGAAAACCTCGTTGTACAAATCATAGAGCTTGTTCTCCAGAGTGATACTGATGACGGGCATGAGAACAGTCTCAAGATGCAGGAGCACGTCAGGGGTGCTTTCCAGAGTGAGAATGAGGGTGCCAATGGTCTGCAACACGCCTAACGCGGTGATGCTCTTGTCATCCAAGAAGTCGCCATAGGTATCCTCTTCTCCATTTTTGTTGGAGTTCTTCTCCAAGAGCTCGCCCACAATACGCATGTAGGTATCGCGCAGCTGCTCACTCAGAGCCACTGCGAACGGCGTCAGCTCGGCAGAGAAAACCTCGACAAAGTCCTCCATGACGTTGGCCAGAGCATCCACGTCGACCTCGTTGGCCAACTTGAGGAGCTGCTGCATGATCTGCGGGATATTCTGCTGCATCGAGGTCCGGATGATGTCGTGGCGAATAAGAGGCTGCAGAGCAAGAGCAGCCTCCACACGGACGGGCAGTTCCGAATCGGTCATTGACTCCAGAATATTCCGGTAGATGACCATAAGGTTGTTGGGGTCCTTGAAGTCAAGCTGCTCGAACTTCTCCAAAGTGTCACAGGCACGAGCACGAAGGAATCCATGGGGGCTGCGGAACTCGGGGAAAACATGACGAACGAAGAAGTACTCGACCTGATCCGCAATCGGGCTCTTCTTGCCCAGAATGACCGATGCGAGAGAGCCGATCATCCGCAGAGCACCCTCCTTCTCCCGGGGGAGCTTCTGGTCATCCGGAGCAGATTCATATTTGCTCACGACTCCATTGACAAAGGTGAGAATGGCAAAGGTCTGCTTCTTCCGGTTCTTGGTGAGGGTGACCAGGAAATTCGTGGCAGCAAGATCGGGAGCCGACACTTCCTCGTAATAGTTCAATTTCCGGTGAAGGTATTCCGACGGATCGTCCTCGAACATCTCGATGTCCTCATCCGACTGGCACAAGATCGGGAAAACAAAGTGCGCAATCAGGTTGTCCATGTGGGGTTTCAAGTGATCCCACATTGCCTTCGGCTTGACACACTCCTCCATAAAGGCCAAGGTATAGGAGAGTGCTGGGGTACTGAGCCATTGGGTATTGGAAACCCATTTGTCAATTTCCTGCAGGTATCCCTTGAGGATTTCAGGGGCGAAGGTGCTGATGAAGGTCTTCGCGTACTGCGTGTAGTCGGGGGTGGAGGATTTGGTCATGGTAGTAGGGTTGCCGTATCTACCGCGCGAAGGCGTAATGTGAGCAAGTTTGCAACTCAAATTGGGGCCAATGGAGAGAACTTACCTGACAAACAGACGGTTCAAGTTGGCATATGACCATTTCTTGCACTTCCACCAGTGGTTCAGCTCCCTCTCTTCCTTCGAATCTCCCATGCCATTCGCTGGGGGGTCTTGGCAACGACTCGCAGGAACAGGGTGCACCAGTCAACAGTTGCCTGATGAGTTTGGAGAGCCGGCGAAAGTTCGAACTAATCCCGGAGATTGGTCAGAATACGTGCGTTGGCATGGGAGGGTGATCACTCACATAAATTGCATGCTTATACGACTTCACCACAATGCGCAGCATCTCCGCAGCCTCCAAACTCTCCTCATCGACAAGCTTCGATCCAATGCTGAGTAGCTGCGGGAACGAATGCTCCACAATCTTATCAAACTCATCGCGCTTCTCTCCGGCCTTGAATCGGTACGTGCGGCAGACAGCCAACAGACATTGCAGGCCAGCGTAGACGGTATTGGCGTCATTGGTGCCCAGCAACTGCAGAGTCAAGTCAAGGAACCCCGGCCATTCCCCGGGGAAGTCGTGCTGCAGGATTTTTTGGAGGAGGGGAACCAGCTGGTTACGGATGTTGGCCGGTGCCGACGCAAGAGCGGGAATCAGGCGCTCCTTGAATCCCGGTTTCTCCTCCGCGGGGATTCTCGCTTGGTAGTGCGAGGTGTTTTCGGCGGGCGACCATCCTCGGGTGATGCGATTCTTCAAGTAAACGCCGGCTGTGCGAAATGAGAAGGTCAGCGAAAACAAGCCCACAAATTCGACCCCGGAGCAACGGCACTCACCCGACAGTTGAATAGCATTGTTCTGCTCCCCCTGCAGAATATCCAGTAGGGCATTGATGAACCCGGGCTGCGTTTCGGCCTAGAGAATGGGGCACCACGTGTGTTAGTTTGTCTCGCTGTCTCTCTCCCTTCCTCGCTGCCCCGCCAGCAGCTGGTCCAGCAACACACAACATACATATTTCAGATCCAACTCGGCCTGTTGACGAATTTCCGCATTTGCGTCCAGCGTCGACTGGATGCGGTCTCGTAGGGCTGTGACATCCATTATCGCACCACACCCCAGCGCCAGAAATCACCAAACGCCGAGTAATCAGCCCCGAAGAGCAGAGGGCAGGCGGTAAGAGGAGGAGGGGGGAAGGATCAAATAGCGAAGAGGAACCAACAGGACCAAGAGGATCCAAATAGAAGAACAAGACTGGACAGGGAGTCCAGGGACAAGCGGGTGGGCAACAACAGATCTGGAGGGGGAAAAAAAGTGAGGGAAGAACCAACCCTGGGTTTGGGTCGGGCGGTCGCCCCGCCGCTAATCAGCCACTGGCCGAGTATTGACTACTAGACGGAGGAGAACAAATGGATTTACGACCCGAACATTTATTGATTCGTGCGGTTACATGTACAGCGACGCAGCAAAAATCACATCCCGCTTGATCAGCTCCTGCGCCTGCTGCATCTTCGTATACAGCGACGGGTCGCCCACCAGCTTGGCGGCATTCTTGACCTCGCGACACGTCTCGTCCAGCCGCGTGATGGTGCGCACAATCGTCCCCTCCATCACATCCGTCAGGTCCGTGATGCGGTTGAAGGACATTCCCTTAGCCCACTCATACACGACCTCAGCAAGCCCGAAGCGCGGCTGGCTGGCGAAGTCGTTCGAGTCCTCGCTGGACTGGATGACCTGGTGCAGCACTTGGAAGTCATTGACCTTCTCCGAGATCCGCACGATCGTTTCCTGTCCCTTCTCCAAGCGTGGGGTCAACGTCGGTTTGTTGTCGGTCTTTTCCTGGAAGACAAAGGCCGAGAGCAGGGCGACAATCTCTTCTGGCTCGAATTCGGCCAGCACGTTCTCCAGAATCAATTCGGTAAGAACAAGCTCATCGGCCGAGTGAATCTGATGCCAAGTTAGTAATTGGAGATATTATTGTGAACAAATAGAGAGAGAGAGAGAGCATACCTCGCATGCTACCTTGCCCTTCAATTGCACACGCGCCTGCTCGTCCACAAATCCCAGTTCCCTCAGCACCTGGATACGCTGTTCGTAGTCCGGCAAGAGTTGGAGGTTTTGATCCGACATGAGTTGTTTGAGCTGCGAGATATTCTCCTTGACCTGCCACTCGTCATGTTGCATCTCAAACTGCAAAAAAAAGAATCAGCGCGAGCTATCAGACGAGAATAGCGCCACTTACATGCTTCAAGAAATCAGGACACTTCAAACTCTGACAGGACTGGGCAATGTCGGCCTGCGCTTGTCGCTGGTCGAGTATATCTCGCACTTGCAACTCTTTGACTCGCGCCCAATCCAGCTCGTCCCACGTATGGTCGGTCCATGATTTGGTGTACTTGGTGAGCTCCTTATCCGCGAACTTAACGGCCTCTGTGCGAAAAGTATTAATTGGAGAACACAGGGGTTGTGCCGGCGAGGGTGCATACCTTTCTTGATGTTCAAGTACCAGATCGGCCCTCCAAGCTTCACCTGGGTGTTCGTGACGCACTCAAGGTCGGCGAGCGGTATTTTGCATGTCTTCAGATGCATATTCGCAGAACTGGTGGGCAGTTGCTGGAAGAACGGGCGGAATTTGGGTAAGAAGGGTAGAATATCGCTCGGGTGGCGTTTGTTGCTGATGGTGCCAATTTCGCACACCTGCAGGCAGGGAATATTCCCACCGGTCACTCCCTCGCGGACAAGCACACCGGCTGTGCGCAATCCATCCTGCACTAGATTTAGTACATATCTTGAAAAACAGTGTGTTCTGAACTGACCTTTCGATAAACCACGAGTCGCTTAATAGTAAAGAGCCGTTTCCCTACAGGCGATGATTGCAGGCTCGCATGCAACTCATTCGTGAGTCTTTGATACTCCATCGCTGCCGCATGGCAAGCTGCTAGATCCAAATCACAAATCTCACAGGGCTCCCGCTTAATCTTCTCGAGACTGGCTTCTGATAGTTGGACTTGTTTCTCATGCTCCGGAAGCAAGGCTTGTGTGGCATTCTCGCTGAAACTTCGCTTGATCATCTCCTCGATCTTGAGAGCCTCCACACGTAGGAGGTTCAAAATCATATTGTACGTCAGCCGGAACTGAGATCTAAGCTTGGTCGGGTCACCAAGGATCATCTTCCGCAGAGCACCAGCGGGGGAGCCTCATCTCTGCCGCTGGTAGTTATGATAACGTAGCCCACTGTATCGAGGCCTCTTCGGCCAGCACGCCCAGCCATCTGCGTATATTCACCAGGAAGAAGATCGCGGAAACTCTTGCCGTCGTGTTTTCGGAATCCCGAGAAAACAACCGTTCGAGTCGGCAGATTTAGACCCATGGCAAACGTTTCTGTGGCGAACAGAACTTTAACCAGAGACTTGGCGAACAGAATCTCAACAATCTCTTTCATAATGGGCAGGAGACCCCCGTGGTGTACAGCGATTCCTCTGCTCAGCAGTTCACGAAGCCGAAGAATTTGTGGAAGCGTTCTATCTTCGGGCTTTAACCGGGTGAGAGACTTCTCAATAAACATGTGAATCAAGCTCTTCTCCGAGGCAGTGCTGAAGTCCTGATTGGACAGCGAATCCGCATTTTCTTCACATCGCTTCTTGGAAAAGACGAAAATGCATCCGGGGAGTAAATCCGCTTTGCGCAGATGGGATACCAGGTGCACCCAAACATTCCTGTCCTGGGCAGCTGACGTCCTGCCGCCTCCGCGGCCAGTACGAGCAATATTTCCTGTGCCTCGATTAGAGGGCTGTCCTCGACCACCTTGCCCTCTGCCTCGTTGTTGCGGGCCTCCCCGCTGCCCATTGCCTCTAGGGGCGCCGCCGCCACCTCGGCCATTGGGCTGTCCGCGGCCTCGCCCTTGAGGTCCGCCTCCTCCGCGCGCAGCCTGGGACTGCGCTTGGGATTCGGCAGCCTTCTGAGCCTTGATTTTATCCTGGCCTGACATGATGTCGTTTGCTTTCTTCCAGCCACTCTCTAGGAATCGCTTGTTTGAATCGACGACCTTGAACTTGTCCTTCCCTGCCCAGAGATAGTGTTCGAGCGGAACGGGTCGCTTGGGAGTCGAAATGACATAAATGTCCTTCTTCTTCGTACGACCCACCCAGGATGCGAATTCGTAAGTGTTGGGGACAGTGGCAGATAAGAGGATCAGAGTGACATGCTCAGGAAGCATGATAATAACTTCTTCCCAAACCACACCCCGTTCAAGATCATTCACATAGTGTACTTCGTCAAAGATTACAAACTCGACATCACGAATCAGATCAGCTCCTCGATAAAGCATACTTCGTAAGATCTCGGTTGTCATAATCAAGCAGCTTGCCTCGGGATTGATTTGGACATCTCCAGTCAGAATTCCAACATCATCGAAGGTAGTTCGGAAATCGCGGTATTTCTGGTTGCTGAGAGCTTTGATAGGAGACGTGTAAATTGCCTTCGTCATGTGCTTGGCCGCCAAAGCAATTGCGTATTCAGCCACGACAGTCTTGCCCGCGGAAGTGTGGGCTGCAACAAACACCGAATCGCCACCTTCAAGGTGGTAGACAGCTTCTTTCTGGAATGTATCCAGCTCGAAGGGCCACTCCCTGGCCATATCCGGGACTAGCTCGCTGAAGTTAGGGATATCTTTGTTCACGTCCACAACGTGAGCCCATTCTCGGCCCCTTTGTTTTTGAACTCCTGCCAATAATAGGTTGTGTGGCTCTAGAGCAGGGAATTCGACGGGAAGCAGAGCATCAATGTCTTCCTCTTCCTCATCGCTGATATCGCCTTCACCCTCAACCTTTGACCGTGCGTCGACATCTGATTTTGGTTCGGCTTCGTCAACTTGCAGATGGCTTTCCTCTTGGAGAAGAGCATGCTCGACCTCTTTGTCTCCCTCGGCGCCTTCTTTGGACTTTGCCTCCTCAAGCTTTAGGCCGCGACTGAACCCCGGCGGGATGGTCAACAGACCACCCTCCGACCCAAAATCAATGATTCGGTCAAGACCAGACTGTTTCCCACCACTTCGCGATTGCTCTGTCGTTTGCGCATCGGCTTCCATGGCCGCAAGAGCCTCGACACCGTCCAGCCCACCCGGTGCAAAGGGAAAAAACCCGCCGCTCCTCTAACAAAATCGGCACGGCCAGCAGGTCGGCGAAGGAGGGACGTAGAGTTCTTTGCATTTGTGCTTGTAGCAGGAACAGTAACTTCGTGGTATCCAGTCACCCGTCCTTCCAATCCTTCCCGTGTGAATCGAGTAACGGTGCGCGTCTGGGTGGGAGCAATTTCGAAGAGGTCGGTGTAGTCGGTCGAGGCATCCCATCGCCTGCATGAGGTGCGTTAGCCATAGACAGAAGTAGAGAGTCTCAACAACGCACTTTTGCAGATGGTTCAACCACTTGATACTAAACCGCGGTGACGGGGTCAAGAAATCATTCTCCAACTCTGCCAAAAGGTCCTCGGCATTTTGGTGGATTCGCTTGCGAGGCTTCAAGTCCTCATGTGTGCCATTCTCTTCTTCTGCAAGCCGCGCATCGAAGGCCGATGGGGCGAGATCATTGGAATTCAACCCCAATTGACCCATCGCTGAGGCCAGCAAGTCCGCCATAGCACGCTGTGAGCTGCACACCGGGTCAAAAGTTGTATGTCGAGCGGTCCGATGCTTTCGATTCAGCCCACCCCCACCCGAGATGGGTGCAAGACAATGCAGTGAGCACGGGTGTTTCCAGCAGCAATTGTGCTAAGCCACGCGGGGGCCAACGAGCATCAAGCAGCTGCTACTGCTGTTTCGATTCAAAGGAATGTGGGGGAGTGAGCTCGCAATCAGTTGAGGACTTGGTTGTGTCTCGCGCAGGGCAAGTCGGGCGGCATTGGGCGGCAGTATTAATCACCGAGTAAATGCGAGGTACGATATCAATATCCGTGGTTTACTATGGATTGTTCGATAAAAGGCTAATAACAGAAGGGCAGGCATGCTGGAGCATAATTTCAACTATGCAATAAGTTGATTTTGTTGCTGGCAAGTTGAAGATATAATATGGTTGAGCGACAACTATATATATTTCCATATTGACCAAGGACCCCAGTGGATTCGACTGCTTTCAGGTCTGCGACTCCCTGTACAGTATGCAATCCTGTCAAGCTCGCAAACCCCTCTATTTTCATCCGCGATGCCGCTTTACTGGACTGACTTTCGCACATAACGCCGAAAATGTGCCGGGCAATGGCCCCACGGATGTCGCGTTCGATCTTTATCCTCCGAGGCTGAAGAAAAGATGACGCCAGCTTTGCAATGTCGCGGCAGATATCTAATGCGGTAGACATCACCAATGCACTGCGATTGATCTCATATATTTTCGCGTCGCAGGTGGAAAGGGTTCAGATTAATCAACGCCGTTGTCAAAGAGCATCTACCATACGTTTGCAACCGGGTCCTGCGCTCACTACCACCATGGTGGGCTCCGTATATCTAGTATTTTATTGACCAAAGGCCGATCTAACTCTGCCATACCGACAGCCATCCGGGACCCAACATGAAATCGCCCGGGGCGAGTGACGCGGCCCTGCCGAGTAAGCCTCTGCAGATCCCGCAGCCAAGCCGGTCGATGATTTACCCGATTCGCGTCCTTTGCACCCAATACCTTATTACTTTTGGAGAGAACACTGGCGCAACAGTGCTAGAGGCGTCGTACACCCTTCACTCCATCCTGATTTTCAAGTGGTGGTCCAATTCGTGTTCTATCTCAAACACATTGTCTACAATCCGAGCCGTGTCGACTTGAGATGACGCAGGTGAGGGCCCAGAAGTTCGTAAGGGCTACGAGGACTGGTATTGATCTTAGTTTCACGGTTAGGGTCGCTCTGCCCGGGAGCTCAATGACGCCCCTAGCCAATGCCCTTCCCAAATTGGAAATATGGCCGTTTCCGCGCTTTCTTGTTATGCGACGGGGTTGATAGACAAGGGCCCGTAGTCCACGCAAGCCCTTATAAGAAGGGAGTCATCCGTCCATTGTTACTCATACTATTCTCAGTTCACTCTTTTGTTTTATTCTTTCTCTTCTTCCGCCTGATTCGACATGCGTCTCCAGGAGAGTGTTTTTGCAGCTTTCGCCGCGGCGGCCAGTGCCACCTCTCTCGCCGATGTGTGCACCGTGTCCAATGTCAAGTCTGCATTGCCTTCCAATGGCACCATTTTGGGCATCAATGTGCTGCCTTCGCTCTCTACTGCTAAGACGGTCTACAATTATAGCAGCGGCGGTGGCATGATGGGTGCCACCGCCACCGCCAGCAGCCAGACTTACAATTTCTGCAATGTGACAATCACATATACTCACCCTGGCAAGGGCGATACTGTAGTTGTCGAGTATGCCTTCCCCGAACCTTCCGACTACAAGAAACGTTTTTATGTTGCTGGCGGTGGGGGCTACTCTCTGTCTACCGATGCTACCAGTGGTCTTGAGTATGGCGCCGCCGGGGGTGCCACCTCGGCCGGCTACGGCGCCCTAGATGGCGTCAGCTACGACGAGGTGGTCCTTTACGGCAATGGTTCCATTAATTGGGATGCCACCTACATGTTCGGCTACCAGGCTCTTGGTGAAATGACCAAGCTCGGCAAGTACGTCACCAAGGGTTTCTACGGCCAGTCGTCGAGCTCCAAGCTGTACACCTACTTCGAGGGATGCTCCGACGGTGGTCGCGAGGGTATGAGCCAGATCCAGCGCTACGGTGACGAGTACGACGGAGCGATCATCGGTGCCCCGGCTTTCCGATACGGCCAGCAGCAGGTCAACCACGTCTTTTCGTCTGCTGTCGAGAAGACCCTAGACTACTACCCGCCTCCTTGCGCCCTAGACAAAATTATCAACACGACTATTGCTGCTTGTGACCCTCTTGACGGCCGTACCGACGGTGTCATCTCCCGCAGTGACCTTTGCATGCTCCACTTTAACCTGTCCTCGATTATTGGCGAGAAGTACCACTGCGCTGCTGTGACCAGCACCTCCCTTGGGTTTGGCTTTAGCAAGCGTGCTGGCGAGGGTAGCAGCACTAGCTACCAGCCCGCCCAAAGCGGCGCCGTCTCTGCGCAGGATGTCGCCGTCGCCCAGGCCATCTACGACGGCCTACACAACAGCAAGGGCGAGCGTGCCTACCTATCGTGGCAGATCGGTGCTGAGTTATCCGACGCCGAGACCGAGTGGAACAACAACACCAAGAAGTGGGAGCTAGACATCCCCTCCACCGGCGGCGAGTTCGTCACCAAGTTCGTCGAGCTGGTCAACCTCGACAACCTCTCTAACCTGAATGGCGTCACCTACGACACCATCGTCGAATGGATGAACACTGCCATGGTCCGCTACCTGGACTCCTTGCAGACCACCCTCCCGGACCTGACCCCCTTTCAACAGTCTGGCGGCAAGCTCCTGCACTATCACGGCGAATCCGACCCCAGCGTGCCCACCGCCTCATCAGTTCACTACTGGCAGTCAGTCCGCTCCATCATGTACCCCAGTCTCTCTGATAAGCAGAGCCTCGACAAACTCCAGGGCTGGTACCAGCTCTACCTGATCCCCGGTGCTGCCCACTGTGGAACAAACACCCTGCAGCCGGGCCCTTATCCTGAGGACAACATGCAGATCATGATCAACTGGGTTGAGAACGGTGTCAAGCCCTCTCGTCTGAATTCCACTGTCGCTGCTGGCAAATATGAGGGCGAGACCCAGATGCTGTGCCAGTGGCCTTCGCGCCCTCTGTGGAAGAGCAACTCCACCTTCGACTGTGTATATGACAAGGCCTCATACGAGAGCTGGACCTATGAGTTCCCGGCTTTCAAGCTTCCTGTGTACTAAACATGCACATCAGCGGTGACTGTAGAGGAGAACCCTCTTGAAGCAGTATGGCCTGCTTTGTGTCTGTCCGGGTCGAATGCCTCGTTATTTCGGACTCCGCAGCCTCCATCTTCATCTTATATGACGAAGTCCATGCTACTCTTGAATAACTCTGGCAGGCTAAAATGCTTCTTATTTTTATTCGCCCCCGCTCCTGCTCTTTAGACCTACTTCCCTTTGTTACTGGCGTCCTTAGCTGGCAAACGCCGACCAGGCTGACACGGACCTCTCGGCTTCGGTTATGCGTAGAGATGAGCGATAGAGTGTACACAATTAAATCGACTGCGTGGATGCAGAGCATTGTGCGAGAACGAACCTGCGCGGACTTCATCATATGACTTCGCCGTTAGTCGCTGCGTATTTAGCTGCCCCTTTTCTGTTCGTTCGTTTTCTTTCTCTCTTCCTTCCCTAGCTTTGAGATTCTCGTAAAATGACACACTCTTTTGATTATTGAGAATTGGTCTCTCTCAAATTGTTAACAGCTGTATAGCTAAGGCGTCTATCGTATGTACTCACTGGCTACAGAATGATTGTGCTACCTCAACTTGAAGCATTTATTGTGGAGTACACTTGTAACACATGAAAAAGTCTTCTCCAACAAAGACCTATCTGGACAATGAACAGAAGAGTACGTCTGATATCGCATCACAACTCCAATACTCTAGGTAAAAACTATATGACGAAAATTTTCTGAGACTATACAGGATCCGTGAATATTGCTAGCGTACAATCCGAGCAGCTAGTGAATCCAGTGCAGTAAGAGGGAACGAAAATGCATTGGAAGGAGAAACAATGGCGCATGAATTTGTGATCGTCGGAAAGTCGAAGGCACAGAGTGGCACATGTACTTATAGACCTCTTAAATTTCGAGACATTGTACGATAGTAAGGGTCCATATTCGTCAAATCCTCTAATCGAGGCTCATCACCTGGGTCCAGCGGCGCATGAAGTTTGTAAAGCTGCGCATAGCATTTTTCCCATTTGGCAAAGAAAGGTTCCCATTGTGAAAATCGTTGCAAAGACTCCCCTGTCTTCAAACTCAATGTTCTTAGTTTCGACTGTCCCCGCCACTGAAAGAAGGCCTGGCCAAGCTCTTTTGCAGAGGTCTCCTTAGGCACTGGCTCAATGGGTTCGTATGTAGGTTGTTGTTGTCCGGGGAACGGTGAACGTGATTCATAGTGATCTCGAATTCCGACTTGCAAATGCAGAGTCAAGTGCCGGAGGTTCTCAAACCCATTCGCTATAATTCCGAGAATATCTTCAGGCTGAAGTGACGATGTTATTAGTGGGAAATTCGTTATATGGGTAATTAATACTAACCCATTCACCGTCCCGGTCAACGTCAAGCTCTAAGCTCTCAAGTTGAGGGCAATTTATATCAAGGTCGTATAGTCCGGTTCCTCCAAGAGTCTTCCGTGATACACCAGGACGAGGGGACTCGATTGTGTGCAAACAGAAGTGTTTCAGGTTAGGGTGGTGGCTAAATGCGCCACTCGTCAAGAAATGTCCCTTGACCGTGAGACTGACCAAAGTGTTGAACGACCTCAAAAATTCTTCCAACAGCGAGCACTCGTCTTCTCCTTCATCAGAAAACGCTTGAACTGTCAGACTCCGTAACGGAGGTGACGTGACCCTTGATAAGCCCCAAAAATTCCACATTCCTCTGAGGCCCCAAACTGAGCGATTTCAGACTAGACCAACGAAGCTTGTCTCTCCAATGGGTCCACTCATTGATGCTGTGGTAATATCCGTTAAGTGATAATTCTTCCAGGGGCGGGAAAATCTCGCTACCAGTCATCTGGAAGCAATGAATTTGCGGAAACCGTGGCATTTGAATGACACATCTACCATAATTCCCATACAAAGAGACGGAAAAGGACCGCAAGTTGGGACACGCGAAGAAAAGTTGCTGAAGTCCCAGCATCTCCTGATTCGGACCGCCATCTTCCCAGAAGGGATCCACCTGGGCTTGGAGAGTGGTGACACATGGCATAGGAGCCTTCACTACCCTCGAGCCATCTTCTCCCCGAAGATGCAGCTCAGGTTGTTTCTCGTGGTGGGAGAGATTGTTGACAAACTCTTCTGTGATTGGTATAGGACAGTTTATTCTGCACGGTTTTCAATCAGCACCAAACGCAGTTCCATATGAACGAGAGACATCTCATACTTAAAGTGCTTTAAATTTGGCAGAGCAATCACCAAACTAGGAAGAAAATTGGACTCGGTGAGACCTGCGATGGAACCGATGTAGCGGGGTTTCAAACGTTCGCCCACCTCCACCTCACGGACGGCGTTTCTTAAACTCTCGTTGGTTGGATCTAGAAGCCTGCACAGCAAGAATTGAATGCTTGTCCAGGGATGTTTCCGCTTGCTCGGGTCAGGATCTAGCCGCGCAAAATCCGCCAAGATGACTGATCTATGTAGTCGGAGTGTGGCCAGGGAGTAGACGGCCTTCGATACCAGGCATAGATTGTAGAGGTCTTCGCGGGTGTCCAGCTGCAACTACTTCGTCAATCAACCAAAGCATGAGAAAATCGATAGATTCCCCAATCACGAACCTTGTCCGCAATGAGGTGCCATATATCGGGGCCTAAAGACAGCACATTTATCGAGCTTTTTCCATCGGGGTTGGCTATTCTTGCGCCTTGGGCCATCGTTGAACAACAATCAGGGATGAATGCCAGAACAAAAGTCAGCTAATGAAGAGCATAGTGTCTACTGTCAGGATAATGGCCCCCAGTTAATTTTATCCAACTGCCGCATCCGACGCTGACTCACCTGGCAATTCCCCAATCAGTCAACTGTGCCCCAATGTGGCCAGATTTCACCTGTATGGAGAGTTTTTCCGCTTCTCTACTATAAAATATGGACATGATAGCTAGACTTGAATACCAGCGTTTTCAATCATCGTCTCATGACATTATCTAGTAAATTCACTAGTGGATACGCAAATTCCAAACTCCGACATATACAAACGTATAGTGATCTCTCTTTAGATACAGTATTAATGTCACATGCTCGTTCCAGAAACAAAAAAGGACTATTCTTAGAAAAGTACGAATTACAACTGAGCCAGATATAGATTAGGGTGGTCTAAATACGGACCGAAAAACAATGCGTGTATGTTCGTAGGGGATACCTGATTTTGACTCTCAATGTATGTAGTTGGCGGCCTGGGGTTTTCCCGGGGCTCGAGAATCGCGTCAATCCACCCCGCTAGGCATGCTGCCAAATGCGGCGCAGACCTGGATGTGGCATTAGAATAACTGGGTTGGTGACACTAAATTGCCTTAGCGCAGCCACACCAATGGGGCCTTGATTTTCACCTTCTTAATGAATTTTAAGGAAGACTGGACAGAAAGATGTATGACATTACTGCAGCTAAACCGTAGGAATGGACAATGGGGAGAATTGACGAACTTAGAACAGAAAATTTCTATTCTAAGAGGTGCTCACTCGTTATATGCTGTCGAAACTCGAGGGCTATCTCAGGCCAGTTACTATTCCGTGGGCTTACATAAGGCCCGTAGCCCTCCCGTATGTTAATTAAGCATCCCAGCCCTTACCGGCACTGGAGACCCCACGAGGAACCATCATTAATTGACCATGGAGGAATATGTGGGATAGGAGGTAACAGCAAGGCGCGGCATTAATTTGAAAGATGGTCTGTTGGCCGCAGGATGTGATGGGGGGCTTCGTCACATATTGATGACGTTATAGTTCATGTACTCCTAACCGACTTACCACACTGTGACGCCATGGCTTATTGCAATACCATAAAAGCCAATGACTAGGCTATAACAGGTTTCCTTTAACGTTCTTTACTCAGTCAGTTGCAGGTAGTCAACGATGGCAGCGATGAGTCCGAACAACGATGGAAGGCTTTTCATTGTCGCTAACAGGCTCCCGGTGAGCATCACGCAGACGGAAGATGGCGAATTCAAATACACTATGGCCTCTGGAGGCCTGGTATCTGCTCTTCAAGGCCTGTCGAAATCGATGGAATTTCAATGGTTCGGCTGGCCTGGCACGGAGATTCACAGAAACGATAGGGAAATGGTCAGACAAGAACTGGCCACCCGGTTCCACGCAGTGCCAGTTTTTCTGCCCAAAGAAACTGCGGAAAGGCATTACAATGGGTTCTCGAGTAACTCTCTTCCATCTACTTTGGTAGTCCCTTGTAGATTGACAGTTAAGCTTAGATTCTGTCCTTTGGCCACTTCTGCACGGCCTACCATCCAGAGCCGAGTTCAACGAGAGTTGGGCCAACGCTTATCGAGAAGTCAACGAGGTGTTTGCAGACAATATCGTGCCGTTTGTTGAAGATGGAGATATAATATGGATCCACGACTATCACTTGTTGCTGCTGCCGGCCGTGCTTCGAAAACGATTGGAGAAACGGAGAAGAGTTCGTATTGGATTTTTCTTACATACTCCGTTTCCCAGCGATGACTCTTTCGCCGTCCTACCTTTACGCGAAGAAATTTGCGACGGTCTACTTAGCTGTAATCTGGTTGGTCTGCACGTGAGAGAATATGTCGAGAAACTTCTCGATTCCGCGGCAAAAGTCCTTCCGTAAGTCTTTTGGTCCAGACTTCATCCTAAAGACTCTAACAACAAGCACAGGGGTGTTCGACGATCACCGAGCGACCTGCATTATAACGGCCGCAAATTAATCGTGCAAGAATTTCCCATTGGAATTGCACCCGATGACTTTCGAGATTCACTTGCATCTGAAGCTACTCAGAGCCAGATGAGGCTCCTGTCTCGAGAGTTTCGCGGCAAGGAGATCATTTTAGGCATAGATCGGTTGGACTACATCAAGGGAATTCCGCAAAAGTTGCGCGCTTTCGAAAAGTTGTTGGCTGATCACCCGGAGGTGAAGGAGAAGGTTACTTTGATTCAAGTTGCAATCCCGACCAGGGGGGACGTCGAAGAATATAAAACACTTCGCAGACAGGTGGAAGAAATGATAGGGATGATAAACGGCAAGCACGGTGAGTCTTCCCATACAACCTACTGAGATGCTGTATCTTCTGTCAAGTTTACTAACGAGCTGCAGGGACCTTAACTTACACCCCAATCCGGTATCTCTATCGCTCGCTAAATTTAGAACAACTTCACGCATTGTACGCCATATCTGACCTGTGCGTGGTATCTTCAATTCAGGATGGTCTGAACTTGGTCTGCTATGAGTACATTGCTAGCCAGCAGCTCAACCCTAAAGGCGTGCTAGTTCTGTCGCAGTATACGGGTGCGGCAAAGATGCTACCGTCGGCTGTTCTCTTCAACCCCTGGGATATTCCTCGCTTCACGGAGGCGATCTTTACCGCATTAAAAATGCCATTACAAGATCGCCAGAGCAGACTCGAGGACGCGGCTAAAACAGTGAATACATTGACGAGGCAAGTATTCTCTTTTATTTCACAAGATTGACTCATGAAAACAGTGACTAGTTGTCTTAAACTAGTAATAGCGGTTGCCTGCTAACACACGTTACTCTAGTTTACGTTGGGGCGAGTCTTTCTTAGACGTCCTAAAGTCGAGTCCGCTTTGAATCAAGAGTCCGTCAAAGCAGCTGGCCACTGTGCTTGTTACAGTTTCATGCCGTATCTTTCATCTTATATCTTATGGGGTCTTAATGTTCTGACAAATGTACTTAGTACACTGTTTTCAAGTCCCAAATAACCCAGAATGACTAGCGAATGTCCCATCAACTGCGGGTCCTGAGTCGGCTGCGCCTTGTTGCGTCTACTGTCTCTGTTCTGGCAGTCTCGAAAAATACAATTCTCGCATGTCTTTGTGGCAGAGTACGGCTCTATCAGCAGCAGAGAAATTTAATGCCTGACTTTTTGTTAATATAAGGTTACAATATACGATAATTATCTACCTAGTCTATCTTGTCTTAATGTAGCCGATGTTGCTTTCAGTCGATTTAGCACAACTTTTTCTGAATATTGCCTTTCCCTAATCGCCAATGACACCGGTAATGATATCGTAGGTTAGGCGCCTACTTTTGCTTCTTCTTATTTGTAGAAGTGTAATGATATAAGATAGTCGTAGCCTTAAGAAGTATTTGAGTGCAGAAAATCAAGATAAAAAGGAGGACGGATCAAGTAAACGAAATTAGATAGGATAGACCAGTAATGATTGCCATTAAGAAAAATCTAGAGAAGTAATTTAGTAATAGCGGACGTAAGCAAGATATTCTGCGCACAGCCTGTAGCTGACGAGTGTGAGAGACCCTTGGGTACTTAAGAAAAGGACTGTGGAAGGACTCACACTCAAAACTAAAGACAGCCAGCCATTTTTGGCGCCCGATTTACCATCTCTTAGTGTTGTGGTGTAGTTTATTTAGTTAATCGACCCTGATTATAAAGCAAGGTGCTTTAAGAACCCCGAGGTCATTTCGGGTATGGGTGGGTTAGTGAGTCATGGTAATAGAAAATCCATATAGGGCTCCCACAATGAATTCTACAACATCACAGTAACAATTTATTAATTTACCTTCAAAATGGCATCATCCGACCCCCTTGCTCAAGCGGCCGCCCTCTCTGGCCTTCATGCCTTTGTCCGCCCTCTCTCAGTCGCGGACGTCAAGTCCTGCGTCGAAGTTGAAAACGCATTTGTGGAACATGAACGATGCTCTGAGGAGAAGGTGAGCCACAATTAAATGATATCAGCAGTGCTAATCCTACTCAGTTTGTATATCGCCTCACCAGGACCCCAGAGCTGGCACTTGGTCTCTTTATCCAGACCAGTAATGGCTCGCCCCGACTCATCGGGCATGTCATCGCCAACCGATCTTCCGCCTCTGCAATCCAGGATACATCCATGGAAGCACCGAAGAACTGGCAGTCTCTCTCACCCGACCGACCGGTCGTTGTTGATGGCCACGTGATCGGCAATGACCCTAGAGGAAAGAATATTGCCATTCACTCTGTAGCTGTCATTCCCGAGTTCCAGGGAAAGGGGACTGGCAAGGCGCTGGTCCAAGCGTATGTGGAGTATATCCGAAATGCGGGCATACCAGCACAGCGGATTATGCTGATTGCACATGATTATCTGATCCGGTTTTATGAGAGTGCTGGGTTTGAAAACCGGGGAATAAGTCAGAGTCGCTATGCTGGGGAGACATGGTTTGATTTGGTGAGCCTTGGCCGCGATTTGTGTTGTGTGTTGAATATTACTGATGATTAGAAAAGGTGCATGATTTCTAAGGTCTAAGCGAGAATAACTAACTACAAGCCAAGATGCATCGTTCTGGATTTGTGTTTAAATTATTAATTTCGGTCTATCACTATGCGACAACCCATCTCACTCGCCTAGTCAGACATACCTCTTGTAGAAAGTAGGGGATGTGGATATAGTTGATTTACTTTGCAATGTAAATTTCTTTCTTTTTGTTACATGGTATTGCCATCTTTGGAATCCCTCCAAGCCCTGTCAAACTCTTTCCAACCCTCAGGCGGCGCGTCCCACATGGCTAACTCACGAACCACTGTCTCGTAGCATCCATCGCTGGGCATATTTCCCTGACAGACATTTCCACCAACAGCGATATTGATGAGGATTCTGAAATCACGCATCTTCCTCGTGCCAGGCGGCTTCTCGGCCCTCATGATGGGCATGCCATCAATCAACCAGACCAAGCGCCCCCTGCCCGTTGTTTCGTCCTCGTCCCAGACAAAATCGTACTTCACCCCCGCCGGCGAGCTAATGTTGGGAATGGGGGTTTCGAGAACGCGATGCTTGTTCCAATCCTGGCCATTGAAGTGGCCCCAATGTAGACAAGTGTGGTTGACAGCATCGCCGTTCCACGCTTCCATTATGTCGACTTCGCCATCCTCTGGCCACTTGAAGGGGTCTTTAGGCAGCAGCCAAAAGGCAGGCCAGATACCGCGGGCCACCGGCGCCGTAATTCTGGCCGACAGACAGCCCCGTGGTCGGCTGAGGGTCTGGAGACTCGACAATCTGGCGCTGGTAAACTTCTGGGCAGGGTCGGGATGCCCATGGTTGATCAGAGCGCGCACGATAACCGCATCGCCCTGGGTTGAATGGAATGAGTTTTGCGGGCTGTCGATATAATTCTGCGACTCATTGTTGCCCCATCCATGTTGACCCTGTTCGTGGTTAAAGTTGGAAGACACCGGTACTTGAGGATGTAGATTGGGCCGCCAGTAGATCTGGGGTTGCGAGTGATGTTCCTGAGAAGCCAGTGGTGGTTTGCTAGAGGTTGGAATAGGCGGTGGGTGAGGCGAGTTGTTCGACGGTCCCGGCTGAGGGTCGTGATGACTTATTTCCCCCCAAGCCTTATCTGCCTTATTGATAATGCCCTGAAGCGCCTGTCTGAACGGCATGTTGAGTACGGAATGGATGTTAGGGTTGCACAAGTAGCGAAGACGTGGAAAAAAACAGTAAGCAAAGCTGACGTCATATTGATCGAGTTCTTAAAACTCCTTAAAATTCCCTTTCACACGCTTTCGCCATCGTACTTCGGGGAATATTGCTCCTTTCCTGAGACTGGGCAGATCTAATCAGTGGACACATTATGCTTCCATGGGCTGGACCAAGATTCAGTTCATATAAATTATAGGCCCCCTTATATCTACCACATGATCAATGGGGTAGAACAATGAGATTCTGTAGGCCTTTATATAAAACCCTTCTTCTATATGATCACTAAGCCCCGGTAGTAGTGTAGTGATAATCTAGCAGCCGGCTACAGGCTAGGCCAGCTAAATAGTTAGTGCCTCAGGCACCAAGAGCATGCAAACCCTACAAACCTCTCGGGAGCGCAACAAAACTTTGGCATTGATCATAAAATTTCAAGACCTTTAACTCCTAATATATGGCCTATCTAGTGTGCTAAACTTAAAGTTAGTCACATCATTACACGTTTTTCTTTCGACATAATCAATATTATTAGCAACACGTGCCTCTCTGCTCGTACTATCTCCAAGTATGGCAGAAGCATGCTATCACCATCCCCCACCGGCAACAGAACTCTCCAAAGCAGAGCGCTTCAAAGCTACGCACCTCGCCGCGCGCCATGGCAACTACCACCAATATTACGCTAAGTTTCGGGCGCCCACTGTCCCGGACGAGCGCCTTTCCATTCTCCCATCAGAGATCCTCCGCAACGCGCGAGTCATAGACCTAGGCTGCAACGCGGGCAAACTGACCCATGAGGCGATAGCGCACTGCGGCGCGGCCGCCTCAGTCGGCGTCGATATTGACCCGTGGCTGGTTGAGCAGGCGAAGGCGGCTTACCCGGACGGGCCGTGCACATTTGAACACTTTGACTTCATGGATGCGTCCGCGTATACGGGTACCGCGGTGGGCAAGTTCGACGTTGTCCTATTGCTCTCTGTGACCAAATGGATACATCTCAACAACGGGGACTTCGGGATGCTGACGCTATTTGCGCACATACAAAGCATACTGAATGAGGGGGGTTACCTCGTCGTGGAGCCGCAGCCTATGAGCAATTATGCGAGAGCTTCAAAGAGGAATAAAGAATTAAGAGAGACATATAAGACTATCCAGATCAGACCACCATTTGAGGATGAGTTGAAAGCGCAGGGATTTGAGAGGATACTGAAAGTTGAGAGGGACGAGGAGGGGTTTGCTAGGCCCGTACATGTTTGGAAAAAAAAAAGTACCATAATATGATCAATGGAGATGACTAAATGAGTCGGGCGAATTGACTTGCATCAGGAAGACGTAGACTTTTGGCTGGTTGATTAGCAGGTAAAATGGTAATAGACGATGCATATTTAACGCAGTATCTACTGCTGACTGGGATGGACGTGGATAGTCGGTAAGTAACGACCCTTGGCTGAAGAGTGATGACATTGAGCACACAGGGCTTACTCCAAGAGGAATATAGTGAGGCAGTCGTTGGAAACTCCAACAAAGGTGTACTCCCTTCAAATGCCTCGCTTCAGTAGGTATTGAGCAGGACCTCATAATCGATCTCTAATTTAATAAGGATTCCGTCTAGTGCGAACTCTACTTTCGTCTTTTATTTCTGCTTTGGTAAAGGTTTTCCCTGATCTAGGTTCTCCTGTACTGTTCTGCGAATGCAAAGGCTTTATTTCATATCTCTTCAACTGCATTTCCCTCAGTTGTGTAATCATGGATGTTTGGAGAAACAGTAAATTAACATTCGTATCAAACCACCATATATATTACATAGGAAGCAAATCATTGCACCGCTTCAACTCCAAGCCAAATAAGCCTCGCAGAAAAGCCTGTCACATTTATGCCACGGCGGCGATATTATTTTCGATGAAACGATCCGCCTCTCTCTTCAGCATCAAGATACAACTCGCCACAATGAAAGCCTCCACACCGTCAGCGTCAGTATGCTTCTCATCTCTCCACGTGCGCAGGTCCATCACCAACCGACCACCATTACCGCCGGAGTACCTAACCGAGCCGGGGGTGCGGAATTGGTCATTTCGAATAAGCTGAGCGACTCTAGCGCTGCTCTTAGTCTTTGTGCCGTCCGCTAATACGATGCGATCCATGCGTTCCAGAATAAGCAGCGAATCTGCGTTGCATGCTTTTCTTTCTTCGTGGCTAGCGTAGCGCCACTCGAATTTGCCAAGCGACGTGTCGAAAACCTGTGTACGGCTAACTATCGACCGGCTTTGGACGTCGACCAATTCTCCACGCAACTTATCGTCGTCTATGGCCTGCTTAACCGAAACACTGGCATCGCGGGGTAAAATGCGCATTCTGGGGTGTCTTCCCGGACCCCAACGATAAATGGTTGAAATGAGAGCATTCTGACATGGGTCGGATGAGCGCACCAACGCGCATGAGTTGGAACTGCTCTTTAGCCGGATAGAGGTGTACTTTTCCCGTATGGGTACTCCGGATTCCACGCTGTAGACCGGAATATTCTCTAGCGTTTTGCTGCCGCTGAGTGCCTGGTTGGTGTTGTATCCAATGGCTTCTACCTGAAGCTCGCTTGTGGCGAGAAAGCCGTCGGGGAGGGAGGATTGGCTAGTAGCGTAGTCGGATGCAACAACCTCCTCGTAGTCGGGGGGAGACTGGGACTTCCAGTTACCCATTGACTTAGAAGGGTTCGCCCTTGACATTCGTGAACATGTAAATATACCCATTGTGTTTGGTTCTTGAAGTTTGGGATTTAGTTGTTTGAATATCTCGGTGTCGCGGAATAAAAGCTTGGTAAAATAGCAAGTGTGACTTTTGATGAAGTGCCGATTTAATTTGCGTATTTCCCTGCACTGATATATAACTACAGATATATGCTTGCATGTGTGTATTTTGCGACGCTCAAGATGATGGCATGTTTGATCTGCTGCGCCACAGACCTGCTGCGCCCTGCGACGAGATCATTGATAGGGTCCACAGTGACGCCATAGGCGGAAGGGCGACCACTCACGTCTTGAATGCGTTACTTTAGTCAAGTTGGCTCAGGGTCTCTGGTGCTGCGGACTGCCAGGGCTTAGCTGTTTCTCTGGAAAGGCACCTCATCTCCTGCTGCAACTTTTCCTAAACGGGATACATCTGGCGCTCAATGGATCTGCGGCTGGGTCGCCGATCGAGGCAATGCTGTGCCAGCATACGGCCCACAGAAGATCAGCAGGAACATTGGTCTTCTGTCAGTCCGAGAAGTTTGGTAGATCGGCTCGTGCAATCAGGTTGTGGGATTGCAAAGTTTCTAGGATTGCGAGTTATTCGAGGGTCCGTAACAAATTGTAATTTATGAAAGGGGCCGGTTAGGCCGTGACACCGATTTCCGGAAATACTGTAACCCCCCGTCATTCTTGCCTTAACTCCTACTGTAAGCAGAACATCGACCTTGCACTTTCCTCGCCCAACAACAATAACCGCGAAATGGCAGCCACAGTGGCGAAATCTTTTCGAAGTTCATCACGTCGGAACGAGCGTTAATGTAGAGGCAAGCGACGAAAACGAAATCTATGTATCCGGCTCAACTGATTCTACAGGTATGTGAGAGTCACTTGTCTCCCTTCGCATTCTATTCTCTTCTTGTAGCATATGCCGGTAATTCAGCTTTCTCATACATAAACGGCTTATCTTGACCAACTGGTAATCCAACTGGTAATCCAACCGGCCGTTGATCGTAGATTTTATTCGCTTCTGGGTCTGATAGTGATCGTCTTGAACAGCAGCACCTGGTCGAAGTTTTTGTCGCATCAAATTCCTGCCTTCGCCCTACTGCTTAATCTGGTAGTTAAGTGCTCCGTTGTTTAGGCTGCTATTCCTATAGACTTATATAATGAGTGTGGCATGTGTTTTTAAGCATTCAGGGAGCACGCCGATACAGTCTTCTCTTCAGTTTCTACTAAGTTAATTACCACGGTTCATAGTAATGAGTCGTTCATAGTTATGAGTCCAGGGCACTTCATCATGATTATTGGATTAACGGATAGGGCTGGGGCACTACGGGAGGACGCGTAACCGTCATCGGTTAGTTATTTCCGCTGTGGAGCTCAGGAGTCGGCACTTCAAGTTGTGGCCGTTGCTGGCCGTGCTGTTCCCATCTAAACCCCTATTTTGTGCATACTCGGTAATTGTTACTCCTTTCCGCAAGGTTCTCGGTTACAACTACAAACTTCTGGAAACGGCTTTTTCCTTTCAACCCAAGTGAACACATACGTATTGTACTTCCTCTGGAATCTTGGAATCTTTTTTTCTCCAAGATCTGACATAATCTTTTTGAAATGTTCTATTCTATCAAGTACAGACTGTCAGATCGTCAATAACGTGTCACGGCGAAGTCGCTATAGCAGAATTGTGACGGATTAATTTAATTTGATCGAAGATTGCGACTGTGAATTGACCAGTTCTATAGTTCGATCTAGTAATCAAGTCTTAGTTATAGAATTTGCTATAGATTCTAAATCTTATCTGATAACTATGCAATGTCTTAGATTTTTTAATTGCCAAATTAATTCCTCGTACCTTCTGGATCATGTGTAGACTAGTAGAAAGTTATTTCTGTTGTATTCCAATGAGGATTTGAGGTTAGAAAAGGGGGAAATAAGGGAAATGAGTCTACTAAATATAATAGAGAGCAAGCGGACCCAACAGAGGGTCATGTCTCTTCTCGGCTAGAGCCTGGGTCCTCACAACCCCCAACAATTACGCCAGCATGTCTAAAATGGCCTAAGGCGCTCTGTTTTCGAGACCCAACAATTTCAATGCACCACTCGAGAAAAGTCTGAAATCCTTGTTCCGGGTCTTCTTCATATCGCACCCAATTCCGTCTGATGAATGCTTTCAACTCTGAGAAGAACTCCTCGATGGGATTCAAGTCAGGTGAGTAGGGTGGCAGATACACTAGCTTTACTCCTGCATCGGCGGTATTTGCTCTATACGCTCAGAACGATGAAAAGATGCGTTATCCATAACCAGGACGGACTTTGGCTCTGGCCACCTCCCACAATGCCTAAGAAGCTGATCAATGAAATCTTCGAATATTGCAGCATCCGTAGAGCCCTGGAATATCCGAGAGAGCACAGTTCCATCCTGACAATATGCGGGCAGTATCTGGTACCGCTGATCGCGATGGAAGTTGGCTACCTGCAATGGTGCCACGCCTAACGGAGACCAACCTGTCCGTCTGAACCTAATTCGTTTATCACATCCGGACTCATCCATATAGACCAAATGATACGACCGAAAGTTCGATAGGTTATGCATATAGAAGTCTCGTAAATCCGCGTTCTGTTCTTTTGCTCTCTGTCGAGCCACCTTCTTCGACCAACCTACCGAAGCGAGAGCCCGCTTGAGGCTCGAATTTGTGACCTGGACACGGAACTCGTCCCATAAGAAAATTCCCATCTCGTCTACATATAGCCCAGGCTTTTCGAGAAGGCGATCGCACAGTGCTTCTATCATCGGAGGTATTATGCTTCGTCGTCGGCCGACACGAGTTGGGGGGGTCTGACATTTCCGAACTAGCGAAGGTTGTTGCTGATGTTGATTATTGACCGCTTTCTACACTCAGCAGCTTTGACCATTTGCGAGGTAGTCAGTGATCTGCTCAATATCATATCCTGAATCATTTCGAGCTTTGAGAGAGGGAGTCTTGGCGCCATGTTGCGAAGAGAATTCCGGACGTTGATAGAGGAGAATGTTAGCAGGGAGCGGTGGGAAACCAAAAAGGGGAATTGGGAGCGAACTCACCTGCACACTCCTGTTTACCCCTCCGCTCAGTGAGCAGGTGAAATAATTTTGGGCGAAGGGTCTGGGGGATGCTAGGTATTAGGAATTGCACGTGACTTGACAGTCTCGAAGTTCCTAGGAATCTGGTGGCCCATCTCAAATGTGCGGACCTCAAAAATTGGCGGCTGTAAGTACTGAAACATCTTGTGCTAGCTTGACATGAGCAAACACCAAGAAGCGACGCTGAACCGCTGATATTGTACATCTAAAACTTCTAGTCGCAGAGTGAGCGGGTGGGACCTGGCTGGTTATCGCGTGCTGCGCTTGATCTGGGTTTTCTGGCTCGGGCCGATCCGATTCCTTGTTAATACCACCTAGCATTGTCAACAGAAAGCTCATTTCGGGTTGCCCGCTACTTGGGTCACCTGTCTTAGCGCTGTGCAGTCACCTGATGGCGAAGCCAAGGACGTGCCCCTCCTTCCGCCGAGAGTCAGACAACCTTCGTATAAAATACAAAGCGATTCTTCGATCATGACGTCGATATCATTCGGCGGCAACAATCAGGGGCTCCAGATCGGAGATAACCGTGGCTCGATCAATGCAGAATTCCACCTGCCTCAGGGTAAGTCAGAGCAACCAGACAAGCAAGTCCGACTGACTAATAGACGCTTTCCACTCTAGAGCGACCGGAAACTCCTCCTAGCCCTTTATCGACTGTCCCGTTCACGCGCGATCCAGACTTTGTCTGCCGTACTAGACTACTTGATCAAATTCACGAGAAAAGCGCAGTACCAGGGTCGAGAATAGCGCTAGTCGGCCTCGGCGGTGTCGGGTGAGTGTAGAGCGGCCATTGCGTGATTTGTTACTCACAACCCGAAGGAAATCGCAACTTGCCATCGAATATTCCTATCAGGTCCGATCCGAATCGCCGGCAACATGGGTTTTCTGGGTTCATGCTAGTAACGAAGCCCGATTCGAGCAAAGTTTCCGGGATATTGCAGACCTGGTGAAAATCCTGGGTCGTTAGGACCCTCAAGTAAACATATTCAAACTGGTTGAGAACCGGCTCCGGGATGAGAAGATAGGGAAATGGGTTTGCATCCTTGATAATATCGATGACGATAAGCTCCTTTGCTCGCTTCCGACGGCAGGTCGAGGAGATCTAACGAAAGGCCCGACGAACGCCTCTACAAAGCCTCTAATAGAATACGTCCCTAGAAGCCGCAATGGATCTATCATTATCACGAGTCGGACCAGAGAGGTTGCGTTGAAACTGGTCGATCACAAGGGCCTTATTGAAGTTAAGCCGATGGAACAGTTTGAGGTGCTAGGAGGCGCTAGCACTCCTTCAAAAAAACTTGAACAACCAGGGGAAGGCCAAGAGAGGCGACAGTTAGTGAACACATTAGAGTTTATGCCGCTTGCGATTGTCTAGGCCGCTAGCTATATCCGAAATCGGGCACCTCGCTATTCGGTATCACAATATCTAGGGGACTTTCAAAGGAACGACCATGAAGCGATAAGGCTTCTGAAACAGGAGGCTAGCCATCTCTATCGGGATTGGGAGGCAAAAAATTCGATTCTTGTGACGTGGCAAATATCATTCGATTATATACGCCATACAAAGCCGTCTGCTGCTGAGTTACTTTCTCTTATGAGTTTTCTCGATCGGCAAGGAATACCAGACAGCCTTATACGGCGCCAACCGAAGGCTAATTACACATCAAGTTCAGAGCGTTTAAATAATTCTAGTGACGGGGAGACATCGGAATCCGATGCAGGCCCTGATTTTGAAGATGATATTATGACACTAAGGAATTATTCGTTTATATCTATCAGTGAGACTAGCACTTTCTTTACGATGCACCGGCTAGTGCAACCGACTACGCATGCGTGGTTAAAATCTCATAGACAAATCGTCTAATGGCGGGAGAAATTCATTAGTAACCTATGTGAAGAGTTTCCTACCAGTGAATACGAAAACTGGGACAGATGTAGGCTACTCTTTCCTCATGTTAAATCTGCAATTTCACAACGGCCGGCATGACGTGAGTGTCTACAACGATGGGCTACGTTGCTTTATAGAGGTGCATGGTATGCCTCCGAATGCGGTAACATCGCAGACGTGAGAAAAATGGCATCAAAATCAAGAGAGCAGAGGATGAAAATATTTGGCGAAGAACATCAAAAAACTCTTGCTAGCTCTGCGATGTTAGCGAAAGGATATTGGCTCGAAGGCCGGTGGGATGAAGCTGAGCAGCTCGACGTGGAAGTGATGGAGACGAGCAAGACGAAGCTCGGAGAGGACCATCTCGACACGCTGAGGAGTATGGCCAACCTGGCATCCACGTACTGGAACCAGGGCCGGTGGAAAGAGGCTGAGCAGCTCGAGGTGCAGGTGATGGAGACGAGCAAGACGAAGCTCGGCGAGGACCATCCTGACACGCTGAGGAGTATGGCCAACCTGGCATCCACGTACCGGAACCAGGGCCGGTGGGAAGAGGCCGAGCAGCTCGAGGTGCAGGTGATGGGGAATCGCAAGACGAAGCTCGGCGAGGACCATCCTGACACGCTAGCGAGTATGGCCAACCTGGCATCCACGTACTGGAACCAGGGCTGGTGGGAAGAGGCCGAGCAGCTCGAGGTGAAAGTGTTGGAGACGAGCAAGATGAAGCTCGGCGAGGACCATCCCTCGACGCTGACGAGTATGGCCAACCTGGCTTCAACGTACCGGAACCAGGGTCGGTGGGAAAAGGCCGAGCAGCTCGAGGTGAAAGTGTTGGAGACGAGCAAGATGAAGCTCGGCGAGGACCATCCCTCGACGCTGACGAGTATGGCCAACCTGGCTTCAACGTACCGGAACCAGGGTCGGTGGGAAAAGGCCGAGCAGCTCGAGGTGAAAGTGTTGGAGACGAGCAAGATGAAGCTCGGCGAGGACCATCCCTCGACGCTGACGAGTATGGCCAACCTGGCTTCAACGTACCGGAACCAGGGTCGGTGGGAAGAGGCCGAGCAGCTCGACGTGAAAGTGTTGGAGACGAGCAAGATGAAGCTCGGCGAGGACCATCCCTCGACGCTGACGAGTATGGCCAACCTGGCTTCAACGTACCGGAACCAGGGTCGGTGGGAAAAGGCCGAGCAGCTCGAGGTGAAAGTGTTGGAGACGAGCAAGATGAAGCTCGGCGAGGACCATCCCTCGACGCTGACGAGTATGGCCAACCTGGCTTCAACGTACCGGAACCAGGGTCGGTGGGAAGAGGCCGAGCAGCTCGACGTGAAAGTGTTGGAGACGAGCAAGACGAAACTTGGCGAGGACCATCCCTCGACGCTGAGGAGTATGGCCAACCTGGCTTCAACGTACCGGAACCAGGGCCGGTGGGAAGAGGCCGAGCAGCTAGAGGTGCTGGTCATGGAGACCTGCAAGACGAAGCTCGACGTTGGACCATCTCGATACGCTGACGAGCATGGCTAATCTCGCTTTCACCTGGAAGTCTTTAGGGCGCCATGCCGAAGCCATTAGTTTGCTGAGAATTTGCTTAGCCAAGCATAATAAAATATTAGAGCTGAACCATTCGAGTTATGAGTACTTCTCGAACATTTTCGAATGGGAAACGGACGAGCTAGGATGAATGCGCAGATAGAATAAAAAGTTGAATATACCATATTCTCATTCATTCGCTAAGCTCTCAGAACGATCTTGCCATTGTAAGTTGTGTAGACTCCTGTTAAGCGAAAGAGTTTGACCTCGTCACTTTGGCGAACGTCGTTTCCAAGAGTGAGGAGGTGGAAGAGGTCACAGAGCAAGCTATGAAGGGCGACAAGATAGAACTACTAATGATACTAGTATTTCACGTTATTTATGAAACCCAAACTCACGTGATAATAGTTTTCGACACGATACGATTCTACGAAACAAAGCTAAGCCAGATACAAAATAGCGTGCTTCGAGCTAGGGTTCGAGAAAGAATTAGAGAGTATATATTGGTGAAACTGATTTCGATCCATCCTGTACGACGGAGGAGGGAAAGGACATGGACGTGAGGCCGACAGGGTGGGTGGAAGGAATGTAAGAGGTGGGGAGTCGGGCTGTACAGCACCAGGCCGGTGATCTGATGGGAAAGGTTGAGATGGCGAGGAGAAAGAATTCCGGAAGTAGTCGAAGGGCATGCCTGGGTTGAGTCGCAGAAAAGGGCATATCGATATCAAATGAGAATGTGTTTATATGTCTCCGTCATATCTATATGCATAGCAGGCAAGTACTTCAAGAATAAAAAGTAGATAATAGAAGGTTTCAAACAGCCCCGAAGACTTTGATGGGTAAAAACAGTAAACCCCCAAACACAAGAGTATAGGTAAAAGAAGCGGTGTATCTAGAGACGTCAGACTCGTCTAACCAACCAGATGAAGCTCTTACAGGAGTGCGTAGCAAAATCATGCACATAATGAGCATGAGGATATAACGAATGAATAGAAAGCACAAGGCACGGATACCAGGGTTAGAGAGTCAGCTGTTAGGGTTAAAGTAGAAAGGGCCAATGATTCAGGATAAAACCCGCCCAACACTAAACTGAACTGGACATTGCTCGAACAGCAATCAGAAAAGAGCGTGGAATGAAAAGGTAGCGAATCGGAGAAAGGTAGTGGATCGAAGTAGCAAATGAGAAACCGTAATTTGGCTAACGACAGCGAAAAAAATTAAGTCTCCAGAAACAGCGGTATCCCCGCGGGCGGAGAATCCCTTTCTCTCACTTCGTTCGTTTCAGGGCACATGACGATTGTAGGCCCAGTCGTGGTGTACTTTACATGAAACTGCTATACGTCTGGTACAGTGGCACTCGAAAGTTCTCGTCCATTTTTAGTATCACGCTAATTACTCTGCCGGCAAATAGAGGCCTGGCCACTCATAAATAGTTCTTAGTGGGCGGTATGCCTTCAATTAGAAGGCGGTAGAAAAGAGTATTTCAAATGGACGAGAACATTTCGAGGTGCCGTTGTGCTCCATGCCCCCTCCTTCCCTGCTATGCTACTTTTAGATTTCAGACTTCTTAAGCGAGATCTCAGGTTTTTCCACGCAACATGGCGCCAAGACTTCCTCCCTAGAAGCTCCATCTCATCTGTGACATGATCGAGAGCCAGTCACCCATCACCTCCCAAATGGCCAAAGAAGCTGACTATTGAACCAGGATCTGGACACTATCTATCAATATATGCACATCAAGCAAAAACAACGTGACAAACAGAAAGAGACGCCTTTGTCATCTGCCCCGAAAGAAAATTGTCCGAGAAGTCCTATGAAAGATAAGGCTTCACCTGGGCTTCGGTCCATTCCCAAAAGTCTCGTGCGATAGCCGTGCCACCTTCGGCCTGAGTCTTTCCGGCATCTGTCATGTTTTTCGATACTGTCCAGAGCTTACCCCATGGAGCAACTATTATTGAAAGTCAGCCTTGATCATTAAGATTAATGGGGTATGATCGGACAATGCACTTACTATAGCTTCCCGACCTGTCTAGGGTAACATCGGATGAAAAGCCAGCAAATAAGTTTGTATACGCTCCAAAGACCGGTGGATGCAACACTGTCACTCGAAGCAGCCACGTCATGAGGCTTCCTTGAGTTCGCCAGAACTCACTGTCTAATGCACCAGGATTGAGTGAGACAGAGAGAACGTTATCTGCCTTGTGGCGGGCTGCACACTCAACACCCTGCAGGTAGTTGCCTAGCTTGCTAAAGCTATACTGATCGAGCTGGCTCATTTCATCGAGGCGAGATATGCGTGCCACATAGTTTTCCGGGCTGAGAGACTCCGCGGCAGAGGAAGACACCCAGACGATGCGGATGGAGCCGGGGATAGAACCCTCAGCTGTAGAGACAAGAGTGGGCATGAGGAGTCGCGTGAGCAGGAAGGGACCGAGGCAGTTGACACCAAAACAGAGCTCGTATCCTTGCTTCGTCTTCGATCCCTTCTCTGGGAATCCCACACCTGCGTTGTTGTAGAGCACGTGAAGCTTGGATTCTTGGCCAAGGAAGGTATCGACAGACGACTTAATGCTGGAGAGGTCGGAAAGATCGAGGCGGATGAAGTGAAGGGAACCTTGTGATCCGGGAACCACCTCTCGGATAGCCTTGATAGCATCCATAGTCTTGGACTCTGAGCGCGCCATCATATAAACGATGGCATTCTTGGAAAAGAGAATCTGCGCGATCTCCTTTCCAAGGCCAGTGTTAGAGCCAGTGACGATGACCACCTATAGACGACATTTTAGCCAGCAAGATCTTTCCAAGATGGTGCATAATGTGTACTTTGTTTGTCATATCGGGCATGTCTTTGTCTGTGAACCTAGGCCTAGCAGGGCACAGGAACTGATGCGTTGAAGAGATGAGTCCAGGCATTGTGGCGGCGGTAAAAGGTGGTGGAATGTGCTGGGTGGTCTTGATGAACTGGATGGAGAACTGTCGAGTGCTTGAAATGGTAGTTTGAAAAACGGGAATGGCAAGAAGGCATTGTTTAAATAAATTCCTGCCATTTGTGCCATCGTGGTGATTTTCTGTAGATATTAACCCGCGGTAGATTGCGAAATCCGCGGGTTTGGATCTGGGTTGCGATTTGTGATTGGCCACATCCATATTCCCCGGTCCTCCAGCCCCGCCGGACTTGGTCAATCCCGCGAGGTTGGGCGGCTGACAATGTTGCCAACTTCGTTGTCCCATCACTAGCCCATCAGTAGCTGGTCGCAGCCCGAAGATCGGCTTGAAATTCGGGCTCTAAGCCGTCGTTGTGGGCAAGGTCCCATTTGCTGGCACGTTCGGCCTGGCCTTAGCACGATACCAACGGCAATATGGCGTCTGTCTTCAAGGGCCCAGTCGTCCCAGCGCCGTACGGGCGAGCATGTGTAGGGTGCTCCCGTGCAAAGTGCAAGTGTTTTTACCGATCTGAAGGCACAGGCTGTGAGAGGTGAGTGAGATAGATGACCTATCTAGCGGCGAGCAAGATATTACCCACCCTAATATCGATCTCCTACGCCAGGTTTCGGTACTTTATATCAAACATGTGCTTATCGTGATCTCAGATGTTATCGCCTCCGAAAGTCTTGCGAGCAGGCACCCAACGTTCGCAAGCGCAAAGCTGCCGAACTGCACTCACAACAATACTCCCCACCGGCTCCCTCTTGTCCCTCTCGAATCGAGAATAAACTTGATGACCTGATGGCCCTCATAAGGGCTCAAGGTGGCGGTAGCGATAATTCGATTCCTCATCATGAGCCCGACGGCGGTAGCTCAGTGCCACTGTTGACTGTATGGGAAGCCGATGTGGAATCCACGCCGCACTCACTTCCAAGTCCTCCAGTCCAAGATCCAGGTCTTACCATAGATATGAACACCAATGTTGTTCACTTGCTCCGTTCTTCTAGCCCTGACATTGCGCCCTCGTCAGTGGCCGAGGATGTGGCCGTTTTCAAGTCAATCTCGGAACAAGCCGCGGAAGAAAACTTACAGACCTTTCAGCAGAGCTTCATTTCCATGTTCCCTTTTGTTCATATCAATGTTGGTGCGGCAGAGCTTCGCGAGCGAAAACCTTTCCTATGGCTTGTTATCATGTCATTGTCAACAAAGCTGGTCTCCCAGCAATTTGTCATAGAAGAAATTATCTGGCACGTTATATCGAAACGGATTGTGGTGCAACATCTTGCAAATTTGGACTTGCTCCTGGGTGTCATCTGCTTTGCCTCCTGGTCTCATTATTTCAAGAAGGAAAAGCCTTTTATGACCATGCTTTCTCAACTGGCTGTCTCTATCGCTTTGGAACTGAATCTTCATCAAGGCACACCCTCGAGTGGGCAACTGCGCCGAGGCACTTCCAGTCGACTCCGAGCTCAACGACAACCTAGCGCACAGGAGCGAACACTGGAAGAGCGCCGGACAATTGTTGCCTTGTTTCATCTGACTTCCTCGTGAGTGATGTCATCCATGCTGCGCCGTGAGGATCCCGGCTTACGGAAGCCTCCAGGTCGTGGATGGCATACAGGAAGACAGAACCCTTTAGATGGACGCCGTACATGAATGAGTGCCTCTCCATATTATACAAAGGTGCTGAAACCGAAATGGATATTATGTTGGCAATGCAGGTCAAATGCCAGATCATCACCAACCAACTCACCTACCACCACTTTGACGAACTTGAGGGGGAGATGACTAGCATGAGTATGTCGACACTGTTGATCAAGACTTTGCTCGAACGTATTGGCAATATCCAGCAGTCATGCCCCAGCCAGATTCGTTCACACAGTAAGTCAGGAAGCGAGCTGCTGAGAGCAGGGGAAAAGCTAGTCACTCTACTAGGGAGGCTAGCATCTAATATTAGGTTTAATACCTAATATTTGGTGTTAGTTATTACCCTGTGTTGTACTGCACACCCTCATAGCGGACCTAGTACATTGCAAGGTATCGTCATGACTGACCGTTTCCAGGAACCACGCAATTTTATCTGCTCAATGCCGAACTTACAGCCAGGGAGGCCGCACTTAGAGGCCAGAAGGTGGCCTCGGATAATAATCTCTATCGAAGAGTCCATACCTTGGAGTCACTCCTAAACACAGTGGAGCAATGGATTGGCTTGTTCTGCGCGATGCCGTTCTCGAATTGGATGGGAATAACAGTCGACCACTTCGCCCAGTTCTTGTTCGCTCTCGTCGTCCTTTTCAGATTGACCACAATCACAGAGTCTGGGTGGGACAATGATCAAGTCCGCCACCGACTCGACGTTCTGGACGTCCTCGACCGGTGCTGTAGTATCATCGACCAAATTCCAAGTGCATTAGGTATCGTCGACGCGGAAGGACCACGGAGTGGCCTCTTGTTTAAGACCACGTATCTTCTACGTGCGATCAAGACACTCTTCCAGACAGAGCTAGTGCAGGTCAAACAGGCTAATGAGATGCGGGCTCAGTCCTCTGGCTCCGGCTCCGGTGTTGGTGGGGATGGTACCGACAACGGCTTGGGTATGGACACGAATATGTTGGTAATAGACAACTTTCTTATGAACCTCGGGGATGAGCCGTGGATGTCGGATGTTTTATGGCCTTCATGGGACGTGCAATGAGACACTCCTTTTTCCTTCGCCAAAATCGACGAATTTATTTTTTCCACACTCACGTTATACATTATCGGTTTGGTGGTTTTTAAATTCTCTGTAATCGATTCATTCAGTCTTATTCAAAAGTCACACCACCCCCCATCCCCCCCCCTCTCCACCAGTTCGTCGAGAAAAAAGGGGGCCGCCAAAGTAATTTCGTTTTATTACTTATATAATAGCCCAAGATTGTTCCAAAGGCGATGACACGTAAATGGTGGAGTGTTATGGCACGCACTGGTTCCGTTACTAGCATAGTAGCTCTGCCAGAACTTGCTGCACGATGAGTCATTAAAAGAACGTTGGTCTTTGTCAGAATACCATGTAGAATAATTATTTGTCACAGAGATGTCCAATTGTTCTTGCCTTTGAAGGTTACGGCTGAGGCGGAAGCTGCGTGAAACATAGAAATTCGAGAGATTCCGTGCGAAATCCGACTTATTGAATATGGTATAAGCAAGCCTCCCACGACAGTTGGGCTCAGTCCAGGTAAAGAGTTCGAGAGGAGCGTCAAGTCCCTAATGGGTAATTAGTAATGACATTCAGGCTTGAAGGGGCTTCGCACTGCAAACTTTGAAACTGGCACAGGTGATACGCGGAGCCTGAAACTGGCCAGTAGCCGCAGCAATTCCCAGAATCATCGATACGACTATCCATTGTGGAGGCATGAAGGACGGATAAAAGGTTTTGAGCTGAAGGCATGGGCTGGTCAAATTTATACTAAACACTTCAGGATCGTACCAGTGTTCTCAGGAATAGATATTGAAGCCGACGGTCGCACTTCCTGATCTAAGTCAACATTGAATCGGTTTTCCAAGAGACTATTCCAATACTGTAAATCATCAAGTAGAGGGCGGTTACTCAACGATGCCGATGATAAAAGCTGGCCTATCTTTTGTATGTCATCAATTTTGGATTTATCTTCCTTAATTTTCCCCGGGGGGTGGGGGTCGGGGGTGGGCAATCAAAGGGTGAAGGCTATTAGTGGGTTTGAACTCGTGCCAGTGAAATTTAACCTGCCACCAACCATATTGTTTCTTCAATCCTGCGCAAATCCTAATTTGAATACACAAACTTGGTGCAAAAATCCAAGTTCTGCTTGCTGTGATAGTCAAGTAACTTCATTACCTAATATCATTCTCTACCAGACATTGAAAAATCACCACATGAGTGAGTACATGTCTCTCATTCGTGGCCGCCGCGCAGCATGGGGGGGTCCGACTTTAGAGGACGGTTACTAAGTTTCACCCCTTTGATGATAGTATTTATAGGATGCACATCGACATCCTCTTCATCAACTCTTTATTACCTAAAGGTGAACCATTAGGGAAACCCTAAGAGAATACATCTAATGAAAATTGCAGGTGAATTTGACCAATTATCCGGAGCTAGAAAACCTCCATATCAGCCGATCTTTCGAAGCCTCCGATATAGATACTTCTAGTATAGCACATGAAGCATCGAATACAGTGAAGGGAGCCTCCAGCAGCATTTCTCAGGTCTCTCATGCTACGCAGAATGAAGCAGGTCAAGTGAGCACCCAGCTGCAAACTTTATCGGAAGACCTAAAAACCCACCTACCCACATATTTTTCGGGCTTTTGGGTTATTGTCAAGGATCAGAAGACACTGCCTCTTTTTCTAACTGTTCCTCCCCGAGTACTTTCTTTTCTTTTGACCTGCTAGGTGTTTTTGGCTCGGTATCGAGTGAAATTGACAAATTGCTTCCAAGCAACGACACGTTATTTCAGTGTATCGTGGTTCTTCTCGGTGGTCAATTGTAGCTTATGTCATGGGAATAATTGCTACTCTCTTAACCGCAACGTTTTGTATCATGTCGATGATTTTTTCGCGGGGTGAATCTATGCTCTTAATTTTCTCAGTTGTACGTTCTCTCAAATCGGATTATCTATAACTTACGGCAAGCTAATTTCTTTGGATTTTAGCTGGCATCAATATCTGTCACAGGGGCATCAATTATCGTGGAAATCATTTACAGCACACTTGCTGACGGAATCAATACCATTTTAAAACCTTTAGGGATTCTGTGAAAATGCGGTAAAGGCGTATTCACTAGTAATCCTACCAGGTAGTCCGATTTGACAAGGATGAAAACGATGGTATTCAGGTTATCTATCATGTCTGTATTTATAGGGAGCAGAAAGCGGAAAAAACTGCGGGATTCTGTAAAGGAGTGGAAATTGCACTTAGTTACCACATTCCATAATGGGAGGTCAGGTGATAAGGATGCGGTGTTGGAGCACTGCCCGTATAGAGGTCACGTGATCCCGGGTCCGACCTCACTTAGTCAGCTCATAGTCTAGATAGTTGGGCTCCACCGGGGGCCCCTTCCAATTGGACACACACTCACCAACATGCGGCAGATGGACCAACTAGTAATACTAGTGGGTATTTTACCCTGACAGATTCAGGCCAAACTTGGAGCATTGTTAACTGCAACATGGTTTTCGGCGGGACTCTCTGTCGCCGCTTGCGTTACGTGGGTGGCCGTGATATTTTGTCGCAAGAAGGATATTCAGTGTTCCTCGCGCAGGATTGATTGAGATATGGCCTTCAATTTTCAACTGAATAATTATTCCTGGCCCCCCTCCAAGAACTTACGTCATAGAACAGATCGTGTTCTTGCCATCAGTTGGGAATAATTTTTATCTTACAATCCCTGAGCCATTTGCGAATTCCTGTTCATCTTTGATTATTGATGGGAATCTTCAGAATAACTCAAAAATATATTGAGCTCCTAGGTTTTATAAATCCTGACCGAAGATGCTTCCATTTATTGGGCATTTACAGGTCCACAAATAAGAACAAAATCTCTATCGCTCAAATCCTTGATAAATCAAAAGCATTTAGGCCATTTTATGTGGCTTTCGGCTCTTATGGAGGTGGAAGGACGACGCCCTGCGGTCGCCGAGATGCTGACGAGCGGGCATGGGCTTGCTCGCGACATCAATCGCATGTCCGATATCGAGAGTGCTGCCAGGGGCGAGCACACACGGAGCAGAACAGCCTTTGAGCTGAAGCAGCGGACGTGGTCGAGTGTTGAACATTTCTTTCGTGTGCTTGCTCGAATTTTCTCTTCATTACCGTTTGGAATATTTGCGAGTCATAATGTGCTTGTACATGCTTCGCCGGTCGCGGTTGTAAATATGGTTCGAATTGAGGGTTCGCGGAGTGTTCCGAAATCGCACGAGGCAGATACAGTAATCTGCAGGTTGCTCCTATTTGTGAAATACAGGCTGGGGTATACCATTGATAAGCTGCATCCCAACTTCGGGTTGCAGACTGTGTGCAGGTTGCTGCTGCTGTTGAGAAGAAGATGGGATTTGGGGACACGTATGTTGAGTCACAATCACAGAAGGAATAATGTTTGCACTTTCCTGTTTGGAAACGACGCTTGCTTCCAGACTTTTCCTAGCTGGAAACTGAGCAGTTGGAGTATAGTAACATTCAAAATTGGCTTCCATGAAACTTTGACAGAGAGAAACTTGTTAAACAACGGGCGATTGGCTAATGCATATATGGCTAGCGTCATATTTCATCCTTGTCTGTTAGGACTTGCATGTAAAATAACTGAATATTACGTGTCTTGCGGATACAATTCACATCCCCCTTCCGACTTTTGAGACCAGTGCGCTTGCAATCCGCAGCGCTTGTCAGCCATCATCAGACGGACGCACATGCCGCCAAATAGCCCCAAGCCTGTTACATTTGACTAGACAATTTATTCGCTACTCAGTGCCCATATCCCAGATGGCTGATGTCGCCGGGCACGGTCCTCGTTCTCTTAGCGCCCATGGAGTCACCTGATAGTGAGGCTGAGGATGGACTTCAACTATTCAGAGGCCGGATATTTATTCTGCCTCCAATTCCAAACATTGCGTGTCAAGCGCGTTGAATATGGCCTCTATTTCGTTTGGCGACGCGAATTCGGGGTTACAGCTAGGGATCAACCAAGGGTGGATATGTCTTTCACCAGGTAAGTTTCCAAGGACCGCTAAAAATGGGTCCGTCAGACTAATGGCACCCCCAGAGCGACCGGAACCACACCCAGAGCCTCTATCGACCGTGCCGTTCCTACCTGATCCAGACTTTGTCAGTCGCGATGCGCTCCTTGACCAAATCCATGAGAAAGTCTTGATCCCGGGATCCAGGACAGTGCTTGTTGGACTTGGCGGCGTCGGGTAAGGGCAACGCGGCTTAAGAGCGTTTCGTTAGCGCTGATTACGGAGCAGGAAAACCCAACTGGCTATTGAATACTCTCACCGGGTCCGACGGCAATCATCGGAGACGTGGGTCTTCTGGATTCATGCGAGCAACCTCACCCGCTGTGAGAATAGCCTTCGTGACCTTGCCGATCGAGTCAAGATTCCGGGACGCAAGGACCGCAACGCCAATATATTCAGAGTCGTTAGCAATTGGCTACAAGATGCAAAGATCGGAAAATGGATTCTTGTCCTAGACAATGTTGATGATGACGAACTTCTCAGCAAACCTTCAAGTGACCAGAGGCAAGTAGACGGTCAGCGCGATACCTCGACCCAGCCACCGCTAAGGTACCTTTTGGAAAGCTCTAACGGATCCATCATTGTCACCAGTCGAAATAAGAGAGTGGCTTTAGACATTGCTAGTCACAAGAATATTATCGAAGTACAACCGATGAACGAGGCCGAAGCGCTGGATCTGCTACAAAAGAAGCTAAATAAACATATTGTGGATGATGACATCGTTCTGCTAGTGGAGGCTCTTGACTTCATACCACTCGCGATCGTACAGGCCGCAGCTTATATCGCAAACAGGTCACCTCGATGCTCAGTAGCACAGTACCTTGAAGAATTCCGAAACAGCGACCAGGCGATGAGGCTCCTCAACTACGAAGCAAAACTTGTCAACCGAGACTGGGAGGCTAAGAACTCGATACTGGTTACGTGGCAGATATCCTTCGACCATCTTCGACGCGCCAAAGAGTCAGCGGCAGACCTACTTTCGCTCATGAGCCTTTTCGACCCTCAAGGCATTCCGGAGTGTATTCTCCAATCCACCCAGAAGACCCAGGATCACCAGTCCCGACTATATCGTATGTACCGCGTGATCCTCTCTGTGGGGCGAGATGGATATCGAAGATCGCACAGTGGCCGCCTAAAAGGGGTCATTGGCAGTCCGTACTCAAACAGAGCCACTGCTTACACAGAACCGACAGAAGATACATTTGACGAAGACATTGAAATATTGCGACATTATTCCTTTGTATTAATGGAACAAGGTCCTAAAGTCTTCCAGATACATCGCCTAGTACAACTAGCTACGTTGAGATGGCTTCGGATCCAGGGACGCATTGAGTTTTGGAAGGAAATATTCACAGGAAAAATCCTCCAGGCATTCCCAACCAACCATTATGATGACTGGGAAAACTGCAAGTCACTTTTCCCGCATGTTAAATCGGCTCTTTCTCAGCCACCTGAATCAAACAAAGCTCTTCTAGAATGGACAAGGCTCCTCCATAAGGGGGCGCTCTATGCGATAAAGCAAGGAAGCTTTTCCGACGCAGAAGAGTTGGCGTCGAAATCTATGATTACGAGAGGCGAGATTTTGGGAGCAAAGCATTCTAAAGCGCGGTCTAGCGCGAGAATTCTCGTCGTAACGTACCTTCACCAAGGTCGATGGCGCGAGGCCGAGTCACTGCAACTACAAATACTGAAAAGAACATTTGGTTCTCAAAATTTCAATACGCTATCGGACATGGCAAACCTCGCGTCGACATATAGGAACCAGGGGCGGTGGGAAGAGGCGGAGCAGCTCTACGTGCAGGTCATAGAGAGAAGCAAGACTAAGCTCGGCGAGGACCATCCCGACACACTGACTAGCATGGCCAACCTAGCATCGACATACTGGAATCAGGGCCGATGGAAAGAAGCGGAGCAGCTCTACGTGCAGGTGATCGAGAGATGCAAGACGAAGCTCGATGAATATCATCCTACTACGCTAATGATCATAAACAACCTCGCATTAACATATCGCAGCCAAGGCCGGTGGGATGAGGCTAGGAAACTCTTTATGCGGGTCGCAGAAGCAAGCACGATGAAACTTGGCGAGGATCACCCCTTTACGCTAACAAGCACAGCTAACCTCGCGTCGATCTTCTATCTGCAGGGCCAGTGGAATGAGGCCGAGAAACTGTACGTGCAGATGATCGAGAGACGTAAGAAGAAGCTTGGGAAGGACCATCCCGATAAGCTAGAGGCGGTAGCTGGTCTAGCGCAGATATTTTGGAGCCAGGGCCGGCTGGATGAGGCCGAAAAGCTTTTGGTGCAGGTGATAGAGACGAGCAAGATGAAACTCGGCGAGGACCATCCCGACACGTTAACGAATATGGCCAACCTCGCGTCGACATATCGGAGCCAGGGTCGGTGGGAGGAAGCCGAGCAGCTCTACGTGCAGGTGATCGAGAGACGCAATACGAAATTTGGCGAGGACCATCCTAACACTATGGCGGCCATAAACAACCTCGCGACGATATATCAGGAGCAGGGCCGGTGGGACAAGGCCGGAAAGCTCTTAGTACAGGTGACAGAGATGAGCAAGACTAAGCTCGGCGAGGACCATCCCGACACACTGACTAGCATGGCCAACCTAGCGTCGACATACTGGAATCAGGGCCGATGGAAGGAGGCGGAGCAGCTTGACGTGCAGGTCATCAAGACTCGCATGACGAAGCTCGGCGAGGACCATCCCGATACGTTGACAAGCATGGCCAATCTGGCCTTCACTTTGAAATTCGCAGGTCTGAGGTCAGACGCTATCGATTTGTTAAGAAAGTGTTTAGCTAAACAGCAACGAATCCTGGGTCCTGCACATCCTCATGTTGTGTCCAATTCCAATGCCCTGCTAGAATGGGAAACCGGGGCGCTGGATATTGACTCATGATTAATTGAAAAGTTTTACTCACTTTGCACATGCAGTATTAGGTAACAATACTTGGACCTAGATAATTTGGTAGTTTATAGCGATCCACGGCCATTTAGTCTGTTGACAAACGGGCATTTGATATCTCCCCTTCTGCCCCAAAACAGTACGTGTATTGTATAACTGCTGTACTACCGTTTTGTAAGTACTATACCTGCAAAGTTCGGCGCAGCGACTCCCGGCAGCCGCACATTCCGTATCAAGGACTAGCGTGTTTCGACCTAGGCTTTAAGCAAGAATTTTCATGTGTAAAACATGGAAGCCGATTCCGAATGTTAGTGTAACCGTGGTGGTGGTCCATAGATAGCTCGTGGCCGATTCAAAGCAATCATGGGGAAGTAACTTCTGGCGCAATCTAGGTTCTCGAAAATTGCCACCCTATTGCTTTGAATGGCAAATTGATGTGGATATCCGCATGATCCACGTCCCTCACCATGGATCACTTCATCGTTGGTGATTGGTATTTGATAACGATCCGTATACGTACCTGTATCCCCGTGCAACAACTCTTTCCTTGCGTTGAATCACATTTCCTCGTGAAGGACAACATGATAAAGAGTACAATACTGGAAGGATGAGTCTTTCGGAATGACTCCGTCTCATTGTCTTCCCAAGTGATCATTAAGCATCCCATCTGAGAAGTTGGTGACCTTGATACCATGGGGCATGTACCGGAGCGAACGTCGAATCCGCCGTAAGAATGCATTTTCGGCGGCTCTCGAAATGCTTGAAAGTCTGAAAATTGAACCCAAAGAAATTTTCAGCAACTCTTCGACGATATGCTCACAAAAAAATGGTGCCTCTTTCCCAGTCATGCAACTCGGAAATTTCTCGCGACAACATGTATCTACGATGTATCCCTTGAAAATTGAGCTAATCTGTGGTGAATTTTTTAAACACCTTGCTTTGTATCGAAGGAACATCTACTCCAATCTTCTCAGTTCGAACAAATTGTGTTTCAACAGGCTCTCGCAGCGACATTAATCCCAAGCATGCTTTCAGCTGTACCCACTGCCGTGGAATTGATCTAGTTCCACTGAGCCAAGAACGGGTATATCCTGGTGCTACTGGAGGCTGACAATCGCGTTCACCTAGCCATTCGCATGCCTGTCCGTGGTCATTCTTTTAGACCCCCAGGGGACTCGCTCAGATGATGCAGTTTCCACCGAACGACGTTTCGTCTTCTCCCGTTAGGGTAAATAGGATCTCAGCTAGTCTCATCCATCCGCAGCACCTATGCTATAATATAATTTTTGGAAAATTGTTTTGAGCCATTGTCTGTGTGTTGGCAATGAACTATGGCCCTTTCCTGGGGAGATTTAAAGACAGCGATTGTTTCCGCTCTTCTATTCTTTTCTGTCTAGAACAGTTTATAGACCTCTTCCTTCTTCGACTATTACCATATCCAGAGAAGTAATGGCGACTGTTCCTCAGGATACTTCGTTTCGTCCTACCTGGCAGCTCAAATTTATCTTCGCAGTGGTAGGGCTGCTCAACTTTGTGGCTGCACTCGATGCAACCTCTGTATCAGTCTCCCTGCCGGTAAGATCTCTGTTGATCCAATAGATACACACGTAGTGTATGTCTCATATGCTATCCGATTGACGTCTTATATAGGTTATCTCCGATGACCTCGGTGGAACAGCAACAGAGGCCTTCTGGACAGGCACATCCTTCCTGGTAGCATCGTGCGTCTTCCAGCCGGTCTTTTCTCTATCTTCCGACATCTTCGGCCGCAAAATTGTCCTCCTCACAGCCGTGGCTTCCTTCACACTCGGCTCCGTTCTCTCGGCCGTCTCGCAAAACTTCACTCTCCTCCTAACCGGCCGATCCATTCAAGGCATCGGCGGCGGCGGGATCATGGCCCTAACAGAGATCCTAATCGCAGACCTCATCCCGCTGCGCGAGCGTGGCAAGTGGATGAGTATCCGCTCCGGCACCTGGGCGCTGGGGACTGTCGTCGGCCCGCTTATCGGTGGCAGGTTCACGCAGTCGTCCGCGAGTTGGCGTTGGGTCTTCTGGGTCAACATTCCCTTCTGTGGCCTAGGCCTGGTTTTCATCCCCATCTTCCTAAAACTGCACCACGGTAAAGTCTCGCTGCGAGAGAAAATTGCCACCGTTGACTATTTCGGCTCCGTCTTGTTCGTCGCTTCCCTCACTGCCTTCCTCATCCCGCTCACCTGGGGCGGCATCATGTACGCCTGGAGCTCGTGGCACACGCTCCTCCCTCTGATCCTTGGTGTGGCCGGGCTGATCGCCTTCGCCATGTACGAGTGTCTCGTGCCGTCTCACCCGCTAATCCCGCCGGTGATCTTCAATAACCGGACTGTCTCACTCAACCTCCTGGGCTGCTTCTTGCACGGAATCATCCTCTGGGCACTGGTATACTACCTTCCCCTCTACTATGAGGGCGTACTAGGCTTCAGCCCCGTGATGTCTGGCGTAGCCGTCTTCCCAGAGACATTTACCGTTGCACCCATTTCCGTGATCACGGGCATCGTCGCCGCGAAAGCAGGCCGCTACCGCTGGGCCCTCTGGGCTGGCTGGCCGATCTCCTCGCTCGGGCTGGGCTTGCTGTATCTCCTCGATGCACACACTCGAGCGGCGAAATGGGTCTGTCTGAATCTAGTGGCCGGCATCGGCCTAGGCATGCTCTATCCAACTGTCATGCTCGCCGTGCAAGTTTCCTCCGACCCGGCATACCAGTCCATCACGGTGACGATGACGACCTTCTTCCGGGTCATGGGCCAGGCTGTCGGCGTAGCTATCGGAGGTGTGGTGTTTCAGAACCGCATCAAGAATAATTTTATCAATCACCCGTCTCTGGGCCGGTCTGCGGATCAGTATGCAAGCGATGCGTCGAGTCTGGTGGAGTATATCAAGGCTCTGCCCTCGTACAGTCCGCGTCGTCACTTGATTAAGACGCTGTACGCACATGGTCTTTGTTCGACTGCTCGGCTCTTATATCTATTTTGAAAAAGATTCAGACCCCTAAAAACGATGCTTCGGAAACGCAGGACGAGGATTGTCAATTCAGAAGAAGTCTTTACATATCGCGAGGCCACATTTTATCATACGCCTATCGCAAAAACGGCGCGACTCCGGGCCTGGATATTCTGATCCAACGTGGGGCCTCACTGAAGTATGTTCCGTGCGGCGACCTTGTTGAGAGCGCAGCTCGTTCATACAATTACAAAGTGCTTTTAAGTTGGTTGATCGATCATGGTGCTTCTTTTCGAGAGATTCCAGGTGGTATTGATCGGCTCTGTTGCGAAGCATACGAGCAAGGCGACTTTGAAAGATTTCGCTGGCTGTTCTCAAAAGGAGCGTCTTTAGATAGTTTGGCTGGAGTGGTGTTCGATTTTTCTGGTTGTCATAGGCCAAGGACGCGTGAAACTTGCCGTTATCATCTACTTTTGGTGAAAAAGGCCCTCAGAGAAGGAGCAAAACCTAGTGGCTCCCACGAGTCCTTAACAGCAGAGCTAAGATAAGATTGCGTCGACGTAAAGGACTCAGTGACGGTTGGAGGAAGTCGATCAGCTAGATATGCAGCTTGATATCACAGCACAGTAATAGCCAAATGGAGCATTCAAAGAATGTTAAAATCTAAGTCTTGATAAATAAATCAGCATAGAGAACTCGCAAGGAGAATGACAGCCAACTGGTAAATTGTATCATAGGAAGTAAGTTCAATCAGCCACCTACACATTGACGAGCTCCTGGCCAAAATAGAATTTGAAATTAAATATTATACAGTACTGACACCCTTGACGTACAATTATGTATGGTTTCGTGGTAGCCATGTAGACTCTAGTAAATGGACCTGCATATGCCGATCAACGCAGAATGAGTACAGTAGCGTCGTGTCGCGAAGCACCCCACATCATAGTCAGAGTGGACCTCGCGGCCCCAACTTCTTACACCGGGAATTTTTCAATTACTGTATCGTCTTATTCCCTTGCTCATTAGTCTTCCTTGTCTAATAAGGTGGGTTCAGAACCGCTTCCCAAGTGAGGCGCGGTGAGAATAGGGACAAAGTGGAAATCCGTTGGCTCATCATGTTAATCGTCAGAGGAAATGGAACCTTTCTACCTGTTGTATTGTAAATGCGGCACTGTGTTCTCCCATTCGGTGGTAGTTGGTGTAACTTCGGGCTAGCAAGTCTCACTGGGGATACTTTGGATACATCACTGATGGCAGTCACGATACAAACCGTGGATCGATCTGATAGAAGCTCTTATACAAAGGCACAGACGTTATTATACAACTAGCTGTCGCGCTTTTTGCTAGATTATATCGACTAGGTTATGCTATTACAATGATTGATCTGGTATGGGCGGATTAAAAGGTTCTAGATGAAATTTCTGTGCAAACAATGGAAGCCAATTTCGCAACTGTGTATACAAATAGTTTCACTAAACGCATAGAATATGATTTGAATGCACAACTGGAGATGTAGAAAACCATCCTGTAGATATCGGCCGGCGCTCACTGAGCTTCTATCATCCCCCCCGAAGAGCAATACCGATATAAATTGTACATTCCACTCCCAAGGACTTTGACACTTGGTCGGACTGGCTTATCGCTACCAAGAGGCAAGAATAAAGACAATGTACAAACTATACGTTGGATCATTCTTGACTGCTATCTTTAGCATGTACAGTACCCACAGCTGAACTCAGCGGCAAATAGTATTTTTTAAAACTCCTCAACAAGATTCCGAACAAAAGACTTTGGATCTAGCGGAAGAGAATACTTGGTAGGTCGGTCACAAGACTGGAATATCGCATGTTCGCTGAAGAAATTCGGCAAAATATCCTTCTGTGGCCACATGAACAGTCGAAACTGAACATTTCTGCCTCCCTCTCTGTAAATGTATCGTGGAATAATAGCCTGTATTTTCTCACGAAGCCGCCGTAGGTTTATCTCCATGGATTGGATTCGAGGAAGGACGAAATGATACTCTGCCAAGAGACCTTCCGTAACGTTGTTCAATACAGCAAGTCGAATTTCTATACATGTCACCGGGACAAATTGTTGAAACGAGGAAATATGAAGGAAAACTTCCTCACTGCAGGTTCTCGGAGATAGCAGATCTGGTCCGATCCAGTTGAAAAAACACTTGTTCTGGTTGTAAGGGGAGAAATAATACTCGATCATGTTGGCATTATAGATCGCCGCTGCCGAGAGCAGATTGGAATTAACAAACTCAATGGAAATTTTTTGTTCTCAAAACTTCAAGATCCAGACAAATACCAATGACATATGAGGAAATGCACTTTCTGTATTGCTACCTTAGCTCTGATGAAAGAGTCATATGCAGAAAACTAGAACTTACTGTCGACAGCTTCACCAGTGCCACGCCGAAGATCGTAGGGTTTCATAGCCCGAATCATCCCAACAGCTAAGCTTAGCCGCTCAAGAAAATAAAGATAGGTATGGTACTTGAGAGGCTTCATGCTGTGAGTAGTCATCCCGGCAGCGGTCGAAACAGGTTGACGACAAATAGGTACGTTGAGCATCTCTTGTTTGAATTTCAGTTCCACTGAGCGATGCGGTGGGGTCACACGATTTCTGAAAATATCTTCGACAGAACGAATGTTTGATGAAAATGCGTGATCAAGAAGAATTATGACATCGAACATCGGTTGCTTTACCTCCGACATCAAAAAGATTTTTCTTCAGCTACTGTCAGTGTAGGGAAGCTCAAGCGAGCAATGAGTTCGTTACCTTTTAGGTTTTTTATTGTGGCCTTTGATGTGTTTCAAATCGACTTCTATCAGAAGATGATCACGGGTACCACCAGGATTGGGTAGCAGAATCAAGCTGATCTGGCCATAGCATAGAGTTTTGAGATCGTCCGCCCTGAGATCCCAATCTTCTTCATCATGACCTTCCTCACCATCGATAGCATTGCTAAAGAAGTGCTGTACATTGGTTCGCTCGTTCTTGTCGACGTAAACCAGCGCTCCTAGTCGACTTCCGGTATAAGCAGACACGAGTAGAAGGAAGGCCAGCTGGATAATTTGCCGGCTATCGGGGTAAGGTGTTCTATCTTTCGTCCAGTGGTGGTGAAGAACAATATATAGATCATCGACGTTCATGACGGGTTTCTCTCCGACAGACAAGTCGAGTTCATAACGTGGGACCAAGTTTGCTTTCATGTACTTCCGCCTTTTTGTCAGAATTTCAAAGACATAAGAAAGCAAGAGTAACCCACATCTTTGATATCCTAGCAGCTCTTCGCATGAAGGCTGCGTCCCACAGCTTTGCGATAAAGCTGACACCATAGCCTCCAATTTTGGTGCAAGCTACTGAACTTCTTTATTCTGAAATTATCCAATATCCACTCCAGAAATATCATGACGTCCTCCTTACGCGCTGCTACAAGAAATTTCAAAGGATCTTCTCCTAGATAGACGCAATGCCTGAGATTTTGTTAATACAAGGTTAGAAATGAATGTGTGATAATCATCTACCTGGTCCATTTTGTCTTGATGAGGTCGATGTTGTTTTTAGTCGAGACAGCATGTCGTTTTTGAATGATGCCTTGCTCTAATCGCTGGCGGCGACGGCGATAATAATCCGGGCTAGGCGCCTGCTTCTTCGGCTTTGTGGAAACGTAATGATTTAAGGCAATCATAAGCTTGGAAAGCAGCTGGGTACAGAAACTAAGGAGAAAAGAAGGACGGATCAAGGAAACGGGATTGGATGGAATAAGACACGGTAAAGACAGTCACCCGGAAAGACTCTGCAGAAGTGATTTGATAATAACGGTTGCAGGCGAGTTATTTTGCGCAAAGTCTATGGTTGACGGGAGGGGAGAGGCCCTTAAGTACTAGAGAAAATGACTCTCGAAAGACCTGTGCGCAAAAAAATGACGGTTCTTTTTTCTTACTGAGAGCGGGTACAAGCGGATCAGAGATAGAAAGAACACACGTCATCTCTGACCGATTTACCGTCACCTAGCGTTGTGGTGGAATCAAAGAACTAATACATCTGATTAATATATATATATATATATATTATGTATTCATTTCATACCAATTCGCTTTATATTTTCAAGTGTCTTACTTAAACATAGAGAGTTTATGTTCCAAGCTATTTGTAGGATTCATAGGGCTCTACTATATTTCACTTAATGTGGTTAGAAAAGCCCACTGCCTGTAAGCAATAAGATGCATCATGCGACACGCGTCTGACAAATTTCAGTCTTCTCCATACTTGCTCTTCAATTGACAATGGCCTAGATGCCGGGCAAAAAGCAAGTCTCGTGTCCCTTGTCGGCCACTAGTGCTGACAAGCATGCTAGCGTGTTAACTAAGTGGAGACATGGAATATTGTTTGGAAGCTTTTTATGCCCTAGTGTAACTCTTAGCTGACATAGCGCTCCATGTGCTCGATTGCAGTGTTCCTATTGTCCTGGAAGTATCTCCGTGACTAGTATAGTTCCGGGAAACCCATTGCTTCGCTTATGAGGGCTTATCGTGCAGCGACCTCGTGGGTCCCTGGACTATGACGGCCGTCGACACATAGTAGCCGCTGGAGAACAAGCGCCGATTGCTCTCAAATGCTATCGCTGGTATAAAAGGTCTCGGGGATTCTGGACATAACAAGGACGGGTAGTCAATACAAGTAGATCTCAGACATCCCCCATCCTTTCAGCAACCATGGCAATTCTCTCCAAGGTTGTTGTCGCTACCGGCCTTGTCGCTTCGGGGTACGTTTATATTGACTCTTTATAACTTGGTGTCTGACAATAAATTCTTCAGTGCCTCTGCCGGCCTGATCACAGGCTGGCCTTGGATTCCTAACCCCTTCTGGCCGACTCCAGAGCCCCCTTCCTGTGTCTCTCTGGAGAGAGGCTACGACTGTACTCCTGAGGAGTCGAACAACTGGGGCTTTTACTCGCCATGGTTCGCCGCCCCAACGGATATCCCAGACGAGGTCCCTCTAGGCTGCTCTATCAACTTTGTTCAGTTGCTGTCGCGTCACGGCTCTCGTTACCCGGAAGCCAGTGACACCGACTACGGCAAGTACACAGCGGAGCTCCAGGCCGCCGTGAACTCGAGCTACTTCACGGGAGAGTACGCTTTCTTGAAGGACTACAACTTTACCCTACCCTACACTGGTCTGCTCACCCCCTGGGGCGAGAAAGAAATGTACAACTCCGGGGTTTATTTCTACCAGCGCTACCAGGAGCTCGCGGGCCTATCGGGAAAGGTGCCCTTCTTCCGGGCCACCGACTACCCGCGTGTCGTCCAGTCGTTTGAGAACTTCACCCAGGGCTTTCACGCCTCCAAGATGTCTGCCTGGGGACGCCTCGCTGACATGACCTACCCGTACCCCGTGGTCCTCATCCCCGAGACTGCCACTGAGAACAACACGTTGGCACCGGGTACCTGCCCTGAGTATATGACCGGTTATGACAGCACTATCACCACCACCGCCAAGCAGTTGTACGAGACTTACTTCGCGCCTGCGATCTCGGATCGCTGGGCTGTAGATCTGCCCGGCAACGGCATGAGTGACAAGCATATCATCGATCTCATGGACGTGTGCCCCTACGAGACGGTCGCCAACCCCAACGCCCAGCCGCTGTCCCCTTGGTGCGCGCTTTTCACTGATGAGGAGTGGGCCCAGTACAACTATGAGAAAACCTTGGACCGCTTCTATCTCGACAGCTACGGTGATCCCGTCGGCCCTGCCCAGGGTGCTGGCTGGGTGATCGAGCTCGTCTCCCGCCTGACCAACACCCCTGTCAAGGTGCCTGCCAGCGGTAGCACCATCAACATTACCCTCGACAGCGACCCTGCGACCTTCCCGCTCGGCCTGCCAATGTACGTCGACTTTTCACATGACCACATCATCGTTAATGCCCTGTCTGCCATGGGTATGTTCGACCCCAGCTACATGCTGCCCAACACCATCCTCATCAGCGGTGAGCAGGCCGACGGCTTCCTCATCAACTGGATCACCCCTTTCGCGTCCCGCGTGTTCGTGGAGAAGATGACCTGCCTCTTCGAGCCCGAGGAGTATGTCCGTGTCGTTGTCAACGGCCGAGTCCAGCCCATGAAGCAGTGCGATTCCGACTCTCTGGGCCGTTGCACCCTGACCAAGTTCGTCGACGCCATGAGCTACGCTATGGAGGGTGCTAGCTGGTCAGCCTGCTACTCTTAAGGGGGCTGCGAGAGGATGCGTCTTCTCTCTTCTACTCAAAGCTCTTTCTTTCTCTGGTCTGTGGGTTAGGGACTACTATAGTATAAGCTTTTATCTGTACATATACACGAACGCCGTGAACATGTTTCCGGCAAAGTTAAATATTACACTAAATCTGCCTTCCTTCGCTATGTTAAGAGTGGAATTGCAAGCCCACTGTGCTTCGTATTTCCAATATTCTTGGTCAGTAATTTTCACCAAAACTTGAGACCTTTGCTTTTTCTATAGTTATCTCCTAAGCTCTTCGGCGAGACTAGGCATGTAACAGTAATACTGGCTCAGCACGGGGCCCATTGTTATGCCGTATATTGGGGTGCTTAGCTATTTTATTAATTCTTGCTGCTGGGTTCTAATCAATCCTCCTTGGACCCTTAGCAATCAAAGCTTTGAACATGTAAGTAAACTCTTGCACGCCAGTGCTTTCTTCATGACCAATTCATTGCTGATCTTCACCGTGCGGGTGATAGGGGTGAGAAGTCTAAAGAATAGGAGAGAATTTCCATGCAGGGTGAGCCAGTGGCTCTTTGCAGGGCAAAGAGATAAATTAGCTCCTAGCCCTCCTTTCACTCTGTTGTAGTTCTATTGAATTTCGAAAAGAGATGTTAACCGAGAGAAATATTCAGAAAGCCCTCGAGAAGTGTATTGCACGTGCGGTATCAGCCATCGGCCAACGTGTATTTTTGCTCCCCCGATCGGTACCAAGAGTTGGCCGTCGGGCATCGAGGGCCGACTTCAATGGTTATTTGAGAAGGCGCGCACTTGGACATTATCGCTCCAAGAACTGTTGAATCCAACAGAAATTGCCAAAGGCACAGAATAATTATCATAATGGCCGTCACACATGTTGTTATGTTTCAGTTCAAGCCTGGCGTGAAGCCGGAAAGCGTTCAAGAGGTGAGCCATGGATTAATTCAATTGAAAGCATGTTGTTGACATTGCAACAGCTTTGTGAGAGGATGCTTGCGCTCAAGGAACAATGTATTCACCCTGAGACAGAATCAAGTTACCTAAAATCATGTGTTGGCGGCAAAGATATCTCGGTCCAAGGCATCCAGGTACGAAATCACAGACTCGAACTATTATTAAGGAAGACTGACATTGGAAACAGAAAGGAATGTCTCATCTTTTTGTGGTGGAATTCAATTCTATTGCGGACCGCGATTACTACGCATTGCATGACCCAGTACATTTGGAATTTGTGAAGTGGAGCGAGTCGGTGACAAGTAATGTTCAGGCACTCGACTTCACGCATGGCCGGTTTTGATACGAGTCAAGAGTTGGTAGATCGAGCATATATGCCAAATTCACTGTCTGGTCTATTTCCTATTCATTTTTGAACAAATCGTCTGTTGACACTTGAAATTGCTTAGTTCTCTTTCAAAACACTCTTGAGAAAATTAGCAGATCGGAAGACACACTTAAAGGCCGAACCCTCCTAAACAATATTATTTCCTCGAAAGTCCAAGCATTGAGCTACTCCATAGCCGGTTCTAATAGATAACGGCCATGCCCGACGGGGGATATGATACCCGACCACACAAAGAACGTCGCGCGACGACGGCCGATAGCCAACGACCCACTGTAAAGGCCTGAACGGGACAAGACCATGTGATTTACTCCGTCTACGGCAGCCGATTGTCGGCAATGGAAGTCGTAAGGTGGTCAGCAAAGAACTCAAATAGAGGGTAGGTATAATATCTGACGTCGCTTTGTCTTTCGCGCCTTCACACTTCTGACAATCAACTCGACATGAACGGCTTCCACGAACCATTATTCACTTTCCAGGATCATCCGGTCGACCAAGGACGGCCAATCCGGGTTGTTATTATTGGTGCTGGTCTCTCGGGAATAGCACTGTATATCCGACTATTGCAATATGTTCCCAGCGCAAGTATTACCATCTTTGAGAAGAATCCTTGCGTTGGTGGAACTTGGTATGAAAACCGCTACCCTGGAGTAGCGTGTGATATCCCCAGCCATGTGTACCAGTATACTTTCGAACCAAATAAAGAATGGTCGAAATTTTTTGCGCCTGGCGCAGAGATCCTGAACTATGTGCAAGGCGTTGCAAAGAAGTACGGTGTGGATCAAAAGGTGAAATATAACACTGCGGTCACTCGAGTGGAGTGGAGCGAGAGCCAAGGCGTCTGGACTGTCACTGCAAACCATTCAGAAAATGGATCGACCTCCAAAATTGAAACCAAAGCCGAAGTGCTGATCAGTGCCGTTGGATTTCTCAACAACTGGAAGTGGCCGAGCGTGGAGGGCCTGCTTGACTTTGAAGGAAAACTGCTTCACTCAGCGAACTGGGATGCCAGCTGGTATGTTGTGAAAATTATCGTTGGTGACAAAGGCCGTTCATAAAGCTAATAGGACTGTCAGGGACTATACTGGCAAGAAGATTGCACTTCTGGGGTGTGGCTCTTCCGCGATCCAGATTTTGCCTCATCTTGAGAAAAAGTGTCCCGTTGTGTATAACTTTATTCGCAGTGGAACATGGATCAGTCAGCCATTTGGGTCCAGGTTCACTGATGATATCCTTTCTGGAAGCAAAGAGCCAGGAAACTATTCCTACACCCCTGCGGAGATTGAGAGATTCAAGTCTGACCCTGAATATTATCAAAAATTCCGCAAGGATATGGAAAGCTCGATCAACGGTGACTATCCGTGCCTCTTCCCTGGAACCGAAGAAGAAAAGCAAGGAACGCAAAAAATCCAGAATATCATGAAGACCAAATTGGCTTCCAAACCCGGTCTCTACGAGGCTCTCGAGCCGAACTTCGTTCCCGGCTGCCGCAGACTGACACCCGGCCCGGGATATCTCGAGGCTCTTGTCAATGACAATGTGCAGTTAATTAAGAGCCCCATTACGAAGGTAGTCAGAAATGGTGTTGTGACTGCTGATGGAAAGGTGTGGGAAGTGGATGGCATCGCTTGCGCGACAGGATTTGACGCCAGCCATATGCCCCGTTTCCCTGTCATTGGACGGAATGGCGTCTCTCTCAGCACGGCATGGAAGGACCATGCCAGTGCCTATCTCTCCCACTCTGTTCGGGGGTTCCCCAACTACTTCATCGTCGGTGGGCCGAATTCTGCCACGGGAGGTGGTTCCTTGCTTTTGATCCTGGAGTCGGTGATCGGTTACATCATCAAGGCTGTCCAGAAGATTAGCCGGGAACATATCATGGCTATGGAAGTCAAGCAATCTGCTCTCGACTCATGGTCTACATACCTCGATAACTATTTCCCTCGTACGGTCCATGTCGATCGCTGCTCTAGTTGGTATAAAATCAACGGAAAGATCATCGGGCTGTACCCGGGCAGCAGCTTGCACGCCATGAAAACCATGGAGCATCCAAGATGGGAAGACTATGAATACTCAAATATCGGAAGCCATGACGCCATGGAGTGGCTGGGTAACGGCTGGACACGAGAAGATGTCAAGCGGGGAAACCTAGGTCAATACTTGGACAGAGTTGATATCCCACCTATTCCAACCGAGGAAACCCTTGCACGACAGCCATAGACGGCGCTCGAATCGCGTTAGAACGATAAAACTTTAATTGCCATGGGGTGTATTTAGCATGGATCGCAACTTATTTATATAGTCCCCTTGTAATTGACTGCTGCAGGTATACTGTTGTTTCTTATAGATCTCTTCAAATTTTCATTATTGCTACTTATTTTCGAGAGGCAGTGGGTATATCATGTCATTTCTGGAGATTTCTTTCCCTGTTTCTCGTGATAGATGGATTGTAGGGTTATTACTATCCTAAGATAATCGATATGCTACCGAAAGACTTTCTCGCCGAAAAAGTCAAAAAGGTAAGTCAGACATGTCCGCATTCATCACTATCTCATCTACGTCGTAGAAGGGGCACAAGAGGCAGGCAGACGGCCATGTCGTCCGCATCAGAAGAACAACAACAACAAGAACACTCATATCAACAGGAGGGGGGATAACAGGAAACAAGCAGCGATTAACTAACCGAACATGAGCACAACGCGGAGAGGGTAACAGGCAGAAAGCAAAGACATCAATCAACGGAAAGATATATCAAAAATACAGTCGACATATCTCCCTTATTTCTTGCCGTAGGCCTTGTCGATGTCGGCCTTGTACTTGTTGACAATCTTCTTGCGCTGCAGTTTCTGTGCGGCAGTCATGAAGCCCTAGAAAACATGTCAGTTGAAACCGAGCTACTTGGTGATGATCAAAGGTCAGCCACTTACGTTTTGGGGAGTCCATTCCTCGTCAGACAGGACAACACCGCCGACGATCTCGATGCCCTTCAGACCACCTGCTCGGCCAGCCTGCTGCAGTTGCGACAGAACAATGGACTTGAGCTTCTCGTTGTGGACAAGAGTCTCAACGGTGTCGCCCTCGATGCCATTGGCGCTGGCAATGTTCTTCAGGGCAGGCTCCAGCGGGACGATGATGGCGACGGGGCGGTCCTGGTCCTCTGCAGCAAAGACGCAGATATTGCCAACAACAGGGGAGGAGCGGTACACGGACTCCAACTTCTCGAGGGCGATGTACTCGCCGTTCAAGGTCTTGACCAAGTTCTTCTTGCGGTCGATGATGCGCAGGTGGCCGTTGTGGTCGAACTCGCCAATGTCGCCGGTCATGAACCACCCGTCGTCAGTCAGGGACTCCTTGGTCTCCTGCTCGTTGTCCCAGTAGCCTGAGGTCACGCTGCCGCCGCGGATCCAGATCTCACCCTGCGGTGGGGTGCGCTTGGTCAGATACCCGGCATCCGGGAAGTCCACCAACTTGATTTCCACCGACGCGGGCACCTCGCCGAGGACGTTGGGGTTCCAGGCCATGGGATCGTTCAGAGCGCCCATGGCGGAGGTCTCGGTCAGACCGTAGCCGCCGATCATGGGAGCGATCGCCATAGACAGGAACTTTTGGGTATCCTTGGAGATGGGACCGCCGCCGTTCATCATAATCCGGAGCTGGCCACCAGTAGCCTCCTTCAGCTTCTTGAAAACCACCGCATCCAAGATCGACGCGCCCATGGTCGCGCCGGGGAAGCCAGTCGTCATCAAGAAGTTCTTGGCCGCCATGGCCCCCCAGAACATGTTCTTCACAATGAAGTTGTTCTTGTTCAGGTTGTTCAGCACTCCCTTCTTGACCGACTCCCACACGGCGGGCACGCCGACCAAGATAGTGGGACTGAACTCGCGAATGTCACCCTTGCAGTTGCGCATGGATGTATCCGACAAGGTGCGAGGGTTGCCGTATCCCATCGTGCCACCCCAGAACAGACACAGGTTCTCAAACATGAACTCCAAGATGTGCGCCTGCGGGAGGTAAGTCAACAGGGAATCCTTGGGGCCGATGTACGGGCCGACGATCTCGTTGACACCAGCAGCTGAAGAGGGATTAGCTTGTGTGATTTTATGGTGACGGTCCACTTACTGGCAGCAATCACGTTGGCGTGTGTCAGGGGAACACCTTTGGGCGGGCCCGTCGAGCCTGAGGTATACATGATGCAGCAGAGGTCTTCCGGTTTGGGCGGGACTGGGTCGACGTTATTCTCCTCGCCCGATTTGCGCAGCTCCTCGATGCTCAGCACATTGATATGGCCAAAGTCATTCTTCAGGCGATCCAGATCCGCCTGCGAAAGCTCCGTATCCGTGTTGTAGATGACATGTTTAATGGAAGGGACCTCCTTGAGAACGTTGCACAGCGATTTGATGAGGCCGGGGTCAAGGAAGATGGCGCTACTGGAGGTCTGAACCAGGGAATGCTTCAGACCCTCCTCGCCCAGGGTATCGTATGCGGTCACAATGGTCACGGACTGCGAGGCAGCGCCTAGATGTGACGTCAGCAAAACAAAAACTCATCAAAGAGATGGGCAAGCGAACCGTGTGACATGGCCAGCCAGTGTGCACTAGAGGAAAAATCACGTTAGTGAATGCGCCTCTCCCATCCGCAAAGGTTCCAGCTCGGCCTACCTCGTCGCACCGTACAGGTGAATCTTGCTGTCCTTCTCCAGACCTAGCTTGCGCAAACCGCAGCCCAACTGGAGACAGAGCTGCTCGTACTCGAGGAAAGTCTTGTAGGTGTAGCCGCTCATCTCAAAGAAGGTCCACTGCTTGTCAACCTCCTTCTCCACGCCATCGACGATTTTCTTGACCTTCTTGTTCTCGACATGGGTCTTGATCAGGCTGCGAGTGCCAACGGCCTTGGAGTTGCCGAACAGCCGGGCCGAGCGACGGAAGTTATCGTAGGTGGTTGCGACATCCTCGGATGGGCGCAGAATGAGCCCGTCCTTGGCTGCTGGGTGTCGTCGGGGGATGGTCTCTCCCTCCTTGCGCTCATAGCCGGGCGCCTCGACGGTGAAGGGACCCTTCTTGGCCATGCGCGGTTGGATGTGAAGATCGCGCTTCGACATGGTGGCGGAGCTGGCTCAGGGGGCGAGCGATTCAAGTGGAAGGAGGGGAGTTGGGAAGGTTGGCTGTGGAAAATCCTGGATGACGTTAGTTCCGGGGAACACGGGGGGGCGAACGAGAGCTACGAAGCTGGGGAGGGGGGGCTGAGTCAGGGCAGGGGGACTCACCCGGCACCAAAGAATGGTAAATGTGACAGGGGTAAGGGGAGAGGGAGAGGGAGAGGAAGTCAAGCTCAGTCCAGGTGGTGAAGAAAAGCAAGACTCGCAGGACACCAAGTGGCTGGGGAACGACGGAGCTTGGACTGGGACTAGACGATCGGACTCGACAGGAACTCGAGCTAGACCGAGGGGAGTATCATTAATTATTTACTTTCAATTTGCCTCTCTTCTCACCATCATAATCAGAACCACAATAATAATACTAATGCAGTAGGAGACTACCGCGGTGCGGACTCAGGAGCAGATCAGTGCTGGGTTGTTTTTTGTTGGGGCAGAGTGGAGCGACTATTGTCCTTGCAGCTTGGGAACTTGGTCTGCGGACTACGTACTCCCTTCACTACATACATACAAACGATGGACCAATTCGTCGCAACCATCGGCGAGGAAGTCACCGACGCCGAGGAGGGTGAGTATCTGACATACCCGGGCAGAACTCGCTCTGACCCATTATTCTTGTTGTGGTTATTGCAGAAGCTTTCCTCCTCTTCGCGCAGGACATCCCCTCCGCCAACCTAGGCTTCGTCGACTCCCGCGCGGCAACGGTCGACCTGGTGATCGGCGAGCACGAGTACTGCATCCATCAGTCGCCCACCTTGCTATCCTCCAGTCGAGCCGGGGGCACGACTGGCGCCGGTGAGTGTAGTTCCTTCCGGTATCCCTGATCTGCAGCCCCAATTCCCGTTCACGGACCTGGCTTGTCTGGGGCAAGGACAAAGACCCTAGAGCACGGACGGTCCCTTGCTCCGCTCCCCAGTTCTTAATCTTCCGAGCGCCCCCGTCAGAGAGCCGAGGGTGGCTTCTGACGTCGGGGTTTTGCATGCATTGCGATCAGAGCTCCCTTTGACAATTATACACTAACACCGCGGTAACAGTCCTCTGGAAAATCACCCCCCTCTTCGCCAAATGGATTTCCTCCCCTTCCAATCCTCTCTGGACGCATTCGCTTCTCTCCGCCGCCTCGGTCGTCGCCGAACTAGGCTGCGGCATCTCCGCTCTCCTCGCCCTGACCCTAGCGCCGGCCGTGCAGCACTACGTCGCCACCGACCAGGAGTACGTGCGCCGACTCTTCCGGACGAATCTAGACGCCAATGCTGCACTGAATGTGTCGTCATCATCTAAAAGCAAAGGCAGTACTAAAACAAAAGGTAGGCCCGGACAGGGGAAAAAGCAACAACAACAACAACAAAAACAACAGCCCGCAGCAGTAGTAACGAATAATATCACCTTCACAACCCTGGACTGGGAACTTGATCAGCCCGAGCTGCTGAAAAGCTGCATCGAATCCGACAATGCCCATATTCATGCCCATGCCGGCGAAGAAGAGGAAGATAAAGGCTTCGACCTCCTCCTCTCCTGCGACTGCATCTACAACGACGCCCTAATCACCCCCTTCGTGCGCACCTGCGCCGACCTCTGCCGGCTACGGCCCGGCGTGGGTGAAGCCTCTTCACCGAAAGAGCCGCTTCTCTCCTCCTCGACCGCGAGCTCCTCTCCACGCAACCCCACGATCTGCATCGTTGCACAGCAACAGCGGTCGCCTGAGGTATTTGAAGCTTGGTTGCGGGAGACCCTGCGCGAGTTTCGCGTTTGGAGGGTGAGTAACGAGGTTTTGGGGGAGGGGTTGTGTGGCGGGACGGGGTTTGTGGTGCATTTGTTATTAGTGAGGAATAGACATGAGACCTGATCGTCATGTTGGTTGATGCATATCTATCTTTCTTGTAGAAATTGGGCATTGATAATAGTTGGTAGTATATAGACTATCTTCATTTTTCTACACTGATATCCATGTTGAGACATGCAAATGCACTTGTATTAGAAAAGACCTGTCATTCTAATGGAATAACAATATTATTGAACCGCTCCACAACGTCCTGACACGCTATCCAACCAGCACAAGAGACGCAACGAGCCACCCAGAAACAAACAGAGGGTATTGACAAGAATAAGAATAACACAACACAAAGCAAGGAGCCATATGCATGAATAGATATTAATAATAATCTGGCAGCGCTTTAAGATTATTAGTTGGCAGCCAGACAAAAATCACACAACACGAGCCCTCTCCTCCCTTCGCGGTTCAGCGTTTTCCTTCTCCGCAGCCGGGGGCGAAAACTCATACTTCCGCTTCAGCGGTACCGCAGACTCCGGCGCGGAGGGGGAAAGACCCTGCGCCGAGGCATCGACCAATGCCTCTCTGTTCTCGGCGGAGTTTTCCGGGTTGCGGTCGATGATGGAGGAGATGGATTGTTTGGCAGAGGAGCCGTTGGTGTGCACCGGCGGCTTGGGGGGCGTGATGGAGGTGCCATTGGGAGTGTGGGCCATTGCGGCTGGGGTAGATGAGGACTCGTGTGCGTCCGGCATCCGGCGGTCGGTCGTTTCGGACTTGATACGGTAAGCTGAGGAGTCCGGGTCGATATCGTCGGCTTCGTCGGAGTCCATATCTTCTTCATGCTCGTCTTGATCATGATCATGATCGTCGGGGTCCTGATCCTGATCCATGGGCGTCGACCCCAGCGGGCTCTTCTCCTCGGTGGAAGCACGCTTTCCCGAAACCGGTGGCAAAGGCGCACTGGGATCGAAAACGACACCGCAGACTTCCAGAGCGCGGGACTGGCTGCCGAGCGAGCGGTCCTTATGTTTCTTAGTGAGATGGCACATGAACCCGTGCAACGTGACGAAGTCCGCCTTGCCGCAGCCCTGGATCGGGCAGGTGAGGTAGACGAGACTCCCATCCGAGGGACGCTTCCACAGCGCGCGGCCGGAGGGATCGTGCGAGGCGGGACGGCCGTGGCGCTCGCCCCAGGCCTCGACATTCTTGATGGTATATTTTTGCTTGCGCCGGATGGAGCCCGTGCTATTGACGGGCTCGTGGGGCACCGGCACCATCGGGTGGTGCTGTGGCGGTGGTGGGCCGTTGGGAGGTGGCGGCGCAAGAGATGCGTGGTGGTGATGGTGGTGCGGTGGTGGTGGATGAAGATGGTGTGGTGGTGGCGGGGGCATCGGACTAGGTGGTGGTGGTGGTTGTGCCTGAGCATGAGATGGAGGAACCGGCGTAGAAGAAGACGGGAGTGGTGTTTGGCGAGGTTCTGGCGGGGATTGCTGCTTGAAAAATGCCAGGGTGGTGGCCGCATTGGTTTCTGATAGTCGCCGTGGAGGCGTAGGTCGTAGCGGCGGCGAGTCGGCCGCAGAGTTGACGCCCAGACCCATGGACTCCCTCTTGAGTCTTTTGCGTTGGCGTCGAAGGTCCTGGGGGTGTATATGTTAGCCACGTTCGGGGTCAAGAATCAAATGATATCAAGAAAATCTTTACCTCTTCCTCTGCCTCGGCACTCTCTGTCATTCGTCGAAATTCTTCATCTTCGCGCTTCCGCACCGCTAGGATGTGGCTGCGGGTTGCCATACGGTTCATCTCCTCGTGCTCTAGCTGCCGTAGCCGTGTCTCGATCTGGTCGATCGACGTCGGGCTGGGAGGCAGCGGTGGTGGTCCGGGGGGTGCTGTTCATGCAACGGCGGTGCAGCATAATGACGGAAATGGTGGTTCTGCATCATCTGATCTGGTGGAGGCATTGGCGGATGAGTAGGCGGGTTGGGGTTCATGGCAATCGGGTGGTAGCGAGGGTGGTTGTGCTGGAGATGTGTCGGGCCACCGTTCATCCCACTGTCGGGGCCATGGTGCAGCACCGGTGGTGCAGCTGTCATGGTTGTAGATTCTTGGGATACTCAAGTAGGCTACGGAAGTCGAGGTTGGAGAGGGGAGCAAAATAATACTCTGAAAAAAAAGAAAAGAAAAAGAAAAGGAAAATCAAAGTGGATGAAAGGACTAGGATCGAAAGGAAGGAAAGAAGCAGAAAGTTCCGATCTATGGGCCTGACGGTTAGGCAATGATTGACATCCCCAGTGAAAATTAAAAATAATCATCAAATAAGCTCGACTGACTGCATCCCCGTTGCTGCTGTTATTGCAAGTAAGGGATCCCGCCTTGAGCACTGGCTCCCATCATCCTCATAACCTTGCCTCTATTTATGATTCTTCATTCTGACAGACCTGAAAATATAGGAAGACTATTCAGTGTGCGACACATGTCCCACAACACCGCTGATGATTATTTTAATTTAATTGTATTGAGGCTAGCGTGTTTAGCATGAAGTAAAACCAGGGGATTTGCGGTCAGTCAACAAGAGTTGCACCCATGGATTTGCTGGGCGCTAGTGGCATGTAATCAAATCACAATCACAATCAGGGGTGATGAGTCAATAATTGTTTTTTATTTTGTTTTAGTTAGCTAGGCATCCATACATGGCGTGGTCCAAAGGGGGAGGGAGGGTGATCTGTCATTTAATAATAAAACTGACATTTGGAGAGATCAGACAGGGCTGGGCCAGAGGTTAGCCCCTTCTTTCCATACAGTCTCGCGGCAGTGTCAACACTTGGATCCTGAAGGCGCCAATCGTATGCACTAGATCTAATCCTCGTTGTTGCCAAGCCCCGTCGCGGAGATCATTATGTAACTTCGACAAAATAATAGTTAGTTTGATCGGACGCTGTTGCTCATTAAGACTTTTGTTGTCAGGAAAAGTGTTAAATGATACTGATGCTCTACTCTGGCTCTAGGGATTTATAGGGACCACGTACTCCATTGACTGACTATCACGCTGGCACCCGTTTGCCAACGTTCTCCGGGGAAATTTATTATTCGGTCAAGTGATCCTGGATGGAGTCAACAAAAATACGCACCGTCATGGGTCGACGCAGACGCCCTACGCTCAGAAAAGAGAAGAAAAGAGCAGGGAAAGAAATGTGGCTAAACGGTGGATCAGTGGACAGTCCAATCTAGGGGAGCGAGAGGGGCGCGCTAAGGCCGATGGTTTCTCACAGGACATGATCGACGAATGATGGTAGGGCAACACACACAGAAAATTATAATTAGGTCTTCCACTTGTGGATTCGCACTGTACGGAATACACACAATACTGGAGACCATTTGTTAGGATGTACGGAGTACTGTGTGTTGGAACACCCACGACGACCCTCGTAACCCGAAAAAAAAAATGAGACCCACCACCACGACCCAGTCCAAGCCAAAGCCCTCCAAGCCCCAAGCACCCAGACGGACCCCTCCAGCTGGTGTGTATAACGGTGATTTGCCCGTCAGAGCGGCGCCGCCAACAAACCTGCGCGAACGCTTTGTTCAATCACCACCGGCGCGAGTCTAGATTGGCGGGACGAGCAGGTTCGGAACCTTTTTTCCTTGCTAGCTAAATGTAGACTGCGTCGATATGATGTGACTGCGCATGGTCTGGGCGGAGAACCTGGCCACTGCGCGCTTGCACCGTTACTCAGTGGATGTCAAATGACTTCATTCATGGGAGAAAGTGGAAGAGGAGGAGGGTTTTGCGCTGCTCTGAACAGTGGACGGGCCAAAGTACAATGTTGACCTGTCCACCACGATATAAGCAAATAGTCTGCGTCAGTCATGCAAGGAATCGAGTCGATAGAGACTATTGGTCCATTGGCATCACGACGGATCATGTATGAGCAGACAGTATAGGTTAGTGGCAACGTTTCTTTCCGGCCCACAATAATAAAAGGGGGAAAGAAGAGGGTCAAAGGAGTTTCAGACTGAACAACCCCGGAATCACACAGCAAATGAGTGGTCGAAGCAAGCCGCGGCAGGCGAACCGAGCTGTCTGACCTATCGCCCTTTTGGCGGGACTTGTTTTGCTGCTTCCACCGGCGGTTGCTTGCAGACCAAGGCAGTCCTCGTTGCAATGCAGGTTACTCAACAACGGCTTTACATGAAGATGATGGTGATAAAAACGAGGGGAGAAGTGTCCGATTTCTATTGTCACATGCACCAAATAACCAAAGCCCACACCACGTCCTTTTTTTGGTGGCCCCCCCTTCTGCCGTCATGTCATTAGATACAATTGTAGACAATCCCGGCGATACACTCTGACAGGGCAGAGTGTATCAAGGGCACAGTGGAAAAGAAAGAAAAAGAGAATCATACAAAGGGCTGTCAATCAAAACACCAGTACACCCGAAAGAGATCAGAGAAACAAGGGCCTTGTGGGAAGTATGTGTACAGTAAATGCGAAATGAGGTGCCAAACAAGAATCAGGGTCTCTAGTGCACAAAAGGAAAATAGAAAGTAAAAAATACAAGTCAGGCTGAGAGTCAAAAGAAGATCTACTCCTTCTTCTCGCCCTGCTGCTCACCACCCTGCTGCTGTTGCTGCTGCTCGTTCTGGGCCTTGTGCATCTTGTCGAACAGGGTCAGACTGGCAGTCTGGAGCTCATCGGTCTTCTGCTTCAGCTCTTCAGCAGTAGCAGTGCCCTCGCCGGTCTGGTTCTGGGCGACGAACTCGCGCAGGCTGGCGATCTTCTCCTTGATCTGCTCGGCCTCGGTCTTGTCCAGGCGGTCCTCGAAGTCCTTGAGAGCCTTCTCGGTGTCGTTCAGGACGCTGTCGGCACGGTTGGCGGCTTCAATGGCGGCCTTGCGCTCCTTGTCCTGAGCACCGTACTTCTCGGCATCATCGACCATGGACTGGATCTCCGCGTCCGACAGACCGGAACCGGAGGCAATGGTGATGGACTGATCCTTGTTAGTGGACTTGTCCTTGGCGTGGACGTGGACAATCGAGTCGGCATCGATGTCGAAAGTAACCTCGACCTGAGGAACACCACGGTGGGCCGGGGGAATGCCGACCAGCTGGAAGTTGCCCAGCATCTTGTTGTCCTTGACAAGCTCACGCTCACCCTGGTACACCTTGATCTCCACGGCGGTCTGGAAGTCAGCGGCAGTCGAGAAGGTCTGCGACTTCTTGGTGGGGATGGTGGTGTTGCGGTTGATCAGACGGGTGAAGACACCACCCAGGGTCTCGATACCGAGAGACAAGGGGGTGACATCAAGCAGCAGAACGTCGGTGACCTCACCAGCCAGGACGGCACCCTGGATAGCAGCACCAATGGCGACGGCCTCGTCGGGGTTGACCGACTTGGCGGGTTCCCGGCCGAACATGGACTTGACGGACTCGGTGACCTTGGGCATACGGGTCATACCACCAACCAGGATGATATCCTGAATGTCCTTGGATTGGAGGTTGGCATCCTTCAGCGCCTTGCGGACGGGCTCAGTCGTACGGCTGATCAAGGGGTCCACCAAAGACTCGAGCTGGGCACGGGTCATCTTCTCTTGGATATGAAGGGCACCTGCGGCTCCGGCCGAAATAAAGGGGAGGCTATTTTTGGGGTCAGTAAACCGTTTTCAAGTTTTAATGGAGTGCATTCTTACGAGACTGTTGATATTGGTTAGTGAATTGTTTGCAAAAGACTCGTGGGATGCATGCTTACTCTCAGTTTGGAGCGAAGAAGACAGCTCAATCTTGGCCTTCTCGGCAGCCTCACGGATACGCTGGATGGCCATACGGTCACCCGAAAGGTCCACACCGGACTTCTTCTTGAAAGACTCAACAATATGGCGGACCAGGGTGATGTCAAAGTCCTCACCACCGAGGTGGGTGTCACCGTTGGTGGACTTGACCTCGAACACACCCTTCTGGATCTCAAGAACCGAGATATCGAAGGTACCACCACCCAGATCATAGACAGCGACCACGCGGTCGGCCTCCTTCTCCATACCGTAAGCCAGAGCAGCGGCGGTAGGCTCATTGACGACACGGAGGACATTCAGGCCAGCGATCTGACCGGCGTCCTTGGTAGCCTGGCGCTGAGAGTCGTTGAAGTACGCGGGAACAGTGACGACGGCGTTCTTGATGGGCCGGCTCATGTAGGCCTCAGCAGTCTCCTTCATCTTGGTCAAGACGAAACCACCAATCTGCGAAGGCGAGTACTTCTGGCCACGGGCCTCAACCCAGGCGTCGCCGTTGGTGTGCTGGACAATCTTGTAGGGAACCTGCTGGATGTCACGCTGGACCTCGGCATCGGTGAACTTGCGACCGATGAGACGCTTGGTAGCGAACAGAGTGTTCTCGGGGTTGACCACAGCCTGGCGTTTGGCAGCAACACCGACTAACCGCTCACCATCCTCAGCGAAACCAACAACCGAGGGAGTGGTACGGGCACCTATCGCGTGTTTAGGTTAGCAATTTGTAAAATCAATTGGCAAAGCTCCCCTGAAAGCCCAGCATGGGAGCAGCGCCGGCGAGGTAAAGCCTGGCTTCACATACCCTCAGAATTCTCAATGATCTTGGGCGACTTTCCCTCCATAACGGCGACAGCGGAGTTGGTGGTACCTAGAAGCAACGATGTTAGTCAGTGGTCCAAAAGAATCTCCACGGCCACGCGAGCACTTACCCAGATCAATACCGATGACCTGGCCCTTGACCTTCTCCTCACCACCTTCCGTCGAGTTCCATCGCCGGAATGCAGCGCCGGGGATTCTGGAGACGGGGGCGCGAGGGAGGGAAGCAGTGCGCGGAAGCTGTCGCGACGAAGTCAGTTATGTGTGGCCATTTTTTTCGTTTGCCTCGGGAAAAACATACCGCGCGAGCAAAGCGAGACGCCAGCATTGTGCAGAGAAATTAAATAATACAGCAAAGAGAGAAAGGGGATATAATCCGGCGGCTCAGTCGCAGAGGAGTGAGACGGGTGGGAGGGAGGATGGGAGATGGAGATGGAGATGAAGGGGATGGAAGCAGGAGGAAAAACGGAGGGTAGAAATTTAATTGCGCGGGAAGCTTCGGGCCGTCGAAGCTGGTGGAAACCCGCGGGTCACGGGATCAGATTCACCGCCCTTGTTTTCTGCCGGGTCCCGGGAGTATGTAGTGTCTGTGGCAAGCAGGTGCAATCGTTCTTCTTTGATATCGGTTCCTCGGAAGATGTACTCGAACGTTTGACATTTGAGAAGTTTCTCGGACAACCTGTCAAGCATATCGGGCCCAGGGTGTTACTGGTAGGACGAGATATGAGAAGTTGGCGTTCTGCCAAAGCCAGACCTCCGGTTTCTAGAGCCCAAAGAATCTTGGCCTACAGACCGCTGCGCTGGCGAGGCTGCACCGAGGCAGACGAGCGGCAAATGAGAACACCCATCCTCACAGTGTAATGGCAAGCGTGAAATCGGTTATATTCTGAAGCACGATCCTCAGGTCTTCGCGTGCCACCAAGTCTGGATTCGAGGAGTCTACTCTAGTTCTCCGAGAGACTATGATTCCACTGCAGAGGACGGCGCGGGGGCTTCGTGTTTGACTTCCACTGTTGCAATTCATCGACTTCTGCTTCTTGCACTGGTGAAAGATATTCATTACTTAGAAGACCTGAAATTCGTCAGTAGTGACCAATGCTAGCCACAACATGAAATATATACTTCACACGCATTCAATTAAAATAGTAGGCTGCCACACACGGTGCAGAATGAAACAACACAACAGAGTAGATCACTAGCTAGATAATAACAGTTATCAGGGTATACTTCTCAGGTTATCTCATCGCGATGTCACTGCTTGCGGTCACCCGCATCCGATCCCCGGACAATGCCTTACGTCATCACCCCCAATGAGCTAACTATCAGGCGGCGCTGCTGTATTGCTGTCACCTCCGTCTTGTCACCTGTGTCGTGCGAAATTTGGTGACCTACGCCTCTCCCTCCAGTCCATTCGTCTTGCGGTCAACCGGGCAAGTCATCGCCATACTTCCCCCACCCATTCGAACCATGCCACCGGCCAAGCTAGCATCATGACCTCGGACTCGACTTTGCTGTGAGTCGCTCCGCACCGGCACACGACAGAGCTAATCTTCATCGCGCACAGCCATCATCCGACCGAGTCGCTCATTCTCTCGGCCAAGCGCCGGTTCTTCCCCTTCAGAATCCCCAACTTGTCCGTTCACCCCCGCTCCCGGAGCTGTGCTCGCCGCAGAACTGACTTTCTCTTAGCCACACGCAGCTTCGTCACTACATCAGCACTGCCGACCCCGATAGGATTTATGTTGTTGTTGAGCGAATCATTTACGCGATCCACATATCGGCCCAGAAGCGGGAGAGCATAGCTGCAATTCCATTCGAACCCCGAGGCCTGGCTGCTGCGCATGGCTGGATCGGGGTGGGAGGTCCAGAGAATGGCGAATGCGCATTCATTAAAATCGGTGACCCAGGCATGCAGGTTCATGGTTCCTTGTCGCAACACTCCGATGTCGATAGCGCGCTCCCACTGGACCTTGACCCACCCGCAAGATCAGCATCCCCAGACACAGCGCATGGAGACTTACCACGAGCTCGCCGTCTTATTCAAGATCGTTTTCCAGAAGTGGAGCTTCACAAGTTTGGTGGCAGTATTGTGAACTCTGTGACGATCCATCGCTTTCCAGGAGATAAAGACAGTCTAGCTGATGAAGATGTGATGGTCCTGAGGTAAGGATAAAAAGATAACGATCTGAGCATGGTCTGCCAAGCTGACCAATGCCTATAGCAATAACGATTGCACAGTAACCGTCTATTCACTGACCCGTGCTACAGTACTCAAGGTCCTTGACCATCCAAAATACATGAACTATGCGACCATATCCCCCGACTCCAAATTATTGACCGCCGTTGGAGATGAAGACCGAGCCTACTTCTATAAGATCTCTCGTGACTGGGAATCGACCTCGATCACAGACTCAGGCAAAAGACTGACAGGATGGGAGTTCGATCTTACATGGTGTGTCGAAATGGATATCGGCCCACGGCCGGATGATGCAACCTGCTTCACAGTGGCTTTCTCCCCATCAAGTCATCTGTGCGCTGTCGGATCGCAATCGGGAATCATCACCGTCATCGATACTGAAACCATTCATAAGAAGGCGGCTGATGCGGACAACGGCAACCCGATTGTCTGTCAATTCCCAGCTTCCAGATCCTGTTCTGAAGGGGGTGCTGTCCGTTGCATGACTTTCTCCCCAGAGCCATGGGATCTCTTGGTCTGGTTGGAAGGCCATGGCAGGGCGGGAGTTGCGGATGTGCGTCAGGCATTCTTACGCAGGCAAATCCTTCAACTGGATGCCGACGGGCCCGATTTGCAAGAAGTACATATGGAGCCCTTTTCAGACGATTCCGAAGGCCAACATATGGAGGATGAAAGCATGGGGGCGACTCGAACCAGACTCGACGAGGAACTGAATCAATCAGGAGAGGACGTTGATCGTGCTTCATTGCGCGATACCTTGATACAAGATCTCACAGAACGAGAGAGATTAATCATGGACTTTTTGAACAACGCACGTTTCACATCCAGGCTGGAAGAGGGACTCACCGAGCGACCGGAAAGGCCAGCTAGGGTAGCTCTCCAACCTCACCCAGCGGTGCGTATGCGAGTCCATGGCTCTACAGATGGGACCATTCGGGCCTCGCCCCCTACATCCCCTCCAAATCTCTACGATTCCCCCCGAAATATCTCGCGTGACGGCGACCTTGGCCCCAGTTCACGGCGCCAGAGCTCGGTTGTCCTGTCCCAGGGCAGCCGTGCTTCGGAAACGGGTACTTCCAGCCATGATCGCCAGTCAAGTATCACCCTCAGTTGGACAACACCGCCATCTGAACTGCAGTCTACTGAGTCCGATAATACTTCACGAAATGTTGACCCTGACATTGACGTTGGGCATGAAAGCAGCCGGTCAATGAGGCCCCCCGAGGTGACGGGATCTACTCCCGCCCCGCTGGACTTCGGACTCTCTTCGGAAGGGATGACTCGCCTGAGGTCCCAGCGCTCCAGCTCAACACCCCGACGGACTGAGCGAGCCCCTAGTGGCCCAGAACGGCGATATGACCCGTCACGTCTTAGTAACTACGAGATTCGAGCGAATGTAGCCGCAGAGCGGCTTCGGCGCCAACGGCAGATCGCGAATGAAGTACATAACCGTTCATTCGAACGGGAACATCGACAACGTCAGCAATTCCTGGGGTTTGAACAGGCGCACTCCCCCCGATGGATCAGAAACATCATCAATGACCTCCCAGACCGAAGCTTGATTCATGGCCCCGGTGCTGAAGAGCCAGACTCCACTGCTGGTGTTGGCTGGGGAGCTGATGGCAGAACTCTGTACGTGCATAAACTGGGACATTAATTAAGCCTTTACTGACGTTCTGCAGGTACATTGCGACCCTGGAAGGAATCTTTGAATTCCAGATCAACGTCCACGATCGAAAAACTTTCCCTGTTCTCTCGTGTCGCTGATTATTTCTACTGGCTGTGCCAGGTCCCCTTCGTTCTTTCCCACCGGGTCTCTGATTCACCCATTCTATCAATACCTAATGACATCTATTCCCTTGCAAATCTGAAGCCACATTTCTCCTATCGGAGGTACAGCAGACCGCAATGAACATGGTAAGATACCACTACTGAAGGGAAGCTTCCACCCATCTGTTATTTTGCTTGTTTTTTGCTCTTATCGCATCCGCTTGGGGCGCCTCAGGGGCGTACATGCCACCAATTTTTTGTATGTTCTTCGTGCACAGAGCGCTTAGCTAGGTACAAAAGTTCGGTTATATACTGGCTCTTCACCAATTTCCGTATTCCCGCAAGTAAAATCTCGTAATATTCCTCCTTCGGCACTGTTTTTGGTCTCTTTTTAGTTACCCCGACAATTCGAAGCTCGTAGGTACTTCTTATCGCGCGAGCGTGGAAACCCTTGCTGGCCTCAGGCATAAATATAAGTCATGTGACATGGCCCCCTGATGTGGATTGTTCTCGCACCGACACGCCCATACAAACACGAACCGCTTCCAATGTCTCTCTGGAGGTAAGTAATTAGGGATTGGGAAATAAGTTACTCAAACACGAAGAAGCATTGCTAACGCTTACTAATATAGCTCATACCGTTCTCTTTCGCCGAAAACCCGGGCCCTATTCGGCGTCGGCGTCATGGCGTGGGCGACGATCGGGTTGTGGACGGCACCGCAGGTCGAGGACGCGATGGGGATGAAAGCTTCAAAGGAAGAGCAGGAGGCGCTGGATCGAAAGTTGGCGCTGAAGGTTTCTAGGGTTGGTGCTGAGGAGGAGAAGGGAAATTCTCGATGAGCTGGCTGGTTGGTCATTGGGCTCGCGCAACGCTACTCTACAGCGGCCTTATGGCCAGCGCACGCTTTTGGCCTCTCATGTCTTCCAATGGGCTGAAGCAACCAAGCCAGTATCTTTTCAGCCCTATAGAAGCTATCAGGGGGAAAGGAAATGTGCTGCTCACTCCGATGAACGGCTCAGAGCCGAAATGATGAGACCGAGCTGGGCTTTGGGGTTTGAATTGAGAAATTATGGGTGAACGTCAAACTAACTCAAACCTGGTCCGATGTGTTCAATTGTCCAATTAAGAGGACCAGATTGCGAACTGCTCGTGCTTTGGCCAAAGCACATTCCACATGCTCCTTCCAAGAGAAATCGGACCGGGCTGTTTGTCGCTCTGGGAGAGGCCTAGCCACTTTGCCGCGGTCTTGCATCTATACCTGAGCCCTACCATCCACGCGCGCCGGCAACCATGCAAACGGTCCTTCGTTCCGATGATCTACGGCCGCTCAGACTGCGGACCTCTGATCCTGATCACGGACCTCACTGGAACCGTCTTGTATAGTGAGACAAACCGGGTGCACCGGTCCAGATCGAGAGCCGCCAGCCCCCCAGCGCAGCAACAGCCAATAAGGACATAGGGATTATATTTTAATCTCTGGCCTTGCCAATGTTTCGAAGGAGAAGATGCGAATGATGGGGGAACAGACACCAAAATTGCTACAAAGGACACGTCGGGGCTGGTTGAGGTTCAGAAAAAGTTCAGGGAATCGGCTGTGTATGTTGCACGGCGGATGGATAGTCAGGGACCCATGGCCATCCCGGGATGTTTTCTTCTCCTTCACGTGTTTCTCGGGATATTTGTTCCCTGGTGAGACAGGCTGCTCGGAAGCCGTTGACGTGGAACCCAGAGGAGATCGAACATATGTCCCTGGATAAGCACGCCCAGTCGCATTTCAAACCCCGGAGGATTCTTCTACGCATCGGACAGATTCTGCGACCTTCCACGACCAACCAAATCCTGTTGGCCCCCCGAACGTCAAAGCGGCATGGCGAGCAGGGATGGTTTGACCCTATTGGGGACAAAGACAGGCGTCGAAGCATGAGAATGAGAACGACTGGCGAACCAACCTAATACCCAGATCGCTCAAAATCCCAAGGAGTTGAAAATGAGGACGCAAGCGTGCACTTTATGGCTGTCGCACCACCAACCCAGAGTATAGTGGATGCCGTGTCTCCAGAGTCAAGAAACGGGTTGTTCTCTGGCCGCAGTTTACGCCCTACCCCGGCATGTTGACTAGGATCAAGTGCATTCTGTTTGCCTGTGCTGAATTCACGCATGCACGTTCCCAGCCTCTCAGCATCTAAGACAACGTGTTTCCATCCCTGTCTATTTCTCCCGGTATTCATACTCTCTGTAGTGCACTGCTAAGCCTTAGAACGAAGCCAATCTCAATCCATCTATTCTTGTAGCGACAGTGGTTTCTCCTCAACTCCGAATCTGCCGTGCAACAAACTCGGATTAGAAGAGATTCTACAACGGCTGTTGGGCAGAAAGCCCGTGCGGGTGCATATTTCTCTTTTCCTTCTCTGATCTTCTGTCTTAGACTCAATCAATTCCATCCCCGGGTAGTGCGCACAGACAGTAAGATGTGAAAATGAAAACTGGGGGCAAGTGATCAAGACTGGCCTCAATTGCTCGCTCGAATGGACTTGTACAACGTGCAGGATCGAGGTCAAGGTCGTGCGGATCAGGTGCTCAGGATTCGAAATTCCGATTTCCTCCGTTTTCAGACCAGCGTCTATACACTATCTATTGTAGTCACTGCCAGAGGTGATCAACAAGAAATGCGTGGATGATATTGATGAGCTGTTGAGTCATAACTCACCTTACGAATATCCGACCCAAATGCAAGTTATTATTTCTTTTCATAGTCCGATTTGGAATTCAAATGTACCTTCTCCATAGTGGCAATATTTAGCAAATATCTTTTACTCGAACTTCAAGCATACGAGATGCATCAACTAGTTATTGCAGCGCCGGAAATTCAAGCGCTGGATGAAGAATAGGTGCGGACATGCAGACGTAAGATTTTATTTTCTTGATAATGTTTTTACTGCACTCATGTATAGTAAATAGTTCCGCGGATGATCGAAAACATGTGCAGCACATCCATCAGAGAATCATGCATGACATCAATAAAATTCAAGATACTTAATAATATCCACATTAGTTCGTTCTGCATCTCAATTTGTTCCTAGTGCAGTCTCCTGATTGCCACTGCGAATGTCTTAAGTTTCGGCAGGTCAAAACAAGGCTTAGCTGAAGCATGCAATATACCCCACGACCTGCATGGGACTGTCGATCACCTGGCGTCGATCACTCGATGACCCTAGTGCTCGATCTCGATTTGTTGAAAGAAGCAAAGACACAACTTGCATATTCCTTATACATCTTGCGCTGTACATATACATCTACCAAAAGAGCAGATTATTGCTGCCTACTAGAGGCCAAAAAAGGCTATAGCTTGCGCTTGCTGATTGGCGATATGTGCGTTGTCCCAGATAGCCTGTCTTCCCTTGGCAGCGTTTGTTTGAGGTCTCGACTTTGTTTCCAAATTTATGATTGGAACAATCAATAAAAATAGGCTACATCACCCAGATCGGATCCCTGCTCATTTCTGTATTTCTTTTGTACCGCATACAGGCGTATGGAAATTAAAAACAGAATATGTCAATTGCCTCTGCAGGCCAGAAGTTTATTGGCTAAAAAAGTGATAAGAATTTCAAGAAAGAAACAAGGTAGGGAAAAAGCAAAGCTGCAGATTCTCAGCTTCCACTGAATCCGATCGGACCTGACCAAGGCCAGGTTGCAATTAGAGGTGGGTTGTGGCAAATTGGGGAATTAGCAGCTGAGACAGGAACTTGAATGGAGTTGGAGAAGGTTCGCATTTTTCGGTAGCATTCTGCACGCTCGCTCTCCTTGTGAAAGGGGTCATCTTAATTATAAGAACACATGGCAAGAAAAGAAAAAATTCAGGTAAAATGGATTCTCGGCCGACTTTTCGCTGCGTGGGAGACCCTGGAGGCCAGGTGCAGGATAGCAGTTCATGCCAACCATCTTCCTAGTCCTTCCGGAGAACTAAAGAAGACCGAATGAGGATCAAAATAAGGCACAAGAAAAAGGAAAATAGAAACCGAAGATGAAGAAAAAGAAGCCCCAGAAACCAGAAAGCAAATGCCATAGAATCGTCTTCCGCGCCTTCATGCTCCAGTCCGTAATTGGTTTCGTTCAGTGCTATCAAAGCATGTCGCTTAGGTGCACAAGCTGTGCGGGTTTTGTATAGGACCGTACCGGCCATAAGTCGAATAGACCGGGTCATATCCTCCAGCACTGAGCTGCTGCCTGTGTGGGTGGCTGGCAACTCCGGCGAAGGTAGGGTCTTGGTAGGGATCGGTCTTGAGATAGTGATCAGTCTTCAGCGTATCCATCGGATCCATCGTATCACTCATGATTGAGTAGTCAAAGCCCGACGAAGAAGACGACGAGATCAAAGGACTGTCACTCAGCGGGGAATGCTCCGCCGTAGGCATATGCCGATAATCTGTTCTGCCGAAAGGACCACGATGGCCCGAGTCGTACATGAGCAGATGGGATCGCGCTGCTTGGCCGATTCCGGGAGGGAGAGAGCCTCCGCTGCCGTCGCCGGCGTTGGTATCGGGGCCCATGCTAGCGGCGCTGTCCCGACGACCATCCTTGTAGTGACCGGGAGAGCGCCCCCGGACAACCATTGCGTGTGATTGGCGTCGAGCGATGTGAACCCAACGAGCTTTGCCATCAATGGGGTTGTAAACTTCAGCCTGGAGTTCAACAATCAGATTGTAGGTTTGTTGCTGCGCGCGGCGCTTGCCATTGTTGGCGGTTGCCTTTTGGAACTGAATTCGCTGGAAAATATGCTGCGTAGGTGGTTGACAGGGTGGAGCAGTATTTGTGAAAGATGTATTGTAGTCCACCGACTGCGAAAATCCCGAATTGCTAACATTTGAAACAGACCCTGCAGATAGCGAACTGGGCGGAGCAGGTTGAAGAATAACTCGGCCAGGCCTGGTCTCAGACTGCTTATCTCTCTTTGGAGTATGCTGCACAAGATCCCGAGTCTCGCCATATTGCCCATTCACGATTGCAGAGATGGACATTGCGAAACCTCGGATAGGTTCCAGCGTCTGATCTGGCTTGCGAAGGTACAGGGGAACCGATGACAGCCAGGGTTGCAGCGTAAATGAGCAGGTGACGGCGAAATAATTCCGGCGATAGCAGGTCCATTTGCCTTCAGATGGGAAGAATCCTCTACCCATTTTGGCATGGACCTCAGGTGTGATCGTGTGCTGCGCGCCTGCCATATCCGCCACAATGGACTCAAGGATGCATGTTTCTTCAAACGGTGGAGCTGAATTATTCTCAGCCTGTGGCTGGGATCGCTGAGTTTGTTCCATCATGGGCTGAATCAAGCTGTTCTGGCTACGGTCGAAGCCAGTGTCCAGAACTCGAGTGTTCGTGTGCTGGGGAGCCCGAGAAGCATCGCCCAGCGGGAATCCCGGCCCCCGCTGAAGAGAATAAGAAGGTAAATAGGCGTTATTCCGTCCCATAAATGCCGGAATAGAGTTGACGGAGGGCCCCAGGCTCTGCATGGTTGTTGACATAGCGGGGGGTTGTCTGAAGTGAATACCGAGTTTTGTCAGTCACCATAGCTACTTAGACACAGGCGACATACTCACAAAGTGTGTGGTAGCCCTCGAAAGTCTCCAAATCTATCGAATGAATGATGGTGAGGAGGATGAGGGAAAAGAGGACCAGAAATGGGAGAAAAGGAATCTATGTATGCCGCAAGAATTTCCTTGTTAGAATATAACAGATATTGGAGATTGATGAGGCATGGGCAATACCAGAGCAGGAATCCGGGGGTGTCATTGCAGCCGTAGTCGAGACAGGAAAACTATAAGAAGACGACACGTTCAGCATGTTACATCACCACACAATCTCCGCGAGCGAACGCCTAGCGAGAGAAAAGACAGGAATTCAGATGAACCCTCGCGCATGATGTGTAAAAAGAGAGGAGGACGGAGGGCGCATGTAAAAGCGGGAGCAGAAGCCGGAAAGCACGAGACTAACTCAGATAAAAGGGTCAAGGCATCGGAAGAAACACATGCACGTAGCAGATGGGTATGGAAGGTAAGAAAACAGGCTGGACTAAAGTCTAAGCTGCCTGGACCCGGAGGAAGCGCATTGACAAGGGGAGGCTGGCCAAGTGGCGCGCAAGGACAGTCCAGATTTAAAGAATAGAACGACTTACTGCAAATCCTGCATAGCTGCCTGCTGTACGCTGTACCTCACACCGTTGGTAACAGGCATAGAGGCGAGAGCTCCGACTCGCTGATTGTTGTCATCTTCATCCGTCCCAAACGCCGGCAAATGGGACCACAGTGCTTGCCCACCCAAATAGTCACCGTCTGAAGAGGCAGCTGGGCAGTTAAGAAATGGATCTGGAAGAAAAGACGCTGGGCACGTCGTCGGTCAGAAGGGCAGAAAATAAAAATAATAATTTGCGAAAAAGGCAAAGGTCACCAGCGGTGATATTTAACCAACCGCATGACGGGGCAACCATGGAAGGAAGAGACACTTACAGGGATCCATCCTGAGCGGTGTTTTGCCGGGTTCCTCGTGGACCCTGAGTATGGACTGGTGAGGTGACACCAGCGAGACACCTAAGCCGTTGCCTGGCCCTTGATGTCCTTTGTGGCAAAGTCCAGCGTCTAGATTGGTAACAGGGTCAGTGACTGGGTCCAAGTCAAGGTTGTCAGTGGGGGTTTCTCACAAAACTGTGCTGGAATTCGTGGCAAAGCTCGCTCTGAAGCAGGAAAGGCACGGGCTTTGGACCAAAGGTATCAGAGGTGAGAAACCGAGGTGTTATGCAGGTGAAAAACAGGAGATGTGGAAAGCGGATACTATTTTGCAAGAAGCAAAGCGAAGGGAGCGAAGAAAGAAATCAAGAGAGTAGAAAGGAGTGATAAAGTGAGGGCATGCTTGAAGAGAGTGAATAGGTCGAGCCTCAAGTAAGAGAAGAGCGAGCAGAAGACAGACACAAAAGAAATGGGGGATCGCTGACTCGTCCACAAATTCGTCACCAGATATTGGCAGATTGCATGATTTCTTAATTCAGAGGCCTCACATAGACCCGCTGACTTTGTGCTCAGCTTGCTAAAGAGCTTAATTGGAACAATGGTCAAAGCAGGAGCAAGGTCCGCGGGCACTAGACCGGGAGATCTGAGGAAGATCCTGGGATGACAGGCGCAGAATGAAAAAATAATAATAATAATGGCAGTAATAGAAAGGGAAAAGAAAAAGGAAAAACCGTAGTCGAAAAAAGGAACTTACTGGTGTAATATAATGTGACTGGCCGTACAAATTAACAGATCAAGCCACCAGCGACATTGACGGGCAAGTAGCTTGCATGCACTGTAGTGAAGCAGATCTCGCCAGTGGTGAGAAGTTCAACCAAGCATAGAAGTGCCGATGCCAAATGTACAGGATAACCCCAGTGGCAGATCGCAAGTAATTTCTTTTGGAGGGTCCTAGTGCAGGGCTGTGGCTGGGCTGAGGATGGAGCCAACGACCGGTTGCAGCTTGAATAAAGCGCCTTTGGGATCTTTGGTAAGGGGGATGGTGCCTCATCAACTGATATTTGATGTGCATTGACTGATGAATGTGTATGGGAGATGACGAATTTCTATTTTCTAGCTCTCTGCACTGGAGGATTGCCCTGCCTCTTGCCAGAATAAGACCACCGTTGGTTCTCCAGATCCTGGTTGCTTTCCTAATGTGGATACAACCCCCAGTTAGTCTCTCCAGGCATCACGGCCGAGCCGAGAGGCGACTTTCATCACATTTGCCACGAGTTTCCGTGTTTAAGCTCGGTCAGATAGCCAGGGACATGGGAAATACGTTGTATTCGGGAGGGCAAAGAATGGGTGCCAGCAGGCAGTGTGCATAGGGGTCCAACTGGAGCGGTCCAGCCCGTGGTTCTGTAAGATAATTTTGGAATTTCATTTTTGCTTTTTATTTTATTTTTCTTCATGTAATAGAGGCGCAAGAGGTATGGAGGCGATTTATCCATCCGCAGAACTGTAGCATCGAATCATTAGAGTCATCTTGATCAATTTATGGCGCATGTCATTGGTCAGAACCACCATGTTCTGTGCTCTAGAAGCCGAGTCTCAAGGGTTGAACGCCAGCTGCACGGACAGCGGCTGATACGAGATGGGTAAGGCACAGTATAGTGATTGTTCAATGGCAGGCACCTAGGCTGTATTATCCACAGCCGAGTGGCCCCGATGAAGTCAGATGTGCCAGCGCGAACACCCGATAAGCGGGTCACTGCATGAAAACGAAATAAAATGAAACGAAAAAGGCTAGAGGTGACGATCGACCCTCCAGGCTAGCCGTGTAGCCCCCAGTCGCATGACAGAGAATGATGTATCAGACCATGGAACTCGCAGAGAGCCAATAGGCGGGTTCCATCCTCATCACGGCCCTGTAGGAAAGCGCCGGTGAGGAAGCAGAACCCCATTAATTGTCAATTCTCTTTTGCACTTCTGACCCGCCTGTCGGAATAGTCACCGAGACGTGGCAATTATTTGATTGTGGAAATACTTGAGGAGCACGAGCAGTGGTTTAGATTCTGTATGAAGAAAATAAGATCAGGCGATCGGCAACTCTCTACACAACAACTGCATTGTCCTGTGCTGGCGACATCCTCACCGACAAACTGAAGCGAGAAAATAACAAGGCGGCACTGGTGACTGTATGCAGCCATGGACGGCCCGAGACACATCCCGCTCCACCACCAGAGAGCTTTGACCCCCGCCCGGCCTGGGGCTCTTTTCCTCCGGCAGACCAAGAGAGCCCTAATCCGGATATAGCCCGCACAAGGAAGTGTAAAAACAAGAAAGGGCACAAGGAAAAGCACAAGGCGTACGCGGCAGCTTTTCAGGAAAGAACTTCCGGTCTACTAGGGCAGTGGAAATAAACATCTCGAGTGGAAGGAATAACCATAGATCCAGAGATCCCAGGCCCCAGAAGCGGGTCCGCGGTCCGATTCGTGTCGACAGAACTTGCATTAGTGGACAGATCGGCCAGGCTACCGCAGCCTAGTTGGGTGAGTAGTGTGCAAAGCGTAGGACTCTGGAAAAGCACCCGACAGCTAATGATTGGTCGGGGACACAGTCAATAGAAGGCCGTGGAAATGTTGTGCATCATTCGTTCACTCTTCCCCTCGAGCTCCATACATATCTCCGTGAACAATGGCCGTGCTCATCCTAAATAGGACAGGGTGTGTTCCGCTTTGGGCTAGATAATAGCAGATCGCAAGCCATTCACACTGCCGAGAAGTGATGAAAATGTTGTCTCCTTGCTGGCACGTGCAGGGGCGGTGAGTGCCGTCCAAGTTCCAAATTAGTACAAGCTGTATCCATGAAGATAGCATGTAGTGTGTAGTATGGCCACCCTCTACTTCGTGCCGGAGCTCCGGCTCGGGGAACGAGCCTTCTTAGGCTCCACTGTTCGTGATCTATCGCTTCGAAAAACGCTAAATTACACTATTTTGCATGCGACACATAAAGCATTGTAATTGTCCGAATAATTACTAGGGTTGCTCTAGCAAACCGTACCAGGTACATCGGTCGCTGCAGGTACCTCTTGAGGTGAGTTTTTAGAGTGCTAAATATATACTTCGATTTAACTTCTACTAGGTGGGATCCCGCCAATGAGGCGAGAACCGCATAGATTTCCATCAAACAAACCATGGACAGAAGTACTCATTATTGTCTCAGCCTGGTCTTCGAAGGCACATGCCCCATTGTCGGATGCCTCCTTTTGCCGCCCGTTGGTGGCTGTATTGATATCTCGACGTCCTGACGAGCATTCCTGTGCGACGCTGGCCATTCGTCGCCAAGCAACAATGAGCCGTGGTTGATCCCGCCGCCCATTTCCGGATCGCATGGAAGGGATAGAGGGGGAGAAAAAAAGAAAAAAAAAAAGAAATACAAACTATCAGACGACAGTAAAGAAGCCAATGGTTCGTCTGCATGCTCTTGAAAGGTTATACGTTCAGTGCATTGGAACAGTCCAATGACCGGGAGTCTCCGAAAAAGGCAGCAGCCGGGGTGGCATATTGTGAATTCTTGAACTCCCCTTGTTCCGTGAGCCTGGTACAATATGTCGCTTGCTCTAGGGTTCGCTGCGCAATTTCTCTCAACGTCTAACACAATATGGCAGCAAATATCGTGCGAGTCATTTTCCGGTCCTTCAGGCTACCAGATCTACGACAAGGTCGGCAATCCCCTCCTCACTGCTTCCTCTGATTTTTCAAAATATACTTAATAAGATAGGCGCATTAACTTTCCGTAGACCAGCGCCCCAGAGTCAGAAGACACACATCCAAGGCATCAACTCCCTTGGATTCAAGGTTCCTGGCCTGTCACCTGCGTACCACGGATCCTGAGATTGAGGGTTACTTCCTTATGATCTTCAACCCGATTGCTGTTATCCACAGGGAAGGATGTTTCGCCAAGGGTCCTACCTGTCCTCCCTCAGTCTATGCAGTGGACCTGGTGGGTATTCTCATTGGCGGCAGGCCATCCTGTCATCCTAAACTTTGATCCACCGGGATCTACAACCTGGCAACATCCGATCGTGTCGTATTATAAACCATGGGGCTTCTCGGCAGATAGATCCCCTGAGAAGGAAGCCAGAAATTGCTTCGCTGCTGCTGAGCATTGCAAGACATGCCCAGCAAATGATATCCTCAAGACTGGGATCTAGCCGGCAACAAAATCTGACAATTGGACAGTCGATCTTGTCTCGCGATAATAAAAGCTTGTCAGGCGGGCGCCACCTTCTCTGAACGGTCAACGTTGGATACAGTCCGATTAGGCTGCCGTCAGGACCAATAGGCAAATATCTTTTTTTTCCCACTCCACCAGTGTGGCGACCGGATCCTCTTCTTCATCTTTCCGTTCTATTCCCTGGAACCCGGCCGACCAATTCGGACTCGGGCTTGAGTAGCACGGAGGAAACAGCCAAGAAAACAAAAAGCCCCTCAAGAAATGTGCTCAACGGCAACCTCTCTTTACCAAGAACTTCCCTTTTTGGCGTTTGCCTCGAGCGTCCCACCACACGCTCCAATACTTTGCCATCGTGGCCCTGTCAACATTGCTCTTGGCTTTGGGACGTCATGAATGCCTTTCACATCTGTCTTGCTTGTCCTACTTCAGTCCACATTGGCGGAAGAATAAGAGACAAATTCCAAAAAATAACTTTGAAATGCGGTGGCCTAATAGTTTCAGAAAGAAATTACCAGCAAGTTCACGGATCCGCCCCATCCTTGTGGCAAGGGGCGCAGCGAAACGTGCCTATCCCCTGTAAGCTTTCCCATGTCTCTTTCCTGAAGTGGGACGCTGATGCTACGTTTGGCAACCCAATATTAAGCCCTTTCCAGGGAAGTGGGTCCTGCCGTTCAAGGATCTAGACAAGTCTCTCAGCGTAAAAAGAAGGTCTTTCTTTGTTCGGGGTGGCCGATGGCATCGAATATACACCCAAGTGCATCAATCTAAGCTCTGAGCAGATCTTTAGGCATCAGAGAAAATCTCTTCAGGCATTCGGTGATGAGACATCAGGGATATTCGTTGCAGCGGGCTGGACAGGATTGCTGGATCTGGCAAGAGCTAAGTAGATACGAAAGAAAAAATCAAAAGCACATGGATTAAGCTAAGTCGAGCCTAGCCTTCTTCCATTCACAATATCGTTCCATTCTGGTAGACAAAGCATGTCTGGCATCGAGTCACCGAATAAATCACCCTCAATATCCCAAGCCGGATCCGATGGTGGCATGCTTTGGCTGGGCCATTCTGGCTCTAGCATGTTCTCATCTCTCTGCATATACTCGAGATCCATCTCTTCTTGTGGTCCATTGTGAGTTGCATAGCTTGATTCACCAACATTAGTACTCTGCGAGACCCCCTTGTTGACTTTTCTATGCGTCCCCGATGCAGATCGTCTGTAGCCGCCTCTTGCAATCCAAACTTGGTGTCGGATCCGAGCAAGACATCGCCAGATACTCCCTCTCCCAGCGCCGACTGCTGACAAGTCGTCCGAGTACGACAGGGCATCGAACATCTTGTTTACCAGATCCCACGCTTTCTCGGTCTCCGGTGCCAAGGGGAAAGCGCATAGAAAACGCAAAACATATGCGAGAGCGTACCACTGCGGGTACACTTGGAATAACCAGGCAAGGTTTCCAGTTGTTCTGCCACTGAGCAGTGAATAACTACTCTCAATTGTGCGGCAGGCTGTAGAAAAAGCTATTTCGCAGAGCCCCTTCGATGGGGAAGACGTTGAGCAGTTTTTGTGGTCGGCTTGTGAAGTGAGATGCTCGCGAGCCTGCAACATGAACTCCATTTTGGTGTATGCAGTCTTGTAATGAGCTGCAGCAGTTTCTTGGGCTTGGGATAGAGCTTTGTGGGAAAAGAATTTCTTTTCGAACCATGCTTTGTGTTCGCGCATAATCCTTTTTCTTTCTTCAAGATCGCCCGTAAGGTCGGCGCCTTGGCCCGTTGCTATCGTGCCGAGCACACGCTGCAAGATTTTGGTGGCTTCAATTTGAGCCAGAGCGAAGGATGTCTGTGTCCAGGCATCCGATTCTGATGGCAGTGTCTCCATCGTAGGGAACAAACAGTCGTCGTCAACATTGAGTGGAAGTCTCTGTCCTTGATGGAGCCAGTCAAAGCTGTAGGCAAATCCGTGATCTTCAGGTGCCCTGTGATCGAGTAGGTTAAGATGCCACCAGAGTCTGAGTCGGCGCTCAGTCTCAAATGGACTCAAACCTAGGGCGGCCCCGTCTCGATGAATGCCAATGGACTGCGCTAACCGGATCGCAGTACCGACTAGAATCCAGACGCCACGCCCAGGATCGTGAACTCGTAGACATGTCTGCTTTTCATTAGATAACACAACTACAAACATCGGGCTGAATGGGTCTTTTGACTTGCAGCAAAAATGGCTATGGCCTCAACAGTCGTAACGTCGGGTTCGTTGAACAGGTTCAAGTCGATAATGATCTGATTGAGTCCATTCTTGAATTTCTCCAGCAACTCCGAGCGGCTGTTCGAGGATATTTCTGATATCTCGTCCTCGCTCAAGCTAGTTGTGGCAGCGAAGTATATTGCAAAAGCCAGCGCTGAGAACGATGACGTGGTTTGAGACGGGTCGGCTACCAGAGTAATGATGGATGATTGTGTAGTCGGAATATGCAAAACTTTGACTACAGGGTCCACGTTTTCGATGAACGCCCTCCAAAGCCGTAGTGCTAGCTGAGGATCCGGGTACAGGTCTGCTGGATTTCCGCTTCTGTTGTCTGCTATTGGAGATATTCCAGTTATTAGATTGAGATCTCTGGAGGTTCTCGTGGCTTTTCCACTATCAAACTGGTAGTCAGGTGGTTTCATGCGTTCTTCCTACGAGATTATTAGCTGATATATTGTCAAGTCGATGGGTGTTTTGAACGCACATCTTGAAAAACGTCTAGTAAGTTAGCGTTGTCGACATAATGAACCCTCTCGCCATCTTTCAAGAGAATCTCCCATGATCTCGACGGGTTTGTAGGTGATGACTTGGAAAAATATGAAGCTGGAGAAGCCGTCGAATCTGATATCTTTGCTTGCGATGTCGGTGGCGGAGCCCCGGATGAGGGTTCTCTGTTCATCTGCCAGAGCAGGACTGACTCAATCCGCTGCAGGCGATCAGAGATATCCTGTAGCGACGAACTCTTCTTTCCACTATCACGCCGCTCACTCGGATATGTACAAATCTCCCTCATGCGAGCGCATTGAGAACAAGGGCTCTTGCGATCGCATCGCGTCTTTCTTCGATAGCACCTAACACATGAGCGGCTAGTTTCGCTAGTGCTGGCCTGTTTATCGGAAGCATTATCTTGCTCTCTGTCCATTGTATCGGATGCTCCAGTACCTGCCCAAGGTGCTTGGTAAGTGTAAATTTACCCAGGTCGGGGGCTTCGGCTCTGTCGGGCCCGGCAGGGCCGCGAATGAGCGAATTATGTAATCCTGCCCATAAACCCAGCCGGAGAGAACGAAATGAATATGATTCGAACAATACCTACTATAACGTGATCTGCGGATTCTGTAGAAATGAGAATAAACTGTTGTTCTGTCTTGAGATGTGCTGAAAGCAAATCCCATGATGCCAACTGTTTAGGAAATTGACATGGTACAGATCTAATTTTTCGGTGCAGCGGGGCCGAAGAGGCCGTGAGCAACTAAAGAAGTCTTATATCAGGTCCCTATAACCGCTATAAATCTGCAGGCCTCTAAATCTTACTAAAACCAGTTCCTATACAATAAACCATGATGGCATCGCCTGCTAGCTCTCATGGCCGTTCAGAGAGCAATTCATCCGACACAGCCGTCGAGCTCCAGACCAGAGCGCCCGATGCTGAAGAACAAGTGAAGCAGCTACCTGAAGGCGGCTACGGTTGGGTATGCGTCGTATCCGTGTTTCTCATCAATGCACATACATGGGGTATCAATAGCGTATGCATACTCGAGCCATAACCCCAACTATAACATTCAGTGAAAGCTAACGAGCACCCCCCCCCAAAGGCTTTTGGGGTTCTTCTCTCCTATTACCTTTCTAATCACACATTCCCAAACACCAGCGCCCTCGAATATGCATTTGTCGGGGGTCTAAGCATCTCCATGGCCTTCGTCATATCACCTCTCTCGACATACATGGTTCATATCTACGGAATCCGACCCGTGATATCCATCGGCGGCGTGCTAATAACAGTATCGCTTATCTCTACCTCCTTCGTCCATCAAAATTGGCAGCTCTTTTTATCCCAGGGCGTATGTTTTGGACTGGGAATGGGCCTTTCTTTCGTCGGCTCTGTCGGTGTTGTATCGCATTGGTTTCATAAACGCCGAAGTCTGGTTAATGGCATTGTAGCAGCTGGTTCTGGGATTGGTGGATTGACGTATTCACTTGCGGTGAATGCTATAATCTCCAGTCTTGGCTATCCATGGGCCATGCGCATTCTCGGTATCATCTGTTTCGCCATCAATGTGCTCTGTGGCAATCTCCTTCGGTTGCCGCCGAGCTCTGCGCCACGAACTGGTCAAAGTCTTATGCAAGTGCAACTCTTCCGACAACCGAGATATATCTTCTATCTCTTATGGGGTATCTGCAGCGGCTTGGGATATATCGCGTTGTTGTTCAGTCTATCAAGCTACGCAGTGGCAGTTGGGTTGACACAGCAGCAAGGAGGCCTTGCTAGCGCTCTCTTGAATCTAGGCCAGGCCCTCGGTCGTCCCATGGTGGGCAGATTGAGTGACTCTTTCGGTCGGATTGAGATCCCCCTCGTCAGCTCTCTGTTCTGTGCCGTATTTTGCCTGGTCGTGTGGCCTTTTGCATCATCTGCTGGGTTGCTGTATTTCTTTGCAATCGCTGTTGGCCTGGGAGCGGGGACATTATGGGCAGCAGCAGCTCCAATTGCCGCAGAAATCGTCGGGCTCAAGGATTTAGCTGGTGCATTGGCGTTCTTTTGGTTGGTTCTCGCACCACCCACCGCTGTGGCTGAACCTATTGCCGTGCAACTACGAAATCAAACCGGCGATGTGCATTCGTATTTGAGAGTGCAGTTGTTTGCCGGGTTCATGTATCTGGGGTCTGGCATATGGCTTCTCTGTCTCAAAATTTGGAGAACTAAGAAGCCAGCGCTCTAGCAACATCCTGTAAAAGGAAGTGTACAGTGTCTATTTAACACAACATGTCAATAAATACAAAAAGCAATTGAAGATGCAAATGCAGTATATCTACAAGGTAAAAACAGTATATAGACAAGAACCAAGGGAGAAAGATAGACGGATCACATCAGACTAGTCCGACCACCAATCTCATTTCCGGGTTCACCATTGGGCATCTCGCCATTGCGGCCAACAACAAACTCTCGATAGATAGCATCAAAGCGTCGGCGTTCAGCAGCGCTAAGAGAAGAGCGTGTGGTAGCCAGCGAGCGTTCGATATGCTCCCAGCGAACGATGATCTCGTCATGCAATTCATTTGCAGAGGCCTCCGCTGTACCATTGGCCATTGGAGCTGCAGCGGCACCGCTACTTCCTTGTTCCAGTTGGCGCTGGCGGCGGCGAGAGTTCTTGATTGCTTCCAGTTTGGCCGCAATCACGGCAGGAGGTGGCATGGACGCGGAACCAGATGCTTCTTCGGTTGAGGAGTAGAGGAATTGGATAAATGATTTGCTGTTGACAGTTGCGGATGAGCTTTTGGTAGCACCTGATTTTGCGGCGGGCTTATCAGTTCCGGTGGATCGGTCACCCAGCGCGTCGTGAACTGCTTCCAAGTGCGCGTTATACACAACAGCTTGCAGATCCGCACCAGAAAAGCCTTCTGTCTCGGCGGCAATGTCGCTGAAACGAGAGCGGACCTCGTCGCTCATCTTCAATTTCTCACTTACTGCTCGAATAATATCGACCCGGTCTGCGTGGGACGGCATGTTACAGAGCAGAGACTTGTCTAGTCGGCCAGGACGCAGCAGCGCCGGATCTATCAGGTCAGGGCGAGATGTTGCTGCTAAGACGTAAACGCCTGACAGACCTTCGGCACCGTCCATCTGTGTCAGGAGCTGGTTGACCACGCGGTCAGTGACTCCAGTGGAATCATGGCCACGTTTCGGTGCAATACTGTCGAACTCGTCGAAGAAGAGGACACAAGGACGGGCGGCCTGGGCTCTCTCAAACAGGTCGCGAACACTCTTCTCGCTTGCACCAATGTACTTGTTCAGGATTTCGGGACCCTTTACACTGATGAAGTTCAATCCGCATTCACCTGCCACGGCACTCGCCAGCATCGTCTTGCCGCAACCCGGGAAACCGTACAGCAGGAGACCGGAGCGCAACCGCAGCGGACACTGTGAAAAGATCGGTGCATATTTTGTAGGATATTGTAGGGTTTCGAGCAAAGTTTGACGGGTCTCGAACAAACCTCCAATGGCGGAAAATGTGGTAGTAGACGAGGTGAGGGTCACGTTTCGAAGAGAAGCCGGAGTGAAGCCCTTTAGAGCGCTATCAAAATCCTCAGAGGCGAGCGTGATCATCTTGGATTCGGCAGACAAGTCCTGAACGGAGCGAATAAGCGCCTCATTGCGCGCACGAGCAACAAGTAACACGAGATCGCCAGGCATGTAACCGTCAGTCTTGCCCGCCAAATCCAAAAAGTCAACATCTCTGCCGAGAACAAAGCCATCCCCGCCAGATGAGCTGGGACGACTTCCTGGATTCGAAGGATCGAGCCACGAGTCATGTGTGGAATGCGTGGAAGAGCTTGTGGTTCGAAAATGGCCGTTGAGTGTATCCGCCGCTTTGTCTTGGCTGGTCAGTTTCTCCAAGACCTTTCGTCGCCCATCCTTATCCGGGGCTCTCATGTTGATGATCTCACGAACGACATGGCCACCGATAATGACATTGTTCAATGATTCCTTGGCTTGCGCAGTGGCCAATAGAACAACGGAGGAGTTCATTGAACAAAACTCCCGAACCATGGAGCATATGACCTCACTGTTTTGGCGACTACGACCATTGTCTCCGCCGACTTGTAACTCGGTTTCAACAGGGCAGAGTTTATCAAGGTCGTCCAGAATCACCACCGCCTGACCACCAAGACGAGCACACCATGACGCAGACATGAAGAGGCGATTCAACACCTCTTTGATGTTGGAGATCCGCGTCTCATCAGTGACAAGCTTGCGACAAGAAAAGTACTTGACGTTGAACAGATGTTCCCTCCGCAGGCGATGGGCCAAGAGGTAGCTAAGAGCCGTCTTTCCGGCCCCGAGACCGCCAGTCAAAAGAATTGAAGAAGATTTGGTCAAGTTGCCTAAAGATTGAGAGATAATAGGATCGATCCCCACCAGATGGGGCATTGTATCGGGGATGGGGTCATCAGTGGGAAGTTGTGATGCACTTGTATCGGTTGGTTTGGGTATTTCGGCTTGCACTTCAACGCTCAACTTTGCCTCGGAGCCTAGAAGCCACCCAAACATCGGCTTTGAATCTTCAGTACCCTTCAAGGGCGGATCGAATCGGATGATGGCGCCATCAAACGAAGAGACTGACGGATGGTTCTCGGCCTTGGGCAAGATCATGCCATCGGTCAGGGGCCCCGAGAACAATCCAATATCGGATCCAGTACTGCCGTAGATTACTTTGAGGCGCTCTCCCAAGGCATCCCGAGACGCTGCAGTGTCAGCGCCAAACTTCAGTCCATCTTTCTTCTTCGACGCATCCACCATAAACGGATACACCTTCAGGGTCTTCACCGCTGAACGGTGCAGCTGTGGTGGCGCGGCCTCGACACGCAAAATTCCTCCCACAATGTTTTCCGCCCCGAGGGCCGTGCACAACAAGGAGGACATCGCCGCATGCCGACAGTCCGGTGCCTCCTCCCAGGGAATCAGCTTCGCCACAAGCTTCGTTGTCGGAGAACCGGCTTCGCTTGACTTTTGTTCCGCTTGGGCAAGGTGCTTTTGAGGATCTGGTGGAGGTTTGAGACCAGATGGCTGAACTACCGACACGCATGCCCATGTTGCTCCTCGAAGCTCATTCGTTGCAAGGAGGTCCCGATCAACCCAGACACGGAGGCCGTCGTTTGCATCCTCCTCCATTTCCTCATCAAACCATTGGCTCGCCGCCGATCGGTCCACACCTCTCAGGTAAAGTGAGCCTCGGGTAGTAGAGTCGGAGCGACTTTTCGGGCGGACAGTGCTCCCGGCGCTCCTCCCACCACCACTTTTGCGGCTGCTGCCATTTGCACTTCGGCTGTCTGTTCGGGACCCTTTACCGGGCTTCGCTCTGGTTTTTGGAGCCACAATCACCTCGGCATCCGGCGCAATTTTGGCAAACGGCGAATCGTCTGACGGAGCTGGCGTAAGAGACGTGACAACGATATTCGCGGTTGAGGTTGGAGAGAGGTGCAATGCGAGCGGGTGCATATGGTCCGATTGTGCTGCGCTGTAGGTAGGGTTTGGTAGAGCACGGATCTGCGAGAGGAGATTGAGCTCCAGGAATGTGGCATGAAGCTCGATGACTAGGGTGAAAACCGGTCAGTAAGACGTCGTGTAGTGGGCTAGAGGTGCCATGATACGTACTCTCCCAGTCTTCTGGGGTCAGTGGCTCGATGTTAATGGTATGCGCGACTGGCGGATCCAGGTGTATGAACAGCCCGACCTGGAAATGAGTGTGAGAATCCCACGTGGGAAGACGAAGCAGGGGAGTAATGTATATACCTTCTGTCCTTCCGCAAGACCGAGAAGCCTTCCAAAGGTCGTATCTAGCTCGACGGTCGAAATCTCTTGCTCTCTGGAGAAGCCACCGCTAATGCCCTCTCTGCCCACGACAGGCGCGAGCTTTCGCCGGCTCGGCATTCCCGTCCAACCCAAGAAGCACGATTGCTGCTGCGGAGAAGCGCCATTGGATTTCGGAGAGATCGACCGGTATTGCAGCTCAATGATGACATTCTGAGCAGCCTGTCGCAGTACATTGTTAGCCGGAGATGGGTAGCATGGCGGGGAAGTGATGGACTGACGGTGTTGGCATTGACCAGCAAGGCGACCAGCGACGATGGCAGATTGACCAGGCAGTTCTTGAGAGGGACGAGGGCCACTTCAGCCGTGGCAGAGGGCTTCTTGGGCGCCATACTGGAAGGCGCAGGTGAGATGGCGCACACGAAAGCTGGCAGAGGTGTGTCTGGTCAAACACCCCGGACTCCGCCAGTCACGCTTTCCCGGGAAACGACTCGGCCCGCCGAGCTCGGACCGAGGGTTGATCCGGTCCGAGACGCGCCATTCCCCTTCCGGTATGGTGCATTTCTCACGCGTCCCCGTCGTGTGTGGGTCGTGTTTTGTCGCGTAACCACAGCTCAGTCTTTCTTTCTCAAGGGCTCATCCACTCTTCTCACCCTGCGCTCGTTCCACCCTCTTCACCCCTTTCATCATGGCTTTACTGCAGTACCCCGCGCCGGTTGATTATACGAAGCAATTGGACGCTTTCAAGGACTTCTTGAAGCATTTCAAGACCTTCCAGTCCACTTCCGAAGCTGCTGCCACCGAGGCCTTGGAGGACTTGAACATCAATGGCGAGCGCTCCAGCGATGAATATGACTTCATGGACGATGCCGACGAGGCGGAGGGCGGGCAGACCAGCGGGGCAAGGAGGCGCAAAGACCTGAAACTCAAGTATATGCAGGTTCTGCAAGATGTTGCAAACCGGGACCAATCGAGCATTCTGATAGAGCTGGATGATTTGTCGGTGGTAAGTTTTTGTGTCACACTGGGGTATTCAGTCATAGCTCATGGTTTCTGCTACAGTTCGAGAAAGCGCTTCCGGATGAGCAGCAGGATCTGAAACTGGTGGACTCGATCCAGAAGAATACCAAGCGCTACATCGATGTACTGTCGCAGGCGGTCGACGAGGTCATGCCCAAGGAGACAAAGGATGTCACGTAAGTCCAAAGCTAACGACGATCCACGATTCCAACGACTAACCCGGGCGCAGATTCAAGGATGATGTGCTAGATGTGATCATGTCACAGCGCGAGAAGCGCAACGAAACGATGGAGATGGCCATGGAAGCTGACATGGACGCGGCGACTACCCCAACAATGTTCCCCCCAGAGCTCACTCGTCGATATACTCTCAACTTCAAGCCGATTACTGCCTCGGGATCCAGCGACCAACGTGACTCTAAAGCGATGGCAGTCCGTAATGTCAAGGGTGAACACCTCGGTAGCTTGATCACTGTCCGCGGTATTACTACCCGTGTCTCGGACGTCAAGCCGTCGGTTCAGATCAACGCCTACACCTGTGATCGTTGTGGATGCGAAGTCTTCCAGCCGATTACCACCAAGCAATTCCTTCCCCTCACAGAGTGCTTGTCGGAGGAGTGTACGAAGAACAATTCCAAGGGCCAACTGTTCCTCTCAACTCGTGCCTCGAAATTCGTTCCCTTCCAAGAAGTGAAGATCCAAGAGATGGCGGATCAGGTGCCTGTGGGCCACATCCCCCGGGCTCTAACTATTCACTGCCACGGCGCTCTCACTCGCCAACTCAATCCCGGTGACATGGTTGACGTTGCCGGCATCTTCCTGCCCACTCCTTACACTGGTTTCCGTGCCATTCGCGCAGGCTTGCTTACCGACACATACCTAGAGGCCCAGCACATCACCCAGCACAAAAAGTCGTACACCGACATGGGCATGGATAGCCGCACTCTTCGCAAGATCGAGCAGTACCAGAGCTCGGGCAACATGTACGAATACCTTTCTCGGTCTATTGCTCCCGAGATTTATGGTCATCTCGACGTCAAGAAGGCCCTGCTCTTGCTTTTGATCGGCGGTGTCACGAAAGAGATGGGAGACGGTATGCACATTCGTGGTGATCTCAACATCTGTCTGATGGGTGATCCTGGTGTGGCCAAATCTCAGCTGCTACGATACATTACCAAGGTTGCCCCACGTGGCGTGTACACTACTGGACGAGGCAGCAGCGGTGTCGGTCTTACTGCTGCGGTCATGAGGGACCCGGTCACGGACGAGATGATGCTGGAAGGCGGAGCGCTGGTTCTGGCAGACAACGGTATTTGCTGCATCGACGAGTTCGACAAGATGGAGGACTCGGACCGAACCGCCATTCACGAAGTGATGGAACAGCAAACCATCTCCATTTCCAAGGCAGGCATCACGACCACGCTCAACGCTCGCACCTCGATATTGGCCGCGGCTAACCCGCTGTACGGCCGGTACAACCCTCGAATCTCGCCCGTGGAGAACATCAATCTGCCTGCCGCGCTACTGTCTCGTTTCGACGTCTTATTCTTGCTTCTGGACACCCCGTCGCGCGACACCGACGAGGAACTGGCCAACCATGTCACCTACGTGCACATGCACAACAAGCATCCCGAGAATGAGGACGCGGCGATCATGTTTACTCCCCACGAAGTCCGACAGTACGTTGCCAAGGCACGAACATATCGCCCCGTGGTGCCATCTAATGTGTCTGATTACATGGTGGGCGCGTACGTTTCGATGCGCAAGAAGCAAAAAGCGGACGAGGCCAGGAAGAAGCAGTTTTCGCACGTCTCTCCTCGTACCCTGCTGGGTATTGTGCGTCTTTCGCAGGCTTTAGCGCGTCTTCGCTTCAGCGAGGAGGTAGTGCGCGAGGATGTCGACGAGGCTCTGCGTCTTATCGAGGTTAGCAAGGCCTCCTTGCTCAACGACGGCGAGGCCGGTGCCGACCACACCCCGACTAGCAAGATCTACACCTTGATCCGAGGCATGATGGAGAGCGGCGCCGCTGCGGTAGGAGACAGCGACGATGGCGAGCTGAGCATGCGCCGCATTCGCGAGAGAGTGCTGGCCAAGGGCTTCACCGATGACCAGCTCACTACCGCGATCAACGAGTATGCCGAAATGAGCGTAAGTTTTCTTTTTATCTTCTTCTATCGCATATACTGATAATTTCCTTAGGTCTGGCAAGTTACGGGCAATGGCTCGCGTCTGTTGTTTGTTACTGCTGCTGATGATGACGAGATGGGACTGTAATCTGTTTTTGTTTCTGTCACTCTGCTACTTAAATTGTCCTTATCCTGTGCCTCTTAATGTTTTCTGGGCTTATTTTGCGAGAGATTGCATGAGGGTCTGCAACGGAACTGGTAGAGCCTCGGGCTGGGTGTTTTTGGTGTTGCGAATCTTGGAGATAGGGAATCTGATTAGGGTAACTAAATCAAAAGATATTTATTTTCTGTCTCTGCAATATTGGTAGCGGTAAGCCGCGAGTGGCGATCCGCTCAGTGGGAGTCGCTCACTGAGCACTCAAGGCCAGGCCTGAGCAGCCTCCGACTGGGACCTAAGCAACCTGAGTGCTCACCCCGTTGCACAAACCCGACCAACCCCTTCAATTCGCATCATGCCTCTAGCCATCAGCCTGCTCCAAATTGTTAATTGCTCCGCTGCCTATGAGCCAGATTCCTAGAAAATTAGAAATAGGGAGAGGACGTGTATGACCCATCCGGGAATATGGTGCAGGCTTAGGCATAGTTATTCTTGTTCTCGGCCATAGAGGCCTTGGTTATCATGCGGTGCTCACGGGATCGACACTCGGGTCTTTCTTATTCTGTTTCTACCTTATATTTGTCTCTTCCTCCTGTATCGGGTCCCTTTCTGTAGCCAGTCAGTCATGAAATATAGCGGGCTTGGGCCTTTAACAGAATAAGTAGAAACCGAAGGCTAGATGCTGAACTATCTACTAAAATCCGCTCTGCACTTCTATATGCCCATGAGCTGGGTTAATCGCCTACTTAAATCGAGGTAATAGATATCTTTAATGCCTTTTAACTACGCGAAAGAGAACGCCGAGAAATGGTGTCAAAGAAATCCATATTCGGTGGTCAATTTACTGTCATCGAGCGTTGTGGTGCAATATTGTAGTATATTAAGGAGTGACCAGACAGTTTTATCTTCTGTCTCTATACACATTAACATATCCAAATCGAAGTCTTCCCTAAACATTGTTCCTCCCTTCTCCTTCCCATCCCCGTCATATGTCCTCTCACCACTTTCGCGCTTCGGTACCTCAACCCCCACCCATCAAACCACCCCAACTAGACAGCGCAATGCTCATAAAGCTTGACCTCCTGGCAGATCTCATTGGGCGCCGCATATGGGTCATCACAAAGGGTATTGCATGCGGTGTTCTCTGGGACGAAGACGAGGAATTCATAATTGCTCATCGGCAGGCGGAACTGGTCCTTGACATTGAGGTTATGCTGGGAGGCTTTGTAGCCGGCACGGCAGGCGCAGTGGAAGGTCGAACCCGTGTTGATGCACGAGGTGGTTATGTCGCAGCTGTTCTGACCTGAGATCGGGTTGCAGGTTCCGCACTTGGGCGGTGGGACTGCTGAAGAGATGGCCAGGGTGGCGGAGAGGAGGGTCAGGAGGATTGTGGTTGTGGACTTCATGTTGAGGGTTTGGGGAGCTGTGTGAGGCTCTGGTTGTATGTAGATTGAAGGGTGGCTTGGCTTGTACAATTGAAAGTGTAGAGTTGATCTTGTATATATTTTGACGGGCTATCAGCTATCTTTATATAGTTCACCATCCTCGGCTTACCACGGCGTGCTGCTAATACTTGGATGGCCATGTCTTTTCTTCTAGGGTCGTCTGCTGAACGCCTCATTTTTCTGACCTGTTCAGTCGCACCACGGGGTCTGTCTCTCGCTGGGCACATTCCACGGCTCGTCTCGCCGAGCCCCGCGTACCGGTGATATGGTAGGCGGCAGCAATATCCGTCTTTTTTTTTTTTTTTGCTCGTTTAGTTTCCCAAAATATTGGTTTCCAGGTATTCTCATGCCTGTAATTTCCTGAGAAGGTTGACCAATCCGCGACGCCGCGGGATGCGACGAATACGAGAAGTAAAACAATCCCTCGACACACCACCAATAGCTTGTCGATAATGGTGATGTCGATGGCTTGCCAGCATGCCTTGCCAGCTCAACGCAGCGCCGACTGAGCAAAAGAAAAGCGGGGTGACTATAAGTATGTCTCAGGCAGTCATAGTCATAGTCCCTGCATCCAGCCTATCCCCGCCGAAGCCCTAACCCAAATACAGACCTTGGCTCTCCCACCACCGCGGGGTCTATATATAGCATCATTTTTGTGGAGAGAGAGTTTGGTCCATGTAGTCGGCTGCTGCAAGGGTCTGACACCGCATGTTGAACTCGCTACTCATGATATGCTTGCTATTCCTGGTTGGCGGAAAGAAATTTGGGTATTCCGGCGCTGGACTTGGCCGAGTGTAGACTGGCGTAGAGTTGATCTGGAACCTGGCCAAGGATAGGGCCGTCAAAGCGAAAGTGAGAAGAGCCCATAACTAAAAATCGATGCAAACCAGCTGCAGCCCTGCGCGTATTTTTACCGTGGTCGAACAAACAGGCGTGGTGCATCGCCAGGAGTGCGGCTTCACCGCCGGAATCAATTACGGTTTACAAGTGATAATAGATTACTCTAGGATTGTTGTACTGTTCATATTTTCGCGAGCGGCTTGCATTTGTATCCACCACTCGGCCACACCGGCCTACGTCGGACGCCTGATTTCATGCACATATAGCGGGTATACCAAGAAGCGCGTGCGTCCTTGTCAAAGTCGGGGATCGGGTACCATTCTGGATGAGATAAGCAGGTGAATGAGGCCCTCGGACTCTAGATATCTTATATCGGGTTCAGGATCCCTTGTTCTACAGTCGACGTATATACATTGTACGGGGTCAGCGTAGCTGGAATCAAAATACAAAGACAAGAACCCTGAGAGTGCTTTGGGTGCGCTAGACCGAAGGGTGGATCTCGCAAGGAAACGCAGGCAGGGCCAGCGAATAACAGTTTCGAAGACAGAGAAACCGTATTGATTCTATTCTCAGATTGACATTGCCCCGATGAATGAAACCTTGCATAAAAATGCCAGGCCTAAAGATGAGTCTTAGATGCCTCCGGCTCCCCAATAAGCCGCACAAAGCTCCCATGCACTTCATCGGTCAGATCACTTGCTTGCATGCTGCGCCCCTTGGCTTCAAAGGCCCGTCGCGAACACTCCCTGGTAATAGCGCTCCCAGCCCACGCGGCCAGAAGCAGGGTAGTCGCGGGCGACATGCGCTTATTCTCGTCCTCGAGTTCTGCGCGGACGTCATCCTTATTCTCGGCCTCCTTGTCATTGTCCTTCTCACTCGAGTCCCACATTCGAGCATGGTATGCCGCTCGCCAGGCAAGCATCGTCCCCAACGAGCCGGTCAGGGTGTCACCCTGGCCGCCGCTGCGTTTCAGGCCACCTTGAATATCAGAGATGATACTCGCGAAACCGTTCGAGATGACATCGTGAGAACCCTTCTGGATGATGGTGACACCGCCCAGAGCCTTGGAAAGTTGCTCACACGCTTCGGACTCTTTGCTGGTTTTATCGCCATCCTGTCCGCTCTTGGCGATATCCGCTTGACTGGCAACTTTGATTCCGAGGGCTTTGGCTAAGCGCCCGAATTCGACCACGTTGGGTGTTAGGATACACTGCTTATACCCTTTTACCAGGTCCGGGTTCTCTGTCACAATGAGAAGCCCATCTGCATCCAGCACAAACGGGATGGATTGCGTTCGTGCTTCTTTGATCACCTCTGCCACAACTTTGAGTGTCACTTCGTCGCGCCCGAGCCCTGGGCCGATCACCAGGGCATGGAGCCGGGAGAGCATGCTGATAATTGGGCTGGCAAGTGACGGCGCGTCAATTGATTTCGGGTCTTTGACTGTGTCCACGCTGGGCAGGATTGGGTGTACCATTAGGTTCGGGGAGTAGGACTTGACGACCTAGTCGCGATATCAGATTTAAGTCGGGGGGTTCAAGATTGTATTCCCTTACAGGTGCCGCGGAGCGTTCACAGAGAACATGGCTCTGGATTATCGTGGTTAGCGTACCATGGCAGAAAGACATAGTGCCAGCAATACCATATCGCATCCTGCACTTGAGTCAATAATTGGGCAGTGACGGAAACATCAACACCACTGACCTAGTTTCGCCGATGCCATCGCCGAGAAATACGGGGCTCCAGTATAGCTTTATAGTAGTCAGTCAAAGAAACCACAGGCAAATGACTGTACGTACTCAACACAGCCTCCAATGACGGCTACACGCCCGAGTTGTCCTGGATGCAATTGTTAGTTCAGACCATAGCTGTGTCCCAGCACAACCAGCTGACCTTTGTGGAACTTCTCAAGCATAGGCGGTACGATCTTGCGGACTTTGCCGAAGAGGATCTTCGACGAGGTCGACACATGGTGTACGGACTCCATGAGGATGGCGAGCAAGGGTAGTGGGAGGAAGGGAAGTTGCAAAGTCCGGCATGGAAAGCGTGATGTCACTCACGAGTGGGGCTGACAAAGAATGATCTATAACTAGCAACCAGATGAAGTTCGAATTATATTATTGACAGGAAACCGCTCAAAATGCTAGTAACAAAACCCTGGAAAGGTTCACCGTTTATTCCGGACCAGCGCAGCCAGCTTCTTCTGGCGCTCCAGCTTCGCCTTCTTGGCCTCCTGCTCCGCCCGCTGCTCTTCTTCATCTTCACGTCTGGCGCTCCTTAGCGCCGCCGCCTCTTCTTGCTCCACATCGTTTAAACCGGCTTCCATATCAGAAGATGCATCCGACCATTCGTCTTCATAACCCCCGTAGTCTCCTTCATCTTCTTCGTCCGTGCCTAGGTATTCATCCGCCCGGGATCGTCGGCCATATCGCTTGCGATCATGTGCACCGCGAGCGACAGACATGCCTGCTGTTCCGCGATACGTAGGTGGTTCAGGAAGCCGTGACTGTTTGGCAGTGCCCTTGTAGGAAACCTCCTCCCGCTCGGCTCTCTTTCCGTCTGCTTTGCCCTTGGCAGCAATCGGGACGCCTTTCTTGACCAGTCGCGCTTGTTCTTTCTCTTTCGCCTGCGCCTCCATGATCCGCTTCTTCCGCTCCAATTTGCTCAGGCGTTCTTTGGGAACTGCTTGATGCCGGAACATGCCCGCTTGCGTCGGCGCTTTCTGTTGTAGTGTTTTCGCCTGGGCCATGATATCTGCAAAGGATCCCTTTGGTGGTACCTTCGATGGAGCAGCAGGAATGGCTTTCACCGGCGCGGGTCGGGCTGGTGCGGGCTTGGCTGGTGCGGGTTTGGCCGGTGCCGTCTTCGCGATGGCAGACGCGCCATTTCTCGATGCAGCCGGCTTGGGGGCCTGAGAAGCAGCTGCAGGCTTCGATATGGGGTTGGGCACAGACTTCGAAGCTGCAGGCGAAACGGTGGGCCGTGGTGCAGTTGGTCTGCTGGGCGCTTGGCTGCTGGGCTTCGTCGGACGAGGTAGCTGTTCTTCGGCCTTGCGTTTTGTTCCAGTATCAACATTTCCACGCACTGGGATGTCTCGGGATGCCGTTGGTGCTAATTTACGCTCATTGTTCTTCGCGGTGGAGGAAGGTGCCGGGGGTGCGGGCGGCTGTGACAGTGACGCCGAGGACGGTTTGTCCGTCTGGATGGACGAGAGGATGGAGTCGAGGAACTTAGCAAAGTGTTAGATCACAGGCACACCGTAGTAACAAGGCTGACAACATACACTCATGTTGAAGGGTGAAAGTTAGCTCAACCAGCTGATAAAGAGAGATGAAGGGAAGCTTTCACCGTCGATGGTTCGTTCGACGGGGCAGCTTCATGACTCCGAGTGCAACTCCACGAGAGCTAGTCTTCTGATCGAGTAACGAGTCCCTTCTTCTGACGAAATGCCCGTCGGTTGTCTAAGAAGATGAGTGTGTCCAGTTCATCATGCGTGGCCGACCCAGTCTGTCGGCCTTATCGGATGCGGTCACCTGACCAACTCGCTTACACAATCGCACTTTTTCCTTCAATTTTCATCTGCATCCACTCTCTCTTCAACCACCTCGAACTCGACGTTGCAGTCTCCGCCCAAACCGCGGTTAAATCGATTGTTTCTCTTGTTCTCGATATCTCAAAAAGTATGCTCGTCGCCTGATGTTTCTACACCGACGCTAACAAATTTTGAACAGCACCTTCAAAATGAAGCACCTCGCCGCTTACCTGCTCATCGCCCTTGCCGGCAACGAGTCCCCCTCGGCCGCCGATGTCAAGGCTGTTCTGTCCTCCGTCGGCATCGACGCTGACTCTGAGCGCCTCGACAAGCTCATCGCTGAGCTCCAGGGCAAGGACCTCCAGGAGGTTAGTTTCTTTCCGCATACATCAAGGACAATACTGACTCGCTGCGTAGCTGATCGCTGAGGGTTCCACCAAGCTCGCTTCCGTTCCCTCCGGTGGCGCTGGTGGTGCTGCCCCTGCCGCCGCTGCTGCTGGTGGCGCTGCTGCCCCTGCCGAGGAGAAGAAGGAGGAGAAGGAGGAGGAGGAGTCCGACGAGGACATGGGCTTCGGTCTCTTCGACTAAGCGCTTTCTCTCACGGAGCCTCAAAAATGATGAATTGGAGGGACGGATTTCTGAAATTGTGTATGGTTCAGGCTGTTGCGATGCAGTTACGAATTTCTCATGTGTGAGCTGGAACGAGCTCCTAGTCAATACAGATCATCTGCTCTCATTACTTCTACTGTAAAATCTGCCGCCTGTAAGATTACCTGGTAGGATTCACTGGTAGGCAAAGAAATGTTCTTAAAGTATTGTTGAGCCTCACAGTACATCCTTCAAACGGCCATCCCCTACACCAGGATCCATGCCGATGGGCAGTACGTTCACGCCTGGCAATTACCAGGGTATCCTGTATTCCTTTCCATGAGATAAACTGCAAATATTCCATAAGACCCCATGAACAAATCGACAATAACAGAACTTGATTGCTATACTTCAGGGACCCGGTATCACATCACGTGATCATAAACAGGGCTAGGGCTGCCCGAGTCATGTGCGTCTCTAACCGAACCCCCCAAATTCTTTGTGCCCACCCAACCGATCAGCGACACCGACCAACCCGACAACCCATCTTCCTTCGCTTTTCGAGTCACGTCCGAAAAGCGACCTCAAAGGAAACACCCGCAAAAATGGCTGACATCGAATACGTGAGTTCCCCCCTTTCTTGCTCGTAATTCTCTCGTTCGACCCGCTAACGTGAAATCTTTAGAACGCCGAGGAGGCTGCCGGTACGTTCTGAACAATATCCCATCCTGCTCCCCAGCGCCCGAATGGAATGTCAAAGAGATGGAGTGTTGCCTTGTGATGGAATTTGTGATGAGATGGAACTTGTGTGGGCGGTTTGGAGATGGAATTGTGGACGTCAACTTGGATACAGGATGGGGGCACACGAAACGAGACAACGGAGTCGCTGACAAAACCCTCGCCATACAGAGATCAAGAAGAGAAGACAGTTCCGCAAGTTTTCCTACCGCGGCATTGACCTCGACCAGTACGTTCACCCAAACAAGAGCCACACCTATAGTGTCAACTTCCAAACAGATTTGCATGGCAATCTGCTATGGATTGTTGTCGCTGCCATTTTGGCTTGCACCAGAAGATCACAAATCTGACTGTTCTTGATAGGCTCCTCGACCTCTCCTCGGAGCAGCTCCGTGATGTCGTCCACGCCCGCGCCCGCCGCCGCTTCAACCGTGGCCTGAAGCGCAAGCCCATGGGTCTGATCAAGAAGCTCCGCAAGGCCAAGCAGGAGGCCAAGCCCAACGAGAAGCCCGACCTTGTCAAGACGCACCTGCGTGACATGATCGTTGTGCCCGAGATGATCGGCAGCGTTGTCGGCATCTACTCCGGCAAGGAGTTCAACCAGGTCGAGATCAAGCCCGAGATGGTCGGCCACTACCTGGCCGAGTTCTCCATCTCCTACAAGCCCGTCAAGCACGGTCGTCCCGGTATCGGTGCCACCCACTCTTCCCGTTTCATTCCCCTCAAGTAAACGATTTCGAAAAACGATTCCCTTGGAGTGTTCCGTGGAGGAAATGGTGTTGATGATGGTGGACTCGATGGTTCTTGGGTTCATGTATTTCCAGTGCGGGTCAGCCGCCATTTCAATATAAGAATTTGTCGGCTGGATGACCCTTCACCAAAACAAAAACCAATCTAACGACCTGAATTTCACTCTGGAATTGTAGTCTTGTAGTTGTGTGTTGAGTCGAGAACATCTTGCCTCCAGCTTAAGCATATCCAAGCCCACTACGCGATAGCCTGACAGACAATTCCCCGGAAATCTTCTTATCTTCTATCCTCGAGCAATAATAATAACTCACGAATAAGAATAATGGAACACTCACTATTACCCACCCAATAGCAACAGCCGAGTAACTCAGCAATTTGCCGACCTCGACCCTAACGCCGGTTGGTCGGCCACCGGTGGTACAGCCACTTCCCGGGGCCGAGGCTATCCTCATTACCCCAACAATCCACCGAGGACTCCGAAAGGGTACTTGGGCGAACTTCTCCTGCTCCAGTATTCTTCTCTCTGGACACCTTGCAACGCGAATAGCTTCCTCTCCTTATTTTTACACTCTCATCCCTCTCGACCCTAGATCTTCCCCACAATGGTCGTATCCTCGCTCTATCCTCCAATCTCCATCCCGCCTGTGGATTTGTGGACATTCCTGTTCGAACGCAAAGACCGGCCCTTCCCTGATGACAAGAGTAAGCCTTCAAGAACATTTCTGTTTTCCATACTAACTTCACCCAGTTCTCTACCAGGATGCCGAGACCCAGCGCCACTACACCTACTCCAGCTTAAAAGATGCCTCGCTGGAGTTCGGCAAAGGCCTGAGGGCCACTTACGACTGGAAAAAGGGCGATGTCCTGGCCCTGTTCACACCCAATAGCATCGACACCCCCGTGCTGATGTGGGGAACCCTCTGGGCTGGCGGAGTGATATCTCCTGCCAATCCAGCATACACGGCTGACGAACTGGCATTTCAGCTGAAGACCTCCGGCGCGAAGGTCCTTGCAACCCAGGCGTCTGTGCTGTCTACTGCCAAAGAGGCCGCAAAGAAAGTTGGCATCCCGGAAGACCACATCATCCTCCTCGGTGATGAGCGTGACCCCACTGCTCGCCACAAGCATTTTTCTAGTGTGCTTAACATATCCCGGGCTACTCGGTATCGCAAGGCCAAGGTTGCCCACGAGGACGTCGCCTTTCTGGTTTTCTCATCAGGAACCACCGGTGTTCCCAAGGGAGTCATGCTAAGTCACCGCAACATAATAGCCAATATCCTGCAGCAGGTTACCGGTGAGGGAGGCAAGTTGAGCTGGAACGGGGGCCCAGATGGCAAGGGTGATCGGCTTTTGGCGTTCTTGCCTTTCTATCACATCTACGGTTTGTCTTTTCATAAAAGGCAAAATGAATCAGACTAACCATGGCTTAGGCTTGACGTGTCTCCTCACCCAGACACTGTACAAGGGCTACCAGCTGGTGGTAATGGACAAATTCGACATTGAGAAGTGGTGCGCGCATGTCGAAAAGTATCGAATTACCTTCAGCTATATCGTCCCTCCAGTCGTTCTTTTGCTGGGAAAACACCCGGCAATTGACAAGTACGACCTGTCTAGCTTGCGGTTGATGAACTCTGGGGCGGCTCCACTCACTCGGGAGTTGGTCGAGGCCGTGTACTCGCGCATCAAGGTCGGCATCAAACAGGGCTACGGGCTCAGTGAGACTAGCCCGACGACGCACACGCAGCCGTGGGAGGAGTGGCGCGACTCAATCGGCTCCGTCGGCCGACTCATGCCCAGCATGGAGGCCAAGTACATGACCATGCCTGAAGATGGTTCGGAGCCGCGCGAAGTTTCCGCTCCTGAGGTCGGCGAGCTCTACCTACGAGGCCCCAACATTTTCCTGGGATATCATAACAATCCTGCCGCAACGAAGGAGTGCCTGTCAGACGATGGCTGGTTCCGTACCGGAGATGTCGGGTACCAGGATGCCAAGGGCAACTTCTACATCACAGATCGTGTCAAGGAGCTGATCAAGTATAAGGGATTTCAAGTCCCACCCGCCGAGCTGGAAGGAATCCTCGTCGACCATGAGGCCATCGACGATGTTGCTGTCATCGGCGTGCAGAGTGACAGCCACGGGTCGGAGGTTCCCATGGCGTGTGTCGTCCGCAGCGCAAAGAGCAAGTCCTCTGGCGCCAGCGCCGAAGATGAAGCTGCCAAGATCATCAAGTGGTTGGAGGGCAAGGTTGCGCCGCACAAGCGTCTGCGTGGCGGCTTGCGCTGGGTGGAATCTATCCCCAAGAACCCAAGCGGTAAAATTTTGAGGAGGAAATTGAAGGAGCAGTTCAAGGACCCAGCTCCTAAGGCCAAGCTGTGAGTTTCTCGCTATTTACCTATACAGATCTGTTGTACATAAGTTAGACCGAGTCGGCTTCACGCCAAATTGATTCGTTGCATTTGTTCCATACCGGAGATAGATATCTACCAACCTAAAGCCCTAGACAATCTTCTCCAGGCTAAGAGAAAAACCTTTTAACCATACCATCAACATCCTCCCCCTCAACCGCATCCTTCTTCTCCCTCGCAACTTTCTCAACGGCTTCATCAACGGGCAAGTCCCCGTTAATAAGATCAATCCACCCCTCGGTATCAGCCCTAGCAAGCAACTGATCTGCAACAATAGCAACATCCTCACGGGTCACACTCCCCTTACCCCTTGTCCTACCCAGATCCACCATCCGCGTCGCCGGCTGATCAGTCAGAGTCCCAGGACGCAGGTTAATAGCCTGGAACGGACGCGCCGATGGATCGGCTTTGCGCTTCGCTGCCAGCGCGGTCATGTACTCATCGGCCTCTATCTTGGCCTTCGCATAGGTGGGCAGCACCTCTGTGTTGACCCGCATGATAGCCGCCCAGTCCTCGTCGGAAATCCAGGCTGGTTGCTTGGTCCGGCTGCCAAGATAAGATACCATTAGGAACTTGCTCACGCAAGTGGAGGCGAAGGATGCGCCGAGGAAGTGCTTCGCTGCTTCTTGGTCAATTGCGATTGTAGATGCGGGGCCGCCTTTGCCGCCGGCTCCTGGGAGTTGTTAGCATTCCGTGCGTTCGCGCGAGTATATGCATATTTGAACCAACCGGCCGACCAAACTACATAATCCGGGGACACTGCGTCTAGTATTTTCTGAGCGTCCGATTCACTCTTCACCTGGTCCAGGCTCGAGATCAGCACATCCAATTTGCCCTTGCGGCCTTTGCCCAACGCTAGAATCTCGTTCTCATGCTCGGGGTTGCGGACAACGCTAGTAACGTGCCATGCCCGGTTCAAGAGCAGCGGTGTCAAGTGGAGGGCCACTTTGCCGTGGCCGCCTAGGAGGAGAACTTGCATTTTAGGAGAGATGCAAAGAGTGAGGAGGAGATATGTGGAAGAAGAGGGAATTGACGAACTAACTCCTCTATCCCTTGATGTTACACAGATTGCGGGGCCGGACCAATGGCGTCATGATTATCTAGGACTAACACTCAATACCATTAGGCACATTTTCACACTTATCACTCGCCTGCCCACCGCTAAGATCAACATCCTCCCGACTAACACTCAATGCCATGAGGCACATTTTCACACTTGTCACTGGCCTGTCCACCGCTAAGATCAACATCCCTCCACTTCCAGTCCGAACAACTCCCATCTCCGCACAAGATATAAACCGGCGCCGCATCGCTGTGCACGGAGCCCGTGATTTTCTCGATGGTCAAGTCTGTAATCGAAACTCCCGTAGTCGGCGTGCCAGTCGGGCTGCCATTCTCATAGTCCTGCTCGATAACAATGCCATGGTCCGAGATGTTGGACAAGCGGATGTTTGAAAACGTGACGCCAGACACAAGACCTGTCTGCTTGTAGTCCGTCTTGATGCGGATGCCGTTCTGCGAATTGACCACGGTGGATTTTTCGATCTTGACGTTCTCGACTTTGTTGTTCGAACGCCCACCTACGGAGCCGATGGAGAGCCCATGTCCACCAAAGCAGTAGGCGCCTGTGAACAAAATATTCTATGCCATATTAGTGATGCTCTTTCTTATATAATGCAAAGAGACTGTACCGAGCCAGAGTTCACAGCAAGACAATCGTCCTGGTTACGGACATTCGCTTTCCTTATGGTAACGTGAGTAGAATCTCCGACATCAAAGGCATCGGTATTGTGAGCACCAAGCTCATCGCCGTCGGAGTCGTCAACCGTGATATGGGTGAGGAGTAGATGGTTCGATTCAATACTGAACGCCTGCACGGGCGTATTCTTCACGTTCAGCCCGGCGATGAGCGAGTTGTCTAGACCATGCGCGTAGAAGAACTTCGGCTTCGTCTTCCCTCCATTTGTGCCCTGGCCATCCCACCACCGCTCTCCGCCGCCGTTGATGGTGTGATTCGTGGTACCGACGATGACGATGTTCGAGCCCGACACGCGGATTAATGGACCGTCCCATTCCTTGTAACCGAAGCTGGTTTCGCCTGCGAAGACAACCTTGGTCTTGGGCTCCAAGTCCGACAGGTCCAGAGTTTCTCCGGCGGGGACATGGATATCTTCCAAAACGATGCTGGAGCAGGACTTCTTGCCAGCGATGGCGCTGGCCGCAGAAGTAAACGTGCAATCCGTCCGTTTTTGAACAGGCGTCGGGAGTGCAGCGACTAGGGATGTGCCGATGGCCAGCATCGACAGGAAAAACATTTCAAAGAAAAAAGATGGTCTGGTCAACAGACCCGAGAATCAAAAAAGAAACGAATGTTCAAAAGAAAGGCGAGGGTCTACCCTCAATGCGAAAGGGAACAAAAAGAATGACTCGATTAATGTCGAGCTGAAGACCCAAGACCGAGCCCAGCGGTGGATAGCCTATATACCGTGTTGGACACCAGCTGACAAGCGCCGCACCAGTCATCGTGAAACAACACCAAAACTGGCCTTTTCCCGCCTCTCTCCCGACCCCCTGCACATCGACCTAGACCTGTCAACCCGAACCAGCGTCTTATGTATCCATCCTTCCCTTTTATTTCCTTATTTGTCAAACCATTCAATTGCTAACATACAAGTCACCCCGACCGTAAAAAGAACAGTGCGTACAACAGGGTCCGCCGCACAAAAGGCTATTTTCAGCGATCGCCTCCATTTTTTGAGGGGGATCAACCTGTTTCAGCTCTAGACGCTCCGCCCGCTGGCCAATGAGTGCGCTAGGATGCACACCAACGTTGCCTGTGAGTGGGGGGCTAGCGGGAGAATCGGTTTCACCACTCAACTTCAAACTGGTCGCTTGGAGGGATGCTGGTCAGTTGGCATATTTCAAGTTATGATGATACCCTGGGCTAATAATAATGTCTTGGTCTTGGCTACCCTGGGTATGCAAAATTGGTGCATTCGGTCATACTCTATAATTTGAGGGCTTCGCGCCTTGCAAACTATTAATGTAACCCTGTGTGCGCCCCATCTACCTGCTGCTTTTATCCACACTGTCCCCAATTTTGCTCTCCATTTGCGTCTGGAAGTGTGGATCCCCGGAAGGGAGTATCAGAGAGAGAGAGCTACGTCAATAATCCCCTGCAGATCCCATTTATCCCCCGTGTCGCAGCTTATAGCTCTCACCGGTGCAGAAGGATGCTCTATGTTAAGACAAAGCAATTGCTTGTCTATCTTTCGGCCATCTTTCGGACACTTAACGTCCCTCCGCCATCACCATGGCTCCATCAATCATGGTCCTGATAAACCGCAGCCCTAAGGCTAAAAGTACATACATTTTATGTAATGGATTCACTTGCCACACCTAGACTTCTCGAAACTACAGATATCCAATTGTCAGTATTAGATCTCAATCATTCAATCGATATGCGTGTACATAGTCCCAGCTTGGCCTCGGGTGCCTTCTCCCGTCCTTGACTAGTTTCTCCTCGACCGCGCTGCTGCTGGTGGCGGGCACCCTGAGTTGCCCAGTGAAGAAGAGGATTAGGCGATTCCTCAGCTCGGCTATGGTCCGAAAGTAGCCAGGAATATTCCTGAGGGGACTCTTCGCGGAGACTGTTGGGGGGGGGGGGGGGGGGGGGGTGTTGGTGTCAATCTCCTCGTTGGCCTTGCCCTTGGCGACGCGGATGGTGGCGGTGATGCTGGTAGATCTAAATGAACTTGAGTACATTACACCACGACCATTCTGCTCTTCATACTGATGAATGTCTCAATAGAAATGCGATTCACTGGACGAATTTTCCCCCAACCCTCAAATAAGGCAACAAAACTTAACTGTGCTTTCACCATTCAAAGCTCCATCTCCTCTACAAAAACCACTTGCATAGGGAAGCCTTCCAGAGTGAATATGACACTACTGTTTCAAAGCTCGCTGTACATATTCACGAGCTCTTAATTACAGCCAGCATGATAGATACTTGCGATACCTGAGAGGGCACGCGATGTTGTGAACTTCAAACGGAATGGCCACATTGATTTAGTCAAGTGGGCGCGTCAACTTAGCCCCCAGATTACATAGTCCCGGTAATTCCGCCGCTAACTGAGATGAACTGTGCAGTGATCCACCGGCTCTTCTCTGATACTAGCAGAAGCGTAGCATCAGCCAGATCCTCCACTGACCCAAGGCGATTCGCAGCTCGCGTCTGTTCATACATAGAAAGCTGAAGCGCAGTTGGAGACCCATCAGGAGCCACTAGATACGCTTTCGACATATCTGTTGGAACTGGGCCGGGTGCGAGTGTATTGACGGTAATCCCACGGCTCTTGCCAAGCTGTCCGGCATTTCGTTAGGTGGTTGTCGAGCGTAGAGAGTGGGAAAACACGAAAGAAATCTTACCTCGCCAGCCCAAAACGTTGTCAGGGCATCCATTGCAGCTTTTGTCGCACCATATACAGGTGGTGGGACCAAAATTTTCGAGGCGATAGAGCCAATGTTGACGATGCGGCCGCCTTGCGGCATTCGACCTACGCCAACAACAGCTTGTGTCATGTAAATCACGCCGAAGACGTTGACAGCGAATTCGTATTCGAGCTGCTCTTCTTTAACCTCCAAGAGAGGTGTGTTGCGTGCAGCCGCTGCGTTGTTGACTAAAACAAATAGTCAATCAATCCCTGTTCAACTACCCGGAAAGAACATCACGCCGCCCATGACATACCGAGAATATCGATGTGATCGACGCTAAATGCTTTCAGAATCTGTTCAACCATGTTTTTTGCAGTATCGTAATTTTCTACTCCTCCTTGTACGACGGTGGTTTTGGTGCCAAACTCTTTATTGATGTCAATCGCTACCTTCTCAGCCTGTACCTCTGAGCCTTCCGACACATAATGAATTGCTACAGATGCGCCGTTCCGGGCCAAAGATCTAGCAATAGCGGCACCAATGCCAGACTCTCTGCCAGAACCTGTAACCAAAGCAGTCTTTCCTACCAGTGAGAGTGTGTCGGGCGCCATATCCAGAAAAGTAGCAAAGAAAGCTATCGAAGCAAAGGATCACACAGCTACTTCCGAGCTCGAACTGGCAAGAGGTTATGTTTTATATATACGACAGAGTTGACTATATGGAACCGATAGTATTAATTTTGCATATATTAAATAGATGCTATTATAAATCATCAAATTATAAGAAGTCGGGAAAGCAAAATTGTTCTATCTACGAGTCCCCCGCTCCTCTTGATTATGAATATCACGGGCAGGATTGTCGCCGCCCCGAATCGTTTGACTAATGCCGCATGAAAGCCTTGTTTGTATCATAGTTTGTGCTGTTTGTGTTGATGACCAAGGACCAATGGTTCGCTATGCTCCGCACCCACTGCAAGCAAGGTTTGTTTGCATCATAGTTTGTGCTGTTTGTGTTGATGACCAAGGACCAATCAACGTTCCGAGGTCCAGGCGGGTTGGCTGCATAGTCCGTGGTTTGTGCTAACAACTAAGGTCTAATGGATGCAGATGAAAATCACAAGAGAATTCAATATCTAGCTTACGAGACAATTCACTATCCAGCTTACCAAGCGTTCGGGTGCCGAACTGAGTAATTCGTATCCTGATGTTCCCGCCATTGAAGTATACCGGTACTTTTAAGCAGACCAACTCTCGACCCTTGATCGAATTCTCTTTCTCTCAATCAATTAATCTTTCATTCACTCGGCATGTCTCTCAAAACCCTCACTCTCTGGACGCTCCGGGGCCACCCTGGCACGCCCAACCCCTGGAAGGTCCTTATGATCCTAGAAGAGCTTAAGGTTCCCTACGAGCCTAAGTTGGTCGATTTCGACGACCTCAAGAAGGAACCATACGAGTCTATCAATCCTAACGGTCGTGTTCCCGCCCTCGAGGACCCGAACACCGGCATCACCATCTGGGAATCCGGCGCCATCCTCGAGTACCTAGTGGACACATACGACAAGCAACACACGATCAGCTTCACCGCCGGCTCAAAGGAGTACTACGAAAGCAAGCAGTGGCTACACTACCAGACGTCCGGCCAGGGACCGTACTTCGGGCAGGCCACCTGGTTTACGGTCTACCACCCCGAGAAGGTGCCCAGTGCGGTCGAGCGCTATGTTAACGAGATCCGTCGTGTTTCGGGCGTGCTCAACCGATCGCTCCAGAACAAGGATTACCTCGTTGGCGGCAAGTACAGCTATGTCGATACTGCTTTTGTGCCGTGGTTCGAGGTGGCTGCACTCTTCTGGTCGAACGAAATGGATCTCGAGAAGAGCTTCCCGCATGTTCATTCCTGGTTGAGCCGTATCAAGGCTCGCCCGGCTATTGCCAAGACCATTGATGATAAGGCGAAGGTCGCGGCTGCGGAAGGGAAATAAGGCAATGTGATGGCAGATGAAACTTCTAGATAAGAAGACGAATTGAATCCAAATACGTACATATATCTTCTATATTTAAATCGACCCATCTCTTAAGCTGGCGTCTTGGCGGTGGGACCAGAATTAAGAGAAGAGTGTGAAACGGTGAAGCTAGTTTTGCACTTCTCTGTAGTTGCGGACTACTTTATACCTCCAGTCAAGGGCCCGACGGGTGGAATCCCATTCGGCCGTAGTGGCCGGCAGTAGGAACAACCACACCCCGATCCATGCGAACACATCCCTCCAGGTCTCCGTGTTCCCGATTACCTTGCCGACGAAATCAACCGTCTTCGAAAAGTCCATTTTAAATGGAATTGATAGTTGGGAGTGGATAGAATGGATGGGAGACGCCTTGCTGAGCCGGAGAATTGTCCCTGTGGGGAGGGGCCTTGTTGCTGCTGATGATGGTGGTGTCCGTGTTAAAAATCATGCCAATGCAAATGCCATTTTGTGTCCGTTGTTCGTGTCGGCGGCGGCCTTGTTGTTGTTGTCGCCGCTGTTGCTCTTGTTTGCAATAGACGTAGGGACAGCACGACTGGACTTGGGCCCTTAGAGGTGTCATTGGTGGCAGTGGCGGGTGCGTTGTCAATCCTTATGGAGACTCGCTGCGGCTGGATGATAATAGACTAGGCATTTTCGAGATTGCAGCGACAGTTAACTCTAGTCATCCTTTCACGATCTACCTAGTTCGAAGATACCCTGGTTTTGCAAATATGTCATTGTATGAGACCTGATAATATACCGGAGAGTCTACCTAAAGATGACTGGCATGGTTCAACCACCAGCCCAGCTCGACGCCTAGCATCCCTTCCTGATCGTACATCACCAGGTGTCCCGCATTTTCAATTAGCACCACACGCTTAGCATGCAACTTCTCCTTCAGGCGCTCCGTCGTTTCCACAGGAATCCATCGGTCTTCTTTTCCCCAGATGATCTGCACTGGTATCCTCTCTCCTACCTCTGGGTACTTAGGCTCGACCTCGTCAGTGCTACGGCTATTAGCCTGAATCATTTGTCGCACAAACCCCCTTCTTCCTTCATCAGAAGAGATCCACGGACTCTTCAACATCTCCATCGTCTCTTTCCCCAGATCTTTGTGGGCTGCATCGCGAATATATGCTTCCACCACCCCCTCAAACACTGGTCCGGTCAACGCAGTGAAAACTGCCTCGTTTTCAGCCACTAGTTTGAATAACGGCTGGCCGAACGGCCCTATCGCAACCACATTTATCAAGCACAGGCTCGCATAGTCACAGCCATGTATGATATTAGCCCGTAAGCTCATTAAGCCGCCGTGGTCGTGCGCAACCACATGGGGCTTGTGCCGCCAGTCTAGCGACCAAAATTTATAGAGCGCAGCAAACACCTCTGTCTGAAGTGCGAGGTCTGCATCTAGAGCCGTTTTGTCGTCGATCGTCCCCTCTTTGCCGTCAAGAGGCTTGCCAAGAGGGCTGGCGCCGAAACCTGGATTGTCGAAGAGGTAGACGTGAAAGTATTTGGCAAAAGATTGGGCATAGTTACTCCAGACGCGTGAAGACCATGGGGTACCATGCACAAATATCAGAGGTGGTAATTCAGGATCGCCAAGAGATACCCAGCGGATATGATAGTCGTGGGTAGCAGTGCAGTGGTGAAAGGTTTGAGTGAGCTCGATGGTAGACGATGGCAAAGACATCATGTTGTTTCTCGAAATGGATTTAGGGCTATATTTATTTGTGCTGGAGGAGAGAGAGTTAATCGATATGTTTACTACCTCCTCGACAAGAGCATCCCCGCCTTTTATCTGGCACTACAAGGAACTTAGGTAACCAGGCCCAACTCAACGCTAATTGGTCAATTCGTAAGCAAGAATACGTCATATAAGAACTTGAACCCTCTCAAGGTGTACAAGAGGTACTCGCCCCCCAAGTCGGACTTCTCAAAAGGGTTTTGGGGAGTTTTGGGGAGTCCGACTAGGGGGGCGAGTACAGTATGGTAGGTCTTGGCATTAGGGTTCGAGAAACCATCGAAGAGTATCGGTGGTGACACCAGTTTCGTGACATGCTCTGTAAAAAGGGCGAAGTTGTCTGTAGAGTTCCCAAATTTAGGATTAGACTATCTGACATGGCTGGCAATGTAGACATATACTTTTATGCGGGCTTATGTTCAGTCTCTGCTATATACAGGGTGAAGTGTTTGGATTGAGTAAAGCCAATCCTTAAACAGTATTCACCAGATCCAAAGACATGCCTGTAATGCAATGCTTCAAAGAAGTAGTCGGTGCAATTCCATAAAAATTTGTCCGTCCCCGACAGTCAGCCAGACAAGAGAGGTCAATTCGATAGGGCCCACATAGAAACCATGATATGATTTGAGGATTGAAAGCATGACTGCAAGATTTGAACACATGTTGTCTTTTAAGCAGTCGCCGGATCTACCTGATTTCCTTTTCATGAGAATTGTGCACCCTTCAATGGGACAACAATCGATTCTGTAGTTAAAGAGTCATCAAGTTCGGACCTCGAGCAACAATAGCCTTCAAGAGTTCCATTCGTCCATAAATCTCCAAACTTGAATACTTTTTAGGAGTTTGGGCTTTTCTTCAACTCATATGAGGGGCGCCCGGGCGTTTCGGCTGTTCTAGACGTATGTACTCCGTGAGAAAGCCACGCAATATATATTTGAGCGATCGGGTTATCGGTCCCGACACACGGTCTAGAATTACACAGTGTTCGGGATAGATTAATTACTCAGGAGCCATCGTATATACAAAGTCCGTAGTGGCGCAGCCCTATCCCACTTTTTCCGAAGAGCGTTGGGCAACAAAAGTACTTGACCAAGTGCTGAAACAACGGTCAAGTGGAAACCAACAACACGAGGTAGGAAAGTGCCGAGACTGGATCCCATCCACTTGGCTCCCACACCCAGGTTGCCCGTTCGGCCCCAATAGTTCTTGTGATTTCTCAGCTGGGTCGCGCTGGATCTCTACCAAGATTTGCGACAGATTTACTTCTCGATATTAAATGCATGCATCCGACCGCTCCTCAAGCCGGCAGTAGCTTACATCTTGGCCCGTATGAAGAACAGTACACACATACGGTACGGTAGCTCTAACCAAGACAGGTTGAGACACGGTGGGAACTAACTGTGCACTCCACTCTCGTTGAATTGCGGAAAAGCGTCCCGTTTTTGCCCCCCATCAGTAGTCTCATTCTCGCCCGATGAATACTGAGTACCTAATTTAATAAGTGTGATCAAATATGTGCTACACATGTAACTAAAATGCAAGATCTGTCGCACCAGATGCATGCGCCTGACGTATGACAATGTATGGGCCATAGGATGCCCGATGCCTTATTTGAACTGCCCTATTTTAGACTAGTCCAGGGGCAAGTTCAACACTACGCCCGTCGGAGCAAGCCAGCAAGCGAGTCCACTCACTCTGGGTCCTCAACAACGGCTGTCAGCCCACACAGGGCACCCCCCTGCCTGCCCCTTCAGGCTTCGCTGTGTCCGGCGTCAGTAGTCGGTGGTCCGGTCTCCATTTTTATCAACATCTCATAGCGACGCTATGAAATCATGGTTCCACTGCCGAGGAGATTCCGGATTTTGACCCATTGCTTATTTCACGATTTTTTTGTTTTTCTTTCTTTACCCTCGGCTTAAAAAAAACACGAAAAAGAGTTCTCAGGGGAGATGGGGTGGATAACCGCGTTGAACGGGGCCTAACCCTGGTCTGTCTGGATCCACGAAAACGAGCGGTGCCGGGGCAGACTTGACGCGATTGGAGCAGCGGGTGTCGGGGTAACAAGATTATTGCATCTGTCTGTATGGTCGGATGCAGATGCCAGTAGTCTCACAGCCTATAGATCGTGCCATCACTGCTTGCTCCCTCTGCACCCCGGGTCCCGGGCAAGCATATTCTATGATTTCCGTCCGGACGGAGGCAAGGAGTTCGATCGGAGCGCATCCACTCATCCTTTAGGGGATCTGCCAAGCCGCTGGTAATAACAATCATCATCCACCGACAGGGCTCACAATGGGTCCGCGGGCCAGACCCCTGGTGACGCTAGCAAAGTCTGTTCTTTTTTCTTTGGTCTCGCCATTGCCGGATTCCGCCGCCCTCGGGAAATCTAGTTACAGATGGTAAAATAATCGAGCGATCGCGTAGGACTATGGGAATAATTAGATTGCGATGGTTGCTGGACTACATGTCCGGCAAGGGTCTGCTTACCGGACAGTCTGCAGGCATCCTGCGAGAAGGGATGCAGGTACCACAGCCCGTAACGAGAGTAATTAACTATGATCTTATTGTTGATCGACTAACTGACCTGCTAGGCCTTTGGTCGTCTACTTTTGCAAACCCCTTCCTCCGACATTCCATACTGTCAAAAGGAATGAATCAATAAAAAATTCTCCCCATCATACACGTCGATTTCTGACAAGTCCAACCGCCATCATCGGGGCACTGATTGGTCTCTCCGGATCGGCTGACAAAAACAGACACGGGTAACTCAGGTACGCGATAGAGACCCGCATTCCTTTCTTTTCCACCTCGCGCTGTTGAGCTCGTCGCTGTATGTCTGCTGCTGCACCAAACTTGCCGTCCCTAGAGATGCTGACTGCCATGTCTGTCTCTTAGTGAATAATAATCAATCTTCTGCCTCACCTTTCAATCCTATATCGAGGGCTGCGTGAATGTAGCCCCCTGGCTATTTTTCCCTGGTCCATTGCGCCGCCGCAACTATCTGAATCCCCTCGCCGACCCTGGTGCAATTCGCCATGAATCGGTTCCGCAAACATAAGAAGGTTAAGGAGGTCAAGGAGGCCCGGGAAGTGTTAGAGGGTGGCCAGAATTCTGCGCCGCCGCCGGCTCTGAGTTTTGAGAGCCTGAAAATCAAGAACCATGCCTCCGACAACACCAGCCCGAACTTGGACCTGTCGTCCGCCCTCCCCTCCTCCGACGATTTCCGAACCAGCTTGCTCATGCCGAAGCTGTCTGCCAGATTCAGCATGCTGAGGGAACAGAACGATCCATCCTCAAAAATTGGCAAGGCTAGCGACGACAGCGTTCTGTTTCCGAAGCGAGCCTCGCGTCTGAATCTGTTCGGCCATGTCCCCAATGCGTTAGCGGACATCGATGAAGTCGAATCCAACGACGGCAGTCGTCCCTCGCTCGCATTGGGCCGCGCCGATTCCTACGTGTCTGGCGGAGATGGAGGATACGGCACCGACGACGACCGATCACCCGGCGGCAGCATCATGAGTCGCGGCCGACGCACGGAAGGCAACAACCTGTTTGGCGGACGCCAGAAGGTCTATAAGATTCCAGTCCGCTCACCCGGCCCTTCGCCGAGCCCGAACGACGCTAGCCCTCGCGGAGGAATGGGCAAGGCTGTTTACGAGAACGATTTGAATCTGTCCACTTTCCAGCGGCTGCGGCTGAAGGAAAAGGCAGAGAGAGAGGCGGCCGAGCAAGCGGCCGAGCAAGCGGCACGGGACGCAATTCCCCGAGAATCAGACGATGCTCACTCGACTATCTCGTCCACGAAGCGTACCACCTACTCCTCCACTGCGTCCGGGCCCGCCACCAACGCCCGCAGTTCGACCGCTGCTACTTCAATTGATGAATCGCATAACATCCAACCCCAGGCTGCTTTGAGTTCAACTCCTGAATCCCCAACCGAGAATGCGCGAACGGGAAAGCCACTGCCCTCGCGCTCCCACCGCATGTACGGCCAGGGATTAGCCCAGGCAGCTCAGAACCAGCAATCCTCAACCTTGAGTCGCCTGGAAAGCCTCAACCGCGCTCGTGCCGGCACTCCAGAACTTCCCCCACTGAACCGCAACTTTTCCAAGAGCGCGACCAGTTTGCGTGACCGGCTGCAAAAGCTCGCCGTCGCCGATCCCGCCTTCGCACCGCTTTCTGCGCCACCTGTGCCCTGTGCCAACAGCCCTCCGTCATCCGAGTCATCGAGGCACCGACCTTCCGCAGAGACGCTGACCAAGGAACGCTTCTCACCGACGGCTACCGGATTCGGGATTACACCTCCTCTGAGCCCACGGACGAGCGAAGCGGAAGACGGCGCGTCACTGGCCGCAGCTGTCCAACCGGAGGATCATGGAAAAGCCACCGCTATGGGTCTATTCAACAAACCTGCCACGGCATTTGATGAGCAACAGTTCTCTCGTCGCCAGCTCCTGATGTATCAGGGACGGAGCACACCTCCATTGCGACGCCCGTCCCCTCCACGCCGAGCTCCACCACCAGAGCCTGCCGGCCGACCCAGAGGCTTTTCCAAGTCCAGTGTCCGATCCCGAGCCGAGTCTGCTTCGTCGCACTACAGTAGCGATCCCAATCGTAGTGTTGATCACTCCAGGGCCTCGAGCGTGGAAGCGTCCCCCCGTCGACCTGGTTTGGCCACTTTCTATGCCGCATCCACCGCCAGTGAATCTGGAGATGACCGAGACGACCGTCGCTCTTACGAGGTGTCATCTGCCACATCATTCGCCACGGAATACGGCCACTCAATGTATCATTCCACTACCACAGCATCCAAGCCAGCCACCCCCACCGGAGATCATCTGGAAACTCTCCCGGAAGTCACATATTCAGAAATGGGCGACCTCAAGCCAATTGAGGAGCACGAAGGTGTGGACACGGATATCACCCCCGAGCAGCCTTGTTCACCGACCACGCAACCATCTGGAGCAGACTTGTCTGGATTGGTTCGAGCCCAGTTACGTCGCGAGAGCGACATCTACCTCCCTTCATCCCCCGGGTTCCCCATGTACCGACAGGATGGAGGCATGAGCAACTCGAGCACCCAAGAATCGTTGTTTCAGAAGTCGGTCAACGCGTCTATGCTGAGCAACCTTGAAGAGGACGCCGTGTCGCCCCTAAATGTCCGCCCTGGAACGTCCGGGTCTCAAGCAGCCTCCAGACAGTTCGGAGACGACTCGACCCCTCGTGACAGTGAAGACTCAGCTGAAACAAACGCCTCGCCCGAAAGTACCAGAAGGTTGAAGGACGCCTCATGGCAAAACGAGCTGGCGCTCCACCATCGACGAGATGGTAGCACCGAGACACAGAAGGAGCGAGAGGAATTTGCCATTGAACTGGCTGAGAGACGCAGAAAGGTTCAAGAGAAGATGCGCAGCGTGACTGAATTCGACAGTCGATCGAGCAGTCCTATTCCAGGTCGACAGACCCCAGAGTCGAGTCAGCCGAGACCTGGAAATGCCTTTGCACTGCTGAACAAGAAGCCCAGCAAGTCCGGCTTCCAAAGATCCGACTCCAGGTTGAAGATGTTTGGCTATGGAAATACCTCCACGCCCTCCTTGGTGCAGGATGACGTCCCGCGTGAGGAGGAGCTACGTTCATCCAACTTTGGCCGGCATTCCAACTCCAGCTCCCCCAATGTTGGCGAACGGTCGATCCGGTCCCGCATGCCGATGCTTGGCCGCAGCAGCAGCCGTGATGGATCGCGCGACTCAAGCCACAGCCGTGGGCCATCGCCTGCCGGGGGGCTGAGGTCTCGCTCTGGGTCTGATGCCTCAGCGACAGCGAGCCGGTCTAAGAGCCGAACCAGATATCGTGCTGAGCGCGACGATCTTGAAACCGTGGAAGAGGGCACGGTTATCGCGCACGAGAATTTCGTTGCGCCAGAGAACTTCGAACCCCGCGCCGTCCCTTCAGTCCCCTCCTCGGCTCGTCCCTCAATGGAGGCAAGCGAGCCGGCCCCCTTGTTCGACCGCACCTCATCTGCAGCTTCGGGCAGATACCGCAGCGCCAGCCGCTCTGGTGCTGCCACCCCGAGCTTCCAGTACGAGCAGCCATTCCAGTTCCCTCGGCCTGGCAGCAATTCGCCCTCCATGATCGGGGTATCCCCACGTCCCTCACCGGCTGCACCACCCTATTCTGCCAACGCCACGCCTCCTCTCAACGAGATACCCTCTGAGCACTCTTCTAGGCCTGGCTCTGCCGCTGGCGGCGGTTCCCACTCGCTCCCTCAACGTGCACCAGGGCACAACGCACTCCCGAAACGGCCAGTGAACAAGAAGCAGATCTCCGAGCCGACCTTCCTGTCCAGCACATCCAACGTCCCGACTGTCGGCTTGCCCTCGCCAGAGACCCAATCCCCAATTCCCCCTATACCACCACGGAACCCGCGCAGGCGAGGTACACAGACCATCATCGACGCATTCAAGAGTGACAAGACCGAATCGCGCATTAGCTCACCGTTCCCCGCCGTCGACGAACAGAGCACATTCCAGGACGAGGAAAAGCGCCCTCGCTCTCGCAATCGTCTGCGCAAGATGTCCAGCGAGGGCGCCAGTATGCACGGACGGGCGCGCAAGGACTCACGGTCTGGATCTGCTCCCGCCGTCCCTGCATACCCGCCTCCTGCGATCCCTGTCGACGGAGGCATGTTCTGATTGATATACTGCTGCCTTTTCTCAGACGCTTTTTTATACAGATCTAACATCTAACCATCTCCTTGTCATCCCTTGTCTTTGTTGAGTATGTACACAGTTTGTTGTGCCGTTCTCTCTCCATATATCCCTCTCTCGGGCTCTTTCTTTGTGTTCTTGATTTTGTGCCTCTTTCTTCTGTGTCCTTAACTTTGATGACTGCCTATATACCACCCGGTGCGTTTCGTGAGCGTTTGTTGTTTACTACCATTTTCTCTTCCTCTTCCGTGTGCAGGCATATGAATTAGCAAAATGGAAACATAAATTATACTCCTTCTGTGGCCTGTCATGTTCTTTCAATAGAGCAAATGTAGTAACAAAAGCGCTGCCTGGCGAGGAAGATAGTTGGCCTGAGGCAGCGACTCCAACTGCTCTGTTTTGTGTCGCGCGGGCGTATCATGTGCTGCATCACGTGGACGATTCTAGCCCTACTCCGCTGCCCAAGTATCAGGATTAGAGCATTTATAGCTAGAAGCGCCAACAGGAATACCTTATTTCACAAAATAAAACACAAAATGATAAAATCAGACAGTAAACAATAATTCCATGTAGTGAAAAGCACTTCCACTCTTTGTTGTGGGCGTGCGTAGGTGGGATCATGAAAAAGACGGCGCGTCCATGTTCGGCTTCACCTGTAGAGCGTTTTGGAAATGGTTCGTCGCGATACAGCGTGTCCCACGATGAATATTTTTAAACTACGTCCTTATCCCAAGCTTTTTTCTTTCTTCTTAACCACTTCTCATCATTCTCGCCATCCCCCACGCCTGTGCCTCATCGGCATCACTTTTCATCGACTCATTCTCCTATCTGCCTTTCTCAAACCCAAAAGCCTCATCCTCAAATAACAACATCTTGTACCCCATCAGGGGGATTTCTAACCTCCCATTCCCTCTTCTCAAGTGCCCCCTCCTTGAACCTCCATCCTCGACATCAACGCCCCTTCTCAACTCCACTCCACTTCTCCAAGCCTTCCTCCACCTGCTCAACATGGCGCCCATTCACTCGCGCTTCGAGAGCAGCACCACAGATATATGGGTCTGGGAAGAGCGCAAGGAGAAAGCAGAGAAAGCAAAACACGTGCTGAAGTTCATCGATGGGGAGGAGGTCCCCTCTGACCCTTCCTCTCCCGTAATGTCCGACGGTGAGCTATCTCCGAGTCCCTCGCCCACATCGTCAGAGCAGGATCGAGAAATCGAAAAATTGGTGAAGGATTATCTGACTCAGCGACTTCTTGCATGCACAGCTGTCACGGTGGCCAGACGTGAGAGACGCGATATATATGACATCGCCGCTGAAGATGACGAGGCAAATATCGTGATGCAGACCATCCTGAACCAGAAGCTGCTGGAAGTGCAGGAGGCTTGTTCCCATATTGATGGCTCCTCCGAGGCGGGTCCATCGCGACAGACCCCGAGATACCCGCCGGGCCTGGGCCTCGAGCGCCGCGAAGAGGAAGAAGAATCCTTCAGCCAGGCTGGGACGATCATTGTCACTTACCCCGCGGGTCCAGCTCCTCCTTCTGACGACAAGAAAAAAGAAGACCTGACCGACAACGACGCCGAAACGGAGACGGGCGATTACGAGCCGAAAGAGCCCGAAAAAAACGGCAGCCACGACAACGAAGAGGCCGCAGTGAGTGACAGCGAGACTGCGGTTGCATCTGATACGGCCGGGCTTTCTTCTCCAAAAGTTGGTGAGCATGCTCGTGCAAAGCCTCAGAAGAGTGGTCCGAAAAGTACGAAGAAAAAGAACCATATCAAGAAGAAATCACAGAATCGAAAGAAGATAATTGAAACCCGTCGCAAGGCAAAGGCGCGCCAGGACCGAAAGAAGATCAAGGACTATGCCAAATCCGAGAAGGTAGAGGACGAGGCGGCCGATTCTTCTGCGACTGTTTGCTCTGCCTCTTCGTGTCCCATTCCGACAAAACGCCAAGCGGACGAAACGGATTCCGAATATTATACCGATGATAGTTTCAAGATCATCACCGGTGATGAACTGCCTGAGTCTGAGCGGCGTCGACGCCGGGATACGGCCGACGATGACGATGCGTCCGTTGTGCCCGAGAGTCAAGATCTTTCAAAGAGTCAGCGCAAGAAGGAGAAGAAGAAGCGAAAGAAGAATGCGGTGCGGGAGGCTGTGCGCCTTGCACAGCACACTCTCGCTGCTGAGACCTCATACAATCCTTTCATCCCACTTGCATCCATTAGGTCGGAAGCCACGGCAAAGGAACCGCAGGTGGAGCCTGGGCAGGAGAATCCTGAACAGGAGAGCTCGCTTTATGTTTCGGCGGTCGAGAATGCTGCACCCGAAGATGAACAGTCGATTTCTCTGGCAGAGAGGCTCTCATATGAGGCTCAGATTCAGCATGATGATCAAGAGCCTGCGGGAACTAGCTCCGAGCATGAAACTGAACAGGTCGCCGAAGATACTCGTTCAGAGAGACTGGCTGCGGGTAGCCCGGCGGTTGGTTCGAATGTCAATGCTTCGATCGATGATTTTGAGATCAGTGTGAGCCCCGAGCGTCCTATGGCGGCCTCAGTAGAGGAGATCGAGGAAGACAATCCGCTCGAAACTGGCGCCTCCGTCCATATTATAGAGGAGACAGGTAATGCCATCGAGCTTTCTTTCGAGACAACCGCTGTGGACGACTCTAGCGGCTCGACTACCGTGGTCAACGAGCCGGTTAATAACCCGCTCGCTGGCGAGCCGCGGCCGCGTCCCCCTCCCCTTCCGCCGCGACCCGCCAGATCGCGTACTCTGTACTATGCAGAGGGTTACCCGGTTGTCAATCCGCGAGCAGTGTGGCCCAATGACACTGCCTTGCACCACCTTCGTGCGCGATGCGGCTTCCACCTGGCATGCTGCTACCATCGGCCGCGAGGTTATGGCATGCGTCCTCCTGGTCGGTCGTGCTGCTGCATGCACCACGCCGGCGATTGTTGCCAATGCCACTCCATGGAGGTAGAGAGTAGTGGAGTCATCTACCAGCATTTTGATGGAACGGTCACCTTGCCCTATGTACCTGAGCATCTGCGGAGTCGAACTCCCAGCCCGTCGCAGCCTCCAATTGTTCTCGAGCGAGTTGACGACCCTTTTGTAGAGGAGCAGGCTGAACCTGGGTTTAATTCTCGAATCTTCTCAAATATGCTTGCCCGCTTTGGAAGCGTTATGAATTCTACCGGACCTGTGACGGCAACGGTCCGGGCTTGGGGAGACGGGCTTCGACGCACGATGGTTCTTATTGACGGCCAGGCACCTCGGTACACCGAGGTGCCGTATCCCGCTCTTCCTCCAGAGTCTGAAAGCGAGGAATTGGGTGCTCCCACCGTGCTCGGAGATATTCGTGAATCTGAGGAGCCAGGTCAGCCGGAGCAGCACAGTCATGAAGCGGTGGAGCCTGTGGCGCAGGAAGATTATATTCAGGAAGAGCCAGAAGTAGGACAGCATGGAGAACACTCGCATCAGGAGGAACATGTTCAGGAAGGGACAGAAGCTGAGCAGCAGGAGGTACATCCGGAGAGTCCACCCATTCAAGTGATTTGGCAAGTGTCATTACCCGGTAATCTCATTGAGGAACCGGAGCCGATCAGCGTTGAAATCAATCCGTCATCTCCTCACGCGTCTATCGAGACGGCGGCGGAGTTTGATGTGGGCAATGAGAAGGAGAACGCGGAGGACAAAGACGAAAAATCTGATGGCCAGGTGAAAAAGCTCAACAATGAGAATAAGAAAGCGAACGAGTCGCACGATGGCACTGACAACCAGTCCGACAAACAGCACAAGGAAGAAGAATCGAACGACGATGAACCTGAGACCAGACACCCCGTCATCCGGCCATATGTCCCCGGCGAGATTCGGTCTCATTCTCAGCCCGCGTGCAAATCCAAGGAGATGATGTTTTCTCGGGTTTCTTCTTCTAATTCACTGGCTGTGGAACATACGCGGTTGATGGTTGCGCCTGTTTTTGTGCAGCAAGCCTGTGGAAATCTGGAGGGGGAAGGAAGCTGGGCTGATGAGATGGATCGAGAGGCTTCTTCGGCTGCAGATGCAGAGGCACCTTCGCAGGCTGAAGGAGATGGAACAGGTTCTGAAGATATGCCAAACAATGAGCAGCAGAGTGGTGATGCAGATGATGCTAGAGGTTCAGGCAATGGTAATAGCGATGGGGCAGAAGGAGGAAGCAATTCGGCTGAAGGGCAGGAGCCATATCATTTCAACGAGTTCCAGCACATTCAATGGCAGGACCCTCGTCCTGTGTTTCATGGTCCCCTGCTGCCTCAGACACCTGAGTTCTCTTCCTTTCTACCACTCCGCGACTCCCCTTCTCCTCCACATCTTCACCCTCCACTCAGCAACATCCAAATCTACTACTCAGACAATCTCATTCTTGCCAGGCCTCTGATGCCACCTCTTGATACCCACACCCGCAGGATGTATGGCGACACCAGCATCTCGGACGTGGTGATCGTCCTGCACTTGGACTGGGCGCCTCTGGCGTCCATCCCGCACCCCGTCCACAAATTCATGGTCCAGAGCAACCCAACTCTACACTACATTTTCACCCAGCTCAGCATTCGTGCTGGCGCTGAGGTCAACGAGATCCACGTCCATGGCGGTTTTCTATATCGCGGCATGCACGCCTTCGGCATGGCCCTGAAGCACCTGTACAGCTGGCCCCTGTTGACCAACAACGACGTGCGCGTGTGCACTCTCCAGTCCATGGGCATAGAACAGCAGCCGTCCGAGGCTCATCCCACCGTGAACGCTCTCTATCTCGACAAGGCCATGGTTGACTACGCCTTTTTCTACGCGGCCACTGGTGCCTTCCTGGGCTACTCTGATATCGTGCAGCGCGGCATGGACATTGCTTTCACTATGGTGTCGTGGGACACCATCGAGCAGTTCCTCAGCTTCGGCGTGCGTATCAAAGAATATCTCATCCGCTGCCCCGATGTTGCTCCCGTTACCACGACTGCCGCCTTCGACTTCGAGGCGCAGAACAAGCAGCTGCAGCGCGTCTGGGGTGAACGCATGACCAACTACTCGCTGGAGTACGTCCTGCAGGCCGTGGACCCAGACTTCCCTCTGTGGACCAAGGGCCGATCCGAAATCGTGCCCGACCGCATTCCCATCCCGATTCGCACCTTGCCCGGTTCGATGATGATGAACCCTGAGCTGCTGAACATTCGTTTCGGCGACGTGCCCTCCATCAATGATGGCAAGCCCTCCGAGCCCTTCATTCTCATCCCGTGCATCGCCTTGATCACTCTCCCCTACGCCACCCTGCAGCGTGGACTGGCCATTCTGCACAAGCGCAAGGCCCTCACCAATGGCCTTCTGAAGAAGATCGTCATCGAGCGCGAGGACCGCCGTGTGCATGCCATCCGTTTCAAGAACCAAAACAGGCCTTACCCGCTTGATCCCATCCCAGAGGACCAGCTGAATGAGCTCGGATACCGTGAGTTCGTGGTCCCGGCTCCGGCCCAGGAGGGTGACACTCCCCAGGCAGCTGCTGAGCGCCCCGGTCTGCTGAAGCGGGAGTGGAAGGGTCTGGATCCACTCAACATGGACGACCTGCTCCCCCGAACTAGCACTAACCGGCCTAGGGCGCCTACGGGTGATGCCAACTAGACTAACAAAAGAAAGCAATGGCCGTCACTCTGACGACAGTTGATGATTAGATGTGAGAGACGAGCATTCAATGTGTGATGATTACCCGGGGGTGTTGCTTGAGAGATGTGAATCCGACGACGTGTACAATATCTTTTCCTTTTTTCCTTCCTTCTTTTCTTTTCTGTATTGCTATCATCTTGTGTACCAACTATGTTGAGTTTACTTGTCATTTCCACTATTGTAGTAATTCCCGTATGTACGATTGATTTTCGCAGTCCTTTCTATGAAAAATGTATATACGCTCCAAACAAGAAGGCATGTATAGACAAACGCCGCTTAAAGCTTGTCGGGGAATCCAAAGTTCACACCAAATGGAGGGAAGACAAAGCGCTGGAAGGACTTGGTAGCAGCCAGCTGATCGCTGTACTTCTTGATGGTAGCCATATCATCAGCATCAAGCTTAATGAGGTCGGCACGGTTCGCCTCGATACGCGACGGAGTGACAGACTTGGCGAGGACGGAGGAGCCGCGGGCAACTGTAAATCTTTACGTCAGACTTGTTCCCCAATAGAAAGAGGTATAACAACATACTGTGCCAGCTAAGCAAAACAGTCGCAGGCGAAACGCCGCGCTTCTTCGCAACCTCCACAATCGGCTCAGCCGTGAACAGCGGGCTGCCGGTGCTACCGAGTGGGCTATACGCCGTAACGTGGATGCCCTTTTGGTTACAGAAATCCACAATCTCCTGCTGCGGCAGCGAGGGGTGATTCTCAATCTGGTTCGCAGCAGGAATAATGCTGGCCTGGGGCAGGAGCTCTTCTAGGTACTGGACGGAGTAGTTGGAGACACCGATGGCCTTGACCTTGCCGGAGCCGACGAGCTTCTCCATGCTCTTCCAGGTGGTGACGTGCGAGTGGCTGTAGATGATGTCGCGCTCTCCGTTGGGGAGCTTGGGGAAGATGGGGTGGTTGCCTGTTCGTGAACAGGTTAATACTGTTGGTCTAAGCAATAGTCGGGCATAAGTGCTGACCGTTGGGGTTCATGGCAATTGGCCAGTGCATCAGGTAGAGGTCGACATAGTCCAACCCCAGGTTTTTCAGACTGGTCTCGAGTCCCTCAGAGACACGTCCATGGTAACTGTTCCACAGCTTGGTGGTGACGAATAGGTCCTCGCGCTTGACGATGCCAGCGTCAATGGCCTCCTTGATGCCCTGGCCGACCTCGTGCTCGTTCTGGTAGCACAGCGCGGTGTCGATGTGACGGTAGCCCACTTTGATGGCGTGAAAGACCGCTTTCTCAACCTCACCTGGGGCAGATTGCCAAGTCCCAAGCCCCAGGGCAGGGATCTCAGCACCGGTATTCAGCTTAAAGTGGACGTCTGCAGCAGCCATTCTGTATGTGTGTATGTGTGTGTGTGTGAGAGAGAGAGAGAGGAGGAGGAAAGCAAAGGAGGGAAAGAACAAGTAACCAAACCCCCACTATAACCCCACGGGAGAATGATTAGTCCATCAATCACGCTTTCGCCTAATCGCGTCAACCCGGATGATTTAGCCGACGGCCGACAGCCCGCGCCAACAGCCAGGAACCGGCAGAATATTCAGGTGGGAGGCGGTAACTCCTGAACTATGGGCTTAGTCATTTGGGCCCGCCATCGGAAACCAGAATCCTGGACCGATCGCCCTGACATAATAGCAAATCCGCTGTGCCGTTTCGGAAGCCAGAATCCGCGATGTAGTGGAAAAATGCTTCCACCAGCGCACAATGATGCCAACGGAGCCACGATGATTGGCTCTGCGGCACAACAAGTCTGGGGAATCGCCGCCATGCAAGTTAATGTCGGAAAACTAGACGCGATCAAGCGATCGATGGCAATATATATGGATGGGCCATCGCCAGGTCCCTGAACGTCACATATTCCCCACCTTGTTATTGAAAATATCCGTCTAAAATTATATCGCAACACCATGGCACCCATCGCCACAGAGACCTTCAATACAAAGCGCGACGGCCAGGCGCTAGAAGAAACGTCCGACGCCATCGACCAGGTGAATGTGCTCAAGGCAACCAATAAAGGTCTCTACGAGGCATCCGAGTTCGATCAGAACAAAGACAAGACCCAGTTCCGACAGTATGAAGACGCCTGCGACCGGGTCAAGAACTTTTACAAGGAGCAGCACACCAAGCAGACTGTCGCCTACAACCTCAAGGCCCGGCACGAGTTTCACCGCAAGACCCGCGCGGAGATGACGGTGTGGCGAGCGATGGAGAAGCTGAATACGCTCATTGACGAGTCGGATCCCGACACCAGCCTATCGCAGATCGAGCACCTGCTGCAGTCCGCCGAAGCAATCCGGCGAGACGGCAAGCCTCGTTGGATGCAGCTTACCGGGCTGATTCATGACCTCGGCAAGCTGCTCTTCTTTTTTGACGCCCGCGGGCAATGGGATGTGGTCGGCGATACGTTTGCTGTCGGATGTGCCTTCGACGATCGGATTATCTATGGCCGGGACTCGTTCCGCGATAACGAGGACTTCGGGCATGAGATCTACGACTCCAAGTTCGGCATCTACTCGCCCGGCTGTGGGCTGGATAACGTCATGCTCTCCTGGGGCCATGATGAGTATCTGTACCACATTGCCAAGGACCAGTCCACCCTACCCGCCGAGGCACTCGCCATGATCCGCTACCACTCGTTCTATCCCTGGCACAACGCCGGCGCCTACCACGAGCTGATGGACGACCATGACCGCGACATGCTGCGTGCCGTCAAGGCATTCAACCCGTATGATCTGTACAGCAAGAGCGATGACATTCCCAGCATCGAAGAACTCAAGGTAATTTTTCTCTTCTTTTCGGTACACCTTCAAGCTAACTAACTGTCTTGCAGCCGTATTACCTTGAACTCATTGACGAGTACTTTCCTAACAAGGTCGTCAAGTGGTAGATGTTTATAATGTGCTTTTTTGCTTTATATTAGATTCCCATCTTGTGTTGATCGTTCTCTTCACAAGAAGCATTCATGTCATGAGCCTGTTTTTTAATGATACAAATAAACCAGACGATGTCTTTGCCTGATATATGCATACCTCACATTCTGATCCCACTACATATGTGCCGTTATATACGCGCATAACTATGTGGCATAAATGTTTTCTATTATTTACGCTACTATACTAGCTAACAGTACTTTATCTGGACGTCTGTGGTAGATGGAAACCAATTGCTCTACGGCTACTCTGTTGGAGCCGGCGAAATCATTACCCCGTATTCTTCGCCAAACATTGTGCCAAACGTTGCTGAGTCGGGATCTAATATCTCATAGGGCTAGCAAAACTATACCACAATGAACTAATTATGTACTTTGGTGGTTTGTTGGCCCGGGCTTTGCGAAGCTCGCTGATACTCGTTTTCTAGCTTTGGGCCCATAATTATCATACCTCTTTCTGCTTGAACTCACTGACTTCTTCCCCGGAAACGGGTTTCCGAGCTCGTGGGATCAACATGTGTATGCACCTGCACAAATCTATTTCTGGTAAAGTGCAGCAGAATGTATATTGGTCAATCTGTGCCAAGTGTATATACCTTCTATCACATAAGGTCTATCATGCTATCATAATCCCACCTGTAAATCTAAAGGTGTGCAACCTCAGTCCGGTTCCCCTGGAGGTCAAAAAATATCTTCTTCCCCGTAATCAACGACTCCTGCAGCGCAGCGCCAATCCGCACAGCTTTCACCGCAGACTCCAGATCAAGGGGCAGCGGCGTGTTATCCAGACAAGCGGCGGTGAACTCGTTCGCCTCCGTGACGAATGCATACTCAAAGCGGTCATAGTAATGCTGGGGGATCTCCCTGCGCACGCCCGTCTCGTCATAGATATGCACGTGGTTGATCGCCGGCTGCGAGTTTACGGTCAATTTGCCGCGCGTGCCGATGATTTCCGTGGTATCTTCTTGGCCCGCGGCCATCATTCGCGAAGCGTAGAAATAGGCGATCCTGCCATCGTGGAACTCGACCAGGCCCACCGCGTTGTCGCGATCATTGTGCTTGCGGAGGTCGGGTTCCACGGCTGTATTGCCCACCGCGGAGACGGATTTGACTTTGCTTTCGGCGCCGAAGAACCACAGCGTCAGGTCGATATCGTGGATCGAGCAGTCGACGAAGATCCCGCCGGAGAACTGCGCGTACGCCACGAAAAAGCCTGTCGGATCGAGCTTGTCGCATGTCTGGCTGCGCAGCACGGAGGGGACTCCGATGGACCCAGCCTTCATCTTCTGTTCGGCATCTCGATAACTGGCATCAAATCGCCTGGAGAACCCGCACATGACTTTCAAATGCGGTTTTTTGACTGCCGCGTCGATGACGGATTGAGACTGTACATCCATTAGCCTCATGCAATCGATGTCTGCGGTCGTTCCGCCTCCGCATGGCGGTCGGATTTGAATGTATTGTTGGGAGGTTTTGGATGCATACAATTTCAACGCTGGTACTCAGCGGTTTCTCACACAGGACATGCTTCTCAGCTTCCATACCCTTGATCGCCTGCTCGGCATGAACACTTGTGGCACTCGCGATAACCACCGCCTCGAGCCCCTCCTGCTTCAGCATATCGTCGTAGTTCTGATACAATTTGACCCCAAAAGGGGCGAGGTGTGTCTTGGCCCATTCCAGCTCAGCCGGGTCAGGCGAGCTGGCGGCGACCAGCTGGGCGCGAGGGGTTCGTTCCAGGAAGTTTAGGGCGTGCCTTTTGCCCATCCTGCCGAGGCCGGCGCAACCGACTTGGAGTCTGCGGGCGGACATATTGTGTGCTTGGTTGTATAGAGGGAGGTTAATTTAATTAATCGGGGGTGAGGCTTGAAGGAGTTGAGTTCAGGAGAACAAAGTGAAAGGAGAGCTTGAAGTAGTGCTGCATGCGGAGGTTAATCGTTTCCCCGACCTTATTTTCGGAATTCGCGGGGTGGAAGCCACTTTCCGAGACTCCAAACAACACTCGGATTACAGAAAAAAATATTATTATAGAGAGGAACTCCTAGTGGTAGGCTACGCAATGGACTACTCCGTCTTCTCCTCGGCTTTCTTCCCCCGACGTGCCTTGCGATTCGCTTTTTCGACCGGATCTGCGAACCCATCTCCCCGCAAGAAGGCCAAGCCCTTACGCAGCCCACCGCCCTGAACCGCCGATGGTCTCGCCTCCAGAATAGACCCCATCAACGCCCACGACAGCACAAACAGCGCCAGCTCACCGCCCTTTCGGCCCTTCCACAGGCCTCGCTTGACGCCCGTTTTCCAAGCGGAGTCGACGGCCGCCCGGAAGAAGTACAGGAAGGTGCCGCGGCTGTTAAAGAATAGGAAAGGTAGCCCACCGATCGCGCCGCTGAGGAAAAACCGTTTAGTTGGGAGTGTCGAGCGAGGTAGGGAGCTGTTTAGGAGGCAGACGCTGCCCCAGGCAGAGCCAACCGCTGCGGAGAGCACGACCGTCAGGGTTATGATCCGCTTAGATAGGGTGTTCACCGAGGTGATGGGTTGGGCCAGAATCGTCTTGATGCGAGGGATGCTCAGGGCCAGGGTCAACGCTGTGAGAAACCGAGCGAGCTTCGGCACTGACAGGAGGATGTGATGCAGGAAGGCCGTGCTGCAGGTCGGGACACTAGGGTGCAGCAACGCACAGGACAGATGCGAGATCGAGGGATGAGCTGGGCCGGTGATTGGGGAGATGGCCTTGACCAAGGACGGCAGGGTGTTGGGGTCTGCGGGGTGTAGAATGGGAGACACAAATGCGCTTGATTTGATCAGCAATGACTTGTAAACCTTTCTAGATTGACTTACGGCCAGCGCAAATCCGCAATAGAAGCAAGTGAGTCCACAATCTCTTCCTTCTCCGGCCAGGGCACATTGCTAGGCAGCGACTCCGGTCGGCTCTGGATATAGCTCGGCGAGAGCTTCAGAATGACATTACCGAACCACTATTGATCGCACCATTAGCACTGTACTTTCCGCAGTCCCCTCAACCTCACAAAAAAGCCTACCTTGGGTGTAGTCTCCCGATCAAAGACAAACGCGTGAAACAGCTGCGCACACGACACGGGCATAAGCAGCCAGCTGCCGAACCACCAGGGCCGCTTATCCAAATACCCTTTCTCATCGAGGACATTAAAGAGAAACTCCAAGCTGCGCGTGCTGGTGTAGATGGCTGCCGTAAGGCGGAGCTGGTCCTGCGGGCAGATGCCCAGCGCGAAACCTGCCAGACTGGCTCCGATGGCAGGGGCGAAGCGCGAGGTTAACGCGCGCGAGACCTGTGGGTTTCTCTCGCAGAAGGGACGGGCATCATCCGTGCGCAGGTTCGCGCGCAGTCGGACGAGGAAGCGGTAGAGGATTCGGTGAATGAGGAGGAGGAGGGATAGGGAGAGGGAAAGGCGTAAGTTTGGGGAGCGGAGGAGAGAGGTGCGTGTTTTTGACCTGAAGAAATCAAAGATAGATGTGTAAGTAGGTTGATGTCAAAATAACAAAGATTTTCTTTGAAGTAGAAGGAAAGGAAGACCTACTTTTCAGCGCCACCTCTCACCCTTGCAAGAACCAGATCTGTCAACTTGAGCGCCAGACTCGACCCCAAGAACACACGCAGCGACGCGCGGACAGCGGCTTCGCTGTGTCTATTTCTGGGACGGGAGAGGGCATCGTATCGTGATGGCGAGGGTAGCTTGTTCTGCAAAGCTGGCGGAAAGCGCGAGAGGGCGGCTTTGTGAAGGAAGCGATATTCCTTAGGGTTGAGAGAAATGCGAAGCAAGTCACGTACCACGGGAGGCACGTCGCTTACATCGGCTGTGTCCGCGGTGGACATGGTTGCGGTGGTGGGGTAAAGGGGGAATAGAGAAAGGGAAGAAGAGTTGAGAATGACGAGGGAGCTGAGTTGGTTGTCTCCGCTTCACTTGACCTCGGCACATTATTTAGGTTGGACAGTTCACCGACCGAGTGACTGACCGGATGGGTACGTTGGATCTAGGATGGATTGAGTGGTTTGCAGTGAGAATCTATATAAATACCTAGTCGGATCACGGAATTTTATGTTGATTTGGATTTCCAGGAGAGCGTGTGGTAGCGTCTTCCCCAGGATTTCCCCAGATTTCACATGCGCAGTACTAACTATACTCAAGCAAGTCCGGATATCGTTCATTAAGGACGGGGATGACAGAGCAAGAAGAAACCACCACGACCAGACACCCCAAACAGGCCAGAGGCAAAAAAGCAAAAAAAGGGGGAAGATAAGTAGGTCTAGATACAAGGGAAATGAAGAGACGGAAACACTCGTAGTCACATCGTTAACCGGCCTTAAACAAACTCCAAAGTCCAGTCAGGAAGAAACAAGGATCACCAGAAACTACACCATCCGATCCAGTGCTGGCAGATGTTCTCGACGTTTGTGGCTTGTGCGAGCAACTTGTCCACCTGGTCGCTGATACCCAGCTCCTCGTAGTGCTTGAAGTCGCGACCCGTCAGCTTCTCCTTGACTCGCGCAAGCACTTGCAGGGCCCGGGCGTTTTGTGCCTCGCGCGCCTCCTGAGGGACGTTCTCCTGAGCATCGAGGATGCCGCCCTCGAGGATAGATGGCCGGCGCGGGCGAGAGAAGTTGCTCGGCTGAACTCCGTGTTCGAGGTTGATACCCTCGATGATCGACTGTCGGCGTTCAGCCGTCAGTGATACGCGGTCGGGGGACTCTTGTGCACCAAGACGCCAGTTGATCAAGGGGTCGTGAATGAACTAGATAGGAAATTAATTGGCTGGGAGACATGGGGGGGAAAGGGAAAAAAAACTTACGGCTTCCAGAACAGCCATCAACGAGTCCTTGTTCTCCCGCAGGACACGCATAACAGCCTCGCAGGTGATACGATAGCTTCCCTCGATGTTGCTGACCTCCATGGCGAAAGTCAACATGCGTGTAAGTCGGAATGGCACTCGTTCGGGATACTTCTCCCGGTGCATCGCCACCTCGAAACAGTCACCGAAATCGATGTGGACAACCCGGCCAGTTGTGCGATCCAGAAGCAAGTTCGAAGGATGCCGATCTCCCAGACCAAGGATATACCCGACCATGGACATGACGCCAAGAGACCGAGTATAATTGGTACGCCGCTCCAGCCAAGACTCGGAGCTCTTGCTCTTGAGCCATAACACGCGGTACAGATCTTTGCCGGTGGTATTGTCCATCGCATAACCAAACACTTCAACCTTCTGCATAAGAGTGAGGCTGTCATAGTCCGGTGCCATCTGAAGCATGATGCGGTGCTCGATGTTAAGCAGAATACGGCGGCTCTCACGATATTCTTTGATGAGGGCGTGCAGGGTGTCACTGTTCCACACCCAACCCAGCAGACCAGAACTCTGGGACAATGGAATGGCGGGGAAGCGCTGTACTGAGAGATGGCGCTTGAAGCTCTCGCCATCGTTGTCGAGAAGAGTATTAATCAGACCAAAGAGCTGCATGACTCTCTCATCCTGTCGAATATCCTCGTGTCCCTTGACAAGATACATGTAAGAGCTTCCGTTACTGCCCTTGAGCGTCATGCGTCGCGGGCGTTTCTTCGTCTGGAGGACATGCAGGATCGGATCAAAGCTCATAATTCGAATCACTGGGCGGCCACTCTGGTACGTTCCGGGCACAGCAAGGTCAAGATCGGAACAATCCTTGAGTCGAGGGGAGACGTATTTGAGGTCAAGAATGGAAAGTTGGGGAAGTTGACGGCTGATCTTGCGGAACACTGTGTAATAAAGATCCCACGCTTGGTTCAGATCACCAATCTCTTCTGTGTCGCGATAGAGCATGCAGTAGTGCCTAGCCTCCGCGAGATCGCGCCCGAAAGCTTGCGCGAAGGATACCTCTCGGAGCGTCTCGGCCCCCTGGTCCAGCATATCATGGAGAGGCGCAAGCGTAGCGAACATGCCTTCGACGTTGTGGTCACCAAAGTAGAGACGGGAAGCCTCCTCCAAACCTTCATGCCAGAGTTCGTGCCACAGTACCGCGACCCGGATCAATTCATGGGACACAAGATCGGCTTGCTCGACGAGTTTGGCACTGTGCTGGCGCATACTTTCCATGATGTTGCTCGCAGACTGTGAGCGCCGAGTGACGTTTGACTTCATTGCCACAGTCAACGGATACACCAAAGCCTGTGGGTGTGCTTTTCCGACCTCGGCAAGCAATCTATGAACGGAACCGCGAACCCGGATGTTGGGCTGGTTGATCCGCGCGATCAGCTGAGGAGTAACGGCGAGCCAAGTATCGATGTTGACTGCAGTAAACCCTTCCGTGACGACCGTGTTGACTTCATGGTCACCGCCGTGGGTGAACCAGAGCGTAAGCAGACGCAGAGTGTCTTGCAGAGACGATGTTGAAGACAAGGCAATAGACCGGAGGAAACCACGGATGGCAGGGATGACATGCTCCGTCACAATGTGTGCTGGAACTGGTGCAGGTACACCATCCCGGCTCGCTTGACTGGCAATTGTCGTGACGACTTCGAAGTTCGCCAATGCCCAGGAGTGCCACGCTTTGTACGAATCACGGTTGTACTGGGTCGCAGCCGAGTACGCGCTGAGGACATCACGGACATTTTCTGCACGCCAATCGCCTCTCTGAAGGGTTGTCTGCCATTCGCCTTGCCGCAGGTAGCTCTTGGAAAGAAGCTTCCGGAATTTGGCAACGTCGCCAATCCGTTCGCGCACACCCGTGGCATCTGCATGATTCGATTCTGTGATGCCGTTGACGCCATTGATACCGTGGTGGTCGGCGGCGTGCGTGAGCGCATTGTACTTGGACAGGTCATCGGTCAACCCAGAGGTAAACTCTTTCAGCGATGTGAGAGCTTCTTGTTGGTGGCCACTTGCCCAGTTGAACTTGAGTCGAGCGTAGGTGACCTCGGGAGGTGCGATAGTTCGCGTGCCATTGGCGTCAGCGATGACTGTCTCTAGTGCCGCCAACGATCGTTCCGCGAGCCCCATGCGGTTAGATTTGCGGCACAGGTTGGCGAACTTGATTGACATATCGAGATCCTCGCGAGGAGCAGTCACGAGTGCCCGAACCTTGAGCATCCGCTGCCAGACTTCTACGTTCTGCTGGCAACCCAGCAGGCGATGGTTCCAGGTTTGGCGGATGGCTTCTTGTTTCTCGGGATCACCCACGTTTTGTTTGTAAGTGATGATTTCCTCCAGTTCGGCAAGCATCTGGACTCGGACAACGACGTTGTAAGCGCGATTATACGATTCTCCAAGCAGCGCTGACAGTTCGGTATCCAGGCCGTTCCGAGCCTTTTCGATATACATGTTGGCCTCGTCGAATTGGTTGCGGTGGATGGCGAGAATAGCCCCGAAAAACGATCGATCGGGAGACTGTTCCTTCATGACTCCAAGGTAAGAATCCATCAACTCCCACTGGCGTCGGCCCCAGGCGGCGGCAGCAGCCAGAGGAGCAATAGCCCTGCGATGCTCCAAGGATGCCTGGTTCCACTTCTCTTGAGCAAGATCTGAAAGCACCTTCCACTCTCCAAGAGCGTGCAGACATCGCATCTTACCCATCGTGATGCCAAATGAATCCGGATCGGTTTTCTCTCGTCGCTTATAGGCAGCGAGGGCTTCATCCCAGCGCTGGAGTTTCTCGAACCAGGTTTCCTTAAGCTCCACATCGCGATATGCTTGAGCTTTGCGAAGGATACCGATGGCGGCATCCGACTGCTGCAACTGGTTGTTGATTGTGATCAACGCCTCAACAGCACCCGAGTTCTGATCCTGTTCAAACTCTAGCTCTTTGTAGTGAAGAGCTTTGGCGAAGGCATGGCATTTGGCGGCGTATTTACCAAGGGTCCGGATGTCGATGGGAAGGGCCTTGTCGTCGTGCTCCATGAACTCGGCAAGATTCAACAAAATCTGCAGGATCTCCGGGGGAATGTTCGGAGATGTAAGAGCCTTCTCAATCGATCGAACCAACTCCTCTTGGTATTGATCATACAGCTCAGTCCAACATGACACAAACGCGGCGTTGAAAAGATCTCTTGCCAATGGTTGATAGATACCGGCCAAGCTGGCACAAGCTCTCAGGGCCGGAGAAGGAGATTCCTTCAGAAGCTCAACGCTGAACCGACGTATCCACTCCTGCCAATCCTCACGGGTGGACTTTTGTGAGGCGTCCCATGCATTTTTGAGATGTTGTTGGTTCACCACAATCTTCTTTTGTCCGATTTCAGCGAAGTTGTTGTCATCAGTCATGGAAGCGTAGTTCTGCTCCGGGTTTAAGTCCTGAGGAAGCCCCTCACCCTTCTGGAGCTTCGTCACCAAAACCTGGTAGTTGACGTGAGTGATCTGATGATGCTTGAGGACTTTGTTCAAAAGATGGATGTAGTGCGTAAAGTCCTGGCCAAGTTGAAAGATAAGAGCACAAATGCAGTCCATAGCAGCCTGGCGCAAGAGGCGGTCGCTGCCAGCCACAACACGAGATAGGGAATGCACCATGAGAGATGCAAAGTCAGAAACATTGACTTGTCGTGACAGTTTTGTCAGACTGTCGATTGCGGACTTGCGGATGCTCTGCGGGTTTTGCGATCGATCGAACAGGCGAACAATAGCAGGGATGATGAGATGCATGTATTCCTCTCCACTGGAACCAAAAATCAAAAAGGCATGGAGGATCCTTTCTGATGGTTGGCGACGTGGTGTAGTATCCTTCTCAAGTGTGTCCAGCATCAAGGGCACCAGACCAGCAAGATACTTTCGGAATTCCCCTTCCAACGACTTGGCAACGGCTTCCACCAACGACACGATGGTGCCCTGTACCTGGTATGATGCATCCCAATATTCGCGAACGACCTCGATAATCTCTGGCAGAAACGCGCGGATATGTTGTCTGACAATGTTAACTAAGATAGCCATCTGGTTGAAGTAAGACTCGAGACGGCTAGCCGGAGAGCTTCTGATCACCGAGATGAAGCCTGGGATGATTTGGCTCAAAAATGGCACACACTTCAAACCCAGAGTCTTGAAGATGGTAACAATGGCATCGATGACCGCTGAATGATATTGAGCAAGAGAGTTTTCGCGCAGGATGTTCTGCATCAGAGTATGAATGACCACCGTAGGATAGTATTCTTCATTGGACGGCGTGAGGCCCTGCATGATCAGAGCGACATCGGACACGTTCTGGATTTCGTTGATGTGATGAACATCTGGCTCAATCTCACTGATCTGCTGGTACTTGTATGGATCAAGGGCACCGAGGACACCAAGTAGTTTGATGGTCTCTTTGCGTAGGGACCCTGTCTGTTCCGTTTTGATGATGGTGATGAGTACGGCAAGCAGATGAGGATATTCGAGGTAAGGTTCGATCACGTAGCCCGAGTTGCTGGCTAACTGTCCCAGTGTCCGCAACGCGGATTCCCGTTTTGTATGCGAAGAAAGATCCTGAAGAGAATCCAAGATGATGGGCATAATCTGCGGCAAGTATCGCCTCATTTCAGCACCGCCTACGTTGGCAAGCTCACCCACGGCCTTCAATGTAGTAGCCGCCACGCCCGGATTGCCGTCCGTCGCCTTGGGTAGCAATGCGGTCACCATGGGATCGACATACGACCGTATCAACTTGGTCGCATTAGAGACAAATAAGCTGATGAGCTGGGCCGTTTCTTCCTTCTGGCGGGCCGTATTGGCAAACCCAAGTCCAGTCAGAAGATTGACCAGCAATTTTCGGAGTGGTGGGAAAACATAGGCCGGGTTGACACTGGAGAGTCGGCCAATGATGCATATTGAGGCTTCTTTGACGGCGAAAACTTCGTCATTGACGGCCAAGAACAAACACCGGATGTTCTCGGGGCGTGCAAGATGGCGATCAAATTTGCGATCTAATGACCACAGTACTGTGCGGCGGATCTCCGGGTCAGGATCGCCGACACCAACGGTCAGCAACTTGTCGATGACCTCGCTGACGACCTGTATTGAGTGCCCGCTGGTTTGGTTGATAATGGGATCATGCACAAACAGCTGACAGCAGGTGAGAGCCGACGCCTTTCGAATCTCGGGGCTGTCATTTTCCACGTAGTTGATGGCAACGTCGCGCACAAACTCATTCAGGATGTGACCAGAAAAGTCAAAGCTTCCCAAAGTGTGAAGAGCGAGTGCAATCTCCGAGTCCGAGTGGACCTCGTGAAGTGCAAAGTCCTTTGCGAAAGATGGCATTGGCGGAAGTCGATTTTCTGGGCATCCGAGCGGCCGGAACGGCGTGCCACAGAGGATGATGCTTAGCATATCGAGAAGTTTTTCTTGGATGGTAGGTTTGATAGGAGGAATGTAGTGTGCCATATCGACCAACGCCTGTGTCAAAGACTCACTGAGACCGCAGGCAAATATCGGGTCGAGCAAAGCTTCGATGTACTTGCTGAGCGCTTGTCCTACAGCAAGGGAAAGCATACTAATGCACTCAAACATGGGCGCCTCGACGACCCCCGCTCGGTTTCTCGCTTTCATCGCAAGACCCTCCCGGATGTAAATGATGATCCCGTCCAGATATTGGGCGATGGCGGGACCCACTGCGTTCGCAATATTCCCGATCGCAATGAAGGCCGCATTCCTTTCCTTGTCCCTCTTGAGTTGCGCTTGTAGGTAGATCATGAATCGGTGCAGATATATCTCCGTAAAATCGACAGGGGCGTAGGAGGCAAGGATAGGAATGGTCAGGACGACCTGGGTGCGAATCTTGGGGTCGCGGTGGTCCTTGAGGCGAAGGACAATCTCGCAGGCGTTGCGGTAGTGCTCATTCATAAACATTGTGCCTTTCAGAATCAGCGCTTTGAGAATGAGAAGGGATCCATGGATCCACTCGACATTGTGAGATTTCAAGCCTAGCAGAGCCTCGTCGTAGATTCTCGCAAACCATTGCTGGCGGACCTGGATATCTCGGGCCGCAATGATCTCGAAGCATTCGCCCACAGCCTCTGCAGCGGTTTCTCGGATGAGGACTTTGGGGTCCCGCAGCGCGACCCAAACCAGTTCGAAGATCTGCGGTACGAAGCCGTAGAGCAAGGTCGGTGATCCCTTGGCCAGTTCTCGGATGACGAGCACAGCGGCAAAGCGACGACTCTCCTGACGCTCCGACTGAAGCCATTCCAGCGCCGATTGGATTTCACTTTCTACCAGTTCTGCCGTCAGGGCTCCGCCAGGCTTCGCTAGACGGCCCAGCGACCGGGCCGCGTAGACCAATACCACGTTATCATTGCTGCGAAGGGCGCTGCGCAGGTAGCTGGCAAAACGAGTGGTTTTCTGGGCGGCATCGACTCCATCGAAATCGATTAGGCGGTCGAGCGCGAGGAGGCCGCCGATTCTCTCATTGGCATCGCTGCCGGTTACAACCAGCTGGGCGATGCGTTGGCTGACCGTATTGTAAAACTCGACAAATTTCTCCGGGGCCCAGTCTGGATGGAAAGAAGAGAAATGTCAGTAGGATGCTTTGGGGGGTCAAAGTGGGCTCGATCGCATACCCCGTGAGACGGAGAGGACGTTGTCGTAGAGCTCGTAGGCAGCTCGCACCCTGGTCTCCTCGTTCTTGGATTTGAGCTCAGTGAACAGCCGCTGGGTCACATCTGTGATGGGACCTGCTTGTGCCATGGTGAGCCACAACACACCCCAGAGACATTGGAAGCCAATGTCGGAAAGTGGAAAGTGAAGGTGGGAAGGACGTGAGGTCAGGTGGTCGGGGAGGTCGTGTTAGGCGCACGGGCCACTTGGTGTTTGTCACCACGAGAGCAGGGCCTACGGTCTAGTAGTGCACGAAGTATAGGAAACATGCTTGGTATCCATTGTTATTACAATGATTGATGATGTCTCTGTCGTGAATGGGTAATTTGCATCCGGTCTGTGAAGTATATGTCCAGTGCGATATCGATTCTCCAACGATGCACACCGAAACAGGATATCTCACCGTTCAGTCCTAGCCGTAGTTAACCGCGTATCTAAGCAGGGTTATATAATATGATTCAGGCAAAATAATTAGCCATTCAAGGGGAAAGCGGTATTTGTAATCCAACGATATGGTGGGGAACATGACGAGATCGAGGGGTATCCTGATAAAGCCCAACTCTCCTTCCTTCCAACCAACTTTCCTCTCTCACACTCTAACATAGACATCATCATGGTGAAGGTACTCTTGACTGGTATGCAAAATGCAGCTCTAAGCCTAGATTTTTCGGCATTGGCTCACTATATTCTCAGGAGGCAGTGGCTTCATCGCCGCTCACATTGTTGATATCCTGCTGCAGCATGGGTATGAGCCCCTCACTCAATTAACATAACCAACTCTGACTGGAAAATCAGCTTCGATACTGTCGTCACAGTCCGCTCCGAGGAGAAGGGCAAGCGCATTATCGATGCTCATCCCGACACGCCCAAGGAGAAGCTGTCCTATGTGGTTGTGAAAGATGTTGCCAAAGATGGTGCCTTCGACGAGGTAACATTGGACTTTGTTTTATCATGCCTAGATACTAACATGTATAGGCGGTCAAATCCAACCCTCCCTTTACCTATGTCCTTCATACGGCAAGCCCTTTCCATTTTAATGTTGCAGACCCGCGCAAAGACTTCCTGGACCCCGCAATCAACGGAACCACGGGAATCCTAAAAGCAATCAAAGCATACGCGCCCACCGTCAAGCGAGTGGTCATCACTTCGTCCTTTGCGGCCATTGTGAACCCGAAGAATCATCCCAAGGTCTACAGCGAAAAGGACTGGAATCCGGTCACCTGGGAGGAGGCCATGGACCATTCCAATGTCTACCGGGCTAGCAAGACCTTTGCCGAGAAAGCAGCCTGGGACTTTGTCGAGAATGAGAAGCCCAATTTCGATATTGCCACCATCAACCCTCCCCTCGTGCTGGGACCTATCGTTCATTACCTCAACTCCCTCGAGGCCATCAATACGTCCAACCAGCGGATTCGGGATCTCATCCAGGGCAAGATGAAGGAGGGCCTCGCCCCGACGGGGACCTACCTGTGGGTGGATGTCCGGGATGTAGCACTTGCACACGTCCGAGCCATCGAAGTGCCCGAGGCTGGCGGACAGAGATTCTTTGTCGTGGCTGGCTATTATTCCAACAAGGTTCTGGCGGATAATATCCGTGAGACACACCCGGAATTGGAGTCGAAGCTGCCTCCCAAAGACTCCCCAGATGACACTCCTTCCGGCATCTATGACATTGACAATTCGAGATCCAAGGAGGTGCTGGGGCTGAAATATCGCTCGCTGAAGGAGACGGTCTCAGAGACGGTTACTTCATTGCAGGCAGTGGGCGCTTAGATTGTCAGACGGAGAATATATATATATATATATATACAGGAAATTTAAATCTCGATTCCTTTAGAGATTTCTATTGTATCTCTTTGCGAAGACATGCAAGGTCGAAATGCGTAGAGAGCTAACTAACGACATGATTATTTACTTCCTCTTGGCAAACCTGCGTGTTTGGTCTCTACGTTCTGCCGGATCCGCATCCTCGACTTTTCCTCTCCGACTCGTTCGGGACAATTCCATCGTCACAGCAAGATGGCATCCGCCAGGTTATCGCCAACGGCGAATCTCTTGCGGAAGTCCCGCCTGTTTGCCCTTCCGCCGGCCTTAAACCCGCCTCAGGATCCGCCAACGTCCAAGGCTGTCCGCGAATCCGACACCGCGACGCTCCCTTACCCGATTCGAGCCTCGATCGTGACACCGCGAACATCACTAGCCAAGGGTGATTGGGGTCTGAAGCGGGCGCTACCGGCAAAGTCGACTTCAGAAAAATCTTCAAGACCGATCGTCCGGTTGAACGCTCTTGACACCTATGAACATGTCACCGACTTTGACTCTGCCGCGGACCACACCCTTACCCTTCAAAAGTTCCAAGAGCTGCACATGCCTATATCGCTTCCCTTCGAGATGAAATATGCGACGAACGTTATGCCGGAGCACAGAAGTCCCTTCGAACAATCCCTCGACAACTCCGAGACTAGCAAGGGCCTGGGCGAACCGGGAGTCAAGCAATACCGACACACCGGACCTTGGCTGGCTGGACTGACGGAAGCCGAGTTCGCAACCTACCTGACCACAGTAAGCCGTCGGAAGCCTGAGCTTCTGCGACAACTACGTGACCAATTGGTTGAGAAGCGCATCGCCGAGGCCCGGAAAAAGGCCCAAGACAACGGCGAGGATTTGGAAACGCTCGCTCCTCCCACCGTCACGGAAGAGGACTTCCAACGGTATCTCAAGACCTTGCGCGCAAACCCGACCGAGATGGGACCCGTGCTCTTTAAAATGTTGGACCTTTCATCGTCTCCGGATCGGCCCAATGACCGCGTTGCGAACACCGCTTACGAGGCTCCCGGGACGAATCTTGCGGCCATCGACTACGCCAAGAACGGTCCTCCGCGCACACATCCCTCTGCGGGCCTGTCATATTCGCGGTCGCACGCTCTGATATACAACCACCCCAAGTACGGACCGCAAGTCACCCAGAAGCCGGTCCAGGCCCGCATTTTGCGTCCAAAGGGCCGGTTCAGGGGGCGTGCGTCCAGGGCCGTTGCGGGTGTGGGTGGTATTGCAGTGGAGGATTTGAACGGGATGACCTTCCATACCGACATGCCGGCTGGCCTGATGTCCTTCGACGCGTCCATCCCCGGCGGTGCCAAATACTGGGCCAGTCCAATTCGGGCCTCCATTGATGCCGCTGGCCGAATTCGCCTAGTGTCTAACCGCGCTTCGGAAATGGCCAAGCTTCCTTACGGTATTGAAGAATACAAGCCAGCTGAAGGCACGAATGTCTCAGACGTTGCCCGTGGTGCTCACGGTCGGGTCCCTCGATTGGACCGGAGCCCGTTGAACCAGGCGCGTTGGACGACTCCGGCGAACCGACCGACTCGGCAGCCCATGAAGGGCACGGAGGATGTGGCTCGCAGCCTTGTGGAGAAACTTGGATCTTAGGGCGCAGCATTGTACGATTAGAACTGGTGGCGTAAAGCCACTCCTATTATTATTCCTGTTGTGATATAGTTAAATCGAGCCTCCATTTCATCTGTACTTTACGTCCATGCCTGATTTATCGGGCATCATAATATTATGTAACCATGGTATATTCACGTGACCGCTTAGGGCTAGGGCTGGTCACACACAAGCGAAACCCATCCAAGTCTGAACTCTGCCTCTCTTCGATCATACATCCAGCCAACAACCGCCAACATGGGTCGCGTCAGGACTAAGGTGAGCATCCTATCGTGAACGCCTTCCCTCACGGAATATCCTTCTAATATTTCTTTTCCTCCAGACCGTCAAGCGCTCCGCCAAGGTCATCATCGAGCGTTACTACCCCAAGTTGACTCTCGACTTCGAGACCAACAAGCGCATCTGCGATGAGATCGCCATCATTGCCTCGAAGCGTCTTCGCAACAAGGTGAGAAAACACACAATTCCGCATTATGATCTGCCGTAACTGACCTTTTTGACTAGATCGCTGGCTACACCACCCACCTGATGAAGCGTATTCAGCGTGGCCCCGTCCGCGGTATCTCCTTCAAGCTCCAGGAGGAGGAGCGTGAGCGCAAGGACCAGTACGTCCCTGAGATCTCCGCTCTGGACGTCTCCCAGACCGAGTCCGGCCAGCTGGATGTCGACACCGAGACCAAGGATCTGCTCAAGTCGATGGGCGTAAGTCAAACCCAACTACACCTTCTCAAAACACATTCACTAAATGACCCTCTCCACAGTTCGACAACCTCAAGGTCAACGTCGTCACCGTCAGCCAGCAGCAGGTTGCTGAGCGCCCTCGCCGCTTCGGTCCCCGCTAAATGCACCCACCACACCCTACCAAAAACCCCCAAAATTCATGTCTTGTCTCTGTTCGGTCGACTCCTGGCGTTTATCCGATAACCCACTGGCTTGCGTGTCTTCGCTCGACTTATCTTAGGTTCTAAGAATGGAGGCTATGCAAAGATGAGGAATGAAAACTATGATTCTCTGAGATCGGTGTCGCTGATTCTCTCTCCATGAGGGTTGATGCTTGATTGCCAATTACTCTTCCTGGCCGTGTCTGCCTCTCGGGGCAGATCCACGTAGGATTCAGCAGGCTGATGGCCTGTCTGGAGAAGACCTTCGGTTGGTCGGGACTGCACGTGTTTTCTGGGCAGGTTCTGTCTGGAAAACAAGACGAATGGTCATTTGTAGAGATGTAGGATTTCGTAGATACACATTGCTGCCCCTGGGTATAAAAACAAAAGCAACGGCAAGACAAAGAAAAAAACAAAACGCCTAAGAACATCGCAATGCTCAAATGCTACGCCACGGTCTGTGCCGTCTGTCAAATCTGATCGAGCACGTCCCCATCATCATCGGCCGGCTGCTGCCCCCGTTCCTCCGAAGGCACATAGCCCTCAATGGAACCTCCAGTGGCATCCTCCGGCCGCAGTTGAGGAGCAGCAACCGGGTGATCCAGCTCACGTTCCTTTTCCTTGATCTGAACATCCACACGACCATTTCGAAAGACAAGACCGGTATCACCGCGCTCCAAAGCAAGGTCCTTCCCGTGGTCGGTATCTTGCAACGTCAAGTTGCCCAATCCCAATTCCGCCGTAACATCTTCCTTCCCCTCCATGTCCTTGGACGATGAGCCTGTAGTAGTCGGAATAGTCGCAGCAGCAGCGGCCTCCTGCATTCGCTTCGCACGCGCCTCCTCCAGGAGCAGAATATTCCGATTTCGCTTATCCCCCGCGCGCCTCTCCCAAACCGGCTCCTCAGCAAGCTGCACACGAATAAACAGTGCCCTCTCTGCACAATCATCAGAGCACCACTTCTCCAACTTCTCCTGCGGGACGATATCCATACTGCGTCCACGGCCACCAGGCCCACTCCCCTTGGCACCCCATTTGAACTTGAAGCTGCCCTGCTGTGCAGAACTACCCTCCTCCTTGCGATGCCTGCGCGGACAGAGCCCGTAGCCGCAGAGCTGGTCGTAGTTCCGCTCCAGGGTCAGGTTGTCGTAGTCGCTGGGGCGGAAAGGGATTAGGGCTGCTTTGAAGGTGCGCGCATCTTCGGGGGAGGGCGTGGCGGGGTCGGCGGATGGAGAGGTCGGCAGCGTGACTAGATCCAGGATCCGGTCGAGGATCAGGTTCTCGGTATCTTTTTGGGCTTGGATTTGGTGGGCGTGCTGCAGAGCGATGTCGAGATGTTGGGCTGTGGCGCCAGGTCGGGCGAGCAGGTACTTTTCTTGCTCTTCGGGAGTGAGTTCGGACGGTGGTGCTGGGCGAGGTTGTTGCGCGTTGGCAGCGGCGTAGGCGGTGGGTAGAGAGGTTTTCAGAGTGGACTGTTGTGCTCGGTCTGGGGGGTTGGCCATGGTGGGCGATGGGGGTGGGATGGGATAGGTTAGGGTTGGTTGGAGGAAGAGAGAGAAAAGTGGCCGAGGTGAGAAGTTTGGGTCGCGAGCAAAGAGGCAAATTCCCCCGGATTGTGATGAGGGAGGCGCCCAATGAGCTGGGTGCTGAGCTGGCAGTCTGGGTGGTAATGATGAATTAACTAGTGAACTATGCGTTAGCTGTCGTCCATTCCATTCTGCGAATGAGAAGCGCATGCCGTCTCTTCTATACATCGGGTGACGTCGGCCTCGGGCAGCTGCTGACTGGGGGTATAGATGAAACTCGTCAGACAGACCAGACCGACAATAATAATCTCGACTTGACGCTTACCATGTATCATCATAGTCCCTACAACCAATACCACAATAATAATAGCAGCGTTCGTAGTCGATCTGCCCTGGTGGATCTCATCCCGCCAAGTGACGACCGACCACCTCACTAACTACTACTTCCTTCCCCCCATCCGTTTTCCACCCTTCCTCTCCATCGCCCTGGCCCTCCCATCATTCCCCCCGACTCACAATCTCTGGCCTGGTCCAAGGCTGCTCAGTCCTTTGTGTTTCAGCCGGTGTGTTTCCACTGTCCCCTCCTCCCATCCATTCTCCCCCCCCCCCCCCCCCTCATCGTCATCTCCTAGCAGGCAGCACCGCCTATGTTTCATCCACGCTGACTGCCCTCACCCCGTCCGTGACACAGCAATTTAATCCTCCCACTGCATGCTACAAGTCTCAGAGCCGGTGCTTCGTCTTGTACAGTCCGCCACCCCTCGCCAGTGACCACCTTTACACCGGTGGTTCCGTATCGCCCATTGTTCTGCCCCTCCCCCCCTCTCCTCTCAGTCCCGTCTTGAGCGAGAGTTCCAACGGACCAGATGTCCAGCCCGCCGTTCACGGTGAAAGCCGTCTTCGAGTATGCGTCGGGCCATGATGACGACCTCAGCTTTCCGATTGGCCAAGTCCTGACCGTCACCGCCGAGGAGGATGCTGAGTGGTACTATGGTGTATACACAGACAGCTCGGGGGCCAAGCAGGAAGGTATCTTCCCCAAGAATTTCGTCGAACGGTATGAGCCTCCCGCTCCTCCGCGCCCATCGCGCCCGACCAGGCCGAAGAAGGAGGCTGAACCTGCTCCCCCGCCCGAGCCGGCCGCGGTGGAATCCCCTGTCGTGGAGAGCAAGTCGCAGCTGGAGCCAGAGGTAGAGGAGCAGGCCGCCGCGGAAGAGTCTGCGCCTCCTCAGCCAGCTCCTACTCAATCCCCGTCGCAGGCGGCCTCGTCTCCGCCGGCGGCACAACCGGCGGCCCCTCCACCTCCTACGGCCTCCAAGCCCCCGCCTCCGGCTGTCGCAGAGAAACCGAGCGGTTCGTCGTTCAAGGATCGCATTGCGGCCTTCAATAAGCCCGCCGCGGCACCAGTTACACCTTTCAAGCCCGGCGGCTCGTCGGCGTCCTTCATTAAGAAACCATTCGTGCCGGCTCCTCCCAGCAAGGATTCTTACGTCCCTCCACCACGGGAGCCTGTCCCCAAAGTATACAAGCGGGAAGAAGACCCTCAAATCCAGGAACAAATTGCTCGCGAGCCTCCCGTCTCTGAGAGCCGGCCGCCGCTGCCGCTTCCCACTGAAGCGCCGGCGGAGAGCGAAGAAGACCAGCCCAAGCCCACCAGTCTTAAGGATAGAATTGCGCTCCTGCAAAAACAGCAACTGGAACAGGCTCAGCGTCATGCGGAGGCGGCCCAGAAAAAGAAAAGCCGCGACCTCCAAAGAAACAGGCTGAGGAGCCGGCTGTTCCGGCGAAGCCTGGAGAGGAGCTTGAAGAACCTGGAACAACTGAAGCTTCAGGGGCTGCGCGTGATCCGAGTGTCGATACTTTGAGGGGTGGTGATCCCTTTTCGCCGACTGAGGAGATGGTCAGTGATACCAACGACGCCGACTATTCTGCTGCAGCAGACTCCGAGGATGCTGGAGAAACTTCCACCAGCAAGGATGAGGATGAGGAGCGTTCTTATCCAAGCATCCAGCGTCAGCCATCGACTCGCTCTGTGGAACAACAAGGCGACGAGGCGGATGTCGAAGAAGAGACCGGTGAAGAAGAGGAGGAAGATATGGATCCTGAAACCCGACGCAGGATGGAACTGCGAAACCGCATGGCCAAGATGAGCGGTGGAATGGGCATGATGGGTCTCTTCGGACCTCCCGGAGGCATGCCGGCTCCTGGAGCTCGCAAGCCCAAGACTCCTGGCGAGTCAGAGAAGAGACTCGGAGAGCCGGAGGTTACCTCTCCTACCAATGCTCCCCCGGTCCCTATGATTCCAATGCCTGGGATGAGCATTGGCAGCAAGCCTGCCCCTCCGTCTGCCGATGTTGAGAAGGAAGAAGAAGAGCCCCTGGCAACCCCTGTGTCTGAGCAGCATCCTGCATATGAGGTTGCTGACGTGGAAGATACTGTCCACGAGGGTGCTCTGCCCCGTAGGTCTACGGACCGGGCTCCACCAGTTCCTCCATCTCGTGGTAAGATGATTGAATACCTGTTTGTGGTATCGCCAGCTAACCTAGCATAATGCACAGCTCCCGCTCCACCACCCCGAGACTCCCGCCCCGTCCCACCTCCTGTGCCAGTTGAACATCCTGCTTCTCCTCCGCCAGTTCCTGGAGGTAGGTCATGCTTACTTCTTTTCCATATGGAAATGCTTACGTTTGATACAGGTCGACCGGCTGCTCCGCTCCCTAAATCCACAGATACCGGAGAGGAGTCAGATGATGAGCTGTCTATCCATACGAGGAACATGTCACTGAGCGCTGCTCCCCCAGCAGTTCCTGCGCCAGCGATACCTGACCACCTTGACTCTCGCCGCTCCTCAGTCTACGACACAACGTCTACCATTGGGTCAACTCCAACTACGGAGAAGGATAAGAGACATAGTCGCCCCCCTCCTCCCATCCCGCAAAATCCGCCTATGCCGCCATCGCAAGGCCGCGCTCCTCCCCCACCACCCCGGGATCAGCTACGCCGCCGGTCCACTGCTGATAGTCGCGGCAGTGCCATCTCCGCACCCCGGCAGGCAGGGGATGACGCAGAAGGCGAGGTCACCGAGTACGACGGAGATTATGACACCGATATTGCCTCCTCGGCGAAGTTCAAGGACGCACTGAAGTCCCACGAGCGTGACTCCAGCTTCGATGAGGGCACGATCACCGACGACCATTCTCTCCACTCGCCCCTAGGCCCCCAGGAAACCCGCACGGCTCCACCGCCGCCTCCAACTGCCCCTAGGGCAGTCCCACCTCCTCCTCCGAGTCAGCCACCACGAAATGCTCGCGCATCCATCGACACGCCTAGAGGACCGCCTCCGCCTCCGCCACCCAAGGAGTCATCGGGTGGTGATGACGAGGAGTACGATCCTTTCAATTACTCTGCACCTCAACACGGCCTGCCTACTCCACCACCTCTCCCTCAAGGTCGGCGACCAGAGGCACCCCCTCCAGTTCCGCAAGCACCGGCCGCTGACGACGAGGATGATCTCTACGATGCGTCTCCCGTGCAGAGCCCGCAAAGCTACTCTACATCGCAACGTGAGAAACGGCCTTCCCTCGCTCCACCGCCGCCGCCGAGCCAAGCGCCAGCCATTCCATCTCCATCCACGTCGCGAAGCCAGCGTCAGTCTATGGATTTTATGAGAGCCCAGCCCAACGTCCGGCGATCTATGGATGTTTCTCGTCCGTCTGTGGATCAGGGATACATTGCCCAGGACATTGATCTTGCTGAGAATACTCTTTGGTGGACGCAGCCCAATACCCCTCCGCCAGTTTTCCAGAACCGCAAAGATCTTCTCTATGAGATCGAAGAGTCTTCCTCCACGAAGCGAGGTGGCAAGACAACGGTGTCCAAGGATGTCTATGTGCTTTTCTTTGATTATTCTCAGACCGTGGTGACGGTGCAATTCGATGTCAAAAACCCTGCCGACGCCTCCCTGGAGCAGCGCCAGGAATCCCCGCCTCTCCAGCCCCGGCAGGACCAGCTCGAAGAGGCGCACGTCCAACTCGGCACCCGAATCTCCGAGGCCATCAACTCAATCCAAAACACGACGGTGGGCGACGGTACTCCCTTCGGATTGGTTCAGCACCTACTCAGCCCCCTGCCTGATGCGCTACTCCCCGTCGGCACACGAGCCTATGGCGCATTGGTCTACTCAAACCTGGCCAACGCGTCTGTTACCCAGAACGACGAGATCCGCGCCGGTGACATCGTCAGCTTCCGCAATGCCCGGTTCCAGGGACACCGCGGCACGATGCACCAGAAGTACAGTAACGAGGTGGGCAAGCCGGACCACGTCGGCATCGTCGTTGACTGGGACGGCACAAAGAAGAAGATCCGGGCCTGGGAACAGGGTCGCGAGAGCAAGAAGGTCAAGATGGAAAGCTTCAAGCTGGGTGACCTGCGCAGTGGCGAGTGCAAAGTGTGGCGCGTGATGTCGCGCAACTGGGTGGGCTGGGAGACCAGCAAATAAGTCCTCCTTCTTCTTTGTTCTACATTGATGATTTAGGTGGGGATTGTGGTTGTATGAGTGGAATATGGCTCTTCTCTCTCCTGTCTATCTTCTTCTTGCCCTTTCTGTCTTCTCCGTGTCCCCTTGTATCTAGGGGGTCACCCGCTGCTTCTGGGTGGGTAATGGGAGAGAAAGCAGCAAAGATGTCTTTTTTTGTGTCATGGAGAATTGAGCGAGCGTTCTTTTTCTTTTCCTTTCATGTGGTAAATTTTTACATGACTTCATCTATACTTGGTTCTGCTCTGGCACCGCCGAGATCTTCCCTTCGCTTGAGTCTTCACAGGTGTTAGTGAATCTCATTCATCTCGATGTATATTCTTCCACGTCCATGTAGTCCGAGGGTTGATACAAGTCACATGATTTTGTCCGCCTGGGGCAGCAGTGGCGCTTATCCCATCCCGTATCGCGCAGCTATCGCAACTTCTCCAATCCAACCCAACTCCAGCTTTTCCCCCACCCCTCGTCTCTCATTAGCACCACAGACTTCAAAATGGGTGGCGGTGATCTGAATCTGAAGAAGTGAGTACTCTGAACGTCATTTCTGCCTATCCTTCTCTCCTCTCTCCCCCCCTCTCTCTCTCTCCCATCTCTACCTCTTCACAAATTCAACAAAGAACTAACCACCAACTCCCATCAGATCATGGCACCCCTCGCTACTACGCAACCAAGAGCGCGTCTGGGCCGAAGAAAAGAAAGCCCTCGATGAGCGCAAACGGATCGACCAGCTCCGGCGCGAGCGTGAAGAAGAGCGCCAGATCCAAGAGCTGCAGCGTCTCCAAGAATCCTCCGGCAAGGGCAAGCAGCAGAGCCGCGTTGATTGGATGTATCAGGCGCCTTCGGGCGCGACGGGCCAGTACTCTGAGGAGATGGAGGGGTACTTGCTTGGCAAGCGGAGGATTGATGGGATCTTGCTGAAGAACGATACGGATAATAAGAAATTGGAGAAGGGGGCAGATGTTGCAAATGGTGCTGGTACTGGTGCTGCTCCTACTCTTGGCGTGGTTTCGGCGAGGGATACCATGACGAAGGTTATGAATGATCCGTTGCTGGAGGTTAAGAAGAGGGAGCAGGCCGCTTATGAGGCTGCGGTGAAGGAGCAGTTGAGGAGGAAGGAGAGGGAGGAGAAACGTGGCGGTCGTGATTCCGGGCGTGAGAGGGAGAGAGATCGTGATCGTGAGCGGGATCGCCATTCCAAGCGCAGACGATACAGTGATGAGGCCGAGGATGACCGTCGGCATCGGCACCACCACCGCTCGTCGCACCGTCATCGGTCGAGGTCGCCTGCTTCGCCGGAGAGGTCGTCGCACCGTCGACACAGGAGTGAGCGAGACCATGAACATCGAGATGGCCGACGACGTGGAGAAGATCGTGATCGTGATCAGGACCGTGACAGGACGAACGATGATAGAGCCCGTCGAGATGATCGTGACCGTCGAGACAACCGTGATCGAGACCACGAACGAGATCGTCGCGGCCCCCGTGAAAGACGCGACCCCCGTGAAAGACGCGACTCATATTCCAACCGCCACCGTGATGAACGACGCGACTCAGATACGCGGCGGCGTTCGCCATCTCCGCTTCCAACGCAAGACCGGAACAACCGCGAGTACGCTAACAACAACAACCGGCGTGACCGAGACCGTACTTCTGCACCATCCAACAATATCCCCAAGAACAACAGACCTGCACCCGACCAAAAGGATCTAGACGAAGAGCGCCGCCGCAAGCTGGCAGAGATGCAATCCAACGCCAGCGAAATGGAGCATGGTCGCCGCCAGCGCATCGCCGAGATCACTGCCGAAGAAGAGAATCAACGAGAGGTGGACGAGCGGCAGCGCTCGGATAAGGGCCGGTTTGTCTCGCAGCTGCATCAGCGCGCACAGGAGGATAGTTTAGATGAGCGCATTCGGAGGGGGCGTGGTGGGTATGCTAAGATTGAGGCGGATTGAGGATTTTCTTTATCTTTCACGTCGTTTGGTTCTTTCCTTTTTTCAACGAATCTTTCCTCGTCTCATGGATACGTGCGTCTACGTCTTAGTGTTTAGTCCCCTATTCCCAGTTTGTGGCTGTGGATTCTACTACCTTCATGGATATCAGTTAAATGGACATTCCTCTTATTATCATGCACTCTTCATATTCCTGTCCCGACCATGCGAACACTGCTATTGTTGAGTGTTGCGAATCTTCTCGTTCTCAGGCAGAGCCTATTTCACCATCCATTTCGGTTCGAGAACCTGCTGAACAGAGTGTCGATTCTCCGGTCTGACGGACAGCGTTGTGCGCAGCATCGAAGAAAGAGCATCTTGTTCGTTTGATCCAAGAGGCGGCATTCCTTCCTGTATTCGGAGTTTATGCACGCTTGTCTCAAAGCGAATCTCTAATGCTTGATATTGGGGTTGGGCTCTTTGGTTGCATAGTAGGAAGTCGAAGCTGGGAGGTTGCATGGGTATCGCAGCCGCGTGAATTGCTGATGATCTCGCTTGGGAATAAGAACATCGCTTCAGAGGGGGGTATTACGAGCAGATGGGAAGAAGCCCTATTAGAGCCTCCCATTGTACTTGCTATGGTTTGGCGCAGGGTGCCACTAACCTCCTTAAGCAAACGGTGCTGCGCCAAGACACGGCAAAATACGAGCGCTCAGCTCCATCAACAATAAGTACGAAGAAGACCAGAGGTTTTCAGAAGATGGGGTCAGACCTGGCTAAATCTTTCCGTACTCTTTATATTCCGTTCCCTTTAGGCTGCTTCGAGAAAGAACGTCTTGGATTGAAAAATACAAGAGTCTACTAGGTCTTTACAGGATGAAACAAACGCTCGTGTTCTTGACCTTGACTGTTTTTGTCATTACGTGCTTGTCCCAGTCTGTTCTTGATGAACTCCCAAATTGCGCTGTATCTACCTCCTTTCTCTTACTCCGTCCCATATCTTTGATTTATACCCAAGGGAGTCTCGCGGGACGTGCGGAATGGCTTAAAGAAAAACAGGTAGAAACGATTGAGCTGACGCAGAAGCTAACAGCTATTTGAAAAAAAAATTAGGTATCCTGCGTCAGTGATGTGTTACCTTCATCCTGCACCGGGGTTTCGTGCATCTGCGACTCGCCATCTTCTATCTCGTCCATCAGCTGTTGTGTTTACAAGGCTTGTGATTCCGCAGACCAAGAAAGTAAGTCATATCATTTCGAATTTTTGGAGAGACACATGGGAGAAGACTGTTAGGACCTCTCGATGTGAAGCAAGGGTTAATATATTTAACCCAATTACTTTTGGACACTGATTAATTCATTTACGTTTTCTTTCTAGCGACGATAAAATTGGCAAATGAAATCTGTAACTCCAGTGGGGTGGCTATTCCTTCATCTGCCAGTTGTTCGTCAACTTCATCGACCACTTCTTCTACAACCTCCTCTTCCACGACGTCTACTGGGCGCACCAGCCCGACATCCAGTTCTATCGGGACACGTTCGTCAAAGTCTGGGTTATCCACCGGCGCCAAAGTAGGCATCGGTGTCGGCGTCGCTTTTGGCAGCATCTTCTTGATACTATTTGCCTTCTTACTATGGTATCTAAGGCGCCGTCGCGGCCAGGATCTAGGGAAGTCGGCTACTGTGACCGCCGACAAGCCAGGAGACGATGTTGGAGGTCAGCTCTACGGCACAAGCCCGCGGACACAGGTGGGACATATTGTCTCGCTCGGATCGACATCATTTCCGGCATTGGGTGGCGCTAATGCCTGTGGTCACTGCGGTACAACAACCACAACACCCTTCTGCACACGGTGTGGTATGCCGTCAAGGCTCACAGGCTATACAGATCTCGCAGTACGGCAGGAGATAGGCCCTACAGATGCCGCAGCGCGACAGGAGATAGACTCTGCAGTTGTCTCAGTACCGCAGGAGATGGGCTCTACAGACGTTGTAGCGCGGCATGAGATTGACACCGGGTACTCCAAGGCAGATCGCGACGACAACGAACATCTCGCTTCCCCAGCTACAAGGCAAGGGCCTCCACTCCCGATTCACTACTCCCAGAAGGGGCAAGCCGAGGTCGAGTTAGCAGCAAGCATGGCCTCGCACAAGGGAAATAACTGCGCCGGACTTGACGAAAATCCCAATCTTTCTCCTAGGCCATATCGGGATCGATCAGGAACTGACACCGCAAATGTTACGCCGCCGTCCTTAGAACGCTCGACAATGTCGACAGCAATCGATGGACGATGTACCATGTGCAATCTTCCTGGCGTAAATACCTGTGCTGGCTGTTGATCTTCACGATACTGCTCTATCGAATGTCGCGATCGAGATTGGCCTACTCATAAGCTTCTCTGCGATTCATTCAACCACTTTATCACCTCACCACTCTCCACTGACCGAAATGTCACGTTCAAGCGGGCCATTCTTTTCCCTGCGGATGCTGAAACACCTCGCTTCGTGTGGCTCAAGTGCACCTTGGATCCGAAGGGATTTGAATTTGATGATTCCCGCAGCATGCTAGGTGACGGACATGTCTTCCCAGGCCGAAATTCCGTAAAAAGGAATCCTGTCAGAGAAAAGGAGCTTGATTACAACATCGAAATTGTTCATCGCGACGACTTCAAACATGATGGATCAAGAATTAACGAAAGTATCCTGACAGCAACTCAGCAGAAGACGACATGTCCCTGGGCCGGCAACGTTGTGGCAGTGAGGCGTGAAGGATCGCGATCAAATACAGCTGTCGTTGGAAATATGACCATGGAGGACTTTCGACATACTACGGACTATTTGTCGACTTATGCTTCCAATCCACAGGACTTCGGTTCCTCTCCAAAGCAGCTTCGGCAAATGGACGTTTACGGCCACCCAGGCATTTTGGCGCATTTGAAAAAGAACTTGGACTGGGGGGCCACATCCGGCTAACGGGGCTTTCCCTGTCCCTAGTTTTCACAAATCCCAGCGCTTTCAAAAGGTGCAACCTGGGGACTTCATTTTCCTAAAGGGTTCTAAGAACTTTGGCTTTGTACGATCTGTTGTGCACCGTGTGGAAGGAGTTAGTTAAACCCCTAATAGTAATTAGAAAAAAACGAGGTCGATAAGGCGTCTATGAGAGTATTTGACCATCGATGATTCCTTGATTAAATTGTTTATAACCCCTTCTCTATAATCTTTCTGATAGACACCTGTGATATAATTTGCCTGGTCTCGTCGTGCGACAATTTGATAAGGTAGTGCCTGGTTTCTCTAAATTATTGAACAATGTGCTTGATCACTGAACAGTGAGGATAATATGGAGAGCCACTGTTTTGTATAGGCAGACGAAGGATGGTGCTGTGAATAGCATCAATTCTAGGGGGGAGGTGGAGATGATAATTTGACCGTGAAGGACACCAAAGGACCATTGGCAATCGCTCTATCTACAATTACAACAAAAGACGCAACCCAAGGGACCAACTATAGCAGCAACAGCTCGCCTGTCGCAGCCCCGCCGGCCAAATGAGGCTGATACACCTGCTGCTGATTCTGCGTGACAACGTACTGCGTTTGCTGTGCGCCTCCATTCCCAAGGCCGTCATCACGTCCGCCAAGGTCCAGAGACGCCATCTGCTGGGAGCCGACGCCGCTGAAGTACGAGTCTGCGGCGTTGACGGCGTCGTTCATGGATGTCTGACCCGTGGTCGCGTTGGGGCCGGTGCCGGGCGCCGTGACGGGGAAGTTAGGTGGAGGGGCCGGGTTGATGGGGCTGATGGGGTTTCCTGTCGTGGTGATGGTGGCCAGGCCGCTGTTGCTTGTGTTTCCGGTTGCGGCGGCAGTGGCTGTAGGTGGGTTGTAATCTAGCATGCTGGCACTGCCGTCCTCGACGGGTGGGCGCTGCAGGGCCGGACTGTGTTGGAGGCGACGGGGACGAGCGGCGCGGAAGACCTGGTGGATGGGTTTGAGGTAGACGGTGGCAAGGGTGCCGACGTTTAGACACAGCTCTTCGAGGGTGCGCGGGTCCAGTTTTTCGCTCTCTGCCGTGATCGGGGGTTTTTGGCCCATCACTACTTCCTTGGCGGATGCTGGGTCGGTGGAGAGGAGACGCCAGTACATGTAGCCGCGATCGCGCAGGTCCGGATCGTCTGTTTCTTCAGTGCACCACTTCAGCACCTCTGGGACGATCTGTTGGCCCTTGGTAGGCCGCTGAATGAAGAGCTTGACGGTGGCTGTCAGCAGTGCGAGCTGCACTTCGATGGTCTCATCGTGGAAGGTTGCCAGGTAATCCTGCAAAAGACCGTCTGAATTCTCGATCCGGTCTGCATATTGGCCAATGATCCAGATGATGGCTGCCTTAGCCTCGGGCTCGTCGAGATCATCGATGTTTCGAATCACATGTCCGATAATACCCTCGTACTGATTTGGATATTTGCGGAAGATGTTGCGAATCACCACTGTTGCCTCCTGGACAATGTATGGGATCTTGGCGTCAACCAGCTCCAAAAGCGTGTCGATACACTGCCGCGCAGCCGACTCGATCTTGATGGCTAGTTTTCCGATGGCGCGGACTGCCTTGCGCACAAAATGCACATCGATTTCAGTTGCATATTCTCGAAGCTCCGCCAAGACCACGGAAATATTTTCTTTGGTGGTCAACATAAACATCAACTCCAACTTGGTCACCTTGACGTAGATGGGATCATTGTAGTTGCAGAAAAACACCCGGATATCATTTCGCAGGACTTCGGGTCTCTTCTGCAGGATCAGAATGGCGTTTCGCAATGCCAGATACTGGACCTCAGGAGGTTTAGAGAGCAATGTAATGAGGGGCGGTGACAGTTTGTTGCATAACGAAGTGATGTGTTTTTCGCCAGCAATATAGTTCATGAGATAGAGTATGACTCGACAAGAAGTGAGGACAACCGCAGAATTCGAGTGTGATAGCCGTGGTGCAATTCGCTCTGCCAGCAGGAGCGCCTCGGCGGTATCTTGGGGCACGTAAGACATTAATGCTTCGAGGATATAGGTTTGACCCCATCTGCAAAGGCTGTTAGCCATCATTCGCATATACAAAGGGTTGTTCTTACTCAGAACAGTCCGCCAGAATCGAAACCAGTTTTGATGCGCTGACGTAGTCGATGGTAAGGGAGATGGATTCACTCCGGCCCCAAATGTCCACCAACGAAGCCAAAACGCTTGAAACAACTGTCGGGTTCTCGTCCTTCAACATGCGGTTGAGTCTATCGATCAAGTCGGAATTTTCTACCGTTTTTTTGTCGTGCTCATACAGTTTTGCGACGCAAAAGGCAGCCGTCTTGCGGACATAGGGATCGTTGTCCTGCATCAGGCGTTTGAGGGGTTGAAAGGTCGCTTCAACGAACTCGCGGACATGTACATAAGCGATGGTTCGTAGTGCGAGTGCGCGCACCAGCGGGTTGGTGTCCTCCATATCCTATTGAGCCGAAGTCAGACATAGTTCGTTTGTTGATGGGTATGCGGGCCATACATCAACTAGAATCGGTAGCGCCTTGAGTGCGACATCGGGCTTCATCCTTGAATAGTTGACCAGGAACAAAAAGCACCTAGAGATGTCAGCACGTTACTAACCGCTGTGACTGTCCGGCATACATCTTCTTGATCTCCAAGCTGGGTAGGTTCATGCAGTCGATCACGTCCGGAAACAGGGCCACCATGTCGTTATTGCTCATGGTCATGTTGGCAACGATCTTCTTCAGCGCGATCTTTTTGGCGGAGTAGTTCTTGTCCTTCTTGCCGCCGCTATTGAGCTCCTGTCGCAGCTCGGCGACTTTGCCCTGTCGGGTTCGAGGAAAGAGTGAGCTATTAGGCGGAGCATAGGGGAGGATGCCGATGAACATGGGGTATCAGAGTTTGGGGCAGTAGGAGAGACCAAAAGCGCGAAGCCTTCAAGAACAGACATAGTCGAGGGGAGTAAGATGCGGGGAAGGAGGAAGGAAGAAAAAAGTCACGACGGGCAGCAACAAAGAGGCAAAAGCACGTTCACATACCCTGGCGAACAACTTCGCATCACCCCCGGAAGTACTCATGATTGCGTGGGCGAATCAACGGAGGAGGGGTCTGGCGCGGAACGCTTGAGAGCGACGGATTTGAGACTAGTCTGGCCGTGCGATAAAATCACATGCGTAGCGAGCGGGAAAGGGTCGAGCCAAGTGCCAGATCGCTAGCACTGGATTAAGGTATCGACAGAGCGCTAGGAAAGGTTGTGCTGGAGTCGAGGAGAGCTGGCAAGAAAAAGGGACCGTAGTGGATTCTTCAGAACACCGGGCTCGGACAGCGTTTAGAAAGATCGAAAGTGGCTGGGAGGAGGGACAGAGATGCTGCTGACTGTCATAGCAAGGGAATTGAACCCGACAAGAAAAAGATATAAATTGGATCGGGAGAATGAAAAGAAAGGAGGAAGGAGAGATGACGAAGGCAGGCAGAAGGAAGGCGGAGTGAAGAATGGCCGGGCGGGATTGCGGAGGAACTGGTGACACTCTCTCTCTCCTTGTCATCATCCATCTTCACTGCAACACACCACACCATCATGTCGCAGCCCCTTCCTCCCCCTCCACCACCGCAATGGGTCGTTGCACTCAACTCGCCTATGCCCAAACCCACTAAGGCGGCCTCTAGCATCCCCGACCCGCCTGGGTTTTCAAGCAGCAAAGCCGTAGGCAAGCAGGTGAGAAGCCATCCCACGCAACCCCCAGAATATCTAGGCTTACGCTATCCCCTTGTCTCTTCAGCGCGAAAAACAACAAAAGGATCAGCAGCAACCCACCGCCTCGAAGCCCGAAGAAACCGACGCGCTCAAGATCAAGAAAGCGTGGGAAATCGCCATCGCCCCGTCCAAGCAGATCCCCATGAACGCGATCATGATGTACATGTCCGGCAATAGCCTGCAGATTTTTAGTATCATGATGGTATTCATGCTCTTCAAAGGTCCCATCCAGGGGTTGTTCAATACCAATGCCGCATTCGCCAAATTTGACACCGAGTCGACGCGCGCAAAGCTGGTCGGTGTCAAGGCGGTTTATGTGCTGATGCAGTTGGGACTGTTGGCTCTGGGGATTTGGAAGGTTAATGCCATGGGTCTTTTGCCGTATGATTTTATTCTTTCTCTTTTTCTAATGGAACTGAACTGACTTGAAACGCAGGACGACGAGGTCGGATTGGTTGGCCTGGGAGTCAGAACGGCAACCTTTGGAGCGGGCTTATTTTGCTTTCAGGTGATGCATGGAGGAGACATACAAGGCAAAATAGATTGTTCCTGAATAATTCGAAGCTGCTTTCACGCTGATTCATCGCATGCCTATTCGCAGAACCATGTGCGATGGGATGCATTATTCTCATCACACTTTTACTACTTGTAATTTGAAAAAACATTCCATGAGGAAGAGTATAAGGCTAAACATAAATATCCAGCCGTCGCCGCATGGTTCAAATTCTGCTCGAAGTACACGTCGATTTCTTCTATAGTGCGGTACGGCGTCTCAGGATATAGAAAGACCTACCCTCACATCCGAGCAGGGATGTGAAGGCACAGGGTAAGTGTAGATTGTTGGTTAATTTGTTTTCCTGGGCAGAACAGACCTTACTGTGTCTAATAGCCTCGGTGGGACATCAATATCACCTTTTCTCTGACTGCACATTATGAACCTGGGTATCGCTCCCACCATTCTTAGCCTCCAGCTTCACCCTCCGCTCCTCGCGCCATCTCGGTCCATGCCGAATTACTAACAACAGAAGCGGCGACGTGCCCAGCATGACAAATGCAATAAAAGTATAGCACCAGCCCCTCCCCATAGCATTGAGCATGGGATCGATCAAGGCCGTAGCTCCCGCACCCAGCAAACAGCGCATAAAGTTATTAGCGGCGGTAGCTTTGGCCGCCTGCTCCGGGTAGAGGTCAATCAAAAGCGTGCTGACAGTATTGAACGACCCGGTCAGGGCCAGGCCCATGATGAACAGGATGGCTGTTGGCGCGGCGAGATGGATTCCGAAATTCAAGAGCCAGCCGAAGACAAGGATGCTCAGGCTCCCGATCGTCAGGAGCGGGAAGGCGATCTCCAGCCGTGCTTTTTCGATAGGGAAGTTCCGGAGGTCGGTGTGTCGGTTTTTCACAAGGGGGAAGTTTAGACCCTTGGCGATGCGTCTGTAGTTAAAATCGAGGAACTTGCCGTTGCCGATTGAGGCGATGGTGGCGCCTACACCAAAGGGGATGTAGCATAGACCGATTTGGAGGTCGTCTAAGCCGTATAGGTCGCGGTAGATGGATGGTATGGAGGCGCTGACGTCGTAAAACCCGGCGAATAGCAATGCGTTGGAAAATAGAATAATGCTCGTATCCTTCTGGAAGACAATGGAGAGCGTCTGGAAAGGATTGGGGAAGGAGAGTTTCTTCTTGGACGAGCCAGGTGTGATACCCTCTTCACGAGCTTTGCGGGACTTGAGATAGCTGATCAAGGACATATTCCATTTCTGAGGAGGCAGTGACCCATCCCCAACGACTCCGCGAGCGGTCTCCGGGAAGAAAATCAGGAATGGAACCATAAACGTTCCTGAGAAAATGGCGAGGAACCAAAATATGGCTCTCCATCCCAGATACTGCGATAGTAGGCCTCCGATCACTGGTCCGATGGAGGGCCCGAGGAGTGACCCCGCCGTGACGAAGCCCATATATGAGCCGCGCTGGGATGCCGTGGCCACGTCGGATACCACGCCTGCGGAGAGGGCAATGGTTGTGCTGATTCCGGCGCTTTGAAGACATCTTAGCACGAAGAGGGCTGCGTAGTTGCTCTGTAGAGCTAGAGCAATGTTGGCTGCGATGTAGAGAGTGAAGCATACAACGTACGCTGGTCGTCGTCCTGCGTTGTCGGCGAAGTCGCCAATGAACATGGGCGAAAGACCTTGGAAGATCTGGGAATCATGAGTTTTTGAAAAAAAAAACTGGAACTTTCCGAGATACTCACCATGTAGCTCGTAAGGGTCAAGTTGATTAATGAACCTGTGACATGTAGATCCTTGGCCAAGGTATTCAAGGCCGGGAAGTAGATCTGAGACGAAACCGGCGAGAAGAAGCCGGCCCACGAGGCCATGAAAACAATATATCGACGCTGCGTCTCCGTGAAGACGGAATAGTCGACCTCGGCGACGTCGGGCCCACTACTTCCATGATGATTCCCCGCATTATTGACATCCTGAGCAGCAGCAGACTCTAGGTCCCTTTCCGTAGGCTCAGCCATCCAATCCAATTCAGTTCAGTTGGTGCGAGAACATCGAAGCACCACGCCGCAGCAAGCTTGCCGTTTTAGATGGTGAGAAGAACATGTTGAGAAGAAAGAAACCCCACTAAGAAAGATTATTTGAATTAACTCCATCCATACTTAAATCCGAAGCGAGACCAGCGACAAGCGGCGCCGGTTTTTTTTTTTTTTTTTAGTGGAATCCCGCTTTCTTGATTTGCAGAGGGGCAAACTGGGTCTGTGCCGAGATGCCGAAACCGTCCACTTGAGCTTTATCGTGAGATGTCAAGCCCCGATAAAGCGGCAAAGCGTGAGTCAGTCAACCTTTTTTAAAGGTCGCACTCTAGGCAGCTCTAGGCAACCGCATCTAGACAGATCTATAAGTTTCTACCCTTGCTTCTTTCGGAGGGAAAATGCATCTGTTCGGCGACTGATGCTGCAGACCGAGATTTTTTCATTGGACGCCAGTGACGATCTCGGGATAACATCAAACACCCCGAGACCGGACTGCCAATCTACATGCCTCCAGGAAGATCTGACAGAACTCCCACACCTCGGTGTATGTATTGTACAGGGCTGTGGGCGCGACACGGACAACATCCGGCTTTCTTTCGTCGATCACCACACCATTCTGCTCCAAATGACTCAGCACCGAATCCAGCAGACCGGGCTGAAGGCGTAGACTCAGTTGCGCGCCTCGTTCGTGTGGATTGGATGGTGTGATGAGAGTGAACGGCTTGTCTTCCGCGGGTGCGTCGTGCGGGTACCTGAGAAGCAAGTGCTCCAGGTAGCCAGTGAGACGGAGCGATTTCTGGCGGATTGCAGCCATGGACGCTCGGTCAAAGATTTCAAGGGAGGCAATTACGGCGTTCATGTCCAGGACCGAAGGATTCGATAGTTGGAAGCCTGCGGCGCCGGGCTGGGGAATGAATTCTATAGCTTTGGGTTAGTCCTGCAATCCACGAGGGCCCGGGAAAAGAACGTACTGTTGTCCATATTGAACCGCGTCTTGCTATCATGACCCCACCAGCCAGTGAATCGAGGACGAAACGGTTCGTCGCTATCAGCCTGCTTCTCGTCCACACGGCCGTGTCGCTCGTGAACAAACATTGCCGCCATGCCACCAGGTCCACTGTTAAGATATTTGTAGCTGCACCACGCCGCAAAATCTACGTTCCAGTCATGTAGCCGCAGATCCACGTTCCCCGCGGCATGAGCACAGTCCCAGCCGATCAATATGCCTTTGGAGTGGGCGTGAGCGGTAATATGTTCAATATCAAAGTACTGTCCGGTGTAGAATTGGATGGCCGAGAGAAGAATCAGCGCAGTACTGGAGGCATTGTCATCAATGACTTTGAGAATTTGTTCCGTTGTCAGAATGGGATAATCTGTGTTTTCTGGCTCGATGAGGACCATGGCATCATCCGGGGTAAAATTGTGATGGCGGATTTGAGATTCGACCGCATACTGTATGTGCCTGAATTAGTGTGCTGTGCCAATATATACCTCACAGCAAGACGTACATGATCGCTAGGAAACGCCTTCCCCTCCAGAATAATTCTATATTTCTCCTTGGTTGGGCGGTAAAAACTCGCCATCAGCAAGTGCAAATTACCAGTCAGGGTCCCCATGACGGCAACTTCGCTCTGCAAAGCACCAACAACGGGCGCCATCAGTTTCGCTCCCGCGGTGTCAACATCGACAAATGGAGGCAGGAGCTGATCCTCATGCGGCATGAAATGACCCGTCACGCCTTTCGTCGCCCAGGTACGCAGATATCGCTCGATATACCGCTGGATACTGCGCGGCTGGACTCCGAGGGAGTTGCCGCAGAAGTAGATGCATATTGGAGCTGAAGATTCGTCCTCGCCTGTTGGGGGCTGTTTAGTATAATCAATTGGCAAGAACGACGAGAAATATACCTTCATCCCCAGCCAACACCTTCCGCTTCAGGTCCTTTTTGGTCGGAATGATAAACTCGTCCCGGAAGTGTCGCAGCGGATCTTGGGAATCGAGTGCCTCGGCATACTCTCTGGTGTAGGCGTGCACCTCATCGTGGTAGGAGAGCGAGGGACCATGCTTGAGATCCCGGACATACTGTCTGGAGTCCATCTCGTAGAGAGGTGTGTGCAGTAGTATACTTGTACCTCTTCTTGCAAAGAAGAGCAATGTCATCCCACCGCCGATCCCTGCCCTTCCCGCTCATTTATTCTGCCACATCCCTCCGCCTGATATGGACCAATGACAATCCTGCCGAATCGATGGCCGATGGATATCTAAGCAAGTTCACCCATCGCCTTCGCCGTGCTCTCCTCCCAAAACACCCCAGTCTCCAACATGTCACGGCCATTACTCTCGTCAACCGCTGCTCGACGGTTCTCCCAAGCCCCGCAAACCCGCCTGTTCTCAACCTCCCGCCCGGCGCAGCGCTTGTCTGCATTCCCCGACGGCAAACTCACGGCTTGCCGGCAATTCATTCACATTCAACAAAGCGCCCCACGCTGTTTGTCAAGACACTCGACTCCTCGGTCTTCTTTCCTCCGTCCGCAACATGCCTCCTTCTCCTCCTCGACTGTCCGACCCGCTACGAAAGTCACCCAGAACCCGCGCGCCGGGGACGATGGCGCCACGCTTATGGTTAAGATCTCGCCGCGGGCGGTAGAGGTACGTTTGACTACTGCTTTGGTTTCGCATATGTTTTTTGCAGGATGAGCGGATGGGAAGTACCTGGGTAGTGCTACTGAGTATTTTCGAATCGGAGCATACTCATACCTCTCGCCCGGTATGAGCAGCTTTACGGAGATTCTCAGTACATGCGACCACAGGGTGTGGAGAACAGGGCTTCCCGTCCGCTCAGCCGTACTTAAGCCACACGCCGGTCAGTTAGTAGTTGGGTGGGTGACCACCAGCGAATCCTGACTGTTGCATGTATACTTTTCTTTTTTTTTGGTCACTCACTCATGGTTCTCGTTTACTGTCAACTTTTTATCTAAACTAATAACCTCATCACCCAGCGTCTCCGCGAAATCACCGACCCAACCACCTCCCCCTCCGCCACCAGAGAAGACAACCCCTACCACCACCTCCGAATCACCGTCACCAGCGGCGGCTGCCACGGCTTCCAGTACATGATGTCCCTGGAGTCCGCGAACAAGATCGACGCAGAAGAAGACACCATCTTCGAGGGCGAGGAAGATGTAGCCACGACGGATGCAGCGGGCGGGGAGGCAAAGGTTGTGATGGATGAGCCCTCGTTGGAGCTTTTGCATGGTAGCACAGTCGATTATACGACTGAGCTGATTGGGAGCCAGTTCAAGATTGTGGATAACCCGCGCGCGACGAGCAATTGTGGTTGCGGGACGAGTTTTGATGTTAGTGATTGATCGATTGGGTGGCTTATATTTGATCATGATCAACCTTGTACATGATATGTATGGCATATGCGTCTGCTTTGCGAAGATAGAATAATAGCATATTATACCTTTCTCTTCTCTCATGCTTGCTCTTTTTACATACAGCACCACTGCAACTACCGGAGTTCTTAATACTATAAAAAGGTCTACTTCAGGGCCAGTATATCGATCTGTTTGTGTGAAAAGAAACCGAGTTTTTTCTATCAAGGTATGTATGTATATACAAAAAGGCCGGCCCGAAATTAACTAAGACCATCTTTAACAAACCGAAGAGACTACTGCCCGAAAGTCCAACCGAGAGATGTATAACTATACATCGTCTATTTCTCCTCGTTCTCGATGACATACCCCCAGTCGTGCTGCTCTTTGCCATACATAATGGTCTCAAGCCACGATTTGATCAGGGAGGCGTACCCGGCCGGCTCACCGGACGCACCAAGGGTGCTGATATCGACATTGTCGTTGCGGATCAGCTCGACGGGCGTGATGAAGTACTGTTTGCTCTTGTTAGCTGATGATACAAGACGGAAAGAAAAAGGAAGACAGAGAAAAACATACAGCAGTACCAGAGACAAACGCCTCAACAATACGCCCCTCCTTCGCGGCCAGCTCAATCTCGCCAATGGTCAACGCCCTCTCCACAACGTGCACAGGCGCCAACCCCCCAACAGCTCGCTCCGCCAGTCTCTCACGACAAAGCTCCAACACACTTCTCCGCGTAACACCAGGCAGGATAAGCTGATTCTCCAACGGCGCCGTAATCATCTCCAAACGGCCGGTATGGGCATTATGCATAACAACAAAGAAATTACTCGCCCCGGCCTCGGTAACCTGGCGCTCGGCACCAAACAGCCACAGGATCTGATCAAAGCCCTGCGCCTGCGCGGCGCCGTGTGCCTGCAGGGACGGGCCGTAATTCGCGCCCAGCTTGGCGTATCCGAAGCCGCCGGGCCAGGCGCGGATGCTGTCTGGGTGAGAGGCGTAGAGGCGCAGACCCTGAGGCGCGCCCGGTTGCCCGTATTTCTTGACTTTGCTCACGTCTGGCCAGAGGACGGCGATGATGAAGAGGAGAGCTTCCTTTGGCACTTGGACGCCGAGGTGAGGGCCATTTCCAATAATCGCGGGCCGGAGGTACAGGAACGAGCCCGGGCGGTCTCGCGGGAGCCAGCCTATATCATGATATTAGTTTTACAGAGATATCTTGAGAAGGAGGAGGTAACATACGCGGGCCATCAACCTCCATCAGCTTCGCCACGAGCTTCTTCAACTCATCGGGCTTGAAACCCGGCAACGACGAGCGCACCGCACTCCCAGACAGCCGTTCGCCATTACAATCCGGTCGAAAGAGGCGCAGCTTCCCGTCGTACCCACGGTAAACCTTCATGCCTTCGAAGCACTGCGTAGCATAGTGCAGACAGCCCGCCGTGGCGGGGATGCTGAGGTTCTCGAACGGCTTCACCTGCGGCGTCTCCCAGCCGGTCTCGGCGGTCCACCGCACGGTGACCATGTGGTCGGTGCAGTAGGAGTGGCTCAGCTCCTCGGGCGAGCCGGGGGCAGGTACATCGCGGGGGGTGGTGGTGCGGGTTAGGTTGCAGGTAGAGGCATCCAGCTCTCCTATTCTTGGGGGGGTGATGGATCCCATTGCTGGTGGATTGGATGGAGACGGAGAGGAAAGTCAATTGCAGGAATTCAATGACTTAAATCTGTGGAGTGTGAGTGGATAGAGTGAGTCACTCTATCAGAGTTTTAGGCCGAAAATTCCAACCTAAGAAACAGACAATCGTCTAGTCGTTTGTTTCGCTGTTGTATCTACGAAGATACAAAGAAGTCCAGGACAGGTCTCTCTTATAGGGACGCGGCTTGCCCCGGCCACCCATTCTTCAAGAATGCGGGCCGAGCCAAAAATTTTTTAAAAAAAAATCGGATACACATTTGCCATCGGCAAACACAGCCATTCGACTCATGATCTATGGAAATTAAATAACATTTGAATTCGTTCTCGAGTTAGATATAGCTGCATCTGGGGATACAAATGTGTGTCACACAGAGTTTCGATCGTCCTCAAAATCGGTACATATGTCGGGTAGGGTTGACGCCCTGTGAGTGACAGCGGCTTTTCTGCCGCTGATAAGGGAGACCGCCGGTTATCGATCTGCCGGAACAAGGGAGACCCACTAGGGACTCTGGATAGTGCCCGAGGATAGCCGTGAAGTAACGAACTATAGATGATATGGGGAACAGTTAGCGCAGTGCAGGGGAAGACGTTGAGATAAAGGCCGCCGCCACGAGAAATGCTGCATCTGCACTGTATTGGTCGGAAAAGAGGACAGGGATCCCAGTATTGATTCTGTCTGGCTGTCGGTGACTATGCGGGTCGATGATAGGTAAAATCATACTGAAATAAGAATAATTATTATTCATTTACTAGTTACTAACTACTGCCTCGAGACGATTTAATATTAGATCGCCAAGCTGCTGCCGAGACTCTCAATACTTTCCCCGCGCACGAAACCTGATTGTTAGATGGCTGTTTTTTCCGACTTAGTAATGTGACATCAGTTTCGTCGCCTTCGTTAATAACAATGTACATCCATGCTCCATGGGTTCCGCTGCGATTTGATAGACAGCCGCTTACCGTAGAGATCTCTGCTTTGCCTTTACCTTGAGCGGGTGAATGCGACAGCCCGCCGATCCACTAACGAGTAGTCCGCCGTCCTAGTAGTCTCCCGGTCACCTTGGCAGAATCTCGTCTATCTCCTTTGGGAGACAATCATCGCTCGCCCCGCACGGAATACCATGCCTCGATCCCTGTATGTTTATTCCAGCGTGGACTAACTAGTTTTGTCGAACGGAGGAACGAAACGGGCGATCCATTTCAGCGCGAGGGTTGAGCGGATGCCAGTGTTTGTCAGGTCGTCTCTGACAGATGCTGATCGTGGTAGTTACATAGTGAGTGAAACAAGCTTTGGGCGGTGTGCTTGCTTATGCGGAATGAGCCTGATGTGTTTTGACATCATCTCATCTCCACCGAGCCGCCTAGCGCAAAGTGGAGGGTTCAAGAGGAAAAAGATTCATACGTGGAGCACGATGAAAAAAAGAAAATCCACGCCATTCATTATTGGCGGACAATTAATCCGTATGGATAGACCATCACGCGCGCGGAGATCTTTGTCGGGATTTGGGTGCTTGCCTATCCCTGCGCAGCCAGCAGGGCAAAGAAGCAAACCAACAAACTTCGGTTGCCAAGGGATTTTACGCGCGAACAGGTTGTCGGTCCCATGCCATCCATCGGGTCTTGCCACTGCGTACAAACCCTGGCAGGTATTGAACCATTCTTCGGTTGGGGACTTATTCTCCGGAGAAGCCCTCAGGGGCGTGGATCGGATTTCATTCGTTCCCGGACTCGACTAGGATACCTTTCACCCTAGCACGGACCAGTTGCCATGACCGCATTTCTCTCAGACGGGAAGGGCAGAAGTGGAGCAGAGGCGAGATGCCCGTGGGTATCAATCAGATTGCAATCAGGATAATCTGTGACAGCTTGCCTAAAAGAAAGACGCCTCATTCCCCGTTCTTCTTTCCAATCTAACAACCACCAAGAAGATTCGTTCTCTGCCAGAGTAAATACTTCTCGCCCTCTTCTATTCATCTTCGACAACCGCATGATCAGTATCTTCTCAGGTACTGGGTTTTCAAGGACCGGGAGGAACGTTTGATGGGCCAGAAACAGCCAAACAATTGCATGACTTAAATGGGTTGGTCTCCTTCGAATCCCTGTCCCTCTCTAAACACACCAGTGCCTGACACGCATCATCGGGCGCCAGGTACCACCCACCGCGGGGCTTAAATCTTGGAAGAAACCCCTCCCTGATGCTTCTGGTACGCCATCCTCCCCAAGAAAGGCCTCTGTTGGCCCCGGAGTACAAGATGAGCCAGGAAGACAAAATGGGTATGGCCTTGGAGGGGAGGAAGAGCCAGGACGACGTGGTCAGACCCTTTCCACAGTTGCTGCCAGGGCCCCGGAAATTCGCGCCGCAGTCATCCACCAGCATTGAGCGCCTGAAAAAGACCTCCATGGCCTGCAAGGCCTGCAAGACTGCAAAGAGAAAGGTACACCCCCACTCCCCCGTCTGCGGCCTGCTCCTGGCTGACAGCTTGGTTATAGTGCAGTGGTGCCGGCAAACCACCGAAACCGCCATGTAATGCGTGCAAGGTCACAGGTACCCTATGCGAATTCGACCCAACACTCGACCTCCGGCGCAAGGAAGCTCATACCGCCAAAATCAACGGCCTCGAGGCGAAGATCGAGGAGCTGCAAAATTACAAGCATCTACTGGACGATTTGATCACAAGGGTTCGATCGCCACACAGGCATGAGGTCAATCGGATCGTGAAGATGATTCGCATGGATGATTTTGATCTAGAGGAGGTTGTTCGTGCTATCGAAAGCCCGATCGCCGCTTCCACACATCCCCAGTTGCTTCCGGACCCTCACGACTTGGAAATCTCAGGGGGAGACATCCAGGTGAAGCAGGAAAAGGACGGCATAGAATGGTTGGACTTGCCGCCACAGAGAATTGTCGACCCTTATGCTCGTGTCACGCTGGAAACCCTCTGCGATATCCCCCGCTTTAAGGTGCCAGCGCAACCGTGGACCAAGGTCACCGATGACAGCCACCTGGTTTCGCACTTGATTTCACTCTACCTCACCTGGGATCATCCATGCTCCCAGTTTATAGATCAAGACGTTTTTCTCAAACACATCAAGGCGAAGGATCTGACGTCGGAGTTTTGCACCCCACTCCTGGTCAATAGCCTTCTAGCAATGGGAAGCGTATGATTCGCCCGCAAATATCCATTTGAGCCTGACTAACCCCTCTATATAGGTTTATTCCGATAGCCCGCAAGTCATCTCCCAGCAAGAAGACAGCGTTTTCCGAGGACAGCTCTTTCTGTCCGAAGCAGAACGTTTGTGGAAAACAGAGGAGGGCCGCCCAACGCTAGCGAATGTGCAAGCACTCCTTGTGATATGTTGTGTGTATGTCGCCCACCAAGTCTTATCGACATGTTTTGCGCTCTTCCAGTACTGAACAAGATTGCAGCCACAGATGTCAAGGCAAAGCCAACCTGGGCTGGCTTCTCCTCCGACAAGCGGTCCAGTTAGCCCACGATATGGGATTGTTTTACCCCCCGGAGGCGATTTATCCGCCGGAGATGCAACGAGTTCGCTCAACCACCGCCTGGGGTATCTTCAATCTGAACTCGTAAGGGATCTGCGTTACTGTGAGGTTTGAGACATGGCTGACTGGCGTGCTAGACAAATGGCAATGGAGCTGCAGAAGACGCCGAATTTGGAAAAGCCGGGGTTCCAAGTCGGTATAGGCGACGTTGCCTGGGTCCCGTATCCACGATTGAACCAGCTGATATATCCGAGAAAGAAAGCGCATCTGCCAGATGTGCAGGATGGACTTTCCGAGTTGATGGAAATCGTGGCAGATGTCCAAAAACTCTTTTTGGACAATTTGACCCTCAGCATTGACGATCTATGGGTCAAAGCCCAAGACCCATACAATCGCTTTGTGGACTGGCTGAGTCGCTGTCCCGATGTATCGCAGATTGAAGACCAGCCGGTTTCGGGATTCTTGGTTTTGCGGTACGTATTTGACCACCGAAATGACAAGTGATAAGAGTGGCATTTGCTGATGGAAATAAACTGAAAGCCTGAAATGTCTCCACGCAATCATGGCCCTCTTCGAAATGCTGATTCGCCGCGATGAGCAAGGACCTTCGTCTAACCCCATATGGCGACAAGAGGTATTGGAACTCCAGACCCGGACCGCCGAGGAGACGGCCGAGTGCCTCCGTATCCATCGTCAGTCGTATGGCATCCGGTATATCCCTCGCCAGATGGTCGGCGCCATTCAGTCCGGTCTCCTGGTCCTCGTACACCAGCTGGCAACCCGCGAGCAAGTGCAAGTGAGAGAACCGTTCGCCGAGCTTTGGCGGTTTGGAACTGCAATTGACCACAGATTCGAACCGATCGCGGAAACTGTCCGGCAGATTCGATTGATGGCCCAGAGTGGTGTCGTCGAGATACCAGTTGAAGTGATCGAGATCAGTGATCCCGAGCACGGGGAAGGGCTTTGAAGCATCGTCGTCTCAGTTAAGTTCGGCATCGCGTCGCTATTGCAGATATAGTGATTGATCATCGAGTCACTCGTGTGGCGGCCGTCAGTCCAGCCAATGTCAAGAGGCGCGCTGAGAAGAGATGGTGGTCGTCGTGGCAGGATCGAATGTAGCGTTCTATCTTTCTCTGCCATCGTACCTTCCCGATCCAGATGGCAGGGCTGCGTTGTACGATGGGACAGGGGCCAGGGTCCTGGCCTCTCGGAGTGTGTTATTCAATCGTTGATTACATTCAGATTGTACCCTGTGTGATTGTCATGGTCTAGGTGGCTGGAAGCATCTTCCGGACCACTCCTTCTCACTGGCGGCCTGCCCAGCGTTTACGACACTACATCAAACTGGTATGATCCTTTTTGATAGAGAAATAAAGAAGATTCAATTCTTGGCTTTCGCCGTATCTATGTAGTTTGTTCTCGGGTAGTTTGCTTCCAAAGTCAGCCCTCCTCTGGTGACCGCCTACCACGCTGACGAGGACGCACGCCCGCCCCTATTCATCATATAGGTACAGACTGCGAATCGGCAATGTTTTGTTTTCCTTCGGGGCCTTGTTAACAAGGACGGCGAGGGTCAACACGGTTTTTGGTCTGGCAGAGGAGCTACAGACCCGTATCTGCAATCGAGGTGAGATCACCCGCTGTGGGTTTGGGACTTTAATTTCAAGGCTGTGGTCATGGAATATGGAGTCAAGGTGTCATTTTCATAGGAGAACCTATATACTATTTGGCTCGGAAATATCACATTGCCATCTTTCTCCCTTTGCTTATAGACTTGGATGTTTGTCGATGCTGAGTCAGCTCGATAAGATAAGCCACAAGCGAAAGCCCTCAAAATTCGTTCTCCCGCCAAAACCCACTGTGCCCGATCCCTGCCAACCCCGACTTCCGCGCCCTTTGTTGCGGCCATTCGACCGACTTCTTTCTCCCCCTTCTCCGTCACCCCTTTTATCCGCTTCTCAAGAAAAACTCTCCCCATCCAGCATGTCGTACGACGACCGCGCCAACGCGCGCCCCAACCTGAACGATGAGTCCGATGTTGAGGAGGAGGCTCTGGTCAACGACTACCGCGAGCAGGTCAATTACGATGATAGCATGAGCGAGCTGGACCGGACGACATCCCTCGGCGGCCAATCCCAGACTCAAGACCTCCAGGCACAACTCGCTGCGGCCGCTACCCCGCTGGAGTACCAGGCCACTCTAGAGACCAAGTTCGCCAGCTATGATAACTACTGCAGTCTCTTCCACTACATTCTGAACTCGGATGGTCCCGTAGATTTGGAGGTTCCCTCGGTAGGTTTTTCTTTATCCCCCTCATTGTTCGATGGGACGGGAAAGTTCTTAGCATTTTGTTTTTGTATCAGACTAACACTTTTTCTCACAATCAGTATTACTGGGCTTGGGACGTGATTGATGAGTTCATCTACCAATTCGAGTCGTTCTGCCGCTACCGCAACCGGGTCGCTCGCAGCGGGTCCAACGAGGAGGAGGCCCAGGTGCTCCGCGAGAACCCGAACACATGGGGCTGCTACTCGGTGCTGAACGTGCTGTACTCTCTCATCCAGCGATCGCAGATCAATGAACAGCAGGCCGCTATTAAGAGGGGAGAGAGGACCCCATGGCTTTCGCCGGCGAGTACGGTTCCCGGCCATTGTACAAGATGCTCGGGTATTTCTCGATCATCGGGCTGCTGCGGGTGCACTGCCTGCTGGGTGACTTCAGCCTAGCGCTGAAGACTCTCGACGACATCGAGATGAACAAGAAGGCCATGTTCGCGCGCGTGATGGCCGCCCACTTCACCACATACTACTACGTGGGCTTCTCGTACATGATGATGCGGCGGTACGCCGACGCGATCCGCATGTTCAGCCACATCCTGGTGTACGTGTCGCGGACGAAGAACTTCCAAAAGGGCGGCAACAGCTACGACGCCATCGCCAAGAAGAACGACCAGATGTACGCCCTGATCGCCATCTGCGTCGCGCTGCACCCGACCCGCCTGGACGACACCATCCACTCGGCCGTGCGCGAGAAGTACGGCGAGCAGTTCTACCGCATGCAGCGCGGCGGGCCCGAGGCCCTCCCCGTCTTCGAGGAGCTCTTCCGCTCCGCCTGCCCCAAGTTCATCAGCCCCACGCCGCCGGACTTTGACAACCCAGCCTCCAACGTCGACCCCGTCGACCATCACACCGCCATTTTCATGGACGAGATCAAGAACACCCTGTTCAACCCCACTATCCGCTCCTACCTGAAGCTCTATACCACTATGGACCTCAAGAAGCTCGCTGGCTTCCTCGAGGTCGAGCCGGAGAAGCTTCGCTCGTGGCTGCTTGTCAACAAGCAGCGCAGCCGTGAGATCCGCTGGGTCGAGGGTGGTCTGCTGGACGGCGAGCCGGCTATTGCCAACGACCTCGACTATGCGCTTGAGAACGACCTCATCCATGTCAGTGAGACCAAGGCCGGCCGTCGTCTGGTCGACTGGTACCTGCGCAACCTTGCCCGTGTCTACTAGAGGATCTGTCTGCCGTTTGTGGATGCGGTTGACTCGTTTATTTTGACGGCGAAGAACGGAGGAGTCTGCATGCATGCAAGAAGGAACGAACAACGACCTGAGATGATTGATTTTTCTTCCTCCTTTTTCTTTTTCTCTCCTTCCCTTTCTCATTCCCATTTTATTTCTCATCGCCTCCATTCCTCGCCCTTGCTTTGCTAGTTCGCATACTCATGTTTCTTTTTTTTATTGTTGTTGCTTGCTTGCCTGACCTAGACGTGTTCAGGCTTCGTGGGTTCAAAATCAAAGTCGGATGATTTACTGGAAGGGCGTACGTACGATGTTTGCCATTGCCCTGCTTTCTGCTGTTGGGCGCTTTGCCCATCTGGAAAAAATATGTTGTCGAGCAGAGAGAAAAAGAGACTTGATGAGATGAATAGATGAACAAATTACTGGTTCCACTCGTTTTCACACGTACATGCTTAGATCAGGATCACGTTGCACTCCTATTGTCATGTGCATGTAGCGTAGACCAAGATCCCTCAGTCAGGGCTCTAAATGCCACACGGCTTCAAAGCATCCCAGCGTTACATGCACGAATTGCGGCCATTATCAAGTATCGCCTTACATAAGGCTTTTCAACCCCCAGGTATCCAAGGAGCAGCAGGAGCAGAAGTAACTTTTTGCCAAGTGTGATAAGTCTGTACTAAGATACCATAGATCAGCCTCCGCAACTCGTAGGTGCGGAGACTGTCTAGTACAAAGTACGGTCCTATAGTTAAGGCTCCGCATCTCGTGAGTCTTGGAGGAGCTGTGAGAAGTTGCAGAGACTACCTCGTACACAGACTGACTATAGGTAAGGTTCTATGTCTTCCCTTAGCTCCTTAAGTGCCTGTGAGTTGCGGAAACTACCTCATGCAAAGTACTGACACGGCTCTGCACTATCTTGCCGTAACTAAGCCTCCTCAGCTCCTTGTTGAGAAGCTGTGGAACTCGGCTCATACTAATTAATTATAGGTCTACACCGTCTTGTAATAGATAACTCTCTGCATCTCCCGAGTCTTTAAGGAGATGCAGACTCCACGCCATACAAAGTAGATGACTACCAAAGAAGACATATCACCATCAAAGAATGATTATATTACTATACAACCGACGACATACCTACTGTCCCATCTCCGTATCGTTTATATTCCCATCATCCTGGAGCTCACCACCACCATCCAAATCAACCACAAGCGGCGCATACTCCCCGGTCTCCTCGTCCTCATCATTCCCATCCATCTCCATCTCGACCTCCTCCCCATCCTCCAACTGAATCATCCCGCGTCTCACAATAGCCTCCCGCTGTAGCTCCCAGTCATATTCAGCCTTCACCCACGTCCCAAGCTTCTCCAACTCCGCTTTAACCATCGACCCAGCCACACCATCGCTACCCCCAACAACCTCATCAACACCCCGCTGCAGTTTCATAAGCAGGTCACGCAGGAACGCGCCACCCTCGTCGCCGTCTATTTCGAATAGCCCACCTTCCACGTCGTCGCAGCGCTGAAGTTGCAGTAGCAGTAGTCGGAGCACGGCGCTCATCAGCCCTTCTCTTTCACGTATTGCTCGCCGGGACGTTAGGATTAGTTCGAGGAGTCGTTTCCATTGTTGTAGACATGAGTGGTTCATCATCGTTAGTACCATCAGGAAGGTAAACTGCAGTTCACCGAGCAGCTGTGTTTCTCCTGCTTGTTGCGTATCGCCAGAACCAGAGCCAGCGTTGTAGCGCTCGACAAGTTCGCCAAGAGCCCAGGATCGATCCTGTGCTGCCTCCGTTCGTTCTCGCCCCACGGCGCCCTCTCGCCAGGTGCGTTTGAGGTCGATGGGGAGAAACCCAAACTCGCGTTCTGGGAGCTCCCCCACTGCTGCATCTCTTTCTGTTCCTTCTGCGCCGGTGCCTTCGTTCGGAGCATCTAGGCCCGGTATATAGTCCGCATCCCGGTTCGCCGTGCTCGCCGAGGTAACAGTCCACCGTGGATGCCCATCCACATCTATCTGAGGGCGGCCCACAATGCGCGACAGGATGTCGGGTGTAATTCGATCCGTCAGTCCCTGCCAATCCCTCCGCCCGCTTTCCTCTGTCTCTTCTTCTTTATTATCATCATCTTCTTCCTTTTCAGCTTGTGTGCTAGAAGACTCCCCCGAATGCCCTTGATTAGACAACATGGACGCCGACACGCGGCTCCGATAGCGAAATAGGCCGCCGCGCTGCCAGACAGAGCCGAGGTTCGCCTTGTAGCGCATGGCCTCCTGGCGCTCTCGATCCGTGATTGGAAGAGATTCGAGGGCCTCGGTGTCGTGATTCCATCTCCAGATGTATATCTGTGGTTCATTCTGGCGGGATGTCGTCGTCACCAGCGCGGTCCCGGCGCCACTATCGTTCAAATTGGAGTTCGACCCCGCGCGACTGATATCGCCGACGTAGAACCACGCGCCGGTGCGCAGGGAGAAGCTCTCTGTTGTGCCTGTGTAGAGAAAATGCCATCCTTCAGGCAGATCGCGGATGCCGTGGAAATTGGGCGTGGAGGTGAAGGTGATCAGGTCGATGCCGACAAATGTCTTGGGCGGGAGGTGGGGGAGGAGGATTGTCGGGGAGGGCTGAGGGGATGGAGGGGGAGGAGGCATGGCGGCGGATCGGATCGGATCAGGTCAGATCCTGCCGGAGGGAGTGGAATGGCAGCTGCTGTGAGTGTCGCACTTGTGTTCTGTGTGTCGTTCGTGCTTGTCTTTTGACCAGCGTGCAAGACTTGAAAAATCGGCTGCAGAGATGGAGGGGGATCTGAGGTCAGCTCGAGGTGGGGAGCTCGGATCGATGTCAAAGCTCGAGACAACAGGTCATGCCAATGGGACAAGGGTTGATTTGGCTGGCGTTATAATGTCAACGGATGTATGTGGCAGGTCAGTTTGGAAATCGTTCGAGCTCTCCGCCCTCCCCGCACTCATGTTTGATCCACGGACACCTATCTACACATACGGAATTTACAATACTCCAAATATTCTCGGATCCAGTCATTGATTCAGCGGTCATAGACTAATAACTACCTAACTCAATAGCTCAAACCCAAGACACAGAGAACGTTTTCTTTTCAGGGTAGAAAAAATTGAAGACCAGGCAATAAGGGCCGTTCCTCGCGTTTATTCCATCCACAGTTGCAGGCGCAAAAAACCCGCGTGTAGCCTCCCATCCATCCAGCCATGCAGGAAAGAGAGAAAGACACACAGTCCCGCACACGCCTACAGACGGCGACCACGGCGACCACCCTTGCGACGAGTAGAGTCGGAGGGGGTGGGGGTGACGTCCTCGATGCGGCCGATGCGCATACCGGCACGGGCCAGAGCGCGGAGAGCAGACTGAGCACCGGGGCCGGGGGTCTTGGTGCCGTTACCTGTAGACAAGCATTGTGAGATTCCAATTCCACTTCCAGCTAGACCATGGGGGATAACATACCACCGGTGGCACGGATCTTGATGTGCAGAGCGTTGATGCCCAGCTCCTTGCAGCGGGCGGCGACGTCCTGGGCAGCAAGCATGGCGGCGTAGGGGGACGACTCGTCACGGTCAGCCTTGACCTTCATACCACCAGTCACACGGACGATGGTTTCGCGACCACTGTGGTAGAACAAAAAGTCAGCTACCTTAATTCGCAAGTCACTGTGAGACCATTGCATTGAGCGCGAGGTTTGTTTGTTGTGCCCGCTTCCCTTCCAATTCCAGTTCCAGATGTACCGGATCAGGTGTGGGTGGGATGTTTGCACTACCGTCGCAGCTCGCAGGGTGTAGATCGCACGGGGGTCATGTCATGACATGGACGTACCTCAGATCGGTGACGTGGACGAAGGTGTCGTTAAACGAGGCGAAGATGCGGGCAACGCCGAAAACGAGCTTGCCTGTTTGCGAGATGTCTCTGGTCAGCCTATCACGATCCCAGCAGTAGAACGACAGAAGTTGTCCAACGCACCATCACCGGCCAGGGGGCCGAGGGAGACGTTCTCCTTGGCGGGAGCGGCGGTCTTCTTGGGAGGCATTGCGACTGTGGGTGTTGGGGGGTTAGTGGATGGAATATGGAAGAAGAAGAAAAAAAAAGGACGAAGCGATTCGCAGGATTAAATGGAGTTTAGTGTGTGCCCTAGACTCGGGTGGGTCAAGCGAGAGTGTGGCCTGACCGTTGAGGTGTCAATCCGGATCGGGAGTCGGGCCGGGCAGGTCACTTCCACGCTATTTAAATTTCTTTCCGTTCCCTCGTTTTTCCTTCTTTCCCTCCTCAGCCTGGCAATTAATTGACCCAGAACTCCAGTGCCTGAACGGGTCATTTCAATTGACACATAGCAGACACTGCGAGTTTCTTCGTTCATCTTGCCTGTTCCACTTCAGTGTGTGAAACGATCGTCCCCTCGTGGGCGTGCGTGACTGCCCGACATGGGACTAACCAAGGACAATGCCTCGATTGGCATTATTGGCATGGGCGATATGGGCAAGATGTATGCCCAGCGCCTGAGTGATGCCGGATGGAGGTAAATCTTTTCTGTCGTTCTGGTCGACTGGCGACAGCCATCTTTCAAACGGTAAGCCCTGCTTTTTCTTTTCTTTACCCTCTCTCTCTCTATCGAATGATGACTAGAGTGCATTTGGCTCGAGCATGGTCCAATGGTCGACTACCTCGCCATTCTGGTCGGTAGTTGGCTGTCGGACTGTCACTGATGTAACAACCACGCTACCTTATATTTTTTGTCTGATCGATCTTCGATGCTGTTTTGGATTGTTTTTGCCACAACATCTGGGAATCCGTGCTGACCCGTGATTCCATAGGCCCATGAATCCTCCTTCGTATCTGTACTAACCATAATCAAGGATCATCGCCTGTGACAGACCTGAGAACTATGAATCCTTACAACAAGAGTTCGCTTCTCAAGTACGTCTCCCGGCCAGGGTCAAGGGCAAACCACAGATACTTATCGTACATAGCCAAGGGTCACCATCTTGCCGAATGGCCATCTCGTTTCCAGACTTAGCGATTTCATTCTTTACAGTGTAGAGGCCGGGATAATCGACAAGGTAGTGGCGCAGTTCGGGCCCTGTATGTTGTGCACACCGTGCTTCGAGGCTGTTGGATCGTTGACATGTTGGAAAAGCAACCAAGGCCGGCGCGATCGTCGGCGGCCAAACGTCCTGCAAGGCCCCCGAGCTCGCGGCGTTCGACAAACACCTGCCCCCGGATGTAGAGATTGTATCCTGCCATTCGCTCCATGGCCCCAAGGTCAATCCCGAGGGACAGCCACTGGTATGGGACCCTTCCTCCCTCCCCAGCCCGAGCGTGAATTTCCTTCCAGCCCGGACGTGCCTGAAATAACGGTTGCCATCATCAGGTCCTGATCCAACACCGCGCCTCGGACGAAAGCCTGCGATTCGTCGAAGAGATCCTATCGTCATTCGGGTCCAAAATTGTCTACCTCACCGGTGAGCTGCATGACCGCATCACCGCCGACACCCAAGCCGTCACACACGCCGCGTTCCTCAGCATGGGCACCGCGTGGCATGCCAACCAACAGTTTCCCTGGGAGATCTCACGCTGGGTCGGCGGGATCGAGAACGTCAAGATCAACATCACCCTCCGCATCTACTCGAATAAATGGCACGTCTATGCTGGCCTGGCCATCCTCAACCCGGCGGCCCAGCAGCAGATCCGCCAGTACGCACAGTCCGTCACCGAGCTGTATAAACTCATGATTGGGGGACAACGGGATGAGCTGAAGCGCCGCGTGAAAGCGGCCGGCGCCTCGGTCTTCAAGGCTGGCACGGAGGGACAAGACCTTTTGCTGAAGGATGAGGTGCTGGATCGGTTTTCTCTGTCTAATCGCTCGCGCGAGATGTCGCCTCCGAACAGCCACTTGAGCCTGCTGGCGATTGTGGACTGCTGGTCGAAATTGGGGATTGTCCCCTATGACCACATGATCTGTTCGACTCCGGTATGTATGAGGGCAGAAACATCAAGGAGTGTGCTGACGGTGTACAGCTGTTTCGTCTTTGGCTGGGCGTCACGGAATACTTATTCCGCAATCCGGAGCTTCTTGATGAAGCACTCGACACGGCGATTGACGACAACACCTTCCGGTCAGACGATTTGGAGTTTACCTTTGCGGCACGGGTGAGTTCAGAAGAAGATAAATGCGAGTCGCGTGCTGACTGTGTGGCGTATTCAGGCCTGGTCCGATTGCGTATCCTTTGGAGACTTTGAATCCTATCGGGACCGCTTCGAGCGGATCCAGCAGTACTTCTCGCCTCAGTTTCCAGAGGCGGCGAAACTGGGCAATGAGATGATGAAGACGATTCTGGAGAAGACGGAAAACAGGCATAACAATGGTGTATGATAGAGATAGAACCAGTGTATGATTTAGGGTTAATCGATTTAATTTGGGAACCACAACAAACAATCAATGGTTATACATCCTAGCGCGGCTCCCTTAGTCAGATCACGATTAGATCGACTGGAGTTGACGATGGCCCGCAACCCGTGACTTCCCCCCTCTGTAACTGCCATTCCTCCATTCCTTCCCTTTCCACCGCTCTCAATGCCCTATTCTCGTGACTGGTGCTAGACAACCCTCCCGCGGGCTGGATGGAGCTCGATGGCTTCCGGGCACAACTCAGCATTCTCCACCACCTCGACCCAGCACCGTGTTTTGGGCGAGGGCCGCTCATCTCTCAGCCAGGATGGCTCCTCCGCCGACGGAAGCTGGCACGATGCCAGCTCACGAACGGGGCGGAATGGTCGGTCTGAGTCTGGGGGCAGTGCCACCATGGCTCCCAGGGCGTCATTGGCTCCGTCCTTTGGCGGGCCCGGCAGCTTCAGTGCTGAGCTCAAGAGCATGAATTCCAGGAGCGTCACCCCGCGACCAGATGGCACGTACGCCGCCCGCCGAGCCAGCCGATCGATCGGCGAGGACGACTTACCCACCACCGAGGAGCGCCAGGCCGTCATTCGAGACAAGATCGCCAAGGAAATGAAGATCAAGACCGGGACCGAGAATATGTTGGAGGCCCTGTTGGCAAAACCCCCGAAACAGACCAAGGAACAGAGATTACGCGTCGAGTCCGAGCTCAGCTCGTCCAACCGAAAACTGGCGGAGCTGCACCAGGAACTGGAGGATGAACTCTTACGTGCGCAGGCGCCGTCGTCCCCCCCTCCTCGCAGTCGCCTCTCGGGTATCTTCCGCGGCAGTCCCATGCGCTCGCCGTCGCGCAATGACACTCGTGGTGGGTTGCTGGATGAGGATATTGAGGAGGATGGCGAAGGAGATATGGAGTCGCCAACCTTTGTCTTGACGGAAACGTTACAAGCACTAGAAATCGAAGGGATGTCGCCTGATTTCTACGTGGAACGTGCAAACAGCTTGGTTGAACTGTTCAAGCGGTACCCCTCGTTGAAATATGATCTAGCATGGCCGGTGTTCGGTCTCCGCGTCCAAGTCATGCTCCTGAGTGACAACAAGGAAGTGGTAGCCGCGGGATATCGGTTGACTCGCTATGCCATAGCGGACCGGAAATCTTTGCAGACGATCCGGACGCTTCACACCGATGAGCTGATCATATTGTCTCTGGTCAAAGAAAGTAAAGCAAGTATCGAAAGGGAACAGGCTTTAAAGTTTGTACGGGCGTTTTTGGATGTCAAAGACGGTGTGAAAGAGATTGATCGCGCCATCGTACGAACGATCGTCTCCATCGCGGAGCACCACGAGGACCGACTTCGGAACATATCAATCATGACTTTGGCGGAGATGTTGGTCAAAGACCCCGAGTTGGTCGCTTCTGCTGGCGGATTCTCCGCGCTGCATGATGCTTTGGCCGAGGGGACTTTTGGTGCGTCGGAGAGTTTGATCTCGAGCTTTTTGCATGTTCTTGATACCCCTCGGAGTCGAAAGTACTTGCAAGGGTGTGAGCTTGAAGCCGTCCTCGCACCCTTCACGGACTCCTTGTCCGATTCAATGCGCAATGGGCGGCTAAAGTCCGCCGCTAGAGCGATATCTGCAATGCTGAAGACTTGGCCGGGTCTGGTGATTCTTGCAAGGCACCAATCTCAGCCACTACGCTCCCTTCTCGAATCACTCCACTATCCCGATCCTCAGGCTCGCGACCTCATCATGGAGCTGTTGTTTGACGCTCTTCGGATCAAGCCTCCTTCTTGGTCGTCTTCTTTTCTGGCTGGCAGAAGACTCACAACATATGGCAGAGTCTCAAATCTCCGCTCAGACCCAGACCCCAAATTCTCTCGCGGTTTCTCAGACACCAGGAGCGACAAATTCGATCTCACGGCACATTTTTCGACTCTAATATTGGCAGCATTGGTTGAGGCAGGGTTACCAAAGGTATTTCTCGGCCCTCGTTCAGACAATCCAGAATGCTGACTCGATTCCAGGCGCTTTCTGATCTTATTGAAGACGAAGCTGATCCCTCACTTCGACGCAAGGCAACATTGCTCTTGACCGAGGTACTCAAACTCGCCCATCATTCTTTGCCTCAGACGATCAGCGCCAATTTGCAAGTCCTTGCACACTTGATTCCATCAGCAATCAATTTTGACATGGAAAACCATGACGTCTCCACCTCAACCATCTTCCAAATTGACAGCATTAACCGGACGATGGCGCGCTCTGGTGGTTTCAACGGCGGGGCAAATCGGTACAACATGGACGCTGATCTATCGGCGTCTCTGCTACCCGGTGACCAGGGCAAGGACAAATTGGGCCCTGCTATGGACGAACAACAATTCCGCAATGCCATCCTGGAGACCCATGTGCTTAACACGGTCAACTACCTCAAGTGGAAATGGGATCTCATCCATCGGTTGGTTGAGGGGCCTCTTACCAACCCGAAGAGACTGGACGAGGCCATTAAGGGGTCCAAGTTTATGAAGCGTCTCATTGGATTCTACCGGCCTTTCAAGTACCGTTTCTCCATGATTCCCAACTCCAAACCAAACCAGCGTTACGTCCGGACTGGCTGCGCCCTCATGCGCATACTGGTCCAAGTTCCTGAGGGTGTCAAATATCTGGCCGAGAATAAGTTTCTGAGACAGGTCGCTGAATGTCTGGCCCAAGTGGACCGGATGAGTGGTCTCACTTCCGCGTCACCCCTCTTCTCACGAGAGCAAATGACCAATACCTTGAGTGGTGGCTACTTTGCGATGCTGGGCGCTCTAAGCGCTGAACCCAATGGACTGATCATGATGGAGAGATGGCATATGCTGAACATGTTTTACCACATCATCGAGCTCCGAGACCGGAACGACTTGATCCAAACGCTTTTGGGGAATATGGATTACGGCCAGGAAAGCCATCTTCGAGTCATGCTGTCTAAGGCTCTTACCATTGGCTCTAAGGAGATTCGAATCTTTGCAACTAAGCTCCTCCGAAAATACGCCGTGGGGGATGCCAGTCTTCCCGCTAATGCAGCCATCGGCAATGCGGAATGGGTCATCAAACTGCTGGTGACTCAACTATATGACCCAGATGTCACGGTCTGCCAGACTGCCGTCAAGGTTCTCGAAGAGGCATGCAACCAGCGCGATTACCTCGAGTTTGTGGTCAAGTGCCGGCCTTCACTTGATCACCTCGGAGAGATTGGCGCGCCGCTTCTTTTGCGGTTCCTGTCCACTTCAGTCGGATACCATTACCTGGATGGCCTGGACTACATCACTCAAGAAATGGACGACTGGTTCCTTGGGCGAAACGATTCCTACGTTGGTCTGGTGGAGGCTGCTCTCTCCCGGGCTTATGTCGACCAGCCACGACGCAGCAGCTATGCGCCCGAGGATCTGGTCGATCTCCGAGACATTGGCCTGGTTCCACCGCATTTCTACCGAGAACTCGCTCGGACAGCCGAAGGGTGTAAATTGTTAGAACAGTCGGGCCATTTCAATGAGTTTGCTTGGACGATCCGCGATTTCCAGCTGGACGAGGAAGACACCGAGGCGCTGCTCAAAGTCAAGGGTTGTCTGTGGGCCGTTGGCAATGTTGGATCCATGGAATTCGGCGCCCCGTTCCTCGAGTCGGAAATCGTGCAGCGGATTGTGCAGATCGCAACGAGTGCCGGTGTCGTGACCATGCGAGGTACTGCGTTTTTCGTATTGGGACTCATCTCTCGCAGTCGCCATGGGCTGCAAGTGCTGCGAAATCTGGGATGGGACTCAGCCGTGGACCAGAAGGGAGACTCACTGGGTCTCTGTCTTCCCACCGATTTCCGCAAACTGTTTTTGATCTCCTTCCCCGGTTTCGATGCAGAAGCAAGTCGCATTCCGCGCGAGCAACTCAAAGAAGCCACCACGGACCCAGACTCAGTCAACCAGAAGATCCTAAAGCTGATCGTCGACATGGGCAACACTGTCCTGTCGAAACGCTCGGCCGCAGATCTCCACAGCATCAAATCCAAACAGCCCGAACGATTCCACCAAGTCCATCTCTTCCGCAAAACCCTCTGCATTCTCGAGAGTCACCATTTCCGACTCCCCGCCCGCCGCTTTGCCCTGGATCTATTCGACAAAAGCGTGATGCGGCGGATTGTTTTTGAAGAAGACTCGTCGTCGGACTCTGAGTCCTCAAACTCCGACTCGTCGACTTAAGTCTTTCCTACTCTTACTCTTTTTCTTTCGTATGGGCATCTCTTCCTGACTCCGGCTTAACCTATCGTCGATACTATACCCCCCCGGACACAAGACGGTGCGTCACGTTGTGAATTTCTGTTGTTCTGTGCCACGATTTATGTCCATGCTCCCCTCTACTATCCATCTGTCTACGACCTCTTTTGCAATGCGGCCTGGCGAGCAAACATGGTGCGGGGTCGGTTTATTCTTTTTTAGTTTGGTTATCTTTTTTGGGGGTTCCTGCATCTGTTTTTTTGGCATGGCGGTGGGCGGATTTACCTTGGAATGAGACATGAATTATATCTCTGCAGTTTTGGAATGATTCCGTGGAATTAGGCCATTTGTAATGTCATGTCCGATGTCATGGATCCTCAACTGCCGATTCGCCGATCTGCTGGACTCGGCCCGCCTCTGCTGATCACGAGTCCCTCCCAACCCAAACATCGTTCTTCTTCAGTACATAACCCGAATGCACTCCTATCCGCCAGACTATTTATATACATATATTTCACTTCTATAACCAGAGACTCCCAGTCTCATGACATGCGATGGAGAATGCAGCCACCACACCCCCATCTCCGCAATCCCCGCATGCCTCCGCTGACCCAGGCGCAATAATGACGGACGTGCCGACGTCACCAGAAAAACAACCGGATGCGCCGCATGTCGTCGTCCAATTTATCCAATGCCGCCGCTGCTCATGTCCCCTGAAGAATCCACTCCGTCTACCGTGCGGCAACACGGTGTGCCGCGCGTGTCTGCCCCCGACACGCCCGCGGACGGGGATCACATACCCCATCGCGGCGGGTAGGGAGGAAGGATTTCTTTGTCATTGGGATGGAAGGGATGGATGTGCTGGGGAGCACTGTGTTGGTGATTGCGGCGCGGATGTGTTGCTGGGCAAGCTCGTTGCACTGTATGAAGAGAGTCTGTCGGGTGCGGGCACCCGGCTGGATAATGAAAACGAACAGTGCAGCCTGGTAGTCAGATGGAAGACCGAGGCTCAGGAGCAGCATTCGGCGCAGATTGATCGCGCTGGGTGGTTGGAGGGTATATATGGATTGGCGTCCCAGGGCCGGCTTCCCTGGGGTGCGCGCGACGTGGTCTATGAAGGCGATCTCACAGACGAGCGCGATCACCTCATCCGCCAATCACTGAAAGAAAATCTGCGCGCTGAGCTCGACTGTCAAGTCTGCTACGCGCTCATCCTCGACCCCATCACAACTCCATGCGGACACACTTTCTGCCGCAAATGTGTCGCCCGAGTCCTCGACCACACAGATCTATGTCCAATCTGCCGCCGCAAGCTGGGCCTACCACCAACCGTGCTGTCAGAACCACTGAACAAAACCATAGCAGGGATAATCGACCATTTCTTCCCCGACCAAGTCTCGGCACGGCGCGAAGCACTCGCGCAGGATGAGACGGGGTTAGACATCGAGAAGAACCTGGCGCTATTCGTGTGCACGTTATCGTTCCCGACGATGCCGACGTTCCTGCATATCTTCGAACCGCGATATCGACTCATGATCCGACGTGTCGTCGAGAGCGGCGACGGTAAGTTCGGGATGGTCATGTATAACCGACAGGCGCGGGCACAGCCAGGCGCGGAGGAGTTTATGTGCTACGGCACGCTTTTGTCGATTGAGCGGTATGAACTGCTTCCTGACGGACGCAGCCTGGTGATTGCCAACGGTGTGTCGCGGTTTAAGGTGTTGGAGGCCGGGATGCTGGACGGGTATCATGTTGGACGAGTCGAGCGTGTTGACGACGTCTCGCTAGCAGAAGAGGAACGGCTTGAGTTGGCGGAGACTTCCATGCCGGTCAACCCAGTGCCAGAGTCAGAGCCAGAGGGTCAAGCGGCCGATCTCCTCCCGCCGGTGGACTCGATGTCGACCCAGCAGCTGCTGGATGCGGCGCGCGAGTTCATCACCCGCCAGCGCCGAGGTGCCGCTCCGTGGCTCCATCCACGCATCATGTTGGCCTACGGACCTGTGCCGGACGACGCAGCGCGGTTTCCTTGGTGGTTGGCTTGCGTGCTGCCCCTCTCAGAGGAAGAGAAGTACCCGATTCTGGCGGCGACGAGCGTCCGTGAGAGACTCAAGATCGCAGCGCGCTGGGGGCGGGAGATTGAGGCTCGAGATTTGTATGTTCCCGAGTTTTGGTTCTCGATCCACAAAACACCACTAACATGGATGATGGCAACAGGTCCACCCGCTCATCGCTGCTCTCTGTCTTATGACTAGCCGCCCCTCTCCTCATAATCTGTATCATCCCATTGTTCTCAACACCATTCTCCACGGCATTTTATTCCTCGTCTAACAGCGTCCTCACGTCGCTAACGCCCTTCTCCTTCTCGATATCCGTCTCCTTTGGTGGTGCGGGACCCGCGGTGTTCGCGAATAGCCATAGTCATCCCCAGTCCGCGCAGGAGTCGGAGACGTATGTCTCGCAGACGCTGGTGATTGGCGCATTTCTGTTGATCTTCCTGGCGCAGGTGGGCGTCAATTTCTTGCATGTTCTGCGGGATGCTCGTCGGCGGAGGGCGATTGAGGCGGAAATGCGGCGGCGTTTGAGGGCTAATCGTGAAAACCAACGTGTCAATGGGAATGATAATGAGAATCACGTTGGGGAGAGGGAAGCACACAGGCAAAATGCCGGAGAAGAAGATGGCGGGGAGGTAGGTGGATGAATCAATGGATTGTTTTGTATATAAATCCTCAACATGCTCAGCAACTCACCTCCAGTACATACACATCATATCAACAAGCACCAACCACATATGCAATGTATCTATTTCATCCTAAAAACCCAACTTGTATGTATATCTCACTCGGGAATAAGCTCATTTTCATAGAGCGGTCTTGGAATCTGTGCAGCATTGTAGATCACATGACCTTCTTAAAATCAGTAGATGGTTGCTTTTCGTAGCCAGCGTAGTAGTTGATGAACCTTCTCTTAACATGGGGCATAGATATCAACGGTGAAATTTTGGCTGGAGGTGAAGTTATACACCTCGAGAACGCTTATCATCACGTGCGTCCACATCAATAACGCGTAGAGTCAACTTCCTCAACACAACCACCAGCGCTGGAACTTCCTCCAGTGCTGAAAATTCCCTCAAAAGGCATGACAACTCTCTCCCTATCGCTGGCCCCGCCAGCCTTGATCAGGCTCCACGACGCCTTGACATGTCTCTCCAAGTTCAGTGAGACGGTCGCCATCGAGGCAGAGCACGACCTGGTAGGATTATGCTACAAATAGTGCCGCAAAAAGATAAGCATTGACCATGTGGCTTAGCTCCGCTTGAGCGCAATTAACTCCACCAAGACGGCGTACGCGGCGTTTGCGTTCGCCAGGGAGCTGTTCTTCGAGGCGTATGCCTTCAGCACCGATGGCAACAGTCGGGCTGCGCGTCATCACCAGAGCACGACAAGTAGTGCGCCTTCGGATCGGTTCTGCTGCCAGATCTATATCAAGGTCCGTGGACTGGGCCTTCTTTGCAATGCAATCAATGGCTGTTCGTTGCTAACGGTGAGCCAATACAGGCTCTGTTATCCATCTTCCGTGGTCGCATCGACCGGAACAAAGACACCGCCGTGGAGCGCTGCGACATGGAGATCCGCGAAGGTCCGCAGCAGGCTGAGTGTCGGCTAACTGTTAGGATGATCTGCGGCCTGGGTAAGTTTCTCATACTGAATGGCATGAGCAAACATCTGACTCATTGTAGGCGTGATCAAATCGTACAAGCTCACCTACGAGCCTGCAACCGTTCAGCATGCCGTCTTCGATCGCACAAAGGCTCTCAACCAGTGGACTGCGGACCCGCGGTTTTTGAGGTCGATAATCGACCACTTCAGCTTTTCAGCCGAGCAGCTGGATATGTACTCCGACTCGGGCAAGGCGGTGTTTACCAGTTTTACGACCAAGATTACCGAGGGAAAAGGTATGTTGCATGCATCATATTCGGCAGAGCGGAAACCAATTTCGAATAGAAGTCCTCAAACATCCCGTCCACACCTCCGTGGCCATCGACAAGAGGGACTTTGCCGACTTCCTCGTCGAGAACAAACTGCACGTAGCAATCAACCTAAAAGATTTCAAGGCCGTGGTCACCCACGCCGAGACGATGAATGCCACCGTCACAGCACGATACACACGCCCCTGCAAGCCGCTCCAGCTGGCATATGAGTTCGAGGGTGTCGACGCACAATTCACGCTAATGACGCGTGGCGAAGCCGTCGAAGGAGGCGACGACGATATGCCGGCCTCCTCGCGCGCCTCGATGCCACGGCAGCTGTCTGCACGGCCGACGCCCGGACCAGCTCTGACTCCAGCAGAGAGAGCCAGGCGAAATCCGAATCCCGCTCCGGAAATGCCGCCTCCGCCAGCAGCGCGCAGTCGGTCGATCCGCCCGCTGACGGGCTTGTCTACTCAGGAGAATTTCGCGCAGAGAGCTAGTGTGGAGCAGCGACCGTCAGCATCGTCCACGTCAATGGACTTTGATAGCTTGTTTGTACCGGCGGATGATGATCGGCAGTGGGATGAGATGAATGAGGAAGAAGAGCCGCAGGATATTCTGGGGTGGGATGCCACGGGCCAGGTTTGTGGTTTTGCGCGCTGTTTTCCTTTTGTGTCCTTGCTGATCATCGCATGCAGGAGACCTTCCAAGCTACGTTGCGCGATGAGGAGCCTGATTTTTCCAGACTGACGGCGTCATCGCGCAAAGAGGCTTCGAAAGAAGAGATGGGCATTCCGCCGACACAGCGCATATCCCAGGTATGTCTATTGGTAAATCCGGTCGTGAACAGCTCGCTAACGAGGCACAGATTCGTGGCCTGGGTCTTTTCGACTGAGTTATTTGTTTATCTTGCTCTCTAGAGACATCTGCTCAAGATACTATCAACCAACTAGTTGCACATCCAACCCCAACACCAACAACCCTGCCACCTGCAGTCCTCGCATCTGCCGGCAGCGACATAACATTATACGTCCCCGCCACGTTGCCCCGAGCATCTGTCTCGGACCCGCAGTTCCCATGCTCGCCCCAGCCGAACGCTGCGACGGTTCCATCCTCCAAGAGCGCAAGGACATGCTCGCTGCCGACAGCGAGCATGGCCGGCGGGGGGAGATTTGGCGGTGGGTGTTGACCGCGATCATTTCGTCCCCATGCAATGAGATGACCTGGCCGTGGTGGGATTGTGGTGATATCCCCTTCAGACGTTGATATGCCCGTTGGGTTAGGTGGAGCATGTACATAAACCCCATTCCAACTCGCAAAAATATCGGTAAACCCATTTACAGCAGTGACCTCCACAACCCCCTCATCCTTCCCGTCTCCATGTGGAGATGACGATGAAGCTGACAGTTCAGAAGAGGAAGAAAGAGAATCTCCCAACACCCCCCACCGCATCCCTCTGTCACCCAGCAGTACAAACCGTCGACAGTCATCCCCCCAGACAACCGTAAACTCCCTCCCACAGACCGCACCCCTCGCAAAGAAGGGAATCCCATCAACGCGCGTAGGCTCCCAAATAATCTTGGCGGCTTTATTCCCAGGACCCAGTTGGCCCTTTCGAGAACTGCCCCAGCCGTAGACTTGGCCGTTTGAGAGGATTGCGATGGTGTGGGCCATTCCGGTTGCTAGTGCGGTGATTTTTGGGGTTGATTCTTGTCCAGATGGATAGGGAGAGGGTGGGAAGTTGGTGATGTATGATGGCGCTGATGCCCGGGAATGCAGTGTCTGTGCCCCAGTACCAAGTTCACCTTTCGTACCTGTTCCCAGCACGTAGATGCGGTCTTCCTCTTCTTCGGGAGAGACCGATTGATCGTCTGCCCGGCGATTGATCTGTTCTGATGAAAATAAAGAATTCTTCTTTGATATTTTCGGCACCGAAGCTACAAGCAACGACCCCTCCCACGTCGCAGCAATATGCTTGAAATGCTCGACAGTCAATCCGGAGACGGGGTCGTGGACACGCACCCTTCGGAAGCGGAGGAGTGGTCCTTCTTCTTCATGGTCGTCTCGTTCTTGTCCCTGCTCTTGCCTCGTAGCCGTATTCGGAATCTTCTTTTCGTTTGCTGTTGGTGGGCCATTCTCCTCTCCATCGCGATGCCAATCTTGACCTTGCGCATGGGTACAAGTGATGTTTTCTCCACACCGTCCATCCCCATTCCACCCAGCTGCCCAAACACCCCCCTTGGCCGTGAGAAGCAGGGTATGGTTCCCGCCTGCGACAACACGTATAATATTATCATTTTCGTCAAGAGGGTCATGATATTGTTCTGATGTCTCGAAGACACACTCCGTGGGCGAGGAGACATCCTCCGTGTGGCCGATGCCGAGTTGGCCGGATCCGTTGGATCCGAGGGCAAATAGATGCATTTCTTTTCCTTTTCTTCTTCTTCTCCTCTTTCCTTCTGGGGGTCACTTTATTTGGCTTGGACCATTTTGTATAATTGGTGGATGAGCGTTGGCATAGTTAGAACAACTTCGTCGAGGCGAGTCATTGTGGTTAGTCAGCACCTTTACTGAGAGCTTCACGATTGTATCTGCAAGAGCACGTAGACAGTACACTCACGGCTAGAATTGACATCTATACAGGTAGGTACAACAGAACATTAATCAGATCAACCAGCAAATTGCTGGATGGGTATAATATGAACATCTCTAATTACAGACAGGCCACAGGCCAGCATCATTCAAGCATTTCAACAATGTGCAAAGCCAGGCGCCGAATAAGGCACGAAGCAAACGGGGGATATCGAGAGACGGAGGTAGTTTTTTCTGAAAAAAGACATTGACAAGAAAGGAAAGAAAGTGAAATATGCACAAGGTGACAAGCTTAATGCTTCTCGTTGCCGACGGTATCCTCGGAGGTCTTCTCAGCCGGCGGGGGCAGAGTAAAGTTATCCTGCTTACTCGGCACGGACTGCTCCATGCCCTTGAACATGGGGCTAGTGCGGTGGAAGTAAGTGTGGACATGACCCTCGAGGAGCGACTCATCAGTGTCAAAGACAGCTTCGCTCTTCTCCTCAGACACCTTCTCAGCCATGAGAGCTTCCCACTCAGCGCGGAACTCCTCGACCTTCTGCTGGTAGTCCAGCTCGGCGTTGTAGTACTTGCCCCTGCCGGTCATGCGCTCCCACAGGGACAGGTGCTTGGAGTGGACGGCAGGGCCGTGGTAGTCCTCCTCACGACCAGCGCGGAGGTACTGGAAGCGGCGCTCCTGCTCCTTCAGGTCCAGACCAGTGGTGTCAGGGAGGAAGAAGAAGGTGAAGACCATACCGGCCAGACCGAACCAGGGGACCACGTAGAACTTCTGTTGCGTGGTGATGTAGTTGCCCAGCACGGCGGTGAGCAGCGCGCCGAGCTTACCGCACGCGGCGGAGAGGCCGTGGGCGGTGGCGCGGATCGGGGTCGGGTAGACCTCCGCGGCGACGAGGAAGGTGATGCAGTTGGGGCCGAACTGGTTGAAGAAGGAGCTGAGGAAGTACATGGCCTGGAAAGACTTGATGTGCTCGGGCTGGGTGTAGTACTCGTAGTGGAAGGCGGGAACGACAAACATAATGAAGCAGAGCAGGAAACCGATCTGCTGCATCCATTTGCGGCCGTATAGCTTGTTGTCGACAAAGAACGAGGCCATGTAGTAACCAGCCAGCGAGACACCGCAGTTGGCCAAGTTCCACAGCCAGGTGGGCATGACGGAGTCGGTCTTGCCGATGATCACGTCGATGAAATCGGACTGGAACAGCTTGTTGCCATAAAAGAAAACATCATTGGCGAACCAGCCAACAGTGGTAGCCAAGAGACGAGGACCGAAGTACTTGAAGGTCAAGCGGAGGGACTCGACATCGTAGCCGGTGACCGAGGCCTTCTTCTTGGCGGCCGTCAGCTGCTTGCTGGCCGCCTTCATGTGGTAGGCACGGTAGTAGGTGAGCCACAGGGTGCCGACGGCGGGGATACCGAACGACACGCGGTAGGTCCACTGGGTGGCCACCGTGGAGTAGGGCGCGTTGCCGCTACCGTGGTGGAAGCAGAGCAGCAGGATGATCAAGAGAGCCTGGTTAAGAACCTGGCCCCAGCCCTGCATCAAGAAGGCGCTGACGACCTTGCGGCCGCGGTGCATACGATCGTCCTTGGTCGAAACCTTGCCGGAGCCGACGGCGTTCTCCATACCACTGGTCGCGGTCATGGGGTACTCGCCACCTGCAATTGAGTTAGAAAAGACCTCGACTGATGATCCAGTGTCACCACTTACCAACACCAATGCCGTAGATGAACAGCGACCACGCGTAACAGATCACCCAACCGTTCTGCGTGACACCCCAGGCGGCAGTCAACATGACCAAAGAGAGCGTCATGATGGTTGCGTCCTGAATCAGACCCCAACGACGACCGATCCTGGAGAGACGGTTAGATTCATTCCCGTCAATTGGGAGAGAGGGACCTACCAGTCACCCAGCACACCGACGAGGACCTGGCCCAGAATGATCCCAATGACCTCGAGGTAGGACACGGCGTTGATCCACTGCTTGTTGCAAATGGTCGCATGGTCCCAGCAGTCGGGGAAGGCAGCCTGGAACAAAGGCTGGACGTTGCCGATGGAGAAGAGCACGTAACCCTCCAGACCCAGACCGGCACCGGGGAGCACGTAGTTGCGGAAGTAGTAGCTGACGGGCGACAGGGGGTCCACCTTGATCATGGCCCAGATGTCGCTGAGTTCCCGCTTGGCCTCGTTGTTGTTCTGGGAGTTGACGAACCCGATCTTCTTCATGAGCGGCAGATCGGCCCAGTAGACGCCTTCCTTGGTGTAGCTGTCGGCCGGGCGGATCAGCTGGTCGAAGGCATCCTTCTCGTGCATGTCCATGTCCTCGAGCGGGTTATGGGTCCCCGACATGTCAGGCCCATGAGGGGCACGAGGTCCAAAGTCAGTCATGGTGAAGGAATTGATTGACTCGGGAGAGAATCGGGAGTCCAATCGAGCAATTCGACCGGGAAGGAATGGGGTGAGAGGACCACAAAAGGCGAGGCTGCACAAGCCTACTAATTGCGGGCGAACGACAGTTTAAATAAGTTGATCGGAGAGATGTGCAGGCGAAGGACGGCCGAAAGGCAGACCATAGCCATGCCCTTCTGATTTTTTAGATCGATTCGCCGCAATCATCCACGCTCGGGAGCCAATCATCGAGCCGGTCGCAGCAGTGTGTTCGGAGGGTGGACTGTCACTGGTTGCCACAGGCTCCACGGTCCTTCAGTGCGCTCGGGTCACCGCCTGCCTCTTCGCGCCCCTCTCCGGTCCGCCTTCTTTTCCCGAGACACTCGCTGTCCAGCCTGTCCACCACGTGCAGATCTAGCCTAACGCCTCCCCGGTGATTGGTAACTCTCGAGATTGACGTCGGATGGGTCAGCCCACCCCACCGATTATCTCACCACCATTCACAATCCCCGCTCACCGCACGAGATCGACTTGCCCCTAATCGCAGCTACAGTTTGGGGCGCGGCCAGCCGACGTCCCCTGCGCCCATGGTTAGTGCCGTTCGGGCCGGGCTGTCGAGCAATTGCATGCGACCAAGCAGCCACCGGTTCGACAAGCCTTCTAGCCAAGGCCTTCGTCTAGATGGTCGGAGAGAGACTGCGCGCAAATGAACCTTCTCAATCCATTGACCGGGCACCCGTTGTTCGGTTCTTGACCTTCGCATCTACTCGATGGGATGGAAACTCATCAAAACACAGCACGCGGCGGGTCTGTTCAATCTCACGGCCCCTGCAGGGCGCGTATGCATGACAACCAGTGCCGCTATAAACTTTTGCTCGGGGCTCCAGCTGATACGCAGTATGGCAGTACTTGCTGGGGCTGCCACCGGCCAATGACCATGACTTGATGACCTTCCGATATCCTCATTCCAATGCAGGGTCAGAGGGATCGGCCCCTCCGGTTGACAAACAACTCCATCCGGGTGCATCCCTCGGGCGGCTTGCTAGAAGGACGGGCGTCTTCTGGAAGCCCGCGCACGTGGTAGTGGTTTGTTTCAGTGCAATCCTGTGGGTTCCATCCGGACCCATCCATGAGCCTGCTCGTATCACTCTGCCGACGGTAGGTCCCGGGCACACCGTCTAGCCTCCGTCCTTTCTTTCAGAGACACCGGGCACGACGAGACTCCACTCTCCTGGCTGGTGAGATGAGGAATTCGCGGCGACTGGTCTCATAGTTCGGGCAACGGAACGGCACTAGTCTCGGTATCCGCGTTGGGGTCCGGTGTTGTTGGCTCTGGCAGCCTTGCCATTGGGTATTTGCTGACAATGGCCTGAGAACGTGCTACTTGCGAGTGGCCTGGCATTATCCGAGATGCTATCTATAGCATCTTTTTTGAGTCCACCCGGGCACTCACTGGGCCCCTGTCAGCCCTAACTGGAGCGACTCGGGACGGGCCATCCAATGAGGAGCTTGAGTGGCAAGACTATTGCACGAATCTGATTGTCGTGAAGCAGCAGATCATGAACAGGGGTGGGAAGTCGGTAGCGAGCTGGCTCCTAATCCTTTTCAGCGCTAGTGCTTCTTTGTTATTCAGTTCAAGATATTGACTATAGGCCATGTAGATTATGGAAGTAGTCCAAGTTAGTTCCTTCTTCTAGCTACACTTTAACCAACTCCCTCCTTTCAGCACTTAATATCAACCTGCAGATTCCCTCTCTTGCTTTTAAGGCTAGAAGAAAGCGTTGTGTGGCCAGTCAGTGTCCGCATCCCGAACCACAAAGGAGAGAGGGGTTTAGGCGGTTGAAGGGATAGATCTCACTCGTACTACAATTAGACATGCTAAATTGACAACAATATCATGACTTCGAACTACTGAACGCCGTTTTGGATTCTAATCCTCCATGCCAGTCTACACGTGATCAGCCAGATAAAAATGTGGGGGATAACTACACCACTCCACTCACTTTCTACCCCAAGTATCAATCGGTCAACCAAAATGTCCAAAAAAGAAGACTCGGACTCGGACGAATACTTCAACCTAGGGACTCACCACCGCAGTATAAGAAGCAATCACTCCGAGACCCAAAAATGGTTCAACCGTGGCCTAATCTGGGCATACGCATTCAACCACGAAGAATCAGCAACATGCTTCTCGCGCGCCATCGCGCTGGACCCAGACTGCGCAATGGCCTACTGGGGCCTTGCGTATGCCATCGGTCCGAACTATAATAAACCGTGGGAGTTTTTTGATGAGAATGAGCTGAGTAATGTCGTTAGAAGGGGATATGTTGCTGCTAGAAATGCTGCGGCTGTTCTTGAGAATGATAATACTGGTTCCGCGGTTGAGAAGGCGCTTGTCAGCGCTATTCAGTCTCGATATCCGGATGAAGTCCCTTCGAAGCCGTGTTCCGCATGGAATATGGATTTCGCATCGGCTATGAAATCCGTCTACGAATCTTTTCCACACGACCTGGATGTGATAACCATCTACGCTGACGCGCTTATGAACACGCATCCATGGACGCTATGGGATCTCCACACTGGCACTCCCACAGACGGTGCACCAACACTCCAAGTCAAGAAGCTTCTCGATCGCGCATTGGCACTAGAAGGCGCACTCCGCCACCCAGGTCTGCTACACTTATACATCCATCTAATGGAGATGTCACCATCCCCCGAATCGGCGCTCCCCATAGCCGACCATCTCCGCGGCCTCGTCCCTGATGGAGGACACTTGCATCACATGCCCACTCACCTCGACATGCTCTGTGGACAATACCAGCGGGCTATCGACTCGAACTCGGCGGCTATCGCTGCCGACGAGAGGTATGTCACTCAGATCGGGGCGAAGAATTTTTTATACCCTCTATCGAGCACATAATTATCATTTCCGCGTTTATGCGGCTATGTTCTCGGCGCAGTACCGAGTCGCGTTGGATACGGTCTCGCAGCTTGAGGCAGCTATTCCGGATGATTTGCTCAAGGTTAAGTCTCCGCCTATGGCGGACTGGCTAGAGGCGTTTCTATCGCTGCGGGCTCATGTCTTGATTCGGTTTGGACGGTGGGATGATATTATCATGAACCTGCACCTCCCAGATAACAATCCGTCCCTCTACTGCACAACTACAGCAATAGCCCACTACGCAAAGGGAATAGCCTTCGCGGCGACAGGCAACATCGAAGCAGCGGACCACCAGCGCCATCTCTTCCAGACAGCCGTGCTCCAAGTTCCCGACTCGCGAACGCTGTTCAACAATAAATGCATCGATATCCTAGCTATCGCTCAAGAAATGCTAGACGGAGAAATCCACTATCGACGCGGTGCCATCGAGGCCGCATTTACGCACCTCCGACGCGCAATCCATCTCGAAGATAACCTCCCCTACGACGAGCCGTGGGGCTGGATGCAGCCTACTCGGCATGCCTATGGCGCGCTGTTACTAGAGCAGGGGCGCATCCAGGACGCGCTGGATGTATACCTCGCCGATCTGGGGGATACGGATGTTTTGCCGAGAGCAATGCGCCATCCTGATAATGTGTGGTCTCTCCATGGGGCGCGTGAGTGTTTGCGCAAATTGGGGCGCGAGGAGGAGGCGGAAAAGATGGAGGGGAGGTTGGCTGTTGCGGGCGAGAAGGCGGATGTGCCTGTTGAGGCGTCTTGTTTTTGTCGCCTTGGAAGTGGGAGGAGGGCAGGTTTAAGGTGTGAGGGTTTGGGTGAAGGTGAGGGGTGTCATTGACGTGATCATGTAGGCGTCGTATATATATATGCTCTGTATATGGGTGGTAGATAGGGAGACAGCCATGCTGCATGTAAAACCAGAATCAATTCAGTGGATGAGTCCAGAGTTACAGGTAGATAGGGACTTGTTGTGAAGATACTATGAGGATGGTAGAGAAGAGACCCTACCCTAGCGGACGATCTACGGTAGTTAGGGCACCACCAACATTGTTCACGTCACCCCCTACTCCAACTATACATATTTTATGTATTTCAGTCCAATCCAGAACGGAGATTAATGTTTGAATTGATCAGCCGATTATGTATCTAGGCTAGAGTAAGGTAGTGCAAGATTCCCTCGGTGGCTGGGCCGCATTCCTCGCGCGGGCCGGGGTCGACTTGGACACAACACACGACCTGAATCAAGATCAAATCCCGGGGTATTCAGTATTCAGTATTCAGATCCTCAGTAAATAATGAACCATATCTTTTGGTTTAGGCGATGAACATACATACCGCGCCAGAACCAAGTCATGTGCGGGCGATTTCTCGCGCCGCCTGTGCTTGGAATGATAGAGGAATGAATCCCGCGAAGGGGGGGGGGGGGGGGGTAAGAACTGGATACAATCTCCAGAATCGAAGATTCTGAGTGCACTGAGAGTCAACCTGGGTATTATTTGATCCTGTAGGTAAGTGTGTTCTTTCTGTCCTCTCCTCTGTTGGGGATCCGACTGAATCTCTCCGTTTGTATCGGTCAGTACGCCATTCCATACCGAATCTGCTTTCACCTCACCCTCGGCGCGCGAATTCAGTTCCCCAGATGACCAAGATCAAAATGAAGCTGATGCAAATGCTTCCCGAGGGGACGGTGTTTGTCGCGTTCATCCTCACGCTCCTGTGTCTCTTCGCCGGCACGCAGAGGAACCTCCTCGACTCCGCTAATATCATGACAGTAAGCTTAAATCTGTACCTTTTAGCTAGATAGATGCCCCTAATGACGATGGCAGCTCTACACCCCCGAAGAAGGCTCCAGCGCTCACAATTTCTACTCGGTGCATCTCATGTCGTACTGCCAGGGAACCCTGGGAACCATTGATCCCGGCGTCCCCGGGGTCACGCGCAACGTGACGTCCTGCTCGAGCCGCACGATTCTCTTCTCATTTGACCCGACGCAGGCGTGGCCGAAAGAGATCACACAGGGGCCCGCGCTGGAATGGCCGCGGGTGATCAGCGACGACTTTCAGGCGTTCCGGCTGACCAGCCGCGCGATGGCCGTGCTCTACTGCATCGCGGTTGTTGCGATGGGCGGGATGCTTCTGGTACGAGTCTGGGCGTTTCTGTCGCCGAATAAGCAGCAGCATGTGTTGGAATTGCCGTTCATGCTGGTGAGTGACCTCTGCCACGAAGAACTGGGGTCATGCTGACAGGACACGACGGTCATACAGCTGGGCGCGCTCAGCCTCAGCATCGCCTCGATCATCGCGACCGTTTTGGCATTTGAGTTTGTCGCCTTGATTAATGCGCACGGCAAGGGGTCGAACGTCTCTGCGGAGTACGGAGACAAGTTCCTCGGCATGACCTGGGCGGCGGTGTCCCTGTTGATCGTGGGCAGCGCCGCCAAATTCCTGACGATGTTCGGCAGTGGTCAGCAGACCGTAACCGCAGCACCCGCAAAGGATACCGAGGAAGGGTAAGCCAAGGAAAGGCTGCTGCGAGCTGTGGCAGCACGAGAGAGAAAAGAGAAGATGTCACTGCTACCTCCGACGGATTGAACGACCAATCCGCGGGGGGGCGGGATGCACGAAATTGGGAATCCGGCGAGTTATTTGCCAGCAACGGGCTGCACCCGGACCAATCTGGGGCGGACAGGGGGAAGTAAGCGCTGGGGGGAGAGGGGAAACGGGGACACGATGTACATACGCTGATTCGTGAATGCGCGATAGAAAGCAATGGAAGAACTGTGCTCCGAAGCATCGCACGGATGGAACGATAAAGCCTCGGCCTCGATGCGACTAGCGGGAAAGGATGGGTCCAGACTGGGACAAAACAAGGTCCCAACGACCGGTCTCTGTCTGTCGTCACCATGATGGACAGAGCGATGCGCGAGGAGATGTAGACCAGTAGTTTCTTTCTGGGACTATGCTCTTGCGAGTGTTTTCTTTTGGGCCTGAACGTGCCCAATGTAGGGCAGACGTGGTCGTGGGTGGCGCACCTATCCCCGGTTATGACCGGCACTGCGGCTGGCTTGTCCCACTAAACCCAGAATCGCCCAGGGGCTTTGGCCTGCGCACCATTGAGATTGAGCGTCCCTCAGACAGCTGGAGACGGAATTTCCCGGGCGTAATCAGCATGTTTGCCGGTGAGAGTATGAGGATGATACGCGGTGTCAGGAGCATTGTAGACAGTCTACTGCACTCCGGAGTGGGTCTCTCCGAGTATAGATGTGCTATTGTCCAGTGAGAAGTATAGGAGAGGAAATGAGGTTGCACGGACTGTCCAGAGTAATCCTAATAATCGATAGTGAGAATAATAATAATAATAATATACCTCAAAATGATGATGCGTGCGACGTGCCACCAAACAAGGCGGAGCGAACTTCCGTGGGGAGGGGACCGAGTCGATGAAGTCATCGTCGGAAGGCACCACACTTGTTAAATACCTCTTCTCCTCCGTTCTTCCCTGTTCTACTCAATACATTCACCACTCACTCTCTGTCTCTTCTCTCCTCTCCTCTGCTCTCCTCTACTCATCTCACACTTATTGCCCTTTCTGTTGGTCCACCCAACAACCAATTACACCCACGTCATACGTCAACCCTAAACTATACACTTTCTCACCATGGGCAAGAAAGCTATCCACTTCGGCGGCGGCAACATCGGCCGTGGCTTTGTTGCCGAATTCCTGCACACTGCCGGTTACGAAGTCGTCTTCGTCGATGTTATGGACAATATCATCAACGCCCTGCAGACTCAAAAGTCCTACCAGGTCACCGAGGTCAGCGAGGACGGCGAGACCACCAAGACTATCACCAACTACCGCGCCATCAACTCCAAGACCCATGAGAGCGACGTCATCCAGGAGATCTCCACCGCCGACGTGGTCACCTGCGCCGTGGGGCCCAACGTGCTCAAGTTCATCGCCCCCGTCATCGCCAAGGGCATCGACCTGCGCACCATGCCCAAACCGCTGGCCGTGATTGCCTGCGAGAACGCCATCGGCGGCACCGACACCCTGCGCAAGCACATTGAAGAAAAAACCGACGCGCAGCGCCTCACGAGCATGGGCGAGCGCGCCCAGTTCGCCAACTCCGCCATCGACCGCATCGTTCCCGCGCAAGCACCTGACAGCGGCCTGAACGTGCGCATCGAGAAGTTTTACGAGTGGGTCGTCGAGCAAACCCCCTTTGGCAGTGTCGGCCACCCGGATATCCCCGCCATCCACTGGGTTGATAACCTGGAGCCTTACATCGAGCGCAAGCTGTTCACCGTCAACACCAGCCACGCCACGGCCGCGTACTACGGCTACTATGCCGGCAAGAAGACCATTGCGGACGCACTGAAGGAGCCCTTCATCCGGAATCAAGTCCGCGATGCACTCAAGGAGACCGCTTCGCTGATCACCGCCAAGCACGAGATCTCGGCGCAGGAGCAGCAGGACTATGTCGACAACATTGTCAGCCGCATCTCCAATCCCTACCTGGAAGATAGCGTCGAGCGCGTCGGCCGCGCGCCCATGCGCAAGCTGTCCCGCAAAGAACGGTTCATTGGGCCTGCCGCGCAGCTGGCTGAGCGGGGAATGAAGTTCGATGCGCTGTTGGGCTCGGTTGAGATGGCGCTCCGCTTCCAGAACGTCCAGGACGATGCCGAGAGCGCTGAGCTGGCCAAGGTCCTGAAGGAGAACTCACCGGCTGATGCAACAGCCTTGTTGACGGGTCTGGAGCGCACCCACCCACTGTTCCAGCCTGTCCTGAAGGTGGTCGCTCACGTACAGTCAGAGTCCAAGGAGACCGGCCAACCGCGCATTTGAGGAGAGTTGCTGAACTGTTTTTTTATTCTTATTTTTTGTATTACACACACACGGAATTCGCATGGAATATGGCGCGACAGGGCACTGGGAGGACCAGGATATGACTTACGACTTGTAGTATGAATAGCAATGCAATGCAGTGCAATGCACTTTAACTAGCCTCAACACTTGACAGTAGTCCTGAACAGTATAGTAGAAAGACAAACCCTTATATCCAGATATTTACAACTTACTATCCCGCCAAACAGGCTTCCTCTTCTCCACAAACGCCCTCAATCCCTCCTTCAAATTCTCCCCTTCATTCAACCTCTTCACCCAAGTATCTGCCAACATACTCGTAGCCTCCTCAGCCCCAATCCCCTCCCACCCCAACTTAATCCCCTCACGACTAACAAGCACAGCATCGGGACTATTCTCCGCAATGAGCGCCGCGACCTCCACAGCCCTGGCAACTACCTTCTCCCTCACCGCATCCTCATTTTTTCCAAGGTCAGTGGTATCAACGACCTCGTTAACAAGCCCCCACCTCTCCGCCTCGCTCGGCAACACATTCCGTCCCGTAAGCGCCATCTCCATCGCACGCTGCTTGCCAACCGTTCGCACAAGCCGCGTCAGTGCCCCCGCCAGCGCGACAACTCCACGCTTTACTTCCGGGAGCCCGAAGACTGCGTTCGAGGATGCAATTACCAGGTCGCTGTTGACGATCATTTCTGTGCCGCCGCCGAAACAGAGCCCGTTGACGGCGCAAATTACCGGTTTGCGGCCTTTGCGCCGGGAGAGACCCCCGAATCCGGTGCCTGGTTGGGTTCTGCTTTTGTTGTTGGTGGCGGATGTATTCCATTCTATATAGGCCGCGGTTTTGATTAGTATATTCATGTCTTGGAACTAGCCAACCGTGGCCTTCGTCGAGAGGGAAAGGGAAAGAGAAAAAAAAAAAGGTAGTAGTGGTTCATACCCTTCAAATCAGCCCCCGCGCAGAAAGCCCGCCCCATCCCCGTGAGAATGCCCACGCGTACAGCGGGCTCGGCGTCCATCCATTCCCAAACGGCATGCAGATCGGCATGGCCCTGCGAGTTGATGCAGTTTAGGGAGCGCGGTCGGTTGAGCGTTACCAGGAGGACATGGGGTGCGGGGAAGGAGAGGAGGGCGTGTTGGGGGGTTGGTGGGGGATTGGTGAAGGAGGGCATCTTGAGATTGTATTTTAGCGTTGGATTGGGTTGGAGACTGATGGGAGTGGTGTAGGGAGGATAGCAGGGTCTTGTGAAGTGTTTGTTGTAAAGAAGAGGTTGATGATACTGAAAATGCGGGGACAATGCCGAGGAAATACCGAGGCTAATGCGGAGAAGTGTTGGGCGGGAGTGGGTGCAGAGATGGGTTTCATGGTTGAACCGCAGCTCTGATTGGCAAGTCTATTTGATACTAATGGAAGAGCTTGGTAGCTATGTCACATCGAATCGCTGATTTATAGACTGTATAGTTGATTATTGTATGTCTCCAGTGCCTTGGCACCTCTCTGCATCTATGCTATACAACACCGTCGCTTTTATTTGTACACGTTATTCACCTCCCTCCCCATCAACTCAATATTCTGCCGCTGGTCACTCAACTCCGACGGCCTAGAGTTACTATTCATAAGACGCGACTGGGGACTCCCCCCGTATCCCGGAGGGGGGGCAGTCGCAGCCACCATCAAAGCCTTGGACAATTTGTTCGCGCGTTTGCGTTCCCAGAAGGCCCATAATAGCGACGCCATAGCTATAAGGCCGAGTGGGATACCCAGTCCTGCGCCGATGGCTACGTCATGGGAGGTGCTTGTGGAGGAGGAGGAGGTGGGGGTGTTGGTGGTTGTATTCCCAGAAAAAGAGGTGGAAGAGTTGGATGCTGAAGATGTAGATGGCGCAGATAGAGAAGAGACATTCGCAAGAACAGCGCGGCCGGGGAGAATACTCGCGTCGTTGAGCTGGAAGGCGTCGTACTCGTACGGACAGACGATTCTATCGCCATCGATCACCGGCGTTCCGCAGCAATACGTGGCGACGCCGTCCTCGAAAGCGAGGTTGATGATGGAGCAGCCCATAGTACTGAATTCTTTCTCCTCTTTTCCATTTTTCATCTGTTAGTATTTCGCAAATCGAGTTGGATGTGACAGTAGGAAGGATATAACATACGGCAATACGACGGGCACCCCGATGCCCAGCTGTCGCTCGTACAAGACCCGCGAGAGAGAACGTACGGCTGGAGCACGTCCATGCAATATCCATTCGACAGACAGATATCATCTGTGCCGCAGCACCAGGAGACTTCATCGCTTGTGCAGGGGACAGTTCCCGGAGCAGGCTGGCCGTTAGGGAAGTAGCATGTTCGCGTGTCGGACATGGTCAACCGTGGTGTGGACCAGTAACTATGACAAGGCGCGCTCGAGATAAGGGACGGATCGAGGCTGAAAAGCCTTTTTCAACTTCGAGAGAACTTAAATAGGGGGAAGGAAGTTTGATTCCACTGCTCGCCGACGATCAGCGCTTCCAACCAACCACTCAATCTGGCCGTAATGCCCCTCTTCTTGGATCGGGGTGGTGTTGCAGTCGTTACTATGTGGCCGGAGGTGTGAGATCTTTTTTAGCCTTAAAAATAACCCCCTTCCTTAGAGGAGATTTCTATTTCCATCTGCCTGAGGGGCGGGTCAGCCGCGCATCCGGGCGCTGGCCCCCACTCGCTATTCAAACAGGGTCCGATTGATGGCGGAGCACGCTAGAGTGTTGATCGTCGGGAGCCCGGTTGTTGATTGGGCAAGCCTGAAGCTGAGGTGGTGTATTTTGACACGACAACCAAACTCAATGCCCTGGGTGAATCAGAGAGCTCAACTTGGGAGTGGACTAGGGCAACCCAATTTTATATAGTGAACAAAGCATTGTTTATCAAGAGATATGAGTAATATATATACAGTAATACAGTAGCCCCAGCAGGAGTGAAACTTGGCGACCTAAATTGAGATTGAAATCGAAATCGATATTGGGGTATTTTGATCGAGCCCTAGGGGTATATATGGCCAATCCATCTCGAATGTGTATCTCGAAACCTGCCTCGAAATCCGAAAACCTAGGCGGATGTTCTGGAAAATGTACAGGGCCAGATTCAGACATGACTTTGATCAAGGAGGCGTGCGTTACTTCGAACCTACACCAAACGACTCGCAGGAACCCATGGCGGTGCTTCAATTCGTATTGCCTCATCGAGGATGATGGCCATGCTACCGTGACTGACTTCCCTGCTCTTATTTCTCTGCCTGTAACATAGACCTACAAAGAACATCCTTCTTACGCTCACTTCAATACACCCATGACACAGATACACGACTACAATCCCAAGAGTAGTTTTCATTCATCACAGGACACAGGATATCTGTCAACACGATTGACACCGCCAGCCCATAAGACCCCGAAAACGCCGTAGACACACTCAAAAGCCGCTGTCCGAAAAGAAAAAAAAAAGCCAGAGAAGGATATAAACACGAGGAAAGTCATTAACTATGCCTTGTTGATCCATCCACTGTGCACCATGAAGTCGTAAATGCGGCTCGTCTTCGTGCTCTCGATCTGTAGACCGTTAAGTCAGTGATGAACATAAGCAGAGCAAAAGGACGACTCTCACCTTGCACATCGCCCGCGCGTCTTTCTTCTTTAGACTGCCGCCTTGCTTCATCGCCTCCTTCAATAGCGTATCCTTGACAACCAGGTACGGCTTCGGCATAAGGTGGAGCACATTGCATACTTCGACCTCCTCCTTGGTGAGGAGATGCATATCGGCCGCGCCGTCGCCATCCAATTTCCACGCCGGAACACCGCTCAGAGGCTGCACCACGTACTTGGTCTTGGCGGGTTGCGGAGCCGGCATCCCGTCGCCGTTGACGGCGAAGGCGCGATCGAAGTCGTTCAAGGGTAGGTCGCTGGGGTCGGGCTGCTTGTGCGGATTCGCCGCCTTCTGCAGTCGCAGCGGCAGCTCGGGCATCGTTAACTGACCCGCTGCCGATGTCTGGTCCAACTGCTGCGACTGTTTTGGTCGCGCGCTGGCAAAGCGGTCGAACGAGCCCTGGGGCAACAACCGCTGGACACGCTGCTGCTTGTCCTGCTCGTATTTCTCGCCCGTTTTCAAATCGCCAATCCCCATTTGCCGCCATTCTTGCAGTTGCGAAATGGCAAGGCGCAAGTTGTGCTCATACTCCAACCCCTTGTTCAAATCTTCAAAGTCTTTGCGGTTCATCATCCGTGCCAACGGCTTCGCCTTGTTGAGAAGCTCGCGTTCTTCCTTGGAGCGCTTCTTATCCTGCGCAGTGCTCTTCCGATATTCAAGCAGATTGTGCTCGAAGAGGATCTTCTTGCGCTCCGTACGCGCCGTGAGCCGCGAATTGTAGATATCGACCACCGTCATCTTGAGTTCGGTCTCCGGATCCATTTCGCCATCAGCGCCGATACCCGCCCCAGGCTCGAACGTCATATGCTGGACCGCCTCCTCTGCATCGTTCAAGAACTCGGTCTCGAACTCTAGACGACCAGGCATGTAGCCCTGCACCTCGTGGCAGGCCGGTACACTGGCAGTTGGTTTCTGCTTCGGTGTCGTTGGGGGTGCTGCCTTGGCAGCCTCCTTGCGCTCCTCAATGCGCCGCTTCTTGCGTGTCTGGAATTCCTCCTTGGAGATCGAGTCTTGGAGACTGGTGTCTTCCGGGTCTGCTCGGTCCGGTAGCGGGAAGTTGGAGCTGTTGATGTAGGTGTCGATGTAGTGGTCGCGTACTTCATCTTTGGTGCGGTAGCCGCCAATGTGGTCTGCGATGTCGGCCCACGAGCCTAGGCCGTAGATCTCCGCGCCTTCCAGAAGCAACAACTCCTCGTCCGCACCCCAGTCCTCCTGAAATATTGGGACGGAGTTTTGTTCGATGACATGGAATGGATGGGATTGCGGGTCGTGGTTCTTCGACTTCTCCCCCGCACCAAAGCAGGGGACGCAAAGGTCGTATTCATGGCAGTCGGGATGGGCGCACGAGATGCGAACCTAGCCCTCAGAGTCAGCATTTGGTGGTTCCGAATAACCATAAAACACTCACTGTTGATGTGACATCCACGGAGCACACGTCGCAATGGAATTTGGTGCCAGCCTCGGTGCCGCGCGAGGCGGTCTTCTTGCGTATTACTCCCATCGATCCTTGGGCCCTTTCATCCTCCACTGAGTCCGACGCCGTTGCGAAATCACAAACACGCCCTCCAGATGTCTGAGAGGGCACACAGAGGGAGTTGGGTGGCTTGGGAAGAGAGGTGCAAACGCGTGAGACGGGGAGGCGGACGGGTGGCCCGGGGTTAAGCTTCTCCGCAGTTCGGTGGCGTAGGGGTGAGGGCTCGGTGAGCGAGGGAATATTCAATGTTAATCGGTGTTGTTGGTAGTAGTTGGTCGGGGTAGTAATCGAGGAACAATGCAGTTGAGCGACTAAGCAATCAGGAATGGGACACTTCGGTTCAGCGTGTGGAGATGAAATGGTCGTTCCCCTTGGAAGTGGCGGTGCGGGCTGTGGCTGAGTCAGTGTCAACTGTGGCCTGAGGCATGATTAGTGCCTGAGGTGTCCGGTCCCTTCCCCTCTTCTCTCTTGTTTCTCAGTCTGTCTCCCTCCCTCCCTCTCTCTTTTCCACTTTCAGTTTCTTCCCCAGTCTCACTTGTTCGTCGATCCGGGGCTTGGATACCGTCTTTCGTCCTGCTGGTTGTGCCCTGACTAGCCGTGCCACTGTTTTGTGGTGCCTCCCTTCTTTTGTTGATTGCCACACTGGTGGGTTACTTGTGCCGTGGCTGTGGCGGCCTGCGCTATTTGGGGAAACTGAGATTAATTCGGGGTCGTCAGGAAGTCCACCCACCCTTCGCATTGCGGTCGGCACCATTCTGAAACCACTTACACCCTCCTCTTTCCATTCCCCTTGAGTCTTCCTCACACACCGCCACCATGTCCTGGAAGCTCACCAAAAGTATGTTCAGTTGGTCTCCCTATCTACCTACCTCGGGATCACGCTCCCTCCCCCCCCCCCCCTTCCAACGTGACGGTCTGGCATCGAGGCTAATACAATTTGTAAACTTATAGAATTGAAGGAGACCCATCTGGCTCCGTTGACGCAGACTTTCGGTCGGTCGTCGTCCACTTCGACCATTAAGGGTGATTCGAACGGTGGCGAAGAGACCATCACACCGGTACCCTCTCATTCCCCAGCGTGGCTTCGGCTACCTCATCAAACGGGATTGGTATGCTTTTCATGTCTCTTTTCTCCCCCAGTATCTAATGATGCCTTTTCTTAGCCGCTTCGGAGGCCCTTGTTTCACCCCCTGTGGCTCCCGTCAAACCCGGCATCCTCATCGTCACGCTCCATGAAGGACGCAACTTCTCTCTGTCTCCGCATTACCAGCAGATTTTCAATTCGCATTTCCAGAACAACTCATATGCACCGTCATCCTTGCGTCCCAGTACCTCCTCTTCGTCACACTCCGCCCATGGCCAGGCCGGTTCCTTTGCGCAGTCCAACCGACCGCAGTCCACCAGCGGAGGAATGAACAACGCACCGACTAGTCACGGCCGGTATTCAACCAAATATCTCCCATACGCCCTTCTGGATTTCGAAAAGAATCAGGTCTTTGTTGATGCCGTCTCGGGAACTCCTGAGAACCCTCTATGGGCCGGTGACAACACTGCCTTCAAATTCGATGTGTCCCGCAAGACTGAGTTGAATGTTCAGCTATATTTGCGAAATCCTGCAACCCGGCCTGGTGCTGGGCGCAGTGAGGACATTTTCTTGGGTGCGGTCAAGGTCAACCCCCGTTTCGAGGAAGCCCAGACCTTTGTGGAAGATCCGAAGTTGAGCAAGAAGGACAACCAAAAAGCAGCTGCAGCTCATGCAGAGCAGGAGCGTCATCTGGGTCAACTGGGTGCTGAGTGGCTGGAGATGCAGTTCGGCACTGGCTCGATCAAGGTTGGCGTCTCGTTTGTGGAGAACAAGCAACGCAGTTTGAAACTGGAGGATTTTGACTTGTTGAAAGTCGTGGGCAAGGGTAGTTTTGGCAAAGTCATGCAGGTCATGTAAGAGTTCCCCTCCCCTTCATCCCTATCAATTTTGATGCTTATCATTCCATCCCCTCAAACAGGAAGAAAGATACTGGCCGAATCTATGCCCTCAAGACCATCCGCAAGGCTCATATCATTTCACGATCCGAAGTCACGCACACGCTCGCCGAGCGATCGGTGCTTGCGCAGATTAACAATCCTTTCATTGTGCCATTGAAATTCTCGTTCCAATCGCCAGGGAAATTGTATTTCGTCCTGGCATTTGTGAATGGTGGCGAGCTCTTCCATCATCTCCAGAAAGAACAGCGATTTGATATCAACCGAGCGCGGTTTTATACCGCGGAGCTGCTGTGCGCTCTGGAATGTCTCCACGGATTCAAGGTTATCTATCGTGACCTCAAGCCGGAGAATATTCTTCTCGATTACACTGGACATATTGCTCTCTGTGATTTCGGCCTTTGCAAGCTGGACATGAAGGATGAGGACCGAACAAATAGTGAGTTTGGCCCTCTTTGTTCCATTCGGTCAAAACTAACCACAAGCAGCGTTCTGCGGCACTCCCGAGTACCTTGCCCCGGAACTTCTGCTGGGCAACGGTTACACAAAGACTGTGGACTGGTGGACACTGGGTGTTTTGCTCTATGAGATGCTGACAGGGCTACCGCCATTCTACGACGAGAACACCAACGAGATGTATCGCAAGATTTTGCAGGAGCCTCTGACCTTCCCCAGCAGCGACATCGTCCCTCCCGCCGCTCGAGATCTGTTGACCAGACTGCTGGACCGTGATCCCCAGCGTCGACTGGGCGCCAACGGTGCCGCGGAGATCAAGTCGCATCATTTCTTCGCGAACATCGACTGGCGCAAGCTTCTCCAGCGGAAGTACGAGCCCAGCTTCCGACCGAACGTGGTATGTGTCGTCTTCCCTTTCCTCTCAAATCACAAAGCTAACAGGCTCGCTCTAGGTGGACGCCCGTGATACAGAGAACTTCGACCGCGAATTCACCCAAGAGGCACCACAGGACTCGTATGTCGACGGCCCCGCCTTGTCGCAGACTATGCAGCAACAGTTCGCCGGGTGGTCGTACAACCGGCCGGTGGCCGGGCTCGGGGACGCAGGCGGCAGTGTCAAAGATCCGTCTTTTGGAAGCATCCCCGAGTAGAGTTTTTGATCAGAGTCAAATTAGATCCGAAAAAGAAAAAACAAATGATCAGTGTGCGGACAGGCCTTTCATCATAGAAACGAGTCTCCTTTGTACCGTGTGCTTGTTCTGCTTCACTCAGATATCACCACCAATCTGATCATTTTCCAAGTTTTTTGTTTGTTTCCCCTCTTGGGCTGTTGTCTCGTCTCATTAGGAGTGTGTGGCATCTTTTGGTCTCGGAGTCTCCTTTACACCCCCATTGCAACCAATTCATCTCCCTCTCCATTCATCTCACATTATACTGTTGTGCACTGCCCGCCCTTTTGGCAAAATGCACTGCGCCCCCTTGTCCGTCGATGTTCTCAAGCGATGATCATTGTCTTGCCCTTCTTTTCTGTCGCGATCTTCGCATTTTTCCCTCTAGGTGCGAGCGAGACATCCACTCTGTATTTTGGAAAAACATCAAAGATTGGTTTCTTTCTTTGCAATTGAGAATGCAATGCAATACATGACAATGCAATGCAATACACACAGGGTTCCGATCCGAATTTTCTGAGGCAATACATCTATAGAAGAAATATAGCAAGTCTACATACCTCGCACCTTCTCCCAAACATAAGTATGCAGCTGGGCAAATGCCAAACGAAATAGCAGAGGTCTCCGAATTGTTAGACTTGGCGACAGTTCTAGGGTTTTTGTTGATTTTGTGGGGAAAATAATGTCTGATAATCAACCAAGTCGGTTCCTTTTCTCGACTCTCCAAAGCCCAGCCTTCCACCCAGCCGGACAGATCGTCTCGGGTCTGAACCAAGGCAATGTATCCGTTGTCGTTAGGCATGGGCTCCCACATCAATTGTGACTTCCTTCCGCGCATGAGAAGGGCAATTTGCATTCGCGCCTTCCTACAGTCTCTTCAGCGTTCTTGTTTGACCGGCCATGGCAAGACCCGAAAAGCTGGGAACAATCTCCATACATTACTACCCCTATCAATGCTGGAAGCGCGGCGCATCTTCCGCTCGATTTGCTAGCAGCATGCCAATAATGCAATGAACCCGCCCCAGTAGATAGATGTTGAGAGGTTCTACGATGAGGGAGGCTATATATATCGAAAAGACAATTCCATCTGCTGTCACTGTGTGTATCTTTCTTATCTACCCAGTCTCAGGTCGTCCTCGCATCCCATGGAAGGAGACAGGTTGTAGAAAATTACAAAAACAGAAATAAGAAAACGAGAAACAGAAATGAAATAAATTGTTCGGATACACGTTAAAGACGCCGCTCGCAATTCAAGAATCAGACCGACTCTCATCAATCGGAACCAAAAACGCTCTCTAACAACAACACTCTAGCCTCTCAACCCAACCCAGCAATGACAAATTCAATTTTTTGTGCATCATTTACTCCGCCTCCACTGCAGCCGCAGCATCAAGATCAATCTCGGGGCCACCGTTGGCAGCGCTCGCGGGCTCGGCACCATCACCGTCACCGTTGACATCGATCAAAGACTCGGAAGAAGGTGGTTCCGGGACAACGATGCCCTCCTTCTCCAGACGGATGTACTCATCCCACTCCGGGAACAGGTCGTCGTCGGTGGAGATGACGTCCGGGGCACCGGGTGGGACGCCGATGAGCCGGGAGACCTTGGACTTGCCGCCCTGCTCAAGAGAAGAGCGCCACTGGACGACGAGGGCGGGGGCGCTGGTGGGCTTGTAGGTCTGGGCGAGGAGAACGGCCTCGGCGAGACGGTTTGTCTGGACGAGGAGGTCGAGGCAGCCATCGACATCGCCTAGCGACCAGAGCGTGGAGAAGGCGACGTTGTGCAGACCGGACTCTGAGGCTTGGGCGGCCAGCGCGCGGAGACCCTCGCGGTTGTTGCTGGCCGTGTGCAGCAGCAGAAGAGAACCGATGTCTTTGGCGTTGGTGAAACACTCCTGTGCCAAGGCTAGGTTCCACCCGGCCAGGGCGGCATCGCCAACGATTTTCCACTTGTGCTCGACATTCGCCTCGCGTGCGATCTGGAGGGCGGTCTCGAGGTCGTTGAGCGCGAGAGATAGGTCAAAGCGATGCTCTGGGTCGGTTGCAACCTCCAGAGCCATCTCTTTGTAACCTTGGCCTTCGAGGAAGCGGGCAATCTTGTTCTGTTGGTCCACGGGCACGTCCTTGAGCAGCTCGGCGGCCATTTCCATGTCGCCACGTAGCACCAGTGTCTGATACTCAACCATGCTGAGCGACAAACCAAAGGACATGACGTTGACGTCCTTGTCGGAGATGTAGATTCGGCCATCCCGGGGCAAGTAACCGAGGACATACATGGGCTGGTCGAAGTGAGAGATCGTGTAAGTCTGGTCACCCACGAGGTAGTTCAGGCGGTTCGTCGAGTTGGTATAGATGAAGCAGTCTCCAACCCACTCTCCGGTCCGAACAGACTCTTCGACGGTGGTGACGAGCTCGAAAGCCGACTCAACGCCATCTTCGTCGGCTTCTCCGTTGTTCAAGCCGTTGACGTAGTTCTCGCGCGAGAAGCGGAGGACGTGGAAATTGTCTTCACAGGCAAGAGTGACGAGCTCTCCAGACTCGGACCAGTAAACCTGTAGGAGAAACAGTCAGTTCGTCGCCTTTAGATATTCATAGGATCCAACAACTTACAGTCTTGGGGTCAGCTTCAATTCTCCGCACCAGGTTACCGGTCTCCCAGTCGAATAGACCAATGCCACCCTGGCCCTTCACACCGAGAAGGACACCGTCACTGAAAGTCTCCAAGTTAGTTAAATTCATCTAACGCACGATATTGGCTCACCTGAGTCCCTCTGCCTGGAAACCAACGTCAAGACCACTGCTCTGCTCCTTGAAGTTCTTGAAGATCTTGACGCTAGTCGTTGATTCGCGAATGGCGTAATCGTTGCTGTTGTCTTTCGATCCCCAAGCAAAGTCAAGGGCTTGGCCGAAGGCTTTGTTTCTCCAGGCCAAGGCGGTATAGATAATGTACTCTCCATCACCACAGACGGAGACGAAGCGTCCATTCGGCGAGTGTGACAGAGTCTGCGGGTATACCTCACAGTTACCCAGATCCTTGGTCGGCAGCGAAAGAGGCGTACCATCCTTCACACTGGAGTCACCGCCCTTGATAACTGTCGACACAACCTCGCTGTGTCTGGCCCAGATGAGCTTGCCGGATCCGTCCATCGAGACGGCGGGCTCTTCCCGACCCATCTTCACGACAACAGCACCGTCATCAAAGCCCATTGCGACGCCCTGGCGGCCCCGCTGGTAGGCAATACACCATGCTCGTTCCAGACCGTAGCTTAGTGACTGTTCCAGACGGTAGGTGTTCGCATGCCAGATCTTGATCGTTCCATCCTCAGAACCAGAGATGATGACGGGCAATTCGGGGTGGTAGCAAGCGAATGAGACATTGCTTGTGTGGCCCTCGAGGGTGGCGATGAGCGCTTTAGTTGTGTAGTCCCAGACCTTGACAGTCTTGTCATCGGAAGTGGTGAGCAGGTATGGCTTATCTGCCTGTGGGTAGTAGTCGACATGGTTAACACCCTTGGTTTCGTGAGCCTCCAGGGTGAAGTTGGCATGCGGAGAGCCAAGGTTCCAGATCTTCACGGTACGGTCCAAACAGGCCGATGCAAATGTGTTGGTATCCTTGGGGTTGATTGACATTCCCATCACATAGTGGCTGTGGCCCTCGAACACCTGAACGCACTTCCAGCCCTTCTCCCAGTCCCAGAGCTTGATTGTCATATCATCGGAGGCAGTGAGTACGAAGGGCTGGGTGGGGTGGACGGCAATGGAGCGGATGTAGTCAGGGTGGGCTTCGAAGGAGGTGATCTTTTCGGACGTGTTGTAGTTGTAGACTCGGAGCTGGTAGTCGTCGGAACCGCACACAATCCAGTTCTTGCGGGCAATGAATCGACCGGCGCGGACAGGGACATCCGTGAGTTCGAACGTTTTGATGATGGACTAGATATGAATGTGAGCTATGCTTTCAGTTGAAGTTGCGTCGCTCTCAACGCCTACCTGCGACTCATAAGACCAGATGTAGACGTGACCTGTGGCGGGTGCGTGGTTAGCCTCTTTGACATCTCGCAACAGCCACCTCGTGTCTAGAGCATACCGCTATACAAGGTTGTGAGGATCTAGAAAGGCATCGTTAGTTCTTGATGAATAAACCAGCGTTTCAAGATCATCTTACCCATGGCTCTGTAGGGTGGAAATCAATGCCCTTTACCCGCTCCGAGCGGGCAAAGAGCTGCCTCTGTACCAAACAATTCCTGTCAGCGACCGCTCCCAATCTGTGGATGCCTCAAAGGACAGCATGTTGTCCGGAGGGCACAACGCCGTCTGCCCTCCTGGCTGGTGGTCGGCGTACCTTGATGTCGAGCCGCATATTGTGTGAGGGGTGTGGGAGTTGAGGCGAGTGCGAGAGTGTGTGTGTGCGGCGTAGGCCTGCCAGAGGAAATTGCACGAGCCGCTCAGACAGCCCGGGAGTCGGGGGGAGGCAACTATCCTCAGGGAGAAGACGAGGGTGAAGAGGACAATTGCAAAGAGCACAACCTGAGAGTTGCTCAGGGACAACATTCAAGTACGACTGTGTCCACAACGCCAATGCGCCACCGCCTGCCGCTTACGGGCCCTCCCTCTAGCCATCCCCATCATCATCTACGGCGGGAAATATTTGTTTGAGATAAGTTGGCTTTACAGATTTAAATAAATTGGAACCATGGCAGGTGTATTCAAACAAAGGAACGTCTAATGGTTACAGCGTGGCCACCGGCGCTCAACTGCGCTCAAAGTAAGTCCACTGGCCCGGACGGGGCTTCTCCTCGAGTTCCTCCCACCTATGACCGGTTAGAACTTGTGCCAAATAAAAGACCAAGAGGGGACAGTTCCGACTCACACTTTTGACTGGTGCAGCTCATCAACAAGCTTCATCTCGGCCTCGGCGACTTGAATGACCTCCTCGATAAGACCAGCGCCAATCTGCTGTTCGATTTGGGAGATCCTGTACAATGTGAGTTCGCTGCTCGGTGGCTCGCCACCAATTAGCTGGGAAGGACTGCACATACTGTTCGGCCTCAAGAGCCGGCTCATTTTCCCACTTCGCAGCCGACCATACCTGCCCTTCTTGCCCTTCCTTCGCGCTCGACTCCTCGCGCTTCAATAGTTCAGCGGATTCCTCCGGGGTCAGAGCGGGATGCGAGATCGGACGGGTCATCTCTTCACCGTCCCACTCCTCGCCACGAGGGTTGTCGCTGCCATCCATTTCCTGGCGGGCAGCATATGCGAATGTGCCATCCTTGCGCTGGAGCTGAGCGAATCGCTCAGGCTCGGCTCCCACGGTCTGCTTCACCCGCGCCAGCCACTCCTCAAAGCCCGGGGGCTTCTGAGATTCCACAATCTGCAAACGATGGCGGGTCAATGCCTCGACCGATTGGCGGTAGGCGGAGTTGTCGGGAAACTCCTTCAGCTTCTGCAGGGTGTTTGTGTAGAGATAGATCAGAGTCGGGCGCGGGCTTGGGTGGGTGACCAGGCCGGTCAATCCGGTCGGAGCGAAGGGCTCCAGGTACCGGGGCTTGACATTGGCCAGCAGTCGAAGAGTAGACCGCATTGTGTGTGGTGGTGGTGATGTGGGATGGGGGTGGTGGTGGTGTAGGGAGACGAGGAAGTCGAGCCGCGCCCGGAACGGAAAAACCTGTTCCAGCGGCCAGGTGAGGCATTGCCCCCCTGCCTTTCTTTTCTCTCTGGACCAACACATCATTCGTTTCTGGGCTCTGCGCATTTCCGTTCTTCCGCTCTCAGGGTCCAGGGCATTCTCTCGAGTCTCTCTTCTCATTCTCTCCCCTGTGAGCCGACGCTCAGTTTTCGGCCCCCGCCCTCCAATGTGCCACCTGTAACGTTATTTCGCAATTCTCCTTTCCTCCTCGACCAGCGCCTCTCGTTTACCTCCCTTTTTCACGTTTTCCTCTCCCGCGAGGTCGATTCGTTGCCACGATGAGACCCTCATGGCTGGGGTGGTCCCTCTTCTCGCTGTTGGCCGTGCCTGCGTTGGCTTCGGTGGACAGCTCGTCAAGCTCAGATGGCATGCGCCTCTTCAAGAGGAAGTGGTCCGCTGAACCGAGTGGTCCTACAGAATTCAATGGCCTAGAAGTGCCTCCAATTAGAGAAATCAATCCGGACAACTTCAAGGAACTCACCAAAGAGGGTTACTGGTAAGCGACCAAACATCCCGCCATCTCAGAATATGTCTCACAAAGACCCAGGATTATCGAACACTTCTCGCCGTCCTGCCCTCACTGCAAGAGGATAGCCCCGGCTTTCCAGACCATGTATGAATTCTACTACGTGAGTTTCTTTGTTTGGGAAGTTAGGTGCAATCAGATGCTAATCCCCGATAGACCTCGAACCCCCTGTCCTCGTCTTCTACAAACTCTCTGGATACCAAGTCCCTGAACTCTTTTACCGGCTATTATGATCTCCGTTTTGGAAGGATGAACTGTCAGGCTTACGCAGATCTGTGCGTGGACCTCAAGATCGAATTCTATCCGACGTTTGCATTTTACCACGATGGCGAGCAGTTAGATAAGTACGTGGGCCCAAGGAACATGGAAGAAATCAGCAAATATGTTGAAGGCAAGCTCGAAGTGATCAAGCCTGGTTCTCGGCCTCCGGATGGCGTGAAGTTGCCAGAAGTTGGCGCGACCAGCATGGTTACGACGGAGGACTCGAAGGACTCGACGGAGGACCCAGATGATTATCTTGCCAGTGACAAATACCCTCGGCCGGGAATCAAAGCTTCTGAGAAGGACAACGAGCAGGTCCCCAAGATGGCTGCCGTGGATCTGGATTTGGATGCCGGAAAAGCTGGGACTGATAGCTCCAGCTCTGGTAGCTCAACTCCTCCCAAGAGCGTTGTTCCGAAGCCCAAGGGACCGCCTCCCAACCCGCAGGGTATCTCTGTTGCGCTCACCGCAGAGAGCTTCCAGAAGCTTGTAACGACGACTCAGGATCCGTGGTTTATCAAGTTTTACGCCCCATGGTGCCCTCACTGTCAGGCTATGAATCCGAACTGGCAGCAAATGGCCAAAGAGATGAAGGACACCCTCAACATCGGTGAAGTCGACTGCACGGTTGAGAGCCGTCTCTGCAGCGATGCCCGCGTCTCGGCTTACCCGACGATGTACTTCTTCCGTGGCGGTGAAAGAGTCGAATACACCGGGCTGCGTGGCCTGGGAGACCTCCTCTCATACACGAAGAACGCCGTGGCCGTCCAACACGGCATCCAAGACGTTGACGCGATTAGCTTCAAGGAACTGGAGGCGACCGAAGAAGTCTTGTTCTTGTACTTCTACGACCATGCGACAACATCGGAGGATCTCAAGGCTATGGAGCGTTTGACTCTCAGCCTGGTGGGACACGCCCGGATCGTCAAAACCAGCAGTGCCGCTTTGGCAGAGCGATTCAAGATCCATACCTGGCCTCGTCTTCTCGTGGTCCGCGATGGGCGACCGAACTACTACAATGCCCTCGCTCCCAAGGACATGCGAGACTTTCGGCAGGTTCTGTCGTGGATGCAATCCGTCTGGCTGCCCATCGTCCCCGAGCTGACGGCATCGAATGCCCAGGAGATCATGGATGGCAAGTTCGTGGTTCTTGGCATTTTGAGCCGTCGCCGCTCCGATGATTTCACTCAGTCCCGCCGGGAACTGAAGGAAGCTGCTCTGGAGTGGATGGACAAGCAGGTCCAGCTGTTCCAGCTTGAACGATCCGAACTCCGTGATTCCAAGCAGCTGCGTATCGAAGAGGCCGAGGACCGGAATGACCAGCGCGCTCTGCGATCTGCCAAGCAACAGCGCATCACAATCCGCGAGGATGATAAGAAGGCAGTGTCCTTTGCATGGGTGGACGGCGATTTCTGGGAGCGCTGGCTGCGCACGACCTACGGTATTGACGTGGAAAATGGCGACCGCGTGATTATCAACGATGAAGATGTAAGTGTCCGTCTAGAACATGTGTGGGCAGTTCCTGAACTAATTCATTCCCAGAATCGCCGCTACTGGGATACCGCATCGAGCGGTGCGACTATCATGGCCTCGCGTACCTCGATCCTCGAGACCATTCCGCTGGTGATTGCTTCTCCTCCGAAGCTCTCCCCCAAGTCCACGGTTGGTACCTTCGAGACCATCTTCTTCCTGACTCGGTCTTCCCTTGGTAGTCGTCGCATCCTCTTCTTCGCCCTGGTTGTCGTCGCAGTGGCCGTGGCGGTCCTCTTTGGTCGTGGACGCCTCTTGAGACGTGCTGGGTTAGGCCGCGGTGGCATCCTGGGCAACCCTAACGGCGGCTTCTTCCACTTGGACGGTAAGGAGGGCCTGCTGAATGGGGGGTCGACGGACAAGGTCGACTGATGGGATAACATGTACAGTTTAAGGTGTTTGGTGGCACGGTTCTTCTTATAATCATCTTCCTTATTCGAGAAACTATTGTATTTTCTTTTCCATGTTCTGATTTGGGGCTTTTCCCCTCTCTGTTACGAACATAGTTGTCTGTTTTAATCTCATTGCATTCATGATTATTTCCAGCTTCTTCTGTTAGCGTTAGATCTCTCCCTTCCAGTCGGGACAAGGGTAATGTGCTGAGTCAGTAATCACATGACCTCGGGCGCTTTCGGTTTTGTCCAGCCCATCGCAAATGTCCACCGTCGCCGCCCGTCCTCTCTCGAGCAATTGTGTCGCCCACGAGTTCTCTTCGGAGTCAGCAAACATGGTACGTCCTCTCTTCCGGACCAGGAGGAGGCCTCTTGGCGTCTCGAGACTCCCTGTCCGATTCACAATGGGTTTGGGGGGAAGGCCATCGCGTCATCGTCACGGCTACCATTTCCTTACCTATGGCACCCACGGCATAAAGTGCCAGAGATGAGCTGTGACTGTAAGGCATTGATTGCTAACATGCTTGATATCCTCTACAGTTCACCCCCACCCTCCGCCGCGCTGCCGCCCAGGCTTCCTCTTTCGGGCCCAAGTAAGGATTTCCCCAGATCGATGTTTCTCTCTCTTTTTGGGCAATGATTGGTGCATGGTGCCGTGCTTGGAAGAGATATTCTGTAATTATCTTGCTTGTCTGCTGGGTTCTGGGTTTCCGTGGATTATGGCCTCGGATGTGTGCTGGAGTGCAAACCCATACATAGCACTCGCAACTTATGCTCGACATGGGAGAGTAGAGGAGTTGACAATGGCATTCTGGCATGGACCTTAACTGACAATTCTGTCCTTGTCCAGGTACTACACTCCCCGTCACGTTGGTGGCGTGAACCTCAGCACCCTGACCCAGGCGTAAGTTATCCTCTCTCCTCCGCCCCCCAGTTTCTCAATCGAGAGTTCCGAGTTCTTGGTGGTGGACCATATACTAACAACCCAATAGCGGTACTCTCGCTGGCAGCTTCGGCGTTGCTGCCGGTGTCTTTGCAGTCTTCTTCTTCGGCGAGGTGCCCCGTGTGCGCAAGGATATCCTGCAGAAGATCCCTGGCCTGGACGTCTACTTTGACCGCACTGTGGCCCCCGAGGACAACGTGAGTTATAACTATTGCACCCGCATATATGATGGGAAATTACTAACTCGGTGTCATTAGCCCTTCTAAACAGCTCAGGCTCAGGTTTTTGGGGTTCCGATTTGGCCGGCTGGACTGTAGAATAATGACGAGGGTCTTATCTGTTTAGATAGCACATAGAGCCGCTCCGACCGACGTTCGGCAATACACTCTCCTTTGTCTATCATTCTTCGTGGTTATTGTTATTATTCGCTATTATACAGTGATAATGATCTGTATAGTCAAAGGCCGGGGCTCAGCCATCACTCAGGGGATACTTTCCACAAGGGGCAGGTCCATGCAGGGCAGCAGATAAGCCAAGCCCAAAACAATCCGTCCATCTTATCTTGACAGGCGACACAACCCCCGTGATAGGGTAGCCCTAGCAGTACTAAGTCTATGATGATACGATGATTCCGCCCAGCGCATGTCGGACGCTTCCACCTTCCCGAGTGGGTTTGGAACTATTGCCAAGCATCCCGGGGGCTCAAGAGCCCTGTGCTCTCCTATCTGTGCGGAGACGCTGGCTGAACGGGTCCAAAGACTGCTGCTATTTTCTCGGGAATTGCACCTGTTTTTGCATTGTCTTATCTATCGATGGGGTCTGAGATAATATGGATCAAAAGACCCAAACCCACTATCTTAGGGTTGTCAGTGTGTCTTTCTCGCCCCCCCTCTTCATGTTTCTCTGTTCTAGCGGCGTTCCTTTCTTCCGCTCGCTCCGAGATAAACTTTGTCCTGACTGGCTCTGCATCGAGATGGCGTTCCCTGATCGTCAATGCGCGCGGGGGATTAAGGAGCGGTGGCTGTAGATAAATGACCCTGGTCTGGGCTTGTGGAAAGATGAGACCCCCCGTCGGCGACATTATTTATCTATGGCCCTATCCTCCCCCTGGTCTGGTTGCGATCTCAATATTGCTCTCAATCTCCATTCCCATGAGCACAAACCATGGCGGATACCAAAACCTCTGATTCGGACACTTCGAAGAAGCCCGAGGCCTACCGCGATGTCAGTCATGGGCAGGTTACCTCGGTGCTTGTCGACGGTGACAACCCCATTGCGGACCATGAGATGGATGCCGATGAGAGGGTGATCGTTGCGCTGGGGTATAAGCAGGAGTTCAAGCGCGAGTTCTCGCTGTGGACGACCTTCTGTGTCAGTTTTGCTGTCCTCGGCCTATTACCGTCATTCGCCAGCACTCTGTATTATGGTAGGTTGCCTTCGGCAGGCGTCAAGTTGCGGTTTGAGAGAAACTGACTTTGGGTTCTAGGTATGGGATACGCAGGAACGGCAGGTATGGTGTGGGGATGGATTATCGCCATGATATTCATTCAATGTGTGGCCATGGGCATGGCAGAGCTATGTTCGGCGATGCCCACGAGGTATGGCAGCCCCCGTGAGGTATTCGAAAACTCAACTGACTCGGTTTTCCTTGTAGCGGTGGGCTCTACTACGCCGCAGCAGTTCTGGCACCTCCCAAATACGGACCTTTCGCCGCCTGGATCACCGGCTGGTCCAGCTGGATTGGACAGGTCACTGCGGCGCCGTCGGTGAACTTCTCACTGTCCGCCATGATTCTGGCCTGCGGATCGATCAATAACCCGTCATACGTGCCGACAAACTGGCAGGTGTTCCTGCTCACGACCTTGATCATGATCCTCCACGCAGCTATCAGCAGCATGCCCACGAAGCGGGTCGCGCAGTTCAACTCATGGGGGTCAACATTCAACATCATCGCGCTCGCCATAGTCCTCATCACCATCCCCGCCGCGGCAAAGACCAACCCGAAATTCAAGTCCTCCCACGAAGTCTGGGGCCACATCACCAATCTTACCGATTTCCCCGACGGCGTCGCCGTGCTGATGACCTTTGTCGGCGTCATCTGGACCATGTCCGGCTACGACTCGCCCTTCCATCTGAGCGAGGAGTGCTCCAACGCCAATATTGCCTCTCCGCGCGCAATCGTCCTCACCTCAGGCGTCGGCGGCCTAATGGGCTGGTTCCTGCAGCTGGTAGTCGCCTACACCGTGGTGGATATCGAAGCAGTCATCAATTCGGATCTGGGCCAGCCATGGGCTTCTTACCTGCTGCAGGTCCTGCACCCCAACGCCGCAATGGCCGTGCTGGGTCTGACGATCGTCTGCGGTTTCTCCATGGGCCAGGGGTGCATGGTTGCTGCGTCGCGAGTGACATATGCCTACGCGCGCGACGACTGCTTCCCGCTTTCGCGGTACTGGAAGCGGGTCAACTCGTACACGCAGACCCCCGTGAACGCAGTGATAATCAACGCCGTGCTGGGCATTTTAATGTGTCTGCTTATTCTCGCAGGCGACGTTGCCATCGGCGCGCTGTTCTCCATTGGCGCTATTGCGCAGTTCGTCGCCTTCGCCATCCCCATCTTCATCCGCGTTTTCTTCGTCGGTAATCGCTTCCGCAAAGGTCCCTGGCACCTCGGTCCCTTCGGGCCGTATATCGGTGCCGTCGGGTGTGCCTTCGTGATGCTGATGGTTCCGATTTTGTGTCTGCCCAGTTCGAGGGGAAGTGACTTGACGGCGAGTGTGATGAACTGGACGTGTCTGGTGTGGGGAGGGCCGATGCTTGCGGTTACCATTTGGTATATTGTTGATGCGCATCGCTGGTTCACAGGGCCCAAGGTCAATGTGGAGCATGCCATTCATAATATCACTGAGATCGTGAGCGATGATCCTGATGAGCAGCCGCCTCTGGAGCCGAGTCCGGGGGATGTGAAGGCAGATTAGTTAGCATATTTCGGTGAGGAGTTTCGGGGGGTATATGTAGTTTTTTGTTTTTCTACGTGGATATACTTTAATATGAGGTTGCATGCATACCGATCAAATTAGTGGAGATCACTGTCTCTTAGTAGAGTGTAGGGTTAGGTGGATACAGGCAATAGCCGTGTAAAAATAAGCATATTCTAAAGAATCCGTTTCGATACTAGTTTCTCCAGGGTTCATCATGACAGCTCCTTATGGAGAACGAGACCCAGAAGGATGCCCCATCCTGACCTGTTCCTGGTATTGCCATGTGGCACCGATGGAGCAGTGGGCATTCTCCACAGGTCCCATATGCTTAAATTGACGCTGGATGATGGATCCCGTGTCCATACCATCGTTTAATTTGTATATTCAATGCAGCGATGGGACTTGCTTCTGGGGTTTTAGTGATGAGTTGGTGTGGAGGTTAAGAGTTCGCTGGATATGTATCAAGCCCCATGATAGTTGGCTCGCAAAAAAAAAAAAGCTTCGAAATATATATTACCGGCATGATGTTCTTTTGCGACCATGATCCTGCACATCCTCTTTTTTTTTGCAAAAGCCTATACATACTAGGTAGACACGCATTGCTGATCTCCTGGTACTGTACCCAGTACTTGAAGATACCCTTAAATGTCGCAGGATCCCAGACAAGCAAGTCCAACATCCACAGCCTACTTAGGCAGGACCTTACAGTATACTGGCTGGAGATAACCCCTGCACACGTCCAAACCCATCCCTCTCTCCAAAAAAAGCCACAATAACCGCCAGGCCTCGGCCCTCAGGTACTGAGTACAGAAGCACCCACCGGAAAATCTTGCGACTATGTACTGTGGTATGCAGCTCCACCGGCGCCCGGTGCGGCGGCCCCCCTGGACGGACGGGTCCCCACCGGCGGTGGTGCGGTGGACACTGGATGGACATGGATGCAACGGAAAAATAAGTTCGATGGGACACACAGATATGCTTAATCTGACTCCAGACGGAGGGCTCCATCCAGGGGGAAGAGGGTCTCCGTGTGAATTTGTTTACAACTACCGTAATAACCCTTCCTCTATCGTAAACTTTTATTTTCCTGCTAGGATCTCGAATTACCGTAAGAAGTGTCTCGGGCGAACTAACTCTGCGACGCGTGGAAAGTCAAAACGGAACTCTGCCTTTCTCCAACCATGACGACGCATAGGATCTTGCTGACTCGAATTACCAAAAATTATTTTTTGAGGACGTAATATTGTCGGGGATCTCGGAAGTACATACACGGCTGACCATACCCGATCGACAATTTCAGGGGTGCGTTGCGACTGGGTGATTCTGCCGAAGAGTTTCAAACAGACAGTCCAACAGTCTATCAGTTTTTACGTCATGAGAGAAAACGTGCCCTGGATGTGGTTGTTGTGCCTGGTTCACAGAAATCAAAAGTGTCGGGTTGTAACGAATTTACGAGCCGGAATGGCCTGTTTCGGGGAGTCGCCGAGGGGACGCCTTTTTAGCATTTTGCAACCAAAAAACCGCGCCACCGCGAGAGATCCTTACTATGTGTGATCCGAGGCCCAATCACTGCGGGCATTCCAGGCAGCCACGGGCCTGAAAGACGATCCGGTCTGGACTCCTGCGGCAGCAGCAGCAGAAACATAAATACCAAATGCTGCATTCCACGATCACTACTGCAAACAGGAAGGCACTTTTTTTTTTTTTTTTTTTTTTTTTTCAAATGGTTCGGTCGTTCCATGGATTGCAGAATCCGGGACTTTGGCTCAATTTCACTCAGATCAAATCACATGGATATGTTAATAATAGTACTTTTCGCTTCGGTCTGCCCAGAACTAGTAATAATGTCCAGAAGTATATCCGAAACCAATGACGCGGCCGCCAGGGGGTGGTGAATTATTTTGGGTTCCTCGGTACAGAACTGTATGGCCAGCAATACCATTTGCAAGTGATTTATTGATTTGTTAAGCACATAACGAACCAAGACCTTGGCCTCGGTCTCGACGAGTCGCATCGTGAGGCTATGAGGTGGGTGGCGCGATCCTCTCGCTCCCACGGGCGAACGCGCAGCGATTGGTCCCGGCGCATCCTGAAACTCGACGATCCGGACTTGGGAATCCAGTCGTTCCGGACAGTGCCGGATGGCTGGGCCGGCTGACTTGCTCTACGTTAGGCAGGTTGGCGCGTCTTTTGTTGCTCTGTCATAATGCATAGGGCCGAATTCGGCGGCTCGGGCTGCTCCTTGGATTGTGTAAGTTACTTGGTGCTTGGCGCTAGTTAACTATTAATTATTGCAGAGCTACTGACGGACACCACCGAGGCGCCGGTCTCCAGCGGTGTATTGTAGGTTGTCACTAGCCCTACTAGCGGGCCTATGGAGACTGGAATAATTGCCCCCCGTTCTCCGTCGTATCCTTTCTACCGAAGTTTAAGCTTTCCAGCAGATTTAGGGGGTTTATGCAAAACAGAAGAGTTCCCCTGACTACTACGGAGATCATGGACTTGTAACATGGGCGAGGTGCGGATCTAGCGGTCTAGCTGCAGACTGCTAGAAAAATACATAGCTTCCTGTACGTACTGCGGTGCCTATTGTAACTACATCCCATCCGAACCGCTCGGCTCCGAGTGGATCTCGCAACTCCCGGCATGCGCGTGGATGTGCAACAAAAACAAAGCGCAGAGGTAATTTCAACACACCGTGTCTTTTTCTCTTATTGCAGTTAAGGTCCCAAGTATTTGCTTAACCAAGCACGCCACCAATTTGGCCCTCCCCCTCGGCAATTGTTGTAACCGGCGCAAGCCCGACTCTCCCGGAGGAGTGGAACAAAGCGGAAGGTTAAGCGAGCGAGGGATTTTTTCCCTGGCCCGTAATCGGAGTTTCCCTTTCGAATAACTTTGTCAAAAAAGAGTTTCCTAAATGCCCTGTACTACTGCACCCCGACACGAAATGAGGCAAGATGGTCATTGTGGCGGGCAGTTAATCCATGTTCCTGTTCAGCCATGTGCCGGGGTCCATCGCGAAGTCTGCAGAACCCTGGTCGAAGCCTCAAGGTCCACAATCGAAGCGGGAAAGAAGCTCGTGCGAATCTCTGGTGGAGAACTGCCTGACGGGTCACGAATTCATGACACTATAGCAGGACTATATATCCTCCAGGGACTAGTAACTGCCAAGTCAGATGGGGCATCTGATAAATAATTCATCAAGAGGGGGTGGCGCCAATAATCAACCACCCCTGTCCCGATGATTATTATTACCCTATGGAGGAATCTCCCAAGTACATGCTAGGTATCGCGGAGGACAGCGGGATCCCTCCCGCGCGCGGAAATAAATTGGGGTTATACTTAATTCGAGCGGCTGCGGCGCATGCAATCAAAGGGTGTAGGGCAACAATGCAGGGCCGTTCTTCTGTGTCTCCTGCATGCAGAGGACTCCTTTCTCGGGCGACAAGAACAAGAATGACGTGCTGAGGCCGATCTGCCATGTAGATACTGTCCGATCCAGGCACGACAGTCGGTCGGAGGCCATTTGACCATCCAAGATGTACAATATAAGGGTTAAAGATGGCCAAGATGATTCACTAGCGATAATCAAATAATAGGAGTTGCACGATCGTAAATCATAAACTACGTATCATGATTAGTGTGCTCCGAACGCAGCCCGGGCAGGGCCGAGCTGTGTTCGGAAGCGTCACCCTTGGATGCGCGTAACGCCGTATTGCCAATACCAGCATTTCCACGGTTTTTTTGAGTAATTTTCTCGCCTCTTGCCTCCCCAAGGAACGATCGGCCTGTTTTCTGCTGAATTTTTCTCTTCTCTTTTCCCCCGTCTGCCATCACTGAAATTTTCCCCCTCGGAACCATCTTTTCCCTTTCCCTTCAATTCTTCTCTCTCTCTCCCCGTCTGCCGTTTCTTCCCTTCACAACCTTTCGACACATCCTTTCCTCCCCCCACCACCAATACAAACCTTCCCCAGCGCAGTTGCAAAATCATCATCATCCGATCTGAACTAGTTCTGTCGGTCGCTGCGAAAGACCCACTTGCACGCCCGCTTCTTTGGTGGATACAACCCGGCGCTGGTGACAACGTGCGGATTAACACTTCGGTTCCCACAACACGACGGTGGATTGCGACCGTGGGGAATTCAATCTGAGATCACGTTCTCTTCTTCTCTTCTCACCTTCACTCTCTCTATCTCAGTGGAGTCCTTGCTCCATCATCTACTCGACCTCCCCATCCCAATTGCCCTTTCCCGTGACACGCCTTCCTCGACCTCGGGGAAAAAAAATTGTTGCAAAGAGACAGTCTTTTGGGGAATCGATGATTGAGCTATCGTGAAGAAACAACAGAAACACACCTTTTTTCTTTGACCAAGTCTCTTCAACCCGACACGATGGATCCCAGATCTCATCCCTCTCGGCCTCCCTCGACGAGCCTGCCTCAAGGCTCCACGCCGCTCTCGGGGACTCCCATCTCGAGCATGCACATGCCGCAGTACTCGATGCAGCCGCAGTATCCGGTCTCCCAGCCGCACACGCTGCCTCCATTGCAGCCGCATCATACTCATTCGCCCGGACCGCACCAGTACATGGGCCAGCCGTTCCGACCGGATCTGTCGCGCTATCCCGCATCGTCTCACGACGTGTATGCGGGCTCGGCAGCCCCGATCATGCCGCACACTACTGTCGGTAGCCCTGCATCATCATACTACTCACATTTTCCTAACCCTCAGTCCCAGGCTCACTATCCGCCACCCCCAAGTGTGCTGCCACCCGCGTCGACTGCTCAGACCTACCCCCAGCCCATCGCCCCGGCGCCTCCGCGTGACCGACGTGATTTCAATGGCCTTCCCTCCGGTGCCTTCAGCTACTCGGACGGGGGAAGTCCTGGGGTATGGGCACTGACGTGAACGGCGCGAACGGCTCCCCATACGGGGGTAAGGAGTCTCCGCGCACGCAGGTTGTGGGCTCGCAGGGTCGCCGCGGCATCCTGCCGAGCGTCCCGGGTCGCGCAACTCCCGTCACGAACGGCGTCAACGGCGCCGCGAAGAGCACGACCATTCCCGCCAAGGACGCGGATGGCAAATTCCCCTGCCCGCACTGTAACAAGACCTATCTCCACGCTAAGCACCTGAAGCGCCACCTTCTGAGACGTGAGTTTTTGTTTTGCTTTTATCGGACCGTGAAAATCGCGTATGATACTAATGACGCGTATCCATTTTTCAGACACTGGCGACCGCCCCTACATGTGTGTTCTCTGCAAGGACACGTTCTCGCGCAGTGATATCTTGAAGCGCCACTTCCAAAAGTGCTCGATTCGACGGGGTAACCCGACTGGTGCTACTCACCTGTCGCACCCCCATGCGCACTTGAAGCGTTCGTCACAAGCGGCCGCGGCTGCGGCGAACGCTGCTAAGCCTATCCAGGACGAAGTCAGTAACCCCATCCCACCCTCCGGTGACAGCATGATGGGTGCGCATTTCGGCAATGGGACCGTGAACGGCAACGGGATGGCCGGTGGCCGCCCCGGCTTCGCGGAACAGCAGCCCTTGGGATTCACGATGTCGGCGGTCAACGGCATGAACCGTGGTCCCGGAGACGACGCGTTCGCCGCTGGTCAGCCGCAGGCGCGAGCCTCGTGGATGGCTGCTCCCAAGCCGAATTCGTACTACATGCAACACCACCCCGGCGCGGACGCGCATGGCCAGCAACTGAGTGTTGACCGTCCCCTTGAACAGGTAAAGCCCCTGGTCGTTCCAGACCCCAAGCATCCGATTATGCCTGGCCCCCATTCGAGCCAGCCAGGAGTTGACTGGACCTCGATGTTTCAGCACGGCCCGAACGACGGCTACATGAACCCCGTTTTCCCCCATTCGATGGCGGCCGGTCAGGAACCCATCCACGCCCCCGTCGACGCCGACCGCAAGTTCTACCCTGCCACGAGCGCAGGCGGCCCCGAGGGCGGCATGAACGGTCTGTACCTCGCTTCGACTACGCTTAGCGGCGACGGTTCGTAATGCCTCTTCTTCGTTTGGTGCCATCCCATTTACTAATATGTCTGATAGGTACTGTTCAGCCCGCTCGGCAGTAGGCGACGGTGGAATGGGTTGGGGAAGTATGGCAACATGGAGAGGTGAGGTGAGAATCATGACTGTCTAGTGCTCTACGACTTGTTTGATTCCATCCCGACTCTGTGTGCTTGCGTTACTCCTGTCTTCGCTTGATCCGCTGATCCCGCCCACCGCGGCGTTTCTCGTGCTTTCAGGCGTTTTCGCCCCGGGATTGTCTTTTTCCGTTTAGTATTGCGCGCGTGTTGGTTGATCTTTCTGATTGTTCTCGATCCCATCCGGAGTGGCACTGCATTCTTCTCTTCGGCGAGTACAAGGGTGATTGTTCTTCTTTGATTTTCTCGTTATCTTTTTCATATCTTTTGATGAGTGGGCGGACGGTACGGCGGGTGGTTTTGTTCGGCGTCCCTTTATAGACTTGGGCATGTGTGTTCATTGTGTTCGAATCCGGCCTTTCGACAGACCGAAAAAGCTATTTTTTCTGGCTCGGGAAGGCTGCCGTCGCAATCTGTGTTTCAAAATTGTTTTTGATCCTGTGTTGTCCGGTTTTTTGTGCTGCATTTGCATGTTACTTTTCCGTTTCTCCCTTGTAAGTAGAGTCACGGCCACGGACATACTTTTTGATCTTGACGGGGTTTCCGGTGAAAGATGAAAAGCTAGAAATTATCAATAGATCTCTCGTTCACTGCTTTCGTTCTGATCCATACCGTGTGTAGTAACGTCATCTCTCTAATGCCGCGGGGCTGATTGGATCTGATTGTCCCGGGGGTCCCCCTCACCACTCCTCCAACCGCCTTCCCGAACTTCGCTGAAAACCGGAATCATTATCGTTTGCAGTCATTTTCTTCTTCCCTATTTCTCCGCCCGCCCGAACAGAAGGGGATAAAATACTTAATCAATCCTCCTCCCGACTCCTGTCGATCCTCTCTCTCTCTGGACTGCTGCACACCATATCATGTCCACCAACCGGCCATTCCTGGCCAACTTCCTGGCCGCCTTTCGCGCCCCGGCCTACAAGGCCTCGTCGCAGACGTCGTCTTCGCTCGGATCGGCGCAGATCGCGCAGAGCGCCCGTGCGATAGCCACCAAGGCGGGCTCGTCGTCTTCTCCTACTTCTTCGTCAAATAACCAGACCTCGTCTTCATCATCATCACCTTCATCAGCGACAGCAAATCATCAGAACCAGTCGTCGGCCAACCATCACCACTACCACCACCACCATCATCATCACCACGCCTCCACCGAATCGTCCGCCCTCGCCACCTCCACCTCTCAACCTCCATCAACCTCATCCTCCTCTGCAACCCCCATCCCGATATCCCGCACCTCCGGCGCTGACCGCCAGCGGCGGGGCAGTGACTCCTCCAGCGGCTCTGGCGGCTTCCGCGATGCCCTCGGTCCGGAGAAGTGGTATATCGGTGGAAGGACCCCGGCTGGCGAAGAGCGGTTTTATCGGTTGGGTATGGTTACCAAGGGTGGGGGGAGGCTTGGGGGGAGTGGGAGGGTTGGGAGTATTGATCAGTTGAGTCTGTGATTGATCTCCTGTCCCGCCAGAGAGATTTGGACATCATCTGATATGGGGTTTGGTGTACGGTGCCTACATACTACACTGCTATATACTACAGTTTAGTATGTAGGTGGCTCGGTTATGATTGATTACGATGTTCATGTCTGGTTATGTCTTGTCTTGTCTTGTCTTGGGTTGGCGCTTCTCCTCTCACTTCTATTCTTGTCATTCCCTATTTTCGGTGGTCTGGATGGGGAGTTTTTTTTACTTTTGGCATCATTGGGTTCTCATCATTGGGTTCTCGGGGGCGTTTCATTTGGGTGTCTTCGAGGTTGAGCTTCGGGTGGTTCTTTTATTTTCTCTGTTTCTTCAGGCATAAGAGAAAAAAGATATATTCTATCTACCTACATCGTTACATTTACAATACATGCTGGTCTTGTTCAGACTGATGTTCTTTCCGATTTGCTCTTAGTTGCTGAGGTTGGTCGATAATGTATGAGGAGAGAGGAGGGACGAAGGAGATGCTTCATGTTGACAGAAATTAGGGGCGAGTAGCTGAAACAAACTACCTTGATCTACTTGGGGACTGCTGGATATTGACATCCTTCGAGATGAGATTCATTCCGATCCTTCAATGCTGACCCTAACGCGCACTGCTGAGATCCTCATCCAACCGAAACAGACTTCAAATCAACTCACATCACCTGCTGCGTAACGCAATGCAGCACGCCACCAGTCCTAGGCAATGCATTCACACTAACCGTCCGAATCTCCCTCTCTGGAACCAGGTCCCTCAAAGTCTGAACCGCCTTCGCATCCGCCACTGGATCCCCAAAAACAGGAGCAACCAGCACCCCATTCGCAAAGTAGAAATTGACATACGCCGCCGCAGGCACCTTCTCCTCGCCAGGAAGATTCCCACGCACCAATACCGGATCTGGGTCCTCGATATCGTGCACCTCGATCGTCCTTCCCTTCGCATCTTTCGTGGTGCGAAGCACCTCGCGCATCTCCTCGTACATATCATGATACACTTGATCCACGGAGGGATGTGGCTTGGAGAGCACGACCACGCCAGGCTTGACGAAGCGCGCTTCCGCGTCAACGTGGCAGTCTGTGATATCTAGCCCCGCTCGACCCGGGAACCAGATAAAGTGCGTGACGCCCAGGAGTTGGCGGAGATGCGTCTCAATTTCGGTCCGGCTCATGCCAGGGTTGCGTTTCCCGCCGACAATGCTGCTCTCCGTCGCCATGAAGGTGCCCTCGCCGTCGATTTCGATGCCGCCGCCTTCAAGACGGATGGGTGAGGCGATGCGCTGCACTTGATTGCTTTTGCTGATTTGGTTCTCCAGCTCGAGAACCCTTTCCGCGAACGCCGTGTTCTCGCTCATGGCTTCTTCCCCCATGACGGGCCACTCGTCGCCTAATTCTGGCTCTGTCTCGCCCACCCGGCTCTGGTAGATCTCCTCGTCTGTCTTGACGCCCCATTCGCAAAACCGGAAATCAATCGCATACCGCTTCCCGTCGTCGGCGCCGCGCACGTACACGGGCCCCGTGTCGCGGACCCAGCAGTGGTTCGTCGCGCAGGGCACAAGGGTGATTTGGGTCTTGTGTGGAGCGCTATCATTGTTGTTCATCCGCTCGTTGACCATCTGCTGCGCGCGCGCCTGGATCTCTGGCCGGACGTGCAGGCGCACGGGCTCGAAGGGGGCGAGCGTGCCTGCTAAGTCTACGATCTCGCTACATGTGCGCTCATAGAGACCTGGTAGTGTGGAGCAGGGGGATGGGAAGCCGAGAATGGTGGCGATGTGGGGAGTTGTTTCGGCGGGACAGATGTATTGTTTTGGAGACATGGTGGTGGAAGAATGTGGTCGTGCGGAAATTATTGTGGGAGAAAAAGAGATGGGACGGCAATAATATTTTGACCAAAAGAATGTCCGAGGCAGTCTACAGATCATGGTGATGTTCCCAGCGGGTTTTATACAGGAGCAAGTATGAAGTTGCCTGCCGTCGACCTGCCGGATAGGGCTGGTGCACGCGCACCAATAGGATCGTTTTGCGCCAACTCAATCGGTTGCCTCGACAGGGATTAACTATACACAACGACACGACCACTCTAGATACCGTCACTGATGTAGCAGCGCCTGGTGTTCACCCTCCTCTTCTTCGTCCCACTCGATCCCCTCGCCCAACCACAGCATCGGCATAGCCGTCAGCGCCGCCAACACTCCCAACGTCCCGGACATAGCGCCCCAGCCAAATCGATACTCCACAAACCCTCCCCACAGCGGCCCCAGGAACATGCCCGCGAACTGGCACATACTCTGCACTCCGAATCCCTGTGCGACCGTGTCCTTGGATCCCAAGGAACCGTGGCGCGCGCGCTCCATTTCGGACAGTGCGAGCTGCGTCTCGACGTACATGGCTGGGGCGCAGGCGTGGATAAATACCCCGATCAGGAAGAGGAGAATGACTAGCAGGGCGATATGCGGCGGATCATTGGGTTCGACGAAGCGGAGGCTGATCAGGGATGGGGAGAGGAGGAAGAAGCAGGTGAAGGCCACGAAGCGGGCGCCGCAGCGGTCTGTGAAGTAGCCTACACCAGATCAGATTTTTGTTCATGATGTGATTTTATTTCTGGTGAATTACTCACCGAAAAACGGCTCGAAGAAAGCGGGAATCGCCATGGGGAGGAAGATCAGGCCCATTCCAAAGGCGGACCATTCGTAGCGCGATTCGACGAAGATGGCCAGTGTCTGCATGGTCAGTTTCTGTCCGGGATTAATTCAAGAGGGAAAAGAAAGAAGGACAAACTGCGTCAAAAGCAGACAGCAATATCCCATGCACCAGGAGCGCCCACGAGGAAACCAGCACTCGGCGCTGCGTGAGCATACGCAGCAAGACAAAGACTCGACTCCTCGGTAGTTCTTCCAACCGATCAGGACGCACCACCACCTCTGCCTGCAGTCCTCCACCTCCATTATTAGCACTGCTACTTTCCCACCTCTCCGCACTCCCATTCTCAATCATAGCAACCCGCATCCCAAAATCCACTGCAATAATCCCATATGCCACCCAGAACACTGCATCATACCCACCAGCATGATACACCAGCCCACCCAGGAAGGGGCCTAAGAGAAAGCCCGACGCAATAGCTGACCCAAGATACCCAATCGTCTGACCGAGGTTCTCCTGTGGCACGGAGTCATTAATCAGTGCGAAGGCAGCGACCACGACCAGCGCTCCGGCGCAGCCTTGGAGCAGGCGACCCGCTACGAACATGGCTAGCGAACGGGATACATGTAGTACACCCATGCAGCCTGCCAGTAGGATTAGCGCGCCGAGGAAGGGGAGTCGGCGTGTGCGTGCGCTGTCGATTAGGTAGCCGAAGACGGGGCAGAGGAGGAGCGCTGTGCCGGCTTCACACATTAAGAGGACGCTGACCCAGTATTCTCCTGGTCTTTGCATTAGTACTTATTCGAATTGGGTGCTGGGGGAGAGACAACGTACGGTCTTTGTACTCGACTCCAGCGCGAGTTACTAGTGCTGTTGGCATGACGGGGACAATCTGAAGGTCGTTAGGCTTGTCCGGATCACTAGTGACGGGATAGGTCTCGAAATTTACCATTGCATAGAGAAGGAAGTCCTGGGTGAGTTATTTTCTGGTCAGCTACGTTAGTAATTCTGATAGCACTTACCGTGAAGGTGGACATCCAGATTGTCGCCACAATGAACGGCGTTGATGACCTTAGCCCTAGCAGCATCGGGGGCTGTCTCCTCCCCGGAATCGCCTTGGACACTGGTACAGTTCTCATGATATCCAGCAGGCAATTGTGTTTTCGAAATATCGATGATCGTAATGTCAAACACAGAAAAACTAAATAGGAGAATCAAAGAGCGAGTTGGGTTCAAGGTGATTCTCTTTGTTCTCAACTGATCCAACAAAGAACCACCACCATCCACCCCGACGACTCGTCTTTACTGAGAAAAACAGTACCTCGTTACCTAGTACTTTGATTTTGTCTCCCCCTTTACACAGCATTTACCAACAGGAAGACCGTTACAGCCAGACACCACCGATCGGAAACGCAAAAGTGGCAACCACGTCTCCGATTCGACGATTCGCAACCAAACCACCAAACTCTTGATGCTCCTGTACGCTGTCACGTATTTGCTTGTGCGCTCTATCACAGGGACTGGTCGGCGATGTGCAGTCACTGGTTGTCTACGGTGCGTGACCCTGTCTGAATCTCAAGCCTTGACAAGACAAGCTTCGGGCATGTGGGTTGTCCTGTGTTGCCGGACAGAGCAGACCATTTGCTTTTCTTCCGAGGATGGCCACGGGGTCTGTTTGCCGGGATGAAACAGCAGTCTCCTCTATAGCTCTTTTCTAGCAGTGCGTGATCTGTGCGCGGAGACATGGTGACACGCTGCGGGAATCTCTATCCTGGTTCGGAGGATCTACTTGGCCCCCTGACGTTTTTCTTTATCAAGTCCCCTCTCAGTTACTACCATCCAGTCTACCTCGAATCTAAGTGACACAGTCTCAAACGCTCTGCCGGTGTATTCCCGCAAACCTAAACAGCGTCGCCTTTCTGCCCGCCCGCCGGCGGCGGTTTGCTAGCTAGACACTCGAACTAGACGATGTGAACTAGAGGAGCATGTTCATGGGTTTCCTAAGCCTTTGGGGCAGTCCGACTATGTTCACAATGCTATCGAAAGGGGACCTCTACAGCTTGAGTCTCCCTTGGATTATGAACCTAGGATTCTCTACTTTATAACTCTTAACTACGGCGCTCCTAACTCCGATTTTGGTCTAACACTCCCCAGAGCTGCTCCATACACTCAACCGGCAAGATGGACTTGACTCAAGAATAGACCGGAAGCCTCTCATTAAACTAGGGACTAGTCCGGATCTATATGCCACTATATACACGAGGTAATGTCTGCTGACCATCGATTATTTGCGTTCGGTCAAAAATCATCTTGTGGATTCTACCCGAAAGTCTTTCCACATTTGAATTCCATCAGGAGTTGCTCCGTTCGACGCCAACTCAGTATCTGACTGTCCATCTATATCGTCGTCACTCCACCTAGTTGTCTGGATATTCTGACCTTTGGGCTTCGTCCTCTCCGATATAATTTCACTGTTGTTGGTACCCACGTCCATGCGAGTAAGAGAATAGTTTTGGGTAGATTTCCGTCTGCCACCAGCCCTTCTCGAACTCGAGGCCATCTCACGTCCTGATGAACCCAGCCAGTTTGCAGGAAGTACCGAAGACAAAACACGACGGAGGAGGGGCAGATTGACAGCGACGATGGCGAGTTGCTCTTCGACAATACTCCACATCAAAGGAAGGGGCAAGGTATATGTCACATCGGCGAAACTGATATGCATGAGGCTGACCACGCGGACCATGCTAATGGCGCTGACGCTGTTGGTTGAATGCATATTAGTCACATACTGGCAGGTATTTTGGACAGTCAATGGAGAGGCAATTGGCACTTACAAGAGTCCTAGCAAGAATGCTGCGATCAAACCAACTCTTCGGCCAATCGGTAGCTGTAACGTCCAGATATACGGGACTGGCAGTGACATGACCATCAAGTCGGTGACCATGTTCAAGACCCCGGCTACCACAAAGGCAGCATTCCGATTTCCGCATTTGCCGCCCGGCAGCGTTGGGTTCCAGTTAAACTCGATCGGTCGGCAAATAAGAAAAGACTCCAGAACAATACTCAGTGCCCAGGCCCATACAATAGCACCTGTCACGTAGATAGCAATTCGCATACTCGGCTTCGAGCCGAAAAGCTTGTAGTAGAGGACCATCATCGAGGTTTTGACAAGGGCGAGACCTACTCCGTAGAGTGCTTGACAGACGATAATCATCTACAAAAGCAGGATCAATGAGTGAGCTTCACATAACAAGGTCCTTCAATTTCTCATACCTTCAGCACAAACTCGATATCTGGAAAAGGGACATAAGTGGTGTGTGGTCCCAACCCTCCTGCTTCTTCTATAGTAATCGCATGAAGTCCCACACCTCCTTTTGTGACAGCTAAGAAAGTCCAATTGTGAGTGATTATTACCTTCGGAATCAAGACAAACCATACTTAAGATAACAACTATCGACGATACGATCACCATGGACTGCAATTTTTAGTCAGATAGAGCACAGAGTGGGAGAAATCAATGAACACATACCATCGCAATCAACATGAGATAGTCATCCAGCCCGAAGTTGATCTTCCTCATTTTCCGAGATGCAAGCCGAAGGATTGTAGAGAAGAATGAAACCCATCCCAGAACAACTATAACAATGACAATGTCCCTGCCATCTTTCGATTCGAGTCCGTAGTGACCCATCGCGGCATAACTCTGCAGTGCACCTCAGTGAGCAAGCGCTGTTCCTTGACAGCTTGACATTATCCAATTTTGTCTAGGAGAAGGGCGAGAGGCGAGAGAACTAAGATCGTCTTCACGCTAATACCCGTATTCGAACCCTTCAAGTCTCCACAGCGGAATTCGGCTCGCTCTGATGACAGCCTTGCGCTACTACACCAATCAATACGGCACTACTCCGTAGAGGAACGCCACCTCAAGACGGCTGTATTTAATCACAGAAAACCATACTAGCCTTGTTCACAGATTGTCAACCATAAGAAAAATCTGGCAATCTATGGTAGTGGATCAAGCAATATTGGGGATCCGCAGATCGATCTGGGAACGTGGTTCGCATAGAGTTCGGAAAACAATGCCGAATCCTATTGGAATTGGCACAATCAAAACTGATATCCAGCTTAAATTTGTGACAAGTTATTGACCCGTCCAGGTTGTTAGGCAACTGGTTTTGACCCATTGCAGGAGGAGGGTTTCACTTCTGTAATATTGTTGATAATACACACAAACCTAACGAGTTTCCTCTTGCCGATCGGGTTGGGGGCTGTCGGCAATTAACGACTTAGCACCTGCACTTAAAAATAATACTGTAGTTGTAGAGCATAATTATTCACTTGTACATATCCAGCCCCGTCGATATTACCGCGCCATTGGTCGCTTACACAGTAACTGGCGGAGCAGCTTTTCTAGCGTTGTCCTCAGGGGTTCTTAAGACCATGAGGGGTAAAATATTCAGAGAAATCCGGTGGCCCTGCACTCTGCGTCCCTCAATTCTCCCATAGTCTTCAATCGTTTTTCTCCAGTCCGAACGCAGACAAGAAACTGAACACCCGATAATCTTAGTCATGGCGCCATTGGATACAGAGTCCATCGAAGGACTGGAGAACAAGCCGTTCGACTTTGTCATTGTCGGCGGAGGAACTGCGGGCCTGGTGGTGGCCAACAGACTTACAGAAGACCCTAGTGTCAGTGTCATTGTCCTGGAAGCAGGGACCAATCGTCTCAATGATCCTCGAATTACGGTGCCGGGCTTAGGAGTGACCACGTTTGAGGATGCAGACTTCGATTGGGACTTTCGTTCAATTGCTCAGGTACGTTGCCCCATTAATCAATTGAGAAAAGTCCTATCAATAGTGGTTTACAACTGGCGCCGGAGTACAGGAACAACTCAACGGCCGCAAACTCTTAGCAAGCAAAGGTCGCACCCTCGGAGGCTCCTCGGCTATTAATTTTGGCATGGTTATCTACCCTTCCCGTTCCGGATTGAATGCATGGGAGGCATTGGGAAACCGCGGCTGGGGTTGGGATGGCCTCTCCCCGTATATTCGCAAGTCTCAAAAGGCCACTCCACCGTCGGATGCAAACCGTGAATTTTTCAAGGGGATGAAGTATAATCAGAAGGATCAAGGTACCGATGGCCCTATACAGGTCTCATTCGGAGACCAATATATGCCATATCACGCTGCGTGGATGGAGACGTTCAAAACATTGGGATATCCACAGATCGATGATCCGATCAATGGTGCTGGTACCGGTCCCTTTGTGACTCCGGGTGCAATAGATCCAGCGACCCACACTAGGAGCCATGCTGGAGCTGCTTATTTGGCACCGGAAGTACAAGCTCGGCCAAACCTAAAAGTTGTGACAGGGGCTTTGGTACAGAGCATTGCGTTCGAGAGACGAGATGTCGGAGTCACTGCCACAGGCGTTCAAATTCTGAAGGACCAGAAGACATATACTATTTTAGCCAACAAAGAAGTCATTCTTGCCGCAGGAGCGACGCAAACGCCTCAGATTTTAGAGCTATCCGGCATTGGAGATGAGAAGATTCTTCAAGCTCACGGAATTGCCTCGATTATCAACAATCCTAGCGTCGGGGAGAATTTGCAAGACCACGGCATTGTTCCTTTTGGATACGAAGTTGCGGATGGGCTTCCGTCCGGCGATATGGCCAGGGACCCTGCCGTCGGGGCCGCCGCAATGGCTGCTTACCAGAAGGATGGTTCAGGCCCCTTAGGCATGGTTCCATTCGTCTCCGCTTTTATGCCATGTGTGAACTTCCCCGAGGGAGAGCGTGAACAATTGCTTCAAAGTGTCCAATCGTCCATCGACAGTCCCAACACTCCTCGGGCACACAAGAAGCAATTCGAGGCAGTACAGAAGTTGCTCAAAGATCCTTCAGAACCTACAACTCAATATATCATGGCACCATTTCAGATGCTTCCACGAGAAGGCGATAATCCTAAGCGTCTATTTGGTATGAGCCATCCGGGATTTTTCATCAGTCTTGTCTCCCTCCTTAGTTATCCGCTGTCCCGTGGATCGGTCCATATCCAGTCTGCCAATGCTGAAGCTGCTCCCATTATTGACCATGGAACGCTACGTCACCCAGTTGACCTAGAATTTCATGCCCGACACAGCATGTGGTTGGACAATATTGCAGAGGCCGAACCAATGGCATCTCTCCTCAAGAAAGGAGGTGAGCGACTGCACACACCGGAGCCGTTGACAGACTTGGAGAAAGCCAAGGAACTGTGCAAAGAACTTGTTTTGTCCATGTACCATGTCAGTGGAACTTGTGCAATGATGCCTCAGGAGAATGGTGGTGTCGTGGACCCTCATCTCAAGGTTTACGGGACTACAAATGTGAGAGTTGTAGACGCCAGTATCTTTCCGCTGGAACCTAGGGGGAATATCCAGGTTACTGTGTTCGCGGTTGCAGAAAAGGCGGCGGATATTATCAAGCAAGATCTGAAATAGGCTGTTCGCTCGGCAGTTGACCTCAGGGTTGATCAACATTATTTGTGAAAACAGGAAAAGATAACAAAGCGGGTTCTATTGGGGGTGAGGACATAGGAAAACGTGGTAGATTGGATTCCTAGGGGGCGGAAAATGCCAGGGCTTTTTGTAATGGATCTTAAATGTCACGATTGAGATAGCTAAGCAGTTTGCATAAGGAAAATGAAGTCGCATGACCTGAACTATGTAGACATGCGAAGGCCGGATTCTGACGACGAGCTATTAGATGCAGGGATTTGCTCCTTAGACGCTGGTTGTTCTCTGGCACTTCGGTTGTGAGCTAGAATCGGCTTTCTGTGGTGAAGGCTGCTCTGGCATCTTCGCAGTTTTGTTGGCTCTCGGGACCTGCGTTAAATCTTGCTGCTGTGTCAAATATAGGTTCAGCCCGCTATCAGAACCGAAATGTCTCTTGCAGCCATCCTGAACTAAATTAGCAAAAGGTAGGGTAGAACGACAAAGTTAATAAAATCGCTCTGAACGCCGAATAAACAGCGTTGTAGAGGCGTTCAGACTAGGTGAATTCTGCGAGGAATCTTGCGAGTATCTCGGATGAGTAGGCAAATAATTGGGAGATATTAGTATCGCTAGATTGTACAGTGCATGGAAAATAGCACTCCTCGCTCGCAAAAAGACAAGGAGATTGGAAAGGCCTATTACAGGACACTCAATGCAGGCAGGCGGCGTCAGCAGCATTATTGCGCCGACATGGTACAAACGGCTAACCCCCCGGGACCATCCCGAAATAACGCGTGGCAGCACATCGGCCTACCAGGCTCACCCATCGCATCTCTCCGCGCTCCCGACCCCGTAGTGGAGATCGCCGGACGGACTCCCGTTGAGCCAAGTCGCCCAGCCGCATCACATAGATTCATTATTTATTCCCCAGCGCGACGCACGGCCGCAGACTCGGAGGCCGGAAGTTCGGATTTTCGGGCAGGAAAATTGGGTTTTGAGAGGATCTGGGGAAGCGTTACGGTGTAGGCGTAGAGAGGATGGACTTGCCGATAAGATAGCGGCAGTAAGGGAGCTGCGGGCGGCCACTCGCGGTCATCGGAGGTGCCCGATGGCTCGATCATCCTGGCGGAATAAATACTGCTGCGCCGGCTGATTGACCTGCTTATTATTTTTTGTACATCTCTTCTCTTGTCTTGCATTTCTCATCCCTTTCTAATCCTCCATCATGTCGACTCTGGCCGCTGCTCGCTATGGCAAGGACAATGTCCGGGTGTACAAGGTGCACCGGGACGAGAAGACCGGCGTGCAGTCCGTGTGTGAGATGACGGTGTGTGTGCTGCTGGAGGGCGACATCGAGACCTCGTAAGTTTCTTATCCGTCCGCGCACTTCTTCTGAGCTAACCGACTCCTTCCTCCTCTGTGCAGCTACACCAAGGCCGACAACAGCGTAGTCGTCGCAACCGACTCGATCAAGAACACCATCTACATCACCGCGAAGCAGCAGCCCGTGACCCCCCGGAGCTGTTCGGCTCTATCCTGGGCACGCACTTCATCCAGAAGTACAGCCACATCCACGCGGCGCACGTCCACATCAAAACCCACCGCTGGGTGCGCATGCAGGTCGACGGCAAGCCGCACCCGCACTCGTTCATCAAGGACAGCCCGGAGACGCGCGATGTGCAGGTCGACGTCGTTGAGGGCAAGGGCATCAGCATCAACTCGTCCATCCAGGGTCTGACCGTGCTCAAGAGCACGGGATCGCAATTCTGGGGCTTCGTCCGCGACGAGTACACCACCCTCCCGGAAGTCTGGGACCGCATTCTCAGCACCGACGTCTCCGCCAATTGGCAGTGGCGCCAATTCACTGGTCTCGCGGAGGTCCGCACGCACGCTGACAAGTTCGATGCTGCATGGGAGGCGGCCCGCACTATTACCCTCAAGACCTTTGCTGAGGATAACTCTGCCAGTGTGCAGGCTACCATGTACCTGATGGGCGAGAAGATCCTGGCTGCTGCTCCGCTGGTTGATACGGTTGAGTATGCCCTGCCGAATAACCACTACTTTGAAGTTAGTAAGTATATCTCCCTCCTTCCACTTTTACCCCGTGCTAACCAGTTTCTTCTAGATCTCAGCTGGCACAAGGGCACCAAGAACACCGGCAAGGACGCCGAGGTGTACGCGCCCCAGTCGAACCCCAACGGCCTCATCAAGTGCACGGTGGCCCGCTCGGGCGGCAAGCCCAAACTGTAGATATCGTCGGGTCCGGACTCCCGACACCGGAGTTCAGCATGGTGTTTTTATTGTACATATAGTTTATTCATACCTCTACCATCGCTCAAATCGAACTAGGATTCCTTTATTCAATATACGTGGTATTTTGTTTTTTGCTGGAAGAGAGCTGGTAGCTATAGGTACAAAAAAAGCGGCTAGTGTATCAAATGGTCGCGAAAAACATGCAACGTCACCCAAATAAAAGAGACTCCACACCCATGCGCTTGCGCAGAACATAAAAAGAGACAGAATTTGCACAGATAGAATAATACAGTAACAACGGTGCTTGAAGGGCGATTCATGAAGACTCGCGCGCGGACTGGAACGCCTTCTGGAACTCCGGCGTGTGCCCTAGCACAGACTCGTTACCGAACTTGACAATATTCTCCTTGTAAGGATGGGCAAGGCCTTCGAACGCTGCAGGATATATACGGTTAGTCGAAACCGCCCCCTGAAAAATCGCGACAAACATCTGTCCAAGGCAAGTAACTCACTCTTCAGACGCGCCAGCCGTGGCTTCTGCAGCCGGTTCTTGGGTAACATCCCCTTCACTGCCCGGCGTAATACCTCCCCGCCACCCCATTTGGCAAACATCTGGTCCATTGACATGCTCTTCAAGCTCCCGGGCCGCGTCGTGTGCGTGTAATACTGCTTCTGCAGCCGCTTCTTCCCCGTCGTATGCAGGTCGTTGCACCCCACAACCACCACGTAGTCGCCGCAGTCTGTCGAAGGATCATAGATGGGCTTATTCTTGCCCATCAGGACCAGGGCGATTGAGGAGGCGAGGCGCCCGAGCGATCGTTCGTCGGAGCCGGCGTCGACATAGTGCCATGTTCGCGAGTAGGCAAGACGGGTCTGGCGGTTGGTGAGTCATTGCGTCAGTCAGACAGAAAGAAAAGACAGATGGATTTATTTACCTTGCCGACTGTGGTGGACATGGTGGGTGGAATGACAATAATGCCTCGATCAACAAGGGTCCAATCCTCCGCGAAGTTCTGTTCTGGCATCCATCCACGTGACCAACGAGCCCTACCGGATGAGTCAGCCATTTCCCCCAACTCGGACTAGCGCCAAATTACCGATCCCACAATCGGAAAGCACGACCAACAAGACTGTTCGTTCCTTCCATCTCCCTCGACAACCACCTTCGACTCCGACAAGGGCCATCTCACCCACCATGGCTTCCGTCCCGAGTGTGCAATGCTTCGGCAAGAAGAAGACGGGTACGTTTGCTTCCTCGTGCGAATTGTGCGAATCGCTTGCTAACTGGAATCGGACTTTTAGCTACCGCTGTCGCCCACTGCAAGGTATGAAGACGAATCCTGCGAATCCCCCCGTTTGTCGTGCTTGGAGAGAGGAGAGAAAGGAGAAAAAAAATTGTCATGGTGGAATATCGCACAATCGGCGAAGTGTTAGGTGGTTGGGCTGAGATGGAGATTTGCGCACTGGATGAACACAGCACAAAAAATCATGGAAACAGATGGCTGAGACTTCTTTCTCTTACAGCAAGGCAAGGGCCTCGTCAAGGTCAACGGCCAGCCCCTCTCTCTGGTGCAGCCTGAGATCCTCCGCTTCAAGGTACGACATATCCCATGAAAAACTTCGGACCCAGCAAAAAATCTGACCCAATGCCCACAGGTCTACGAGCCCCTCCTGATCGTCGGCGTCGACAAGTTCGCCGGTGTCGACATCCGTGTCCGCGTCTCTGGCGGTGGTCACACCTCGCAGGTCTACGCCATCCGCCAGGCCATCGCCAAGTCCATCGTCGCCTACTACCAGAAGTACGTCGACGAGCACTCCAAGAACCAGCTCAAGCAGGCTTTCGTCCAGTACGACCGGGCGCTCCTGGTTGCCGATAACCGCCGCGCAGAGCCCAAGAAGTTCGGTGGTCGTGGTGCCCGTGCCCGTTACCAGAAGTCTTACCGTTAAACCTTTTCTCTTTCATTTTTTATCAGAGAGAAAAAGGGGCGCGGGATTACGGAGTATATGGCACTGTCTGCATATCATCCTCTTACGACTTTGTTTCCGTTGACTTCTTGGTGGACTGGGTGCATGGTGTCTTGTGTGTGGTAGGAGACGAATATGAATGCGGGTGGTGGTGGTTTACCCGCTGCGATGAGAAAGGACCTGAGTTGAGGACATCCCTTGACCTGGTCAGAAGGGGGAAGGCATATCCTATGTTTTTTCACTGGCGCTGTCCTTGAATGGCTGGATAAAAATTACCTAGCATAGGCCAGGAAAATCTGCTCAAATAACACGGGTTTTTCATTGTTCAGCAAGATGTAGTCCGTCTGCGGGCTCCATACGTTGTGACTGGATGTAGGATGGACTGGGAGTAGGTCATGTAGATTTGGTTGCAGTAATGCAGTGTGCAGTCTACGCTTGCCAGGTCGATACTTGAGACGCTGGCTAGATGCTCTCAAGTCGTAGTACGAAGCAGATATCTCCAACCGCCGTTGATGGCAAGGATGCCAGCCGTACACAAATCATACCTTTACAGAACCATAAATCCCTTCGAACAGGGCTCAACCACCAAACACCTCTCGTCCCACTGATCAAACAAACAAACAACCAACCTTAATATGGCTCCGGCTCCTCATCCTCATTATCTTCCACACTGCCCTGATTCCCGTCATCCTCATCCTCCACCCTCTCAACTGAAAGCACATGATAAGAGTTGTACACATGGGCGTCCTTCTCCACGGGAGGCAGTTTGTGGAGGGGTGCCGAATCGTCCATATCATCGATATCGCCGTCACATTCGTCTGGGTAGAAGCCGATCTCCAGACCACGGTACATGGTGCGAGAAAGCATGCAGGTGCGAGCGTAGAGCGCATTGCTCACGCTGTTGGTGCTGAGGTACGCGTTGCCCTCGGAGAGCTGCACATAGATGATTACCATGTTGTGGATGTGGTCCAGATCGTGCCGGATCATGTCTTCAGTTATACCGGGTCGCTGGCTAGATGACAAGGTTGCGCGATGCAGTGCCTTCCTTGGCTCGCTTCACTGAGTATTGGCCGGCCCACCACTGCCGGCCTGCCCAGATAACGGGCGTCTGGATTTCGGGCGTCAGTAGGGGTGGGATAGGGTTGACTATAGAGCATAAGGCGAGACGGATACTTACAGAGCGACGGGCAACATAGAAGACGTGCGACTGACAATAGGCCATGAAGTTCTCTGCATCACGGTGATTCAAGAAAGTGACAAAGCACGCGTTGCGGTGAGGCAGAAGGTGAATGTCCATGAGCAGACCGCCGCGGATCGCATTAATGATATCGGCGTGCGTGACACCGGTCGGGGTGCGGAGAGCGATCATGCATGGCTCACTGTCGTTATTGCGTCTGTCCTTGTCACCTACCAGTTCATGACCCCGATGTTCAGCGCCGAAGTCAACGCCAATAGTAGAATACTGGCCGCCCCGCTTGTTGTCGCTGTCATCCTGAGGGCTATGTTCCTCATCCTTGGAGGAGTCGTCCTGCTTGCGGCGGGGAGCAGGAAGCGGCGGGGAGTTAATGCTGTCGCTGTCCCTGTTATTCTGGGAAGAGCTTGAATAACCTCCAGCTGCTTGAATCTCGCCCTACAGTTTGTTGGATTAGTGTATGGTATATCATTGAAGAAGACAGATGACGCTCACTTTGACCCGCTTCTCAGCAAGGAGGATTTTCAGGTGGTCTAGAACGGAAGAATTAGATCGGGGTTCTAAATATGGTCGCAAGGACGGACCGAGTTCAGCGGACGCTTTGAGCTGGTAATGCGCATTTGATATCAGCTGGTGGACGCGTTGCAGCATAGTATCGAATAACCTACCAGTTCCTCGTACTCAGATTTTGGAATATTCACAAGATCCTCGAAGTCCTGAAGACTGAACTAGTCGTTGTTAGCTGTGTGCGACTGGTATTGTATGATCATAGTGGGATATTTACTGCAGGCTGTTTGCCAGAAGAGACGGAGGGCCCCGCAGAGGGCCCGGAGGAGAGTTCAGCCAGCCCATTCCCAGTTTCTGCCATATTGACTGCTAAAATAAAAAATAAAGCGCGAGTTTTGGAAAGAAGAAAGGTATAGTGCGAGACAGAAAGAAACGCGGAAAGGATCAAAGGGGTGTGAGATAGGAATGGGATGGACGGGAAGGGGGAAGAAAGTGAAAGTGATGGAGAGCACCGAAAAGGAAGACAAGACAGATATCAGAACCACCTACACGCTCGTGAGTGGTGGCTCAATATCAACATCAACACTTTATTATTTAGAATTATCAAGGAGGCAGAAGCCGATACAAAACAGCCACGCTCATTCGTAGATATTAAAGTAGCATGCACAGGGTTCTCTACTTTATATATTAGATATATATTAGGCTATAAGAAGGCTGTCTTTGAAAGATCCCCAAAAACATGAAGCCCTGTCTGATAGACGAATCTGCTGAAAATGGCAAAGTTGTAGTCTGTAGAATTATTCTATCCATCAAAACAAGGTCATACTTGTTCTCTGAGAGAGCAGACTTATACTTGGGCTTAGAAATTGTGGTTCATGGAACAATATTTCGAGACTGGGAGTTCCACCCAGTAGCTGCGCAGGATAAACGTCAAAATGATGATGTCTGGTGGTGGTCGTATAGAGTTAGGGCTTTGTTTAATTATTTATGCCTGAGGCACCAACCGCTGACAAAGGCACTTTAGTCGCGTCCGTGACACGGGTGCGCGGCGATGCGCGTCGACGGTGCCCCTTCTGTTTCCCCCACAGAACAGTCGAAGCCACTGGCCCAGACATCTCTCTGTTACACTCCAACAAGAACTCAATCCACCATGTCTGCTGCTGCCCGTCGGGCCAAGCTCGAACAGCTTGTCGCTCTCCGCAAGTCCGGGAAGAAGAGCGGTTCGACCTGGCAGCCTGAGGAACAGGAGGATATCTACGAAGAAGTCGACGATGAGGGCTACAAGAAGATCATCCGGGATCGTCTCGACCAGGATGACTTTGTCGTCGATGACAATGGCGCCGGCTACGCGGACGACGGCCGCGAAGTGTGGAACGAAAACACCGTGGACTACGACAGCGATGAGAGCGACGAATTGCCCGCTCGAGGCAAAAATGCCAAGCGGAAACGCGAGGAGGAGCAGCAGCGGAAGGAGAAGATGAACAATGGTATTACCAACTACTTCAACAAAGGCCATGGCGCTGCAGCCGCCCCGAAGCCCAAAGTGAGTCGCTGTCCTTTCCCGCGAGATTCAACCAGTCTGACACAGTGCCCAGCTCGTTGCCAACGCCGATGACCAGGCGTTCATGGCCGGCCTACTCGATGAAGTTGACACCAATGTGGTGTCGAATCACGTCCCGACACGAAACATAGTCAAATCAGAGGCGCGACGCAAAGTCCGAGTTCTCTCCCCACCCTTGTCCGAAAGGCGGCACCGGGAGAAACCCATAAAAAAGGAACACGAAATGCCTAGCTCCCCCATCAAGGACCAACCCATGCTCCCCTCTGAAGATTTCGACGACGGCCCGTTGCCTATGATGGACGACGAAGATGTTCCTATGAGCGACAATCCCATGCCCTCGTCACCAATCAGCAAGGCAGCGGAACGCAAAAGCGCTATGAAGATTAAGGCCGAAGAGTCTGAGGAGGAAGACACCGACCTGATGGATGTTGCGGAAGCCACGGTTTCGGAGTCCAAGGCGGCCAATGTTAATATGACGGGGAGCCGGCCACCTCCAAAACTCAAGGAGACTCTTCCAACACCAGCAAGCTCGTCCCCGGTCAAAGCATTACCGGAGGTCATGGATGCTTCCTGGAACGATGTCAGGAGCAAGTTGAACGTTCTCAGCAGCCCGGCCAAGGAATTGCATAGCTTTGGAAAACTGCGCGCCCAGGATGTCGTCGAAGAAGATGGCAGCCTGCGCATGTTTTGGCTAGATTATACTGAGGTCAACGGAAGCCTGTGTCTGTTCGGAAAGGTGAAGAACAAGCAGAACGGCTCCTACGCCAGTGCTTTCGTCAAAGTCGACAACATCCTGCGAAAGCTGTACTTCCTTCCTCGGGAGCATCGACACAAGCATGGAAGACAGACCGATGATGAGGTTGACATGCAAGACGTCTACCAAGAGGTTGATGAGATGATGACGAAGATGCGCGTTGGCATGCACAAGATCAAGCCCTGCACGCGCAAATACGCCTTTGAAATGCCCGGCGTCCCCAAGGAAGCGGAATATCTCAAGATGTTATATCCGTACGACAAGCCTGCCCTGCCCATGGACGTTAAGGGCGAGACGTTCTCGAATGTCTTTGGCACCAACACCTCTCTGTTCGAGCAGTTTGTCCTCTGGAAAAACATCATGGGCCCCTGCTGGCTCAGAATCGACGAGGCCGACTTCTCGGCAGTCAACAATGCATCCTGGTGCAAGTTCGAGTGCCAGGCAGCCAAGCCTGCGCTCATCAGTCCGGTTCCCGACACCGAGAACCTGGACGCTCCGCCCTTGACCCTCATGAGTCTTTCCTTCCGAACTCAACTCAACGTCAAGGATAACAAACAAGAGATCTTGGTGGCGAGTGCCAGAGTATACGAGAATGTTTCTTTGACTGACACTACTCCTCCCGAGAAACTGCCTTGCAAAACCTTCACTGTCATGCGTCCCTCTGGTGCGTCTTACCCAATGCATTTTGAATCTGAGACGCGGAAGCAGCGAGGCACTTTCATGTTGGAAAAGAGCGAACAATTCCTGCTCAGCAAATTTCTGGCGTTGTTCGAGAGAATGGATCCTGATGTCATCATGGGTCACCAGCTGCAGGATGTCGATCTCAGCATTCTTCTGAACCGGATGCGCGAGAAGAAGACCCCTGGATGGCATCGTATCGGTCGACTCAAGCGAGGAGATTGGCCCAAGAACTTTAATAGGGGTGGCAGTTTCTTTGCGGAGAGGCAGCTGATTGCCGGGCGACTGCTCTGTGATGTCGGCAACGATATGGGCAAGGTATGCTTTTCTCCCCTCAATTGCAACGACAAAGCTAATCCCAGGTAGTCCCTCATGATGAAATGTCAATCGTGGAGTCTGACGGAGATGTGTCAACTTTACCTCGGCGAGGGCAACGCGCGTCAGGAGTTGGATGTCGAAGCCGCATTGAAGTCGTGGGCTACCACCAAGGAGGGGCTTATGAATTTCGTCAACCACTGCGATACAGACACATACTTCATTGCTGCCCTGGTTCTGCGCCTGCAAATGTTACCTCTCACGAAGGTCCTCACTAACATTGCCGGAAACTCCTGGGCACGCACACTGAGCGGTACTCGCGCCGAGCGTAACGAGTACATTCTGTTGCACGAGTTTCATCGGAATAAGTATATCTGTCCGGACAAATACTCCTCTCGCCTGCAGAAGCAAGAGGAGAAGATGTTGGAAGGCGATGACGAGGAATCAGTGGACAAGAAGAAGAAGGACAAGTACAAAGGTGGTCTCGTCTTCGAGCCAGAGAAAGGACTTTACGACCGCTTCATCCTTGTCATGGATTTCAACAGTTTGTATCCCAGCATCATCCAGGAGTTTAACATCTGCTTTACGACTGTGGATCGAACAGCCACGGTGGGTGTCCTTTCATTTGCTGTTTAGACCTAATCTAACGTATCCCCCGTTTAGTCCGAGAACGAGAATGAAGAGAGGGTTCCCGATGTTCCCCCGTCTGATGCAGAGCAGGGCGTTCTGCCTCGTCTAATTGCGACTTTGGTCAGCCGTCGGCGCGAAGTGAAGAAGTTGATGAAGGATAAGCGTGCCACTCCTGAGCAACTTGCCCTGTGGGATACGAAGCAACTGGCCTTCAAGTTGACTGCGAACTCCATGTATGGATGTTTGGGATACACCCAGAGTCGCTTCTATGCCCGGCCCCTGGCCATGCTCACCACCTTCAAGGGTCGTGAGATTTTGAGAAGCACCAAGGATCTGGCAGAAAGCAAGCAGCTTAGAGTCATCTACGGTGATACTGATTCCGTCATGATCAACACCAACATGGACACCATCAGTGACGCGCTCAAGGTTGGTGATGAGTTTAAGAAGTTGGTCAACGAACAGTACCGGCTGCTGGAGATTGACATCGACAATGTCTTCCGTCGACTGCTGTTGCATGCCAAGAAGAAGTACGCTGCCGTCAATCTGACCGAGGTGGATGGCAAGTACGTTGAGAAACTGGAGGTCAAGGGTCTTGACATGAAGAGACGTGAATACTGTGCTCTTTCGAAGGAGGTGTCATCAAGGCTTCTCAACGAGATCTTGTCCGGTGAGGATCAAGAAATCGTCCTCAACAAGGTCCACGACTACCTGCGCGAGCTTGCGGGCAAGATGAAGGAATATACGATTCCAATGCAGAAATATGTCATCTACACGGTAATATCGGACCATCTGTCCCAAAGAAGCGCTTGCTAATATTTTGATTTGATAGAAACTCTCCAAGCGGCCCGAAGAATACCCCAACAAGGAGAGTATGCCACCGGCGCAGGTTGCGCTTCGTGACATCGCCCGAGGCAAGAATATCCGGCCGAACGATGTCATTTCGTACATCGTGACGACCGGCGACTCGGAAACCTCGTCTCTGCCGCCGGCGAAGCGATCCTACAGCCCACAAGATGTACTGAAGCAGAACTCCGGTCTCAAACCAGATGTCGAGTTCTACCTGCTCAAACAGATCTTCCCTCCCATTGAGCGTCTCTGTGCTCCAATCCCGGGCACCGACGCTGTCCGCCTAGCTGAGTGCTTGGGTCTCGATGTTCGCAAGTACCAGATCAACACATCCAGCACGAACAACCAGCAAAACAGTGAGATCTTCCCACTGGAGTCGCAGATCCCGGACTCTGTCCGCTTCGCCAACTCTGCACGACTGACCTTGCGCTGCCGCTTCTGCAAGGAGCAGTCCGTGTTCGAGGGACTTGTGGAGTCGTCACACATGTGCTCGCCGCACGGAATCATCTGTTCCAACGAGAGCTGCCACAAACCATTTGCGGTTCTGACCATCATCGCACAGCTTGAAAGTCAAATCCGCGAACAGACCGCCCGATACTACGAAGGCTGGCTGGTCTGCGACGATTCCGCATGTGGCAACCGCACGCGGCAGATCAGCGTGTACGGGCACCGGTGTCTTGGTCCCCGCGGGCGTGCCGAGGGCTGTCTCGGTCGGATGTCGTACGAGTACTCCGAGAAGCAAATGTACAGCCAGCTTCTGTACTTTGCCGGTCTCTGGGACGTGGACAAGGCCAAGGCTGCGGCGGCGAAGGAATCCGGCGAGAAGAAGGACAGTCTGGCTGCTCTGGTCGAGTTCAACCGCACGCGGTTCGGTACGATCAAGACTGTCGCTGATGGCTATTTGAAGAAATGTGGCCGGCAATGGGTGGAGATGGACGGTCTGTTCCGTTTCATGTTACAGTAAATGAATGGCTAGGCGTATAACCTTGGGAATTGTAAATATTCGGACTTGGAGGGTTTTCGTAATTTTGGAGAAATCAATCAATCTGTCCATTGCATCGTTTAACCTGTATCTTCATACGCATCATACTTGTAGGGTGAATTCTGGAAGGAATGAATGAAGCCGCCAGCAGGCCCTTATCGATCTTATCGACTCCCGGCCCCGCCACTTCTTCACTTCACCAGCTCCAAGCAGCCTCGACGCGTTGACACAATCATACGCAGAATTCGACAGTTCCGCCAGCCTGTTGACTCTGCCATGCCTCCGAAGCGGGTCTTGGTCATTGCTGGGTCGGACAGCTCTGGTGGCGCGTACGTTCATCCCCCAACTCCTCATCCCGCCGGAGCAGAAAAAAAAAGTGGCATCCGATTTCGCTCGATGGGATGTCCCCACAGGGTCATTATCCAAAAATGCCTGCACCAATAACATAGACAAACAATGATATTGAACTGATCACATTTTTTAGTGGCCTGGAGGCTGACCAGAGGGTCCTTGCGGCTCATGGCTGCTATGCGCTCACAGCCACGACGGGGCTGACAGCACAAAACACACTGGGCGTGCAAGACATCTTCGTTGTACCCCCGGAGTTTGTGAGGAAGCAGATCAGGGCTGGTCTAGAGGATATCGGTGCCGATGTTGTGAAACTAGGTCAGTCACTCTATAGTTGCTGTCCATCCGTGTCTAATGTGTGTGTTTATCAGGAATGCTCTCATCTGCGGAGACCATTGATGTCATTGCAGAGACACTTCCAGCTTACCAAGTCCCCTTCGTCGTTCTGGATCCGGTCATGGTATCGACGAGTGGATCCCAACTGCTACCAGAAAAGGCAGTCAAGGAACTCCGAACAAAGCTGCTTCCCATCACCACTATCCTAACTCCGAACATACCCGAAGCTCAGCTCCTACTGAAAGACGCCGGAGCAGATGCTCCCGAACCAGAGAATCTTGAGGAGCTGATTTGGCTCGCGAAGAAAGTATGCTCACTCGGCTCCAAGGCTGTCCTGCTCAAGGGGGGCCATCTTGTTCTCACGAAAGAGTACAAAAAGGCTCAGAGCCCGCAAGAAGCGACGACTGTCGTAGATGTCCTCTTTGATGGAGAGAGCGTTACTTTGTTCGAGACAGAGTACTTGGTCTCAAAGAATACCCATGGAACAGGCTGCTCGCTTGCTTCTGCTATTGCCGCAAATTTGGCACAGGGGAAGGACATGGCAAGAGCCGTTCGCAGTGCCGTGCGGTTTGTTGAGGCTGGTATCAAGACCAGCACTGATTTGGGCAGGGGAAGTGGACCCATCAACCATTTTCATTCGGTTTATACAATGCCCTTCGCACCGTATGTGATACTTGCTCTAGTGATTGGCACTACTTGTACTGACAAGGCACTAGTGGAGGATTCCTCGAATACATTTTGGATCGTCCAGATGTCCAGCCGGTGTGGGAGAGATTCACTTATCATGACTTTGTGGATGGCATGGGCCAAGGATCACTTCCGGTCGACCGGTTCAAAGAATATCTCGTGCAAGACTATCTCTACCTAGTAAGTATAAAGCCCGCGTGGCACGACAAATTACTGATAGGTCATCTAGGTCCAATTTGCGCGGAGCAACGCATTGGCAGCTTACAAAGCGAAGAGCATGGAGTCAATATCTGCTGTAAGTTTCCTTGGATTCTCATGTTCATAGCATATCTAATTCAACCGATCCAGTCCGCCCGAATCGTGCTTCATATCGAAAGGGAGATGGCATTGCATCTAGATTACTGTGCTTCTTTCGGTCTCACAAAGCAGGAGATGGAAAACCACCCCGAAACAATCGGTATGTTCCTTTTGTTATTAAGGATTTTCTCATACTTGTGACTCTTTTCATACTAAAACCTCCATAGCCTGCACTGCGTACAGCAGATACATTCTGGACGTCGGGCAATCCGACGACTGGCTCGCACTGCAAATGGCGCTCGCACCATGCCTGATCGGCTATGCCGCTATTGCACGCCGGCTCTACGGCGAGGAAAAACCCTACGCCAGGGTAACCAGTACTGGAAATGGATAGAGAACTACGTGGCGGAAGACTATACCGAAGCCGTACAACTGGGGTCAGCGTTGTTGGAGGACCACATGCAGAAAGTGTCGCCTAGCCGGATGGAGGAGCTGATTCAGATCTTTATGCGAGCGACTGAGCTGGAGATCAGCTTCTGGGATATGGGACTGGGCAACACTAAATGATAGTTCTTAGATTCAATATGTATTTTGCCACCCAGAATCCGGACCCGATGCACGTGATAGCACGTGACAGGACCAGAGAAAAGTCGATCCACTAGTCCTGATCAGGCCCAAGTCGACTTTTTTTTGCCTCCCCTGGCTGAGTTCTTTCCTTCTTTCTCCTCTTCATTCTCCATCCTCTCTTTTCTTGATCCGTCTCTCTTGTCAGATTCTTCTGGATTTGACCTCACTGACGGCTTCTCTTTATCCCCGTCTTCTTCACCTAACACTCTCTTCGTCCCCTTAGTCCCTTTTTTCCCACCAAAAAAAAAAAAACACCAGGCTTCATTATGTCGTACGGTGGCGGATACTCGCGCGGCGGCAACGACTCCTACCGGTAAGTCTACTATCTCGAGAGAGAATCATCTCGTAGTTTTGCTTCTCCTTTTTCATCGTTCGCATCTTTGCGATGCGTTGGGTGAAAATATCGAGCGCTTGCGCTCGGGTGGCGTTGGGCCTAGAAGCACTCCTGCGGGCGCTCACGTCCATCACAAACCCGCCCACAAACACCAACAGTTTCAGGACTTTTGTGCTAACTACTCGCTATGCAGCTCTCGTGGAGGCTACGATGACGGTTACCAGAATGGCGGTGGCTCCAACGGCTACTCCAACGGCCACAGCGGTGGCTACGGAGGAGGTGGTGGCGGCTATGGTGGTGGCTACGGCGGCGGCCGCGGTGGTGGCTTCGGCGGTGGTGCCGGTGGTGACCGCATGTCCAACCTGGGCGCTGGCCTGAAGAAGCAGGATTGGGGTAAGTCGCCGACTCTTCTAGTGCATTTTTCTTAGTCACTCATACTAACTACCAATTATTAGATCTGAACACCCTTCCCAAGTTCGAGAAGTCCTTCTACAAGGAGCACCCAGATGTCACCGACCGATCGGACGCCGAGGTTGAGGATTTCCGCAAGGCGCAGCAGATGGCTGTGCAGGGCAGCAATGTTCCTCGCCCCGTCGAGAACTTCGATGAGGCTGGCTTCCCGCAGTACGTGCTATCGGAAGTCAAGTCCCAGGGCTTCGAGAAACCGACAGCCATTCAGTCGCAGGGCTGGCCCATGGCTCTCTCCGGTCGCGATGTCGTCGGTATCGCCGAAACTGGTTCCGGAAAGACCCTGACCTACTGTCTTCCCGCGATTGTCCACATCAACGCGCAGCCCCTTCTTGCTCCCGGCGATGGCCCCATCGTCCTTGTGCTTGCTCCTACTCGTGAGCTGGCAGTCCAGATTCAGACTGAGATCACCAAGTTCGGCAAGTCTTCTCGTATTCGCAACACTTGCGTGTACGGTGGTGTCCCCAAGGGCCCTCAGATTCGCGACCTGTCCCGTGGCGTCGAGGTTTGCATTGCCACCCCTGGCCGTCTGATTGACATGCTGGAGGCTGGTCGCACCAACCTCCGTCGCGTCACTTACCTCGTTCTCGACGAGGCGGACCGCATGCTTGACATGGGTTTCGAGCCTCAGATCCGCAAGATCATCGGACAGATTCGCCCCGATCGTCAGACTTGCATGTGGTCTGCTACCTGGCCCAAGGAGGTCCGTCAACTTGCTTCGGACTTCCTGAATGACTACATCCAGGTCAACATTGGTTCCATGGACCTGTCCGCTAACCACCGTATCACCCAAATCGTCGAGGTCGTCTCGGACTTTGAAAAACGCGATAAGATGATCAAGCACCTCGAAAAGATCATGGAGGACAAGGGCAGCAAGATTCTGATTTTCACTGGTACCAAGCGTATCGCTGACGAGATCACTCGTTTCCTCCGTCAGGACGGATGGCCAGCCCTTTGTAAGTTCTTTTATTCCCCATTCCTTTTAGAATGTGCGTTGCTAACATTGTTCTCCAGCCATCCACGGTGACAAGCAGCAGAACGAGAGAGATTGGGTGTTGAACGAGTTCAAGCAGGGCAAGAGCCCAATCATGGTGGCTACCGATGTGGCTTCCCGTGGTATCGGTATGATCAAACTGCAAACCCCCCCTCCCCCCCTTCTCCCCTCCCCTGTCGGGGCCTTTCGAAACACTTACCTGTGTTGGTGTTGTGTGACATTATGGCACGGTGTTGAACTCTCTCGAAGCATGTTGGTGAAAGACGACTCGTCCAGGCGCAGCATCTGGTCATCTCAAATGGTTCTCAAGCCAGGAGAACCTTGGACTCACAGTGCAGTAGCAGCAGACAGTCCTGACTGGCCAGTATTCTCCCACTCTTATCTTTGTCGCAGACACTCGTAGAGAGTTGGAGTCTCATGTTCTCAACGTTGTTTGAGCTGTTGAAACTGCATTTGCCAAGGTTGCTCCGGGACCGCGATCTATTGCCACATTCCTATGGACTCCGCTTCCCCGGATTTTCATCAAGAAGTCCGTCCACGAAGAGAGCAGTGATGCATCCAAGTCCTGCATGACTCAGAAAGGGCCCTTCATGGCCACGTTGCTTTTTATTCCCACTAATGCGCTGTTTGCTAACATGGCCCTGATTTTTTAAAGATGTCCGCGACATTACTCATGTCCTCAACTATGACTACCCCAACAACTCGGAGGACTATGTCCACCGTATCGGCCGTACTGGTCGTGCCGGTGCCAAGGGTACCGCCATCACATTCTTCACCACTGACAGTATGTATCTTCACTTATGGTTTGTGCCGTCGATATCTGACTTCCCATTTCCACAGATTCTAAGCAGGCTCGTGACTTGGTCACTATTCTCACTGAGGCCAAGCAGCAGATCGACCCCCGTCTCGCCGAGATGGTCCGCTACAGCGGCGGCGGCGGCGGTGGCCGCTGGGGTGGTGGCCGAGGCCGTGGTGGTTGGGGTGGCCGTGGCCGTGGTGGCGGCGGTTTCACTCAATCCAACGCTGCGCCTCTGGGCAACAACCGTCGCTGGTAAATCCCGCGCGCAACCGCTGCTGCTGCTGCTCAGTGTAGTCAGTCATTGAGCTTGTATTGTCTCGACACACCATATCGGTAGACCTCTTTTCTCGATTCTCTGCGTAACTCGGTATGGATCGGCGTTTTATGTTTGAAGTCACTTAATAGACAGTCTTACTTTTTCTCTTTTATCGACTTTCTTCCTGGGAACTCTCACTGGAGCCATCTCTCTATCGTTCCGGATCTTTCTTTACTACAGCTTTCCAAATCGACTCTAGAGTTTGGCTTCTCGGAAGACGTCCCAATCATGTTGATTGATGTTTGTTGTACTTTGCAAAAGTCTCGGATACGGGGATCTCTCTCTCTCTCTGGAGTTGTTATGTTCTTTTAGTGCTGTGTATTGTCCATAAATCGAGATCATTATTGATTGCATTTCCATAAGATAGATCTTACCTGCCCTAACACAACCAACCTACGACTGTTTATCCAACCACTCCGCCAACTCCCGAGCCAGGATAGCATGTACATGGCTCGTCATATGCCCCGAATCATACCAGAAATAAGTATCCAGCGGCGTCGGACATCCATAGTTCCGATAATCCGTATAGATATCTGGCTGGTCATACCCAGCACAAAAGTTTGTGGTATTCACAATCCCATAGGGAGCAGGATCGTCCAAGATAGCACTCAATCTCGCATGCGCATCAAACAGCATCACGTTCGTATCAGCATACTTCTTTCCAAAGGACTCCGCATGCTGAGCCACCGCGGCATTGTACCATTCCACCTGCGTGATATTGGGGCTTGGGTCGCTGGACCCCAAATTCGACGGGTCGCGCTCCATAGGCGGGAGATTGAAGAATAGGTATGATCGAAATCCTAGACCGTATAGTTCGTCCACGGACTCGAAGAGCGTTGTCACGAGGGCGTCGTAGAATGTCGGGAAGTAGTCTACCGTCGTGTAGCGTGCGCTGTCGCCCACGTCGTTGATTCCGATCCAGATTGCTACGAGGGTTTCGTGGGTTGAGAGTCTGCCCGAGAGGGGCTTGTGGCCGTACTCTGTATACTGCGTGATTTGCTCTTCGAGTGAGACGGTGTAGTTGTGGTGGCGCGGTGTGCTTTGTGGATTGGTTAACCATTATGTTAGGGAAGAAAAGGGATGAGGCTGGATGCGGGTATAGAGAAAGGCAGGAGAGAAAGACGGACTACTTCGTCGAGATATCTGCCCCTGCGAAGGCAAAGTCCCATAGTTCTCGTTCACAGCTGCTGGGCGAGGTGAACCCTTCTTCGAGGCCGCAGCCTGTGAGATGTTCGATCCAGTTTGGCCCGCCTTCTGCTGTGCCAGTCTGAAGTATTTTTGAGTTAGTCCTGTGCCGGTGCCTTGTCTGGCCCTACTGACCTGGTTCTGGACAATCATGTCCGAGAAAAGAGTCTGCGCATCGTAGGCATAGTTGAAAAGATCGCCAATGAAGCTGTAGTTCTGGTGGCCGTGCGTACCCTGGACATACGTATACGAGTCACCGAATGCAAGTCTGATTTAGGTGTGTTAGAACACTCGGTAAATACTATGTCAATTCTTACTGACAGCGCCTTTGTGGAAGACCAATCAAACCTGTCCCCCGAGTGTGGCGAGGGCAGAGCAACAACTAGAGGAATGCTAGCGACGAGCGCGAGGATGCAAGCCATAGTGAGCGACGATGGTTTGGAATGAGACGAGGCAATGCATCTATCTTAATAGATATCGTATTCATCGTGCTCGGGCGAAATTGTGCCGATTCTTGCACCATATAGATCCTGAACAGGAATCGCTTCAGGTATACCCCGCATGGAAGATCAGATCCGGGGTAATTGTGCAGAGCGACGGAATCAATTTATCCGTCTACAATCCAACAGGGCTGGAGGCCTATCTATTGTTTTCCCTCGGTTTGCTTTCTC